CGCTCTCCAGGGCACGCTCCACATGGCACTTCTCTCTAGGGCACGCTCTCCAGGGCACGCTCTCTAGGGCACGCTCCACATGGCACTTCTCTCTAAGGCACGCTCTCCAGGGCACGCTCTCCAGGGCACTCTCTCTCTCAGGGCACTCTCTCTCTCTCAGGGCACTCTCTCTCTCTCAGGGCACTCTCTCTCTCAGGGCACGCCCATGGCTAAAGAGGATCTTGGTATTCAAGGAACTAGGAGAATAGACATGGAATTGTGTAGGATTTAGGATAATGCTCAAGAGACCACTCCCATGCTCGATAGACCGTCTTATCCAAATCAGTCACTCCGTCTTCCCAACTCATGCAAACGCTTTCAACGCTATACTATGTGACTATGCAGCTCTTGATGCTCCGTGGTCCCCATGCTATGCTCATAAACAAAGCCTGATCTTGCCTTTAGCCGATGCAACATCCATCGCTCTCCATGGCCCTTGTGAATGCTCCTTGGAAGAATTCCATCATCGCAGTATAATGAAATAAGATTCCCCCGAGCACGGCCAAGTGCCAAATGTTGTGGCTGCCCCCGGCATAGTCAAACAGACCGGGCCACCACTTCTCAGGAATCCGACTTGCATATATAATTGCACCAGTCAGATAGACCATAACACTCTTGGTCACTGGTGCATAAAAGTAAAATGTCCAGGCAGCACCCCGGGTCAGGTTCAATTGGATGACGGGTGCAAATCCTGTGGCGGCCAAGGTGACGAAGAATGCCACTCGCGCCCATGCCATGTCGGACCGGTTGAAGCTTTCTCGCCATGGCAAGATGACACCGGCGATACCGAGGAAGACGGTCAATGTCATGTAGATTGTCCGAGAGACAGGCTCACAGTAGAACGCCGTCCATTCAGTGCTGAGAATGCTTGCTGCCACGAGGAAGGAAATGCCGGTATAGTCAACACAGGCAAATCGTTCCAAAAGACATTTATCGGCAATGCTGTTCATGGTGTGCCACATAGTGGAGCATATCAGGCATTTGGCGGCGGCGGCAAAGAAACAGGCAGCAATGAGGACATCCCATTTGGACGAGAGTGGAAACGTGGCCGATGAGGGATAGTAGTAGAAGGCAATGGTGAGAACAATGACAAGCCCAATGACGTGAGACCAGATGTTGACGGTTTCGTTGGAGGGTCGGAACATGGAGTGAACACATTCGACCTTGGTCTTGTTGAATCGATATCCACGAATAATGTGAGGGTTTATGCGCCATGGATCAGGCAGTTCATGGTAATGGATCAGTCTGGTCTCGGCCGCCCGGTTCAGCGCGTGAGCAATTGCGTCCGCCATCAGATCTCTTGCGCGAAGAGCCTTGTCGTAGCCGTCTTCGATGAGTTCGCGCGTGGCAACGAGCGAATGGTCCACGGTTTTCCATCCCGAATCAATCAACTGCTTCTTGCGAGAATGGGCTCGGGCTTCCAACTCGGCCAGGTACGATTCCATCAATCGCATGCTGACTTGTGCCTTGTGTTCCAAGGATTCTCTGGTTTGGATGACATCATGGTATCGAGTTTCGAGGGTCTCAACGAGGATTGATGCTCGATGTCGAGCGGCGCCCCAGAGGTGCTCGCCGGAATGATAAGGTGAGCAGCGGTCACAGACATCCTTCAAGGTACTATAGGCACGCTCCAATTGACCATCAAAATGTAAAATGCTGTCTTGTCGATACCTTTCCAGTCTATCCAACCTGCGTTTGAGCTCGGCCAGGAATAAATCCACTCGAACGAAGACGGCATCTGCGTTGCATACACTCGACTGCCGCCGGCGATTGGTGTCATACGAATGACGTCGTCCTCGGTTCATCAGGTAGGTTCGTTCATCGTCTCGCGAGGTGCTGACTGCACGGCTTGAGGGAGGACTCTCGACGGCAAGAGTGGTTGCCGTGCAAGACATGGTGAATGAGGGACACCATGCGGCAGGAAGAGGTTTGTGGGACGGAGAAGAGGAGCGAGAAGAGAAGATAGTAGCGAGCACCTAGGGTTCGCTTCGAGAGTAGGAAATGTGATGTGATGTAAATATGAATATGATTTGTTAGCAGTAGGACAAGGAAGGCTTCGGAAATTGGTGTGGCGCAGGTGAGTGGCAGTGGCTCGTGAGGACAAGGACAAGGACCAGATGGGAATTTGGAACAAGAACAGATGTATGATCTGGATACATCAATGTCCTCCGGGTCAAAGAGCTGTGTAAAGGAGTGACATTAGATACACCTAGGGTTGAGGTTCAATGCACTGAGGATATGAGGACATGAGGTGGGTAGTAGTGGGAGATGACGGTTGGTTTTGTAGTTTTGATGGTTCCCGACCAAGAGAGGAATCCCCAAGGATTGGGTTGCCAAGGGAAAAGATGTCACGTCTGACGTGGAAATTGTTGCGTTGTCAGTGCAAAACGAGCGGGAGATCAGCAGACGGAGATCTGTCAGACGCAATGCTTAAAGCCATCGGAAAGCGTTTAGACTTGGCACCTGCATCATCACAACGACGCCGCGGCTCCCACAGCTTCACATGCCAAGCCATGACGATTTCATTGGCTCAGCTTCGCTTTCCGCGCCGAAGTCGCTCGCCTTTCTTTTGTCTTTAGCAGCAGTAGTTGGGCTTCTTCCAATTGACTCCGTCTACACATCGTCCACTCTCAACCCCTCGTTGTGCGAATCTCCATCTGATTCGTCCTTTGACTGTATTTGGGATGCATGCCAACCAAGTTCACATCTGTAGCATGTGCAATCAACCTCTCGTTCTGGTCCAATGGTAATTCGATTGAACCTCACACTTGGTTGTGCCACCTGTTATCGTAGGCCCCTGGGTAGATGGATGGGTTGTGCTGTTGTGGTAGGCTGGGGTCATATCCGTCATAACAAATGTTGCCTCTGTCATTGGCTTCATGTCAATTTCTTGCGAAATCTGCCTTGGATCCAACAGCGATACATCTTGATCCTCCGCTGTCGATTGACGATCAATCGTCGGTCGACATCAAGGTTGAGGATATCAAAGCCATCCCCCCAAATCCGTTCTAGTTCTTCCGTCTCGAAGAAATATACCCGCGTCCCATCTCCACGGACATAGAAGTTCTCCTCCATGTATCGTCCTGCCTTGAACCTGACCTGGGCCAAGTCTCCTCTCCCGTAGTCCCGGAACAAGACCAACCCACCAGGCTTGAGCATTCTGAGTACGTTCTCCACGGCCTTGTCCCACTGTCGAGGGTTCAAGGCCGAAAAGATGAAAATCATAATGACCACATCAACTTGGCCCTCTTCAACCCCCGGAGGTAAGTCGTCGCCCGCTGCATCCCAGACATCCGCATGCATGAGCCCGCAGCCGTCGTCCCCAGTCCCCGAAGAAAACCCTGCATATTCCTCCACGCCCCTCATGGTGTCCACCGCCTTAACACTGAAATCGACCGCATGCACTGTTAGCTCCTTATTGCGGTTGATACGCATGATAGGGAATGCCGTGTTGCCTGCACCGGCCCCAACCTCGACCACAACCTTTCGACCTGCATCTTCCTTGGTAATTTCGCCGAGAACAGGGAACTCCTGGACCAGCCATTTGCGGTCTTTGAAGAAAGTAGCCGACTTCTGTTTATAAAATAGATCCCACCATTTTTCCGGGTTGGTATTGAAGCGGGCGCGGTCGAAATCGGACACGGGTGCTGACCGCTGCGCCGCATATTGCGATTCGCAGAAAGAGATGTGGGATGAATCTGGCACAACGTGATCCCACGCATTGTAGGTGAATACGTCGTCATCGGCGGAGAGAGTGCGATGTCCAAATTCAAAGGGGTCGCTTCGTTTAGCGTTGCTACTGGGCGAGTGAGAGAGGTGAGGTGGGACGGGTGAATGACTTGGAGACAACGCAGATTCATCGAGGGCGAGGGTCGAGAGTGCAGAGTCGAGTTCCGCTGGGTTAGGTATAGGATCTGCGGGGATGCCGGTGTCTGGCTCGCCCCTATCGGGAGACATGGTGTGAATAGGATTGAGGTGATTTAGAGAGAGGCTGACAGAGGGAAATACAGTGGATTTGAGAATTTTGGTCGATTTTGGAGATCAAAAGTCCAAAAAAGATGAGAATGCGGGGAAGTCACATGGGAAGGAGTTTATTGCCGCAGCTGCTTTAACGCAAGGCTGGACTTTCACAACGTTGATATGATGGCATTTGATCAAAGTTACACCGCTACTCCGTATACGATACTATTAGGTACTCATATTCCGTGATTTAGGCTGAAACCCGGAGTATTCCAGTACCAGGAAGTTGATATTAACATTTTCGCCCAGTTTAATAACCCATCCATTTCATGCACGCCGCTTTAAAGCAGCTCCTACGAAGTCATACAGAATCAACAGTAACAGCCCATCTCTACAACTCGTAGCCATATAGACGATTAAGTCCAATGGAGTTACCGCATCTCAACTCCGTCTACCCCATCTTGACAAGACCATTGATTCCCTAGGCCGTACCTCTACTCCATTTCCAGAGTAGCCCAAATGGGCTTCCATCCCCTATACCCATCTAACACCGTTAAGTCCGGATACCATCCATACTATGAGTTCCTATGAAACTCTTTTGAAAATGAGGATTACACTACCTCAGTCCCACTGCCCTCTTCACAGCCTATACTGAAATACACCTTTCATCCACGCTATGGCTCAGCCAGACAACCTCAGAGAAATCACCCCACGAGAAGCGGTGGCTGATGCCCTCCACCGTTGTATTCTAGGCTTCGACAACAACGACCGCGAGCTCTTCGAGTCCGCATGTCTCAAAGACGAGAGCATGTTAGTGGTCGCTGCTGGCTTCACTATCCAGGGCTGGACTTCTATCAGTGACTTCATGTCAAGGCTTTTCTCTCTCGTCACCACACATTTCATCACCAATATTCGCGTCCAATTCAACGATGAGAGCAACACTGCACACATGTCCGCACATGCCATCGCCTATCATGTCCGTCCGGATGACGCTTTTAAGCAAGAGGACACCTCCTATACAGCTGGTTGTCTGTATTTCATAGATCTTGTCAGAGATGATACCGATGGCTCATGGAAGATCAAGAAATGGGAAATCAAAATGCAATGGACTACCGGTGACAGAGCTGTTCTCCATCCTTGACTTGCTCCTATGCAGTTTTGAGGTCTCGGGGGCTCGCGCAATCGATTTTCCCATACCAATCCTTCTGTTCGGATGGATGGCCAGTGTGCTCCACTGAGCTCAAGTCTCCCAAAGGTCGCGAATGTGTATTCACGGGTCATGATTCTCCGTGGAAAAGATTGAATCGTCTTTTCAGAGGTTGCGCAGACTGATCTTGAATCAAGATAATCAAGATAAAGTGGTAATTACATAGAATCCTTGCGTTAAGACGCATTCTATCCTTCGATTAGATGCAACGTACAACATGCGACCCACTTCACTCATTAAGTTTGTAAAGAGCCTATTGCATGGACAAGCTCGGATTCTGAATCAGGCCACAGCGACCTGTCGAATGAAAAATGTGCTGGAGGGTACATTTTGACTTCCTTCTGGCCCTAATACAGTAGGATGGGTTGGCGGGATTTCCGGCGGATAACCCGCCTAGCGAGTCATCTCTCCACACCACAGTTCCGCCATTGACCCCAGCACACGAGAAGTTTCTCGAGGTCATTAGATTCCAGATGACAAACCTCCAGGCACATATATATTCTGTTCCAAAACGAGTGAGGCATACGCGAGATATCATCTGCACTATAGAAACAAACTATCTATTCTGGAGGCTGGAAGAGGTCCGGCAAAGATACCCAACTCTCCTCGCTATACCCAGACTGATATTTTCCACATGCCTCAAGACCCCAGTCAGTCAATCCAATCATGAAAGAGCTCTCGAACATGAATGCGAGACTTCCAGCTCCAACCTTGACAGGAACCAGTTCTTCAGAGCTGGCTTTCTCAAAGACCGTCCGATCTGGACCATGGCTACTCATGCAATTGTGCAAACTCGCCCCGGCAGCCTGAAAACCACCCTTACCACCACCCTTGGCAATATAGGAACCGTGGACGAGTCCCATAAACTCACTCATACAATTGCGGTGATAAGATGGCGGCCGGAAGGTGTCCTCGGCAACAAGCCATCGCGGAGGGAATATCACAAAGTCCGCCACAGCCGTTCCAGGATGGCCAGGATTGACAACAGTAAGGACAGTGTTGAGAGATGGGTCCGGATGGTCGTACGAGATGGTCCCAATAGTGTTGAAGCGACCGAGGTCATATTTGTACGGATAGTACCTGCCTTCCCATGCAACCACGTCAAACGGCGTGTGCCTCTGGCGTGCCTTGAACAACTGCCCAGCAAACTTGTTGTATAGAGTCCACTCCGTCTTGGTGTCGTGTGTGTATGCCGCCACGGGGATCTGGAAGTCACGAGCATTCGCCAGGCAGTTGGATCCAATCGGACCCAGCTCAGGCAGCTGGAAGTGACCATCGTAAACTTCGAGAATGTATCCCCTGATGGGGACACCATCTTCGCCGAGGCTGACACGATATCTGATCCCCCGCGGAAGGACACAAATCTCGCCGGGTCGGACAAGTAGACGGCCCATCTCGGTTTCGATGTCGAGGGATCCAGTTTGGGGAACAATTAGCATGTCGCCGTCAGAGTTGGTCATGGCAGTCTTCTCGTCCATTGACCGTCCAGCACCATAGATATAGTAGGCGACTCCGCGCTTCAGAGTAGGCTCACCAGCCCCTGCCAGTAGGTGAAGACCACCTAACCAGTCTGCCTCGGTGGGTATGTCGAACGGGTCCCAGCGCGCTTGGTTCGGGATGTGATGTAGTTTGAGAGAAAATCGCGATCCAGCTTCAACGGGTTCAAATGCAGAGTGAGCGGCCGAGGGTATCACACGATACACCCATGTCTGTAGATTCTCCCAGCGCGGGGCAGTGAAGGACGTGCCAGATATCTTCTCTGCGTAAAGACCGTACGGACATTTCTGAGGCGAGTTCTGGCCGATTGGCAGTGCGCCTTTGATGGCCTCAGTTCTGGAAATGAAATGAGCATCGCTGTAGTCATGGGGTTGAGCGGTATCAGTACTCACTCTAGATTCGAAGCAAATCCTGTTTGGTACTGGTACCTTTCAGCCAGGTCAAATTGTGTTACTGGCATCCTGAAGTTTTCTGATTGTTCAAAAACACAAAGTTGGCGTCAGGTGAACCTGCGAGTGCGGCGAGTTTTGTTCACCATTCTCCCTTCTCCATCGAAGATTCGGTTCGTGGTAGGCAACTACAAAGGTCGCGAAAGTCTAAGCTGTGCGTACCATTTCCCCGCTCAATTATGGCAACCCAAGTACTTCCTTCCGCCGGGATATCCGTCGCCTTGGGATTGGAAGATGGATGATTGTGCTTATGATTGGTCATATAGATAGAGGCACCGATTGGTAAGTGTGAGAACCATATTCGACAGAATACATCAGCCTCCATGTTGGTTATCCCTATAGACAGTCACTTTCATAGTCACACTTAAGCAATATAATTAGGAACTGATAAATGTGGTACGGTAAATGACGATTACTGTCAGGGATTTTACGACTGTAGATCTGTTAAGGAGAAGCGAAGGATTATAGATTCCCCAAGCAATCTCGCTCTGGCCTTCGTGGCAATACATGTAGATGCATTTTCCCGCCATCCTTCTCAACCTGCTCGCTCCCTACGCAGATATGGCTGCCTCACGTTTGTCAGATTTTTCCTGCAGCTTTTCCACCGGAGCATCGACATGGTAATTCATGGTTTCCCTCAAGTCACCCAGGAAGCAACAGGCAATTATGGCAACTATGCCAAACGGTGCTGCAATAATGAAGATGACTCGAATGGCGTCAGCGAAAGCCCGCTGTAAAGCACCAACACCCTCAGCTATGACAGAAGGAGTCACACCAGTTATTTGAGCAAGAGCAGCAGAGTCGCCAGTGCTTAGGGCTCCGATGAACGCAGGAACAGACTCTTCAGGGAGACCAGCAGCCATGGCAGCTTGAGCGACGTATTGTGGCAAGTAGATACCCAATCGAGTATTGAAGGCAGCCACGTTCACTGCCGAGAAGATGGCGGCTGCAACAGCACGAGCTGAGGTGGTGCATGCAGTAGCAGTGGCGATCAATCGATGAGGTGTGGATAGCTGAACACCAGTGACCACGAGGATGAGTGGAGCTCCAAGCCCGATACCTAGCAACACCGAGAATGCAATGGCATGCACTGACTGGCCTGGTTTCACAGTCGCGAGGCCCACGAGGCCGCCAGTGAGGATGATGAATCCTGCTAGCAATGGCTCTCGGATGGTTCTGAACCGTGTGCTAATAGTACCCCAGACCACAGTAGCAACGAGAGCGGGGATCCAAGCCGCCATGGACCGGGCAACAACAATCACTGGATCGCTCGTGAAGAGCATCTGGGTCAGGATCGGGTAGAAGAGAGCAAACCCAAATGCCATGACGGCTTCGAGGAACATCAGCAAGATACACAAGGCAAAGGTTCTGCCCTGATTGCGTCCACCTCGGAACAGATCATGGTTCAGGATGCCCGTCTTTGTTCCCTTCCATTCGTAGACACCAAATGCAATGAGGCCGACGATGCCGATTATGAGGGTCGATAGAGGTGCTGCATCCGTCCAAGCATACTGACCACCCCCTAAACTCGCGCCAACGATGAAGAGAGTCAAACCCATAGTCAAAAGTCCACATCCAGTCAAGTCAAGCCGGCCGACCTTTTGCCAGAAGGAAAGGCTTTCGATGCTAGTATGGCGCTTGGGTGGGTGGTAGCCCACAAGGAGCGCGACGACAGTGGCTCCCCACAAGGCAGCTTGAAACCACTGCAGACGTGAGGAGTTAGACTAAGTAGACCCATGTTGTAGTGAATGCTCGCACTTACAAAAAACAAGCGCCAACCAGTATGGGGGTCTCGTTTGACTAGAGCTCCGATTGTAAATGGACCTGCGATCGTTGCCAGCATGGCGGCAATATTGACACCAGCTTGTGCCACTGAGCGAAACATGACCATGTCAGTCTCTGCCGTCATGAATATCTGTCTCAGAGAGGAGTATCTTTTCTTACACGGACGCCATCTTCGAGGCAATATTTCGCTGGGAACTGCGTATGCCAAAGGCACCGAAGCAAACCCAACACCAATGAGCACATTAGCCCCGATCAACTGGTAGATGCTGTTGGATCTTGGAGCCACGCAGGCGCCGATGAATGATATGGTGCAAGACCCAACGAGCAGGGTCTTTCGAGCCTGGAAGGTATCGGAAGCGGTAGAGATGACGGGACCAAGTACTCCTTGAACAAGTGATAAGACAACAGTCACCCATGCCTGGGATCGTGTATTGTTCAAGTCTGTTCCAATGTAGGTGAGCTGTACCCGACGCCAGTCAGCATCACACATCTGCGATGGTCAAGGGACGCTCTATACTCACCACCGAAGCAGGACCTTGTAAAGCCACGACTTGGACAAAGTTGAGGAGGAAGAATGCCACAAGTGCAATCCAGGTACGAGCGTGGAACTTGGGTTCCATCTCTGCCTCGTCGAAAGTGATATTCTGATCAGGGACATCAATATGCTCCATTTCTTTAATGTCAGCGAAATTATGTTCCTTCAGGTCAGGCCCTGACTCAGTCTGCTGAGCAGTATTGTTCCCTGGTCGACTAGACATGACGATCAATGATTCATTCGTCTTACTCGAAGTGCTCAACGGAAGTATGCTCGGTTTTCGAGCGCAGCATATACAACAGCGGATACTTATAAGATGACCACAGAACTATTTCAGGCCAAGCCTCGCCCCACGGGGGTCTAATAGACGAGATACGGGGTGACACCCCGCCATATACCTCAAAACAGGCGGCAGACATCGGGATATCCGTGGCTGATGCATGTAGCCAGTGTATAGAGGTACCCAGCATCTCAAAGTTGTATATAGTGATTGATTTGTCTATCGCTGATGTGCTTCGATGCCTTTGATCTTTTCCCTCGTAAAACAACAGGGCGTCTAAATGCCTGCCTTGTTACCAAAGAGACTAGTAAGGTATATGTATATATATACGGAGTACACACACATTCTTAGTGGGTTTGACAGCACTCACGGTTGTTCGTTGCCCCGTACTTAGTGCCCCGCGTTCAGCGCTCCGCACCCCGCGCTTAGTGATGGATCATATCACGATCAAGCCCGCCGATGATGTGAATCGATGGCCCGCGCAGGGGGCCCGAGACTTGTTCTTTGCGCCATGATCTTCTCGTTTGCCCACCCGCCCTATGGTACTCAATCCAATCATCACAAACATGCAAAACCCCAGACGATTCAAGCGGCCCCGTGCTTTACAGGCTTGTGAAGAATGTCGCGCAAGGAAAAACCGGTGCAGTGAAGACCGCCCTTGTACCTATTGCGTAGGTTAGTGAATCACCAGAGCTACAATCTTCCACAGCTGAACTCTTAGAACGAGGACTGCAATGCAGATACTCGCGAGCGAGGTCGGGGATCGACAACAGAGCACAAACCCCGACGTATGTACTTTTCCAACCTTTTGATGGCATTGAAGAATGCGGGACTGAATATCCCGCCTTAGGCAAATTTCGCACCTAGAACAGTCTCCAGCGCACCCAATCCCAGAGTGCTCCTCTCGTCCTGCAACTAGGCTGTGGCCGCAAGACGAGGATCCGCCCATACAGATCACCGATAACGACCGTGCTGACTTGGAAGCAAGCCGGCTTGTAAAGGGCCATTCCCAGCAGAATGCAGACTCCTGGTCGGTGTCCACCGCGGAAGAGTCCACCTGGACCGCCCCGACCAATGCTCTAAGAAGTACAGCGTCCGACGTGATGGATACTAACCTACATACGAGAAACCTAGAGTTCTATGGTTCCTCTTCATCCGTTGCATTTCTTCGCCATGTCGAAACGTTGGCGAATCGACAGGCTTCAGGACCACCTAGCGTTCAGCAGGAACGATCCATGGCCTCTCGACTGCACAACACTGAGTTCCAACCTGGGACTTCGCAGAATACTCCAACATCAATAAAACAGCACACGGGACTAGACACAGACTCGCCTGAGATATGTCCTTTTCGTGTCGCCCGACGCTTCCTTGATTCTTATTTCTCTAATACCCACCAAATTCAACCTTTGTTTGAAGAAGACGACTTTTTGGCCCGTTGCGAGGATATGTGGTTCAACCGACAAGAAAAGCAACCACGATCTTTTCTCGCTTTGTACTATGCGATCTTGAGCATGGGAAGCTTGGTCATGCCTTTTGGGACTCCTGAAATAGCTGGAGCAGATCGATTCACATGGAGCCGTCGGTTGTTTGACGAGGCGCTGGTCAATGTTACAAAACTTGGTACCACGACGGACCTCGAAATCGTCCAATGCTTCTTTATGCTGGTAGGTTCTTTTTCGTTATCACAGCTGCAATCTTACTAATACTCCCACGTGAAGGCCAAAGTCTGTCAACATGAACTCAATCCTCACTGTGAATCATGCACAATCCTTGACTAGACTTGGCAACATCAATGCTGATCCTCGTATAGTGGCATACCTTTACTCTGGCCAGGCAGCAAGGACTGCACTGGCGATTGGTATCAACCGGAAACCCGCCATTCCCGACCCCGGTGATCCCAGAGCCTCATCCATAGCTTGCAAAACATGGTGGTATGCTTCCCATACAGTGGCTTCCAGACTGTGCAGCGTGATGGCTAATCTTTTTTCGATTCAGGGCGATTTACTGCCTTGACATGTAAGAGAAATCTTACCTGAAGAACGAGAAGATGCTGACGTTGGGCCGCATGAATAGACAGACGAGCTTCGCCCTTGGAAGACCTGACAGCCTAGGTCCGGATCAGTACCATACTCAAGATTTCCCTCTGGCCATGGTGACGAATACTACTAGACAATCACTACCGTCTCCACATGTTCTCGAGATCGTGCCCCCTATGGTTTCACTATCGCGGATTATGCGGGAAGTGGCTCTCAATCTCTATACTCTCCCGTGCGACATGGATCAAAAGCTCGCGCGTGCCAAAACACTCGATGCTGAACTTGAGCAATGGCTCGAACAAATCCCTACACACTTCCAGCCCGACCAACAGAGTACGAGACCCAAATTCTCCTTGAAACCTACGCGTCTACCTAGTCATGTCAAAAAGCAGTCCGTCGTCCTGAGACTTCGTAAGTATTGAGAGGAATGCTGTCAGACCGCGATCCTGAACTTTGTTCTACAGGCTACCTCAACCTGCGTATGATGATACATGCAGTTTTCATGGCTAAATATCAAACACCGACCACTGAGACCCTGGTGTCTATCCGAGATCATCAGTGCCAGTGCCTACAAACAGCACAGAATGCCATTGATTTGATGTTCGAAACCTTTTGCGAAGATGACTTCTTTCAGACATGGTAAGTGACCTTTTATTTTTGCCAGGAATTCTCTTGGATCCTGCTCCATTCCAACAGCCCAAATTGACCAATCCGCTTCAGGTGGTACAATGCAACCTATGCCTTGTTCTCGGTCAGTATCATGCTTGCAGGGGCATTCTACCATCTTGCAAGAACGCCACAACAGCTTGATGATCTCTTCGGCTCCATCGATCGAGCAGTCATGGTCCTTCAAGCCATGGACGAATGCGTAGTTGCCCGAAATTCCACGGCAATCGTCAAGCGAACGCTCGCTCGAGCGAAAAAGATCCCTCACCCAGCACTTCTAGGCGGTCAAAGGGCTTCGTCGTCGACGAACCAAAGAAATTCCACTAACTCTTTGTCAGAGGTCGCCACTAATCCAGATCAAACACTTGTGCCTAGTCAGATTGACAACAGCGTGCAGCCCAATCCCACCCATGTGGCCGTAGACGGGACACTTACTGACCTAGACGACTGGCTCAACGCTTATCCTCCAGAAGACAGTCAGCAATCTATGTTCTGGACACAATGGGCTCATGATCTGGACCAACTTGGAACATAGAAAGCTTTAGGATTGATGTTATCAGCTTTGTCTGTCTAAAGTACAGCAAGGCTTAGAATGTTGAATATAAACCAATGATGGAGTCTAAGCATGGCCTATGATCCTTGTTTCAACTTCGGCGAGGCAAGGATCTTGATGTGCTTGTCTGTGTGATCAATCAACTCTTCAAATTCTTTGGAAACCACGCCCTCAAGCGAGACTCGGCAACCTTGACGGCATGATGGCCGATGGCCAGAGGCTCGAGCAAGGCGCGGCCAAACTCGAGGGGAAACTTGCCCGGCAGGGGATAAACATGCTGCTGATCGATCACTGCATACTCGGACAAATCACCACCACCGACGCTGCCAGGCCCGCCCAAAAACACAAGCTTGTGGCACATGTTGTCCTTGCCCGTCTGGCATGACTGACACTGTCGGCAGGTCGCTGACTGCATTTAAAAGCTCTTCTCGTGCCCTCGGGACAGGCACTTCGAGTTAGCCAAAGCGGTGATCTCGGAGACTCCGTTACGAAAGACTTCTGGAACCATCAATATTGAAAGTTCCCCATGTTGGGTGCCCCGGTCTACGGGTAAGCGGAGATCTGACATAAAGCTTAGCGTATTCGTAATCTTGGAATGTTGCTGCGTTGCGACCAAGAAGGTCACAGTAGAATTAATCAATTCGAGATGATATATGAGCAGAGAAGACCAGATCTATTGCCATGACGGGTATCATATATCTTCAGGGCCGCTGTCATCGTCCCAACACATGTTCACCTCAATATGCAATGTACACCAACACTCCTCGACTCCGGTACACTCGTCTGATTCTTCGTAGCTTCGTCAATCCAGACCAACTTTCGTAAGTGGAATGGTGTCTTGTTGTTGTTGTTGCAATCTTTGTATATCTCCATCGTGCCGAGTCTTTAGGATCCACACTAATACCTTTATCCTGAAATTTCGGTGGCTGCTGAGTCGAGTATATTAGTCAACTCCTCTAGTTCCGAGAATGCACCGGAGGAATTTGTCCTCAACCCGTCCCCATCCCAAGTCTGTACTTCATTGAGTCGACTTTGGGCAAGGCTTGGGCTGAGGAGTCCGCGCCCGAATTCAATCTCGTCAGTCCCTTGATCGAGTCCTCTCTCGTCCAACTCTTCGTCGTTCAGTACTCGTCCTCCCAACTTGACATCGCCAATCCCCACTCGATACTCTAGAGCCTTATTTCCGTCGCGAATTAGCTCCTCTGTACATGTCATGCACCTTTTAATGCTTTGACTCAATTTTTGACTATCGATCAATAGCTGCTGATGCTTAGAAAGGTCCAGCATCAACCGTTTTTCATCACGTGCTCGCTGTCGAGACCGTGCCGACGATCCTGTCAGAGAGCCTGATTCATTAGAAAGGATCGAACCATCTTCGTCGTCAAAGTCATCAAAGTCGCTTTCATCTTCTCCATCAGACAGATGTGGCTCGTCCCCGTCCATCTCAGTGACCGTGTCAAGACTGTATGCCGACTGACCAGAGATACTTCGGGTTGTGGGGGCGAGTGATAGTCTGCCAGACCGTGAGAGTCGGCGGAATCGACGAAGTTCAACACTCTGCTTCCGAAGTTCCCTTTCTAGCGTCTTGTTGATGGCCAATAATGACGAATTTGAGATCTCCAAATCCAGAACTTTTCGTTCGCGCCGTGCATTGGCTGCTCCATCAAGTTGAGGCTGTGGGGATGAGACACTCTCTGTGGGATGGTCTGGCATGCTATTGGGACGGCCAGAAAGTTTGGAAATGTCGGAGGAGTCAGCGTCGCTATTGGCAGATGTTGGCATCGTGTTTGACGATGTGAGACTGATGGATCGAGGACTCAAAGCCTCCGGAGACAGCATGTTGACGCCTGCAATCCGCGGAGAACCTGAAAGAGTGGCTGGCTGAATATCAAGAGGTTGTGGAGGAGCTGATCTGGGCCCACTTAGCCGCCTAGAGGATGAATTGGTGATGGAGCTTGCACTGGTCGACTTCTTATGCCCGTTCTGGTCCGCAGATTCTAGCAGAGCAGCGCGGCTAGTGATGCTTTTAGGACGATCGGTATAAGCGCGGGAAAATGGTGGTGCCGCGTGCTCAAACTTCAGTTGGCTCTTTGGCGGAGAGGATGGCATGTGTGCGAAACCAGAATGATGAGTTTTAACGGGAGAATGAGGGGGTGTGGCGTGAGGAGAACGAGAATTGTGATTCTGCTGTGTATAAGATATTTCTGCGGAAGGCTCGATGGAGACGTGATCCAGATTAACGAATGGCTGGAGGGGTCGTTTGGGTGGATGCTGTTGAGGTATATCATCTGCACGGAAGAACTTCGCATCATCTTGCTCTGGGGGCCGAATAACAGGCGATTGAGGGGCTGATGGAACGGTCGCCAGCGGCGGAGATCCAACAAAGAAGCGGCCTGGGGCATGGGGAGGCTGATATGTCGAGTCGATACGGGGCGAACCAAGGTTTGGTTTAACTTGATTGGCGTGGAAGAACTTGGAAGAGGAGGCTTCTTGGGTGCCCTCTACCATGCTCTTCGCGGCGGAAATCCTTCGTTGGGTTATGGCCGGAGCAGAGGCGATGTTTGGATTCGGCAAAGAGGGTGTACTCATGTTCAAACGTGGTGTACTTATTCCAATACCAGCATGGTGTCTCGGGTGCGCCTGGGAAATGGTGTCCGGCGGGGAAGGATTTAGCCCCGAGTGGTGGTTCAGTGGCCTGACAGGAGCTGGAGTGGAGGGAGACTCGGTGCCATATCGAGAACTTCTCGCCCCCGACCTTGGAGTGATGTTGGTGGAGAGCGGAGTGGCTTCTCTCTCATTGTTCTTGCCGGGAGATCGAGATCGTACTTGGACAAGTGGTTCTTTTCGAGAGGCAACGGAGGGGGATGTCGACCCAGACCCAGAACCAGCGAGCCTGGGGGTCAGCCCTGGCTTTCCATTCCGGAAGTTGGAAGACAGAGCCGGTGTGAGGGGTTTCGAGCCGTTCAGCCTCTGCCTATCTGCAGACAGAGGCATAGCTGGGACCGGTGAGCGTCGAGAACGGGTGGTATGGGAGGCGGACGGTGGAGGCTGTTCTCGCGGACGCATGACAGCGACAGGAAGGAGAAGACAGCCTGAGTTGGACCATGATCAGCTGTCGGGAGACGGTCGAGTGAAGGTCATGGGGGCGATGATGAGCAGGGGGAGTAAAGGGAGCAAGAGGAAGAGGAGAAGTGGGATCATGTACTTGGGAACGATTGTTTGACGTTGTTGACAGTGAATGAATCCAGGTCTAGTAGAATTACCTAAAATAGTTTAGCCTGACAGGTGACCTTGGACTTTATTGCGTGCATGAACCAGGATGGCCCCTGCGGAGGGGCACCAAGTAGTCACTTAGGCGCTTTAGGGGCTCTCTTCCAGGCAGGATCAACCCTAAGACCCTTGATTCCAGGTGCCTAATCATACCCGAAGATTATCAACAAAACGATGACAATGCCTAGCCATGGTCAGACCCAATCATTGTGGCCCCCGCGGTCGACGCGTGACTTGGAGTGACTTCCTTCCCCATAATTAATTCTCAGAATGTTCCTTCCTCACGCGTCTCGTCTCGTCCCGTGTCGTGGGGCCAAAAAGTCAACATCAACTTCATCATTATTGACCGCAGTTGTCACCATCCTGGAACTTGCGTCGCCCACAATCGTCACCAGTGCCTCTGCTTAGGAGCTACAGCATTCTCCTCTCACCCGCAATGCCGTGTCACCGCCAGCATCAGCGATGACCGTGAAGGACGATGGCCAGGTATCAGCTTCAGAGGCTGACACGGCTCAAGTCGAGGCTACCACAGATGCCACCTCCCCCATCCAGCCTCCCTTGCAACTCTCACAGCACCATTCTCTCAAACACCATCTCCTCGGTCCCTCCCTGACCAAAGCCGGTCAGGATGCCGTCGATCAAAACAAAGTCTCCGAAATCATCTACCAAGCCTCCAAAGGCTCCAAATATTTCAACAATGAAGAAGTCAAGGACCGGAATTTGACTCTAAAAATTGATCGAATTCTGAAACAAAAGGCCGAGTTAGAAAGGTTAGATCTCAAGTCAGACCTCAGACGAGCAGACGACTACATAGCTTCTCTTGAACTATCCCGGGATCTGTCTCAATACGTGGTTCACATCGACTGTGATGCCTTCTATGCTGCGGTGGAAGAGATCGATCGTCCTGAGTTGAAAAATGTCCCCATGGCCGTCGGCGTCGGCGTCCTTACTACCTGTAACTACGAAGCTCGGAAATATGGTTGTCGAAGCGCCATGGCTGGTTTCGTGGCAAAGAAGTTGTGTCCAAACCTAGTCTGTCTTCCTCTGAATTTCGAAAAGTACACAGCGAAAGCAAAGGAGGTGCGGGCCATCCTGGCCGAGTATGACCCTCGTTTCGAAAGTTCCAGCATCGACGAAGCATATGTGAACATTACCGAATACTGCGCCACCCATCAGGTCGATCCGGAGGCGGCAGTCGAGCAGCTCCGAAAGGAGGTCCACGAGAAATGCAAAATCACCATCTCCGCTGGTATTGCGCCCAATGCCAAAATTGCCAAAATCTGCTCAAACAAGAACAAGCCAAATGGCCAGTTTTGCGTTGCCAATGATCGTGCGGCGGTCATGTCTTTCATGTCGAGTCTGCCTGTTCGCAAGGTCAATGGCGTTGGCAGAGTCTTAGAACGTCAACTCGACGCCATTGGTGTTAAAGTGTGTGGTGACATCTATGCTCAACGCGCCTATCTGAACAAGCTGTTTGGCGAAAAGGCATTCCAATTTCTGATGCAAACTTATCTTGGGCTCGGCCGCACTGTCGTCCAGCCAGCCGAAGAATATGAACGCAAGAGCGTTGGGACTGAAAGTACCTTCCGAGACATCAGCAGCAAACAAGATTTGCGCGAAAAACTCCGACATACTGCAGAAGAGCTAGAAAAGGACATGGCCAGGGTCCAAGTCAAAGGTAGAACTCTGGTTCTGAAACTCAAGCTGCACACGTATGAAGTCATTTCGCGTCAGGTGGCACCCCCCAAGGCGATCTGTCTCGCAGATGATCTCTATAACTACAGTCTGCCCATGCTAGCTAAGCTAGAAAAGGATATGCCAAATATGAAAATCCGGCTCATGGGTTTACGGTGTACACACCTCGTGAGTACCAAGAAGGAGGACCGATCACATTTTTTTGGTCGACGGAATACCCCTTCCATCCGTCCCACCACCACGGATCATGTCGGCAAGGATGATAAGGATGAGTGGGAGGTATGGCCAGACTCCGAGTTTGAAGAGGCAGCACGTCAGGAACGGCAGGACGAAATGGATGAGCTTGTACGATTGAGCCAAGAGCAACAAGACAAGTATGGACATGACGAGCATGGAGAACATCTAGACGCCGCCACATCGACGGCCGACTGGCATGAACCATTTGGACGGTACAAATATGGCAGTGAGCCTAACTCACCGGCCGTTGCCCGAGCAGGTCATCTACCGAACTCGTCGTTAACGCCAATGATGTCAACTGACCAAGAACAACAGTCCTGGGACTGCCCGATCTGCCAGCTCCCACAGCCCGCAACGGACAAAGGCTTCAACGACCACATTGATCTGTGCCTTTCGCGCCAGACCATTAAGGAAGTTGTGGCACAGTCTCAGGCAGATCTACCTGGGCCGCCGGCAGGCCAGAGTCGATCTCTCCCAGCGGCGTTGAGCAAGACGGGCTCCGTCGACTCTGTTCGTGCGTCGCCTGATATCATGTCTACGGCATCGTCGTCATCGGCATCTGTGTCGAAAATGACTAACAAGTCCAAATCCAACGCGGGCACCAAGAGAAAAGCCTCAAACGGCCTGGGTGCGACAGACAATGCGAAGAATTCCATATCGTCCACGTCTACCAGGAAACAGAAGCGTCTCTTCTTCACCTGAACATAGAGGACGATGATGATAATGAAGACCATGATAAAATTGATGTTAGCGATGATAGACAATAAAATACAGAGATACTATCACCTATCATGTCTCTCTTGCAGTGACCTTATCTCGACGCTTTACCCCGTAGCATTTCCGTGAACTACCAAACTAGCTCAAATATTGATATACATACTCGAGACAACCGCACTGTAGATATATACGTACTACTTGGTAAGATAAGGGTTGTCCACCTGGACAATACCCAACAAAAGTATATCTTGAAGTGATTCCCGTCCGATCATCCGGCCTTTTGATGCATGATGCAAAAACAATTGTCATATCCAATCTATCGTATCCGACGATTCGAAGTGTGCATGTCGATCAATCAACCGACAATCCTCATCATAGCCATGCCAGAGTGATTTTCCCCTCCTAACACCCTAAAGGTTGGTAAATCTTACACTTTGCGCTGCGGTCGAAAAAAAAGGTCTAAGTATCCCTTCTAGACCGTCTGTTCCGTCCCAATTCATCAAGGTCGTTGTCATTGTCGTTGTCGTTGTCGGCGTCATTGTCTTGGTCATCATCACCAATTTCACTTTCGTCGACTTCAAATTTGTCCTCGTTTTCTTCCCGTTTGACTTGTTCCTCTTTCATTTCCCGATAGGTGGCATAGCTGAGCATGCAGAATGCAACAACGATCAAGCCAGAGCCTACCAAGGACCAGAATCCAATGGGTTTACCTGTGATGAGCCAATCGGTGATTCCCACGAGAAAGATGGTCAGCAGTGCGGCGACTGAGCTGAGGACAGGAGATGTCAGGGACATGAGAACGAGGAATGACCCTGAGAAGACGGCGTTGGATAGGGTAGAGATGGCGAGCAGCCCGGCTGCCTCTCGCGACGGGAATTCAAATACTTCTAGACCAGTAATGTGGAGGATTGGTAGTGGAATCCAAAGGACTGTCAATGTAAATAGCCCCACCATGCTGCCGAATGTGTTGGCGAAGATCATGCCTCGGCTGGGCGAACAGCCTTCAGGCGGACAAGCGAATCGCTTATACAGGACTTCATAAAAGCCGTACGCCACAGAGCCTATGCCAATAATGATATTGCCCAACAACTTGGTCCCAAACCCTTTCTCGGCACCGGGATTGGATGTGCCAGGCCCAGGCGTTGTATCGTCTGAATCACCATAGGCGACAACCAAAACGCCCAGGATGGCGAGAGCAACCGAGAGAGCTTTGTCCAGGCGGAGCTTGTCGTTAAGTAACATGATGGAGAAGACATAGGCAAAGAATGCTGAGCAATTGTAGATGGCTGTGAGGTTGGACGGAGAGGTCAGGTTGACAGCAACGTACCAGGACCCGCCGGCCATGGTGAGAAAAGTGGTAATGAAGGCGGTGGCCCTAGTCATGTATGGCCATGGCGATCGGGCGGTAGTGGTAGGCGAGAGGTATAGGTCCTGTGACTGAACCATTTGGGCAGTCGAGTGGACGGTCTGCTTATGGCGTCGCCAAAATGCTTCCCAGGTGAGTTTTCTCTTTTGAATACGGAGGAATAGTAACTGAACGGGCCACAGGAATATCCACGAGCCATGAGTGAGATACATCATACAGTAGGCCTTGTTCCATTTGAGTTCGTGTTGAATATAGACGGCTGTCTCGGTCTGAACGACAAAGGAGACGAGAGACAGGACGAGGAAGAAGGAAGCGTAGATGTATTTCCGTCGCACCAGATCTGGAGGTTGCGCATATGACGGCGACCGCGATCGAAATGTACTCCTACGAGCAGCAAAACTTGCACTTCTGGACCCTGCTGTATTGGGTTTCTTTGGTCTCCCTCGACTGAACGATCTCTTACCCTCTCCTAGCAGTGGGTCATGTGCATGTGAACCCTCGTCGGGTCGGTGCATGGAGGGCCTGCCGGCCATGTCGGCTTCGTCGTGATCGTCGCCGTCGTGATCGTTGTATAATGGATCAGGTGGATGGTTGAACAAAATGCGATCGTGCTGTCGATCGGGATCGAACTCTTGCTTAACAGCTGGTGGCAAAGAAGAAAGTCTTAAAGGGCTCTGAGGACGATGAGAGGTAGAGGAGGCTTGTCGGGAAGGAGGGAAAGGCGAGTCGGGCCCCGAGGGAGTGAGGATGAGGCCGCTGGCTGAGGAATCACTGGTGTCTGAAGTAGTCATCCATGCGGTTGAAACGGCGGACGAGGGAGGTATTATAAGGGAAAGACGGGGTTGACCACGCAGAACATTCCATGCAATGATCTGTGGTCACTAGTCACCAGGCCCGGGTGGATGGAGTTATGGAGGTGGAGGAACAGCGCCAGATGATAATAGGGAGGATGGGATAGGCTATATGAGACCTAAGGGAGTGCTGGCAGCAATGGGGGCCTGCATAAACTGACAGGCTTTGCTGGGCAGACTCCACCTTGTAACAGGCAAATGTCAGGTGCCAGTGTGTGCGTGTGCTTTTGAGACTGGCAGAAATGGTCAGGTTGGTTTATGCAATGATAACAGCGATGAATTGTGTGTGGTGTACGTCAACTTTGAAGGTCATGCAGCATATTGCAAACTGTCCAGAGCCCCAAATCTGGCGCAGTTGTGATCCAGGGTCCCTTGGCAGTTGGCAGGTGGATTGTTGGGGTTGGCGCGTGAAAACTTGGGCGTACAGGCATGACATCCCACGCCAGAAGATATCGACGACGCGGCTCTGTAGGGGCATGGGTGTCGTACGTATCCCCCCCATAGTACCCGGCAAAAGAGTGCCGAGAGACCCTGCGAGTACAAACGTGTTCTGCTTAAGATTGGGTATGGTGATATCCTCCCCGAGGTTCCCCGCTTAATAATGGAAATCATCGAGGTGACCCTCTAAGGCAGGTTACAGCGATAACCCATCTCACATGACTAAATAGACGTGAAGGTACATATCTAGGAAAGTAATACATCGACCGGCTTTGTAAGGGCTAATGTTCGAAAGGTACCTAGACATAGGATTTTCTCCTTTTCATGTTCAACTTAGCCAGGTCAAGTCATTAATATCAGGTTCATTGAGGCCTTATGCAATGTCCGTGCTAGTCACGGTGTGTCCCTTCAAATACCACGTGATCCTCCAGTGAATTTAGGCCCCTAAGGGACTACCAGCTCCTCTTGTTCAACGAGAGCCAGTCCATCCTTGCGCCGTATTCAAGATAATCTTCCGGAAATTCCTCCACAAGTCCCCAGCTCTTCTGGTGGGTGACCTTCACCCTCGATATACTGTACGTCCTCGCGTCCTCGGCGAAGGAAGGAATGAATCGTGGGTGGTTTGGCGGTGCCAAAAGGAGTCTGGAATTGACTTCCTGTTTGGCCATGCCTTTACCCTCGCCGATATTGCCATCAGCCAGATTGATCTCGCGGTTTGGGCATCTTTCTTGCCAACCGGGCCGGACACAAGCAAACGAACCCGGTCAAATTTGATCTTGTCCCAAAAGGCTCCTGTATGTGAAGATTTGTCGTTTTGTCTCAACAGTGTCGTGTCGAAATGCTCGTCAGTGCTCCCCTCCACAAGCTCATCGCGCATCTAGAAAACCATTCGGAGCCATTGGCGAGAACTGTAGTGGGATGCCCATTATTGTGCTCGCTCTATTGTCCCAGCCTGCGTGCTGTTGAGGCTGGGGCGAAAGGCTCTGACGCCCATAAGACGAGCCGTTCCACAAGGGTTGTTGTACTCCCATATTTCTCGCATTTATGTGTTGCATAGCCCACTGGACTCTCATCGCGTCTGTCTCTGAGCTGAGTTTCCGCCCGTCGTTCCATATTTCCAGCCTCAGATTGGCCGACCCCGGAAGAATGAGCAGATCTAGGAAGGTGAGTTCGTATTTCTGCGAAATGCTATACCAATGTGCGTTCTTCGTCATCCGCCTGGTTCGTGACACATCAGCATAGACCTCACAGAGCGAAACAACCCGGCGGTCTTGCAAGGATTTGGGTAGATCTGGCGGGGGGTGTGCCGTCATGACAAAGCGTGCCCTCCAAGGCTGTTGCAGCGCAGACGGGTCGATCTTTGCCCGCATACGCTTGACAAAGCCATTTGGCGGGATGTGGTCGCCCTTTTACCAATTAGCAAGAATATAGACCACAGACGATTGCCTCTCTACCTGTCGGATTAGCCAATCAATCTGATCCATCACCCAATTCTTGCCATCTCGTGAGTCTTTTGCATAGCTCATTCCTTGGTGCAACTTGGGGTTGTATCTCTGATTGACCACTATACCATAGCTGACACGAGCCTGGCGATGGGAAATAGGGCTGAGGGTATGGGATATCTGCTGGGCGCGCTCAAGCACTAATCCATGTACCACTGCTAGCTGTGGCTCTTCCGCTGCAAGAATATTAATTCCAAAGCAAGCTTGTGGCCCGCTGGTCTGGCCGGAAAAATGGGATCGCAATCGTTGTTGAACGTATGGTGAAGAGCCCAAGCCTCCAGAAAGGATGATGTAGGACTGAAAGGATAATGGTTAGTGTGCTTGTTGGGCAATTGGAAAGGATTTATTCTCACCACTTTCTCCCCTGGTCGGCGGTCATGCAGTTCCTTGACTTGACCATGGACAAAGTTTACCAGTGCATCCACTTGCTCGTCAAACGCATTTTTAAGAACCTCCCTGTCGATGACCGTCAGGATGGGAAACTGATGAGGGTAGATAGTGTGAACTCACGAGGTGATCTGAAATTGGGAATTGAAGATATTGGCCTTTGCTTCCTCCACGCCCGGAGCAAAACCTGGAACGTCCAGCAAGAGATAGGGGATGTTTGTCCCTGGTGCTCCAAAGCTGCATTTGAATCTCTCAAATCTTCCAATCATCATTTGCTCGGCGACATCTGCAGGAGAATTTGGGAGCAGTCTGGAAGCGATGTTCTGGAGATAGCGTTCAATATACTGCTGGATACGGATGTCGATAAGTGCTGAACCAATTGGTTTGCCTAGAGAACAAAGTCATTAAAGAGGCTATCCTTTGAGGCTAAGAAAATATTTGTACCTTCTGACTTGGACAGAGGCTCAAGAACAAGTGGCATCCCTCTCTGGGACGCAAGCTTGAGTATGTTGACATCCTGAACAGACATTACGATTAGGATGAAAAGTCATGATAGTCGTGGCAGTCTCACCGTAGTTCCTCCGCCAGCATCACACACCAAAATGATATCGTTTCTCTGCAATTTGTGTCAACAGGATTCTGGGGGCTGAATTGGTCGCCATACGTTAAGATGTTGTCTCGCCACTGCGATACCAGCAGCCTCTGCCTCGGTCAAAGTGATGTGACAGGAATGCAGTGGCCCGTCTGTTCCAAAACCCGTGCTTCGAATCAAGGCTTCAAGACTATGAATGAAGGCAGCATTTCGCCATGTTGTCGGAACACTAAACACCCATTCGACCCTCATATTACTCCATCCGGGGATACGCAAGCGAAAGTGGTTTGCAACGTGTGCATGGACAGACCTCAGAAAGTCATAAAACCATCTTTGGGACTCTTCGCAGGTTAAGTCGGCGTAATCGTCCTTGTAGTCAGGGTCCAGGTAGAGTTTGAAATGCTCGGCGATGTCTAGGTTGACATCATGAAGGTCACAACCGAAACCCCAGGATTTAAGCTGTCCAGAGCGAAGGTCATAGGCAAGGCGGGATGGAACCTTGTTGGCGATCTCATTGACATTGGCAGACCAATACTGAAATGACCTTGGAGTGGTCCACGGAGCGGAACAATATGCGACCCCTTGAAACTCATGAGTATCTACACAGTATTACCCGTGGATGGCTCGAAGCCTCACCTGTTTGCGTCATACCAAAATCGACCCCAATTACCATATCCGGCGGGGTTGTTGACCCATCTGCCATCGTAGAGTAGTTCATGTCGACTCTGGGGCGAAATCGGTGCCTCTGAGAGCAGAGATGGTCCAGACGGATTATGTACTACCGGAATGATTCATGGTAACTCACAACTCGGTCCTGTAGCCACTGATGAATAAGGCTGAAATCTGGAGGAAAGGCTCCAAGAGAGATTGTAACAAGAGTTGCGTTGGGAGGTTTCGTCGTTAGTGCGAGTCTCAAGAATACGTCTGGCGCTAGATAGTGTGTCCACCTCGGGCCCAATGAGGCTTGACAGGTGTTCTATCATGGGAAACCGCTCATGAGCTGGGCAGTGACAGTGGCAATGTGCAAGAAGACAGGCTAGGGCTGGGGAGCAGCAGACGGGCTGAAGTGGAGGGTCGTCTGGAACGCATGATTTGCCCAGATTGGTGGCTTTGAGAAGCCCAACAGTCAAGGCCACACACCCCTTTGAGCGACCTCGTGTCTGGTTTTAGTGAGGAGGATCTCGGTTGGATTGAAAAGATGCAGAAGCATGAAGAGGACACAGGGACTAGAGGGAGACTAGCAGGCGCAGTTCGCTTAGCAAGGCACGCGTGGCACGCACGCACGGCAAGGCAAGAGCGAGCGACTTTGCTCGTCCGTCTGGAGGCAGGTGGGGTCAGCGATTGATGAGAGATGCTTCATTCCTTCCTTCTGTTCAAGATACTTGCCAAGACCGCCAAGCAGGTTCCACCAACCTCTTTTTTGACTTTCGGAAACAAAGACCAGCCGCACGCCTCTCCATCCCCATCCCGCCCCCAGACCCTCCCAACAGCCTTGAAGACTGATCCAGTCTCCCTTCTCCAGGTCCTCAAATCCTCAGCCTGATCAATGTCAGAATATTTCAGTCCTCCCGCCCAACCACCGACTCACCAAACTGAGTCATGTTTGACCAGAGTATGCCAGTACAACTGGTCTATCCCATGAGCATATATTCACCCTTCGAGGTCTGTCTTGCAAATGAAAGTTCCCAAGCTTGGGCGAAAATAGAACTTGTCGTACTAGGCTGGGGGCCAGATCCACGCCGAGATGCACCCAAGATTGGAATACGAGAACCTCGACTATCTTAGCTGCTCTTGATGGAGCATAGCCTGCGTCCTCCCTGCTCGGTTGGTATTGACAAGCCCACTTCGATACAAGACCATACCGCTGGCTTAAAGTCGGGCCTCACAACACGCCTGGATTTACGATGGTAATGCATATGCCCACAGCGGTCTCATCTAGCCGATTTACTACTCGTACTTACCGTTGTCAGTAACCTTTTTCTCCAAGTCTGCACCTTTCAGCCTCACCGTGGCTCCTCTGACTGACTCTAGCTCTTTCACGCTTCTTTCTTTCTTTCTTTCTTTCTTTCCTCCACACCTCCTGCTCCGTCAAAACAGTTGTCGTCGATGGCTTTGAAGTAAATCAACTGTCGAATTGGCTTCCAAATTCCACTGTATTCTTCTCGATATTAGCACAGCTCTAGCAGTATGGTAGCTCAAGATATCGCTACAGACATTACTGGTAATGCAGCCGATGCTAGCCGTGGCAGCGCCGCCGAAACTGCCACTCCAACAACTAGCAGTGCTTCCACAACCTCGACCAACATTGGCCAAGGTAACAATGCCACTGAATCTTCAAATACCTCCTCCACGGCTGCGACCAGTACCGGTGCGGCTAGTACCGGCGCAACAGCAACAAGCACTACTTCCTCAGACTCTATAGGTCCATCCCATTCAATGGCACCTGCGACTCCTGCTTCCAATAGCGAAAGCAACAGCTCTGGAGGACTCGGTACAGCGGCCAAAGCGGGCATCGCAGTGGGCGCCGCTGCCGTTGTGGTCATTCTGGCAGCCTTTTTGTTCTGGAAGTATCGTCGTGGGCGGAAGAAGTCATTGCGTCGGGGAGTGGCCGGAGCTCCCCATGGGTCAGGCCAGGGAGTCAATCCAGGAACCATCAACCCAAACGCTGCAGAGAAAGGTCTGCCGACAGTTGGAGGTGCAGTCCTTCTCCGCTCAGACTCCGGCATGTCAGAAGCAAGAACCCCCCTCCCTCAACAGGCCGACGATGCCACCATCCAGTCCAGATTCTCGACTTTGTTTGATCAAATCGAATTGCACACCGAGAACTTCTACAAGGACTCCAGTCCCATGATCCCTCCTCAGACTGAAGCTGCTCTTTCCCGCTACGACACACCGTACCTGGGAGCACCGCTGGCAGCCAGGCTGGAGGAATCGCCTCGAACCACCACCATCTTGAAACATGTCCTGGCGTATGAAATCGCCGCTACCACCCTGACATCTTTCTCCCAGGATCGCAAACGAAGCTTACTGCCACCGCCGGTCCTGACACTCATTCAGGACCTAGAGTCCAGACCAAATCAACCAGAACGAAGAGGTAAGCTTGAAGCCCGACTCCCACACCATATGGTACATTACGCTAACCACCAACTCGTATAACAGCAATATCAACACGTCTAAAGACACTAGCGCAGTCATACCACGCGAACCCACAGTCAATGCCAGCGAGCACGACCAGTGCGACGAAAGAGTCAGCCGCGCAATTTTCACAGACGTTTTCGCTGTGGTCAGACCCGCAACACGACGAGGCACGAAGAACCAAGCATTTGACTGACATTTTCGATTCCGCGGTTCGGTTGTCCATCTGGCTGCTACGACAGCCCGAGGATTTCGAGGTTAGATGGGGTCCTACCCCAGCAAGTCACGCTGTCGATACAGCTTCGCCAAATAACCCTGACCCGAGTCGAGATGCCGCTGCCCTTGTCACACACCCGGCTTTGATCAAGGTGTCGAGAAACGCTGGCGCCACCAGGTTATCGCGGTCTGAGCAGAAGACGATTGCCGTTGCCATCCAGCGGAGGATATAAACGCCACAGCTGCGAGTATTAAACATGAATTCGAAACCCATGCTCCTACCTACGAGAACCCGCTGAGCAACGAGAAATCGAGATCAACTGGCCAGACGAATATTGTTGAATTGGGAGAGTGGCTTCTAGCTTTTCGATGCACATTACTTCTCACTCCCTTAACCTTCTCCATGGTCGGGTTGGCAATTACGTATTTAGTCATTATAATGTGCTACGCGATGCAATGAATTGAGATGACATCCTGTACTGTTCTCCCTCTTCCCATCATAATGCATCAAAATGCTCCATCTGTATCATGCTCAACGTCAACATCATTCACAGTGAACAACTTTGATTCTCCGGGAGATCAACCATGGTAATCTGAAATGTTCCAAGAACCTCTACATTAATCAACCTCGTACCAAACTCACTGCCCAGTTCCCAATGTCGCTGTCCCGGCCTTCTCCACCTGAGCAAAAAGCCAAGCACTTCGTCGCCGCCTCGCCACCCCTTTGCCTCCCTGCCCACCGATACGATCTGTATTTGATGGATTGTTGGGTGAGAGCATACTATGGCTGCTAGCCTTCGGCGTTCCGTTTGGCGAACCTGAACTGACATCCGCGCTTGAGCCGGAATTGAGGTTGAATTGGGAATTACTGGATCCCAATACCAATGGATTATACGGTGAAGCCTGTGTACCCGCATTTACCGTGCTAGCTACAGCACTCGAAGATGAGACACTTCGCTGTTCATCCAGGACCGAGGGCGATGCTTGGTCTGGAATGGCTGTTTTGCTTGGGGAAGAATTGGTCTCTTGTGAAAAGCGAGCCAAGTCATGTTGCTGAGCAACATGCCCCGAGCTCGAAGACGCCTGAACATGGTCATGGTCTTGGTCGAATTGGACTGAAATCTTGCCTACAGGAGACTGTGGATGCGGGATCTTCGGAGGAATGGGAGGAGACACTGCTGTAGGAGTAACCATTGGAACAACATGATGCTCAAGTCCAGCAGGAGACATAGGCCTTAAGGCCTTGTTGTTGTCAACATCTTTCGTGTCCCCATGAGGAGATTGTTGCTTGACTGGCGATCGGGCTGAGCTGGATATGTCTGTGGGCGAGATATGCATCATTCGAGGCGCTTGAATCCGTACCACTTCTGCGATTTCTATAGCGGGTGGAATCGGAATCAAACCATCCTCTAGAGCTGGACTGATACTAGTATTTGCTGCATTTGTGATTGATGGGCCGGCTTTATTTGAACCTGAAAAAGGCGTTTCCGAGGTAGAGTATGCTTTGTAATGTTCTATTGTCGGGGCTGACATTGGTCGTGTCGCCGCTTGAACGTCTGCTGGCGGTGGAGAATAGGCTGTGTACGGGCCATGCGACAGCACTTCAGAGGCTGCTCTTTCTATAGAGAGTCTTGTCGCTGCTACATTCGAATTCTGTTGATGGCTGTTTCGAGTTGTACCTGCCGAAATTGAAGCAACAGCGGTTGCAAGGGTTTGCTGCGTAACCTTTCGATGATATTCCTCCTGTTGACTTGTTGGTTTTGTTGCCGGCAGCAGCTTTGCAACAATCTCGGAAGGGCTTTGCACCGGGGTCACTGGGTACGGAGGTCGTATCCTTTGTGGGGGTAGATCAGACTGCGAGTGCTCGTTAGGCGATCCAATCGAGTTACGCATCGGTTCCTTTCCCTTTGTGGGGACTTCAACAACTTCAGCCACATGGTCACGATATCGTGATATCGGTCGCCGGTGCTGCAAGTGCTGCAATTGCTGCAAGGTTGTAGCTGTCTGGGCTTGCGATGGAAAGGTGTGCCGCTGTTGGAACATCTCGTGGGGAGCTTTTGATGGTTCCGTTTTATCAGTGCTGGAAGGGTCGTTGGCGTTGATACCAATCATAGTGTGACTCATTCCTGGAAGGCTGTTTGCTCGTTCATACGTTACATCTGTCGGCGGTAGTTTGGGGGCATCGTTATGGTTTGAACTTGATCCAGTCGAGTCTGGAACTTGTTTCGACCTTCCGACGTCAGGCTTGCTGAGGAGGTCTGAAGTTGAGGGTCGGTGTGCAGGTAGCTGATCCTTCTCCCAGTAGGAGGGCCCATCGGTGGCTGTTGGTGATTCAATGATAAAGGACTTGGCGGTGGTAAAAGGATACTGAAAAATAGGGGCGGTGCTAATAGGGAGGGATCGTCTTGTCAGAGATGGCGATGGAGATCCATTTGGGCTCGGCTGTGATAGATTCTGGCGAGCAGCAGTTTCCGTGCGAGGATCCTCGGATGAAGGAAGGGTCTTCATTTGCTGCTCAAGCACCGTCGACGTAGAATTGGAGGCAACATCGACTAATTGTGGAAGATTTGTGGGTGTCGAGTCAATGTGCGGTAAGTTTCCAGTCGGCTCTGGTCGAGCGGCAGGCCGCGCTTCCGAGGACAGATTTGATATTGCTTCGATTTCGCTGGTAGGGGGATTCTGTGAGCATACTTTCGAGTCTGCTATCATTGAATTGGAGACCGGTTCCCCCTCTTGAATAGGCGGCATTGGGGAGCCGAGGCTGCCTGTTGATATCGTGGATGTTCTTAGATTTTTACCAGGTTTGGCGACAGCTACCTGCGATGTGGACACTGAAGGATAACCTTTGTTGTGATGGGCATTATTATTGCTTGGATTTGATATGAGTAACGTATCAGAGTTGGGAGGTGACTGAAGCGATTTTGCTGAGTTTGCCGCGACATCAGCAACTGGCAAAGTCACGGGTTGCGACCTCCTTTGTGCCGAGCTTTGCCCTGTGGTGTCAGCCTTATTGAGATGATGTATTCCTGGAGTAATGGTTGAATATCGAAGTTGTCCAATAGTATCAATTCGCCCTTTGACATCGAAAAGTCCGTCATCCCCTTGGAGCTCCGGCATTGGGAAAAGAGATGGCAAGGTGAACTGGGGTTTGATAGAAGGCGAACGCATGCCCGCCACAGGAAGCTCATACAAGTTCTGTTGGTGATCTGATGTTGGTGCTTGGGAGGCGCCGTCTACAACGGACTGGTAGTATGGTAAAGGTTGTTCTTCAGCTATGAGATTCCTTTGGCTCCTGCTTCGAAGTCTTGACATCCTCTTATGGTGTAAAGGATTGCCAGGCTCTACCGGAGGAAGATCATTAATTGAGTAGTTGCTGTCGCTGTGGTCTGCGGACTTTTCGCCCTGTATTGGTCCGGTTTGCAAAGCGATGGTGTTCACGGGTTTCCGCTTGGTCGAGTTTGCTCTGAGCGACTTACAAGACTCCATCTCCCGCTCCAATGTTTGGCTGGCATTGGAGAGGCACTCGAGATTGGCGATAACTTCTTGGTTTTGAGGTAGAAGCACTAGGAATGGTCGAGATTTGTCGACAAGACTCAGAGGCGTTTTCCATTGTATCAGGGAATTTGCCAGACGCTGAGCAGTGGATTCTGTATCTTCGAGGGCTTTGTCGACGGCTTCTCTCTTGAAGACGGGGACATCTACCCCAAGTCTTGCGGAAAACAGCCTGGTAGCTTGAATTTGCTCATTGACGCGTTCGGCGAGCCGGAGCCAGGATACATATTGCTCCTTGAAGGTCAAGACGGTGTAACTGAAACCAAATAACTCCAGAACATGAAGAGACCCTTCATTGATGGAGTCGGGGGATTGAGGATCCCCACCCATGGAGATTGTGAAAGCCTTGAGGATTCTGCCTGCGAATATCTAGCATCTCAGTGTACGGCCTGAGTGCAGTAGACCATAGTCCGGAGCGTTAAAGTCAGTGCTTCGACTTTATGGATCGTCCACGTGCTGTTCGAAGGCCGGCAAAGAAACGCAAGAGCAGTGGGCAAAATGTTGAAAATTGTTAAACCGGAGGGCACGAGAGACGACAAGGGAAAAGCCAGGTTGTGTTCCAAGGGTCAAGATGTCAACACTTGGAACAGGTTCTGGGGCTTTGTGACAGGTCTTGGTTCTGAGGCTCCAGGTTAGGGTTTAGGATAGCCGTGATGCTAATTGTGTCGGTCGATGACAACACATCGGTTTATGAAAGAGTTTGGTTCATGCTAAATCGCCCAAGTGTGTTCCAGAAGCCCTGCCGTGGAGATTGTCAGGAAGAAGGTTGGTAGTCTCCAATATCGGAGCCTCAAGTTGTCAGGTCTCTTGCAGCCTGATTGATCGACGACCAGCGACATTGGCCTGGGAGGGTTCCGCGCTTCTCGGTTCTAGCCAGGCATTTCCCTTGAAAAGAGCTCAGACTGACAAGCAAAGCCCATCAATCATCTTGTCTCGCATGCACTTCCCTGTCGACTACTTACAGTGACCAGGACGCCAGTCGAAAGGCCCTCGGGCCCCCAAGAACCCCTCAGGCTAGAGACGCAGACATGAGAGGTGTGGATACCTGGCTGGACGCTAGAGGCTGGCGTCTGGGATGGCTTCAACGCCACGGTATGGTTTTGTCACAATCAATTCCATCTCTTTTGTCTGTTGTCAGGCTGAGATTGACTTGGTGTGTGGCAGTGTCTTCAACGAACTGCAGTTCCTGCAAATTCATCAATTATAGCAAAGCAGGGCAAGATGCTTGAGAGGAGGTATTGGCTGAGGTCGATAATGGCATTCTTTCACTGTGCCTGGTAGAAATCGAAAGGTCATCTTGACTATTGGAATGTCAGCACGCGTTTGCTCTTGCTGCATGAGCAGAAAATATGCCTTCCGAGTGGAATTAAGTTAGGTAGGATTGCACAGATTCTATCAACCCTGGGCAGAGGATTGTGTGAAAAGTACGATGACTCTCTGATTTATCGCAGAAGCCTTCTGGGAGAGGCTCCTGACGAATGTCAATCAACCAGATTTGGCAGGCGCGTCCCAGGGTGTTTAGCGGAAAGTATATAGAATCAGGAGACACACTTTTTGGATTTTTATGCTTGTTCTTTGATTCTGGATTCTTAGCATCATACAAGTCGTTCTTGTCTTTACTGGCCCTCGATGCGTTCAACAACGTAGGTTACCATCAAGATTCTCGGTGCCCAAGCAGCTTTCCCAGTATAAGAAATGCCTTAGCTTTATGACCTGGGTCCTAGCTTCTCCAACACTCTAGGTCCCTGTTCATCCCATTCCTGTTTACTTACCCACATATTCTCCTTATCGGCCATGATGTTGGCAAGGACAGCACCACCGAGGAATACCATGTGGCGCCGTCTTGGAGGATCCTCTATCCGCACCTTGAATTTGTTCAATCGTTCGGGGTTGCCACCAAGAACACGTGTCAACCACAATTGTTTCAGTTCCTTTTCAAGTCGAGATGGGAGGCCAGGGTACATGCTTGACCCGCCGGAGAGGACGATGGCCTTGTACAACGAAGAACGAACATCGACGTCGGCGGCTTGGATGGTGTTGAAGAGGAACTCAGCAATTCCCGGTTGTTCGACATCGACCAGATGAGGCTGGAATAAGCATTCAGGAGCTTCGAACCTTTCGCTCCCGACACGGATCACTCGGCCATCTGGAAGTGTGTAAGACTCGACCAGGACAGTGGTGTCTTCGGAAAGCCGCTGATCCAAGCCTAGATCGTAGGAGACGTAGCATAGTTTTTCCTTGATCTGGCGCACAGTTTCGAAATCTGCAGTTCGATTGAGGGCATAGCCACGTCGAAGGAGCAAAGCGATGAGGTTCCTCGTCACGTCACGACCAGCAACGTCGAGTCGTCGGGTCAGGTGATTGAGGACGGTAGATTCGTAGACAGGGACAATATGAGTGACACCGTCGCCGGAGTCCACCACAACGCCTGAGGACAGACCTTGGGCGTATAGGGCAAGGACAGCCTGAATAGCGACGTAGACGCCACCAAAATTGTAACGCTCAAACATGACTTGGCACATCTGTTCACGATTCTTGAGAGGATTCATAGGCGGTTCGGTGAGGAGGATCTTGCGGCCGGTCGGGTCGACTTTGAGTTTTTCGAAAAAGGTGAAATCCCATAGATGTTGCATATCATCCCATTTTTTCACAATACCATTCTCCATCTATCCCAGAGTACCCATAGTCAGACAACGGAATTTCAAAGGCAGAGACGGTAGGGAACGGCAGGACGGAGTAACTCGTCTGCGGATAGCTTACAGGATAGCTGATCTGTAGCATGGATCGAGCGGCGGCAGCCTCATCTCCACACATGATATCCTTAACGACAATGTCGCCAGACCGCTCTTCGGAACGGAGGATAGGTCGGCCGACGATGGAGGGGAACTGATGCTCGGGGAAGTTCTGCAGGAGAAAGAGGTGAAACAGTTAGCCACTCGAGTCCTTTGGCGGTTTCTGCGCGACTGAGATGGACATACTTGGGCGGCATAGCCGACTTTGAGGAAACCGGTACCGCCATCGAGAACTGTGATTTCGGTGTCAGCATTATTATCCCAGCCACGAAGATATGGTGGGGTTGCGGGACTTACCAATGGGTGCGTCGGCCATGTCTTAAGCAGGAGAGAGACACGTATAGAAGGGAGAGCGGCGACGGTTTACCGCATGAATATGGCTCTGCTGGAGAGTAGAGAGGGGAGGGGAGTCCAAATAGGTAGATGTATAGATTCTGGAGACTGGTCAGGTAACCGTGGTGGTAGTGGTGGCTGGCTAGCGACAACGTTACGTATGTGCCTGCGGATGAGTTGGAGTTGCAACTTGCGGTGGAAGTGGCTGTGACAGACCGTGGTGACACTCCAGGTGTCAATGCCTCGCCGGGGGGCCAAGCCTGTTTCAAATGGACGTTGAGACGCACGCACCATACGGCACCAAAGACACTGGGGACTTCTGGCAATTCATTCTGATGGAGGAATAGTAACACAGTGATAACCCTCATCCTTGAAATGGGAAGAATCCTGACTTGGAGAACAGGACAGATCTCACACAACGGATGCTACCGGCATACTTAATAGAACTCAAGGCGATATTTACAAAGAAGCAAGTTTGAGATAGATTTGTTCAAGTCCTTCATGCATTGAATCGATGCTTGCCCAAACTATAATCTCTATCATGTCTTGATTCACATAAGTCGTTCGTTTATCGTAAACATTGGATCGTAAAAATCGTATCTCATCGCCGTATTCTCTTCATCGCTTGCACGATACAACAAAAAGGTGGCCCCCAATTCAGGTCGCTGCAAGACATCCAAAACATTTCCCAATTCCAGATCGCTCAATGAATGGTCTTTCAAAGTCCAAATGTGCCACAAAACACTTGCTCTGCCTCAAACACGCCAACTCGCCTTATAATTTCTTCATGATCTCTTCTAATGCGTCTGCTCCAAATGCCAGAAATGTCGACCGCCTAGCCTTTGCCTCTTGGATTTCAGGAGGGTGGGTTGTAGAAGAATTGTCCTTGGTCTTTGTTCGCGAGGAACCAATTCCAGCCGTCAGTTTACCAAAATTACTTGCAGGTTTTGAATAATCCGACCTCGAGACAGCGTCCGCCATGATTCAACAACAGTCCTTCTCTTACCATAGGAGACGAAAAAGAAATGGTGCATTGAATGAAAGTCACTAATCGTCATCGCGACGACGTCGACTCACCGCTCGACGATCTCTCCGGCTTCCATCTCTGTCTCTGTCTCGGTCACGATCCCAGTCTCGGTCTCTGTCGCGATCTCGATCCCGGTCCCTGTCCCAGTCTCTGTCTCTGTCTCTGTCGCGGTTGTCGTCGTCATAGTAGCGGTCAACATCCTCAATCATCTTGCGTTCTCGACTTGAAGCCTCAATCATCCGGCGGTCGTCGTAGTGTCGTCTCACGTCAGAACTTCGCAGGCTGTCACTGCCCTGAGGTTCTGGTCCGTCGTAGTACCACTTGCCATCGTGGCCTTTGTAATAGCCGCCCATTTCTCGTGCACGGCGTCGCCGTTGTCGTTCCAACCGCTTTTTGTGGTGCTCTTCTCGGGTGTTTAACATTTGCTTGTGTTGAGTGTGTTCCTCGGACACGGCGGTCCACTCGCTGACAGCTCCCTTGATACCCAGGGCAGCAATACCAATGGCGGCAGCATCCTGCCACCGCGCAGCACGTCGTTGCTTGTGTGCTTCCTCTGGGGAAAGAGTCCCTTTGTGCACTTGTTCAATGCGTTTGTCATGAGCCTCGATTGACGAGTACACTTTAGAAGCGGCGTGAATCGTGGCGACACTGGCCAACGTGGCGGTGATCCATTTCTTTCGTTGCAACTTGCGGCACTTTTTGTCCTCCTCAGTCGAAGAATCCATTGAAGATGAGGAGGAAGAGGAGTCGCTGGACGATCCACGGCGGCGGCGAGACCTGCCAGAGCTCGACTTGGCCCGAATTCGAGACCTAGGGGGAACAGAGCCTTCGGAATCATAATAGTCGTCTGAACGTCGGCTGCGAGAGGAGATAAGTGCACCCGCACCTGCAGCACCCGCAGCGCCGCCAGCAACCAGAGCACACCGGTTGTCCATGGATGCAGCTCTTCGATCACTATGACCATGCCCAGGGCGGCGAGGCAGGACTTCGCCCTTGTGTCGGACTACATCAACAATTTCTTCGTCCGAGGCGACATCACGGCGGCGACGCAATACCAGGCCCTTTTCCTCCTGGGTGCGTTTGTCGTAGACATCTTTGTCTTCCTTGTCTTGCCCGCGCATTTTGCGCACTCGATGATTGAAGGGGTCTGCAATTTTGTCGCCGTGTTTTAAGACAATGGGCACCGCGTTTAAAGTCAGGCCAAGCGCCTGTTCCGCCATGTTGCCTGATTGCGAACGACCGGTGTGGGAGTGACTGGTTGAAAATAGCCGTTTGGCTGTGCGGAATACTCCCCTGGGACGCTCTCACCCGAATAGGGCGGCCAGGGTGGTGCAAGCCTTAAAGCCGTGGATCGACTATTTGGTGGTTTGCTAATCGAACAAGCACACGTGGAACCTCGATGCAGCCGCTTTATAGAACAATTGTGAATTTGGACATGGTTGCAAAATGGACTCAGACAACGACCAGAGATGTGCTGAATAATAGCTCGCGGATGGAAGGATTGAAAGGACGACGGAGAGAGACGGGACGAGGGGCGGTCAATAAATGATGAGTGTTCCAGACCTGGCAAAATGCGTCGTCAGTACACGGGTCATTTAGCCAAACAACGCAAGGCTTCTTGCTTCACGGTTAGACAACAAAGTGGCTGGTGGGTTCGACATGGGCATGATGGGGTTACAGAAATTGACCGCTGGAAGTCAGAAAGAAGTGGCGCGAACTCTAGTGGATCGAATGAAGGGACGACGTCATCAGAGTAACGAGCAAAGGACCGAAAAGTGTAGATTGGGCAGAATTGGATTACTGGATCGAGGTCAAAAGGCCATTGGAGGCGTACCGGCAATTCGATGACGATCGGCGAGCTGGAAGTGAATCGATCTGTGCTGGCACTGGCAGACTGACTGTTGGAGTTGACCTGGAGGGGAAAGAAACGAGATGGGAAATAGAATCTGAGAATCTGAGAATCTGAGAGACTGAGTCTGCCGATGCGGGTCATGTGGTGCCTTTTGATCGAACAAGATCCAAACCTCAGACAACCAAGCAACTCGGGTCGTGGCGTGCGGGCGGCCGTCCACGCCCGTCACTGTCCGTCACTTAAAAGATTGATGGTCCTTATTGAGAGACGCTGATACTTTGTGCATATTGCCAAGGGACCAATTGCCCGCCCATCGTCCAGGCCTGAGACTTTAAAACATCGAGTTCCAGGCGATCATGGGTGCGTCCAATGATAATCAGAATGGTAACAAGGTACCTGGGAGGGAGCACAAAAGGTACCTCCAACCGCGAAGGCATCGAGGGGGGCATGGTGAGTTGCGGACTCTTGGAGTTGCTCCAAGGCTCCTTGGCCCGTCCACCATCACTCTTCGGGGGCTTAAAACCGTGCTTGTGGAGTACTTGGGAGTCCACAGACGCTGCAAATCCAGGCACGAAGGCCCCGGGTGACCCCACTGCTGAACTTTCGCCTCACCCAACGCCCACCGTGTGTCGCTGGAAGGTACCCATGGACATTTGTTGGCTTGTCTGCCTCAGAAAACCTCACCAAGCATTCTATTCCAACAGCTTCAAACATCGTGTGCCCTCTATGCTTCTTCAATCACTCCCGTAGCAGTCTCAACCGCAAACGAGCTCTCTTCAAACCCCTCGTCAGGCCATTCCTTTGAGATGTGACCCATCTTCTGGCGGACAAAGGCTCATCATCCATTGGTCATTCCATCGCCGCGTCTTCTTCACCGCCAGTAGCATCCCAAGGCCCTTTAGCCAGCATACGTAAGCGCTCATGTATCTATCGCTAGATTGTGACCTTGCAGAGACGCTGGGCACTTCGGATGGGTACCATTGGTCGTGAGATTAAGCCCAAACACTTACCCATCAGTGCTATCCAAGTCATCCTAGTCACCTTCGAGTGGCTTTACCGTGAGAGGGGTGGTTGAACGAATTTCACATGTCCTGTTAGAGAGCGTGGAAAAACGAGAACGGGTATGTACGGGAGCAAGGAGAAATAGAAATGGCAGTTGCATGGCTCGGATGACTGACATGCTGTGCCTGCGTGCATCTGCGTGCCTTGCCTCCGAGCTGCATTGCCTTTCGTCTACTCATAGACACTGTACTAGGTACCTTCCTGCAGGTGACTGGGCTTTAGTCGAACCTAACTGCCTTCCCTGTGCTGCAGCTGCAGTATATGTGGGCGCGCCGGGAGAAGAGAGGAGAATCCCAAGTGCTTTAAAGATACTTCTCTCAGAGTGCCTTCTCCCGCACAAAGCTCCACTGAGCCAAGCACAGCATGCTAAGGACTCCGTCGGTTTGGTCTGCGGATTGTACGCTCCACAAGAGTGACGAGCACATCAGAGAATGATCTCCGGCCTGCTGATCTCGAGTTTCGAGCAATGAAAGAAACTTTCTCGTTTTAAGCACATCTTCGGCACAACAACAGTCACGGAAAAGAACTGAGTTGCAATTTGACATCCGTGCTGAATCAACTGTTCACGATATTGATAAATCCGGGGTGGGCTTCAACTTTGGCAAGCCGTCCATTTGTTGTCTGCAAAGCCTCACGCACGAGGGCACCGCAATGTACCTTTGCCATTCAACTTCACCTCAACTGATTGGGATCTCACAGCAAAAAAATCATTGAGATTAAAACTGTACACATACAGTATGCACATCAGGCCATTGGCCCGTATTCCCGCGACCAGATAGCCGCACCTGTGATCTGATTAATAAGGTCGACTACAACTCTCCATGTGTGCTGCCATCCGGCACGGTGCCATTGGACTTGACGCCAGTGAGGAACTTCCCACTAAGCACTTGGTTGGCAGTCTTTTTGACCTCCTCGAATGCCAGATCGAACCGAGCTCCGGCCAACCATGCAACCAATACCTAATATAAGTGTTAGCGAGGTCATCTTCACCATGAACTTGTGCCAATCGACTTACCATGCTACCTGTAAGGATGAAGAGAATGACAAACACCACGCCGATGAGAATGAACGTGTCCTTTCTCTCGGCCGCAGTTTCCTCTGGGGTCCGCACACGCGCGGCGAGGGCAGCACGTGATTCTTCCATCTTGGCCTTACGCACCAAATCTTCCTTCTCCTGCGATGGGAAGATGGATTCAATAAATTGCTCGATTTTGCCAATCGCGATGCTGATTTTCAGGTAATTGGGATCTTCCGGTCGATTCTTCTTTCGAATCGAATGGATATGCTTTCGGAACACTTCAGTCACCAACCGCAAGTTTTGAGTTGACTGGATCATCAAGCCGCATGCTTGGCCCTTTGAGATTTTGATGTTACGTTCAAACATGGCAGGGTTCCTGAAGCACAGGTCCAAAGTGGCAATTGCCATGGACTGGGGAATGGCGCAGAAGTTGAAAACGCTCTGCTCCCGTAGTCCAGCAAGGTAAAACAGGCATTCATCGGCATGGTCCAGAGCATTCAACACCATGTCAGAGCTGCAGTTCAGAGCCTTCTCCTTGTTTTCCGGTTTGAAGAGGTCCTCAAAGTTGTCCACGTGCCTCGACCAGATCTCCTTGGGCCAAAACTTGCGATGGTCGTCAAAGTCCTCCTTGATGTCACGGATAATGTTGACCTTTTGCAAGAACAATCCCATGGACCGGTGAAGCGACTCTCTTTCGAGCAATGCCGGGTTTCCAAACTTGCTCTCAACAAACATCCTCGTCAGACCATCGCCCACCAGCCCCGCCACGTAGTAGCAGTACATGTCATAGTCCTCTATCGTGTTGACCCCGTGCTCATTGAACTCGGCATTCAGACAATAATCCGCCATTCCGTTGCCCATCTTGTTGGTGATGTCGATGATGATCTCTTTGTACGCCGCGGGTATCTGTTTGAACTCTTGGATGACACAATCAAAATTGACGAGCAGCTCCCGGTCCTTCTCTTCTGGTCTGTTGCCGTCGAAATGCCAGCCATCAACTTCGAGGTTATTATAAAAATCCCGAAGCAAAGGCTCTTTGGTCTTTGCAGAAATCGACGTGTCATCTTCAATGGTGTCAAGTCCGCGCAGGATGAGGTAGAAAAGGCAGACGGGGACGAGGAGATCTGGGTGTAACTCTTGGATGACAGCAGAGAAGCTGCGAGAGGTCTTTTCAAGGTAGAAGAAACATTTCTTCAGGGACTCGGATTCCCGCGATTCTCTTCTCTCATGCACAGGATTATGCCACACTTTCCTGCACAGAACCCGTTAGTTGAGCTGGCGCACAAGAGTGGGGTGTGGGCCGACATACCATTGACATATTGATCGAAACTCATCTGGATGCAGCATATAGTAGATGATATCTGAGGCCTTCATTTCGGCGACAAGGAATGGCTTTGAGGAAGGGAAAGAGGAAGTTTGCTGTGTACTCGGGGGGGAGGAGTGTGTGGGTTCGAGGATGTTTATATACAAGCAGGCTTTAGAGTAAAAATTTCTAGAACCTCAGCGATCGAGACACCGCAAAAATCGCGGCGGAGGGCAGAGGTAGCCAGGGGTGTCAAGAACAAATTGGGCGATTAATTGGGGGTTTGATGCCCATTTCTTTGTTGGGTTAGTGTGCTTTTATGTTATCCATGCATTTGGATTTGATGGTGTACATCCTCTGGATCGAATGCAGTTGCGAAATATGGAGTTGATTTGACCCGAGTGGCACGATGAGATTTCCCCTCATCATTGGAGTCACTCTATTAGACCGCAGATCGACCATGTAAGAGACGTCTGGGGAGACATACGACTGCTTTCTGCTGCCGTGACTGCTGAACACGCTTGAACTTCGGGCTTGTAACCCGCTACCGGGGCGGGGGGGTCACATCATTTGGTGACTGTTCCTCGTTAAAGGAACGCCTGAACAGGGCCGAAGTTAAGCTATTGGGGGGGATTGGAGAGCGCTCGGGCCACCGCAACCGGGCAAGAGAATGGCCCGGTAGCGGCGTGAGTCTCTCTCTCTCTCTCTCTCTCGGCCACCAAAAAACAAGGTTAATTAGGGGTCTGGTGAATCTACGGTGCCACCATCACCGCCATCAACCCATCTATCCATTACATTTGAAGATACCGAATATAGACATCAGTACCTAGAGACGCAGACTTCCAAGAAATCCGTGAATCATCAGGAAGCCAAGAAAGTGCTGATGACAATTTTTGAACGCGTCATTTCATAAGCCTGCTGAGTACTGTCCCTCAGGTCAAGAAGAGACATAGGCCGAGGTGGCAGTGAGGAAACCCCAGAACGTGACCTAATGTAAGTGGGCAAATAAATCGTGAGGCATTGGACCTCATGCCTAGCGTGAGTGGTTAGGTAAGCCAAGTATGACTCTTGGGGTTGAGGGTAGGCCGAGGGGCGTGGTACGATTAGGTCCCTAGCCTCCAGTCTAGGCGCTAACTCGTCTGCACCCTCTGGATGCACCTGCTTGGACCGATGACTTCACTTACTTACGTAGACAGTCAGACTTCACATGATTTCTTCCAACAGAAATCCAGGCACACGCGGCCCCTCATATTCTCATTTCTAGGCTAAACAACAATCTCTATAACCACCACACTCCTTCCATCGACCCTCTCCCTCATCTTGTTTACGTCGTCCTTGACTGATCTCCGCCATGGTTGTCGACACGGCATATTACGACGTGCTGGGCGTCAAACCTGACGCCTCAGAACTCGAGATTAAAAAGGCTTATCGGAAACTTGCAATCACCACTCACCCTGACAAAAATCCTGGCGATGAGACGGCTCACGAACGATTCCAGGCTGTCGGCGAAGCCTACCAAGTTCTCTCCAACAAAGACACAAGAGCAGCCTATGATAAATATGGCAAAGAACAAGCGATGCCTCGAGAAGGCTTCGAAGATCCTTCAGAATTCTTCTCTATGATCTTTGGAGGCGACGCCTTTGTTGACATCATTGGTGAACTCTCACTTCTGAAAGATCTGACACACACTATGGATATCGCGTCTGAACAAATGGAAGAGGAAGAGCTCGCCAAAGCTGCAGAAGAGAAACTCAATGTCCACGATGCCAAGGTAGACGAAGCAACGGCTGCCACGGCTGCCGGCCTCAGCGGCGCAGCGGCAGAGGAATCTGGTCTATCAGACAAGGAGAAGGAAGCAAGAGCTGAAGCAAGTGCAGAATCAAGCACGCAACCACCACCTCCATACGTGTCAGGTGAAGATACACCAAGCTCCTCATCCGCAAAGCCCGCCTCTGGCACAAGCACTCCACGAAGATATGCCGGCCAACAAGCGATTATGGACCGCTCTGAAGAAGACGCGCGTATGGACGCCGCCGGTCTGACGCAAGAAGAGAAGGACCTACAAAAGAAGAAAAAGAAGGGCGGCCTGACCAAGGAGCAACGAGAAAAACTTGAAGCCTATGAACGCGAACGACGAAAGCAACGTGAAGAAAGAGTCGATACACTAGCCAAGAAACTCATCGATCGCGTGAGCGTGTGGACCGAGACCGATAAGGGCGCCGACGTGACCCATGCCTTCCAAGAAAAGACACGGTTGGAAGTTGAAAATCTCAAGATGGAGTCATTTGGTATTGAGATTCTGCACTCGGTGGGCCAGACATACCTACAAAAGGCCACATCTTTCCTCAAATCGCAGAAATTCCTAGGCATCTCTGGTTTCTTCTCGCGCCTCAAGGATAAGGGAACGCTGGCCAAAGACACATGGAACACAATTTCAACTGCAATCGATGCTCAATTGACCATGGAGGAAATGGCCAAGCTAGAAGAAAAAGGCGGTGCCGACTGGACAGATGAGAAAAAGGCCGAGTACGAACGGAAAGTCACGGGCAAGATCCTAGCTGCCGCCTGGCGAGGCTCGAGATTCGAAATCCAGGGCGTACTGCGCGAAGTGTGTGACAAGATCCTGAACGATAAGAACGTCAAATTGGAGAAACGCGTGGATCGTGCTCATGCCCTTGTTCTCATTGGTACCATCTATCAAAAGGTAAGTTTTATTTCTCGGCGTTCTTTCACGGACCTCTCCTCTTTATCCCGTAAGAGATTCTCAAACTGACACCCGAATCTCTAGGCTGAACGAGACCCCGATGAAGAAGGTGACTTCATGGCCTTTGAACAACTCATGGCCGAGTCTATGAAGAAGCAAGAAAAGAAAAAGGAGAAAGAAAAGGACAAGGACACCGGGGCATCATCTCACCGTCATCACTTTGGCCACGGTCGGGAGAAGGGAACGTCCACTCCACCTTCTTGATCTATGCAGAGGGTCTACTCGCCAGAAAAGGAAGAGCCTCAGCACCAGCTTTCTTCAGGCCTGCCTCGCTCGGTCTGCGGTAGCTGCTGAAAACAGCCTGCTGGCCTCGAGACATCAAGGTCTGCCAACAGACCCAACGACTGCTGGGTGATAGGATGTAGAATTGGCCAATCCGGGAATTCCATGTCTTCCAACTCCAACCTCGAATGACGACTTTTCTTCACGGCAAAAACGGGTCTCGATTTCCGGACGATTGCCATCTGATCCTCCATTTACTCGTGGTATTGTCCTCGACTGTTAGAAGATTATCACCCTTCTCGCGCCCCGACGTCTTTCAGGCCTTGCCTAGCTCGACCCAGTCTAAGCAAGCCTGGTCTCTCGTCATCTAGAAGGACCATTCTATTCATCCACCAACCTCTTCATTAAGTCTGGTACTTAGCGAGACCAATACCCAACCTTCCCTCACACCTCCCCAACAATCAACCATCATTCAAATCTGGGGAAGGACATTTTAGATGGATACTGCTTGGACGCCGTGCAAGAAATGATACCAATGGAAATTCATGTTGTCTTTATGTTTTCATTATTGTAATGCGCTTCTGTAAAGCCCTACCGCTACCCAAGCATCAGATGAAATGGCAGGGTAGGCACATATGCCATCTCGCATTGTCTTCTCGCTTCAGGATCATCCTACCCAACTCCCTGTGTATGAATGCAGATGATCGTCATCATTCACATTAAACCATACCCCAATATGTCCTGTATTATTCGCAGATGGTGTAGCAGGACCATACAAATGCGACCCTTGATCAGAGAACGCCTCTATATCAATCTGCCTTTGTGCGCCATGGTGCATGATCATTGCTCATTACGTGCGCATCCAAATTTCCCATTCGCATTCTGTCTTCCTGATTGGTCCACATATTGGGTTTCCTGATCCTTGATCCTTTCCTCTGTTTATACATTCTCTTCCTCTTTTGCGTCATGAGGTTTAATCCTGGGCCATGGCATTCATCAAGATTGTCCAAACGAGTTTGTATCCTGTATGCCTGCTGTCAAATTCCCAGAGTTGTTGTGACCAAAATGCAACATTGATCCATCGTACGTCTCGGTGGTGTGAAAAGCGGCCATGGAAGGATCAATGTAAAGCTCACGGTCATCAAGGAAGAAATCATCTCCAAATCCGAATTCAGACATGGTCCAGGGGATATGATCATTCCAAGCCGCAGGGTCTAGAGGAATGATGCCAGGCGAGTAGGACATGTCCATCATTGGCACAGCGATGCCAGGTATCTCGGCTTGCTGCTCAAGGGTCTGGAGTCTTTGGTTATCGTTCGTGGGTACCATGTCTTGGTCCATTGCCGACGCTAGGTTTTGTCCTGCCGAACTCTCTCTAGAATCTTGGGAGACCTCGTTTGATGCAAGTGGGTGATCATTCTGCCCCAGGGTTCTCGCAGCCCCAATTTGGCTGTTAGTGATCATCTGCCCCACCAAGAAACATGCGGATTCAGCGATAGGCCAGATTTCTTTCAGATTCAGCAATGCGCGGATACATTGATGAAAATGGTGGGCCGGGGGGTCGTCTGGCCCCTTGCCCGAGGACTTGATCTCGACGAGAAACGAAGCGATCGCGGGTAGCAAGAATGAAATCGAGATCGGAGGAAGCAGTCGGACCAGGTCGTGGGCCTGAAGCGATTCAAACAGCTCTGCCATCTCAGTTGTGGCTTCGCGAACTTTGGTCCGTGACTTTTGTTGGAGGAATTGGAATGATTGATCTGGTGTTCGTTTTAACAGAGTTTGTGGGCGGTGTAATGTTTCGGTGGCCAACAAATACTTTAATCTTAAGATAGAACGATGGGTGTGGAGATAGTGAGCATTGGGTTGGCTCTGATCGTAGTTTACATCTGCACGATATGTCGGCGGTAATGCTCTCTCCCATTGGTTGAGTTCCTCTTGTAGTTTAAGGACAACTTTGGGATTAATGTGCGACTTCTTGGGGGCATATGACATGATTACCTCTGTAGTCGAAGACCCATGCGCTTGGAGGACATACAGGTTGGATATAATTTTTCCAATCAGAGACATGAGGCTGACACTGACAATGAAGAGGTCGGAGAGAAGGACTCGTGTGCGAGCATCATTGAGAATTTGACAGTCATGAAGGGCTCGAATGTTTGTTGTTATGGGTAAGTGATCAAAATCATTGAGTGTCAACGGCGAGAGGGTAAGGTCCTCCTCTTTGAATCTCATGGCCTTTCGTGTGGCGATGGCCATGAGGCGATCTCGAACGAAGATTGCCCAATAAAGTCTTCTCCACAAGCGACGGGTTTTTGGGTCTTTGCTCGGGTAGGCTTCTTTTTGGGGCAGTCCTATGGATATTCCCAATGAAATGGCGACACCAAGCCAGTGCCATGGATCCTTTGGGTCGTTCTCTGAAACATACCAATAGGCGTGAAGTAGGATGGTCTGGATCAGCGTGATGCGATCGGCCTCCCAGTCAAAGTCATAGAGTAACTGAGATGGGTCAGCAAGGATATCTGTGGAATGATCGAACATTATTTGATACCTTGAGCTTTGAGTAAAACATTGCTCGAGCAGTTCGTCGATCACTAAAGCCTTCTTGTTGCAGATACTGTATGTCGATATACGCGGTGCCCGCAAACATGACAGCTTGGAGCAGCAGTAGGCTCATTTGAGCATCGGGGTCGGAGCCATCAACGCACTGCAGAAACTCCTGTAGATCAATTACTGGAAGATGAGGGTAGACATGAAGAATGAAAGATCGGATCAGTTGGTCTCGTAGGACTTGATCCGGAACAGACAAGGCTCCTCGACGGGCGAGGAAATCCAGGTCATCAGATCGGAAGTCTGGTCGCGGGGGCCGCACATATGATGGAAGATTTGTTGTCGCAAAGGAGCCATGGCAATTGGAAGGAGTACCTTCGGCGCCATGGTGACTCTGAGCACGATTCGACGGGTTTGGAATTGGAGTATAAGACGGAGAAGAAGGATTTCTCAGTGGTCGATTTTGTGGGACGTTGGGAGAGTCCCGGTCTATGGAAAGAAGGTCAGCGGTGTCTCAGACGAGGATGCGAGCACGAAGTAGGTGAAGAGGTGGATTTGTCATACCGTTACTAGACGGGCTTCGAAAAGAACCCACGGGAGCGAGCGGGATGGATGAGTTTTTGGCAAAGTGATCGTCGTCGAATGTAGCTGACACAGCTCGGGTCTGAGGAAGAATAGGAATGGTTCCTGGGCGGACGAGCTGTCGCTTCTGGAGTCGGAATTTCCTGCTTCGCCGCGACTCGGTCACAATACATTCAATGCCATCAGTACTGCAGTTGTGGCACGGGGCGCCCGACTTGACGAGGTCACATTTGACCTTGCGTGTTCGACAGTGGTGACAAGCCTGTGATGCTCTCTTCTTCACGGGTCTTTCGGCTTCTGCGTCCTTGGACGAGGAGGGTTCCTCGTCCTGTCCCATCGAGAATCCAGCACGATGTTGAGAATGACTCTATACTCCAGGAATTTGTTGTGAAGCCTTGTCGACCAGTGGAGGGAGGAAGGAGGAGACGATTCGATGAAATTAGCCGAACGATAACCGGCCTAGAGAGAAGATTTGCTCGCGACACTTCTCGGATCACACGGCCACTCAAGACAAGGGTTGAGAGCAAGCCTCTTGATTCGGGGATCCGTGGCAAATCGTGAGACTCGGTGTTAGTTTGTGGTTTTACAGAGATTGATCCAGCAGAAGAAATTGAGTCAGCTTTGTAAAGATGGGGAAATGTGGGGGAAGGAGCTGTCGTGGCTCAGGCACCCGGAATGTCACGTGACATACCACGAGTCTATCCCGGGGCAGGCCCCGCTAATTCTTGACTGAATCGGAAGGAGCGATCCACTCAGAATTAATGATCATACGAGTGTGCACCTGCCGTGGCCTGCTCATGTCCGGCGGAGGAAGGAGCACCCAGCAACACCAGAGTTTTCGTAGGGCGAGTGAAAGGAAGCTTGCTCACATTGTGGGTGGGCAACTTGTGAGTATTATATACTGGTATATGACGTTTTGGGGATGCTTGAAGGCTTTGACGCATCGTCAGAGAGTGGCCTTAATTCTGACCACGCTGAGAAATGTCGTAGGGCGCTAAGTAGATGAAAGAAGGTTTAGCACAGAATCTTCTTTTGTTGAATCTTCGTCTATGCAGCAGCGATATGCCACTGTCTATATCATTGGCTTAGGGTCCGACATATGTAGGTATAAATCTAAGAAGGGGACTCTGGAGGATAATTGGCGACCATACACCAGCTAGGGATTCCCTCATCTTGAGGCTTCCGTGGATGAGGATAAGAGTAAAAGACTTGGACCTCACGAAAGCCCAGCCATCCATAGACATCTCGGGCCCTCTGATTGCCCGCAATGAGCCACAAGGGCACCCCTTCTTGTTTTGCTTTCTCCACAAAAGGTTCGATCACAGCCCTCACGGCGCCTTTGTCCTTCCTGTTGGGATCTCTCGCCATCAAGGTCAACAGATATGGCTTCTGCTTTGTCCCTAAGTAGTTATTCAGGATGCCCTGACTCTGGCGCACGAAGTTCGCAAACACCGGCCGTTCCTTCTCCATCTGCACAATCTCTGCTTCGCTCAGAGGGTCAGGAACAGCGCTCGGCGGTTGCCAGCATGCTGCAGCTGCAAAATTGGCCGCTTCCACAATCACTGCCCCGGCTGCCACCTTGACTTCCAATCGTTTCAACGAACTCCGGTACAATGTGCTTGGCTCGACCTCAATTGGTGCGCCTCCGACCTTGTCCCGCTCAAAAAGAATGTTCAGAGGATCTGACACCGTAGCACGCGAGCTGATTTCGGCCAGGCGCTGACGGTATTCTTCTGAGGTGCCAGTCGTGATCTTTGGGCGGCGATACTCTTGCTCTGGGACAACACCATTGTCGTTGGGCCCTAGTGTCACTGTTTTGTCTCCTAGTGTACCGTTCAGACTTGCCATGGCCGCCGTGACTCGTATTGGATGTCACAGAGAACCGAGATAGAAGTGATTCTCCCACCGACGAGTGACCAGCTGACCGAGTGAATTCGTTCCTTCCAGGGCCCCTCGTTCAAATTATGCGGCAGAGCGAGAAGTGTTGGAGGGTGCAATACCTTGACTAGCTTCGAGACCAGGTGCGGTTAAATTAATCATCGCACTCAAAACACCGAGGCTTTTGTATGTGGCATTCGACATTAATGATTCATGTAGATCGAGAGATTCGATTTGTGAGTCACGCACCCTGGTGTAACATGAAGGTTTATGAACCATTTTGAGATTGTCGATCTATACCATTTTAAGTTTCTTACCGTGCTTAGTGTATACCTAGTACTAAATTATCTCGTATGCATCAAAGCCTTGTCATCACAACCTCTGTCACCGCAAGGCTGAACCGTCGAGGGGTCAACTTCCTTTCCATTGTACCCATCAATGAATAGCCGGGCTTCTTTGATTATATTGTCAGCATTCCAAATAATGGACGTGCCAATTAACTACGTTATCGCTATTATCATTATGTGCCGACATACAATTTGGCTATGTCTGGCCGCACCAGTAGGCCAGTAAATGAATTACAAAGAGACAAGAAGCCCTCCATATGAAGGCCCAAAATGAGAATTTTTGCGCCCTATACCGATACTCGAGCCACAGTCTCCCAACTCTCGGATTTTTTGAATTCCATGAACCCAGTTGTTTTCATAGGTGCATTTGTCCACAATCTTTTGAACCGCTGCATACACCTCCTGGTATGAAATGTTGTCTTTACATGTGGCCAGCGTCCATCTCTCATCCTGGTACAAGGTAATGTCGCAGCCAGGGTCACGGTCGCGCTGAGACAGGACAAAGTCAGTAAAAGAGAGTTCTTAGACCACAAGTATGTCCGTCGTGACTTACAAATATCGTTGTGTGGTTGGTTGCATTCCCGTACACAGCCGGTCCCGTCAGGTTGGCCGTGGTTGCCACATAAGAAATGATACTGAGACAGCTTTTGGCATAGGCAACCCCACGAGACCAATCGCAATCTGGTTCTGGAGTGTCAACCTCAGTCTCGTCTTCGGTTTTATTTCCCAGGCCTGCCTGTCTCTTCCAGTGTTGGGCCATGGTCTTGTAAACATCGTTGGGGAGAGCCACCTGGCCAGTGATGTTGGTCTGCTCTTGCTGCTCCTTCAGCAGAGGCATATGGGTAGAGCAATTTGTTCCGATGAATATGGTTTCACCTGTCAAATGAGGCAAGCCAGGCCAAGACTCTGTTCCCTCGCTGTCCGTTTCGGGGTCCAGATGTCTCTGGAGAGATGTAGAGCAAATGTTGAGGTCGTTGTGAACATTGTGGGGATCACTGCAGTTCCAACCCCAGGTCCTGGTTCCACAGACCTCTCGAAGAATTGGAACAAAGCTGTAGTAGCCACACTGCCCATCTTGTAGCGTGAGGGTCATCTCGGAAGCCTTTGCAATGCCGCAGCCGACGACTTCATTTCCTCCAGCTGTCTGTAAAACATCATCAGTATCATGTCACGTCCCTGAAAGTGAATGGCGATAGTTGACATACCCCTGCATGGATCACGTCATAATTGTCCCACGTAATCTTCCTTGATATATCTCGATAGATCATGTGGTGTAGAGGAGTGATAGAGGCATCACCTGGGCCGACAAAGTATCCTGGGTTCACGAATGGACGTTCAGTGCCATAGAAGAAGCGGGTACGGCCTTGACACCAGGCATTGCATGTTGTATTGGTATAGTCTGTAAAAACAACTTGGCAATTATTGTTGACACCTTGGATATTGCCCGGGCATCTAGTGCCATTGTATTGCTCATCGATCTGGAAAATCGATTCATTGTACTGGCAGGGTTCCGGGCCTTCCTGCCCTTCCTGCCCTTCCTGCCGGGTCGATAGCGTCCTTGCAACTGTGAGGTGACGATGGGTGCGATGGTCGGGGTGTAACGATGCGGTCGCTGTCAGCAGCAACAGCAGCAACAGCGGGACGATCATGTTCAACATCATCTTTGCTGTGAATAGACTATAGATGCAGATATAGAGATAATTTTGAACCGATTAGAAATGAGAACGAAGGGTTGATGGAAGATATCCCCGGTTTATATCTTCTGGCAGGGCAAACGCAGACACATAAGACTCATCTCTATCTCTGGAGGCCTCCAACCAGGTCACAATCACCACGTCATGAACCACAACGCCCGTCATTTTTGATGACTGTTCAGACAGACGTTCAAGTAAGGGTGTCATCGGTTGAACCACGTTTTCATATCCCCTCAGAATCAACGAGGTCATCGTGACCGCTACTCACGCCCGTTGTCTGTGGCCACGGATCTTAGGACTGGACTATACCAGACCCTTGATTTCTTGATGCAGGATCGACAGAAGACAGAAAATCAGCATGGACAAAGGGCAGAATAAACATCATCTTGATATCAAACCTAGAGACCGCATCACTTGGTCAAAGCACAACCATGGGCAAACCGATACATCAAGCAAACACTAAACGAAGACTCATGCCACGCGGAAATCATGATGTGCTTACCAATGTTATGGTTATTCAGTCAAAACTTGTGCCTGAAGTGATCATGTTTGCAGCATCACAGACAACCAGGTTCTATTGAGAGCGTGAACCATTACCTGGAGGCTAAGGGCTGTATCAAGCTACTTGCAGAACTGAGGTGCCTGCCTCGTCAAGTCCTTTTGTGTCATGTGAGAAGCGGTTTGCCTGGGACAAGCCAAGATGAGAAATTGCAGAGTTCATTATTGACATGACACAGGCCGAGTCGCGAGGATCATCTCCGCTTCAATCGGCAAGTCTCAGCCGAGTCCAAGGCAGAAGCCATCATGGCTGTGTGGAATCGCGGTTAGGCTCTGAATAGTTTGTGATTTCAAAATGCTGGTGAGACCATAATTGTACTGTATGTAGTGTGGCTGGGCAGCTGAAAATCATTTTAATATGGTCCTGGTACCATCTGTTTTCCTCCAGGTCAACAATATGATAAATTTACAGTACATATGAGTATTAACCCCGGTTAGAGAGGGCTGACATCTTGTAAGTGCAACCGAATCGGATGCCTGGGTGGACCATGTCATGTTAGTGGATAGCATAAGGGCACTTGTGGATAGGTAGATCTTTTCCAACCTGCGAGAACGGAGTAGAGGTGTGGATCTAAGCGGAAGTGGGCAATTATCTGCAAAGTACGGAGTTGATGGGTCAGTCCGCCGTCTTGCAGCCGTCCTGTTAGGTCTGGAAGCTTTCCGAGGAGCCCTAGCTCAAGATTTTCATCGAAGGCGGGAGTATTCGTTGACGAACGGATTGGAAACCCGTAAGGATCCAAGATCGAGTCATCGGGCCAAAAAAGTTTCTGTTCTGGAGCAAAAGCACCATCGACTTGCCGCTTTGAGATTGTCATACATCTCGCTTCAAAGCCAGGTCATTTCGGTTACAGTGTTATCATAAGAAGCAGGTCGATGTTGTACGCGAGACAACTGGGAGACGTCAATCAGTACATACACTCGTACGGACGTGATGGTCAGTGCTCTGCATGACCCGTATGACGGGAACCGTGGATACGCAATTAACCTCGTAGGCGACGGCCCAGAGCTCGCGGTGTACCAGGGGCTGAATTGGCGGATCAGGTGGGCTTGATTCATCAGTAGTAGCAAAAGTTGCAGACCTGTAGCAAATGGAGTATCAGAGAGGTTCACATCGAGGTCCGAGTAGGCTAATCGGTGGGTCTTGTTAGCCCCTCTAGATTTGTAAGGGTGTACTTAAATACGGAATCCAAAATATTCATTGCCCACAAGCGTTCTAGCAGGATCCGACAATGTTGCCCAATGACAGGCCAGGTGGGCGACATTGACCAGCCCCAGATGATAGACTTACCAGGTGACCGGATGGGAAACTTCAAGTTATGCACCTACCTTTCCCAGTGTTGATGTTATCTCCCAGGAACGTCTCGGATGGCGAGTTGCCAAACAGGAAATGACCATATCATGGCGGTGGAGTGGGTGAGTGGCAAGGTCCTGTTGGGAATTTTCCTGAAAGCCGGACACTCGTAAATGCGAACGAGGGGTCAAGGTTCCAAGATTTGGTCTCTGGGCACGAAAGCTTTGGTGGAGTATGCGTAGTGGTTCTGTACGGAGTAGATACAGGGCTCCAGAGAACGGTTGGCGGCATCTGGAAGAGTTCATTGCGCCAACGGCCTTGTGGAGTTGAGGACAAGAACTCGTCCAGCCATAGGGAACTTGAAAGGGCCAGGGAGGAAGGGGCTTTCCACAAGGGGCCAAAGGGGCCACTGGCCCGGGCCCTAGGGGTTGATGAGTCTCAGCCGCGTTCTAACGGTGCGGCGACGGGCGTTATGGGTGTCTGGCATTGTGTTGGGACTAGGACACTGGAGCTAGCATCGCCGACTGTGGATGAGTAGACATGTCGTTGTCGATGGCAGTGCGCTATCTCATCGCCTGATTGCGCTGTACGTGTAGGCATACAGTAGCACGGTGGCACGGTGACAAGGATGCTGGCCAAACCACAAGCGCGATGGGGTTTGACGGGTCGCAGACCGTGGTGGCGGCGAGTCAGATACAACGACCTTTCAACGGCGTGAACGGCCAAGGAGGGTCTGCAAGACGGCACCCATATTGTTGAAGGATTAAGTGGATCCGAGAAGAAAACGGAGGAAGGAATGTACCCGTTTGGACTACAAGTATGGCGGGCTTAGTGCAGGGAATATGAGTTGGGGTGGAAGGTCAATCAAACAACGAAAATGAAAGATGATACGTGGATGAATGGATCTCGAGGTGGTCGGCAAAAGGTCAGCGTGTCTTTCTGCCTGCGGCTGCGCAGGGCAGGCAGGAGAGGCGGTGGTGGGCCGAGGAGCCTGGGGACTCGATTGGAAGGAGAAGGAACGCCTAATGACGTAATACTCCCTCAACCGTGGTTGACAATTCAAGAGGCAGGGGCGATTGATGGTCCACGGTCCATGCCATTCATGGACAGTGGCAGGAACAAAAAAAAGAGACGGAAAGAGGTGACGGACAACAGGCATCACACAGCAGAGGCACCAGAGGTTCCAGGTTCAAGACCCCTAATTTTGATTGCCAACATCGTTATTGCTGAATCTAGACATTGAATAATCCTCAGTCTGAATGGCCACTGGCCAATCAATCAATGGGGATTTGACTCTGATTGCATGTGGTGGGGATTGCGGGACTAGATTCACCGGGATTTGTTGTTCTATAGGTTTTCAATTCTTAGGATGGTACAGGAGGTGACACAAAGTGGTAGGTGATGATGATCCCCCAAGTATCCAGGACTGTATGTACATACCGACGCGTGCTACGGATGCTCGTGACGGGACAATCTCTGGCCTTGAGGATGACTTGAACCTTGACAGTAGTGGCAATTATGAGGGATCTACTGCTCCTGTGTAGATTGGAGTGGATTGCTGCAGGATGCACATGCACGATACGCTTTGTGGTCGATGTATGTATGTATGTAAAACCTCTGTATCGAGATCAAGTCGTCGGATGATAATCCTAGAAATGAATAGTAATAGCCTTTTACTGTCAATTGACTGCTGTCAGCTTAGCGTTAAACTTTTCAACGGCGGCAGGGCGGATGGTCAATGGCCGGGGCGTCGGAGACGGAAGTCTGTCTGTCGTGCTGTTGTCCTTTCAGCCTCGTATGATCTGCAGGCAAGCGTCCGGACCAACTCAAGTCAAAGGGATCTGCCGCCGTCTGGTCTTGACTCGGTGCTCGGGCGGACCCTCGTTCATGCACGGCGCCGCAGGATCTGTCCGATGATCAACGGTCAGGCATCAAAACGGGTGATTATTTGAGCAATGATATGCAGTGGGCATTCCCCTGAGCCAATCTTGAGATAGACCAGTGAGCCCCCAGTCTAGACAAGACACTGTCTGGACGACAAGCAAGACTGACATTTCGCCAAGGGCCAACTTGTCGTTCCGGCCACCCCACAAGCTACACGATCACGGCCGTGTATGCGTACTGTTTTCACATTCTAATATAAATGCCACACTATATCACGATGAAGCTTTGAGGAGGCGGCGGCATGACCCGAAAACACATGAAAACTCTGCTTGTTTGGATAGATTGTTGATCATTGTTCATTATTTCTGTCGAGAGGCGATGATGAGTCGACAAAACTCAGCAAACTGCCGTCTCGCGGTCTAGTGTTCGGATGTGATACGCGACCTGACTTGACAAGAATTTGCTCCAATCTATTTGTCGAGATGGTTTGACTTGCGAGGTGCGTCAAGGATTGTGGTGCCAAAGGCTATCGCTCGATGGTAGCGCCGATCATCGGTCGCATTGGTTGCATCTCGGGCGGACCCCAGGGAAACCCCCACCCCTACCGTGGAGGGCCCGAGGCGCCCCTCCGCCCTCTGCCTCGGGGAAGGGGGCGCACCGAAACAAACCTACTCCGTAAGCACAGTGGCACCCTATTTAGTGAATGGTAGGCCTGCAGAAATAGGTACCTAGGTACTGGCTCCTGGGCATAGGGTCTTGTGGTTCCCCCCACTGTACGGAGTACAGGTAAATCAATGTCGAGACGATCATAGAAAGCACCATAGTGGGTGCTCCCCAGGCGGCCATTTCTACCCGGACGGCGACCAAAAGTCCAACTAAACTCGACTTGAATGCTGCCCCGAGGTTCCAAGAAGCCCCGCAGGGTACTCGTAGTCAAACTGGCTTGACGGCCAAGCGTCGTGTCGCTGCAGGTCAACCGTGACACAATCCGGAGCCAGGGTCTCAATAGCCTTTGCTCATTGGCCATACCGACCATTGAGATGGAAAAGATACCAGTAGTGGAGGTAGTGGTGTGATCGTTCATAATTGAATACCTCGTCGATTACAACTTCACACTAGGTACAGACGTGTGTCTACCCAAAAAATGCCTCCCTGCGTTACAGTGGTGACCTCCACTGCCTCCAGTGCCTCCCCTCCGTTGCCTGCACCCGCTGCTGCTGCTGCTGCTCCTCCCTCCTCCTTCTGGTCCCTCCATTCTCCCTCTTCTCCCCCCAGTCTGCATCCAGTCTGCCAACCCACCAGCGCTGGATGGCAAAAGATGGGCCCCTACCGAGCTTACTTGCCCATCCATGAGGGGCAGTGCCACTCGAACTCAGGTCTAGACTTGAATAATGACGCCTCATGGCTGAACTACGACAGCAAGCCAGCACCATGGCTAGGACAGGAGCTCAGCTCGTTGATTGCTCCGACACAACTGACCATGCAACAAGTCACGATTCATGCCGAGTAGGACATGGTATGACGGATCTCGAGGCCCACACAATCACCTGAACAACGTGTTGCACCATTGCAACACCCCATCTGCCATCCCTCGCCCTCTCAAGAGAGCGAGCGATATTGCCAGAAGCCTCTGGTAATCTCAAGCACTCAGACTGCCCTCCCCCTCCACTCCACATATAAACCCAGAATTGCCCGACCCACCGTCCCACGAGGCCCTGGTCAATCGTGGTCATGGCCATGGCCAGTCATCTTCACATTCTTATGAAATCGTCGTAAAAAAGGAGCAAGCAAAAGGTTTCTCGGAAAGTCGGAACAAATTGTCATTGTTCGTCGATTGCAGCACAGAGGCTGCGCACCAATTCTCTCTCAACGCCTTTTCCCGTCCAGCAACACTCTAATGAGTAGAATGCCTTTGACTTTGTAACCAATAAATGTCTCCGCCCTCAAAATATAGATCCAACCATGTACAAGCACCTTGACCACTCAATCCCTTCTCTTTCATCACAACCCCGTGTCCTCTCGTGGCCACTAAGCAATAACAATATCTCGTAGTATTTCAAGGGAGCCAAAATGCTCCTTGCCTCTGCTGAGGCTGCCGTCAGGGTATAAGAATAACATCACATCTCCCAGACGACGTTTTCACGCCCATGCTCCCTTGGATGTTCTCTAATAAGACATCGCACTGTGCAAGAGACGCCGATTCCAAAAGCTTTTCCCAATTCCTGCGCTCCAGTCTTCGTCTGTACATTGCATCAATAAATGCGTCGCTTCGTATTTGGTCCAAAATGCACGACAAGGATCCAGATCGCCGACTAAACGCCAAAATCCCAATATGTCCCGTAACTATTCCCAATCAATCATTCCCTCGTAGTCTCGTCGTCAGGCTCCTGGTTGAGCCTGCACACCAACAGCCCTCTTAGTCTTCATTATGCTCGACACCAATCATCGACTCGGCCCATGACCTTATGGTCTCGTCGAATCAAGGCTTTTGGGTCGCAGATTGGAGCCACTCATAGCTGCAGCTTTGTTGACCCCCATTTTCCGGGTTAGTTTCGCATAGTGCAGTCCGCACGCGTTACAGAGTGTCCGTGCCCCGTCTGGGCCTCGTCGCCATTCTGGTGTCTCGGCTCGGTTGCAACTGTGGCATCGACCTGGAGGTGCGGCCTTCTGTGACATATTAGCATTGCCATAGCGCGAGAGAACACCAACATCACTTACGCCTCGCCGTTTTTTGGCGTCACCGGCAGAGAAGCCTCCGTTCTTGTAGTCATCAGACAACCCATGATAGTCTTCATCCATTGGCCCTCCCCGAGCAAGACGAGCCCTTTGCTCCGACATGGCGGTTTGCTGGGCCACTACAACCTCTCGCAGATGTGTCAAGTTCTCAAAGATACGGTGAGACTGTCGAAGCATATCATCAATCTCGTGTAAACCAGGAAGCGACTCTTGAAAGAATCCCGGATGATTGTTCGAGTGGTAGCGCTGACTCCAGATTCGAGAAAAGTCGGACGTCCGCGAGGAAGCCTCGAAAATCTGCTCAAAATTAGATTTGTCTCTTGAAAGATGGGGGCAACTGTGGTACATACCTCTCCTAGGCCCATTTCTGCATCAAATACATCAAGATGTCGCTTGACCGTATCACCGTATGTTGATTCACTTCCAGGTTGGGAATGGGGAGGCCGTGGATCTTCTGGTTTGGACCCTGCAGTGAACTGGTAGGGCTCATGGGACGGAGGCGGCGGGGGAAATCCGGCCGGCGTGGGCTTGTTGTATTGAGAAAAGGCAAAGCCATTACGCTGTCCTTCAAAGGCAGGTTCGGAGCGGGTAGGAGGTGGTTCGTTATGGCCGCCAAAGGAAGTGTTGGCGAGCGAAGAAGAGCGAAAGCTCGGAGGGGCGTGCGACCGCGGAGAACCAGGATATCCGAAATGGTGAGAGACTGAGTGTCTTGTGTCAGAACCACTGGTCGGCGAGTATGATGGATTTGGCTGGTTTGCTTCAGCCTGGGTAGATGGGGTCTTGTGTCCTCCGGAGAAGACATCTCGAAGCACCGGGGGAGGCGCTGACGACTGCGAATATGGATTGACAGGCCCCCGCGGTGCTTCAGGGAATGATTGTGCCATTCCTGTCGAGTGCGGCATTGAAGGTTGATGCTGGGAAGGGGGGGCCGCAAGTGGAGCGCCTAAAGCCTCGTGGATCGAGGGAAGTGATTTGCGAGACCCTGGCGACTCTTTTTCATCGCGAGTAGATCGTCGAGTGGTGGATTCCGGGGGAGAGATGTAGCCAGACAGTGCGGTGACTGAAGGAGCAGTAGATGGGGCACATGAATAGGGCGGAGGAGGCCCAGAATGCATGCTTGTTGGACTGGTCAACGGTGCTGTATTGGGAGCGTTGGCTGATTCGGCGAGATAGTACCGAGATCGATCATGGTGATCATTGTGAGACTTGTCGAAATGAAGATGGCTTATGGATGGGAGAGTGTCCCTGTTGTTCAGATAAGTCAATGATGGAGTGTGCAGATTGATCAAGGGGACATACCTAGGCCTTGCGCCTACTTCGATGGCAGCCATACTTGCGTTGGCTCGATGCATCCACGAAGTGCCACTTTCTTTCACCAGATGTGCTTTCCCTCGAGGTACCGCGTCACCATGAGGTCTGGGCCGCCGTATGACTGACCTGGGGCCGAGAAACCGTCGTTGACCGAGTAGGAAGTGGCAACTCCAGGCAATGTGCTGCCAAAAAGTATATCCTCGCGGGGTTGTCTCACAGCCTAGATGTCACAGTATCCTGGCCAGTGTTCGAGACGAGGTAGTAATGCGCTTCTCACTGAAGACCGCTCCTGCAATTGTTTTATTGAGAGACCTTATTACCGTGGTGTGACTTGGTAGTTTGGTCGATTAGTCGAACTTTCTGTGGATGCAACCCTTGTTCTGAGGCCCTGCACTGGATGGATTCGTGGAAGATGTGGCTTCGACCGGAAGGATGCGGTGCTCAGAGCTACAACCGGAGGAGGAAGTAAGGAATTGATTGATGGCAGCAAGATTGAAGTGTGGGTGGTAAGGATGTTGAAAATCAATGGTGAAAATGATGTTGTTGTTGATGGCGGTGGTGGTGGTAGTGGTGTTGGTGGTGCACTGGTGGACTTGGGTGCAGGCGGCAATGCAGAAATCGGGTCGAGAGGATGAATGGTGACGGATGATGAAAGGAAGATGAGCAAGATGAGCAAGTCTTAGAGAGCGAGATGGGCGGAGGGCACACCCAGATCGCGCTAAAAGAAAGCCTGACCAGCAGAATCCCAGGTGGCACCAGTTCCACAAATCGTGACCATCCCCCAGTCCCACGTCAACCGTCACCCGGCCTTGGGGGTTTTCTTCCCATGGCCAGGGGAGTACGGGCCATGGGTTATGGACCGTCTACCATGGTCCTTGAGCAGCAACACCCAACTAGCCCAAGCCTATTTCCACACACCCGCAAAACCCTCGGCGCAGAAAAGTGAATTTGCAAGCTTGGTTGCCTTGGTCTCATCCTGGGCTCTAAAGTGGGGTTCCTTTGGCTTTTCTCAAGGGCGAGATAAACGTTTGGTCGGTGGTATTTGGTGTCTCGCCTACCCTCCCAGGCCCACCATGGGCATACCCGCATCACTCCGTAGGCGTTGTAGCAGGATGGAGTGAGCCGGTGGCACTGGGTGGCTTGCGGCGGGCTCTTCGGGCGCAGATGGGGCAAGAGTCCCTTATGGCACACCTGAATTGTCAACAAAGCTGCAGTCGTCCGTAAGCCGAGACGCCCAATGCCTCGCCTGCTTATGTGTATGCGTACGCAGAGGTCTTCTCGATCTTGTCGAGTGTCTCGTGAATCCATCGATCCCACTACCGACTTTGGCCAGCTGGGCGGACCCTCCGGGGCCTCACAGGCTACAGGGCCCATTCAACTCTGCTCGTAAGGACTGGACTAGTGACTAGGAACTTTCCCCGTTCAGAGTCGTGCCAGTGTCCAGTGAACAATGGTGACCCGTGCCCAGCACCGTGAGATGATAGCCCCCGAAGAAAACAAACTATCCATCGTTAGATCTATCCAGTGTCATGGTACCAACTTGATCCGATGAAATCACCGTTCCAGTGACAAGTCAATACCTCGGGTAACAAGATGCTGACAAGCCCTAAGCGTATGGTGTGATGTCAACTTGGTGAAGCTTGGTGGCAATCTATACTTGGACATGCACATCAGACTTGATTTTGGTGGGCGATCCACGCTTATCCAATCCCACAACTTCCGCCAATTCTTCTACTGTACGTTGGGGTCGTCTATGGCGTCGACACTTGCCTGGCGAGTCGAGATCTCCACAGGATCTGACCAGGAGTGCCGGGGATGTCGTAGGCTTGCTTCAAGGTTTCAGGGTATGGGGCCATGGCCAAAAAAGGTGTTTGGATCTGGTGGGTGCATCAACCGGCGGTGCATGAATCACGATCGCTTCCGAGCTCAAAATGCTTGGGGACCTCGTCTCTGGATTTGTTGTTGTGTGATTGTTTCTCGACGACGTTGGACACATTATTGAAACACTTCAAGCCTAGTCATAATAGTTATTGCAGATATCGAGACCGTCCGGAGACTTGTAAGACTGGACAGTGCTATTCTATTCTACTCTATCCAACACCTGGTGTCTAAGAACTTGCTGGTACCCATCCCCGCTCCGCCCATCTTGGGGCATTTTTGCAGCTTTCTCTCCCTTGACGAGATGCTTCACACTGTTTTAGTCTGAGCATCAAGAGACTGGTTTGCTCGTTGTTGTCATAGTCGCAAGACACCAGGGCGTGCCGGAAGATGCCGTGAATTCTAGTCAAGACGACGAAGCTCCAGTGGCTCCATACCTACGGAGTAGTGTCCATCACTGAAGGGATTTATTTCTCCGTCAGCGATGGCGAATCAGAGGCTGGCAGAGGTCAACTAAGCGTCAACATCCTGGTTAAGCGAGGCGCCTCAGCCGCGCCTTCAAGTACAAGGACCTGCTCGGGTACAGAAAGGCCCATTATTGTAGCAACACGGGCCACTAAAACAGCCTAAGGCTCCAGGCGACAGGCTCCCCCGTGCAGACCAATTGTGAGTATTCTTCTTGCCTACGGGGTCTGCCAGGGCCCAACTGCGCCCATATGCTCAAGAACAGTGCGCTTTCCGTAACGGCCAGCACGCGCCAAGGATGTCCACCTTCCCTCCTAGGAAACCTGGATCTCGATCGCGCAGGCAAATAATGCGTCTGCGTAACGCCTGTTCGTACGGTGGCCGCACATTTTGGTCACACTCGCCACACACTTGACCGTTCTATTATCGATTCCAAGCCTGTCCAAGGGGTAAAAGTCGCTTGGATATAGGATATCATTATGCGTATGGGTAAGCACACACGATTCTTCGCTTCCGATCAGATTGATGAGATCCCATGAGCTCACACATACCACTTTCATAGAGAAGCCTGTGTCAGTGGACCCTCGGACCCCATTCCCTCTCATCAGTGCCCATTCAGGACAGTGACCCAGCAGGTTGTGGTGAATCCCCCGAGACCCCACAACAGACCCGGACTGGGTACCTAGCTTTCATTGATCCCGGTTTCAGGTGTCACGATCCTGCGGTGACGAACTCCACTGTTGGCTCGCTTACAGGTTAAGTCCAAGGTTCTAAAACGGGGGTAGAACAGTCACAGAATCACAGACACCCACGAGACACCCACGACACGCATACACACAGTAGTACATTACACTGAGGGGCATCATCATGATACATTTCTGGGACCCTGAGGGAAATCCTTACAACCCTCGCCATACGTAAACTTTGTCTCAGTCTGCAAAAATCAAACCCTCCAGGTTGATCAATGACGGCTACTCAGATTACCGACAGGGATTTTGACACGTGGAGCTTGAAGTGATCGAGATCTTGCGACCTGGCAATAAATGTATCGCGGGTCCCACCAAGGAAGCCAGATCTCGCTTCCGACGAATCATGATCTCCAGATCGCGATCACCTACAACCATAAAGCATTTGACCTTCGGATCGACTGGTCATCGTGCGAGATTCAAGATGTTAGATTTCAACCGAGATTTCCATTACTCTATATGTGTACTACGCATATGTCAGCCACAGCATCTGGCGTGCGTGGTCGTCGTACCCTGCAGGAGTTTCCTGTTGATTAATCTTTCGTGAGTTTTCTTGTTCCATGTTGCGGCGTTCAGAAATTGCCACATTACGAGGGCAACCGGTCTCCTCGTGTCAATGCACCACAAGCGGTGAATGTGTGGAGGCATGTTGATGATTGGGCTCAAGCGTCGATTGAACTTTCCCTGTCTCAGTGTATAGACCTCGTTTGAGTTCTTTTACGGTTTATCAGGCTGGCTGACATATCCCTATTTATCCCCCGTGAATCATGGTCAACCATGGGCTGGGAGGCTGCATGTTGTCAGCTGTCAGGAATCGTGCATACGAGATGAACCGATCGATAATGTTAGTCGGCCGCCATCACACAAGGTCGCACAATCTCATGCTGGCGAGGTCTGGACTCTCAAAGACATCTTAGTTGGAGAGCCGGCCAGAGCGCATCTGTTGTCAAGGGACCTCACAAACTAATCTTGACTGCAGAAAGGTTTGGGTGGATTGGGGCTGCACCGGACGGCATATCCGTAGAAATCAAATTGCTTCAGGTGGTGGGAAGAGTTCGATGCGGCACTCCTCCACCATGCCCCATTAATAGAGATAAGCTACACTCGAGCGACTAATAGTCACCAACTGTTGGGATCTTGTGAGGCACCTGTGTCAATGAGATCTGTGCGTGATGTAACTCAACAGTCGGGGGAAGCCTATCCGCACCCAATGCATTTCTGACAATGGCAGACGCACGGACAAACGATTCGACTCAGTTCTTCGAGTGCAAGCTTCGGTGGCGCATCTCAGACATGGTCGGGCAGTAATGAGGCAAGCACGTGAAATCTGGGTTTGATAAATCGTCATTGCTGGTGAATCCAAGCTAGATGAAGATTAAACAAAGGGAGTGACAGATGCGCCTTGAGAGTCATGTTGGACGAAAAGACTCGACATTCCTTAGGAATCTATTACTTGCCTCTTGTTATTGCCTCGTATATTGTTGTGGGATGTTAGAGCGAAAGTATAGATGCTTCCAGGGCCACGTGGGCCTTGTAGCCTTGTAGCCTTGTAGAGAAGAGAGATGAAGTATCGATCATCTTGAATGTGTTATCACACAGTGTGTAGATGTGGATGCAGATGGTAGTGGAGGCAAGCGGTACTACCAAACTACTCCCTACTTCGATCCTTCCGTTCCTTGTCCTTGCCTTTGCAAGGCAACTGTAAACGGCTGACGCCACCGACACGTGGGACGAGCTCGGCAAAGACCCAAGCGATGGGATGCCAATTCCGACCATTACAGTTTCGAGTTCTTGGGGTTTATTGCAGCTGACGACAGCCTCTTGCAACATGGTCTGTACTGTCGTGGTTCATGATATGTGCACAGTTCGAGCGGCATTGCTTATTTCTGCTGTGGGCTCTTACCTATGCGGGCGGGAGAACACGATGCTCCTCAGTCCTAGAGGATGAGAACACCAGACCTGGAACAAGACACGTGTTACAATGTTACAAACAATCAGCTGACATCTCCAGTGTTGATACCAACTTGTTGTAATCTAAAACAGCACCCACACACGGGACAGTAGTGGCAGGAATGGTGCTAGATGGGTTCGGACTCGGAACCCGAATCCGTATGCAAGCATCAAGTTTACAATCCAGTGCTTGAACGTGGAGCCTATCATGGCATCGCCAACGACGGCAGCGACAGCAACTCTGTAAGCGAGGCCAGCGTTCGAGTATCTCGAGCCTAGTTAGTGTGACAATAGGCCTTGTGGCGGGAATGGATGCGTCTGTCAGATGCCACGGGCAGATGGTCATAGGCTTGCCCCAAATCATCATCTTTAATTGGCCCCAAAGGACCCCGGGGGCCACAAAAGCCAGCCGCGGCCTAAATCGGCAATCGTCCGGGCTCCTAGATAGGGCTAGTTCCAGGCGAAGATCCCCTGTGCTGGACGCCCGAAAACATCCGGCTCACCGTGTCTTGAATGCCATCATTCATGCACCAGTGGAGACTCAGATCAGACGCATCGGCGATCAGAGATCTCCCTGCATCAAATAGCGCCACTGTGCCCCTGCGAATCTGGGATCACCCACCCTGCCACTAAGGACCCAAGTGGCCAGGGACAGCATCCATGCCTAAGAGTTGGGCGCAGGCCCGCCATACTTGCCCTCACCTCAGTTCGCCTTTACCTAGGTACCGTGCCTACCTACCTAACAGGAGGCTTCAGTAGGTGCCTACAAGCAGTGCCACCCGCCTAAAGTGCGCGAGTCATAGGCTGTCATCCTTTATCCGGCGGTGCTGGCTTTTAGTCCCCCCTTACTCGTACAGCCCTGTTTCGTGAGACTTCACGTACTCTGAGGATGGATTCTTTTCCATACCTTTGTATTCGACAATGTCAAACTTCCTTCTTGCCCGCTTGGGCCACAAGGCCCCTTCGCTTCTACAGTAACAGCGCCACTTTAGGCGCCATCGAGGTGGTCCGCACATCCATCAGATGCCCCTCCGCCTGTTGATTCTGGGCATCTGTGTTTGAAAAGTGTACGGAGTGTGTATACGCGTACTTTGCACTGCCGGCAGGAGTCGATCTGCTAAAGGCCCTTGGCCGTTCGACTCCCCCAGTTACCAATTGCTGCAACCGACGTTGCATAACTGGCTCGCTTGTGTATCAAACCGCCACAGGGGATGAGTATCATGTCATGCTCCATTTTTCCAACCATCGTCGCTTCCACAAACGGTCAACTGACTCTGCATACTTTGCATAGTTCCATCCTACTCTGTTCTGGTGCTGCCCGTCCCCTGCCGACTCATCTTGCGAGAAGCCAATACCAGTGGACGATAATCTCCAGCCCTCGAAAAAGTTCTCAAACCGCCAACCAGAATCCCTCACGCGTGGATGCCTGGTTCTGGGCTTCACGGCCGCTGAGCCTCCCTCCAGCCTTGCTCGAACTTGTTGCTCCGCCGCTCGTTCTCAACGCTCATGCGTTCTCCTACTTTGGATTTGTTCTCGGCATGGTCAACGGCCAGTGGCCAATCATGAATTGGGGGCCATCACACTTCACATGATTTAGGGTACGTTTGGGAACAAGTGGCAAAGGTTCGGAATCTTCCACCTCTTTCGCACGATGGCCCTAAGGGATCATAAACAGACAAGGGTGTTGCTGAATTCCTCTGGCGGTAACGGAGTCACAGCCTGGGCTGTTCTGGCCCGTAATCACCGCAACTACGAGAGTGAGTGAGCACCAGCTTTTCCAGATATGCTTAACGACGGCGGTCAACAATCTGGCCACTGGCCACAACTGGTTGCTCACCATGCAGACAGCTCTACGGTTTTAACCATGGCTATCGAGTCTTGATCGTGTGTTCAGATCGCTATGACAGTTTCGGCTACTAGTTGCTGGTCATCCATGCTTTGGCACCTTCCATACATTCTCACCCGGGTTCATGAAGGTGGCCACGCCGACTAGTCGTCGAGTTACACGTCTACTGGTTGAACCGGTCACACTCAAGTTTCTCTTTTAATGCTTCTCGTGTTGTCGAGGCCCGGCAGACTAGTTGATTCTCATTGGCTATTCCTGTAGGTTCCTGGTGGTCTGATTAGCACTACGGAGTAAGGAGTACCAACGTTTCGATCGCACAATTGCCTGTTTGGGCTGCTGAGATGCCATGTCGTACAAAATTAGGCCGTGCCTCTCACAATGGCCGCCCACCCCCTCGTGACCCTGGGCCAGGACGGGGCTCACGCCGGGGACAATGCTGCCAGTGTAGCTTCTTCCAGGAGCCTTGTCCCTCAGCGCTAATCCAAACAGCTTCACAAAGATATACGTCTCAGAATATTTGGAAAGGCCCACCAACCAGTGGTTGACAAACAATTCCACATCGTCCTTACAGACCACAACATGACGGACCCGCAACGGACAAACTACAATGTCAAGTTGCCCTTCCGCATCCGTGTCCACGTCCACAACGATGCCGGCACTGGCAGACGCATGCAGGTAGTTGGACGACCGTGCGGCAAGCAAGCAAGCAAGCAGGCTGGCTGGATGAATGAATGATCCCTGCCAGGTCGAGAGACGACCAGGCTCTTTCAAAATCGGGTCTCGACTCCATTTCCACATGCAGATGTTACACAGAGACTTTCTGTGTAGGACGCGACTCGACTTTCTGACCTCGGCAACAGAGATTGGATGTAGCAGTTTCACAATCACCTCTAGTCCCGCATCTGCATCTCTTGATCGCAGGCGGACACGGTAATAAGCATGCAAATCTGGTCCAACAGTCACCAGCCCAGGCTCCTTTTTAATCTCTCGACCCTTTGTCTTCCACGTGGCAAGGGGGGAAACAGGCCGGGAGATCTGGACTCCTCGAGACGAATCGGGAAAATAGACCCAAAGGAGGACAAGGAAGGCCCTTTGAGGTAGGTCTCTGACCATTTCTGCCGAGGAATAGCATCTGCGGCACCGTCTTAACCCCAGATTTTGTTGGGGACTTGCATATGACACCGGCTGCGTGCTTAAGGAGTGTTGTGACACCTTTGATTCTTCTCGTGGGACTTCCACCCATGCCATCGCATCGCCTCGATCCCAACCGTCGAGGTCACCAAAAGACCATCCGGCCTCGTAGTATCACAATCATAAAGACCTTGGACTGCCTTGCTCCATTTCGCATTCGAACCCGATCCGTCTGTCGCATACCAGTATGTGTAAAGGCTATTCTCTCGATATGAAATGTATCACACAAATGGGCGTATATCAAAATGAACAAGAAAAATTGCGTTGAGTTTGAATCAAGGAGTCTATATCATTGATAATATATAACCAAATGTCCAACTGCCAGCCTCATTTGAGGAATCAACCAAATCGTGTATAGTCCGTCACGGACAAGTTGACACAGATACCGTCCACGCCAGGACACATAGTCCAGCGGTTGTGATCCGGAGATGACAGTCCACCATACTCGAACAACAGGTCCTTGTACAAGCTCAAGTTCCATTCTGGACGAGCGGGTTGGGAAGCCGATCAATTTGTGAGACTAATATTGAGCTAGAAAGATGTCATGCTGCCGGCTGGCAGGCTGCATACGGCCAACGTCATGGTCGCACCCAAGGCCGAGCTTGTAACATGTGAGGCGGAATGACCTACCTCTTGATCCTGATCCTGATCCAGATCATGACTCGGAGCCGAATATTTTCGTGGTTCCAAACTGCCAGGTCGCAATACAGAGCGGAGGGGTGTCTCCACTCAATGGGGAATTCAAGTCGAATGAAATCTGTCCGCCTGTCCCCACCAATCGAGGGCTGTGAATGATCTCTGAAGTCTCATGGGGACTGAACACAGAAAACAAGCTGCCGGGCGCTGAAAAGAAAACGGTTGCTCTTCGGATGGAATGAGGGTCGGACTAGCACGTAGCAGGACCAAGTCAACCCAATCTTATCCGGATTGCCAGGAGAGGCATTGTCAATCGACGAATGAATGACCAGGTCGGTCATTCATTGTCATCACTTGCTCTGGGATTCGCTGGTTCGCCCAGGAATTGTCTGGACGTGTTTTGGACAGATGGGAGGGCACTAGGGGAGGGGGCGATTCTGGATATCAATGAAAGAGAGAAGATTTCTCAATTGGATCTCCGACCCCATAGCATGAATATGTTGCCCTTTGGATACTGTACACATAGGAGTTGTTGCCAAGTCACCTGGGTGAGTCTCCCAACCTGAACGCCCTGCTAAACATCAAATTTGTCGTGGCATCGTTTTGTTTTAAAGTGGCGATTCAAAAAAGGTCAGGGTTTCCGTGGAGGAGGGGGCGGGGGTTTATGTCCGGTCTTGAGCTCGTCCCAGAACAACTGGACGAATCTTTTGACTCCTCGGGCCGGGTCAGTCGGGCCTAATATGAGGTCGAATCAGTATTTGAGCACGACATGGTGCCTGTGGTAAATTTGAATGTGACCACTGGGGTGGGTGCTGAAGATGGTGCTCATAGGTATGAGTCGACAAAGTGGTAAGGTGACCTACCCTCGATATTTGTACCACCATAATACTCGGGCGGCTTCCCATGTCGCAACTCATGAACTTTTTTATGCACTTGTTGGACACCTCGGTGAAAGGCGGGGCTTCGTAACAACTGCGAGGGGGGTTCGTGTCAACAAAGAGTCTGAGAGGAGAATGTCATCGGAAGGTCGTTTACTGTTTCTGTTAGCCGTTTCTAATCGGTGTTAGCATGTCGTGGGTCTATTATTGATTAGGTGGCGGGAGCGAACCTCGAGGAACCACAGCCATGACATGGTGCTCTGGATGCTCTTTGTTTAGACGCCTGTGCGTCAGCAGCAAGGGAGGAGTCAAGTAGGAGTGTGAAGCTTGGAAGCGGAAGAAGGATCAATCAATGCAATGTTGATGTCGTGAAGATCAGAGGGGCGAGCATGCGTGTGGACAATGAATTGAGATGGACGTTGTCATGGAATCTCAATTCGTCAGCAAAATCTCAGGGTAAATGCCCCTCCTCCATTGGTCCAAGGTGATTTGTTTGGATTGCGCTGTCAAAACAGACTTCTCGCACGTTAATTCTCATTATTTACGGTACTTTGTCCCGTCTTTACAAACTCCCCATGGGCAACCGTGTACTCAACCTGCAAGATGAGATCAGCGCCTCGATCAAGATCAAAGGCCATATTGTGACATATCATCCACAGCCTCACCGGCCGGCCTGTGTGATATTTCCCATTGGAAGACTCCGACCATCATTGCTTGTCCAAGTGCAAGGACACAAGATCTTGCAAGGCTGTACATGTCTTTATCGTTCTAGTGGCTGGACACATCTTCACTCGGCACAATCAATCCACCAACTCTCGAACATATTCATTAATCCCAACGATACACGCACTACTCTAAGCGCCCAGATTCACGTCAACTACCTCCAAAAACGAAGTTTTGACTCTTTGTTGTGGATGCGTCCTAGACAAGGCTGACCTGAGATCACAATTACCTCTCAAAGTACCTCATCCTTTCATTCTGCTCCCGCTTGACGTTTGATCCGTTCGGGTTGCAGGGGAAAGGACAATCAATAACCCAACCCTTCTTTCTTAACCTGGATTACCACAACCCACTCCGTCCACAAATCTCTTCCTTCACAAAAACACAACAACAACCTAGAGATATTATTCATCGTATCCTACTTGTCCACTGATCATTAATATCATTCACGCCAAAGCCACCACGACCGTCTCAAAGTTCTTCACCGACAAACACGGCGCCGCTCCTCAGGATCCTGCATCCGAGGAATCCCAATCCTCCAACACGCCACCACTCTCACGCTCCTCATTCTTGCACAGGCTCCGAATACACTCGCCTTCAAGGAGATCCAAGACACTTCCTAACCTGACCATCCGCCCAACCACTGCTCCATCAGGCTCTGTCTCGACTTCCAGTTCTCAACGTTGGACGGATGCCAGCAACTCCCACCATGCTCAGATCAGCGAGATAGCCCATCTCATGCCACAAGCTATGCAACTCAGCACCCCTTCGATGCAACACAACAAGCGACAACGATCTCGAGACTCGGCCTTGCGGGTATCGAGGCCCGCCTCGTCAGGGAACTCGCCGTTTGATGATAACGATGATAGTAGCCATGATAACACCGCCGCCACTGAAAAGAGGGACGACTTGGCTCAAATTCTGTCTGTCAAGATGCCCCCCTATCTGACCAAAGGCCGTTCAGGTAAGCGCACACGTCTCACTCGCCTCAGTCGCCAGCAGAAATACTGACCTTATCATAGAAATCTCTGAAGCTTTCCAAGAGTTGGAATGGAGGCAACGCTCTCGAATGGCTGAAGCCATGCGGAATCCAGATTCTTCCCAATACAGAATTAGCAGAACCCCCGTTACTACCAGCCGAAATCGCTATGCTAACGTCCAGCCCTGGGATGCTGTCAGAGTGAAGCTGGATCCCGCCATCGATGGTTCTGACTACATCAATGCTTCTCCCATCGTGCTGCAGAGTCGTCGACCCAAAACCAAGACCAGCAAAAGCACAAAAACGCCACAGAGCTCGGATTTAGCTCTCGAACAAAACCTGAGCAGATACATTGCTACTCAAGGTCCCAAGAATGGACAGTTCTTTCACTTCTGGCAGATGGTGATGCAGGAAAGCTGTGGTGACGTTGGCGTCGTGATCATGCTCACTCGACTCTCTGAAGGCAACAGAGAAAAATGTGCTCAGTATTATCCCGCCCAAGAGAGCAACCCAACAATGGTACTATCTAGTGATGAGGGCAAGGACGCTAGAGAAGGCAGTCAGGATGACGATGACGGTAAGTCTTTCGGAGGTCACTTGACATAAACTTATGACTAACATTGAATCAATAGCAACTCCGCCGCCAGATGGGGAGCAAGGAGACTCTTCTTCTGGCGATCCAGACGAGCAGACACAGACCAGTCGCACATTAACAATCACATTGATTTCGTCGCGCTATGATCCTGCCATCAGATGCGAGGTTCGAGAATTGCAGCTCGACATGGACGGTCAACGCAAGACCATCCATCATTATCTTTTCAACGGCTGGCCGGATTTTGGAAAACCAGAAGCCGCCGAGCGGGTGGCTCTGTTGGAGCTCACCAAGGTCTCTAGGTTGATTGCCAAAGATTCTCCTCGGTTCGTTCACTGCTCAGCGGGCGTTGGCCGCACAGGCACTTGGATAGCGTTGGATTTCCTTCTCCAAGAGCTTGAGGCTGGACGACTTTTGGAATCTTCAGCGACCAGTACATCATCAGGTACTGTCTCGAGTCCAACATGGGGCCGAAGCGGTCCTCCTAAGGCGACGACACCAGACCCTAATGATCAAGAGGATCTTGTCTCGGAAACCGTCAACTGTCTCCGGGAGCAACGCATGATGATGGTGATGAATGAGTTGCAATACAGTTTCATTTACGAAGTATTGAAAGATGCCTTCATTGACAAATACGCCGACCGGCAAACAGGCCCGATTGTCATTGAAGTTCAGGAACCCAGTCCAAAGATGGCTAGAACCAGATCTCCTCAACGGGAGCGTGGTCGATCGGAAGAAGACGCCGTCAGCGAAGCAGAGACGGAAATCATGGACAAGGATGAAGAGAAGGAAGACGACGACACAATTGACGATCCCTACTCCGCTGTGGCACCGGACACGATCCGAGAAGGAATGAAGAACCAACATCAGGACACTGTTCAAGATCATGAGGCGATATGAGGTACTTAGAAAGTCAATTGACAACAAACTGGTTTATGAGGCGAAGATATGAATGAATCGAATCGGTTATGCACCCGATGTATGGTTATGATGTGATGTGTATATCGGGCCTTTGGGTGAAGGCTAGGTCCTAGTGCGGACTAGATCCGAACATGATCCTTTGCAAAGTCATACATAGATGGAGAGGAGATGTGTGGCGTAGGGTTGGATCTTGCCAGAGTCAAATGAGTAACAAAGAGGTCTACGAAGTATATGTCTGTATGTCTGTATGTCTGAATGTCGGTTGGGAATTGGCTTGACCCCATGAGTCTGGGAGAATCTGTGTCAGTGTCACGTGCCAATTGATTGATTCCCATATTAATCCATACATATCTGCCTCTCCCTCCCTAAGTTAGGCACTTTGTCCCCTCCCTCCCTAAGGTACGTGCCCACATGGCATGTCGATATACAGAAAGAGAATAGGGAACATGTCGCCAAACTTGATTTGATATTCTCTCATCGTATGATACATAATGATAATGAACAGAACCTATGACGCAGTGAACTATTGTTATTATTATTAGGCATCACCATTCATCATTCACATTCTCAGGGTGGAGGCACTCGTGGGATCCCTCGTGGGATCCCCCTCGGCCCTTAAGCCTTCTCGCTCCGGGCCACTGGGGCCCCTGGGGCCCTCGGCCCCTCGACCCCCCAGACCTGGAACACCACGCGCTTCACCATAGGTGTGCATGACCCATGGCCCCAAGGGTAGCTTCTCTCTCTGGATTTCGATTGAGGTGTCTTACTAAACCTATTACAGCATCTACCCTCTCTTAACTTCAAACACTCACCCCCGCCTTGGATGATGGTCCTTGAGCGAATTTGATGTTGGTGGTCATGTGGGATGGGAGAGAGGATTTTTATACCTTGAGAACCTTGTCATTTAGGACGGGGTGTCTCTCAAATCAGGATGCATCAATAGTACCTTTTATTATCAAAAGTATGTGTGTATTTAGTACTTCTGGTGATGCCTTTTCATTTATAGATGTATGTAGGTATGAAGGTACTTTTATTTGCTTGTCATCGTTCAAGTGACCATCCAACAGAGCTCACGTGATCTGAGCCCAGCCCTTACTTTTTCACCAGCCAATTCCTTGCAAGTCCCAATTGCACACAACAGACATCATAAACTCATCACTTCAGTAACTCAATGATCAGTAACAATCATCCCAGCACCCAAGGACAATCATATCCAAATTTGCACGTCATCCTCGACAATATTTGACTGATTGAGTGTTTCGTTTCCCATCATCTGGCGTTTCGTCGCCTGGTTCCTCCACAAGGCTAAGCTTTGGGAAGCGCCCCTTGACCACCCACGCTGAAACCCAATCCTGACGCCATTTGCTTCATCTTCGAAACAAGGCATTCCATTCCAGGTGCCAACAACCCACACCCATGAACGGTTCCAATGGCTCCTCTCTGAGGGTCTCTCTCTAAATAATAAGATGATTTTCCTACGTCTTGATTTTGCTGTTTCCCTCACGCTGTTGTGTTTCCCTGTGAAAAGTGCTGCATCCAGATTCGTCTTCTTTTCCTCTCTTCATTCATTCCTTTCACTCCCGCTGGCCGGACGAACCTTTCGCTACACTCATTTGCGAACCAGACTCTCGAGACTTCTCCCTTTACACTGTTGACCAGCCTTCATACTTGCTCTCCCAAGCCTTTCTACCATTTTCCTGACAATCAACTCCACATCAAGCAAAATGCTCGCTCAAACCGCCAGTATCGCTGTCATTCTTGCGGCTGCCTTGCCCGCAGTCTCGGCAAAGGCAAGCCCCGACTCATTCGATGTTCAACCCGATTTTGGCTTCTGTGTGCCAACCCTCAAATATGAAGGAGGACTTGGAGGACGAGCGGATGACGACTTTGCCTACCTGGCTGTCGACCCTGTCATTACACAAGATGGAAAGGAGTCTACCAACCCCAGTAAGTCCACACATACGTCACTTGGCTCGTTCAATGCTTATGATCAACCAGGTGTCATCATCAGCCACATTTGTGATCAACTTGACGACTCTTGTGAGGCCAACGATGCCGCAAAGACCCTGTGCCGTGAAGCCCAAATCCAGATGGATGCCGTAGAGACTGACGGTCAGGCCACTGCCGATATGTGGAATGAACTCATCAATGGAGGCTCCCAAGTCGCCTCTGAGCTCAAGAGACGCTCCGAGAGGCGACCAGCCAAGCGACAAATCCAGTTCATTCCTTGCTCTGCCCAACGATGGGTCGAAAACTGCACGGGTTGGCCTAGGAAGCGAGGTGAACTTGAGCCTGTCCAAGAAGCCCAACCAGTCAAGAGGGCCGAGTTTGTCAAGCCAGCACCCGTCAAGAGATCCGAGCCCGCCCAAGGCAAGAAGGAAAAGCGACAGCGAACATTCATTCCTTGCTCCACTCAACGCTGGGTCGAAAACTGCACCGGTTGGCCCTGAACAATAATTCTCTTTCTTGGGTTCGTAGGATCATCTGACCAGCATTTGGCGATCCAAGTTGTGTCCATTAGACATGCAAGGGCGGAATTGGGGCCATGGTTCAGGATGACTGCCGATATCTGGCGTGTGTAGTGGCATCTGTGGCGGAGTTGGTATTCTTTTTGTCTTCATACAAGCCAGGTCCTTGGGCATGTATTTTAAAATGGTGAAACTGATATCTGGGATTCGAGGGCGAGATAGAGAAGAGGGCTCCCGAAGTAGGCCGGGCTTTGGATGTCAGCGGTCGCAACATGCGATCGGCAGCCTGTGGTTTGGAGTGCAAATCGAGTAGTCTTTTGGTTCCAACTTTCTCCAAACTACCGTGCTGTGCCATTATGTGGGAAATCGTTTTTCCAATGCTCCATTCATTCGCGAGAAGTTGACGCTAGAACCTTCTTCAGAGGCCCATTTTCATTCACCTCAATCCCCTTAAAGGCAATGAATAGTGATCAGAAGGTGACCACGTGCACATGTCCTCCCAAATTTGTCGACATGCCTCCCCTTGGCGATACTTGAATGGCAGAAAGTAGCTCATTTCATCCTGCAATTCATACCACGACACCATGCCACGTGATTGTCGTAAACCCCGTATAAATCCATAGTACCAATAAAGTAAGTGCGTCTTCCTTGCGGCAACAGCACCGGCGACAGCGCTCCAGAGCAACAGTGAATCATGGTCCTTAGAGGCGGATTCGTAGTCCAGTCTATCACACTTGTCAAGGGCCAACATGAGCGCTTTGGAAACATTGGTGTGGAAGGGCCAGGGGGCACAGTGAGGCTCGATCGACTCGCCCATGTATGCAATGATGCCTAGGCGACAGATAGTATAGATCACATCGTCAGAGTTGACCACCGACAAGGCATCATGTTGCAGAGCACGTCGTGTTGCGAGTAGGAAATGCAAATCTATACCACTTGCTGGCCCTTGGAGTAAAATCATGTCGAAGGCTTCGAGGAGGCAGCGAATGTGGTGGATCAGTTTCAGCATCACCGACCCTCCATTGATACCTCTCAAGACCCCGAATCCCTGACCCGGTGGGTCGAACCGGGTTTCTGGAAGTGAGGGGCGTTTCGCGTAAACCATCTGCATCATCGTCTGAGAGGGCATCATGAGAGGAAAGGAAGGCTTCTTGAGGACGTCCAATGAGCTTTGGATGTCGATGCTACGGCTCCTTGTCAGCGTATAGCCAGAATAGGCTGAGGCATGATACATACACTGCCACCATCTCTCGAAAATCGGCTGTTACAATGCTTTTTAGACCACCTTTGATCTTGACCAATCTTATCAAGGCATCGATGTGGGTCGAATCCCAGACCTGGCTGGAGTGGAAATCAAAATCTCGATATGGCGATCGAGTTGACCCTGGTGGTCCATTTTTTTGCGGCCGGAATGTATGGATACCAAGGATGGCCATGGACATGAGCATAGCATCAGAAATGGCCCCGGTAGAAGATTCAAGTGCTTGCCGAAGTGATTTGACAGCATGATGCTGTGACTGGACGTGGACTAGTCTGGTGGATGAACCGGCGGCGCCAAAGAATAGTTGATAACATGCTCCCGCATATGCAATGGCTTCCAGGAGATAGGGTGCTTCGACTGCCAAAGCCATGGTCTTCTTCTTCCAAGACTCCATCGTCTCTGGCATGCTGCTTGATGCAAATGCCGGCCATTGATTATGTAAGGCTGCAAGAAGAGGGTCAACGGTTGCCACACATGGTAGTGACTATGCATGACACCAGCGGGGAAGTATAGGAGGATGGGAGAAGGGTTCTGCAAGGGAGAAGCGCCTACCGAATTGAACCAGAGCCAAGGCATTCGTAGACAGGCCGCGAACACACAGGGTGTCAAAAGGATCGAAACGACCAAGATCTGGGTCTATGGGAGGAGACGGGGAAAGCAGGTGGGAGGTCAACGTGGGGGTGACTCGGCTATGGTGTTCTGCGGTGGTGGGCGAAGGCAAGAATGGGCAGAGAGCTTTAGAGACTATGCGAGAGGGTTCTTGACTCCGTCTTTCCTTTCGTCTCTGGTGATGAACAAGAGCAGCATGTCGATGTCGTTGGAAGACTTGTTGTCGAGTTTCACGTGTTGATTTGTTCTTGGCGCCAGGAACCCAGACGAGGAAGGTGCTGTTGGTGGTGCCTGCCGTGGTGTTTGTGGTCGACGACGACGTCGAAGCGTCCTTCTCAGTTGGACTCGTCATTGCTGTCGACAAAAGTACCATCCACCACCTGTAACACGATTCATTGCTCCTGCTCCATCGAGAGTGAGATCTTGGCTTAACGGCCAAATCATCAGCTTAGAGCCAGTTGCAAGACGGAGGCTCGTGTTGCTGCATATACGCTTTTCCAAGAAGACCTGTTACATGTGCCTTTCCTCGACAGACCAGTACTGTATTCGAGGCGACGAGTACCCCGCCCGCCGTGCGGCTGAAGCTTTTGACTTCCTCTCACCGACCAACTTGTCTCCGGATTCGACGGCCAGTGGTTCGGGCCCCACCTCTGATTGGACCGGCGGTAACGTAGCTGGCAATGCTGCAGCCTCAGATGTCTTTGGTAAGCCATACAGACTGAGGGCAAACCAAGCTATGATCACCTAAACTCAATCTCTCTTCTGATTTCGTTGGCTCACAGGGAATGGCTCTCTCTCAGACCCTTTTGATTGGTGCAGGAGGATGTAAGTCAGTCGCTCAACCTTTCCTTACGAGCTCCATGAATCCTTGATTCAAGAGTTAACCATTGTTTTGCCGCATCGCACCCTCGATTAGTGGACACCCGATTAGACCTCGACACACTGTTTGGAAGGCTCTAGGTAAATTCCTCAACCTCGTCTTCCACGCCGCAAGGCGCCCCACAAAGGAAGAAAACAACTCTAATCTCATGACATGCATGTCCACCGGGGCTCCATTGCACCTCCATGGTTAGGTCGGCTTATGGGTACACGGACGCCCCAGAAAGAACCATATTTGGACTGGTGTGCGACTCTCTATATGGTCTTGGCACCTGCCTTGTTTAGTGGCATCGTGAAATCCCGTTGCAAGACAGGGGCAAGGGAGATGATATCCTTGATGTGGAGTACGCTAGAAATCAGAATTTAGGCGATGACTATTCATGATTTCCTTTTACGTGCTGATTCGAAGCCTGTTAGTCGCAGCCTAGCTCTAAGCAATCTTTGGGAGAGGGTAAGAATCGATTCATAATTTGAGATCGGTGTATCTAGAATCATGCAACAGATAGTGAGACTTTTCAGATGCCGAACTATCTGAAGCTAGAAAGCGAAGGACAACTGGGGTGGCGTATCATCAATGACATGTAGTATCTGTTTTAGGTATCCCAACTCCTGATCTGTGTATCGTCCTAAAGCAAAACTATCTCATGGGTTTCATAGTCGGTCAAGGAGATCCGTGTCTGATGTACAAGCGAATCTCTCGGAGCGTAGATTGAACTCAATTCAACAAGTGCCGTGCTGTGCCCCCAGCGAGGGTGACTCGGTCGGACGCTAAAATCACGCCTGAAATTGTCGTAGGCCAAAATTGCCGTGATAGACGAGCTTCAAATCGTTGCTGGCGAGGATCTGGTCTCTTCGCCGCATTAGGTCATCGACAGACCAATTGGCTGAAATGCAGCGGCCGGTGAGAAAAGAGGCGGCCTCGGTGGCGAGCCACACAGCAGTTCCACCCACCAAGTCGGGTTTGTCAAGGGCAAAGCGTTTGAAAGTATCTAGCGTCGTTGTCAACACAGAGTGACCAAACAAAATTGGATGGAGGTGGCGGATTTTCTTAACTAGCGGTGGAAAAGCGAGTGCACGCAAGCTAAGGTAATATGATTGCTTGCAGGAAGGAGGGAGTAGAAAAGCTGGGGGTAAATCTTACCAAGGACCGTGTCAGTCAAAACGAGACCAGGCTGAAGGGCGACCGAGGTGACGTGTGGACACTCGGTGGCCACATAGTCTGCGATTCTCCAGGCGGCCAGCTTTGATATGGAATATGAGGACCAACCAGGATAGAGGGACGAGGCGACCGGGGCGGTAAGGGTGATGACTGTGGGCCGGGGCTGGACGTCTGGTGGCAAAAGGGACAGGAAGGCGTTGGTCATGAGAAAGGTGCCCTTGACGTTGACCTCGAAGTCTGCCCACCAGGCAGTCAGATCGACGACGGCGGCCATCAAACACTCGCGGGGGCGGCTCATGACGCCTGCGTTGTTGACAAGCACGTCGGCGTGACCATAGCGGTTCCGCACAAATGTGAACAAGTTTGTCACCGCAGCCTGGTCGGTGATGTCGGTTGAGGCAGAAATGTACTCAACATGAGGGTTGATTCGACGTAGAGCAGCCTCAGTCGCACAGAGTCGATTGATGTCTCTACCCACCAACACCATGGCTCGAGGCCCTGCCTGCGCAAATGCTGGTGCCAGTCCTCGCGCCCCTATCCCTGACGATGCCCCCGTGATGATGACGACTTTGCCCGCCTGTGATAACGATGGTTGACTGGGATCAATCGCCGCATATTGGCTTCGATAGAGATTCGCGGTGTAGGCTGAGGTGGTAACGAAGAAGTCGGTCGGTAGATCCTCCATGTGACCGCATGGGGTATTCAAGATGTACACATGCACACGGGCAGCGACCAGGTTCGTCGCTATTTTTCTCAGCTTCCTTTGATACCAACTGACGACAAGTTCGCGAATATCGACCTTACTTTGGGTGCTTTGCTAATACGACCAAATATAGTCCTGGTGATCAAGTTGAAATGGCCTCGACCGCTGCCACGGTGGGCTGCGTATGCCATTCAATCAAGGAGTCTCGTCATTGCTCAGAACAGGGACTAGAAGTTTTTCTTTGCGGTCTCGCCTATTGCCGGGCATTGGTAATGCTTGAGGATTGATATCTATGGCCGTGAGAGGTGGGGTGGACACCTCTCTGCTAACTAAACGGGAGTTGCTTCCGTAGCTCGCTCCCCTTTCGAGATCCAATGCGGTACCTTAATACCACAGTACGATACAGTACTCGGTTTAGCGGGACTTGGGTTGCATGTACCTGGCATGACTGTATGCCTGCTGTACGGTTAACCAGTAATCTGTCACGCTAATTGTAACTTAGATGCCTCTTTGGGCCCACGTTTTTAATGCATGGCAAGGTACCTGACTTATTGACTGGTATTTGGAGCCGAGTCACATACCCGGTGGCGTTTGCAACACTCTTCTTCAAGGTAATACTGGTAGGGTGTGTGAGAGGACTGATTGAGAGAAAGGAAAGTGGGCTTGTTTGCTCAGTCTGGTATATTCCCAAAGAGACATAGACCAAAAACCCCTGGTCCACCACGGGTTGTCTGGTTGTCTAAGTACCTAGGTGCTTAGGCCGCTGCCAGCCCATCGGCCCCCATCATCATTGCTCCCCGCTCCCGCCCGTAAGGCCCCATAAGCATCGGTAAGGCTGAGCAAATGGGTCGGTATTCAGCCTTTTATTCACCGTACCATCGGTGCCGACTTATGTAACTAGGGCGGCATTGAAAGTCATGCCTGCCTTAGGAAAACCTCAGGGCGTCATTGCCAAGAAGATGGCTTTTGTCATCCTTGTCGCGATGGCCGAATTTGTATATCGCCTCGTTTTCGTATCTTTTGGGCCAAAAACTGAGAGATGCAATTGTTGGACGCCATATTCAATTGTTGTAAAAATACCGAGATGCCACGACGCCACGATGTCTTCCTTTGGCAGGACTACCTTAAGTCACGCCACCGCAACAATACCAATCTCGCCATTTTAATTCAATCCCAATCGCATGCCATCGCTCAAAGAAAGGACACTAAACGACAACTTGAGATGACTCAACAGTCTTTGTTTTGGCTGGAATTTGCGCTTCTGCACATGGTTGCTGTAATCCAAGCAATAAGCTGAGGCTTGTTGTACCTATGTATATACATCACTCCTTTCGCCGAGTCACTTGCGTCTATGCACTGTTGTGGTTGTCTCTATCCCAGACCATCTCGCCACTCGTCGTCATGTCATGATATAAGAGCAGCGCTAGGCGATAGGCGGACTATCTTTACCATCAGGAGTTGAGCCTGGGTCAGGGTCCGATGCGAGGCTGCCTTCGATTCGGCGTTTGGCTTCTTGCCTTTCCTCGTTGGTGATGTTGGCCTCGTCTTTCTTCATATCCGGTCGATGCGGTTCGACATTGGGCGAATGTCCGATCGACATGCCCACACGAACCTATTTAGCAACATTATCAGTAAGCACTCTCCCTTTTACCGTCCCAAATTCTGTGGTGCCAACTTACCAATGTTTCCAACGCCCCACTGCTATTGTCAACCAGGTCTTCGTCGTAAACCATTCGTCCAGGCTCAAAGAACAGGAGGACAGTGCTGCCACCAAATTTGAAATACCCCAGCTCCTCTGCTCTCTTCACTCGTTCGCCAGCTTTTCGGGTAATCACGGTGGAGCCCACCATCATGGCTCCGATACAAACGAACATGACTCGACCATGCGCGACCGAGTCGATGGGGATCACCACCCGCACGTTGTCGCCGTACACATCGAGCGCTGATCTGATTGCCATAGGGTTGACTGTGTAATACTCACCCTCTATCAACTTTGGTGTGCCCAAAGTCCCGTCCACAGGCACGTGAAATCGATGATAATCTTGAGGAGCCAGTCGAAAGATACCCATGCTGCCGCCTTTGTATCGCTTCGCCTCCAAGGGGTACGCATCACCAAACAACTTTTCCATGCTGTAATCACGGCCTTTGACCCAGATTCGGGTGGCTTCATCAAGTGTGTTGAAGACAACCGTGCGACAGTCCGCTGGAGACACAATGATCTCAGGCCGATCCGGTGCACTGCAGGGCCGCGCTGTCGGCTTCAGTGCTCGGTAGAAGAACTCATTGAAATTCTTGAACTGATCAGTGGACAGCAGTACTTCCGACATGTCGAGCCGGTGGAAAGCAATAAAGCCTTCAATCTGTGCCGTCGAGGCAGGGTCATCAAACTTCCTGCCTTGTTTGATCGAAAGCGACTTGAGCATCTTCTTGATCCTCTTCTTTTCCATCTCGCGAGCACCCACCGCCTTGTACAGCAGGCGGATGCCGATTCGAACATACACTGACATGCGCTCCTCGTTGATCTGCCCTGTCACGCGATCTTGTACCAGGATGTTGGCGCTATTAGCACCAAGCTTGTACCCGCCGTAGCTGATCTTGGTGATGACCTTGGAGTACCATTTGCGTTGAGCTTGACTCTGAGTCACAAATCCTCCCATGACCAGATTGTTGACCTGTCTCCAGTCTGAGCTTGCGCATGTGGCAATATGTGTGATAATGTCGGCCTCGGTGCGCTTGTTCAGTTTGGGCTGGTGACATATTGGGCATTCGCGGATCTCAATCACATGTTCCTCAACATCTCCTTCCGAAAGGTCGTTGCTAAGTAATTTACCTTCTTCGCCGGGACTGCCAAGAGGATCCTGTTGGATGGCCGGAATGGCACTGCGCTTTGGGTTTTCATTCGTAGAAGCCTCAGTGCTGGACTCTGGCTGCGGTGGACCATTCCCGGCATTGTCTTCGTTCTTGATCGACGTTGGCTGAGCAAAGGGGCCCATGCTGATCTTCACTTTTGAAGACAAGGTCTTCTTGCTGCTGCTTTTCTCTAGCTGCTCTTCTAAACAGATGACCGCTTGATCAAATGTGAGATCGACCTCTCCGACGTCTTCGTTCTCTGAGGCGAATCTTTTAAAGAAGGAATCAATCGTTGACTCCTTCAAGGTGGAGCCCAATGTGTCCAACATGGTGGTGAACTCTATTTTACTGATTCGCTTGCTGTCATCCACGTCGTATTGTTTGAGCATTGCTCGCCAGAATTGCTGTCTCAGAGCGGGATAGGACAAAAATCGAGCTTTGATGAACAGCTCAGGGCTATGCTTGGCTTCCCAGCGTTCTTTGTTTTTCAGCTCCAAAGGAATTGTGTATGGATTCAAGCCGGGGTCCTCGGTGGGCTGTGGCATAGGAGGTTCAGGCGCGTTGGGCACTCTCAAGCTGCCGTTGTCTGATGGGTTACTCGTGGGAGGTGGCGGGCGGAGGCTTTCTTGCCCATTGCTGCTTGCCAGGGAAGCCTGGGAATCATCTCGTCTCATGCCGGGACGACTCAACTTATGCAGACTGTTGGCAGAGGAGGAGCGAGACAATGGCAAACGAAATCTTGACCTGTTCTCTTTGTGTGAGGCCATCGGTGAGTATTCTGGTGGTTCAGGCAAATCGAACAGGCCAGTTGCCGGATCCTGCTCCGGAGCAGCTTGGATCACTTTTTGAACAGGGAAAGAAGCAGAGGCCACGAAATCATTGCCTGACAACTTGTCTCGATCGATGACGGTAAAGGTCAAGGAGTATCCTGTCTCATGTCGCAAGACCTGGAACACCATCTTTTCATTGTAAACAGGGTTTAGGTTGTGCCGAATGACCTTTGTCCTCAAGACCTTGCGACCCAAGGCCGTAACAACGAAGGGATCCATGTCGAACGAAGTACGAGTCATGTTACGCTCAGGGGGGAGGTCGGTGATCTTGACAATTTCCAAAAATATGACACCAGACACATCGTTATCGGTCCCGAGTAAGTTGTATGCCCTGGCAGCGATGGATTTGCGACGGAGTCGGGCGAGCCGCTTCTTCTTCGCCTTCTTCTCGGCTATACCAGAACCACGAGGAGTGTCTGTTTCGGTGGCCGAGTCGATATCGTCATCTAGGCCATCGTCCATTTCGTCCTCAACAAGGTTGGCTTCGGTAACAGACGTAACACGGGATAATTCATCGTCTTCGCCTTCGGCACCAAGATATGCTTGAAAGCTCTTCCAAATCTCCTCTGGGCTAGCCGAAGGATTGGCCGAGTCGACGAGGGAGAACTGAATGAGAACCTCACCAGAGACGGAGCTGGACTTCTTGCCCTCCCTCCGCCGTGACTTTAACTTGTACCACTTTGGGTCTTGTTGAACCCTTGAATCTGCAAAAATGTCCTCGATAGCAATGTCAAACTCGCCCATATAGTCCTTGCCGAAACGATCCTTATCCCAGCACATGCACTCTAGTAAGGGAAGGCCTGTAAGAGGAATGTCGAAGCAAATCTTCCATTCTGGGTTCAAGGTCTTGGGAATGGAGGGGGTGGATTGTTTGGAGTTGCCCAGGGTGACGACAAGGTACTGAGGAGGGTCAGACGTGGACAAGGAACCAGTATTTTGTACTCACAGGATCAGATGTACCAGACCTATCTTTGGCGGCCAGGTTTCGAGCCTGATGCTCGTTAGTGGGACAACAATGTGGTTGGTAGAGAACCAAAGGGGTGGCTCATACTTTGATGACATAGACCTTAAGTACAAGAGGTTTCTGATCGGAGAGTGTGAGAGAACTAGGAGAAGTTCCAAGTCTGGGAGGGCTGGTTCTTCTTTCCTTCTCAGTATTTGCACTTTGACCATTGTCCTTATCCTTCTCCTTGTTTTTTCGGGAGGTCATTCCCCGTGGAAGCGATATATGAACCATGGCTAGAAGTAATGGACAGCCAGGCAAGGAGGAGGAGGGGTGAAGGGGAGGGGAGCGAGTGGAGGGTACGGTTTATATCGAGGAGAGATGTGTCAAAAGAGAGGCTGCTTTGGGCCGGAGGATCGGACTGTCAAGAGGAACAATAGTTGCGGAAGCCGAGCATAAGACGGCAGGAACAGCTGGCTGAGGTTGCAGAGGCGATTGCAGGACGTCGAAGGGAGGGGCCAGAACCACGGAGCAGAACAGTGACCAGGGTGTGAGTGAGGCCGGGAGTGGAAGGATTCCAACGAAGTTCTTACTGCCGTATTATTTGCAGGCTAGTCATTTAGAGGCTCAAGTGTTGATTATTGAGCTTTCTAATGGTTGGCGAGCCCTAGATATGGGACGGTCGCAGGCGCTGGAGAGAGATCATGCAAGATGGAAAGAGGGTGCAAGGGAAGTTGGTTAAATGTGCTTGGAAGGTCGGCGTCCTCGTCAAGAACACCAAGATAGAATTGGAAATAGCCACGTAGCGAAGCTGCGGTGAGGAAGGTCAGGGTTCAGTGGGTGCAATTATCAGGTACTCAAGAAAGCCCACAATGACACAGTAATAATAATGTGCAGATTTCCTCCCTGCCTACCTAAGTTAAGGTACCTAGGTAGGTTGGTACGGATTTATTACTATTGCTGAAACTACTTAGACCCAGTCATTCAATAATGGGTATGGAGGGCACGGGGGGTCACTGCCGCTCGGGTACCTGAGTTTGACCATGATCTGCCCCTCTTCTCCAGTTATGTTTCCAGGTAAATTATCTACAAAGAGTTATAATCTCAAGTGTCTAGCAAGCCAGATGCCATATGATGACCTCAGAAAGACCTTTGAAACGTAGATACCGTTCATAAGTCGATTTCCATCCCATATTGCCACTGTCCATTTTCAATTGGCTTCGATAAGCTGAATAAGAACATGTCATTGCTCTCTTCCTACCAGAAATTACCCCTCACCTAAAAGACAAGCCTCCGGTTCCGTTGTAAATCGGTGGATATTGTCCATGGCTCCTGCCGCTCAATTCTCCAAACACTTTAAAATCGTCCAATCACTCGAGGCATGGTTGCATCATGAGCAGACAAACACGCAATCACCTCGCGTCAGGTTACCACCAGGGAGGGCCGAGGGGCCAGAGTAGCACGGTGTAAGTTGAACATCGCTGATACGCAACCAACCCTCGGCATACCAGGATGGTGCCAGGCTTGTCTGTTAGTTGACTCGCTCAAACTCGCTTCGCTATTCATGGGTTTTCTGCTTCGAGTAGAGAGATCGATGGAAGCTTTGTGGCGGTTTCCTTGTTTGATAGTACCACCTGCCTCAAAGACAGCATATGGCGAAGTGTATCTGTCCTTCCTTGCCATTCCGCATCGTCGCCCAAGGTACCAGGCAAGCAAAGTTTTAGCTTGGAGGATATGTTCTTTAGCTACTCGCCAGACTGATCTATTCCCGTCGACTTTTCACACTCAAGATCGAGGCTGCACATTTTCATAGTACTCCGTATAGTGACCTCTGATTGAACGGTGATTGGCAATGGGTCTCACCATGGTGACCCTAAAAAGTCACGGGATCAGAAGCACGAACCTTGAGAAACGAGCGCCCATATGGGACTAGCGCCTTGGCATCCAGGCCCAGCAGGCTCAGTCTCAATGTCATGTAAACATTGCAGAGACGCAACCCGCTATGCGTTTGTTCAAGATCCGACCCTCCTACCACCGAACCTACGCTTCGCCTTGTGCAAAGCTCAACATCCACAAGAAATCCATTACAATCACTCGCTGACCTCCATCATCCTTATTATGCGCTATTCTCACATGTGACGCGTGGACGCAGATGCTGCGCGCGCTTCAACTGATCGCGTCACCTCAAACTCCTATCCACCCACCCGACTCAAAGCACGACAAGCATGCTTGTTTCGCGACAACCCTTACAAACCCTTCCGATGTCATCGAGCCAGAGGCAACAAAGAACCATCCACTCCCGCCTGCACGACAAAGATGACGCGCCCATACACCCTAGCCGATTCAACGCCTCTACCGATCTCAGACCTCCCACTGCTAGCCGCGACTCAAAACGGTCGTCCCTTTCCCGAACTGTTAACGAGAAAAAGCGAAAAATGGGTACGATGTTCTTCGCAGCTACCAAATATTCCATATTGCGACTGACTTTTCTTGCCCAGATTATGACGAGGATGACGACGGTTTCCTGTTCACGCGTGTCAAGAAAAACAAATCAGAAACTTCGGCGGTGCCGCAACCGTCAGCATCCGCCCAGCCCGTTACCGCCGTCCCGCAAAAAGTTGAACGTGGTGCACCCAAACCCGGGCCTGCGACGGAAGATGAGCCGCAACCAGCCCCTAAGAAAAGAGGGAAGAGACTATCTTTTTCAACACCCAACCCAAAGGACAATGTTGCGCCCCGAAGATCAAAGCGCCTTTCGCGAGAACACGACCCAGGCAATGGCAGCCCTATATCGATGTCCGTCAAACTAGAGAAACCAAAACCCCAGAAATCATCACCCAGCAAAAGCAAGAGAAAGTCGCCAGCGAAGACTGTGGATGCGGCGCAACAGAAGGTTGTCCCCCAGCAAATAAGCAGCGAGGTCCCCGAACAGGCCGAGAATGTCGAGGTTGCCGTGCCCGAGTCCAAGGCGACCGAGGTGGTGACCGCAACGGAGAAGCATTCAGAAACCAAGATCGCGCTTCCTTTCGCCGACACGCCTGTCATCAAACGAAATAAAGCCATGCGGGAGGACAACCACAGAAAAGGTGAACGGCGAAGTAGTCTAGGCATGCGAGGACGAAGGGCAAGCTCTCTAATTGAAACCGGCAATTCCAATGGTACGTAACACACGCTCGTTTGTGTCCAATTTGCTAATGGGCCCGAAGCACTCCCCCATCACGAAGTCGCCATTCCCGACTTCTACAAGCATATTGAAAGCGATGGTCTTCCAGAGCCGCGGCGCATGAGACAACTCCTCACATGGTGTGGAACTCGGGCGCTGGACGAGAAGCCAATGGGAACCGACTTTGAGGATTCTAGTGCACGATCAGCGGGTTCGTATAGAGGCTCCTTTATTGGTATCGATTCTGACATGAGTCTAGCTCGAGTTATAGAAGAAGAATTGCTCAAAGATTTAGCCAATCGATCCGAGCTTTCAGACTGGTTCAGCCGTGAAGAGTTGGCGGTTCAGCAGAAGCCGCTACCAGAACGGCCGAATCCCAAAAATGTCCAAAACCTCGAAAAAATTGGAGAATTGGAGACTCAGATAAAGAGGTAAGATCCTCTGGAGCTGATGTGAATGAGAATGCTAACAAACTTCAGACTTCGAGCAGAAAAAGAAGCCTTGGAATCTCTCCTACGGCCTCCTAGCCTCCCACCTAGAGGTGATGCAAGATCTCCAGAGCCAGATAGGTCACTCTTGTCTGCAAGCGACCTTGCAGCCGTGGACGTATTGACCCAGAATCCAATGCCGGGCGAGAGGATTACACAAGAACTGAACGCTGTATTTGAGTCAGTGGGCCCCACCATTGATTCATTTGCAGATAGTATTCATAAAATTGGTCAATACCGTACCGCCGCTGATAATGTGGCGGATCGAGTTCTGGCCATGTGTGCGGAAATGTTGGAGCAGCGGGAAAAACAAGGCCTCAAGCGAGCACTGATGTCCGAGCAGGGCGAGAAGACGCCGCCGAAGGACCTTGTTGGAGTACTACGAAGCCTGAGCAGGGTTGAAAGATGATGCATCCCTGGGTGGAGCAGCCTGACAACCCAACAGAGAAGACGGATTCCAAGAAGTTGTATAAAGAAAGCCACGATGAATGCAATGCTGTGATGACATACTGAAAGCGAGATCATGCTAGCTTGGAATACCCTGGTGCTTGTCGCAAATGAAGCTGCCCAAGAATGACAATGGTTCAGCATGGCCGTAGATCCAGCCCATGTCTGATTGTGAAACTCGAAGCGTCAGATTGCGAGGACGTTGAGTATATCACTATATGTGCCATGACTCCTGCATAACATCAATCCCTCGGGGGGAGATAGTCACCCCACGTGACTTTGGCAACGAACACCACATCACGTGGGAAAACTTCCCTCCACAACCGCCAGACTCTCTTCTGTTAGCAAGGGGAGGTACGAGTTGACTTTGCGGCAACCATACTTGATGAGTTTCTTCCATCAGTTATCAGAACGCTCTGGTTATAAACCAATAGCTGCCTTAGTGGATGAACATGTCCACGTGGTGTCGACTTTTATTCCACTCTCGACCTGGGCTTGGATCTTGTAAGTCTTCTGCCCCCACGCGGTCAACCCATCCGCCCATGTGTTACTACCTACCCTGGGTTAGGTACCTAGGTACCTTTAGGCACATCAGTTCCTATGCCCACGCATTGTATGATTTCAATAATGAATGCCACGATATAAACACATGCACCTGCGACGCGAGACATGGTGAGACTCCGCCACAGATCTCGATCTCACTAGCCACACATGACATCAATGGCGTCTCGATATGCTCGCTTGAAAATGAACCTTGATACCAATGGAACTGGTAATGTACATCAACCAGCCAGCCAGCCAAAACCTAAGACGAGACTCGCGGGGCGCAGTCTTGCATTTCAAGCCGTCTTGGCCGCGAGTTTGAAGTGTCAAGACGTCCAATGATGCCAGTTGAAATCGTCGATCACAATACGTCATTGCTTGCACCTGCGACAACGACGTGTTGCTGTTGGGCAGTTGCTTGATTCTCGTCAAAGACTAGGCTCCGTGGCTCCTTCCTATGCAAGACTCTCGTGTTCGAGAAAGTGTAGGGTCACCGGGGGACGGCAGTCACGATCAAAGATAATTCAGAGGTAGGATGCCGTGGATGCTCAGCCCAAATCAAATCTAGATAGTCATCGGGCTATGATTATGGTCAAAAGTATCCCTCGACTCTTGTGACGCGTGGATTGAACGGCAGACCCCTTGTGCCTTGATTTTCAGCTACAGTGAACTATAGTACACAGCCATTATGGTGAGTTGAAGTGCCACAAAGAATCAGACCCTTGGTATGGAGTCAGCCCATGACACTCTGTCCGTGATTGCGTCTAGATCTGCCTTTCGTAAAGTTGTAGAACATCTCATAATATATATCACGAACATCTTCACCCTCTCCTTATACTCCTTAGTCATTCTTCCTCCCCAGTGGTTCTTCAATCACCCCGATTATTTCAATCTACCCAAAAACATCCTTATACCTACATCCATTATGCCGTTTTACTACAGAAAGGTGATTATATTCCCCGTCACACTGGTCGGACCTGCGCCAAACCTTCCCATTGTCAGCCCGGTCGATCTCTATTCTTGTTCCGCGGACTCGATGTTCTTCCTATGTAGAGTTGAGAACCCAGCTAATATTCCCTGTCATACAGAATTGGGGTAATCGCCACGGCGGTGGTGGCGTCACTGTTTCTCGACACGGCGTGCGACGAAATCCTTTTCGAATCTCGTGCGGCCGCTTCAGTTGTTTCAGATAAAAAAGATGAACGTTCAACTGCTGCCGAAGCGATTCCACGGCCATGGCTTTGAATCATGAGAGTCATCAAGTCAAGATCCATGAACAATTAGGACGTCTACTTCATCGCTGGGGAAATAAAGTCCATCCTCCAGGGCCACAAGAGGAAGTGCTGGTCAGCAGATCAAACAAACATCAATGTACACCAATAGGCTTGACTTAGCCCGAGTCTTCCAAAACTGGGGCCAGTCAGCTGTGATGGGACAATGACGGCGACGCAAATTTCAACCTCTTTTGCTGGTTTGCTTATCAATTGGAGTTGAGCAATGGGAGTTACATGGGGGTTTTAGAGCAATGAGTATGGTCTACATACATGATCGTCGAGAAACCAAGAACTTGCGTGCTTTGTGTTGATCCAAGTATATCTGTCCTGGAACATTGCATCTTTCGCCTGCGCCAGCGTCATTGCTGCGGGCTGTCATATGTTGAATGCCCCATGCGCTGTCTCCAAGCCCGTGACACTTTTATATCCAGCAGCAGAATGAATTTCAGCAATGACAAGACAACATCTTTACAGGCATCACAAAAGCACTTTTCTAGGCTGAGCATGTAAAGCGCCAAATAGTCGCTATTGCTGATGGTACATTCTGGGTATTATCTGATCTCGTTGCGGTAATATCACATCTTACACTTTCGTCGAGGGTGGTGGGAATCACTCCCAACGCAGACTGGCTTATAGTCTAATCCACCGCCAGCTTTTTCGGAGCGTCTTCATCTCCCACAGAACTGGTTGAAGGAGTCATCTTGACATTGCGCGCCTCTGCCGAGGTATTGTCGTCGTCATCCCACGCTTCATCTGGTACATTCTCGTCCCAATTGTCGAGTTCTTCCTCGACGGTTCTTGGAGCTGCAGTCACGCCAGTCTCCAGGTCAGGGTCATCTCCCGGTCGTGCGACATCGCCGTTGACACCCTCGCCGAGCTCCAGATCACCTTCGTCGGTTAGGACGGAGTATTTAGCCTTGCGCCGTCTTTCAGCTGCTCGTTTGTGATAGGCGCTGCACAGCCCTAAAGCTGCGAGACTTCCTAGCACATTTGCCAGGACATCCCATGGGTCGAATTCTCGGTCGTTTGGGAGGAGGCCTTGTGCAACTTCACTGCCGACAGCTAACACTAATGTGCAGACAATCAAGGTAATGTGTATGACCCGCCGGCGAGAAGTGTCAAGGATGAAGTAGAAGGTGGCCGTTAGGGCAAAGAAGACGATGAAGTGGAGGAATTTGTCGGACTGTTGAGGAATGTATGGTTGTGCGGCGGCCGGGGTGGATGGTAGAGATGAGTGTGGAAGGAGGCCTAGGGACGAGGAGAAGAGGAGGAGAATGACAAAGGCGACTGGAATGATAATTAGTGGTCACTTCAACACGTGGAGAGAAGACAACTGTAGAAAGAACTGACTCGCAAAAGCGAAGCGGATGCGCATCGTGCTTCAGATGTCAAGGTCCTCGATGCACGCACTGGACACAGTTGTAACAAGTGATGTTCGACTTGGTTGGTTCTCCAAGTGGCACCGTCCAAGTCAATAATTGGATATCGTGGGTAATATGACGGAACGAAGAGGAGAGGATTGTATAATCTGGCCACATGCCAGGGTCAAGGAAGGAAGTGCATTTGCGATGGAAGGGGTTGTAGAATAATAGTAAATGCAGGTGTCCCGAAAGCCAGGCGACGACGAGGTGAATATGTGTAGGTATATATCTTTAAGGCTGACAACCTGCACAATTATGAGCCTGTTTGGCCGCTTAAACGTCCTCTGCGTAGGCACCTCTTTAGGTGATCACTGTGACCTGAAGCTATGCCAAGGGGTGGGCGTCGGGGCAGACAGACAGACACTGGAAAATGTGGAGAACGAGATTTTGCCCTCAGTGCCTCCCATAAGACAAAAAACGTGGACAGGCAATCGGAAGATCGTTTGTGCCGATGCGACTACGGAGTAAGTACTAGGTAGGTTAAGCTAAGGCTACGGATGACAATAAGTACTCCGTAGACAAGCCTACGAGTACGGAGTAGTCCAGCGCAGGCTAATAAGATGGGACTCGGTAGTCTTGGACACGCCTTTCAAGAGGCATGGGCACTGGTACTGGACAAAGGGTCAAAGGCTAATTGGCAAAAAAAGGCAACGAGAGCAACAACATGCACCACTTAGGGGCAGGCGACAGGAGTCACCGGCGCCCGAGAAAGCCCGCAGGTACTCGTCGGACCCAAGACACTGGACACTGCCCAGGCCGGGCCAGGACTTAGGGATGATTTGGTGGTTTAGGTGACGGGACAGCCAAAAGTCGCGGGTTGGCACCCACCTGACACCCACCAATGCCACCTAATTCGCAGCTGGGACGCCGTGGACGCTTAGGGTGGCCCAGGTGTCCAACTAAAACTAACAAACTAGTTGAACGTGTCGCTTCCGAGCCTCCTATACTCCAGATTGCGCATCATACCTTCTTTCAACCTCACACGTCGCATTCTGCACCCTCCCACCTCAGAATCAACACAATTCTGCCGCATCTTCTCCATCTCCCATCTCCCTCCATTCATCTCCTGCTGTCTTAATTCCATCGGATTCGGATTCTACGCACCTGATTCCCCATCTGTACTTGCTTTGAGACTTCTCGGACCTTGTCGCTGCTTCCTGCAGCCATCCGCAACACACCCCGTCCACCCTCTGCAAACTGGAGCACCCGCGCCCCTCGCTCGCTCTTCCTTGGGGGCTGGCACGGTCATGTCGCTAACATGGCCGGCCCCAAACAGCCAGAAACCTCCTGACGACGATCATCCCCTTCATTCTCTCCATCGCGACTCTATCCATGGATTCCTTAGAGCTCCCTCGCGCCCTCATACTCCCAGTTCCTTCTCCAGACTCCGCAGTCTCGGGAGTGGCTCACAATCTGGCCAAGCCACAGACACTGAGGCTAACCCCGACCAAGATCCCCAAGTCCTACGTTTCCGCGCCCTCTATCAAGACACAGAATCAAAGTTGTCCACTCTCTTTGATTCACTCGGTCGGGTGGTAGTCACCCACCGGCCTCGCCATAATGGCCTCCTTGCGTCCTCACCTTCGGCTAACGCGCCAAATGGCCTTGACCCCGCCGCGGCCCCGGCTCCACTTTCGAAAAAGAGGAAGCTGGACGACGACTACGACGACTACGACGATGACGACGAAGATGAAGAGCCGGATCTATCAACCTCCTCACCCCTGAAAGACAAGCCAAACAAGGTCCACATTATTGCCGATTCCACCTCATCGCCCCTCGCTCGTCCTGCCCACCTCGCCGGCGCTTTATCTGACTCGACCAAACCTCCCCCGAAGCCCACTGCAGCCCAACAGAAAGAGTCGGCCGAAGATGCTCGCAAGAAACTCGAAGAGGCTAAACGCAAAGAGATCGAGACTGTCCAGTCCTTGTCGCGTTCCATGTTTTTCACTCTGGAAAATGATCGCGACGCCATGCTCGATCAACAACGGCTCGACGAGGCCGAGCGTCGCGCTGAAGCCGAGGCCGAAGGTCATGCAAACCGTCAAAATGCCTCTGCGCAGCAAGGGAGTCTGAGCAAGGCCAATCTCGGCGCCTCTAGCCTTACCTTGAAAAATCTCATCGCCCTCTTGGACGAGCATCGTTCCGCAGTCCATGCCACCGAGTCCGAGTTGCGCGCTCTCATGAGTGAAGTCCGTAAGAACAGAAGCAAGTGGGCCAGTGAAGACAAAGTCGGCCAGGAAGAACTTTATGAATCCGCCGAAAAAGTCCTGACCGAACTCAAGGCACACACCGAGCATTCCACTCCTTTCCTCAACCCTGTAAAGAAGAAGGATGCCCCCGATTATCATGTCATCATCAAACATCCTATGGACCTGGGCACCATGACGAAAAAGCTTAAGCAGTTTGCGTACAAGTCCAAGAAAGAATTCGTCGACGATCTCTGTCAGATCTGGAAAAACTGTCTGCGCTTCAACAGCAGTCCTGACCACCCTTTCCGCAAACACGCCTTATTCATGCAAAAGGAGACCGACAAGTTGGTGCCCCTTATTCCTGATATTGTCATCAGGGATCGTGCAGAGGTCGAGGCCGAGGAAAGGAGACAACAGATCGCCAACGGCGAACTCGACGATGGCGCTGAAGAAAGTGATGATGAACCTATCATGTCATCTAGAGGCCGTAAGGCGCCGAAGAAAAGCACAAAGAGCGTGGGCCAGACCTCCCGCAAGGCACCACCAGAGACTACGCCAGTCCCAGAGACCAAACCCGTATTGCAATCTCTAAGCTCCGTCCAGCAAAACGTTCGTGCCGACTCAGAAGTTGATGGAAGCCAGGGGCAATCAACGCCACCTCCAGGAGGCATCTTGACCCCAATCGGCGCTCAAGGCCCTGGCAGTGTCATCGGAGCTGGCAGTGAAGCATTAGACATGGATCTCCCTGGTCTTCCCGCCCCGGCGCCAGCTCCAGAATACGAAGATGAAGACTATAAACTATGGAAGCAGAAGACGAAACGTGATCGAGCCATGCTCGCCGCAGCTCGACATCGCCTTTTCCGCGGTGATAAACTCAATCCAGACGAAAACGCGCTGCTCAGAAGCAAGGCTGGCATGCGCCGCTGGCAACGCATCCAAGATGAGATTGCTGGCAAGGGCACCGCTGACGTAACTGGACAAGCCGCTGAGCGGGACAAGCTCCAAGGTCAAAGTCTTGCCGAGGGAATGGAAATTGAAGAAGATAGCCTGCTCCCAGACTATTACGATTCGCTCGCAGCAATTCCCGACCTTGAACCTGAGCAGAGGTGGGAACAAGACTCTGAAGGCCATGTTATCGAACACTCGGAACGATATCTCAGACTGTACCCTCCAAATCAGTTCACTGCGCCTCGGAGTAAATTTACACTTAAAATGGAGGCCAATATGCGCCAAATGCAAGAAACTCGAAAGATTGTCTCCAAAATCGGCGTGGTCAAGCAGATGCAATTGCAATCTCAAACCTACCAGAATCAGTTCCAAAAGTACCAACCAGAGCCCTTTGTCGAACAAGACATTCCAAACCACGTTGTCGCTGATGCGGGCCCATTGATTGCTCCTTGGGTGGCCAAGGCTTCTTTTCAAAGGGCAATTGGGCAGGTCTTTTTTCAAGCAGGCTTTGAAGAATTTCAACCTTCGGCCTTGGAAGCCGTGACCGATATAGCAACAGAATTCTTCACTCGCCTATGCACAACAATCATCAATTACCGGGAGGACTACAAAATTCCATCTTCCACAGTTGTGCCAGCAGGTCAGGGCGAGAAGGCGAACACGCCGCCGGCTTATGTAACCCCAACCACCACTGAAGAGGCTATCCTCCATTCCCTCCACACTTCCGGGCTATCCATGAATGACCTAGACGGCTTTGTCAAGGAAGATGTTGATCGCTTGGGCACCCGGCTGACCACTTTGCATGACCGAATGAAAGCGCACCTTGCAGATCTTCTCCGGCCCGCGCTCACGGACGATACTGCACATGGTCACGGCACCTTCGTTGACGGCGGTGAACAGTTTGTTGGTGGCGATTTTGCCGGAGATCTTGATGAGGACTTCTTCGGCTTCCGTGAATTGGGTCTCGACCGAGAGTTTGGCATGGCCAGCCTTACTGTACCATTCCACATCCTTCAAAACCGTCTGGGAATTAGCAATCAACAATCCAACGAGGCAGAGCTGTCCGAGAAGGTTTTCAAAGAGCCACCGCGTTGGCCCAAGGTGAACGTCGAAAATGTGGAAGAACAACCTGGCATCGTCAAAGAATGGTTCAAGAAGCGGTTGCATGATAACGGTGATCGCCCACTCACAGAAGATCTTGAGCTTCCTCCTAAGCAGAGGCCTGGATATGGCCGTGCCCGAGTTCCTGCTAGTGGCAAGATTGGTGATGGAAACCTCAAGAGCAACGCTAGCCCAGTCAAGAAAGCTGCAGCTGCTGGCAAGAGCCAAAATGCTCCTAAACCTCCTCCCATTGCAACCCCGGCCGACAAAGGAAAACGCAAGTCGATTGTCGCCAATGGAATTACCACAGGAGAAGACTCTCCGATCGTCAACGGAGTCAATCCCTCCACGCCTGGCCCTGGTGGTGACGGAAGTCCAACGAAAAAGGAAAACAAAGTTGCTCCCCAAAAGTCAAAAGCCACGCCAATCGAGAAACCCTCAACTGCTGACAAAGACGATTCCATGATGGACCTTTTTGTTGATGTCCCAGAGACCAATGGTGTCGATAAGGTCAATGGCGTGGAAAATGATGGCGATGCTAGCATGATGAGCCCCGAGAGTCTTTAGTTTTGAAAACCCCCCAGAATCGCCCCGATTGGTTTTACGTCTAGAGCGTCGAGTCCTCCCAACTTCTCTAACAGGACACTTCTGGATCGAAAACAACCACAGCCATCAGCGGTATTGTCAGACATATACTTGAATACAGGCAAAAGTATAAAATGCACGCTTTCTACATGTCGTCGAAATCATTTCTCGGGTCAAAAATATCGCTGAAAGTTGGTTTGTCTGAACGGTTGGCTGGCTGGCTGGCTGGCTGGCTGGCCATCTACAATATGCAGAGATGAGTTTTGAAAGGCTCAGGCCAACGACGAGGATGGTTGAAGGCAAGACGAAAACACGAGAGGAAAGAAAAGGAGAGAGAGAGAAGGAGAGAGACAAGATGTCCATGTTTCAGTGCATATACTTACTCAGGCCACTGTATTCTATCATGCCTAGATTCATATCCTACCAAATTAGTACTGTACTTATTTACCAGCTCTATGGCCTACCAGATGGCGTGGTCTTCGATAGAATATAACGTATTGTTGATTTGGGTTGTTGTCTTTGGGACGATTGACTTGATGCGAGCAAGTAGTGTCACACGGCGGGCTGAGGGAGATGAGGAATGAAAATTCTTCTGTCTAGGTTGGTGGGTCTAGCTAGTTAGGCAGTCAGGATAAAGTACCTAATCATTTCACATGAGACAGGTAATGGTAAAGATAGTATGATGTGGCTACTCCAAACATCCAAGTTGTGGTGGGAATGGAAATCGTGGTTTCGTTGTTCGTCGTCCAACTTGAAAGATTCACGTACTCTCTTTCAAATGGGCATCCATTTATCCAGTAGCGAATGGCCTGTGATGTCAGGATATTCCACCGGGCAATATGGATTGCATCAAACCCTTCGTGATATCATTGTTTTTGCTGTCGTTGTCGTCGATCGAACGCCCCTTATCATCCATGTCGACCTGCTACGAACGAAGCCATCCCCACCCCAACCCCATAATCTGCGAACCCACGCTTCCTGGATCAATTATGGAGCACTCACCCCATTCTTCAGTTGCATGCCATTCAAACTATCGCTGGTCCGGAACGTGACATTGTCAACACTAGGCAGACGATGACTTGTGTGAATGACAAGAGGAGATAGATTGAGACCCGCGCGGGATTTCAATGGCGGGCTGCACCGAAAGAGGCGGCTTTCGGGAGACGTTTGCTGATTCCACTTTATAGTATTGTGTTGACAGAAGCACAGAATATTGGGCCGTGCCAGTGTTGTCTGACTTTGCGCTGAACGGGAGGCCTTAAATATGGTGTGCGGTCATGTTCTTGTCGAGAGCGGCTCAGCCAAGTCAGTTGTTACTATGAGAAAAAGCTCCGGACAGTGGCTTGACCATCAGGTTGCAATGTCTGAAGCACTTGGTCAGCATTGACTCCGGTCTGTGTGACCATCTGTTTAGCGCTCTCTGCAACTCTTTTCGCAGTCTGGCCTTGGATCGTCTCAGCCTCGAGTGCTAGTGCAATGTGATGGAAGACTTGTTGCGCTTTGGCAAAAACAGCCGGGTTTTGCCTGTGAGTTTGGTCAGTCACATGTCGTTTACAGAAAAAAGATCAACCTTACTGATCGATGAGTTGCGCGAGGAACGTATAAGCATAAGGGGCAGCTTCTTCGTCGTTCACAATGGGCAAAGTGTCAACCCACTGTTCCACCACTTGCTGGGGATTAGGAACCTTGGATGAGTTGTTGTGCAAGATCTTGGCAATTGCAGCACAAGCATTCTCGGTGGCAAAGATATCGTCCTCACTTCGAGCATTGGGTACTCTGGTGATTTGAAGCAGTGTCTCAACGCTCGCCGCCACGAATTCAGACCATTGCTCGCCACCCTTTTGTGCAGCGATCCCGACACCATATGCTGCTGCTTGGCGGTTAGCAGCGCTTTCGTCCCTCATACCATTGATCAACGGTTGAATAATGTGGTCACTGTATTGCCAGGACTGTGGGCCACAAAACTCGAGGACATCATCCATGATGCAAATGGCCCATTGACGCTGAGTTGCATCGGGAGAAGAGATGAATGCATCGTAAAATGGCATGAGTCTTTGCCAAGCTGGCAGGAAATTGACTCCCATGTTCTTGAAGACAGTGTGGAAGGCTTTGTTCATGTCTGACAGCAAAGTCTGGTCATCCTCAATTGCATACTGCACCGACAAGGAATCGTCCTCGTCTTCTGCTCCCTGTTGGGCAGTCTCGGCTCTTTCCTCGACGCGTTCTTGTACACGCTTCTGGTATTCTTCTAGTGTTGATTTGACTGATTGAATGAATTGTTCCATGTGTTCTTGGGTGAGACAATTCTTGCCCACCACCTCAACACTTTCATAGAAGCACTGGAACATTTCTGCCAGGGTATCGATTGAAGGCTCGGCGCTGAGAATCTCGATTTCTTTGTCGCAACACTTTGCCCATAGTTCTCTAAGCTGTGGTGATTGTTCCCCATATCGTTTTTTGATGGAGCTCAGGAGTTGAGGGATCAATTTAGCAGAGGCAACCCGGACGGGATCATGGAAGAAGAAGGCCAGGCCGGGAAGGGCGATGCGTTCTGTGATATCAGCCACATATGGCTCAAAGTCGGCCTCGAGGATTTGAGCGTAGATTGTGATCAGTTCGATGGCCGTATTTTTATCCTCCAGAGTCGATGTCTTGATGCCGATCACCTTGCCCTTTAGAGGGACCAACTCCCATCCATCTTCTTGTTCAAGAGCATCCTCCTCGTTATCGATCAGTTGAATGTCGGCTTTAGCAGAAGCAAGTTCAAGTAGAGGTGGCATAACGCCTGGGAGATAGGGGACGAAATCTCGGCCCAAAACCCGACACATGCGCCCCCAGCAGTGCAAGAGATACTGCGCCTGTGGGTCGTCGTCATCCTGGATGTTTTGCTGGATATTGCCCAAAGTCTGTACAAGATTGATTCCATCCTGAGCCATTTTCTCCTTTCCAACAGCCAGAGCAATCAAAGTGGCACATTCCATGGCCTTGGCACGTAGGAGCCTGTACTCTTTGTCTTGCTCTCCTTGAAGAACCCGGAAGAGAAGTGGCATGAGTATATCGTAGTAGCGGATGAAAGCGCCTTCGGCGGAATCCGCGATCGTGGCAATGGTCGAAAGTGCCTGCTCCTGGACATATCGCTTGGGCGACTGCAATAACTCCAGCAAAGAACTCAATAGGTCATCTAGATAAGGTTCCAGAATGGCCTTTTCGGCTTCCTCGCAAAAGTTGACGAGTGCGGCGGCAGCGTGAGCTTGGACACGAGGCTCCGGAGCTTTGAGCACGGGAATGATGTTTGTCAGAACAACCTGATGGTATTTCTCCTGCATCGGCCCTGCAAAGTCGGTGCTCATCTGGCCCAATGCGTTGCACCCGGCAAATCTGACCCGCGGGTGGGGATCTCTCAAGGATGGAACAACCAATTCCAGAACTTTGTCGAGTTCACCAATCATCAGGTCTCGACAACCCTCAGAGATGGCGGAAATTGCCATCAATGCGGCGTGACGATCGCGCCACGAAGCCGAATGCATCATACTAGGAAGCCAGGTGAAGGTGGCAGGGAGGATGACGTCTCCGCCCAATTTGTTTGCAAGACGGTCCATACATTGCTCCCCAGCGACATGGTTAAGATCGCTCTCGTCTAGATCAAGATCGTCACTGGCGTTCCATTCGGCAGCATCGTCGTCGTCAACGCCGACATCAGTCATGAGGCTCAAGCACTGAGTAACCATGTCAGTGGTATAAGACGCATCTTTTTTGCACATGACAGGAGCAAATTCTGCAAAAGTGGCCATGAGTTCAAGGGCATTTTGACGACATTGGTCATCGATCTCTTTGTCTTGGACAACGGAGATGGTAAACTTCACAAGGTTGTTGAAGAAGTTCTTGAACATCTTTGGAGCAGCTTCAGCAAGCTCAATGAGTGAGTTGAAAGCCTTGGACAGATTCTCTGTATCGCCGGCTTCCTTGATGGGGGGCAAGATGTTCAGAATGTCGGGGATCAAGGCATAATATTTAGGCTGGGCCTTTTTGGTGATGGAGTGGAAGAAGGCGCCAAAGGCTTCAATAGCAGCCAAACGAACCTGATGAAGATATTAATGGAGGGATAGGGGAGAGGAGCCGAGGGCTCTCACATCAACATTATCATCTTTGAATCCCTTGCCAAAGACCTCTTGCACGGCAGATTCATGTTGTTTCTCAATAATGCTCGGCATGCTGGCGAATATTCGAAAAGCACACTCGCGCATGGCGGGGTCGTTGGACTGGCTTGCCTGGAACAAGGCGCCGAGAAGTTCCATCCATACCTCGCCTGTGATTGAACGTTAGAATGGGGCATGTGGACTTGAGACAAGCGGCGCATGACACGTACCATTGTCAATGTATTGTCTGGCGATTTCAGCGATGGCATCGCCAATCTTGTTTCTGACAGAGCGGATCTGTTCTCTTGCAAGGCTCTCGAGTAGTTTGGAGCGGATGGCCATGCGGGCTTCAGCGCTCAGTGTGAGGAAAAGTTCTTTGGATTCCCCCGTGGTGGGACTCTTGCGAGTTTTGGAGGATTGCTTGCGGAACAAGACTGCGGCGAAGGATCTCGTCTGTCAAGTCTTAGTACAATGCCAAATAATCTTGAGGTAGACGTACTGAAGAATCAGCAGCAGCCTGCATCTGTTCGACCAAGCCCATGAGGAGCACATCAGGTCGATTGGTAGTCCAGTCATTGTTCAATTGTTCTTCGGCCTGAGCACGAAGGGAGTTCTCCGGGGAAGAAAGCGCTTGTAGCAGTTGAGTCAGGGCTCCCTGCGCCTCGGCAGGGAGAATCGACATTTTCAGGAAAAGGTGGCTATCGACGCATGCAACCACAGAAAGAGCGATGTTCGAGAGACTGTCGGACTGCGGCTAAAGAGGAAAGGGTATAAAAGGCTCAGGTGCAGTCGAGGAGTTTGGGGTTTTGTCTAGCTATCAATTGCCGACCATAGACTGGTGGGGGTATCGCAGCGTGCGAGGTTGTGAAGTTGTAGAGTGGAGGTGTTTGAAAGGGATAGGGAAACGAGATAGAGGAGGGTTGACGCGAGCTGAGGACACGCCAATCGAACAGACGAGTGTCGGGAGGGAGGAGAGACAGACTCGAGGGAGGTTGAGGGTTGATGGATTTGTGACAGAGTGTTTCCAACAGCGGGCCTGTCAGTGTTAATGTTGATGTGGTGTCGCTTGTTGTGTGGTCAATTGATCGATCAGTAAAGTCACAATCAATCAGTTGAGGGCAAAGCGAAATAATAATATTTTGGCACCAATAACGACGAAGGAACGTGAGAATCTCATAAACGGTTAGATCAAAACCTTAAACCGACGATTGTGTGCTCGCTGCTTTAATTGTAAGTTAGATTGGTGCCTGAAGGCTGAATTCATTTAGTGTGGAGACTCCACACATGGCATTAGAAGCAATGTCCTCCATAGACGCTTCAGAGGGTAATTCCATCTGGTATAAGTACAATCCGACTCTTGACCTTGCCATGGTGTAGTCTGTCTAGGACCTCTGGCAGATTCGATAGCTTATCCAGTTCAACTTGGGGCACAAGCGCCCCTCTTGCGATCAGATCAAGACCGGCCTTCATGTCTACTATAGTCCCACCCATACTACCAAGAACATCTACATGTTTCAGCACTGTGGTTTGAGAGTGCAATGTCATGTGCTCTGCCATCATCCCAATGAGAACAACCGTTCCACCAAGACGGACTGGGCTTTGGTGTCAACACAACTAGTTAAAAGGCAGTGTGTTTGATCTTTGACTTACCGACTTCAATCCCAGTCTGAAGTGATTCTGTGTTGCCCACAAAGTTCAAGACCTTGTCAATCACAATTCCCTTTTCTCTGATCCAATTGGCAATATTGTCGACATTTGAAGGGACGACATCCTCTCTCCGCACACCAAACTTGACTGCTTCCTCAAGGACTGTGTCTCGTTTATCGACTGGGATGACTCTAGCTTTGAGGTCTAGGAGGATTTGCAAGGCATTGAAACCGAGACCCCCAAGCCCATATAGAAGAACAGTCTCTCCCGCTTGTACATTTGCTCTGCCCACAACTGCATGATGTGCAGTCAGGACAGCGTCAGTTGCAACGGCACCATGAGCAGGGGATACCCCCTTTGGCAGCTTGAGAGCTGCGTGTGCCTGTATGGCAACATAGGGAGCAAAAGAGCCGTCTATTTCCAAGCCATACTTTGGGCCAACGGGACACACTTGTGGGAAACCTCGCGAACAAACCGAGCAATTCTTCTCATTGCAGCCAGGGACGCTGATAATTGAGACCATATCGCCCACGGCAAACCCACTAACTTTGGGACCGAGTCCTACAATCTCACCACAGCCTTCATGGCCCTGTTGTCGACCAGAAAGAATTTTGTGTCAGCCAATCAAGTTCCAAACAATACATGGTCCGTTTGATCTTGTTCAATTGCAGGTAAAGCTTACCATAGTGAAAGGATCTAGGCGAAGAGAAGCCAATGGAGGGGCTTTGGATTCCAATATACTGATATCGCTATGGCAGACTATCACATGTTATGACTCTTTTGACAGAAAAGTGCTCCATATGGTGAGACTCCAACTTACCGCCAGCGGCCCAAACTTTGATCAACATGCCATCGTCAGGAACCTGCGGTACTGCAACCTCAACATAACTCTACGAAGGTGGTCAGAGCCATAGCTTCGAATTATCGTCCTGTTTCATTTACCGGCTCACTCCTCGTGTAGTCTTTTCGCCATGTAAACATCGTTTTAGGAATTTGGGTCGCCATTTTGTTTTCGTCAGAGGCTGAGTGCCTGTTCTCGAGCTGGCCTTGTTCAGTGATTTGATAGTAACCTGAAAGCAACCAGAGATATGGGAGATCAAAGCTTGTACTTAGTAGAGCATACACTCCCCTGGCGAGCAGATCTTCAACTTGGTATAATAGCCCTGTGGTAGTACAAGAGTATTTTTGGGCACTCAACGCAAATGGGTCCCAGAAATAGTTACCTGGGCTTGTGTGGTTATGCTGGTTGGCACCGAGCCCTAACCCAAGTCTCGGAAGTATTTGCTTCCCGCAGCGTTTGACTATAGTACAATGTTTCAGCCACCTACCAGAACCCGGAGATCGAGAGCGACCTCCGGATTCTGTCTGTTCCATGTTACCAACTTGTCGGAACAAGGCGCTGCATGTATTTGCAACATTTGCTCTACAAATTTCCGTTTACAAGGCTTGCTAATCGAGCAGCGGCATTGAAATTGGCAAACTTGTCTTACTTCAAAACTGCACCATTTCCCACTGTTATCGTCAAATCGCAGCTAACAAGCCAGTGTCCAGCATACAACTGACAACTAGATAGGTATTTACATCTGTCACTATGGTGGAACTTTTTGGCATTGAGGTCGGGCCTATCGGCTACGGCATGATGGGACTGACTTGGCGCTCAGTCGTGCCATTGGAGCAGGAGGATTGCATTCACCTTCTGAACACAGCGTTTGAAAGCGGTGCAAGATTTTGGAATGCTGGAGAGTTCTACGGAACTCCGGAGAAAAACTCACTTCACTTGCTCAAGGAATACTTCACTCGCTATCCCGAGAGAGCATCCCAAGTGGTGCTCAGTATTAAAGGTGGCCTTGACCCGGTTAAGATGACACCAGATGGTTCGGAAAAGGGCGTTACCAGATCAATAGAGCAAAGCATCCGCGTTCTTGATGGCACTAAGAAGATTGACATCTTTGAATGTGCTCGAGTGGACCCAGAAGTGCCTATCGAAGAAACCATCACGGCGTTGGCCCGCTTCGTCAAGGAGGGAAAGATTGGCGGAATTGGCTTGAGTGAGGTCCGCGCTGAGACAATAAAGCGAGCGCACAAAGTCCACAAGATTTCGATTGTGGAAATCGAGCTGTCTCTTTGGACCACGGACGTGCTACAAAATGGCATTGCGGAAACTTGCCATAAGCTAGGAATACCAATGGCCGCCTATGCGCCATTGAGTCGAGGAGCTTTAACTGGGAAATTCGTTACCAAGAACAGCGAGTTGCCAGAGTCTCGTCGTGCTTATCCTAAATTCCAGGACGAAAACCTCGAGAACAATCTACGCCTATCAAAGGAGATAGAGAACATGGCGAAAGCAAAGAACTGTACACCTACCCAGGTCGCCCTTGGATGGATCACTAGCTTGGGTCAACACAAAGGACAAATTATCATCCCAATCCCAGGAGCTGAGAAGGAAGAATGGGTCCGTCAAAACTCCACAGCAGTTACTTTGACAAAGGAAGAGATGCAGCATATTGACGACGCACTGCAAGCCAATCGAACTCGTGGTGACCGCTACTGGGCTGCCTTTGCCAAATACTGCGAAGAAAAGTGAAGACGACGATGGCTTGTGAGATACAATCATGAGAAGTAAATAGCATTATGACAAGACAAATATGGAACTTCTCCTTAACCAGTGATCTTTTCAATGCCGAAATTTCCTGGTTAGGCTTACCGTGTACTAGAGTCAGATAGTGGATGTAGTTATGAAAGCATTGGTGAATGTGCGTCCTCTTCCATAATCGACTCGTTCTATTTCAATTATTACTCGTCATTGTCAAAGTTAAGGTGGGCCTGTGTCCAAACAATGCATGAAACTTCCTTTAAAAGGTCTTTATATCTTGCACGTCCTCTCGAAGCTTATATCTTAATGTCAATGATAACGCCTTTGCGGATCAAAAATTCCTCGATGCCTGCCCCAGCATTATTAGTTCCCCAACCACTGTTCTTCACTGCGGTGAAAGGGAAGGTAGCTAACGCCCATGGTCAGTATAGTGCTCTAATCATTCCAAGAACCAGTACTAGACTTACGCTCATGGGCAGTTCCATTGACTCGCATCTTTCCAACGTCCAACTGTCGAGCAAAATACAACGCTCTTTTGAGGTCTTGTGTGTGCACAAAGGCGTCCAAGCCATAGCTGGTCTCATTAGCCAGCTGGACAGCCTCTTGATCGGTCTTGACCACAATGACTGTTGTTGTCGGAGCAAAGCTTTCTTCGTCCCAGATCTTCATGTCCTTGGTTACACCTGTGAGCAAGACAGGAGCAAGGGACGTCTTGTCAAGATACTCAGGCTTTCCGAAGAGAAACTGGGCTCCTTTCGACTGTGCATCCACAAGCAGATTGTATGCGTTGTTCGCTATTCTTTCGTTCACGCCCGTTGACTTTGGAAAATCGGAAGCCTTTTGCTTGAGCAAGCTGATGAACTTCTCTGACACCTTTTCTTGTACAATGATTCGTTCGCACGAGAAACACACTTGTCCGTGATGCATGAAAGCTTAATGAGTCAGCAGTCAGTATAGTCGACATCGGATAGAGGGCCTTGTCAATATACCATATCTTATAGCTTTGCTCGCTGCCTCCTCAAGCTGTTCGTCATTCAAGTCATCGAGCACGATAGTAGGGCACTTTCCTCCCAGCTCCATGACAACTGGCTTCAGGTATTTTCCACTGAGAGATGCAATGTGTCTTCCGACTGAGGCACTGCCGATGAATTCGACTTTTCGAATGGATTTGTGGGAGACCAGAGCCTCCACAATTGCCGGCGAGCGATCTCGGTCGCACTGGATAACACTGATGACCTCTGGTGGAACTCCTGCCTCGATAAATAGCTTGATAAGAAGATGATGCGTTCGTGGTGATAACTCTGACGCTTTGAACACAACTGTACAGCCTGCTCCAAGTATCGATGCCAGGCTCCTTGTTGCCAATACGACACTTGCATTCCACCTAGATATGACGATAAGCTTCAATCTTGCGGGTCTCACAGGGGGGTTCCTCACGGTGCCATCAGCAACACTGGACCAATGGATTCCTTAAAGACGAATCCCATGGGACCTTGAGTCGACATTGAGGGAATTTCGCCCGCGCAAGCGACTGTCACTCGAGCGGCGATTTCGGCCAAGGTGATCGTCACGTATTGAATGTTGAATTCCGCCCAGGATTTCGCGCAACTTGTTTCCTCCATCTGCGCCGCCACCAACTCGTCCTTTCGCTCGATCAACAAGTCTTTCATTCGGTTAATGATATCTCGTCTGGACACGGGCGTACTGAGTTTCCAATTCTGGAACGCATCCCATGCAGATTCTGCCGCTGAAACTGCATGTTTCACAGTTGCATTGTGAGCGCTGGTCACAACCTTGCCTTGTTCCGCCGACACCACATTTATCCTGTCAGTATCAGTAGAGGTAACCTCCTTGCCATTGATCCAGAGAGGGACTTCAGGAATGTGCTGGTGGCCGTTCATGATGAATAATGGGGTTTGTTCTGCTCCCTTTGGCTAATTATCTAGGAGTTTTGTTTCTCGGTTTGGAAAGTCAAGATCTTTTGAGACTTGAGAATATCAGCAATCGCCTTGCCTTGTCGAAGCACTTCAATATATTCAGACTGGCTGACCTCCAAAAAGTATGAAGCATACCAGATACTCGACCAATCCGTGGAAAATGTTCCTCCGGCCATATCATCTAGCTCATCGAGGGCAACAGCAATCTCGGACCCTGTTACTTCCGAGGTTGAAAAATCATAGGCACGTGTCACAATACAACGTCTTCCTCACACGCTCATACTCGTTTCCAACAATCAGCTTAGCCCGAGGCGGCCCTTCTCCAGCAGGCAGAGAAGAAGATGACAATCTATGCTGCTGTGCGGCGTCACTTTTGCAATATGAGAATTGATTGAAAGCAACTCGGATATCCATCATAAGGAGCCGGCCATGTTCCAGTGTTATGAGAATTAGATGCTTCAGACCAGGCAATACGCACTGTAGCCTAGGTACCGATCCTCATACCAGGTTCCTCCAAGTCCTGTACATTTTCATAATCTCTAGTGCAACGTGTTTCATTTTCGTTATGATGTTGTAAGCCAATTGAATCCGCCTCGATCCCACCACGCCGTTGAGAGCAAAACTTATCGATCGTTCAGTCGGAGGATCATATCCTCCATCCCTTTCATCCCGATTTATGGCGCCCAAAGCCTCGAATTCGTGGACTCTCTCCCAATAAAGAATAGACCACCCTAACCCCTAATGATTCCACGCCATGAAGCCTCCATCATTGAATCTGCATATATTCCATCTCACTGTCCAGCGCCTCGGACGCTGCGCTTGAACCCTGCACCTCCGCCTGCTTCGCCTGTGCGACGGCCTTCTGGCCCATCCTATAAATCTCCTCGGCTGCACATCGTACATGCTTCATGTGCGACAGATTACTGTCCGAGAGACCTGAGTTGAACTGGACCTTCTTGGTCACGATTTCGAGACATTCGCCCAGCTGCTTGAGGTCGCAGGCCGCGGAGGCGCTGAGCGGATTGAGGAGGATGTTGGAGAATAGCACCAATGCGGCGGAGATGGGGTAGAAAAGAATGATCCTAAGAAGAACCCAACGTGAGTTTTTTGGATTGAAGAAGGGGGCGTGCCGAGGGAGGAGCGGGGTGTCGGCGTTACCAGAACAGATTGGGCAGAAAGATAGGCTCCATGCTATTGAGATAGCTGAGCAAAGACCTCGACGACTCCAGCGCCAGCTCCATGCTGGTAGTTAAACCTTGGTCGATCATGCGATTGTCCGCCCAAGTCTTACACCGACTGCCCGCCTGGTGAATTGTCGTCATGCAGTGGTGATACTCCAACCTTGTCAAAATCGGATTGATGTCCGCGGCGGTAATATGCGGCGAGCGGGTGATTTTGGTGTCTTCGGAGAAGGACAGCGTCGGGCGGGATTCGAGTGGGAGTGACAATCTCCAGTTCTCCAGCATGTCGTCGAGTTCACGGATGTCGCGGAGGATCTCGGCGTCGGAGTTATTGAGCGAGTGTGGGGAGTAGAGCTTCTCATACGCCTTAGACTTGATGATGCTCAACCGTAGGTCGCCTGGTAGCTTTGCGACGCCGGTGAACCCGGGTGATATTTGCTTCAGGTAATACGCTGGAAATGTGAGATCGCAAGAGGTGTATGCCATGATTGGGGGTCGACCGGTGCGGAATGTGATTTCCATGTCCAAGGTGAAGCACATCCAGAACAGGTCGCGGCGGTGGAGGACTGCCCTTGTTTCCAGATCGCGTTGTTCCTCGGGACTCTCGTCCATGGTCTTTCCTGGATACAAGTGAGCGCCCATCGTGAACAAGAGCCGGGAGGCCAAGCTCAGAGAGATGTCGGCGGCGTGGATACTACCACAGCTGAAGTGGTAAATTACCTAGAAAAGGATGAGCAGGCAGGGTGTGAGTTCTCTGCAACATGTAATGGAACAGGAGCTTACTTACAAGCATCACCAGGGCGTCTACTATTTCAGTGCTGGCCCTAGCGGCGTAAATATATGGAGTCAGTTGTTCGGCCACCTCATAGACTCTGGCATCAGTGTCAGGTATCAAGTTAGGTCTCTGGTTGCCCATCAACGGACCAGTTGCCAGAAAAGCAAAGATGTAGGCCTTGAGCAGAGCCGCTCTGCGCTCGTCAGTGATATCTGAACTGTACGCCTCATCAATGGTTAATGCGAACAACACAGGATCTACGAGTGGTAATTGGACAGCGAATCCCGATGACTGGTAGTATGCAAAAAGCGCGTCGACAAGATGTCGTGCAGGTAAATCTTGCATACTAGGCCGGGGTAGACATCCTGGCTTGAACAAGGTTTGCTGGTTCTGCCACAGGGGGATCTGAGGCCAGTTGAAGGCATTGTCTTCATGGCGGAATCCAATCCATTTCTGGCCTTTTGGGGTGATGTATGGTACACCATGAAAGACATTGATGTCGCCAAGTTTGTAAGATGTCAGGAAGATTCGGCCAAGACTGTCAACAGACGGATCTGAGGACGTTGTGTTGGTGACGGAGGTGCCAGTGCCAGCGCCAATGGAGATCTGACTTGTCTCGTCTTCGCCTGGAACAAGCGAGATTCAAAATTGTCAAGTTAGCCCAGTGGATACATCATCTAGCAGCCGAATCGCCGCTTAAGTAATCTGTCTGGGCAACTCACGTCTTCTGAAATTCTCGATCAAAATCTGTTCGATCCTCCCAATGCGCTGGATGATGTTCTTTTTCCGAAGCTTGCTATGACAAAGTGGTCAATATCCTACCTCCATACACTGGTCTCACCTCTCTGGGTTGTATCACTTTCGTACATTGAACCCGCCTGCCTCTTCCGCCTCCCTCCTTTAACCCTGTTGAAGGTACATGTGACATTATGGTGTCGACACCAATCGCAGGGGGGCGTACTGCCATCGCATTTGATCTAGTCCTATTCAGCAACTGCTTTCGTCAACAAAACAATGTATCACCAGCGACAAACCTTTCGGCGGTGGCACGAATCACATGCATGACACGCGCGTCGAGGTGGAGTGCTGATTCCGCTGCTGCCGCCCGTTGGGGGATCGGAGACGGGAGAGTCTGACGCTTGAGACATCGCTCGCGAGATTTCCCCCTTTGGTTTGAGCCTTGGGGATAATGGAAGATCGAAGCGTTCGTCCCGAGCTAAGTTTTGCGCTGCGTGGACTTGAGGCGATGGAAATCTACGGTATTTCTCTGATGGTGACCTTACTAGTACACCTGGATTTGGCCAATGAGCTCACATGTCACTCGGATCAATGAAGACACAGAACCCGGGGTGGAGTTCATCGCGTCAGTCAAGATGGCACCGGCTCACACACTCGGCTCGTTTGATGACTTCGAAGTGCCGCTGACTAAGTAGCATTGACCAATCAAGGCAACCCTATACTTCCGCTTACTTAAGCGGACCTTCGTGGTGACAAGGCGCCGCTGCATGTCCAGACAAGGGTCCATCAGGGGGCTGTGTGGTCATCCTTTCATATCGGCCAATGTTCAAAGATTGTTCCGGTGCCATAGCGTTGGGATGAGAGATGAGAGACAGGCAGGATACCCTTGTGGAACTCTCAACCTCCGGGCTATCGCGGAAATGGCGCGTCCAGGATATTCAGAGTCGATTCATGCACAAACTACCAAGATACGTGAGTGTTTATTTTCCTTTGCAGTTTCCTTTATAAGTATCTGGCTCGTTGCATCTTTTGAGTAATGTAATCGTCACCTGTTCTCTCCTTTCACCAGATTCCTGCCCAGCATGCAGCGGTCAGAATCCAACGCATCAAAGACCTCTGCATCCAGAGCTGCAGCACAACATGGGGATTCGCTTTGGCAAACGATAACCCGCCAATCGACTTATTCCACACGCAAGGCCGACAATGATGCACGTGATGTTGATGGGAGTGAAGATGAAAATGATCCGTACGATCCCACCTGGGCTCTGGCAGATGAAGTCAAGAGACGAGTTGAAAGCGACAAGGCCAGTGGCCTCAAAGAACGGAAACTTGGTCTCACCTGGAAAAATCTCACTGTCTATGGCGAGGGTGCAGGAACTCTGGTCCATGAAAATGTCTTTTCCACGTTCAACATTCCCACTCATATTGCAGAGTCCAGACAGCGAAAAAAAGGTTCTTCCAGAAGAGCCCTCATCCAGAATAGTTTCGGCTGCGTGAAGCCAGGCGAGATGTTGCTTGTACTCGGAAGGCCGGGCTCAGGCTGTACAACCCTTCTCAGCACGTTGGCCAATCGCAGATACGCCTATGTGGGTGTCGAAGGAGATGTTTTTTACGGCTCGATGGACTACAAACAAGCAAAACGATATCGGGGCCAGATTGTTATGAATACTGAAGAAGAGCTCCATTTCCCATCTCTCACTGTTGGTCAAACAATGGACTTTGCCACGAAGATGAAGATTCCAGATCATCGACCAGAGGATATGAAGGGCCCTCTGGAATGGCAGAAGGCCTTTAAAGACTTCCTTCTTCGATCCATGGGTATTGAACACACACATAATACTAAAGTCGGTAACGAATATGTACGAGGTGTGTCAGGAGGAGAGCGCAAGCGTGTATCGATCGTCGAAACTATGGCTACACGAGGAAGTGTCATGTTCTGGGATAACAGCACACGAGGTCTTGATGCAAGCACTGCTCTCGAGTGGACTAAAGCAATTAGAGCCATCACCGACATCCAGGGAATCGCTAGCGTCGTCACACTCTATCAAGCCGGGAACGGAATTTTTAACCTCTTTGACAAGGTTCTCGTCCTGGAAGAAGGTAAACAAATCTTTTACGGTCGGACAGAAGAAGCACGCCCCTTTATGGAGAGTGTTGGATTTATTTGTGACGATTCTGCTAATGTTGGGGACTTTCTCACTGGCGTTACTGTGCCGACCGAGCGGGCTGTGAAACCAGAGTTTGAACATCGATTCCCGAGAACAGGTGCCGCGATCCAAGAGATTTACGATAGGTCTGAGATCCGAGCACGCATGGAATCTGAACTCGAGTATCCCAACTCCGACGTCGCGAAAGAAAACACTGCCGAGTTCCAAAGATCTGTCAAGGAAGAAAAGGCCAACAGTCTGCCTAAGAACTCGTCTCTCACTACGCCCTTCCCGGCACAAGTCATGACCTGCGTCACTCGCCAATATCAAATCATCTGGGGCGACAAAGCCACATTTTTCATCAAACAGATTTCTTGTCTCGTCCAAGCGCTCATTGCCGGATCTCTATTCTATAATGCTCCCGGAAACTCTGCTGGTCTCTTCGTCAAAGGAGGTGCTCTTTTCTTCGCCCTGCTATACAATTGTCTCGTCGCCATGAGCGAAACCACTGAATCATTCACCGGCAGACCAGTGCTTGCCAAGCATAAAGAATTCGCGTTCTATCACCCTGCAGCATTCTGCATTGCCCAGATCACAGCGGATCTTCCCATTCTCTTTGTGCAGGTTACCCTTTTCTCCGTCGTTCTATACTGGATGGTCTCACTGAAAGCAACGGCAGCGGCATTCTTCACTTTCTGGATCTTCGTTTACTCGGCGACGATCTGCATGACGGCTTTCTTCCGTCTCGTCGGCGCCGCTTTCAGCAACTTCGATGCAGCTTCTAAAGTGTCCGGCTTCGCCGTTGCGGCGTTAGTCACCTACATTGGATACCAAATTCCCAAACCTCAGATGCACCCTTGGTTGGTGTGGATTTACTGGATCGATCCGCTGGCGTATGGGTTCGAAAGCCTGATGGCGAACGAATTTCACGACCAGCACATTCCCTGCGTCGGGTCAAGCCTCATCCCTAGTGGAGCGGGATACGATGCCAGCTTCGCCGCTTGTGCTGGCGTGCGAGGTGCTGCAAGGGGCGCCAACTTCGTTACTGGCGACCAGTACTTGGAATCTCTTTCGTACTCACATTCTCATCTATGGAGAAACCTGGGAATCATTTGGGCATGGTGGGCGCTATTTGCTTTCTTGACGGTTTTCTTCACCAACCGATGGAAGCCCTCCTCTGGTGGTGGAGCACTGCTTATCCCACGTGAACATGTCGCCCGCAGCAAGCCCAATGTCGTTGATGAGGAATCCCAGGTCCATGAAAAGGAAGGAACGAGCAGCGCCAGCTCCCTTACTGCTCGTGAGAAGGGTGATGGCGGAAAGGTTGACAACGGCACGGAGAGCAAGTTGATCCGAAACACTTCAGTCTTTACTTGGAAGAACTTGTGTTACACGGTCCACACCCCGTCAGGCGACCGACAGCTTCTCGACAATGTACAAGGCTGGATCAAACCTGGTCAGCTAGGAGCCTTGATGGGCTCATCAGGAGCGGGCAAAACCACACTTATGGACGTCCTAGCACAACGTAAGACCGAAGGTGTCATTCGCGGTAGCATCTTGGTTGACGGCAAAGAGCTGCCAGTCTCGTTTCAACGCTCCGCTGGCTATTGTGAGCAGCTTGATGTTCATGAGCCATACGCTACGGTACGTGAAGCCCTGGAGTTCTCTGCATTACTTCGGCAGCCTCGAGATATACCTCGCGAGGAGAAGCTTAAGTACGTCGACACGGTCATCGATCTACTTGAGCTGCACGACCTCGAGAACTCTCTTATCGGCCGTGTTGGCGCTGGACTCTCGGTTGAACAACGTAAACGAGTGACGATCGGAGTTGAACTCGTTGCTAAACCGAGTATTCTTATCTTTCTTGACGAACCCACTTCAGGCTTGGATGGCCAAGCGGCATTTAATACACTTCGATTTTTGAAGAAACTCGCGGGAGCAGGCCAAGCTGTGCTCTGCACTATCCACCAGCCCTCTACACAGCTCTTTGCTCAATTTGACACCTTATTGCTCCTCGCCCGAGGTGGAAAGACAGTGTACTTTGGCGAGGTAGGTGAAAATGCAGCTAAGGTGAAAGAGTACTTTGCTCGAAATGGCGCTCCTTGCCCTCCCGAAGCAAATCCCGCTGAACATATGATCGACGTCGTCTCTGGATCATTGTCGAAGGGTAAGGATTGGGCCAAGGTATGGCTCGAGTCTCCCGAGCAAGCCAGCGTTGCCGAAGAGGTCAACCAAATCGTTGCCGATGCAGCTTCGAAACCTCCTGGAACTGTCGATGATGGCCATGAATTCGCGACTCCTTACTGGGAACAGACAAAATTGGTCACTCACCGAATGAGTGTCTCGTTGTTCCGGAACACCGAATACGTCAATAATAAATTTGCCCTTCATATTGGCTCTGCTTTGTTCAATGGCTTCACCTTCTGGATGATCGGTAATGCGGTTTCGGACATACAACTGACGCTTTTCGCGCAATTCAACTTTGTCTTCGTTGCTCCCGGTGTGATTGCCCAACTTCAGCCCCTCTTCATTGAACGCCGTGATCTCTACGAAGCGCGGGAGAAAAAGAGCAAGATGTACCATTGGGGACCTTTCGTCACCGGCCTAGTTGTTTCGGAAGTCCCTTACCTTATCATCTGTGCAGTCTTGTACTACGTCTGCTACTACTACACCGCCGGCTTACCAGGTGATTCCAGCAAGGCCGGTGCGATCTTCTTCATTATGCTGCTCTACGAGTTCTTATACACCGGCATCGGACAGTTCATCGCGGCCTATGCCCCTAATGCTGTGTTCGCATCTCTGGTCAATCCTTTGCTCATCGGTACTCTGATATCCTTCTGCGGTGTGCTAGTGCCTTACGCCCAGATCCAAGAATTCTGGAGGTACTGGCTGTACTACATCAACCCTTTCACCTATCTCATGGGCGGCTTACTGGTGTTCCCTCTGTTTAGCAAGGAGATCCACTGCAAGGAGCCGGAGTTCGCCGTCTTTGACACTCCCTCGCATCAAACCTGTCGAGAGTATCTTGCCGACTACATGCAAGGCATGGGCGCCGGTATAAACCTTGTCAACCCTGATGCCACCAGCGGGTGCCGTGTTTGTCAATACACCATGGGCAGCGACTATCTGTCCACCGTTAATCTGAAGGATTATTACTATGGCTGGAGGAACATTGGAATATTGGTTATTTTCGTGATCAGCAGTTATTCCCTGGTGTACGTGCTAATGAAACTGCGGACCAAGGCAACCAAGAGAGTGGGCGATTAGGCCCACAGGGTGTATTCATGGGAGCCCGGGTGTTTTCTCCTTTGCTCAGTCTTTCAATGATAAGATTCCTGATAGAAGTTATAGATATAGACATGTTTGATAGATGTTTTTCGTCGCAATGGAACACTACCTACCAAGTTTTTTGAATCAAATACGACTAGCTCCTGGAACCTCCAAAGCAATTGAACAGAGGACTCTAGGCGCTAAATGATGGTCGTGGAATGCAATTCAGTATCGAAAGTCCGCCTCTTAAGGCTAGGAATTCGAACGACGCATTGTCAATCCACTCAATCTTATGTGGGGCTGTTAGGAATGGAATAGGGAGTAGGCAGGATAGCTAGTATAAGTGGTTATTTATCTATTCGCTCCTAGATAGGTATCCTTATAACTTAGACTTAAAGTATAGAGGTTGTAAGGTCCTTATATACGTTAAGTAGGAAAGTAAGTAAGCGCGTCTTACTTGGCTTAGCTACGCTAAGCCCCCTAGGTTAGGTAATATCTAGTCTATTAGCTTTATATATAATAATATCCCCCTCCCCCCTGGCTTCTCGTCCTTAAGAAGCGCTAGGTTATTAGTGATATAGGTATATATAAGTCGTATCCTCTTCCTATATATCTCGCGTAATCCTTTATAGTAAAACTCTAAGTTTAGTAGTAGCCCTCTCTAGCGGTACTTTACTATATAGGCGCCTATATTATAGTTATTATTATATAACCCTATTATTACCTATCTTTCTAAATTACTTTACTTAAAGTAGTAAGAGTATATTATAATATCCTCTAGAAAAGATTTTCATCTCCTTTTTTCTTTCTCTTTTCTTCGCCCTATTATAGTAATTATAAGTACTCCTAGGCCTTGACATAGACTAGGTTAACCCACGGGGTTTAGGGTCGGGTTAGGTTTAGGGCTAGGCTAGGTTAGCGATATTACTAGCCTAAAACCCTACCGGGCGGGCTAAGATTTTTAAAATTAGCCTAAAACCCAGCGGGTTAACCCTAACTTTAATCTATATTTAGGATTTCCCATTTAGGAAGGTAGTATTTCCTATTTAGGACTTTTATAAACTAGGACTCTAGATTTTCTAGCCTTTACTAGCTACTTAAAGTTAGCCTAATACTAAGCGGGGCTAAGAAAAAAACCCGAACCTAACCTAACCCGACCCTATTTTTTCCGGGCTGGGTTGGGTTCTCCCTATTTAGGACCTAAAACCCTAACGGGGGGGTTAAGAGACCCTAAAACCCAGCCCAACCCGGCCTATGTCAAGGCCTATAGTTAATTATCTATTTACTCCTAGATAGGTATCTTTATAACTTAGACTTAAAGTACAGAGGTTATAAAGTCCTCTTATATATTAAGTAGGAAAGTTAGTAAGCGTATATTACTAGGCTTAGCTACGCTAAGCCCCCTAGGTTAGGTAATATCTAGTCTATTAGCCTTATATATAATATAACTATACTTATCACGGGGTAGCCTGGATATCCCCGCCTAGCCTAACCTGAGCTAAGACTAGCTAAAGTACTACTACTTCTATATATACCGCCTACGAGGAGATAGAGATTTCTTCTAGTAAATAGTATTAGAAGTCTCTATATTAGTAGACGGCTAGCTACTATCTCTAAGTACTATACGCCTAGTCCTATTAATCTAACTAGCCCTCTTATAATACTAAACTATCTAATAGATAACTCTCTAGTATCTTTCTATCTCCTCTATATCCTCTTATTAAAGGAGGATATATCCTTGGATTATGACTTAGCATCGCTAGTCTTACCTATTCTAGAACTTAAGTAAACTAACTAACTAATCCTCCTATCGCCTCACTATACTAGTTAAGTCCTTTATCTAATTTAGTTAGTGTATTTAGTAAGTTTAGTAAGAAGAACGAGTTAAGTAAATCTACAGAGAGAGAGTCTATCTTAGTAAGCTACGCCCCACGATATTAACCTTATCTTTTCTCTCCTATCCTAGTTATTAGTTCAGCGTTATTCCCGCGCGCCGAAAACGTATATATCCTCCCCTATAGTATTAGAGGAAGTACTACACGACAGCCGTAGTAAAACTTATCTACTAGGGTACACTTATTACTATATACATGTAAAACTTAATACTAATACCTAATTGCCCTATAAGTTATTCAAGCCTACCAGACCCTTGACCTAGGGAATTATGAGAATATTGATTATATTGCTATGTCTACAAAATCAGGTGATCGACAGAGCATTATTGGGCTAGATTAGAATAAATTGGAAATAATCATCATGGCTAATGACTGAGAGAGGCAGGGAGAAGGAACATTACTCCGAACACCTATGTAGACTCGAGTGATATTTAAGGATTACTTTGTACAAGCATGTCGACCGTATAGATGTCCCGAATCTCTAAGAGGCTTCCGGTGATGTCAGAATCCTAGGAATCACTCGTGAGCCTTCGAATCCGTTCGTACTAGGACTGAGTATGGGTCTGAAAACAAGTTGACCGAATTCTGTATGCATCGACACAAGATGGGAGTAAGAATCCTCATAGTTGTTCCAACGAGCCCTATTTGAAGGTGATTTCTCCTCTTCCGCAGAGACTCCCGATAATTCTATTAAGGGACCCTCAGTAATACAGGTAAATGGTGTACGAATTAGTGCTGCAGAATCTTAGATGGCAGTCGTGACGGTGTTAATAGTTGATCGTCCAAGAGTTTGAAGAAGCGGCAATAGAGGAATCGGATGGGAAAGTCAATGAACTCCTTTGGGATTGTTTTTCTTACGCATTATTGTGGTTGATCATAGGAACAAGCGCCCATAGGGTTATGATCTATCCAAAACTGAGTTTGGTTTAAGCCTTCACCCTGGTCGTTTGGTGGCTCAAGCGGTAGAGAGATCTAGACCCAAGCACCATTCGTGGCGGTAGAACAGCGTTTAATCAACATCGTTGCACTGGGCTACGTCTCTATGAAAAACAGAGATTGCTTTCATACTAGCTTGCCAATGTTGGGCTGGGGAGATGCAGCAATCGTGTCCCATGCCGTATATCATCTTGTCCCAAGTTGAACATGGCTCGGTTCGACACGTTGCCGAAGCCTTGCAGCAGAGCCAGCATTATTATTGAGATTGAAGCTGGTCATGTCAGCTATCCAGGAATGTTGCGATGGCGAAAAAGTGCCCGGAGTTGGTAGATCTTTCCGCGTTGTTCGCTCTCATTTTGGGTCTCGCGAATTGTGGCATGTTTGTAGACATCGGTGCTTTGGTGCCCGGAGCTGGGTTTCACCTCTGGTAATGATCGGTCCATCCTAAGAACTGCGAGCGTACTCTGAATCCACGGTCAATCGACAATGTGAAGCTTCTGACTGGTCGCAAATGGCGCACCACAGCGTGACTTGCTAAGGCGAAGAAGCCAAAAATGTATCATTCTGAGTGATCGGGAGCCAGCCTGTGGAGATGAAGACTTATGGCTTGGGAAGAAGTCCACATATCCAATTGTAGTCTTTCAAATGTGACGAAACCTTTGCTCGCGCCGACGAGCTGACTGGATCTTTCTGCGAATGCCTATCTGTACGACAGCCAGAAATAATTGGACGTGGCTAAAACAATACTGTCAGTGGCTTCGAAACCGGCCCGTAGGCTAGGTGTCACTAACCTCGCTGCTAAGGGGGCAACAGTAGCCCATGGCCTGAAAACGAGGACTTTGAACACTGTTCCCCGGAAGTATTCTGGAATCACAAGCAAAACCACCATCTCGGCAACAAAAGCGCCCAGCAGCAGGATTGCGGAGAAGATGTCGCCCAGAATCAAGAGCGTGGAGGGGTAGTAGTCGGCTCTGCTGACATCAGACCCCTTATGGGCTCGTCGTCGAATAGTCTGAACCACCGCAACTGGCAAGTTGATGACAAGGACCAGTCCGAATAAGCCTGAAATGGCTATATGCGGAATATCGCCTGCCAGAGCACTGAGTGGGATCGCCACCAAGCTGATCCAGGCCAATATGAAGCGAATTTGATGTAGATACGGAATCAGGCCGACACAGAATGAGTGTGGTGCTGCAGGTAACGATGCGACTGTTGACGGTGGGCTCATCGTCGGCGGCCCAAGAGATCCAGTCGGCATTTGAAGTACACTGGCGGCCTCTTTGTAAGAGGGGCTTGCGTATAAAGAATCTTCCATTGTGGCACTCGTCGCCATGTAGTCAGTCTGCTGGAAAGTTTGACCTCAGCGGTGATCAGACGAAAGTATTTCAAGTCTCTGCGTAGCAGCTGAACGTCAAGAAGCCTAAGAACCTCAAAAGGAGGTGGACATTCGGATCGCAAACGTAATAAATAGTTCAGAGTCCTGCCAATTGGCACAACGTTGTGCGGCAACGACGCATTGACCATAATGTACAACGCTCAGACCTGGTATCGAAGCATGTTTCCTAAAGAGCCGACATGGGTGGTGAGTCTCTGTAGCATCCAGTGTGACCGTGCCCAGTATTAGCTTTAGCGATGGAGCTCATAAACAAGCAGCGACTATCGCATCTTGTAAGCTCTAATGTTCATCAGTATCGTCGAGCCTACGAGAGAAGGAGACACGTGTAGTGGATCACGTGACTACACATGATTATATCGTTTTAGGATTCTCTAACGGCTTAGTACAGCCGCTAGCGATATTTACTAAGCTTTTATATTCTATGTATAAAGCGGCTAGTCTACTTATTATACTAGGGGAATTGATCTACCTTATTAGGCTAGGCTACACGTTAGACGGGTTAGGATCGGGCTTAGCCTCCCTTAAATCCGGTAAAAATTAAAACTATATATCCTAATCCTAGTCCGATCTAATCCTATACTAGTAGAGGGTCGGGTCGGATTAGGATTAGGATTATCCGTTTACCCGGAATATCTATTTATCCGCGATTTTTTTTATAATTTTTCCGGATATTCTAGATATTCTAGAAAAGTTCTAGTAGCTATTTATAGTTAGTATTAGATATTCTTAGTCTTAGCGTAGTCTTAGCGCGCTAAGACTAGAATTATAATAAAATTAGTAATAAATAGGTTATCTAATAGACCGCCCGCTCCTAAGGAGACCCCTATAGATCCGTCTAATACTAGCCAATAGGATCGCCTTATTTAACCCTACTCCGACCCGGACCTAGTCCTAAATCCTACTCCTACAAGGCTAATACTATCTAACCTATAGTCTATTTTAGGCTACTATTACTATAGACAGTAGTAATAACCTCTATTACTTAGGCCTTGATATAGGCCGGGTTAACCTATAGGTTTTAGGGCTAGGGTAGGTTAGTAATATTACTAGCCCGTTAGCCCGCCGGGTGGGCTAAGATTTTAAAAAATCAGCCTAAAACCTAGCGGGTTAACCCTAACTTTAATCTATATTTAGTATTTCCTATGTAGGAAGATAGTATTTCCTATTTAGGACTTTTATAAACTAGGACTCTAGATTTTCTAGGCTTTACTAGCTATATAGAGTTAGCCTAGTACTAAGAAGTGTAAGAGCTTATAGCTTAAGCAGTTATATCAATAGAAGTATCAATCAAATAGCTGTATCTCTTCCTTTCGGTAGGTTACACAGAGACTCAAAGTCTTGAAGGACTTTGAGTAACACCCCCGAAGGGTCCCTGTTTTGTGTACGTCTCTTCTGTGTGGCCTTGGCACCTTGGCGCTGAAGGGTTTTCGTGGGCGCCGTGACAAGAAGTACTAAGAAAAAAACCTAGACTTAACCTAATCCGACCTTCTTTTTTCTAGGTAGGCTTAGGTTCTTACTATTTAGGACCTAATACCCTAAAAGAGACCCTAAAACCCGGCCTAACCTAGCCTATATTAAGGCCTACTATTAATAGTATTATCATGGGATACTAAGGCTAGGTTACGTAATATATAGGTTTCTATATCTATTCTACCTAGAGAATTCTATTTATATTTAGATAGAATTCTAATACTTTTAGCCTACTAGGAGTAGCTCTCCTTTAGCCCCTAATAATTATTCTATCTAAATTAAGTTAGTCGCTATAAGTAGCCCTTATAGCTTACTATAAGGGAGAGCCTACTATAGGGATATAGACTAAGAGATACCTTTTTCTATAGAAAGGACTTAGATTTAACCTTAGTCCTATAGAATAGTTTTCGCGGGAAAAAGGTAGAGGCCTTTTCTTAGTATAGAGGTAACTTCCTAGCTATACATAGCTAGAGAGGAAGTTAAATAACTTATCAGCTACTAAAATAGTACTAGGCTAGGATTAGCCTCAAAAATTGTATAATAGGAATTATATAATACTACCTATTAGGAAACTACTCTAATCCTAATAGAGTCGCTATAAAAAGACTAGAATCTTATAACTATTTATAAGTAGACTTAAGTAGTTTAATAGATATACTATTATTATAGCTATATATAATAATATCCCCCTCCCCCTAGGCGGCTCGTCCTTAAGTTATATAAGCCCTATAGGCGTCCGCTTCCTAACTTAGCAACCCCTAGGATAGATAGTAGAGATAGACTCTCTAATTATATAACCCCTCGTAACTCTCTAGCCTATAGCTATTATAAGTCTCCGGATTTCCGTTCAAAACTAATATTTACTACGCGGATTAAACCCTTACCTTATATATCGCTTAGTAGTAGTATACGCCTACCTAGTAAACTATAGTAAGAATCTTAGAATATCGCCCGCGGAATAGTTACGAGATATTATTAGGAAACTACTCTAATCCCTATAGGGTCGCTATAAAAAGACTAGAATCTTATGAGTATTTACGAGTAGACTTGAGTAGTTTAATAGATATACTGTTATTATAGCCGTGCATGATAAAGCCTTACCCTACGATAGAAACCTTATCTTCTCTCTCCTATTTTAGTTATTAGTTTAGTGTTATTCCTGCGCGCCGAAAACGTATATATCCTCCCCTATAATAGAAGGAGGACGTGCCCTAATGGTAATATAATACTTAACCCGAGATTGATTGCTTGACATTCAGGCGACAGCCCACTCAATGTCTGTTGACCAAGGGTCTCCAGTAAAGAATTCCGTCGGACCACGATACACGCCAGGAGTCTTGATCCATTCTGTCTTCGGCGAGGAGCTATACCAAGGACTGTTCCATATCCCTCGAACGGCGATACCTGCACTGAGTCTCGGACAATCGACAGTTAGCTGGTATTTGCCTCCTCTCCCTTCTGCGCCGATTCCCAGGTCGTTCGAGAATACTGAACAGTTGTTGGAAGAGCTGTCAATGACTCGGATCTCAAGTGTTGGGAAACAGTCAACAGTGAAAATGCCCACGTAGAATGTGTGAGTGACCCCAGCGTCACTGAACCATTCAGAAAAGCCCTCGTCGCATTTTCCCCGAATCTGAACGCCGGAAGGGATATGGGAGCACATTGCATTGACAGCCCATTTGAGTCCTTGCTGGTTGTTTGGAGGCTTGGATATCGTGCATGCTAATGGCTCGGCCTCACGTGCGACATGCGCAGATGTTGGAATCGCTAAGATAAGGGAAAGGAGGTACGGTAGGAAGTAACAAATCCTACTCACACTAAACCGCTGCATTTTGACGAATCGTAGAGAGAGTGCTGGTCGGACAGAACCAAGCCAGCGAGTGGGCATTGCTCGGTCTATAAGTAAAACCGAATGGCCCAAAGGTTGTCCTTCCACTCACGAGTGCTTCTGACTTGTATTACTCTTTTGGATTAGAAGGTCATAAGCTGCGGTTGGTATCCTCAAGATCGGGTTGACCAAGCAAGGCATATGAGGTCTAGGAGGTCAATGTTAGGACAGAACACCGAATTCGTCATATGCCTCAGAAGCAGTCCAGTCTAGGCAGCGCACAGTCCTTCTATTAGCTGGTTCGGATGCATTTGCTCTTTGCCCGCGAATGGGTTGCTAGTGCCGAGGCCGTTGGGTATATCTAACTAGCCAGTAATTGAGGGACATGCTTGATAAAGCTTTGCCATGGCTTGACGTTGCCTTCGCATGGCCTCAAATGACGACCAAGTCCAACAGAGACCATTCTCATCTGTACGCTGAAGGTTACAATTGCCATACAAGGATGCATGTTGGGCTACGGTTGGGTTGGCATTGAAGCCTCCATGGGACTAGCCACAAAGCTCGTAAACTTTCGTCTTGTCGATATGTGAATGCATAGCAATAGTCATGAGCTGTCTTGGGCATCCCTTCATCAATATATGAGATCTCAAAATGGATTTCTATAGATCAGAGTCTAAGGATAGAATACACCCTTCATTAGGACCGACCGAAGTTTGTCAACATTCGATGACAGGCAACTTTTGACCCTCAGCCATAAGACCACTCGTTCGCTTCAGCCCTCACTGTTCACCTCTACAGGATCCATCACAACTACCCTACCTTCGAGAGACCTTAATCATGTTACAGTTCCTCCTCCTACTTGTTCCATGGGCATTGGCCCTACCGACGGACACTCGCGCAGACAATAATGCGCTTTACAACATCGCCATTGGGAAAGGGTTTCCTGGTGGACAATTTACCAAGCTCCATTTCGACCATGACATCCTGGCCACGAGAAAGGGGCAAGCTCTGTTCACTGAGTTGCAACAAGACTTGAACTCTTTGACCAGTTTGGTCAATGATAGTCTTTCTCCAGATCGAGCCACCGCCCTCACACAAACATTGACGTCTTCTTTTCATCAAGTCAAGAGTACTTCTGATTTCGAGGACCAGGATCTGTCCTTCATAGGAGAAAACGATGAGCTCTATGCCTTGATATCTCACTGTAAGCTGTCACCCGACTGCAGCTATGTCGTGTACGATGCTGGAAGCGAAGGATTCAAGTACTCTACGCCAAGTGCAACACAGGATTCCACAAAAAGTGTCAAGCTTCGCAGGTGTGATATCGGCACCACCGAACGGGTCCTATTGGGCATCATGTCAGTTGGTTTGACGGAACTTATCTTGGCTGTCAATGGAGGCCGATGTTAGGGGTGCGTAAGCTTACAGGAGGATTGTGGGAAGGACTTGATGAGCAGACATCGGAGCCGGCATGATCTTGAAATGGAGCCTTGTGTCAAAGAATTTATAGAGTCGACAACGTGGGAATGTGACACTTCAAATTTTCAATGGACCGGCTAATGAGAAGCTCACCATTCTAATGCGGAATGTTTGCCAGTATACCTATAATTGAGCCTGGCTACAACGCTGGGAGCGGTTTGGGATTTGATACCTGCTCGACAGGCTGATGTTTGAAGGAGATGTTAACTCAGGTGACGGACTGCTGCTGATTCGGTACGAATACTCGCGCAGCACGAATGGTGCTATAGTTACAATAGGCAAGATTTAGGTAGTGTTGAGCACTTAGGTCTCGCCTAGATAGTCGATAAATCGTAGAATAGTGTTATAAGGGACATGGTATATGTTGAATTCTCCACTAATCATCCGTCTCAAGTGCCAACTCATATGTGCGCAGGATTAATGCTTCGAGCAAAAAGAAGCTTGACAGTGACAACGCACTAACGACCGAATACTTTTCTTATGCTTTAGCACTATTATGTCCTCGAAGTGCGGACCCTATGTACCACATGCTGTATGGCCCATGTTTGTAAGTTATGATATCTTCTCGTGAAAGCGCTTGTTGACCCTCCTCACATCGGGCTTTATGTGCTTGGTGATGCCTTTTTGGCAACCATGCAGACGTTATAAACCGAGTGGGAAGCTCTTAGACCCCAAATTTGAAATGTCTATCTCAGTCCTGCATACGGCTTTCCAGAATCTTCAACATACTACAAACAATTTTCTGTCAACCAATCTGAACAGCGTCTTACTCGAAAATCCTCAAAATGAGACTGAGTACGTATTGACGTGTCTTCTGATTGCCGTGTATACTTACGGAAAACCATTGATGCCTGAATCATACTGAACGCTCATAGTGCCGAAGCAAAACATTGCAAATGTCAAGACTCCTCGGGGACAGGTCCTCAAAATAACGACGCTACAAGAGCTGCCTGTCTTCGCACTGAAAGCAATAAGAGTGCACCTGCCTCGTGCGAGGAATCACAGAACGAGCTGGATTGAGTGTCAGTGGGTAGATATTGATTTGGTACATGGCCATAAACTCATTTAACTTTAAGCTTAAGGGTCGATTCTAGAAGCGCTTGGGCATTTTCTAAAAGTCTTATTTATACTATATTGGAGAACCTATGCGGCCCGAGCGTAGAACACTTCTCCTCTCCTTCTATTTATATGTGGAGGCAAGGAGCCCGGACCATGCCTGATGCCCCGTGACCCCGTTCCAGCCTTCAAGGTACTGGGAAATAAAGGCTAAATAGTGGCACCGGCTTTCTCCCAGCCACGGCTGCCAGGCTAGCACAAATAATACAGAGTATTCGTTCGCCTTCCAGCCTTCCCAACCACTTAGACTTGATAATGTTCGAATTCACTAGCTACATAGGACGAGAAGTCGATCTTATTATTGTAGTGGAAGCATCCCTGCAGCCATCAAGAGATCTAGTCATCATTAGAATAAGTATTGATCTAGAATTCTACTGCGTTCCGTGAAACAAGACCGCTCTGATCATTATGGTGTTCCACAGTACTCTGCTCCTAGTGTCTATCGCCGCGGTAGCGTCCGCTATCTCCGTATATCATATAGCAGGATTACTACTAATACACTAAAAGTATAGAATAATAGAAATAAGAGATAGGGAAAGTATAGTCTTAATAACTAAGAAATAATAGCTATAATAGCTATATATCACGGGGTGGCCCGGATAACACCGCCTAGCCTAACCCGTACTAAGACTAGTTAGGGTATTACTACTTCTATACTTACCGCCTACGAGGTGATAGGGTTTCCTTTTAGTTAATAGTATTAGAAGTCTTTATATTGTAAATGTTGATAAGGTACTTCGGCTTGCCAGACCTGTCTCGACTGAGGATAGAATGGGGTGCCGCAGTCCTAGAGGGATAGCTACTACCACTGTGACGACTCAACAAACAAAGAGAAAACCACTCCACACTCCGCAACGAACAAGGCTAGGGGACTCTCCCTTAGAGAGTCCCTATAATAAATGGCTTCACAACCGGGAGTAATAATTATCTGTCTGATCGTTCGACTCCTCTGTCCTTATTGTTTTTCTCACTATGTGTCAGGAGCGTAAAAGGGACTATATGAGATAGGTGTAGGCTGAGTGCCAAGACGCTAACTTCCGTGGACAGTTGTCCACGGAAACTCACGTGACTTGCAGTGGCACCATTTCACCCGATACAATATTATAAGATAGCTAGCTACTATCTCTAAGTATTACGCGCCTAGTCCTATTAATCTAACCAGGCCCTTTTATAATTAAGTTAAAAAGTATCTTCTCTATAGATATATTGTTCATATTATTACTAGTATATTATATACTTAGTAATAGTATAACCTAATTATCTTAAAAATAGTTAATATAGTACTATAGATAATACTTAATAAATTAATTTATCCTCTTAGTCTAACTATCTATTTATAGATAGAAGATAGTAGAGAACTACCTTTTAATTACTAGATAGTAGTATAGGGTTTACTAGTAATTTAATATAAATACTAAACCTTTATTACTAATTATTAATTAAGGGACTCTAAAATTAGTAAATACCCTCTTAGCTAGGAGATTACTTAGTTCTTCTACTATTATTTCTATAGTATAGAGGATAAGTTATACTATTTTAGAGAAATAATAGGCTATTATAAACAGTATATTATATACTTTTCTACTATAGCCTAATAGTAGTAAGTCTATTATAAAGTCCAGGGTAATATCCTATTATAGCTATTCTAGTTATAGTAGTAGTACTAGTAGCCTATAAGGCCTATACCTAGATACCTTTATATACTAGTAGATATTATAGGTATTTATATAGACTTATATATCTTTAGTAAGCGTTAGCTACTAGTAGAATCTCTTAATAACTTCTAGAGTTCTCTTATATCTAAAGTAGCCTCCCTACTATAGATTATTATAATTTACCCTTAGGATCTTAGCCCTTATCCTAGGATACTTAGATATATAGACTATACTAGCTCTTTATATAAGCCTAGTATAGTCTATATACTAGTATCCTTTTATTTCTCTAGTAGGAACCCTACCTACTGTAGAGGAGGATATACACGTTTTCGGCGCGCGGGAACAACGCCAAACCAAAAACCAAAACAAGAGAGAATCGATGAAGCTTTCGTCGCTACGCGACGATTGTTAAGATAGACTCTCTCTCTCTTCTTTCTTTGCTCGACTTGTTCTACTCGCTAAACTCACTGATCTCACTGAAGGCACTGACTAGACTGAATGAATGGTTCGACTAGGACTTGACTGAATGAATGGTTATCCTGAACTGTCTGATGGACGACCTGCTGGATGTCTCTCCTCGATATCCTCCCGTTGAAGGAGTATATGCCCTCGGATGATGACTCAGCATCGCCAGTTTTGCCTAGTCTAGAACGAAAACAACTAACTAACCAATCCTCCTATCGCCTCACTACACTATATAACTAGTTAACTGCCTAGGTATAGACAACCCGGACAGTGTTCGGACCGGCCAAAAGCCGTACCACTCCTAGATCAAGGTTGAGGACCGGAACTGTCCCGGTCTCACGCTTCTAGCCCATGCTCCTGGCCGTTCCAAGCTTCACCTTTCTCGGCTCCATGATTCAACCCCAGACACCGATCCCGCATAGCCGGAGCGCTTGGGCCTGGGCATTTTCCCCAGATGTGAGCTTGTATCTGGGGTCTAGATGCGGAGGAGATTTGGTGCGCCTAATGCGACTACAGCTATCGGAAGTAAAAGCCCCCGGCATAGGAGACACATTGATAGACCATAAAGACATCAAAATGCCATGAAGATCGACCTTGCCAACCGAATTTGTTCTCAAAGCTCAAAGAATACACCAAATCTCTCAGAGTTTCATCATGTCGACCGCCCCAACTGCACAATGGAGTTGGTACAACTTTTGGATCTGTTTCCTGGTGTCGTTGGGGATGCTAGCATTCGCATACCCGGCGTCCATCATTGCCACGACCCTGGCTCAACCATCATTCCTGATTGACATGGGCCTCCTCGATGTCACCCAAGACCCTCCAGCCTTGGTTCCCAATGCTAACGCGTTGATCGGAGCAATCTCTGGTGTAAGCTCACAAGACAACGAGAGAGCAACGTTACTGACTCAACCCAGGTATTTCAAGCAGGTGGGGTTGTCAACACGTTCGTCGCAGGCTGGGTAGCCGATCGGTATGGAAGGAAATGGGGATTCCACTGGTGTTCTCTTCTGTCGCTTCTAGGAGGTGCCTTGCAGTGCGGAGCCCAGAACTCTACAATGTTCATATTTGGCCGGCTCTTTTCCGGGGCTGGAAGTGCTGGATTCCTGGTCATCAGTAGGTTACGTTTCTGATCAACTGTATGAGCTCGCGTTACTGATATGGACAGCTCCGCCCTACTCGGCAGAATTGTCTCCTCCAAAGCTTCGAGGACTGTTGGTAGGCTTGAATGGCGTCATTATTTCGATTGGATATGCACTTGGAGCATATATGGGTCTGGCATTCTATTCGATCCATAATCCAGCAGCACAGTGGCGTGGCCCATTAGGCCTCAATCTAATATGGCCACTCTTGATGAACATCGTGTGCCTCTATATCCCAGAATCCCCACGCTATCTCCTTCTGAAGGACCGTGAGGATGAGGCACGAGCTATTGTATACAAGCTTCACAACCTTCACGGCGAAAGCCACCACGAATTCGCACATCAGGAATTCCAACAGATGGCCGCACAAGCTCGAGAAGATCGTCACTTGGAGCCTAGCTGGGTATGTTTTTGCCATTACTTCGGATTCGGAGTTGCTGACTTTTCACAAGCTCAAGATGATTACGGAGAGGGGTAACAGGAAAAGATTGGGTATCGCGGTTGGATACATGTTCTTTGGGCAATCCACGGGCGTCCTTGTCTTGAACAACTATGGTAAATCATGACCTAGAACTCAAAATCTGCAATGCTGACCAAGATGTCCGTTAGGGCCAACTATTTACGCTGCCTTAGGGTTTGACACTAGATCACAACTTATCTTCCAGGCCGGCTGGGTGACATCCGGTATCATTGGCAACCTCATTGGTGCCCTGTGTTTGGACTGGATCGGCCGAAAACCACTCCTTACCGTTGGCCTCGCTGGTTGCTGTGTTTGTCTCATTATAGAGGCGGCGATGGTCAGCTTATACGCGCAAGAGGGAACCAACGGGGCAGGATTACGGGCTGGAGTTGCCGCAACCTATTTATTCATATTCGTCTACGGCTTGGGAGTTGATGTAAGTCATATTTAGAAGATTTTGCTCCAGGGGGAAGTTCAACTAATCTCTATTTGCTAGGTGGCCGGGGTTGTGCTCTATAGCGAAGTTTTCCCGAACCATATGCGAGCTCGAGGTATGAGTATCGTTGTAGCATTATTTGGGGTCACAAACGTGCTGTATCTTCAAGTTGCGCCTACTGTAAGTCTATCATCGAGCTTTCTGTTCATCAAAACTGATTGAGTCTTCTTGCAGGCGTTTGCGAACATTGGATGGAGATTTTTCTTGGTGTTTATAATTCTTTCCGGCATTGGTGCTGTGTGGTCCTGGTTCGGCATCCCAGAGACTAACGGAATTCCTTTGGAAGAAATGAATCAAATCTTTGGCGGCCAGGCTGTGGTAAAGGAAAAGGATCTGTCTGTTGAGGAGGGTCCTGAAGAGCATGTTGTGGTGGACCACAGCACTGACGAGAAAGGTTTCACGCAGGGCGATGCGGAAAAGGTGTACCCACAGACTGAAGGCGCCCGTCCTTTTCAAGGTGACAAGGATAATGCTCTTCATCTTGAGAATGCCCGAAAGTGACCGGGAAGTGTCTGTCAAGACAGGGAGGAGGTTTAAGATTGGTCTGGCTTGTGCGTGAGGTTCTAAATACTGGCTTGCCGCCAATTGCTGTCGACGAAGCATCATAACTATGTATTCTGTCCAATGACATAAGCAATGCTACGTGAGAGGTCTCTAGCCCTCTTTTGGATGACAACTCAAAGAATTTCGAGCTAGTATGGGATGAAATTTGGAAACACATTTTATTTTCAGAGAGGGACCTGATGCTCTAACAAAGATCAACCAGTTTTGTCTTGGATACTCCCTAGTTTGAGCAACTTCTGAGCGTTACGATAACAGATATCCTCTAAAACATCATCGGTCACCAGGCCAGAGCCCCTTAGCGCTTTCAAGAATTGCAGGCCCCATTCATTTTTGGTGAAAGGATAGTCGACACTGTAGAGAATATGATCTGGCTTACATTGCCTCACGATGGTTGCCATCGGGGCAACAGCGAACATTCCACTGGTGGTGATCCAAATATTTTCGTTCCACACTTGTAAGAAGGACTTTGACAAATTAACACCAGCCATCGGCCATTGATGCGTGGTGATGCGAACAATGCGATCTAATTGGAACGGAATCATCTCACCCATGTGGCCTATGATGATCTTAAGCTTCGGGAACTTGTCGAAAAGCCCTGCTGCATAGAGTCGGAGAACATGGAGAGCATTTTCGCTGTGCCATCCCCAAGCGTACATGCTCAGGGTCTGTGCAATGGCATCGGGGTAGTTCCCGTCGTGAAGGAGAGCCTTTGCAGCTTCGTTGAAGGATGGATGGAGATAAATTGGAACGTCCAGGCTCTGTGCAGCCTCGAAAACGGGCCAGTACTCCTCGCCATCATAGAATTTGCCATTGCATGTGTTGTCAATAAGAGCTCCATGGAACCCAAGCTCAACAACGCACCGCTTGAATTCTTGACTGGCAGCGATGGGGTCGATCATTGGTAATGTAGCAAAGCCGGCAAATGAAGATGGCCGGGCTTTAACGGTGCTAGCTAGCTGATCGTTCGTTTTGATACACGTCTCAAGATCTAGCGGGATTGAATTTGGGGCATGAGATACGACTTGCATGGACACTTGGTGGTCTTGCATAGACTTAAGGCGTACATCGCCTAGCTCGACCAGATCGTTTCGGCATCGTCTCAAGAGGACCGTTGCTTGGTAAGGATCTTGGACTGATTTACGTTCGTAGTACTCGGAGACCGCTTCTGAGAGAAAATGCTCTTCTAACGTCACAGTAGGGAAAGGGAACTTTTCCTCTCCAGGATTCGACATTTTCGGTATATCAGTTGAACTCTCTCGCTTGGTGTAAATTTATCAACACTGCATATGTGCCGGAACACATATACATATGTATCACCGTGAGGTTGACATGATTGACCCGGAAGCAAATCGGACCGGTCGTTACACTCCACCTCCCCACCTCCTCCACCTCCCTATACCCCGTAAGGGGATATCTATTTGATCAGCGGCAAGGTTCTCAGTACATAGCTGGTGTCTTCCCGTTCCACATCTTTCAAACAGTGATCACGAAGAATTACCTTATCACACGTTGCACATCATGATTGGAATCAACGAACAGTCTGACTACTCGGTGCCGGCTGAGGCCGCGAAAATCTTTCAAGATGAAATCTTGCGGGACCCGAGAATGTCTAGGCATCTGCCCCCGCAGCTGGAGAAGCATGTGTCTAAAGTTCGAATTATTGGGAAGAAAGAGCCTACAATGCCTGTCAATTGGAGGTTCGCAGAAGCAACAGCGGCACTCCATGCTCTCGAGGCTGTATTGTTGTGTGATCTTCTCGAGAAGAAGTACCAAAGTCAAGCCCCCAGAATAACTATAGACACGTAGGTTGGCCGAAATTTGAGAGTGATCGAAATGCTGATGGCTACAGCGAGCATGCTCAACTCAACTCCTGTTCGTTGTTTCTGTGGACAATTGATCCCGAAGGGGAAGCGCCGCTCAAAGCGACTTTGCAGGCATCGAAGCTAAAGAATTATCTGATTGACCAGGATCCATATGGAAGAGCAAACACTACGTATCGTGGCGCGGCAACCAACATTTATCGCTGTAGCGACGGCAGATATTTTCAAACTCACGGATCTTTCAACCCATCACCTGTTCTCGACCTGTTGAGCATGCCTCATGACGCCGATGTCAGCAGCGCAAGCGATGCATGGACCAAGTTCGAGGAAAGTACTACCCAAATCTCCTCGACAGACTTACTCCGAACAACCGCGCAAGCCGGTCAAGCCGGGCATATCTGTAACACGGTGAATGAGTACGAGAACTCGGAACAAGGAAAGGCAACCTCGCACGTGGGCCTGTTTGAGATTCATTATTTGCCTAGCCCAGAGCAGAAACCGACGTGGTGGCCGGAAGCAACTGGAACTTCGGTTTCACGACCCCTAGCAGGGCTAAAAGTCGTGGATTTGACTCGTGTCATTGCCGCACCCTCAATTACTCGTGGATTAGCTGAACTTGGAGCATCTATCATGCGGGTCGCAGGGCCAGAAGTCCCTGATTTCACAGGTCTACATATTGACCTCAATTGGGGCAAGTGGAACAGTCATGTCGATGTGAAGACTGAACAGGGAAAGGCCCAGCTCCGAGAACTCATTGCCGATGCTGACGTGGTCGTAAACGGGTATCGACCCGGCACATTGGACAAGTATGGCTTCTCTCAAGAGGACATTCTAGCGCTCGCGAAAGGCAGAGGCCGTGGGATCATTTATGTCAAGGAGAACTGTTATGGCTGGTACGGGCCTGATAAGATGAGAATTGGGTGGCAGCCCACTTCGGACGCTTGTACTGGCGTCTCGCATGGTTATGGAAAGGCTCTTGGACTTACGGATAATGAGCCGGTCGTATCTCTGTTCCCAAATTCTGACTACTCAACAGGACTAACTGGAGTGTCGGCGATTCTCTCGGCATTAATTAAACGTGCTGATCAAGGAGGGAGTTATGTGGTAGAGCTCGCGCTCAACTATTTCAACCGTTGGCTTACGCAATCATGTGGACAATACCAGGACCATGTCTGGCAGCCGTTGTGGGAGAGTTACGGCAGATTTCAATTCAGTGCCAACAACCCAATGGAGGTTTCGGGGCCTTTTGTCCTCAATTTGATGTCGGAAAAGAACAACAGCTTCAAGGATGAATACTTCATCAGTAGAAGGAGTGGTGTTCTCGGCGTCGATATCCGTTGCCTCAAACCGATATTGGAATTCCCAGACGGCGAGGTCAATCTAACTTACAATGTTGGCACAAGGGGAAACGGTACTGACAAGCCCTTCTGGCCTCAAGATCTACTCACCGAAGTTGTCGCTTGATATCTGATATCCCGAAGCCGCTAGATGGGACAGATATGAACATAAAAGCAAAGAGGTGAACAAATTTACCTACTGCAAGACAGGGCCGATAATTGAATCAAATTTCTATATCTCAAGGTACTATTACTGATAAATCTCAGCTTCGATGAGACCCGTGTAATTGTGGTGGCACAGAAGTAAGCCATGACATGTTGCTAAGATCGAAAGAAACATCCGAAGGATTCATGAAATCGGAGTCTGGCCACAAGTGCGAGCTGAAAGCCTCGAATCCGTCCGCGCCCCTGAATGACTGACCAAAGCCCCATTCATCCATCTGCATGTTCCCAGATGCTTCTGGGTCATCAGGATCACGAGAAGTCGGCGTATGTCTTTGGGGTCTGAACTCGATCGTTGACTCAGGTAAGTCGGTAGTATGGTCAATGGCGAAAGTTGAGCCGCTTCCAGGCTCTGGCAAATGATCGTTGTTCATATAACTTGGGTCGATAGGCTGTCGGACTTCTGGGGCGCCTTGGGCAGAGTGATGCCGCAAGACCTTGTGGTAGAGCATGTCCAACGTTGCCGCGCACCGTGCAGCATCGGTAGTCAAGTTGGAAAGCTCTTGCAAGATCTTCATGACACTTTCCCAACCTCGGACGATTGCTTCTTCAGAGACGGTGGCGACGACTTCAGGATGCAGGCGTCCTGCGATGATGACGCTTGCTGCCGAATATATGTAAAGAATGCTATACCACCAACCCGGAAGGAGATCATCTAGCTGATCCAGTTGCTTACCTGATGCGATCTCGTAGAAAATATTGATCGTCTCCAGAGCTGTCTCCACACAGCAGATGGAAAATTGTAAGGCGATACGGCGTGGCATTCTAGACTCCAGTGACTGAGAAGTTGATGCCATAGCAACAGGAAGTCGGGCTAGAACAGGCCGAAAGAGGAGCATACGAATGTGACGATGTCTGAGGCGTAATATATTGGTTTGTCGAACTTGGATAGGTGTCTTCACTGCTTCATACTCTGGCCTGAGGGATTGTGGCAAAGCATGAGTCAATGACCATAGTTTGGCGTCCATTTCAAAGATGACTCCCACTGCTCTTTTCCCCATGATACCAAAAAGTTCTGAAAATGGATCTGGAGAGGCTCTTGCGGCGGCGGCCGGGTTGTACAGGGTCAGCCAGATGTCGTTCATTGCTTCATAGAGCTTCAAAGCTTCCACGAAGAAATGGTCAGAAGACTGCACTTGGTCTTGACAATTCTCATCGTAGCACCGACATTCGGACCCATCAAGATGTGCTGTAGGATACGGGACTGCAGCTGCAGCTTCAGGAGTAATGACAGCAGGACGGCCAAGTGTCATAGCCACAGATCGATCCATCAAAACACAGCTGTGCCACAATCTTCGTGATAATTCTGGATCATGGAAGCTGACAATACTGGCAGGTTGGACCGGCTGATCTAGCTCTAGGCTTTGAGCGCATCTTATGGCAAGACCGATAAAGGTCCAGCATCCCTGAGGGTCATTCTTGCTTTGAAGATACTCTCCCAGTACCAGGAAACATTGCACAGTGAGCAGTGAACTTGCGTTGAGAAAGTCGAGGTCGATAAATTCTCGGGCGCGTTCGTAAAAAACGTTTGCCTGTGCACCACGCTCACTGGACTTGGTTTCGCTATCCATGGTACATGCCATACTAAAGATCAGATTGATCAGGCAGAGAAAAGCTGGACCTTCGTCACCGAGATCGTCCCCGGTCCAAAGCCTCGCATAGTACGAGTTGATGGTAGTTGCATCAACAAAAGGATAGACCGCACGACGCCAGTAAGATTCGAGGAGATAGTTCGCTCGCTTTCGTGATGGCAAGACGTAACTTTCCATATGTACTTTCTTAGTGCGCGACCTTTTGCTCTGGTGATATGGCACCTGCGATGCCGATACAGATGTGGCTGGAGACTCTGAAGCTTTGGATGGGGGATCCAGGACGGTTTTGATCCAGTTTGTAAAGGCATGGGCACTGGAATCTTTGTCTGGGTGAGTGACAATGCCCTGATCCTCGCTGGTCAATCCCATCAATGTCATGCTTTGAGGGTGGCTCTCGTCATCTTCATTCACTGGTTCGTCGGGTACGGGAGGCTCCAAGGATTCTTCGGTCGATGCATGAGGCTGATGCGATTTGACGACATCTTTCGATTCCTCAAGCTCTCTGACACGCTCTTGCAGACGACGCAAATCAGCATGAGAGACACCGACGCCTCTTACTTTACGGACTCCCCACGAGCACCGAGTTGACCGGGTGCGCAAGCGGCAGGGGGAGCACACTGCAGAGCAATTAGAACGCTTGCAACGCCAACTAGGTGCTTGGGACTGGCGCCAATGGTGCTAGCATGTTGGCAAGGTCTCCATGAACCTTGCATTACAATGGGGATGCTCACCTGGGCGAACACCGTCACACTTGATTTTCTTTTGGCGGCAGTCATCACACGCAGCGGCCACTCTCCGGATCTTTGCTGGCCTGGAGTTGTCAGCGGAATCATCTTTGGGAGGCATGCCGGCGGTAGGATTCAGACAGGTTGAAGTCTTGGTTTTGGAGAACACAGAGTGAACTTCAACAAGAGCGAGGAGGCCGGAAGTATATGAATCCGCCCTTCAGAATAGCACCTGGGATACTCATGGGATAATCCCGCACACTTGGCGATCCTCCCCCGGCTGGCTGGCCCCAGCGGGTTGACTATTGGATATCCGTGGATCTGGGGAATTCTCTCCTCACAGTAGATGGGATTCTACAGGGGACATTTGTGGGGCATGAGCCAACCAACATCAATTGCATCCTTGATTTATATCCATCCCAAGCCGGATCCTTTCCGGTCGCATCTTGTAGCTGACGGGTATCTGTTTGTCAGCGCACGGCTCTCGGAGGATGGAAGCAGGCTATGAGCAGTCTATGATTGCACGTGGCTTGTCTTGTGTCCGTGTGCACGGTGACAACAGACGAGCCGAGGCGGCTTCTTTGCCAGCAACAACACGCCACAGACGCGCCGACATCGTCAGCACTCCTGACTTCAACAACGCGACTTTGTAGGTTTCACAAAAGACATCCTACGAGGACGATCAAGAGGGAATGGGGTAGAAAGTCCTCATCAACCATGTTGATTTTATCCCTCGAACATGCAATAGCTATGTTCCATTACACCGTCCTCGTCTCATCATGATACTATGTTACAATTCTGTCCCTTGATATCCAGGGTGTATTACTAGAAGTCCACGGACTCTAACCTTCATCACCTCGACCAATTTTCCGTTTCCAACAATCGTTCTCGCATATTCGGCATCTCCGGTATGTCGCTTTTAGGCATGATGAGTCGTCTCAATGAGCTTTTCCGTGGCGGGTGATTCTTTGCCAACTGTCTGTTCGCCGCGGCGTGGTTCTGAAGCAGAATCGAACGAGGCGACAATATGCTTCGGGGTGATGGTTTCGAATATACAACCACGCTTGCAGTGTCGTCGCCTATGGGCAACCAACCTTTCCTGTTCTGTGAAGCCGACATTGCTTCTCCTCGCGACGAATGACCTAGTTTCGAATCTTCATGTACCTCATTCTTGGGTCTGTTCCGGCTCGAAGATCTCACTGGAAAGTCAACGTGGCTATGACCTGATGGAAGACCCAGACCAACTGGGGCATCTGGTTTCTGCTCCACTAATCGATTCTGGTCCATTTCATCAGTTCCTCTAGTTGGCGATGGCAGCGTGGCGTTTGCTTTCTCCGTTGTGCCCTCATGAGGAGAGAATGTCAGCCCGAAGTATGGCCCTTTGTCTTGTTTGCTTTCCTCCGTTTCCTGATCTGAATCCTCTGGACAAGCGCAGAAGGATTGGGGTCGAGACACCGACCGGGTGTCCTCTTTTGGTGCACCCAATGGAGGGAAGAAAGTGATTTCCTCTGGGGATGTCACCAACTCGGCAGACGTCGGCAGAATGTCGATTTTGGGAATAACCAGTTTTGGCGGTTCGTGGGACGATTTGTCTGCTCCTCGATCCCCTGTGTCTCTGGGTTCTTCAGACTTGTTTCCGTTTGTCGCCAGGAGCTCTGTCACTATAGTCTCCTTGCCACCATTGCGCATCGATTGGCTGATTTCCCGGCTCAACAATATCTGGGGTGTTGGGGTACTTGGTCCACTACACGGTGACCACGGAGAATCAGGCTCTTCTACCATATTCGACGGTTCTATCTCGTCAGAATAGTAAGCGACATAGCTGAGCACCGAATCAGTGTCAAAGGCGGTGTCGGACATCGTATCCAGAATCGGAAGTTCGTCAAGTTGCGGCTCCTGGTTCAGTGTCAAAGAGTTGGTGGGACTGGGCGCACAGCTACGCACATATTCTGGTCGATGGTTTCCGTACTTATGTCGACTCTTGTCCGGGACAATGGATTCAGCCCAGCTCCTAAGAGTCGGTTTTCGCTGCGGACCGGAATCTAGTCGGCCATATGGGGAACTTGACAGTTGCAATTGGTTGAATTTATCTTCAATGGTTTCAACGATCGACCCTGACGTCTTCCGAGTCCTGAGTCTTCGGAAAAATCCCTTGGTGCTTATCAACGATGCTGGGGAAGAGCTGATCTGTGAGTCACTTGCATTAGACTTCTCATCATCCTGCGATTTGGACCCACTTCCAAAGGGCGAGGATATGGAGCGTCGTAGGCTTCTGAATCTGGTGAGGGGCTTTGCCTGGCTCGGAAGATCGCTCCCGTCGTCAAGGATATGGAGTGCTTCTGCAACCCCTCGTTTCACGGATCTGCCGCGCGATGGCGTTGAAGGTAGGTCATGCAGATCGCTCGAGTCATCACCCTCATCGTCGGCATCATCAAGCTCATAATGAAGCCCAGTTGGAAGGGCGAAGCCATATCGTCGGTTTCGCTTAGAGTGAGAAGACGTGCTCATTCCAAGGCTTGAAATTGAACTCAGGCAAGTTGAAGCAATGGATGGTGCCCGCGATTGAGCTTTGTTTGATGTGGAAATCGACACGTCCTCTTCCACAGGGAAAGTCCCCGAGTCAGAAGGCTCAACAGTGATCTCGACATGACTTTCCAGAATCCTCCTTTCATCGTCATCCGAGTCGTTCAAAAGACCAAAAGGTTCCAAACAACCCTTTGTGGGAAGCATTTCAAATTGCATGTCGTCGATTTCAATCTTTACATCGCTATCCCAAATGAGGCCCTCTCCATTCATGTCGCACGGTCCCGCTAAACAGGTGCTTGGAAAGGTAGGAGACAACATGTTATTGTTTTTCGACAAGCATTCGTCGCATACTTGATTCAAGAATGATCTTCTGACTGTGCTATGATGTGGACATTGCTGAGGTTCGGCAGGTCTTGGTCGTCTCTTGATCTGTTTGAGCGCGGCTTCGGCGGTCTGGTTGCTTGCTTGCAACCACTCTTCCAGCGGATACTGAATGATAGGAGCAAAGCACGGCGATCGATTTCTGCGGTATGACCGACAGAGAATGCTGTGCTTGTAGTGGCAACCGCATTCGCGATATGTCCAGATCTCGGTCACGCACATTTGGGTGCAGTCGCGAGCATCAAGCACTCTGGAGAAATTCAGAATGGAATTGTTCACTGGTTCTCCACTCGGGTTTATGACATTCTTCGAGCAGGTGGGTTGGAGATTATGTTGTCAGCGCTTAGACCACCCCGGGGTCCGGGGCCACGTCAAAGAGAACGTTTTGTGTTGTTGATTTTACTTTGTGCACATTTCCAGTAATGATCAGAACAAACCCAAGTGCTAGATCACGGCTCAGGGCGCCGGCCTCTGCGCTTGTGTGACACTGATCATTTTGTATAACCTTGCCTAACCTATGGTGGATTGTTTTCGATGTCAGGGCGGGTGCATGTTCGGAGTACATTGGTCCAAGACACGCCAGGGCCAACAAGCCTGATTTGGTGGCACAGGGTCGGAGACGTTTACTGAGGTAAAGAGGGAGTACAAGAAGAGCTGATGAAGTTGATGAAGTTGATGCTTTACGAATTGAGACCCTGTGTTGCCTGTATACGTCCCGACAACCAGATCCAACCATCGCAAAACATGTCAATAGGCTACCGGCTGTCATCAGACTTGGCAAAGTCTATCCAACACTCATGCTCCACCACTTTGGGAGTGGTCTCGTCGTGAAAGACCTCAAACCGGCTTGTAATACCTGGCGACGTGTCCGGATGCCGTGCAGTGGTATTGTAGTTGCGATACAGCGCAGCAAGCAGAGTCATCATCTCTGCGTTGGCCAAATGCATGCCGATGCACATTCGTGCGCCACTCGAGAAAGCCCAGAAGTAGCGGTTCTTCAGGTCCGCCTCAGGGATCAGGGTTCCGGAATCTGTCAGCCACCTGTCTGGTTGAAAAGTCAACGGCGAGGGATAGATTTTCTCGTCTCGATGCAGGCTGTATGGGGACATGCCAACGACTGTACCAGCGGGGATATGGTACCCATCAATCACGACGTCAATTAATGATGAACGTGGCTCGAACGTTGGCAGCGGCGCGTACATTCGCAAAGCTTCTCGAATCACTGCATTCAAGTAAGACAGTTGTGTCAAATCACGCGGATTTGGTATTCCATTTTCATCGACGTCGAGACCCGAGAGTTCTGCCTGCAACTTGGTCTGAATATGTTTATGCTGAGGGAGAGAAAGTGCCCAAATCATGAACATGAGTGAGTCTGAAGTCGTGTCGATGCCCGCAAGAAGATGATCGGCACACTCCGAGGCGATGTCCATATCTGACAGGTGGGTCTCTCCTTGTACCTTGAAAAGTCGACCGATGACGGTCTTGTCGGCTGAATCAGCCTTTTCAGAAGCCGGGGCGTTCTTAAAGCTGTAAAAGGCCTTGAGCGCATGTTGGCGAATCCCCGAATATGTAAAGGGCTTCTTCATCGGCATCAGTCCCAGGGAGGTGAGCGTCTTTTCCATCAGCCCTGTTCTGGTGGTGATCCATTTGGTCCACGCAGGGAAATGCACAGTGAACCAAGCCAATCGCCTCCTGGCTGGGTTGAGGATGTCTCCGATAAGTTCACGATCAGGGCCAGTCAGGGCCGATGTACCACCATGGTGCGGTCCATACACGAATTCGGAGATGGCGTCGAATGAAAAGTAGTGAAGGCTTGAAAAGATTTCACTTGCAGTCTCTGGTTCTTTCTCGATCAAAGCGAGAAACCCGGCGACTTTTCTCTTGACCAACGAGGAGAATTGTTGGTTCAGAACAGTCTGATTGGCGTAGATATTGCTGACCAACTTCTTGCGGTCACGATGTTGCTTGCCGGAAGCAAAAGTGAAGAGATTCTGTCGCCCATAAGCGTCAAACATGCGGTAGAAAGAAGTCCTTTCAAAACCACTCCCTGCTCCATAGATGGTTCTCAGGGCAGTCAGGCTATTGAAAGACACTTCATTAGGCCCAATTCGAACAACAGGTCCATAGGCTTGGTGTAGATGGTGAATGGCATGCACATATCGTGTGCGCCATGCGTCCAGCGCTAATCTAAACCTCGTGGCTCTGTAGATCCATGGTCCCGGGATCTTATTCAGCCTGGCATTTTGGGGAGACGGCCAGCCCAGGATAGCCACGAGGACGCAAGCAAGGAGAATCGGTAAGATCCAGGTTGTAATCGGCAATCCGAAAAGACTTATCCCTGTTCGATGGGAGAAGACCCGTCAGCATGATCGCCGCCTATCAAGTTCTACGCGATGCATGCCATGGAGAGCATGGGCGGCTTACCTGCTAACATCATGTTGCCGAGCTGCTTCCCGGTAGTTGGAAGCTCCACAGTGCATCAATTCGACTCTTTCCAGTATTCAGACGTGTCGGTGTCCTCCAGACCCCCTGAACTTGACGATAAAGAGATGTTGTTGTCCCCATCATTCACTTGGTTGCTCTCAAGCTAGAAATGCCCATGGGATGCGCCGCTCTTGTCCGTGAACGCAACCAACAAGTCCTAAACTGCGGGCATGGTGGGCTAGACTAGCGTAAGCTCCCGTCAAGATGAAGCTGGAGGGGCCCAATAAGCACGGGGACGAGCCCAATAAGCACCCACTGGGTGACATCCCCGCCTATGTGGCCCATTGAAATCATGTCACTAAGGAGGCATACCAAGCTCTGGCAAGCCGCCACTCAACTCAACCTCAAGCCCAAGGCGATCTCCTCCGTCCATGTGTGGAATGCGGTCATCTCCTTGGGAATATTGTTTCTTGGCTTATGTTGCTCTGTAATCGCCTTGGGAATACACGAGTAATTTATCCACATGGCATGAACGATCTGACAATTGAGCAACCGCCGAGCAAAGCATTGACACTCGGTCGGAGCGGACATGTTCGACAAGAATGCTGCCCTTTGTCTATCGAAGTTAAACCGCGTACGGAGTAGTAAACCCGTCGACGTTATCTAGGGATCCTTGCAATCCTCGTGGATTCAATTACTCCTTGCAGCATGATCGTGGGATATGGCCCGTTGGGGCTCACTGAGGGGTGTGCTGATGTTTGCATACGAAACGCCATTCGATCCTCCTTGCACTAAACGATTGGGGTCATGCTATGCACGCAAATGTAACGTTCTTAGACCCGGCCTACCTAGACCAGCGCCTCCTTTTCCCAGATCGTTTCTAGAAGACCGGTCAATTACTTTATTTGCCACCGGTTCGGAATAATAACACTCCCAGAATACGAGGTAGCCTTACGCCGCACGCTCATTGTGGTGAAGTACTGCCGAGTTCAGGCGGATCTATAGCGAGGGCAAAGAATACGATGAACTAGATTGCTTAGAGTGGCCGTCCTAAGCCAACATCACTTATAGATCAGGACTCTGCCTGCACCATTGTCACTTGCTTTGAATCTGTGGGCGGCGAGCCCAACACCCCGCGACTCTATTGATTGTATGTGGGGAAGACTTTGCCGACTCAGTGACGCTCGACTGACTTGGTGTCAATACCCCAGCATCTAATTGAATAGTTTGGTTCCAGGTTCATTAGTGAACATCCCAAGAACGCCTCGTGCCAGACGGATTTGAACGTCCCGAGGAACAAATAACGGAGATGACCTATAAAGCATAGGATTGCATTAAAAAAAATAAGCCTCATACGCAGGTGCGGGACGTATCTATCTCGCAGATCATGGCCCACAAGGTCCAGGCCAAGTGCACAACTACTGGACATGGCGGCTTTTATCATCGAGACCACATCATTAGGCGTAGAGTTTCGGCCGCATAAATTGAGTAAAATTGGGGTATCGACCATGATAAGGAGCGCAATTCATATGACCCCGACTAAAGGTCGTGGATCAGGATCAGGCGACACGAGGGAACCGCCAATGTGGACAGATCAAGGTGAGATTGCCGGTGGCGGGCAGATGCTTGCACTCGCTCTCGCTCTCGCTCTCTCTGTCTCTGTCATACGGTACTGAGTATACGAGCACACACACCCACACTCATACTTGGTGCAGGGTCAAGGCGAGGAGAGAGTCTTGGGCTGGGCTTATCAGACGCCTCTTGCGGGCTTGACAGGCCTTATTTTGAGACCCAGGCATCGGTAGAGAGGATTCTCCAATGACAAGACCTCTCGGTGGGCCGACCCTTACGCCAGATAACTGGAGCGAGGGTTGCTCACTGGCTACACGCCCACTTCCGAAAGTAAGATAGCTAAGCATTTAGTGGAGGCCGACTCAAGACTTACCAGGATACCTTATCGCAAGTCAGTCGAACAAGAACCAGAAGCCAACGAATGCCCTGAATGGATTTCGCTTGCAGTCATCATGCACTGGGGAATGACGATCACACTACAGTGGCCATGCGTGAGTGACATGGTGCCATGTTACCTTCGTATCGCTCTGCAGCCAGCGCTGAGCAAATTAAATCGCGGAGTTGAGCAAGGTTATAAAGAGCGATTCCTTCGCTCCACCGCACGGTAGGTCACAGTCTTTGTGTTTCTCTCTGCATTGTGTGCGCGTCTAGCCGTCCACAAATAGACGCCGGACTGAACAGCAAACCCCCATTTTATTGAGATCTTCCCTCTTTGTTTAGGGTGATTTGGTTCTTTGGTGCCTCTGCTTGCTTGCTAGCTGCTGGACCATGTCGAGCTCTCCAGAGCTCTCAGACCCCGAGAAGGGCGTCGAGCCCGTGAAGGCTGAGAGCAAGAGTGACCGACGGCATTCCTTCACAGGTCGCAAGTCATCGGTTGCAGCGTCGATTGTTGCAGCGGATCTTTTGGACGAAAGATATGCCACCACTCAGCGTGGTCTCAAGAGCAGACATGCTCAAATGATTGCCCTCGGTGGAACGATTGGTACTGGGTAGGTAACCAGCTCTCGTGTGACCTGGGACTTTTGTTTCACTTTCTAACAGCGTTGATTCATAATATAGTCTTTTCGTTGGATCTGGATCTGTGCTCGCCAAAGGTGGACCAGCGTTCATTCTCGCTGCGTACTGCATCAACACTGTACTAGTGTATTGCGTCGTCACCGCCCTGATTGAGGTTGCAACATATCTGCCTATTCATGGTGGTACCATGTCGTACTACGGCTACCGCTACGTTTCTCGATCTACGGGTTTCGCTCTCGGATACCTTTACTGGTACGCCCTAGGGATCCTCGTGCCCTACGAAATCACTGCTGCTGGCTTGGTCATCAACTATTGGCCCAATGATGTTCACATCGCTGTGTGGATGACCATCATGAGTGTTGTCATCATCGCGCTCAACTACATGCCTGTGAAATACTACGGCGAAACCGAGTTTTGGTTCGCTGGAACAAAGGTCATTCTGATGATTGGTCTTTTGCTTCTATCCTTCATCCTCTTCTGGGGCGGTGGCCCAAGCAGAGATCGTCTGGGGTTCCGGTACTGGCGCGACCCTGGCGCAGCAAATCCATACATCAAGACCGGAGATGCAGGCTACACCATCTCGTTCTTCTCCACGCTGGTCTCGTCTGTGTTCCCCTTCACCTTTGCACCAGAACTTCTCGTGGTCACCGGTGGAGAAATGGAATCGCCACGACGAAACCTGCCCGTTGCAGGAAAACGCTACTTTTACCGTCTCATAATCTTCTACATCTTTGGAGTTTTGGCCATCGGCGTTACTTGCCCCAGTAACGATTCAAGACTGACTGACGGCGGTGCGGGTGCAGGCTCGTCCGCGTTCGTTGTGGCCATTGCTGATGCTGGAATCTCAACTCTCCCTTCAATTGTCAACGCTGTCATCTTGATATCCGCCTGGTCCTCTGGAAATTCGTTCCTGTACATCTCCAGCCGTGCTCTGTACAGTTTGGCGGTCCAGGGCTCCGCTCCTCGCATCTTCAAAACCTGCAATAAATGGGGTGTTCCGTGGGTCGCAGTCACAGCCTCCTCTCTCTTTTGCGGCCTGACCTACCTGAATGTAGCATCAAGTGGTGCTACAGTTTTCAACTGGCTTGTAAATCTGACAAATACAGCTGGTATGACTTCCTGGGTGGTGTGTATGATCGTCTACCTTCGATTCAGAAAAGCCATGGGCGCTCAAGGGGTCGAAAGACCATACCGAAGTTGGGTTCAACCTTACGGCGCATATATTGCCATGGTTGCCTTTACTCTCCTGTGTCTGATTAACGGATTCACCGTCTTCTTCCCCGGGCGTTTCTCCGCCTCAAATTTCCTTACTGCATACATCGGGATCCCCATTTTCCTCGGCCTGTATTTTGGCCACCGACTCGTTTTCTGGAAGGACAAGTGGGCATGGGATCCTGAAGAGGTCGATCTCCAGACTGGTTTACAAGAGATTATCAATGCAGAACGCCCTGCCAAGAAGAGAAAGGGTCTGGGGAAGATTTGTCTCATTGTCGAGTAGATGAATGTCGAAATTTCCGTGAAGTATTCAATGATACACACTCTCTCTACGTCCAATATGGCAATTCAAACTGTGTGATTCGTATCATGGAACATGAAAGGCCTCAAGTCACAAATGGGAAGATCCAGGATGCATGACCCAACCCTAGCCCCGATTGTTGGCTTGCATATTCTTGGTTTCAGTCTTCAGGTACTCCAGATCGCGATCTTCATGAAATCTGGAGATGAAATAAAAAAAACGGAAAAGTGGTGCATTGGCCTTGACGACCCCTTTCAAGATACTTTCGTATAGTATTCATTTGCTATTTCAAGCCATGCAATATATTGACGAAGATTCATTCCTATCACGGTCGCTTTCCGTATATATTTGTGACCTATTACGCCTATCTCGATCCTCCATCAAAGGAAGGCAAAATGTCGTGATTACTTATCCAAAACATTCAACTCGTGTGCGTTGGTGAAGAATGTCGAAAAATGAAATCTGATCCCATCGCAATAACATTTCATGAATTTCTGACGGGCTTCAAGCTCGAACCATCCTCCCAATAAGCAAATTCCCCGAACCTGCGCCATAGCTAGGTCGAATTGGCAAAGGTTTTCGTGGTATCATAGTAGTAGCATTTGCAAGACTTGTCCTTCCTGAACTCCGTAAACCAGAAGCCGTTTCAGAGCCGTGGCTTGTGCCACGTGAATATGGTTGATCAACCTGGGGTGGGTGCAAGTCCTCAGATACATGGGGAACCTGACAGTGACTACTCCTCACTAGGGAATATGGTTGTTGCGACGAACCCGCCTGAACCATGTTTCCAGTGTTCCGCATGGTGTTTTCATGGATCTGACCATGTTCGAAATTGGGCCCGTGATTAGGCGAAACTTCACGCTTGGAGGAAGCATGTCGTCCATGATTGTCTGAATCAGTCTGGGGTAAGCCATTGTAACTCCCTTGACTGAGTAATCGGCTAGTGTACTCGATATGCTGCCGACGAACATGATGATATTCCTCGTAGTTCCGTGCATACGTCGGATCATAGGCTTCAGAAGGGACAGTATATGAAGTGTCGAGCACGTGCGGTTGGATGCGATGAGGTATGTCGGGATATAGGGGCTCGCCCTTGGAATGTCTCCTTGCATCTGCGTCTGAGGGTTGAGACGAGTAAGCTGTGAGCGCAAGCCCTGCTGATCTCCTGCGAGCCTTCCATGCCGCAGCTTGCGCAGACCATGGATCCATGCTGATGTCTCTGGGTCGCGGAGAATGGGATGGAGGAGGCGGGGGGCAATCATCAGGGGGAATTGGGGGAGGAGAATAATCAGGCGGGGGCCCGGAGCCAGCAGCGATGGATGAGCGTACTGAAGGTGAATAGTCCTCCTGGTAGTGTATATAAGCAGGATTTGGCGAATGAGGTGGAGGAGGGGGGGCTTCAGCGTCGGCAGCGGCCGAGGAAGGGCCCTGAAGCGAAGATGTTCGATAGACAGTCTGCAGCATTTCTGGTGTTATGGGAGGGGCGTCGATGACAAGACTGGCTGGTCGAAGATTTTTACCAGGAATGCCTCCTCGATCGTTAAAGGATCCTTTTCGTGAATGAGCACGCTCATGTTCTTGCATCGACCTCCTTCGAGATTGTAGAAATTGCAAAGCGGTATTGTCATCCATCATTGATCTCGGTCGCGGAACGGCCGTCGAGACGCTATGGGGGTTGGTCGTCTGACGAAATGGCAGGTTCTCGTGAGCCAAATCGTATGGACTTGATCCCAGTGAATTGACCACCGTGCCAAAATCATTGATGATGGCCATAGCGTTGGCGGGTGTGAGTTCTGCGGGTTTGGGCTTGGACTTGAATGATTCATCCCTCGACTTCCCAATCCAGGATCTGGGACGGCTTCGAGACCTCGATCGCTTTGGTTCCACAGAGAATTCCGGTTCCGGGGACGGGAATCTGATATCCTTGATAACAAAATTCATTGTCGAATTGCTGGCCTGCTTGTCTAAGCGGCTATAGGTCTGGTTTAACTCCGGTACTTCTTGGGCGCGAATGCGAAGATTTTCCTGCACGTGAAACGGAATGGCCGGAACAGAGTCTCCTTCCACAGAGCTAACCCTCGTGACCGAGATCTTTGGAGGTGGCTGACTTTGAGGTCTCTTCTTCTGAAGTCTCCTCCGTGTCTTGACAGGTGCGACTTGAATGGCGACAGGATCCGGAACAGGTGACAAGGATTTCGGCGGACGAACGACTTGGTGCAAATCATCGAAAGTTGGGAGGGCCGAAAGAGTGTTGCGCTTCTTAAGAATCGACGATCGCTGCTGGAGTTGAGTCGTTGGTGCTAGTGAAGTCTGTGGGAACTGTGTTTCTTCTGTATCGGGTTGGTCAACTTTCACAGTTGGAGTGAGACTCGGCAGTGGTCTCGGATCCTCTTGAAATGCCTGCACCGAGTAGTTGGAGCTGTAGCCACTGTCTGATTTTTGCATCAATCGACGTGCCTCGGGCCCGTCCAAATTTGTCGGGACAGCTATATTGACGACTGGCTCAAGGGAGTCCTGCTTCTGAAAACACGCGTGGGTGAGCGGATAAAGGACTACAGGTGGTTGGTGAGCCTGATTCTCGCCATGTAGCTGCTTCTCCTCAACTCCCTCTACAGCCATGCCCAGAGATAGGTTCGGTTTGTGAATGACGGAACTTGCACTCGTCGACCTACCAAGGGAACTGATTGAGGACGTCTCTCGCCCTCTGTATGAATCGGAGGATGGGGATCGTCGATGGGATCTGAGTGAAGGGGACTTTTGTAACGAGTCATAAGAACTATGGCGGCGAATGGAGCCAAACAATGATCCTGTCCCTGCGTCTGAGAATGGACTGACCGGCAGTTCAGACATGTATTCCTTTGCGATTTGAGAAGCCTGATCATCCTCTAAATCGAGGGGTATTTTGGTCCTTGGGTCGAGCTCGTCCCAGTTGGTCTCGGCAGCTTGTGCATGGGTTTTGTTTAAGGGTTCCGCAGGATCAGCCATCGGCTGGTTCTGCAGCGGATACTCGACAAATGCTTGAGGAATTTGATCATCAGCATCACCATAATCACTTGAGATGTCTCTTGGCCGCTTGGGGATCAGCAGAAGATGCCTGGAAATTTTGGACATTTCACTGGGTGCGGGAGAGGCACGGCCATTCATAACCTGCAGGGATCCCACTCTGAAGCCCCCGAGATGGGAATATCCCAGTTCCGCAGGGGTACCAGCCCGCTCTCCTGTTCTCGGAGCAGGTGGCCGTCGCCATTCGAGATCGTCTGCGTCGACCAAACTTCTTTCCTCTACCTCACGAATGATAGACTGTCTCTTGGTAGGTACATCCTGCATCTCTTTCGCAGAGGCTTTCCTCGTGGCAGTGCCAGGGGTGAAGGACGATCTGCGGGTTGGAGGGGGGCCACCAGGGTGGACAACGATACAATCGGCAGATGAACTGGGCGTACCAGATTTTGGTAGGTCATCCTTTGCCAGATTGATAGTCTCTTTGCTAGCGGTCTGGCTCAAGTTACTGGCATTGCGTGCAGATATTCGCCGTAGTATGATGGACTTGCTCTTTCTCGGTTTCAGCGAGACGATCAATGCCTCCTGGGCATCGCCTTGGGGTAGAGAGGCAATATCGAAATGGGTCGATATTTGAGCAACGCTCAGGGAAGCGGTGCTCTTCGATGCCTGCTGTGAGGCTGGGGTATCATCGCTGAAGACGTCGCTTTTGATTTGGTGTCTCAAGGCCGGATTATATGGGTGCGGAGACAAAGGGACCGACTGTACGGATTCAGTAGGAGTTGCATCTTGACTTCGAGATTGGGAAGTCGCTTCGTGGTTGACGGCAGTGGAAGACTTGTTGGTGAGAGGCTTGGAGAGACGGTTTCGGCGACGGACTTCTTTGACCTCATTTTGGGGATGGGAAGGCTGCGTAAAAGATTTCCGCTTTCCAAAAGGCGCCATCTTATGTTGTGAGTGAGAAGGATGTCATGAGATCTCCCCCAGATACAACATTAACGATTTAGAGGATGCAGGTATGTGGCTGGAGAAAGAAGGCGAGACAAGCCGAATGAGGCGCTATGGCCATCTACACATATTGGTCATGGGGTAGGAAGAGTGAGGAAAGTTGACGAGGTTTGCAAATTGTCTGTGCCCGATCGGCTGGAAAGGTTTGTCGGGCGGGGCGATGCGAGGCTGTCTGTGCGATGGAGGATCTGTGGAGCCGTGCCGGATGTTAAGAAGCAGAGCGGTCCGGTGTATAACGAAGGAAGGACACGACGATGACCAGTATGATTTTGAAACTGACGCGTATCACTGTATGTGAGCTTGGTGTTTTGTAAAGGCCAAACGAGGGTAGGTGAAGAGCAGGTGGGTAGTGAGAGCCAAAGCTTGGTATATGAAACACATCAGCAACGTGAAACAGGCGAGTTGGAGAGTATTAGTGGTTGTCGAGCAGACGGCGTTGCATGATTAGATAGATGCTCGAGGGAGGAGGGAGCTAGAAGTGTGGTCAAAAGAAGGACGTGGAGGAGGTCGAGATTGAGGTCGAGAATGAAAGACAATTGAGCACCTGCTGTAGATGGTGGTTGATGTGTGGTTGCCTCGTATGCCAGTATTCCAGGGCAAGAGCGACCCGTGGTTCCCCATTGCATTGGATGTGGCGAATCTGATTGGCTGGCAAGGTAACGGATAAACATCATGGTAGCTGGGGCACCGCAAGGCCAGGAGTCTGAAACAGGGAAAGAACGTCAGCCCAAACGCACACTAACCCGGTTTTTGGTTGGAAGCGCATGGGCCGACAACCCTAATTATCGCCTCAGCCACACCTAAAACTCGATCATTACGCAAGCGAGATTTCTTAAGTTGGGTGTAGCTAGCCTTGCACGCCTTGTCACTTTGTGTGCCTTGTTAGGTTGGGGGCCACTGGGGGCTTACAGAGGCCCCTTCGGCCCTCGGCCCCTTGGCCTCTGAGGCCTACCAACCAACCAGTCGCTCGAAAGTGCGAAATTCTAGGAGACGCTCGCTACCTGCCCTGCCCCCGGCAATTACGCCACACCAACGAGCCTCTTAATTTGGGGACCCCGGAGAACATTCACCAGTGACACTGGGCAATGGTTTCGACCTTTCTTAGACGAGGTTTGGTGAGACGTCTATGATGCAAAAGGACGATCAAGTCCAAGTTCACTATGCAGTCAATCACGAGTAAAGATGATCGCCCGATGGATGGTGTCTGTGCATGCATGTACGGAGTATCCATACAAGCTCACTTCTGTCGGAGAAGATATCCTAAGGATCCACGCCTTGATGGCATTCATGCACATGGACCTTGACCGCTTCTTATCAACAAGCACCATCCCCACTCTCCAGAGGTCTCTGAAAGATATCTATTTTTACGTCATCCCCAATGCATGAATCCATGCATTCCCATTCGCAAACATACGGACTATGGACACAGCCAGGAATGTGGCCTTCGCATAAATTGTGATTGTTTGATGGGTGACAATAACAGACATCTACGGAGTACTCGAGAGTCAGGTGACTTCTAGGCTCGATGCACGTGCACTGCCATAGAAAGGGGAGGAATTTACCAGTCAAATTCCACGCCTCATCCCAGTCACCTCCAACCATATGCATACCCTCCAATACTCCTCCTTAAAAGTAAAACAATCTACGGAAATAAGAAACATTGAAATGTATTACACGGACAGGACATAAAGATTGGTCGATGTTGAAAATATTGATTTTATTCTTTTATTACTAAGAATGAATGCTATTGGGTCAATGCCCTAATGTGATGGATATGCTTTGTGTGAGTGATTGTCATAAACGCTCCCAAGCTTTCAATGCCATGAGATGACTGCAATAAGAAATCCTCGCTATGCATGCCAAATACAAAATCCTCCATGTGTGAACTCAATCGCTCCAAGTGAACCGGGATTAATGTTGTACAATCATAAGACTCGCCAATCTACTCAACTCGGATTCTTCGGCTCTCTGGGGCGGGAGCCTTGGGAACCACGATGCTGAGGATGCCGTTCTTCAATGATGCTTTAACGGCATCTTGGTTGACTCTGGTGGGGAAGTTGAAACTGCGTGAGAATTCACCCACGTGTCGCTCTGAGATCCAGTATTGATGTTCTGGGGCGGCAGGGGTCGCTGGCTTGTCTGTCTTTGCGACTTCGGCCGATGGAGCTTCAGCGGCAGCAACTGCTGAACCATTGGCTGGCTCATCGTCCTCGACGGTGGCGTGGTGGGACTTGTCGCTTGCAGCATCGGAATGAACGTCCTCAATTGCCGCCTTCTCTTTGCCGGCCTCAATCGCACCGGGTCGGCGACCGGATTCTGAGTGTCGTTCGGTCCGGCCCTTGATGATCAAGGTGTGTTCATCAGTGAACTCGATGCTGAGGTCCTTCTGGTCAATTCCAGGCAATTCACCTTCGAGAGCGTAAGCCTCCTTTGACTCTCTGAGGTCGAATCTCGGATTCCAGGTTTTGTTTTGCCGAGATGCTCGTGAAAGCTCGTTGAACGTCTCGTCAAACAGGTTGAAAAGGGGGCCAATGTCGTGGCTGATGGGAGAAGTGCGCGCGGGCGCATATGCGAATCTTGGGAAGAGGAGAGACATTTTTGGTGATGAGGTGGAAATTGGGCAAGAAGATTTGATAATTCTTGATGCTCGAGGGATTACTCTGTTTCTGGTGGAATGCATAAGACTGATCTGAAGAACTGAGGTCGGATTCGAGAAACCCCAACTTCAACCACTCCTTTATAGCCGCGCATCTCGAATCAATCGAATATGGTGGTCGCAATCAGAACCCAGTCGTATGTTCGTCACCTGCTGACTCGACTTTGCTAGATGTTTCCAGGCGACGCAAGCATTCTTCGTGCCTGTTCCAAAAGTGGCGAAATGTTTCTCCGGAGAGCCATGGGATTCCATCCAGTCACGTGATATCGACACCCACGAATCGAACACGAATCGACAAGATCTATGCACCCTCATGTCGTCGACACGATGTCTAAGGCTGGAGAATTGATTGCGTAAGTAGTTGGCGTCGATCGAGATCTGTTTTGTCAACTTGTTTTGGGGACGTTGATCGACGAGTAATCCTCAGATCCCATGGATGTCCCGCACCCCGGGCGAGGAGTAGAGCTCCAGCTTTCTTCTTCCCAACCTCAACAATGTCTCCACTGCGCTGAAATCCTTTTTGTCAATCGTGCGATTTCGACGGAATTCTCGTCTAGAGGAGCAGACGCCGACGTAAGTGATTGGTCTTTAGTTGCGGTGACGGGCCGAAACCCTTCTAGTTCGGTAGGGTACAACAGGGCTTACCTGGCCGCCTCGCGGAAATTCTCTCTCGTTGCCTGGTTGAATTGGATGTCAGATGAACATTCAAGGACTGACCCTCCAACCTTAAGGGTACTTTAAGGCGTAAATGTGTCTTGTCAAGGGTTGAGGCTCGTCTTTGGAGCTGGCTTACCTCTGGCTTCCGCCCCGCCTCCCGCAGGCACAAGCGGTACAGCTTGATGACCTCGCGCTGAAGGCCTGACAAGCGCATATTCTTGTGACTAGAAATGCAACAATGTTGTCGAACTAGACCTGTTGCATGCTTCTTCTACACATACACAGGAAGAAAATCATGCCCGAAGCTAGTATGACAATCTGCAGCGAAGTACTTCTGCCATAGCGCTCAAATCACTCACGTGACAAATCAAGCATTGCGAGACGTTATAGTGGTTCTCTCCCTCGTACTATCAATCATCCCATTGGGTCGTTCGTATATCTAAGTGCCTTCGGTTCGTAAATAACATCTTCTAGATGAATTCAATAGTCTCTCAATTCGCACTTTAAGAAAAATAGGAGTTGATACTTGACACAGAAGCCATGGCACAACACTTCGACTTTGTCAACATGGCTTGGACACAAAATCGCTATGCTAGCTTCAGGTGCCTTGCCGATACTCCAGCTCCAGGTTCTCTGATCGTCAAGCTTCATGTCAAAGTATTATCCACAAGAAGCCCAAAACGATGATCCTGACACATCTCCCATGCATCTCGTGCTGTCCATTACCTTCCATATTCCAAGCTCGGCACCACAACAGGTCCAAACTTGACCACATTGCCATAAGCGCCCTCGCCTTGGACCAGAAAATCGGCCGCAAGGCTGAGTTTCCCTCCTCCACGTTTCATGCCTGTCTGTCCAAATGTACCGCTGACAATCTCTGGGTCATAGACGACAATAGCCACATAGTTGCGCCGGGGCATCAACTTCCGGTTGGTGGTGGGTTGGCCCGTCACATCGTGGGTGAAGATTTCCATCATGTCTTCTTTGGTATCCGTAGGTTGAGACGGTGTGGACCTTTGGCCGTTGACCGGAATGTAGAGTGGTTTATTGTTATTGAGAAGCTTCATTACATAACCTGGTGGCGGTGTATTGACGACGGAGGAAGATATCAATTGATACATTGTCTTGTGATTCGATGGGTGAGATGGGTCGTGAACAAGGCCTGCGCCGCAGACGTTGACTGCCCCAGAGAGGAACGTGAATCGAATAGACCTTTGCTGCGAGATGCCCTGAAGGGTCCGAATAAAGTATGTCCGTTCAAGATCCTGTGTTCGTTAGTGAGCTCATCTCAACACGGTCGATAGCAACAACTCACCTTTGATTCGTGTGTCCATTGATCCTTGAGCTCATCGAGGACATCAATATCTCCGAAAGGGCTCAAGATGCCGCCCATCAATCCAGATTTGCCCACCGCTCTCTTGACCGAGTCAAATCCAGACCCAACAGCCCCCTTAGCACCGACGACCCCGGCGACAGAGCTGGTCACCCGACCAAGGACATTGTAAGCCCCCGTTACGGCTTTCTTGCCAGTCGCCACTGTGTGCGCAATGGACTCGGCAGCGTCGAGCCTGGGGTAAATCAGAGGAACGGCCACCATCATCAAGCAGTGTTGAATGCTCGGAGGAAGCATTGCGATCTTTGGAAACAGGCCTTGATAAGTCGGGCCAGCCATGACCTGATGAGGATTTCGTTCGCTTCTCGTATCCGGTGCCACAACCGCCACCGCTGGTCCCAAAAACTTGACAAAATGCCACCCAGTGCCGGTGACGGTGAACAAATCTCGATCGTCCGAGACGTCTCGCAGAAGCTCCAACGTGGTATGATGCTGAAACAAAAGATACATCTCAATGCCAATCCGACCAATGTTCTTGAACATGTTACTGAACTGCATATATTCGGGATAAGACCCGAATCCGTCAAAACTATCTCGTGTTAGCTGGGTGTCGGTTTCACGTTGACTGTGCACTTACATGTCATGATCGTCAATCGCCAATACATGGGGTATCTGGGCAAATGCTTCTCGCAAAAATGGCTGATCAAAGTGGCTGGTGTAGTAATGAAAATATGCATGTGTGACGTCCTCTTCATGAGCGGCAGTCCAGACGGCGTTCTTCCTGTTCTCCTTGCCGCTCATCGCAAGCCATTGTTTGAGCGATGGTATCTCCTTCCAAACTCGATCGGCATAGATCTGGCTCCCAAGACCCAACTGGCAGTGGAAGCCGCCGCACTCGGCGTGTTTCTGCATGATGTCTTTCCACATGAACCCCACCCCACCAAGCCTAGCTCGCTCATTAACGCTCACATTTAGAGAGAAATCGTTGCCTGAAGTTGCGATGAAGCGCCAATTTGTCTCATGTTTGCCCGCAACGAGGAATTCGTATCGTGTGCAGCCCAAGTGTGAAGTAATGGCATACGTCCATTGCGCAGGGCCTGCCTCATCCATGACAATATCAATCTCGTACTTGTAGAATGTCCAACGCTGGTGAGCCTGAATGCTGGCTGCCTTGAGCTGGCGTGGATTTGGAGACAGGTCGGCACTCTGGTGTAAGTGAATAGTGGGAGGCTGTGGAGCATCGGTCACCAAGAGAATTGATCCGTACCATATTCCTCGCTCAATGTCCATGTTGGAATAGCGGAGGTAGGGACCAAAGTATACTCCATTGGTCGGAACTATCTTGTAGAGATCAACGCCGGCAGTAGGTGGTGGTCCGGTGAATGCAGTCGGGGCGGACAATCCCATGACACTTTGCTGATCATAGCCGGGGGTCATGGGGAGGCCTGGTGATGCCATGGGCTTTTGGGCGAATGAAAGACCGGGCGATGACAAGGGATTCTGATACATGCTGGCCACTGGCGACATGGGTGTTTCAGCGATATTGAGAGGTGTTGGACCTTTGGGGAATTCCCATTGCGTAGACTGACTTGGAAGATGGATGTAGTAGTATTGACCGGAGTTCGGATCCATATGCGCTATCCAGCCTTCGGGGAGTGGCGGCGGTGAAGCAGGAGGAATCTGCGAAGGTGTCTGAGGCATTTGGTTCGATTGATGTAATTGCTGGGGCTGAGGTTGTTGGGATGGATGAGCTTGTATTGGCACACTCATCCCTGGCTGGCTAATACTGCTGGGAATGCTCTGACGGGGATCGTTGGCAAAAGCTGGGTGGTCGAGCTGGTTGGGTGGTGAAGGTCCTGACGCGACCACGCCCTGAGTAGGAGCAACGAGTGGAGTCGGTGCAGCGCCCGCAGTGCTCCGCCTTTGCTTCTCGTTGGCAGGCTGCCTACCTGAAGTTCCTGGAATCTGTGAATATGCTGGTGGAGGCTCATCGTGTGGCTGAACGCGAGACAATTCGGATTCGACGGGATGTGGTGCACGGCTCGATGATTGCACCGACTGCGCTTGAGAAGTGGGCCGCGAGGACGACCTAGGAGGAGATGACGATGCCTCAGTCACGCCTTGATAGACGGTTGGAGCAGGGTGTGGACTGCTTCCTGGCGCCTCGGTCGGTGTCCAGGGCCTTCGAGGAGGATTGCTTGCCTGCGCCGGTTGTGGCGGTTGTTGAGAGGCATACTGAGCAGCTCGTTGCTGGGAGGCGAGGCTTTGGGCTTGCAAGCTGGTCAGAGTCGCAGTGCCGGCGATGCCAGAGGCAGCATACCGAGCCTCAATGTCGGTCTGTGGTCGCAGAGCGGGACCGGCGATGGGAGTTTCAGGAGGGGGAGGTGAGCCCCTCTGAGCTCTTGTTGTCGAGGTGGAAGCTGTTGAACTGATGCGGTTGATGGAGGAAGGATCTCTAACCTTGAGTCTACTGAAAGCATCGGCAGTGGAATTCGCGGACGGAGGAGGCCAATACTGTTGTTGTTGCTGAGGATCTCGAGTACCTGGCAGAGGGGCGGTGTTGAGTCCGTCAGAACGATTGGGTGCCCGTTGGAAGAGACCCTCCTTGTCTGGGGCTTCAGGTCCCGGCGATTCTGGGAGTGGCTTTGGCATGGTCCCTCTCCGTTCGCCGAGGGTCTGAGCCGGCTTTCCATCGCCTGAGGTTTTTCTCTTCGCTTGTTGTCTTGTGCCACTGCCAGCGCTGACCGACTGGGCTTGTGCCTGATCCGGTGATGTGACCCTCCGCACGTCTGGATATGGATATGGGCTCGTGGACAAGGAGGACTGTGATTGGGCCGAGTAGCCATTGGGACGTGCTTCGGGAAATGGAAGTGAGGGCATTGGGTAGTGGGTGGTGGGTTGAGGCTGCGTCTGCGGGGGAGAACTTTGGGCGGCCGTCTGAGAAATGCCGGACGATGCACTGGCAGTCCTTTTGTTGATGCGCAGTGGCTCAACGATTGTGGGAGAGTCACGGCCTGACGGTCGACCTAGAAACAAGTCGCCATCAGGCCGTCCCATGGATCGCTCTGACACGCTCATGACAGATGCAATAAAGTTGAAGGCGCGGGGGAGGACGATGGCTCTGGGTGTGGAGCGCGGGTGACTGCGGCACCTAACAAACCCTCGACGATCTCCCGTGGCAGGGAGGGTCTCTGGTGTATATCTTTTGAAGCGAACAACAGCAACGGCCTTTTTGCCTGATTGTGTTTCAACCTGACGATGTCGACGAATAGGTCAGTTGGAAGGAGCGAGAGGGTATGGTGGGATGGTATATGGCGGGGTGGGCTGCACAGCGGGCCTCTCGGGCACAGAGGGGTGGCCTGAAGGCGAAGTCGAGGCGAAACGATGTTCAGCTAACCCAACAGGTATGCAACCAGATGGCCACAGATTGAAACACAGAGATGAAAAGAGGAAGTATGAAGCAATAGCGACAGAATCAAGATGGGGAAGTGGGAAGAACAAGAGTGAGTGCAAAGGCGTGTAAGAGGGAAGTCGTGCCTAATCGGCGAAGGGAAGGCTCAACCTTGCATGGTGGAATTGGGGGCGAAACATCAGCGTGTCGTGCGTGTGTGCCTCTACCACTTGGTATCTCATTGGTGATTGGGAGTCTTCGAGATTGTCTGGCGAAGAGGACCACCGCAACGGTCCAATGAAGCCTCAATGCAGGCGTCAAGCCCGTTGTGCCTGGTCATGAAGAGTGACTCTTCAATGCATGGTGTCGATCCTATCGCGGCCGGGGAAAGCTGTGTAGCCGCCAGCCAAGCGCCGGTAAGGTTCCAAGACAGTTGACGCTTGTAGGATATGCCCGAGAGTCCACTGTGCCCCACGTCTTTGGGCGTTAAGCTGCAGCTTTCTGCTATTGATGTACCTGGTAGGACTCACGGTTACTCGACCCTCATCCACTGTACTTCCAGCCAGGATCAAATATTCTTCAAGTCGACTGGTGTCGTACCATGTAAATGACCAGAGTCATGAGAGCGGAGAGTAGCCTTTCACTAGTAGGAGTTGTTCCAAAACGTGGCTTGCGATGAATTACACAAGACTTGATTTGTAGGTACCTCCTTGTAGCTAATCTTGGAGTGACGCCAGACAGAGTGACGACAACAGACACCACGTGATCATGACTTTTTCCAGCCGGACCTCGAGAGCTCCTTCCTGATCAGCACAGACGCGAGGAGCCTCAGATAGGCAACTGGCGAGTGCTGAATTACTGACAGTCGCTCCTGCCCACTGGCCTTCTGTCTATGATTACAGCGAAGCTCACGTGGCCTTTAGGAAGCCTTGTCCTTTCTAAAGGGCCACGACTGCAACTTGAAAGCAATGCCAGCAACCTAACAAGACAAAATCTGAAGATAACAATGTCATGACTGTCGATTAAAGATATGGATCTCTGCTCTGACCTGCATGCAAGAAAACAACACCACTGAACAATCCACAAGCATAGCCATTTGACGTTCCTACCACTACCCATGTTGCAACCCCCACCTCCTGGGTCCTCCCAGTTGGCATTGGATGGCCAGAAGACCCTCCAGCTTATCGAGATATGTCACTCCCCAGTCACCCTCGGTGCAGCGAAGAAATAATGTGAAAAATAGACTGAACTTCATGCAACATCCTAGCGCCTCCCACCAACCCAATCTCCCTCACCTTTACAGCAACCATGCAGCACATCCAATAAGCACCGCGAACACCGACGACAAGGCGATTGCAGTCCGATCGGCCGAACCTGTGTATTTGCTGCCTGGAGGCGAGACACCAGAGGGATTGCTGTCCCAGCCAGTACCCGCACCCGCCGCAGCCGATGCGGCGGCCTCAGCACCTGCCGATGCTCCAGCTTCACCACCTTGGGCGCCAGCTGCTGCTGCTGCCCCAGCACTTGCTCCAGCTGCCGCCCCAGCTCCTCCGGCGGCGGCACTGGCAGCGGCACTGGCGCCTGCGCTCGCCCAGGCACCGACACCTTCCTTGAAAACAGGGGTGACTGTGGCATATGGCCCAGTCTCGCAAGGTGTGGTCAATGTCACAGTAGTTGGCTGTCCATCAGCACGACATTTCCTGCATTCAACCACGGTGGTCGTGAAGCCGGCAGGCAAGGTAGGCTCAGCGTCGCTGTCTGCCAGACATGGGCAAGTTTCGGTCAGGGTGTAGGTTGCTTGGCCAGGAGTGCCGTCGGAACCGATGTGGTCGTAGACGGTGGTCTGGGTTCGCAAAACGGTCGTCTTGCCATCAGGGCCAACAGTAGTCCAGTCAGTGTAGGGGCCGGTCGCGATGGGTCCCACTAGGCCACCTGGGCTTGTGGTCGGTGCTGGAGTCACGGTAGGTCCGCCGCTGCAGTGATCTCCCGGGCAGTAGGTGATTGTGCTCGACACGGTACTGCTAATTGTGACGGCAGTTGGGCAGGTCGAGTAGTAGACGGTGAGGATCGATGAATCAGTCGGGTCGTTGATCACAGTCGAGCTACTTTGAGCATTGGCTGTTGCCGCCAACAACGCCGTCAACGGCAAAAGTCGAGAAGTGCGTTTCATGGTGGACTGGTGTACTTGAAACTGGGTCTTGACTGGACGTGGACACAAGGCTAAGACAATTGAGAGTGGTTGATATGCGACAACTGAGCGCGAGGTATGAAATAGCAAATCAGAAAAAGAGTGGCTAGAGCGCGAAACTGGCTCCAAACGAGTGTACGAGTCCAAGGAAGACTGTTGAGGGAGCAGGAAGAGCGGCATCTTTGTAATGCGGATTGATATCTACCTTGAAGTGATCCCCGTGCCACGGGCTGATCCACATAACGCGGTGGTGAGGAATGCAAAACAGTAGCATATCAACCTCGTCAAGGGAGATGCGGGTGGAATGCATGCACGAGCCTTGTCATGGCCTGAGAATGCTTTGCAAGATTGCAAGCCCCTCAAACAGTGCAGTGAGGCTCGAGAGGTGCCAGTGTTGGAATTGATCTGGAACGCCATGGGAGGTGGTTTTCGAGGAGCGATGGACTCTGCAGAAAATGGCAGAGACCGCGTTGCCGAATTCGCTGTCCCCAACAAGGATACGATCGTCAGAAATCATCATCAAGAGCAGAAAATTAGGCTTTTCAGACAGTGATCACACATCAAGGCCAGATAGATAGATACTTGAGATAGATAGACATAACAAAAGGTGGAAAAAGAAAAATGTTTCCCATTAATCGACATTTCAGACTCATCGCCCTCAATGAAGAGGACCCAACGAGAAGGAAACTTCCTACAAGGATGATTGGTTTACTCTCCAGAGCCACTGGACTCAAAAGAATCCATGGCAACACGTCGCTGTAGATAAAAAGCGAAACGACGGTCGTGGCTGGCTCTGTTGCTTTTTTTGATCTGAAGAGAAGAAAAGACGGAAGATCAGAAAACAAAGGAGAAGATTTGTGTTGCAGCGACTTGCCAAGCATCTAAGGTATGATCACGTGATGATGGACCAAGTCAGCATCCATAGGCATTATGCCATACAAGAAGAAATAGAGCATATTATTACAACCAGTGTCAATCGTCTGTCTGCACATTCAATTTGAAGAGGCTGACTTCTCTTCAGGGTCCAGATGAAATGGTTTTGAAAAGGGGTAATTTTCATAGGTCGTGTAAAGACCACTCATCCAAAGTCTACACCTGCTTGCTCAGCTGGACCTCAAATACAACCGCTCCATTCTTGGAGCCTGGGAGTTTCATGAATCTCCCCAGTCTCAAATCTTTGCCTGTCCCGGCAACAATGCAGAGACCTTGACATTCGCCTTCCTTGGTCCCTCCAAATTCATTCACAATTTCCTTTCTTCGCTCAAAGACCGCTATTGAATTGACAAATCCACGGGCTGGGCCTCGGGCGTCTGCTTTAGCAGGGTGTTCTAAAGACGATTCGTCTCCATTCGTCACTCCATTGGTCTCATTGTCGACATTACCAGTGACACCGTTGGTTTGTGTGGTTGGATGGCTCTCGCTGCCTCCTACAACACCAAGTGATATCAAAGATCGTTTATCGTCGCTCAACTTCCATATTCTGATCCAACCATCCCAACTACCACTCAAGACGATGTCGGTCCCTGGAAGGGCGGTAAGGGCAGTGATGGCTCGGGGAATGGGTCTGCGTTTGTCACTCAGCTTCAGCCTTTCCAAGGCCGCTGGATCAATCTCAGCTGTGACGTCTTCGAGTGGTAAGGGCTCGTCCACGCCGTGTGCCGTCTGGATCGTGAATAGCGATTTCTTCTTGTGGACACTCCACAGACTGATTGCACCCGAGTCGGAACCAGTGACAAAATGGTTGGGTGGCAGAGCGGCGACACAATCCAGGCTTCCCGTCTGGTATGTATCATGCTTGGAACTGTCACCCAGAAATTTCGTCAGTGACTCGTCAACTACCTTCCACCACAAAGCTCTTCGATCTCTGGCTCCCACCGAGACACATTGGTCAACTGATACCGCCGAGACATCCAGGATGTGGTCTTGATGACCAAACAGCGTCTCGACATAGGCAAGACTGTCTTCTCCAGCTAGACTGTAAATTTTGAGCGACCGATCCTTGCTGGCGCTGAAAAGCTGCGCTCCAAACCCAGACTCAGTTGTGGACTTGGGTGCAAATGCCAACGCTGTCACAGCATCACGATGTGTTGTGAAAGTTTTGAGCGGTTTCAGGTCCTCGGCCGACCAGATGATCAGTTTCTTATCGGCTCCTCCGGTTGCGACAAATTTCCCGTCGGGTGATGCTGCCACGCACAATATCGAACCGGTATGGCCATGCTGTTGGGGGGCCAGGGCACGAATCTTGACACCCTTGACATATGCTACTTGTTGAGGTCGCTTCCTCCGTGATGGTGCTGTCTTTCCATCAGGAATAATTGGCGACTGTAGCTTCCACTTGATCAAGGTTTTATCCTTGCTGACTGTAAAGAGATAGGGCTGACTGACAGCCACTCCAGTGGTACTCTCTGTGTCAGCTCGAAAGGCTGTGTGGGAAGCACCGGAGAAGTCGAGTTTGTTGGCCAGTAGTCTAAACTGTCGCCCTTTTGCCTCATCCACGTCTTGCCTAAGTCTTGTAGCAATAATGTCTTTGTCCAAGTCCTCTGCATCGAAGCCAGCCTCGTCCACCTCCTGCCTGATATTGTCCAAATATCTCTGTGCCAGTCGGATTCTGCGGTCCGCAGCATTCTCGCCCTCTTCTGATGTCGCCTCTGACTCTTCACCGGATTCTAGTTCGATCTGTGACTCTGAGTCACTTCCAGATATTGATTCATCTCGGTCTCGGTCTCGAGGTCTTGTAGGTTTCCGTCGTGTGGAGGATTCTTCTGTGGTTTCTGGGCGCTGCTCGCTCCTGTTGGCTTCTCTCCTCTTTCTGGCCTTGATGGGGCCATTTCCTCCTTCTGTCCGCTTTCTCTTCCTCTGAGAGGCGGGAACAGTAAAGAAGGACGACATTACTGAGAGTCACCGGCTTCTCAGCACTCAAATATCAGGATGGAGTGGACTTTGGTGTACATGGTGTGTTGAGTTGACATTCATTACTCCAAAAATTTTTGGAAAATGCGGGCGAATCTTCCTTGAATGGATCTTAGACTTCGGCTGGCTTTCCACTTCAGGCGTGAATTAAATTATCTTGTCTGACAATGAATAATCAGCCAAAGACGCTTTTGAAGTGCCTGAAAATAACTTGTCAGACTCGTACACGTCCACGACGTCCCCAGCAGTTAGGCACAGCTGCGCTACGTGTTGGATTCCTCAGATTGAATGAAGATCACACAGTTCACAAACAAGACCTTCCGCCCACCACCTGGATCCTTCAACCCTCATCTACGAACCTCAGTACCGTTTTGTCTTCGCCATCAGCCTGAATCTCTGCAAGTGTCAGAGCTCATCCCACAATCATAACTCACAATGTAAGTCGAGCCGCAATCAGGTCATCCCCTCCCCCATAAGGATATATCTAACATGTGTGCTCTTACAGGGAAGTCCTCCTCGGTCTAACAGGACGCGACTTCACCATCATTGCCGCCAGTAAAGCGGCGATGAGAGGCGCCACGATCCTCAAAGCAAGCGACGACAAAACTCGAGCCCTGAACAAGAACACGTTGATGGCGTTCTCGGGCGAGGCTGGCGACACGATCCAGTTTGCCGAATACATCCAAGCCAACATCGCCTTATATACGATGCGGAATGAGACGGACCTGGGACCTGCAGCGGTGGCGAGCTTTGTGCGCGGAGAACTTGCTCGCAGTCTGAGAAGCCGGACACCCTACAATGTCAACTTGCTCCTTGGCGGTGTTGATCCCATCACCAAACAGCCCAGCCTGTATTGGCTCGATTACCTGGCGAGCAGCGCAAAGGTCCCTTATGCCGCACACGGCTATGCCCAGTGAGTTATCCTTTAGCTGGAAGAATGAATTTTGGTTTGGGTTGAAAATTGAACGACCCTCCGAATTTCACCGCGTGTGTTTGCTTTACTGACTCTGTCCTTCAACAAGATACTACTGCTTGTCAATTCTTGATAAACACCATCATCCCGATATCTCCTTCGACCAAGGTCTCAAGATCCTCCGCATGTGCACAGATGAATTGCAACGACGACTGCCGATCGACTTTAAGGGCATGACTGTCAAGGTCATCAAGAAAGATGGTATTGTGGATCTGGAATATGACACAAGCAAGCAAGTGTTGTCTGCATAGTAAGGATGGACATGTTTGGGGTTCGTCATCAAGGACTCGTGTAACAACCTAGAATTCTTCTTTTCAGATGCAGAGTCCGAAAACACGGATACAGATGTCTGATAGGCGACCTATATTTGGTCACCAACATGCATAGCGTCGGCGCAATAAAGTGATGGTTCATCAATCTTTGGTTTATTCTGACCCTTTTCAAGTCAATGGGTATCTTCGCTATCTTGGTCTACCGCTACCGGCACCGATGAGATCTTTTGAGTCTTTGCCCGATAGCCCCCGTAAACACCTTGGCGAAGCGCCTTGCTATTCCAACTGAGGCTCCACCAAGGACTAACATGAAGCCCTGGTAGCATCAGGATACTGATTGAGATATCTCAATCCTGACGCTACTACTTCGATGAGCACCCAACAATGTTAGTTGACTCGTGTACCTCTCGGCAGTGGTCTATGGTTGTAGTGCCCATTGGTTCGGCCCCATCTTCCCACTACTCTTCCCTGTCGCTGACTTTGCTGAAATGCCCTACGTCTCGCCGCGGATTGAGCTGGCCGAATTGCGGTGTCGTCCGACTCTTCGGATTCAGAGTTGTCTCCTTCTGTATCATGCTCTTCGTTTCCTGAGTCAGTCGACACGCTTTCATCGCCTGACTGCGACGCTGACGTATTTCCGGCTCGCGATGAGGCATCGGTAACCTCATCCTCTTCGGGGCTAGAAGATTGTTCTGAGCGAGTGAGCGATTCATTCTCGGCTCCGTCGTCCTCACCCTCATCCTCATCATCGGTAATGACGATACGTTGCAACCGGCGACGCTTTGGGGGAGGCGCAGGAACATCGTCTTCCTCTTCTGAGGCTGAATCCTCGTCGTAATTGGTGTTGACATCGGACTGGTTATCATAACGTTCTGGTGAAGAAAACCGAGCCGCAGACCTCTCGCCTTGATTTCGACTGGCGTAAGGCAATGGCATTGAGAAATCAAGTGCTCGCTGTCTTCTTACGGCAGCATTGTGCCTCAAGTAGTGAATACGGGTCACTGAGTCGTCACTGTCATTACCAGGGTCCTCTTCTTCACCCGAACCGTGATCATTGATGAAGTCATGCATGTCATCCTCGTCGTGGTCGTAGTCGTCGCTTCTGTCTGTATCGGAATCATAGTAAAACCCAGCATTCATCGTACGAATGAACTCGTGGTCAATGGGATTGCCATCTTCACCGTAGTCGGTGGCGCCAGAGTGAAGGCTATCCATATCTTCCGAATCCAGGTCAGAATCGGATTCGCTCTGGTCTGCCTCGAATTCGCGAAATCCACACTGGCCACAGTGGCCTTCCTCAAGTTCCCAGTGACATTCCGGGCAACGAACAACATTGTCTTCGGCATCAAGGATGCCACCGCCCAGCCGAAGAACACGAGACTTGACTGCGAAGGCTCCCTTAAACAGTCCAGGTCCAGCACGATCGGCGGCAAGTAGATCAGCCTCCTCCCTCTTGCCGGTTTGGTGTTCTTCCAGGGTTTCATCTTCAGGCAAGAGTTCTGCTCGACCGACAAACATGTGTGAGAGGTCGCGTAACAGGTAGTTTGGAGAAGGTTGCACAGTCACAGCAGCTCTGCAATCCGGACAATTCTTATTTCTTTTCCGGCCATGTCCTCCACCAAACCAGCTCGCCAGGCATGAGTAGCAGTATGTGTGGCCACAGGCAAGGATGAACGGTTCATAGAAGGGTTTGATGCAGATCTTGCATAGAGAGAGATTGCGCATGTCCTCGATATGTTTCTGAAATGTCCCTAACCGGGACTCATCGCTTGGATCCATGGTCGTGTGTTTTCCTTTGGTAGGTATCGGTGAACTTGGAGGGGTTCTCAGGCAAAGCCAAGTTGGATGCGTGCGCTTGCAACTGTCGGGTTGATCGAGGGCGAGCGAGTACAGTACATCAGTAGAGTAGGACGTGGCAGAAACAGGCGATGGAGAAATTGAGAAACAAGAACGCCGCAACAAATCAACAATGAGAAGGCTGATGTTTTTGTAGAGAATTCAAAGCGGTTGGACGGTGACGGTGGACCAACTGTGACTGTGATTCGTGGTTGAGGCAAGCACGCGTCCAGTAGTGAATTATCATGTGGCGGCTGCCTTACAAAAGGCCACAGCCACGCCACTTAACCATGGGAGACAGTTAAACACCTTGGCGCAGTCTGTAGCAGAGCGCTAAGCACTTTAATGCAGATAGAGTTACTAGTTGAACCCTGTGATCCATCATGGCAACTTCTCCGACGAAATTTATTCTCTCCGCATTTTGATGCCTGTCTCTTGCGCAACAACGCCACGAATATATCTCTTCTTCCTGAGATGTAAGTCGTGGTACAGCAATGTCGAAACCTATCTCGTTCGGATTTGGCAAACAAAAACCTCCCTCTTCTGTCCCTAGCGCTCGACTCCCCACTCGCAAACCCAATGGACCGATCCGGCCCTCATCCACTAAATCACTCCAACCACTCCATAACGACTCCGATAATGAAGACGAACAAGAGCCAAGACACGAGTCAGTTACTGGCTTTTCATCAAGTGGTGCTATTCTAAGCAAGCCTGTACAGGAGAATCAGGAGAGGATAATTGAAAACCCTGGAAATGGCGATTGGCGGAAACGAGGGCGCAAGAACCTTTTACCGGAGGATGTTCAGGTCGCCCAAAGCCAAGGTGGCGATGTCGTAATGATTGAGAGACAGGAGGCAAGCACAATAGGAGGTATACAGCTTGCAGAGAAAGGAGATCAGACACCAGAGACAAATGGACACAAGAACGGTCCGGAAACACCTGTGATCGAAGACCACCCAAAAGTCCTGACCGCAGACGAGGAGGCTCTCAATGCACTTCTTGGTGACGATTCGAACAAGCCCAAATCAACAGCAGTGATTGATCAGCAAGGGAATACCAGGCTTACTCAGAGGGACGAGACCCAAGATTTCAGAGAGGACGTGGCGTCTCGGCCCGAGTCATGCACGCTGGACGAGTATGCGGCTATGCCCGTGGAAGAGTTTGGTCTGGCTATGCTGAGAGGCATGGGAAAGAAACGTCGAGCCAATGGCGAGGTGATCGACCTGACTCCAAAAACCGATGACAAGACTGTCAAAGTGCGAAAGCAAGAAGGATTTCTCGGCATTGGCGCCAAAGCTGCCCCAGGATCAATCTCTGAGATTGGGGCATGGGGCAAAGCTGACATGCGCAAGAACAACAAAGGGGAAGGTTTCTTTACGCCGTTAATGCGAGAGAACAAATCCACTGGAGAGCGCATCACAGAAGAGGAGTTCCAAAAGCGTATTAAAGAATCCAAAGGCGAAAAAGCCGAGGAAGATTGGCGGTCGCGACGGGACCGAAACCTCGAAAACAGTGGAAGAGATCGTGGGCGAGACTCAGACAAAGCCAACGATCAACGCAGCTATCGCGACGAGATGAATTCATTTTCTCGGGTGTCTTCTTCGAAGCGCGACAGAAGTGATCGGGAATATGACAGTTCAAGATCAAGAAAAGATCGAAGCAGGTCAAGAGAGAGGAGACGACGTGATGATAGTCATGATGACCGCGAGAGTCGGCATCGGGACAAATACCGGGACAGAGATCGTGATCGAGACGATGGCAAATATGACTCCAGCTCGTCACGTCGAAGTCACCGTGACAGTGACAGAGAACGGAACAAAGATGGAGCTGAAAAGCGAGACCGTGACCGGGACCGCGACCGGGACAGGGATCGCGATCGCGATCGCGATCGACGACATCGAGATAGACATTAAACAGAATACAATTATATTCTGCGGGGCGTGACATGCACGCCCTACGCAAGACCACAGTATGCATCTACATTCCTATCGCTTGCAAGTACAGTCCAGGCTTGTCAAACCATGATAACATCCTCGTCTCCTCGATCTGCACCGGTCAAACCACGGCCCACGCCATCCATTTCCCTCAGAGTGTAATCAATCAAATAACTCTCGTCCGCCAGATCGTCCATTCTCTTGTAGTGACGCTCGGTGTAGACCTCCAGAGCCCGCATAACGTCCTTTAGCCCCTTCAAACGACGGTCTCGAGCCATGTCAAGAAAGACGCTGGCATGATATCTCTTGAAGATACAATTCAAGACCCGTTGCGCCACCGTTGCCGTACGTGCATTCGTATTCCAGTCTCGCACCCGCTCCAACAGCGTGTATAGTTGCAAATGGTCGAGCGAGGCGAGCACGTCGTCCACCTCCGTCACACCCATGATACTGTCGGGCTGTTTCTCCGAATCTGGCAGGTTGACCACGTCTTGGAAGATATGGAGCAAGCGCCCTGGATGGTTCAGAGTCAACGAAAGGACGATGGCTTCACGGTAATTCTTGGCGTTGATGTAGTTCTGCAGTTGTTGATCTTGTTCGATGCGGGCACTGGCCTTCAACGAGGCTGTGTTAGCCGTTTGGACGGTCGTATCCTCCCAAAAAGTCAGGGTAGCATCTGCGGCACCCGATATTAGGGGGTAAGCTTTTCCGGATTGTGATTTTGCAGATTTTGTAGCCTGGGGGAAAGATGTTGCAGAGGTCAGGGCCCAGACTCGGTCTGTATGGTTGTCCAATGTGGCGAGGAGATGGTCACTGTCGGCGCCAGAGTAGGGTGACCACAATTTGACAAGGGTATCAGCTGAAGCAGAGGCTATCATGGGTTTGTTGTTATGTGTCTGCCGAGGCTCCCGAGAGGAATCGGAGTCTTGGTTGGATGGGGTGGAGGGTGGGAGCCACAATACTTTGAGCACTGAATTACTGTGGCCTTCAAACGTCTGCAGACACGTGTACGTCGATAATGACCAAATTTTGACGGTACGATCACCGGAGCCGCTGACGAGAAGTCCCCTCGACCCGCTGGTTCCACCTTCAGATAGATTGACTGGCGGTGTGCCTGCTGGTGAAAACCGTACGGACCAGACTCCTCGCTTATGACCTCGAAGTATTCCCGTAACAGATCCGTCTTCCAGAGACCAAATCTTAATGGTTCGATCCTGGGAGGCGGAAGCAAAGAGAGGAGCAATGGCCGAGGCATCAAGGGAGTTGATGTCCTTGTCGTGAGCTACTCGTGTATAGAGTGCCTTGCTGCCGGTATGGGGTTCGGTGGATGATGGTGAATACTTCAGTTTTGATGTATCCCAACGCTTGATAGTTTTGTCTTGCGAGCCTGTAAGGAGGAATGCCGGGGGGTGATCTGCCGGTGCTCTCAACGCAGGACCGTCGCTAGGAGGGCTACGCGGTAGGGCTACTGCGCCGAGTGATTCTGCATGTCCAGCAAATATGGCAAAACATCTGTAGGAGGACGACTCTGGATCCAACCTCCATAATCTGGCAGTATTGTCCTTGGCACCAGTTGCGAGCCAGTGGCCGGACCAGTCCACATCAAGACAAATGATGATGTCTTGATGGCCCTCGAGTACGGCGACATCACTTCCAAAGCTGGGGGCACTTCTGGATGAGTCGTGTGCTGACTCTTTGATTGAGATGAGTTTGATACTTTCGGTGTTTGTCGCTAAAGCGACCAGAGACCTGTCATGGCCAACACATGTCATATCGATAACTTCATCAAAATTGCCAGATATCGTCCGTAAAAGCGGAAGCACTAGCGTATCTCCCGTTCCGAATCCCGTTGCCAACTTGGTGATGTCGTGGAATCTGAGAGTCTGGTCTTGGTGGACAGAAAGGAGGGCGTGTTCGTCGGCGACATTAAAGATTGCAGAGATGGAATCATTCTCGAGCCCCGGCGTTTGTTTCGGCGTGATTTCCCGCGCAGTAGTTGTGTTCCATATCCTTACTATACCGTGTTCGCCTCCCGCAAAGCATTGTTGGCCTTCATTCAGAAAGCCAGCTGTTTCAAGCACTTCCAGAGCAGGGATGACCCTTTGTTGCTTCCACGTCGTCGAGTCCCAAAGGATGATCGTTCTGTCTCGACTGGCAGAGAGCAGGATACCCGTGTCCTCAGAATAGCAAAGACTGCGGACGACACTCACGTGGGAGTCTAGTGCGGCAATTGATTTTCGTGCAGAGAGATTCCAGATCTGGATTTTTCCGTCTTCACTACCTGACGCAAGGTGTATTGATTTCGAGGGAAGTGATTCTTCTTGTTCTTCCTCCCGGCTTTTCCGCTTCCGACTTGACTTGGAGTTTGCCTGTGTCGCTAGACCACTGGAATCTGCAGTGAAGAATTTGAGAGCTGAAATTAAGCCACCATGACCATGAAACGTATGTGAAGTGTAACCACCACGGATATCCCAGACTTTCAAACTGCCATCGGCAGCGCCCGTCGCGAGTAATGTGCCCGTCGCATCAATCGTACTTGATACGACGGGAGTGTTGTGTGGCTTTAACGTCCTCAAAAGTTTGTGTTCGAGGACAGATATATCAGGTGACGGTGTCAGGGAATAGATGCGCAACGACAGCGATCTGGATGAAATAGCCAGGCATGATGCATTGGGAGCCAAACAGAGACTGGTGACTGGTTCCCCGTCGCCCTCGATCCTGCACAAAACAGTCACTGTCTTGATGTCAACCACCAAGACATCATCTTCTACGCAAGTTGCGATTAGGCTGCCGGTAGCATTGCTGGAAACCTCGCCTCCAGTAAAGATAGGTTCGATGGTCTTTTTTGCCTCGAAAGTTGTCTTGAATTCGACCTTGGTGGCCATGATTGCGTCAAATTTGTGCAGTGTTGGAGTCCATCTATGTGCCTGTTGTTGGAAGAGTTGCCTTTTTTTGGAGAGCAAGTTGAGTCCTGGCTATGTGGTTGAGGAAATCTAAGGGACGGTCCCTAGAAAATTTCTCCAAGAAATATCACAGTCAGGGCGGAGCGGAACATAAGGTTTAAGCTAGTTACTAGCTTCCGCGCCGATCTCTTGGCTCTAGTGGCTCACTAAATTCCGCATCACCGACTGTCTCTACATCACTTTTATTAACGTATTATGTGAAACCTGTCGACTCCATCAATTTCAGAATATTTTCGACGGTGAATAGTCTTGCCTATATCACTATTTGGACCCGCCTCTACGCTAAAGAGTGGTGGTCCCACAGCAGGTCTGCGAAGCCGATCATGCAGGTGGTTGACTGGATGGATGCAGTCAATCGAGCCACTTCTTGACACCAGACTCGTGGCTTGTGCAAATCAGACAACAATTGTTGAATTGCAGACATGGGTAGGCAGTCACATCTTGCCAGGTTGGCATTGGTAAGCAAACTCAGTCAGCCACGGGACTTCTGTCTTCCAGGCCAAGGAAGAGCAATACCGTTGTCACCCAATCGCAGCTGATACTCTCTCAGGGCAGATCGCCGTTCGAAGCGCCGTTGCGTGATGAAGAAGGAGATTTTATCGTTGGGCCAAACACCCAGCGTAACAATGCCTCTGGATACATTCAGGAGTTCGACGCCAGGGGTCACCCTCACAACGAGAGATCAGAACATTCTCGGTTAAAGCTGAGACGGGCGCAGAACGATGTCCTTTCAATTGTTGGCGTGGTTGTCAAGCGCGCTGAGACCAATCAAAGCCGCTGGGATGCGATGACGTCCAAACAGAAAGACCAACAACTCTCGGACGAGACTGTCGCCGGCACCCTATGCAGATCCCTCGCTGAGGTCTATCGCAGACTATCGACTCGTTGGATCGTTGCAATGCGACGACGGACAATGGTATGCCAGTTTGGCCGTGTATCTCCACATGTCTAACTCATCTCAGTGCTTCCGGTCACATCTAGGCCTACCCTTTACGAGCACAATCGTTTCAGAGTGGAATACCGTCGGCGCCAGAGCATTCTTCTTCGGGGGTTATCCCCTAGCAGCTGTCTCAGAGATCAGCCAGACTTTCAGAAACAATATTCTCGAAGAGAATCTTGTGATAGAGCCCACCAGACTTTTTAGGGTGTCAAAGTTCCGAAGGTGGCTAGCCTTTTTGCGACGAGAATGGTGATATTATCTCCTCCACCCGAGAAATGAAGACCAGCTAACTTTTGGCAGCCTCCAAGTCGCGTGGTTTACCTTAGAATACCCGTTCTACGCCTGCTCTGTGCTTCAAACACTTTCGATTCTCCCTCACACTTTGATTCCACCTCTGTGGGCATTCTTACCGGTAGACGTGGACTCCTCGTGGGGATCTTGGCCAGTTCTGGAGACAGGTTCCATATCAGGTATCATACAGAAGACACAAGCTGTGCTACTGCATCCATTCGTGCTTGCCTACATACAGGACCGACTGGGACGTCTTTTATTCCTACGGGTCCATCGCATGGTTTATCGTCTTGTTCCCAGACCTGAACGGCCAGATGGTGTGTCAATAGTTCACTCACGGCGCTTCGTCTATCCTGAAGCTGGTATGACGTTGCTTCAGCGAATCCGCTCGAAGGCGCAGGAAACAAGCAAACAAGACGTGATCCGTTTGTGCGAAAATGTGCTCTGTGTTGTCTTCAATTTCTGGGAAAGAAATTTTCAGGTCCGAAGAGGATTTTTGCCGGTCGAAATGTGTGCTCAGTTGAAACACACCTTCTTTCAACGCGTGGCTACTTATTACTCCGATATGAACCGACGAAATCGAGATCCCAGGTCCCGAGTACGATTGCCGGATCAAACGTTACGGATATTGGCTTTACAATATACAATGAGCGATCACCACATTGACACAGTCGAGGTTGATTTGGCTACAGATCTTTCCATGGATGATGCGGCTTCGGTCAGCTCCATCAGCGGATCGACTTCAACTCCCGATCCTCATGATCTCGATATTGAGATGACAGCACAAGAAGTCGACGACACAGCTCAGACTGTTGGTGCAGTCTTGGAACGGGCATCATCGACACGCGAGAGTGTTGAGCAGGGGCACAATTCGCCTGACGTCGCAGGACAAGACGCGCCAAACACTGTGCAAGACTTAGATGAGATTTTGGGCGACCCAGAGCCACCAACTCCAACATGGCAGACGCTGGTTGAAGAATCCGGTGCAAGGAATGAGATGGAGGAAACATGGCCAAGAGTCAGCACTCCAATACCTGGAATTTCTCGTGCTTCCAGCCTAGCCCAAGCTATGCCACGACCAGTACGCCGTCCGACAGAAATTGAGGAGGGGCCAGTGCCAGTGGAGGAGGAAAACATCTTTCGGCCTCGCCAATCGAGGGGGGGCAAGGGGGGGCGCAGAGTTGGTGTGAGATATCGGTTGACGAGACTGTCCACTCACGGGGCCGAATTTTTGACTCGCAGTGTGGCATCGTTGGTCAAGTCGGTATTGATGCTTCCGATTGATATTTTGTTCTTCAGATCTCTGGCGAACTGGGCTCTTGCTTCAGAAGCGGTTCTGGGGAGTAAACTGGGGATCAAAGCACGTGCGGCAGACCTTTGGCCTCTCCTGGATCTTTCAGGGTTGAAATCAATGCACTTCTGGAATGCATGGGCTCTAAGCCTGGGACTGGAAGCCCTTATAACTCTAGGGGTGTGGAGGACGACGACACGAATTGCCTTGGATTTAGGGACCGAGCTGTGTGGCTGGGGTCAATTTTGATTGGATCCCGCCTGGTACTAGATTATCCAATGTCACAATAAAGAGAATTCCACAACTGAAGCAGCGTTTCCATTTATCTGTACATACAAGTAACATCTATGGTGAGTATCACCAGGTGGAGGTCTGACGAGGCTGGCCTCTGGCCAATGATTGGCCCCAATCCCCATCAGGCTGATCCCCGCAGTTGACCGCATTCTTGTGTCGGTCGCTCTTTCTCTTTTTTGTTCTCCAACTTGCTTTGGCCAGTCTCAGACGTCAACTCTCGAAGACTCTCGACACATTTGCCATACCATGAGACGCGAGCAACGAGCAACGAGCCACGATTGTCCATAAGCAATGGCGAAACGAAAATCCGAAGAACCTCTCGAAGCTCTCTCAAATGTCCCTTCACCCGCAAGCAAGAAGGCACGTGTGGAAGATGTGATTGAAGAGGAGGACTCTGGCTACACCAATGGGTTATCTGCGCGTTCAGCTGCTCAAAACACCAAATCCCAGACCTCTACCGTAAATTCAACCAACAGCAATGGCTACGATGACCGGTCTGCGAATTCCAGCGACGATGAATCTGATGACGACCAAGACCCAGACAGAACATCAATTGCGCCCCTCCGGCAAACTGCCCCCACGGAAGGATATAGCGATCTTTATCTAGACACGATCAACCGGTCCCTGCTTGATTTCGACTTTGAAAAGCTATGCTCAGTCACCTTGGCTAACATCAACGTCTATGCCTGCTTAGTCTGTGGCAAGTATTTCCAAGGACGAGGACCCAAGTCGCATGCCTATTTCCACGCCCTTGACCTTGACCATCATGTCTACATCAACTTGGAGACCCAAAAGGTCTATGTGCTCCCCGAAGGCTATGAGGTCCATAACAAGAGCTTGGACGACATCAAGTACGTGGTCGATCCTAAATTCTCCGAAGAAGAGGTCAAGAAGTTGGATCGAGTCCCCAAAGAGTCGACCGATTTGGCAAACAAAAAATACAGGCCAGGTTTCATTGGGATGAATAATATCAAGGCGAATGATTACCTGAATGTTGTGGTGCAGACCCTGGCCCATATCGCTCCTTTACGAAACTTCTTTCTCCTTCACCAATTCCCTCTGACTGCCGCACAACTGCCTATCCGAACCAGCACACTCATAAGGAAGCTATGGAATTCCAAGGCATTTAGAAACCACGTCTCGCCGCATGAGTTGTTGCAGGAGATTGCTCTGAGGTCGTCTAAGAGGTTTACACTGACTCAACAATCCGATCCCGTGGAATTTATGTCGTGGTTTATGAACAATCTACACCTTGCTCTAGGAGGCTCGAAAACGAAACCATTATCCTCAATCATTCAAAGAACCTTCCAGGGCAAACTAAGAGTCGAGTCTCAAGAGATCACGGCCAAGTCTGATGTGTCCGGAGATCGCTTGAGGTTTGAAGACTCGTCAATCATCAAGACCACCACCACTCCTTATATGATCCTAACTTTAGACCTGCCTCCGATACCACTTTTCCGTGATGCCGTCGAGTCCAAGAACATCATCCCTCAGGTGCCATTGACTACTCTACTTCAAAAGTATAATGGTATCAACGCTTCAGAAAAGTCGTCACAGCGGGTCCGCCACCGACTTCTCCATCCTCTTCCTCCTTACCTCCTCTTTCACACCAAACGCTTCTCCGTCAACAAATTTGTATCCGAAAGAAATCCCACCATTGTGACATTCCCCTCGCCGCGAGGACTTGACATGTCACCGTATGTCGAACCCAATCCCGCGCTTCACCCACCTGGCGAACCCATCTACTATGAAATGGTCGCCAATATCATTCTCGACACGACTTCGATGTCGACGGGAGGCGGCGAAGATTCAAACGCTGCGGATGCTGCCAATAAAGCCGTGGGAGGAGAAGGGTCAAAAGTGGCATGGAAGGTCCAGCTTCGGGATAAGGCGGCAACCGTAGCGCAAAGGAATGACCTGCCTGAATGGCTAGAAATCCAAGATCTTTGGGTGGAGAGGGCTGAAGCTGAGACTTTGTTTACAAGAGAGAGCTACCTCATGGTTTGGGAACGGAGAAAGGAGAAGACAAAGACCACGATAAATGGCAGTGGCAAAGGCAAAGCGAAGTAGCGTAACTCTTGTAATCTAAGCATAGCTATAGGTTTCCCAGTCAATGCTGGTAAGAGATTACTGTTCTACAATTCCTCGAGACTTGGGGGCATGGGTGACTTATGCATTGCAAAATTAATCGACTATCCGTAGCCTATGAACCCAGGGGCGTTTGTGGGCTGGATTGTTGATTATTGGCTTTGACTTCATCAAGTGCTAGCAATATTGAAGGATCGTCGGATTATATACTTTTATTAGTGGAACGTTCAGCGATGATCTCGACACCTCCTCTCTCCATCATTCCCAATCAACAAACCATTGAAATCGCATCAGTTGCCTGATTGAACACGAGGATACCATACGCTTCATGTAAAGAGTCAGCACGAGATAGGACACACGATGAAAGTGTTTGGTATTCCGGCGGCATTGCTGCTGACAACTGTGCAAATTGCCAATGCGGGCTCTCCTACTGCTCAGCACGCCATTACAGGAATTGAATCTCTAGCATTCAACCAGTACAAGCTCTCCGATGTCATCGCATCGTCGCCTCTGCTATCACTCCATCGAACCCTTTGTGAAGTTGAATCTGTGACCGACAACGAGCTGAAGATCGGGCGACTGATCGTCTCATTCCTTCAAGACCACAACTTTACCGTCGAGACCCAGAACGTGCCCGCGCCTGACAACACCAAGCGCTGGAATATCTATGCATACCCGGATCCTTCCAAGCATGGATCCGCTGAGCGAACCTTCAAATCTGAAATTTCGCCCAAGGTCCTCTTAAGCTCACACATCGACACAGTACCACCACACATTCCATACTCGCTATCAGCTCCCAAGAAAGCCGGCGCGTCTCGAGACGAAATTCTCATCTTGGGTAGGGGCACGGTTGACGACAAGGCGTGTGTTGCTGTCCAGATTCAGACGATTCTGGACTTATTAGCTGACCCAAACTCGGACATCGACCCTGCAGATCTGGCACTGCTGTTGGTCGTCGGCGAGGAGAAACGTGGCGATGGGATGAAGCACTTTTCCGATTCTGATTTATATCAAAGCACCAATGGTAACTACAAGGCGGTGCTATTCGGCGAACCCACTGAAGGCAAGCTCGCGGCCGGTCATAAAGGCATCTTTATGGTTTCCATCACAGCCCACGGCAAGGCAGCTCATTCAGGCTATCCATGGCTGGGACGTAGTGCCAACAGCATGATTCTACCAGCTCTACTGGCCCTTGACAAGCTAGGCGACATTCCAGAGGATGAGGGCGGACTACCTCGCAGCGAAAAGTTCGGAAAGAGTACAGTCAATGTTGGCTACATGCAAGGTGGCGTCGCCGGCAATGTGGTTCCGGAGCTTGCCACGGCAGATATTACGTTCAGACTCGCCGGCGGAAATCCAAAGCAGGTCCAGGAGATCGTCACCAACGCCATTCGAGCCGTCGATCCAGATCACTTGCTCCAACTCGAATTCTCCCAAGGCTACGGCCCCGTCGAGCTGGATGCCGATGTGGATGGTTTCGACGTCATCACGGTCAACTACGGGACTGATGTACCCAATCTGCGCGTGGATAAGTCGGTCAAGAGATATTTATATGGTCCAGGCAGCATTCTGGTCGCACATGGAAGGAATGAAGGTCTGACGGTGGGCGCTTTGGAAGAGGCGTTGGAGGGATATAAGAAGTTGGTCAATCATGCTCTTGAATCTTGAAATATGAAGTAATTTGATTCAGTCTTGGGAACGAGACTACCGAGTTGAGAAACTAATGCCAGAAATCATACACCAGTGCTGGTAATTTGAGCTTGTCCTTGACTCTACTTCATCCTGATTTCTCCAGCGTCAGTTCAATGTTGAAAAGAATTTCACGTGACTCAGCATTCATCAAAATGCCAAGACTACCATCATCGACTTTCCCCTTTTCGGCCTACAGTGCACCACACACAAACCGCACAAGGCTTGGCAGGCCGAACTTTTGCGACTGCTGGCTTGGAAGGCATGCAAAACCGCAGTTTGAAAGAAACCCTCGTCCCATCTTCCCCATCGACGACAACACTCAACTCAGTATCACCCACCGCCGTTTCGACACAATGGCGAAGGAAGCTACTGAGAAGTCCGGCATCATTGTCGGACCCAACAAGGGCCACGTAAGTCAGACCTGAACCCACGATGCAAACCGGACCAGTCGCTTTGCAGAGGAAGTCGATCAATCGAAAAGAGATCGGGGACGACGAGGACGAGAAAGAGAATACCAATCGTACCGCAATCACTCGAGCAACCCAGCAAAGTCGAGCTACTCGTCTACATTCCAGTAATCTGGCTTCTCTCTCGTTCTCGTCGTCCCTCGATCGAAATCGACTTGGACACATTCTTCCCACATTGCCACCCATTTCGACTTGCCTTACATGAACCACTAAAATATGAATCAATCACTAACGATATCGCTCTTCTCTTCATACAGAAAGTCACTCCCATCACCCCCAAGCCTCGCATCAGCCGCACCAAGGGCCACTTGAGCAAGCGCACTGCCTTCGTTCGTGAGATCGTCAAGGAAGTCGCCGGCCTTGCTCCCTATGAGCGTCGTGTTATCGAATTGTTGAGAAACTCCAAGGACAAGAGAGCGAGAAAGATGGCCAAGAAGCGAGTATGTTGTGACGCCTATTCGCCCCCCCATTATTGCAACCTTTCCCCCATTACCTAGACTGACATTTTTCCTCTTTTTCTAGCTTGGTACCTTTGGCCGCGCCAAGAGGAAGGTCGACGAACTGCAACGAGTCATTGCCGAGTCGAGAAGAGCTGGTGGTCATTAAACGGGAGATGGACCGGTGTTTTTCCAACACATGCGAGAGGAAGCGGGTTCGTGGGCTGGGAAAAGGTGGTGTGGTGGAACGGAGTTGGAATGAATGAATGCATCATCATCATCAACATCAATCCGGACCTCCACCGCTCAAATTTTTCCGGCCTTGGACGACGAGCATCTTATTTCGACAGCTGGGTGATGGAATCAAGTTTGGATGGACATGCCTACATTCACGGACCACCGACTGTGACCCTTGTCATCTCGTCTCGTCTTTCTACAATGGAAAGATGCTCATGGGCAAAGCACGGTTCCAATCGGCTGTATATCCATTCCATTGAGAGGATCATTAGCGTTTCGCCATGGTAAAAAAACAAAAATCATCAAATCATGACTCGATGTGGAAAGATTCAAGTTTTTGATAACAACTTCATGTTCTCGTGATCATAATTCTGTGGCTACTCGTAATTCACATGGATAAAGTCAAGAATAACATGAGTCCAACCCTACAAAGTTCCACTTTGCATCTTTCGATGGCTCTTGTAGTTGCTGACGTCAACGAATATGAACTTCGATTTCGTCTTCGTTCTCGAATCCAACGTCCTCGGCGGTACTCTCTGGATCTAACCTCTCACCATCAAACACTAGCCAAGCGGTGGCTCCTTTGTCAAGCCCCATCTGGACAGCGTATCCCTGCATTATCTTGCGAATCGATGTATGAGGTCGAACATTCAAAGTCAACGGATCCAAGTCACGAGCTACCAGTCGGATTCTGATATTGGTCCGCATCTTTTCTTCTTCTTTTGCAGCAGCTTCGCTTGCGCCCCCGGCCCCGCCTTCATACTCATCCGAGGCCTCTATTCCTTCTGCTTGTTGTCGCGCCCTCTTCTCCTTGTCCCGTTGCCGCTGCTCAAAAATATCGTGCGTCAAGGCTTCAATCATGATTTGGCCCCGGCTAGGGTCTTCTATCATTTCATCGTCCGAGTCTTTGTGCAAGTCGACAAGATCTTGACTGAAGCTCCTGTTCTTTCTAGCATGGTCTGCCTTGAGCTTCTGAATGATACCTCTCATGGTCGTCGAGTCGAACAACCGAGTCCCATTCCAGGTGAAAAACACCTGGCTTGCGGTTTTGGGGTCAACTGAGTTGATGTTGCACCAGAATTCACGAACCTGTTTGAGTGGTTGCGATGTCTTGCGTTTGACAATAAGATCTTTTGTGGAGGGGATAGCCGATTTGATGTAGAGCTTGATCTCAGGATCATCTTCAGGTGGTTGCGAAACGGTGGTCTCTCGGAGAATGGTCGAGGCAGCTTGGTTTGGGGAAACAGGTGATTCTGTTCGTGCTCCGGTTGAGGCCACGCGAGAAGTACCCCCGACATTATTGGTCTCTGTAAAGGAGTCATAGGGAGTGCGAGATCTCTCGCGCTCAAGGCCTAATCGTCGAAGCCGTGCTTTTTCTCGTGCTTGTGCTTTGAGCTCCTTGACAAATTCGCTTTCTTCCTCCGATTCTCCCTCACTGAGTGGTGGGGCTGGCCTGGATTTGACGGGAGTTGACTTCTTCTGCGGTCTCGGTGGTGTCAACACTACGAGCTCATCTTGTTCTTCCTCCGCATCAACTGATGTGGCAGTGGGGTCTGAAGGGGGCGCGTGACGGGGTCTCGGCAAATCTTCCAGTCCACTGTTGAGTTTCTTCTCTTTCTTTGGAGTACTTCTTGTTATGGGTTGGTGAATGATCTCAGCCGGGGGAGAGACTCGCTCCTTGCTGGTCATGGGGCTATGCTGCCTCGAAGTCCCGGGTACACCGCTGCTTGGGCTGGATGCGCTTCGCGCATCGGACTCTGGATGGCCATCATCACCTGAGTCGGCAGAAACCCTCCTCTTCTTGGCCTTGTGACCAGCGTCGTTGGCATTTTTTGCCCGTTGTTGCGCTTTGGCTAGATGGCGGCGGCGGCGCTCCTCTTCGGCCTGGACTATATCGTTGTAGACATTATTTTGGCCGAAGATGGAGTCGTTGTCTTTCGAGTTTGATGAGGCTGCTGGCGTGGGAGCGGCAGCCCATGCAGGCTTAGAAAAGAGAGACCGCTTGAAGCCACTTGTCATAGTATGTGTTTGCGGCCAGGGTGATGCAGATGCATGGTTGCGCATGGAAAGGTCATGGAGTGGGGGAGTGAAGGTCAGATCGAGCCAAGTGCGAGAATCAAACGAACGTCAGATCGACCACGCCTGGAGAGCAGAGCCTCGTGCTCCAACAAGGCTGCCAAGCTTGGAGGGAAGAACCTAAAATATCTGGGACTTAAGGGTATGCATCCACGGCACCCACGCCTTACTTTCCTTCCTTCCTCCCTACCTAGGTAGTTACCCTATGTACCTAAGGTAGTTACGTAGGTCTGGTTGAGCAGACACGTGTTGTTGGTCCTGGGCAAGTACCGCCAATCTAGAAGCAAAGGCGTTTGAATTGATCTTGGCCACATACCCAAGGGGGCACGCAGCCCACTTAGTCCCACAAACCCGACACACTTGTTGCTCAAATTTGTCCTTGTGAACATTAAGGACAAGACGATTACACTTGTAGTAGCATACACATACGTAACTGAACAGCACGAGGGAGAATGTCGAGATTGATGGTGAGCAACCTAGCATAGGGAGCAAGTCGCGAGCGGCGCACGCATGGTTGAGGAGGCGATAAGGTGTGGCGCACCCAAAGATAGGCCTTGGGCTTAAACCTACCACCGCGCGCGGGCAGTGCTTCAGGTACACATCTTGAGAGTTCAGTGTCTGTTTCAGTGACAGTGGATGCCGGGCAAGGGGCTCGAGTCGACGCCTCAGATGCCTACACGTGCTAAGTACAGCCAATGTAAGGAGTATGGTGAGCTCGGCCAGATCTTACAGGTCGTTTTCAGTGGGCTTCAGTGGGCTTCAGTGTAAGTTCTGCCCCGATAAGGAGTGCCAGAGAGCCAGAGAGCCAGAGAGCCACTGTAGTGGGTGGCTAAGGGCAAGACCGAAGGGTAAGAATGCCCCATGCAGTTGCCCTGCGTCGAACTCTTGGCATCGAATTTCTTTTCGCCATTCTGCGCACCTTCCAGGCACGCCAGGTTTATGCTACAGGTTGTGCCGGGACTGTCACACTGGCTGCGCCTATCAGCTGATTTTTTCTCGCTCTTTGTTGAGGCCGCAGCCAACGCGTCCTGCGTCAGTCAATCCACCCACCTCCCATCAGAAAGGAAAAAATGAACCCCCACCCTGTGAAACCTCATCCTATCAAGCCTGAAAGTCGGCCACGTTTGCATCCTTTATGCATTTTGCTCTAATCTTTGAGCACGATAGATCAACACCAAAGTCCTGAGTCCTGGTCTCGATCGATTCCACAGTGGTCCCACTGCAACTGTGGCCAGGTCACATCACCGAGTGAAACAAACACCACGTCGGTGTTCGACGGCAGCTACTGTGGCTTGAAATCTCAGGCTATTCTTAACTCCAGGGGCAGGGGTCAGTCCACACTAGACGTTGGGACTTTGAGGTTGTTTGCAGTGGGCATGTGCAAAATCTTGAGTCTTATCACGCCGGGTCAGTGCGAGTAATGCACACTTGGTGCCGAAATCGTTGGTTTCACCGTGCGTGTGTGCACAAGTGTTTGTATCCACTGACCTACAAGTCGTTCTGATATATGTATCGAGGGAGCTTTTCCTTTTCCCACCTGTCTGCCGATCATTTCTCCATCCTCAGTCTTGAGCCAGTCTTACTTACAGAAGCACTTCGATCTCGATAACGCTCTTATTCGGATCATCCTTTACCATCGCTCGATCCATCAACCAGAAGCGTTTACCCACCCCCAGACGTACTTCTGTGGGACCTCGGGCGTGCCCAAATATTCTTCCCTAACCTGCCGGCACCCCCGTTATGGTATGAACTCATACAGAGTCGTCAGTGTCACCCGTTGTCCTTTATAGCTCGGATGTCCCTCCTCGACCTCTGATTACAGCCGACCCCTGTGTTGTTTCCATCCATCCACCTTCCAACTCCAAAGAGTTCATCTCATCATGCCTCGACTTCCATATTCGAAGCATTATACCGAATTCGACAATGCACTGAAAAAGGTCGACGAGAACACCAGTACCGGCCACAAGTCAACTCCGTCCTCGTCGACATCATCTACCCGCACGACCTCGGCTACATCTCTCGAACCAACCACTGCGGTGGCCGAATGGTGTCACCAGATGCATTTGATGCAACATCGAAAATATGACTGGTGTGAAGGGTGCCATCCCAAGGTCCAACTCGCGCCTTTGAAAGTGCCCTCTCAGAAGGTTGTCCAACGACAAATTCGATCTCGACAGGAACCCACGCACGCTTATCAGTGATGGTTGGAGATTTACTCTTGTGTGACTTTTGAGCAAGGCGTTGGTGGACATGGAGGGAGACAGAATCTTGAGTCTCACACCCCGGGTACATAGACAGATGTCGGATATGATGATTAGCACAGCAAGCTGATGAGCGTTACGACATCATGATAATGACACCATATCTGCATGGCTTTGCAGAATGGATTCAGTTCCCGTTGTTTGCTCTCGCTCCTTGGGTTCTCAATCTTTCAATCTTTTCTTGGAACCGACTCTCGTATTCCTCCTGCTTGAATATCTAGCATTCGTCAGTGACCACTCGACCCCAGATCTAAAGGAGACTTACCCTCGTTGCCTCAATTGCACTTGGCTGTCCCAATTCAGGGTCAGCTCCCGCTTCGAGGAGAAGATCGATGACCTCCTTCTCGTTTTTGAACACCACCCCCGCCAGAGGAGACTGTTGTCGATCATTCAGTCTGTTCGGGTCAGCGCCGTGCTTTAGCAGGAGCGAGACGAGTGGTGCATGGCCATAGTAAGATGCCAGCATGAGCTTGATTCCTCTGGTCAGTTTCATATCGGTGGATATCGCAGATTCAAAGCAGATTCGACGGGTAGCTGGTGCTTACCAGAGTATCTCCTTTCCCGTTGGTCAAATTTGCCGGCAATCCATGTGGTAAAGCCTGTTCAAACATGTCCATCTGGCCTTGTCTCGCAGCTTCAAAGAATCTCGTGGCAAGTGCCACCGCCGCATCAGGGAGCTGGTCCGCTGACGATGGAGTTATATTCTCCCCAGTTGGGGGAGCTGAATCCATGACGTCGAGGTGAAGCGTTACTGGTTTGGGGAGGGTTTGATCTAGCAACGAATACACAATGGGAGAAGGAATTTATCTCAGCAGGGTGTAGTATATTCAATGTCGAGTCGTGGTCCAATGCTATGTATAATGATTAATCATCGATCATGGATGATGGGTGATCCGTATATATTATATTATAAGCATTTTTAAACCCTGGTTCTTGAAGTTACCCGGCTATTGTTGCCGGGCCTGCTGGAACATTTTGGCCAAACCTAAAACTATACCTACAGGTGAAGCAGCCATGTCTAGATTTTCCGAAGACTGCCCTGCTACAGAGAAACAAGAACAGAGAGAAATGTATGAGGTGAAATTGTGACGCAGACGATGGGCTGGTTGCGTCATTCGGATGCATTTTGCAACTTCCAGAAGTTCTTACTACTTCCTGTGGCAGGCACGGCAGGTTAAACGAAATGCCTTGCATCGCACTGGCTCCTTCCCTCGGAAGAGTTTCCGCCTACTCCGTAGTATGTATTGTTCCTCGACTAAAAACAGTCGCCTGCCTCCTTTCCTCGCGCCTCATGAGTTGTACGCGATGGCCCCCCTTGAACTACTCGTCATGAAACCCGTTGTCTTGGTCTACTGATTCGTCTACTGACATGACCCATTCCCTTGCGATTTTTGAGATTCCGTACCTATCCCATGTTCCCCCATGACGACCACTCGTCTCCTCTTGGGCGAGGAGGTCACTTACGAAGATGCCAAAACCCGGGAAACAAATATCCTTCATCATCTCACCTACCCAGACCGTTTTCAGCGTTTCTTAGCCTTCATATTCCGCCATAAGAGTGTCATTCAACAACGTGTTGCGCTTCATTTGAATCTCCGCTCCCCGTCCCAATGTCAGATCGTCGACTCCGAAGAATGGATGGAAGGAGCCTTCAACCTGTGCGTCCCCGTGATAGTCAATGGTTCAAAATGTGCTTTGATGCGGTTCCCATTCCCTTATCGAATAGGGGACGGCACTTTTTGCTCTGGAAATCGTGACGAAAAAGTTCGATGTGAGGCAGCAACATATACATGGATGCATCAAGAATGTCCGGATACGACTTTATGGATTCGGTTTCTCAAGCGGCCAATGTGTGGGTCAACATGATCATCATTCCGATGTCTTTTGCTGATATGACTTGGACAGTTCACCTCGACTGAACAACGCCCCGTTCATGCTCGTCTCTTTCGCCTCCTCAAATGTCGCTTCTTGTCCTGGCTCGGCCTTCCTGTCCCTTCGGATCTCGTCCCACATCATAATGGTAATTGGAAGGGAATGGGACCATACCTTTTGATTGAATATATCGACGAGACCAGAGGGCAGAGGTTATCCGACACTTGGGAAACAGGCCGGGTGAATCCTCGACTTCGAAAACACCTGTTTCGTGGAATTGCCCAGACCATGTTAAGGATGGCCCGAGTCCCCTTTCCCCGTATCGGGTCCCTGATAATTGACGATGATGGTTTTCTTCGCCTAGCAAATCGTCCTCTCACATCCGAGCTTCAAGATCTAGAGAGCGAGGGCATCCCGCTGGATATTCCCAGGAATCGCACTTACGATACAGTTGGTGCATACATCGATGACCTTCTCCATTGTCATGATAGTCGATTGCGGCACCAACCAAACTCGGTGTTTGAGCTTGGTGATGCTGTCTCTCAAATGGCTGCCCATACCACGCTGAGGACAGTGCGAGCAGACTTCTTTCGGCGGGATCTAAACGAAGGGCCGTTCACCATGCAGCTAACAGACATGAATCGCCACAACATAATCGTTGACCGTGATTGGAACCTCACGTGTCACATTGACCTCGAATGGACAGCTATACTTCCACAGGAGTTTATGCAGCCACCACTTTGGCTTACAAACCAGGCTGTGGATACCCTGGACGTCGATACATACAACAAACCTCGAGAAGAATTCATGCAAGCTATGGAAGAAGAGGAGAAAAATAGTCTGGAACTACAACGCGTTGACAAAGATGCCCTTCAGCTCTCTTCCATCATGAATGCGAGCTGGGACCGTGGCACATTTTGGTATGTGCTTGCAATGCAAAGCGCGACAGGTCTTCATCCGATATTTTACGATAGAATCCAACCACTCTCTCCTCGTCTACACCGTGAGAATGACCAATTTTGCTTAATTACGTTTGCATACTGGGCAAGGCAGAGTCATAATTTCATGGACGAAAAGGTCAATCAAAAGGAAGAGTATGACCGAAAGCTGCTTGAAGCTTTCCAAACATGAGCTATGGTTGAGTTGCCCATTCCAATTTGAATTTTATAGGTCTGTTCACTTTGTCTTTGGTTCTTCTGGTCTTGCAGTGCTCCCCTCTTCTTTTGCCAGGTCTCTCACGGCGTTCGACCAGGCTCTGTATTGCCTTTCCCATCCGCTTTTTCTGTGCCGCTCGTGCGGATGAAGAGAGCTGTTCAAGCGTCTTGGAATCTGTTCTCATAGCAATTTGAGCGGTGTCGGTAACTGGTCAATGTACTCGTCAGACTTGATGGAGCTTGCTGAGTTTTGGTCGGCCATGACTTGAAGCTGATTGAGAGGTATTCTGACTGTACGCCATATCATCATTCACTTGATCAGTCTAGGCTGATGCAGCCAGACGTGAGGCTCAAGATATGAATTACATTTGATCAGTGTGAGATACAACTTGCTCTCGAGAATTGCACCGGGGTGTATACACAGTACTTTATACAATTGGTTGAGTCCAGGCTGTGATTTGAGACTCGCTGGAGTTACAGTGTTACCAATAAAGGACTGATGCCATCTGTACGGAGACAGTCGCAGATTTGAATGCAAGAATATACCACTATACCCCATGCAAGACAATAAGGCTGGGAGAAGTCACAGGGCTACAGTGGAAGGCGAACACCATCGAACGTGGAAAGCTGTCATTGGGTACCATGGCCATGAGAGACTGCTGCCTTGGGTCCTTTTTGACGGTTATATTCGCCAGCGTTTAGGATATCTCTTTCGTAGGACATCTTGGTCGCGCTCTTTGTCACCGGCCTACGTGGTAAATGGTCATGCGTTTCGTCAAACACGTATCCTGCCCTCCTTTGGTAGCCTCTGCGATGGATGAGGAGACGCCACTGTCTCTTCTCTTCCTCTGGGAGATCATTCCTCTCTCTGGCGAGTGATGAGTAAGCGAAGAAAAACTCACGCAATGTAGATGTATAGATGACATAGATATAAATTGGGCGGTGAGGCGTAGTCAGTGACAAGTTGAGACTTTGAGCCTATGTCCCTTAAAGCTGCCAATCTTTCGAGAACTTTTGAAGCCAGCGCACGTGCTCCGGCGATTGATGAGTAATAAAACCTCGCCCCAACAAGTGAGGGGCAACTCACGTGTGTAGACCCTGGAAATACTCCGTACATGCCTGATACCTAGCACGCCTATTGGAACCCAATACCACGTTTGAGCATAAGCTTAGTACCTAGGTTAGGTACCTAGGTACTGTACAGTAACTAGTAGGTACCGTGGTACCCAAGGTTCAAGGGTCCGTGTGCCAGTACCGGTCCCCACGGTGCCTGTTGGGCGGTACACTTTGGTTCTGGCCAGGCGTAGGAGTGTGTACGAATAAAGTGTCATCTAGTGGCACCTTCTGGAGAAAACCAGCCAAGGCGCCATACCTATTCGGACCGGATCCTCCAGATTGCGTGATCTACTCGCTCGATGATTGTTCAATATCATCGCAAGAAAAAACATTTGCGGGCACCCGACTTGTCGGTCCAAGCATCAGCAAATGCTGTGTTGGTGTGATGCAATCCTCGAAGCCGGCCATGCCACCCACTCTTACACTATGTGTATTTGGTGGTTCGGCCAAAGTGCAGAGTTTACGTCGGCCTGCAGGGATTTGCCTCAGTCTGTGAGGCGACACACTACAGGATTTGTCTTCTGCGCCGGCCGAGACGCTCCCACCATGCAATTACCTACTTGATTAATCTTCTCTCTCTCGACACATGCAACTGCATTTCCCTCTTACTTTTCTTCTCTCTGCTTGAATTGGACTGTCTGCCTGAGTCTTCTTCTCTATCTAACCACACTAAAGCCTTTGATCTAATCCTCCAAACTACAACACAGTCAACATGGGTTCCGTCGAGCGTCCTGAGCCGTGAGTTCTCCCCCGCTGTCCTCGTTGATTGGAAATCCAGTCCTCTACAAGCTCTGCAACTTTTCTCGTACCCTGATCCATTCATTGACCACTGCTGACTGCTCCAACTCTCTAGTCTCCGTCTTGGATCTGTCGCGCCCAACTTCAAGGCCGACACCACCAAGGGCCCCATCGACTTTCATGAGTTCATCGGCAACAACTGGGTCGTGCTTTTCTCCCACCCCGAAGACTACACCCCTGTGTGCACCACTGAGCTTGGTGCCTTTGCTAAATTGGAGCCCGAGTTCGCGAGAAGAGGCGTCAAGTTGATCGGCTTGTCCGCCAACACTATTGAGAGCCATGGTGGCTGGATCAAAGACATCAACGAAATCGCCGGTAGCGACCTCCAATTCCCCATCATTGGAGACAAGCAGAGACAGGTGGCTTTGGCATATGACATGCTCGACCACCAAGATGCCACAAACGTCGATTCCAAGGGCATCGCTTTCACCATCCGATCCGTCTTTGTGATCGACCCCAACAAGAAGATCCGCACCATCCTCTCATACCCAGCATCCACTGGCCGCAACAGCGCAGAGGTTCTCCGTATTGTGGATTCTCTCCAGACCGGTGACAAGTGGCGAGTCACCACCCCCATCAACTGGGTTCCCGGTGACGACGTCATTGTCGCACCCCCCGTCAAGACCGAGGAGGCTCAGAAGCTGTGGCCCGATCTTAAGATCATCAAGCCATACCTCCGAACCACCCCTCTTCCCAAGGAGAAGACCTCTGCTGCTTAGATGAGTAATCGTCATAGGCAGGAGTCTGGTCCAGGAAGTTCAGCTGTCGATCGATTTCTTTCGAGGTCAGGAACAGTATGGAAGCGAGCTTGGATAGTGCAGTAGAATACCCAATCAAGAATTGCGATCCGACATGAAAAACGAAAGATCGGTTGTACTGGTGAAATTAGTTGACGCGTTCGATGGGTCGCGCATGGTGGCAGGCTGCATCAGTGTGTTCGCCTTCGACCCAACCTTACCCTGGTCGTTTATCTATCCTCCAGAAATGAAAGCATCGAGGATAGACAGTCATCAAGCATGTAGCCTGTGATGGCTGGGTGATAAGTATTCATGGCATCTTATGTATGCAGCCTTGGCTTGAATCGCACAGGCGCGTATTCAGCGGTGACTTCCTCCGAACTTTTTGCGCCTGCCTTCCGATCTCGTCTCCTGGTCGTGCCTGCAGGCGGGGGAGGGGAAAAAGAGGCTTGAGAGGCTTGGCAGCTCAGGCCAGTCACAAGTCGGAAGGTGCAACTTCGGTAGGCCAAGGGAAAGAGTAAGGGAGCCTTAGCACCTTAGGTAACCACGTCGCAGCCCAGGCCAGGCCAGACCGTGTGTTGCACGAACTTGCTACACAACGGACATGCTGCAAACCTCGCTATATCTGAATCTTGCATCTGTGCAGTACAGATCCTCATCGTTGTCGCTCTTTGATCATCTACACTCGAGCAAGTCGACATCCTGAACGGCTACCTGCCGCACTGTCGAGGAAGAAGAGGTCAACTTTGCCTCTTTCATTTTTCCCACCGTCCCCCTTTCTCCGACGCCGCTAAAGTGACACAAGACACTACTTGCTCGCACGTCCCGTGTGCACGCCTGAGAGAACTCCCTTTGGCACCCGAGACAGTTTTTGGCTTCATCTGTGAGTAGCTTCAGCTGACTGCCTCTTTCCCCTTATGTTGCTACATTCCCCTCCCCATCAATCATGTTGCCATTCACACTGTTTCCCGTACCGAAAAGCATCGTCAGCCGTTGACTCGACCGGCGTCTGACACCACCACCACCACCACGCCAACGTTTCTTTGGAGATAAGAAGATGCCTGATAACCAATTTGTCTGGCGCTTCTCCCACACATTGCTTTTGACTTGGCCTGTTTGCTCCATGTTGGCTGTGTTTGCTGTCACTTGAAGCGACCCTTTCAACGCACTCGACGTTTACGTCTGACTGATAATGATGGCTAGATTTGGCCGTAAGACTTCCACGAAGCAAGCATCACTACCCGAACAACCCACTGCTAGATTTCATTCTTCACATCTCGATCCTCCATCACCTGACGAACAGAGTTGGCCTCCCACGCCACCTCCTGCGACAACCAGCCCCACTGGATTAATTTCTACCAGTCTTCCATCAACCTGGCCGCAGTCGGCCTCACCCTCTGGAGTAGACGACAAATCTTCCCCACCTAGACCACGGCACATCCCCATTGACATTACGAAATATCAAAACTTGACCTTGCCAACCCATGAACATGTTTCGGATCCTGTGACCAAATCTACGAATGTAACGCGACTGCCACGACATGTTCCCATAGTCATTCCTGATTTTGCTCAGCCTTTTTCCTCAGAATCTCGATCGCATCTTCCCGAGGACTCGAAGGACGACACGCCGCAAGTATCACTATTGACACAGCCTAATCAGCCCAGAGTTCCTGATTCGGCCTTTTCATCAGCCAACCAAGGTGCCGCCTCATGTTCAGAGGTTTCCGACACAGGTGCAAATAAGCTGCCCATTGCGCCTCGACAGCAGGCCGATATGAATGGCAGCCAAGTCAGCCTAGTGGCATCTGAAGCCAGCAATGAAGGAGGCGTTGCCACTTCGCAGCCCACTACAAATGGAAATGGCCCTGCAGGGAGCGCCGGCATAAGTCAAACCGCATCTCAACAGGGCAGCGCCCCTACAAACTTATCAGGTCTCGTCTGTAATGTGCATAGGACCACAGGTGAGGAACCGCACGCGCGTGTTGGGGCTACTACCACTATCTTGGGAGACAAGTTATACGTTTTTGGGGGTCGCTTGCATTCTCGAACAAGACCTCAATTGACATCGGATCTTTATGAGCTAGACCTGATCTCGCGCCACTGGGTTAGGATCGATGCACAAGGTGACATTCCTCCTCCTCGCTATTTCCACAGCGTTTGTGCGTTGGGCGATCTGAAGTTGGTCTGTTATGGAGGCATGTCACCGTCTCCACACATTCGAAACTCAAGCGGACCACTGAATGCCAAAGCTGCTGCTGATCCACAACCCGAGGTTGTGGTCATGTCAGATATCCATGTCTTTGACGTGCCAACCCGGACATGGACGTTGATATCTGCCTCAGACAACCCTCAGGGGAGGTACGCGCATTGTGCAGCTGTCTTGCCCTCGTCTGCGGTCTTCACATCAGCCAATGCGCCGATGTCGGCCATCCAGCATAACCCATCCTCCTCAGACCCGCATTCGGGCACACTGGGCGTCCAGATTGACGGTAGTGGAGGAGCCGAGATGGTTGTGGTAGGGGGCCAGGATAGCACCAACAACTACATTGAACAAATCAGCGTATTCAACCTTCGAAGTTTGAAATGGACCAGCACCACCTCGTGGGATCGAAAGTGTGGTGCATACAAAAGCATGGTGGCGCCTATGACAGGGCTGACTGCTGAATTAATTGGACGAGGGGTCCCTTTGAATGACACGCAGGCACAACGAACGAATTCAAGACCAGGAACGTCCATGCTGGTCTATTCGAACTACAATTTCCTGGATGTGAAATTGGAGCTCCAGGTACGGCATCCTGACGGGACACTGGTGGAAAAGCCCATGAGTGGCTCAGTGTCTCCGCCCGGACTACGGTTCCCTAATGGCGGCATCATAGATGGTCATTTTGTGGTTAGTGGCACATACTTGACTTCTTCCAAGCATGAGTATGCGCTGTGGGCCTTGGATTTGAAAACTCTCACGTGGACACGGATCGATACAAATGGCTCAATCTTTTCCCAGGGAAGTTGGAACCGAGGCATCTTGTGGAATAGAAGGAATACCTTTGTCATTCTAGGCCACCGCAAGCGAAGTCTTGTCGACGATTACAACCACCGCAGGGTCAACTTTAGCCACGTCTGCATGGTAGAATTGGAAGCGTTTGGCCTCTACGACAACCCCCGAAAGCTCAACCCAACTTCGGGCTATGTGTCGGTCTCTGCACCGACTGTGCCTTTATCTCTCCAGTCTGGACTTCCCACGCAGTTGGCGGGAGGTCGACCTTTCAATACTACGGCGGAACAATTGGGGCAAGCGGCGTTGGGCTTGATCGAACTATGCGACATGGACATTGTCGCTCTGGGTGGAGAGAAGATTCCCTGCAATTCCTACATTTTGTCCCGTCGCTGGGGCCCGTACTTCAATCAGCTGCTGACAGAATCGGCCTCGACGAACGAGAGTACAAATCTGTCGGACGCTACTATGTTGCGGCCCAATGCTCGATCGCAAACAAGTCGAAATTCTTCGGTCACCATCACACCAAGCATCACCAACGGATATCCGACGGGTGGACAAAGCGTAGGGGCCAATGGAAGTTTGGACTCGCAACGATCAGTGAGCAGGTCGACGACTCGAACATTGGTGGAGCTACCCAACACAGTGTCCGTCCCGGCAAGAAATCGACCTCGCCAGCTATATCTCCCGCACATGCCATCCACTATTCAGTTGCTACTGCACTTCTTGTACACATCGTCACTCCCGCCCGTTGGGACAACACTGTGCACGCCTCAGTCGCTGTGCTCGTTGCTTCAGATGGCTCGATCATATCAAGTTGATGGCCTACTGGAAGCAACCGTCGAACGACTACATGAAGTGCCGGAGGGACGAAACTCTGCGGCAGTGTTTAATGCGGCAGCAATGGCAGCCGGTGGAGGCAGAGGGCTTGTTGGCGCGATGGTTGGTAGTCTGCCGGGCATGGGCCGACGAGAGAGCGAGGCTACAACTATCGGTGACCCTTCGTTGTCGTCCAAGACAGCCGGACTGAAACTGGACTCTGGGTTCGAAGAGGTCAAGAAACGAGGACACACAAAGACAAACTCGACGGATTCGGCATCGACGGCAACATCGGCGTCCAACTCGACGGATGTGTCGCACACAGATAATGAGAATTCTCCGCTGGAAGAGAGTGGAGGAGCGGGAGGACGAGGAGATGGAGAGAATCGAGAGATGTGGACGGGAGATTTGAGTTCGGTGATTGGACTTCAGAAGCGAGGGCTTCGAGGTCTCATGGAGGGTCGCAGATTGCGAGAGAGAGCCAACACTGGAGCAGCAGGCGGTGGTGAATAAACAATCGAATCAAGAGTACATGACTCCCGTAGGGATTGAGGACCTAAGGAGGTGTATAGCGGTAATGGGATCACGTGTCAAGATTGAGATTGTGTAGGGAGGATGACAGTTGATCCTAAGAGTTGGTATTCCCCCGGCAGGATCAAACAACTATGTGCATGCATACAACTGCGATTCTAATAATGTGAGAGATTTGCATGTGCTTCTGATTTTCTCCAGGTCTGGGCAATTAGCCAGTATTGTTCATATATCGTGTGGTGTCGAAGCCAGGTCACGGGAACCAAAGTACCTCGGCATTCGAATGTTGGAAATTAGGAAGGCCTACTCCGTAGTGATGCAGGTGTTGGCAGATCATCTGACCCTTGATTCAGCCAATCGCGACACTCGCATTCCAGGCCCAAGTCATCAGCTGCGTCATGGGCTGCCACTTTGGTGGCTTCCGGGGGCTCACGGGGCTCCGTGGATTGATTCTTGCGGCAGCATGTGGGGAAGCATAGCCTAGACGCACCCCGAAACACGCAAAGAACACTCCGAGAGGTCGCTTTATCCAGGGCCTCGGGCCGCCGAAAGGAGCAGCTATGCGTCTTCTGGGCAATAATAATGATGCTGATGATTATTATTGACAAGACCTGAGCACAGGCAAACAGCATTGACATGTGAAAGCCACCCCTTGGATACCTCAATTCTACTCTGGTTTGACCGACTGCCTACTATTGCTGCTACTGATCACACTCTTTCTTTCTTCTTCACAATTGTATCCAGAGATTCTCCATTTCTGCCTATTGTATGCTACTATTTTGTCATTGCCATCTTTGAATTGTCGAGATACTATTTCTGTGCCTTCCTTGTCTTGCTCGCTGCACCTGCTTATCCGCACCTTCCGAATCCACCATGTCCAAAACATTCTCGGCCGCCGATGTGGCAACACACAACAAGGCCGACAACCTGTACATCATTGTCGATGAAGATGTCTATGACTTGACTAAATTTCAGGACGAGCATCCAGGTAGGTTGCCATGTTACTCCTCATTGCTAAACTCTGGCTAACTTGATACAGGCGGAAAAAAGAGTAAGCCATCACAATCTGCTGGTCACGAGCAATGTTCTACCCGTCCAATCCACTAACACAGACTCACAGTCCTCCAAAGAGTGGCTGGAAAAGACGCATCGAAGCAGTTCTGGAAATATCACAATGAGGGAATTCTCAAGAAGTTCAAGTCAAAGTTGCATGTTGGTTCATTGGATTCTAAGAAGGCGGCCGCACCACCCACACCCCCCGCCACCCCGCCTCCACAGGAGAAGACACCAAAGGTAGTCCCTCAAGCAGAGTCTGGCACCGTTGCTCCTGCGCCGGGCCCTGCTGCTCATGAGGAGGCCGAAGCCCTCGACCCCTATGGCTCTCTGATTCCATTCGGCGACCCCAACTGGTATCAAGGAGTGAGTCATTGAGACAGACTAAAAACTCTTGCGCAAGTGTGCTGATGGATTCTGCTAGTACCACTCCCCATACTACAACGAGACCCATGCTGCGCTTCGAGCCGAAGTGCGAGAATGGGTTGAGACCGAACTCGAACCCTATGTGACCGAATGGGATGAGACAAAGCGTGTGCCCGAGTCAATCTATAAACAATGCGGTGAACGTGGCTATCTGGCTGGTCTTCTTGGTGTCAAGTACCCCAAACACCTGGTCAAGAACACCGTCAAGAGCGTTCCCCCTGAGAAGTGGGATCTGTTTCATGAAATGCTCCTGACCGATGAGCTCTCGAGGACAGGCTCCGGAGGTCTCGTCTGGAATTTGTTGGGCGGCTTCGGAATCGGATGCCCACCACTGGTCAAGTACGGTCAGAAGAAACTCGTGGAACGCATTCTGCCAGGAATTCTCTCTGGTGACAAGCGCATCTGTCTGGCCATCACTGAGCCCGATGCCGGTTCTGATGTCGCCAATCTTACCTGCGAAGCCAAGTTGAGTGAAGATGGAAAACACTATATCGGTAAGTCCAATGGGGGGGACTCGAGTCCCGTTCCCCAGTAACAAACTACATAAGGCTGACTTGCATCAAAAACAGTCAATGGAGAGAAGAAGTGGATCACCAACGGTATCTGGTGTGATTACTTCACCACGGCCGTGAGAACCGGTGGACCAGGCATGGGAGGAGTGAGTCTTCTCCTCATTGAACGATCCGAGGGGGTCAGCACCAGACGTATGGACTGCCAGGGAGTGTGGAGCAGTGGCACGACATATATTACATTTGAAGACGTTAAAGTGCCCGTTGAGAATGTGCTGGGCAAGCCCAACAAGGGCTTCCAAGGTAAAGAGACTCGAGCCAAATGTTCATGGACCAGCGACTGACGGAGACTACAGTGATCATGACCAACTTCAATCACGAACGAATCGGAATTATCATCCAGTGCACACGATTTTCTCGAGTTTGTTTTGAGGAATCGGTCAAATACGCATCCAAGCGAAAGACATTTGGCAAGAAGTTGATCGACCACCCAGTGATTCGACTGAAGCTCGCCCACATGGCACGCCAAATTGAAGCGACCTCATCGTGGCTGGAAAACATTGTATATCAATGCCAGAAGATGAACGAAACCGAGGCCATGCTGAGACTGGGTGGAGCCATCGCAGGTCTCAAGGCCCAGGCGACCACGACATTTGAATTCTGTACCAAGGAGGCTGCTCAGATCTTTGGTGGTCTAGCATACTCCCGGGGCGGTCAGGGAGCCAAGATCGAGCGCTTGTATCGGGACACCCTTGCATACAAGATTCCCGGTGGAAGCGAGGAGATTATGCTCGACTTGAGTATTCGACAGAGCATGAAGGTCCACAAGGCCTTAGGCATGAAGTTGTAGGATGACTTGAATGTCGAGGTAGAAACAGCCCTCCACCTTGTACTCTGTCTCCCATCTTCAATTCTGATGTCATGGGACGAAATACAATCCTCACGTGAAAGCCCAACCTTCTTGACGTTAATGTTTCTCTGTAAAGTTGTAGAGGCGAGTTGGAAGACTGCACACGCAGTTGCGATTTTCGCCTCTTTTTTCTTTTCTTCCATTGTCAATTCTCATACCTCATACCACATGTTTGGTAGGGATGGAATCAGCAGTCCAACAGAGATGGTAGGTCAAGACTGACCAAGAATCGCCATCCCATCCAACATTGTTGCCCAATGCACACTTCACGTACACCTGAGTTAGGCTCACTCAATAATAATCACCCACACAGCCATCGAGGTGGGACCCCTCCATGCCCTCCCCGCGACAGTCAATGGCCGAGTTTCACATGCGGGCCTGAACAAGGAAGACTCTTCCAAGCACAAAAGCTTACGCATGCTTGGACCTGCAAGTCGCATTCAGCCTATGCCTACAAGTACACGGCCCACCAGAGTTCGATCTCTTGATCCATGCATTACGCAGGTACGTCACGCTCTGCTCTTCCGACCCATCCAGGGTTTCTGCGATGGCCTGTCGGATGGGAGCATTTCTCTCTCCCTCGCTACCGGCAATGCCTCTTCAGTACCTCTAGACTTTGACTGGGGTGACAGGGTCCCAGTCTTATTCTGCTGGCGTAAGGCTTGTACTCGTCACAACCGCATGGTCGCAAGGACAAGGTCTCGTCAGCATCCAATGTTCTGCGATGTACAGCCTGAACCCCGGTTCAGACCCATCTTCAACGACCGATGGAATCGCCGCCACCCGAGAGCTATTTTTTTCTTCAGCACTGACACCACAGATCCTGTGTCTGATCTCCATGGTTCCTTTTATAGACTGCGACTTTTCTGGTATTGGTTGCGTCTGAATATATACAACTTCTAATCATTCTTGTTTCCTTCTATACCATCTTTCGTTCTTTATTCCATCATTCCACGACGCATTCACTTGTAGTCGAATTTATCTACACCATGCGTGCTTCATCAGTTCTGGCCCTCGCTGCCACACTTCCCTCAACCTTCGCTGCTTATAAAGGCTTCAACTATGGCTCGACTGGCCGCGACCAAGCTGCCTTCGAAGGCGAATTCAACTCAGCAAAGAACCTTGCGGGCTCGAGCTACACCTCAGCGAGACTGTACACCATGATCCAGGATGGCACCACGAACACACCCATCTCTGCTATTCCTGCCGCCATTAGCACCGGTACCTCTCTACTCCTAGGTCTCTGGGCCTCGGCTGGTGACGCCATCTTCCAGAACGAACTTGCTGCGCTGAATGCTGCCATTGCCCAATACGGCACCGCTTTCACCGACCTCATTGCTGGCATCAGCGTCGGCTCCGAGGACGTGTACCGTATCACACCTATTGGTGTAGCTAACAATGCAGGCGTGGGTGTTGGCCCTGACGTCCTTGTCAATTACATCGGCCAAGTTCGCAGCGCCATTTCTGGTACCAGTGCCTCTGACAAGCTCGTTGGCCACGTCGACACATACAATGTCTGGACCAACTCGAGCCAAGATGCTTTGATTGCCGCCTGCGACTTTCTAGGTGTCGATGCCTATCCTTACTACGAAACCACCGTGAGTTACTCTCCCTTCCCACGTTTTGCTCCACCTTCCCTAGATCTCTTGCACTGACTAACGCTTTTCATTTCGCTCTGCAGAAAGCCAACTCGATCGAAAATGCCAATGCCACCTTCTGGGATGATTACGAATTGACCGTCGCCGCCAGCCAGGGCAAACCCGTATGGATCACAGAAACTGGCTGGCCTGTTTCCGGTCCCTCGTCGAACCAAGCCGTCGCATCCATCGATAACGCAAAGACTTACTATGACGATGTGGCCTGTCATGCCTTCGCCACTGGTGTTAACACCTGGTGGTATATTCTTCAGGACACTGGTGCCGAGCCCAGTTTTGGGTTGGTCGGTGCCGGAACACCCCCTCCAACAACACCTCTTTATGACTTGAGTTGCTAGGTATCAAGGAAGTCCAGATTATAATAGTAGGAGTTATTGGATATGGGTGGACATAGATAATTCGCGGTACATATACTATGTTATTGTCCCGTATAGACACCATAAATAAAGTAAATTTTACAGAACGCTCCAAGCCTGTACATGTCGAAAGTCTTGCGTCATGTGTTCATAGTAGTTGTGAGTGGGTATCAATGCTGATGCTCTCAACAGACAGTGACATTTCTTGATCATATCGGTGAACCAATCATAACCATCCAAAGTCACGTGTCGTATGTTGTTCCTTCCACATTGGGACAATCAACAACAACCTCGACTGATCCCTTCAACCACTCATCTACATTCCCATTCGCAATATTCTCCTCGTTCAACGCCACCAACAACTAACTCTAGGTATCTAAGAAACACTTGTCGACCGGCTTTGCCCTATCGTCAAAACCCCAACAACTCGACGCACTTATACGAGACTAACAGCATTCGGATCTGTTGGTTGAGGGAGAGTCCCTTGCTTGAACCAACCAGGCATTGCAACATCTCCCAGCGATTCATATCGACACCGCATCCATCTATACCCAATAAGATCGACATCTTCGCGCAATGGCGCCTCGAAAGGCCGCCAGTCCGGCGAAGCCTCGACGCGTTACTCGCGCTCAAGCCGCAGCCCCAGAACCTACTACTACCATCGCCGAACCACCCAAGCGACGAACAACAAGCAAACCCTCTATTCCCACCACGTCCGCTACTAAGAATACCGAGGCGAAATCTAGAATTACCAAGAGATCGACCTCTAGCACAGCAACTACCAAACAGCCAGCGCGGCCAGCGGCACGATCCACCAGAGCCAAAGCTGTTCCTTCAGCAGAAGAGCCGGTTAGCGAAGCCGAAACAGATCAGGACGAGCTTGCTGTTGTCGAGCCTCTGGCGCCCTCGACAACTCGGACCACCTCACGATCTTCGAGAACACAACCTGCTGCCACTACCTCCACGTTAGCCGCAGTCCCCAGACGACGTGTCCGAGTCACACCAATGGACGGCCGCGGAAGTAACACGATAGAAGTCGCAGAGCCAGAGACCAAGAAAGTCAACACTGCTAGCTCCCGCGTGAAGGACAAGCCGGCCAGCACCAAAACTACCGCTTCTTCTCGCAGTAAGCGCACCACCAAGAAAGACGCTCTTGACAGCGTTCCAGAACAAGAAGCTACCATAACTGTATCTGAGTCTTTACCCAAGAAGCGAGGCAGGCCTCGGGCAAATACAGCTGAGAAGGATATGGAAAGTGTCCAGTCGATTCCGGCCCTGAAATCACGGGGTAGGCCGAAGAAGGAAAACCCCATCGACGATCCTACAGAGGTTGATGCACCTGCCCCCTCTACCAGACAAACTCGTGCTCGAGCCACTTCGACTGCATCGGCTGCTAGTGCTGTGCCAACCATGCTTGTGGCGCCACCTCGCAAGAAGGTCACATTCCAGGATCTTCCCGATGACGAGGATGAGAAGGAGAATATCAAACCCCCTTTAAAGTCTACAAAGAAGGCTTTTGGACCGGCTAGCAAGAAATCCGAGCCTGCAGCAAAGGGTATCAAGGCTAGGCCTGTTCGTAAACCTGCTACGACCGCTGCAGCCAAGTCGGCAAGGGGTCGTGCAGCAGCAAAGGCCGCCGTGGAATCTGAAGAACCAGCCAACGACACCGGGGAAAAGATCCAACAGAGAGCATTGACGCCCAAGAAGATCACCCAAGTCGCAAAGGCTTCCATCTCCGACAGCGAAGAGGATGAAGACGAACTTGCAGGCGCTAAAACTCCAGTTCGTGACCTCAGTCGCTCACCGAAGCGCAATGTGATCAGCTCAGCAGCCAAACCCATGTCGCCAGTCAGGAAGCTGGACTTTGGTCCTTCTCTCAGCGCTCGCTCCCCATCTCCAGACGCAATCGCCAACCCGGAGGTTCCAGGTCTCCTCAGCCCTGCGCGACGTAATCCAACATCCCCTACAAAGGAAGTTTATGATCAATCCCCAAGACGAGCACCAGATGGGGTGTCCATTTTTAGACAAGTTCAGGACTTCAACCAGCCAGCCTCGTCACTCTTCCCTTCTACGAAAAACCAAGTCCTACTCCAGTCTCCTAAGCGAGGGTTGACAGATGTCTCAATTTTCCCCCCATCAGCGATAAAACTTTCCAAATCACCCTCGAGAGCTCCTCTTTTATCCTCTCCTGCGCGACGGCTCTTCTCGCCCTCCAAACAGAAGACTCCAGCGCGTATTTCGCCATCTCCGAAGAAGAAGCACTACACAACAGCATCCCCAGCCAGCGCAGTCAAAAGTCCTGGAGATCTTGACATTGAGGTCACCTCTCATTTCCGTCCATCGATGTCCCCACACCGTTCCGGCAGAGTGTACACATTGAATGAGGATGAATTGGTGCAAGAAGCTGCGTTGCTTGATTTCGACCAGTCTGTCCTGAATGTCCGCAGCCCACTCAAAGTTGACAAGGTGAAACCAGTCGTTGAGAGCCCAGTTCAGCGTCAAAGCACACTGCCCACTCCTCAAGATGTTGTTGATGATTCCGAAGAGGAGGAACAAGCCGAGGAGTTGGTCATCGAGCCTATGGAGATTGCCGTTGCACCTCAGCCAATTGATCCTGATGAGACTCTTGCAGATCCTGACGTTGAGGATGACGATGTCTCTGAGCACGAGGAGTCTGATGCCCCATCCGACTCGAGCTCCATTCAAGGCTCTGAGAACGACGAGTCTATCATCCACCACAAGGTCCCACACCCTGCGCCCAGACTGTCTAATGTACTTTTCAGCCGGCTGAGGGATGTCGACCAAGACTCTGAAGACGAGCTTCTCGCCGAACAAACTCCAGATCTTCGAAACATCAGAAACACTTTCCGGTCGAGTCTGAACCAATCCACATCACGCTCCCGCCTGTCATCCGGCATCGCTCCCCCCAGCGCAGCGCGGAACATGGGATTCACTCCTCTAACAAATCAGATGCGTGGTTGGAAGGCTTCTAGCCCGCAGAATAGAGTCAAAGCTAGTGAGATCGCTGCTCAATCCCATGGTCTCTTCTCTCCCCTGGCGCGCGTGCATGTCGAAGGCTCAGTTGAGATAGATCGACAGGAGACGCCAGGCCGGTCAGCCAAGAAGCGAAAGTCGCATGCCTCCAGAGTTTCGTTTGGTCCGTCGGTCGTGGGTAGTCCTGCAAATCCTGATTTCTTCGCAGATGGCATTGCGGCACAGGAATTCTACGATGACAATCAAAGTCGCGAGGATGGCGAGGGTTTCAATCATGAAGACCTTCACGATCTCGTGTCAGATGCGGGAGAGGAGCAACCCCAAAGTCTGGCGCATCGAGCTTGCGAATTCTCAGCCTCGCCAGAGCTTGAAGACGATGAGAGTGAATCCGAACACGGTGAGGATGCCCCAGGTGAACTCACCACGGACCTGATCAAGTTCACAAAAGCTTCTGATACAGCTATGGTCGATTTCGCTACCCTTGCAGATGAAGCCGAGCAGCTTGCTCAAGCAAACGTCGAGAGGGATGTCCCAGAGTCTGCCATCACAGACAACGGTGCTGAGAGCACTGAATCTGGTAGATCCGGTCTAGAGCTTAGCACGGTTGATGAAGAGCCTTCGGTTCTGACATCCTCGTCAGACCAGATCTACGCCGACGAGAATGCGACCGTAGATGAGCAAGACTCTGCTGATCAAGCCTCTCAAGATCAAGGAGACGAAGAGCATGTCGATGATGAGACGGTGCCCACGGTTCTAATCGACAGACAACAGTCAGTGTCTCCCGCCAAAGAAGATGCTGGCATGCCTGAAGATTGCGAGCAACACGAATCCATTGAACGGGAACCTGATTTGAATGATGTTGAAGCCATCGACTTCAATGTGACCCCAATCAGACCCAACCTCGTCCTACCGCGCTTTGTCAACACAGTTGTATCCAAAGTACCCCTCCGGCCAGAAGGAGACATACCCGCGGAATCACCCATCAAACTGTCCAAGAAGAGAGCACGATCTTTATCCTCGGCTGGTTCGCTCGTTAATAAACGTCGCAGTCTTGGTAACAACATTGATGTCCTAGCTACGGCGCCAGGCCTTCTGGAAACTCCCAAGGGCAAGATGGAAGTATTTTCGTCGCCTCACAGACACATTCGCAGTGCCGCTCCAAGCCCAGCACAGTCTCTCTTCAGTACTGTCACCACACCTGGTCAGACAAGTTTCGCAATCGATGACTTCGGCGACAGCACGCTTGATGGGATCGAACTGCCAAGTGACGAGCTCATGTCAGATGATGTCGAGCAAGAAGAGGATAATTTGGTCAACAACAAAACTGTACCAGATGACACGCTTATAACAATCGGCTCAACATTCTTCAAAACTCCTGCAGGAGCATCCAAGAGACGAAGTGTGCTTCCGTCATCTGCAAAATCCAACGAATCATCCACGCCACATTATGCCATGAGCACCAAGTCGAGCAAAAGCCGCACAGATGCAACACCAACACAAACTCCATCTCGAGCTCGCGCATCCTCCTTGAAAACTCCTTCTGCGGCTGCAAAGCCCAAGACTCCCAGCACGCTAGTGGCAAGCAAAACCCCGGCTAAGACACCTCTTCCCAGTCGGACACCGCTCAAGCCTGTTGAGGATGGTATACTAAGTGGTGCGATCGTTCACGTTGACGCCCACACTAGTGAAGGCGCTGATGCGTCGGGCATCTTTGTGGACCTCCTCACCAGCATGGGAGCACGTTGCGTGAAGGAGTGGAAATGGAATCCTCGAGCCAGTCAGGCAGCTGGACCGAACAAAGCCTCTACAGAAGCCCCTATCGGCATCACGCATGTGGTGTACAAGGACGGCGGCAAGCGTACATTGGAAAAGGTCCGCGATGCCAAAGGTCAAGTCCTATGCGTTCGCGTGGGATGGGTTCTGGACTGTGAACGTGAAGGCAAGTGGCTTGATGAAGCTGACTATGCAGTTGACACGGGTATTTTACCTCGTGGCGGCTCACGACGACGCAAGAGCATGGAGCCGAGGATGCTGATGAATGCCAATGGCAGCTTGAGTGCGAAGAAGAACGTTCGGCGTAGCGTTAGTGACGAATATGCAAGATGGACACCTGAGATGAAATTTGATCTCATCAACACACCAGTTCGAGGCAGAAGCGAAATGGAGACGGGTACCCCACAGAGTGATAGTGGGCTCGCCGATGATACAGAGATCTCGTCAACATACGACTCACCCACCGCTGCCACGATCGGCGCTGGCGGTGAAACCGCTGACATTGGCGCGTTGATGTCTAGCCATCGCAAGAGAACAAGCAATGTCTCATTCCATGGCGAAGATGAAGATGAAGAAACTTCATTGTTGACATCGCCTGGTCTTGCGACTCACGAAGCTCAGACCTCGACGCCTCAACCCACAGTATCTCTCGACGTGGACTACGACCCCAGAACAGCGGCCACGCCTCTCACACCATATCTGATGGCCAAAGGACGAGACTTGATTCAGATGAGTGCGCCACCAAAGCAATTCAACCAAGGATTGTTTGAAAAGCGTGCCGCGTCGTCGAAATTGTCCAATGATGCTGACGAACCGGAGAGCGAATCCCAAACTCCAGAAGCACATCGAGGTGAAATGAAGAAATTCCAAGTCAAGATGAATCACGCCAAGGGTAATGGTAATGCGAGGGACGGGAGGAGGAGGACTATGGGTGCGGCGTTGGGCTTTAAGCCAGTTGTTGCCAGTCCATTGAGGAGGGAATAGATTTCTTTGCCTCAACGATGACAGCACATTGATTGGGGATGCTGAGCGAGAGGATGAGCGTGAATAAAATGGAACGGCTTGATGAAGAGCAGAGTCATTGGTGGTAATACACTTTGGGGGAAGGTCGGATTCAAATTGCTGCTATGTGGATAGGCCGGGCTATATTCTTGTTTTGGTTCTGTGTCTGGTTACGAAGTTGGTTGATTTGCTTGTGTGCGGACTGTCTTGCTCATCATAATCGTCAGCGTCAGCGGGCACCACTAGCGTCCAGCAATAGCAGAATCACTGTCAACCACTACTTCCCATCTTAGGTAAATCCCTGTTCTCTGCTATTTGGCATCATCTGGTGCCAATCAATTTCGACAGCATGACCAGTTGAGATGAGGCGAGTATGTGGGGTGACGTCTGAAATGGATATCATGATATGTATAGATGTCACTGCCAGTATTACATGAAATATGTTGCTGTCAGTGTGGGAATTTACAGCTTCAGTCCGAGATTGACATGGACAGCCTTGGTTTGGCTGTAGGCTTCCAGACCAGCGGAACCCAGTTCTCTTCCGATACCGGATTGCTTTACACCGCCAAAGGGAACTCTGAAGTCAGAGTCGTTGGATGAGTTGATCCAAACCATGCCAGCCTCAAGCTTGGCGGCGACGCGATGGGCACGCTCAATATTGGTGGAGAAAACGGCAGAGCCGAGGCCGTAGGTTGTGTCATTGGCTTTGGCAATGGCTTCAGCTTCGTCTTTGAAGCTGGCAACCACGACGAAGGGGCCGAAGATTTCTTCACGGTAGATCTTCATCGTGTCCTTGACGCCAGTGAAGATGGTAGGTTCAATGAAGAAACCTTTTCCGTCCCCGACCTTTGTGTGGGGAACACCACCAGATGCGAGAGTGGCGCCCTCAGATTTGCCGCTCTCAATGTAGGACAAAACTCGGTCATACTGGGCCTTTGTGACTTGAGGTCCTTGAAAAGTGTCTTCGGCGAACGGATCTCCGACCTTGGAGGTGGCCAGGACGACCTCCTTGAATTTCTCCACGAACTTGTCATATACGCCTTCTTGAACGAGAACGCGAGAAGTGGCGGTGCAGATTTGACCTTGATTCGACATGATTCCAATATGGGCCCATTTGGCGGCTTGATCAATGTCGGCGTCATCGAAGACGAGGAGGGGGGATTTTCCTCCTGTCTCCAATGTAATGTTCTTCATGTTGACACTCGCTGTCTTTGCGATCAGTTTGCCTGTGAGGGTGGATCCTGTGAAAGCAATCTTATCGACATCGAGATGACCAGCGAGCGCGGCACCGGCCTCCTTGCCATAGCCATTGACAATGTTGATGACACCTGGAGGGAAGCCGGCTTCGGGAATTAGGGTTGCGAGGTAGAGAATGGACAAGGGTGTCTGTTCGGCAGGTTTCATCACGATGGTGTTGCCAGTCGCCAAAGCTGGGCCCAACTTCCAGGCGGCCATGGCCAAGGGGTAGTTCCAGGGAATGATCTGGCCACAGACACCAATTGGTTGTTTGAGAGTGTATGCAAACTTCTGGGGGGTTGTGTCAATGGTCTGTCCATAGATTTTGTCGGCCCAACCCGCATAATATCTGATGGTGCCAATAACCTCGCCCAAGTCTTCGTTGAGGGCAACGCTATAGGGTTTACCGTTGTCCCAGGTTTCGAGGGTGGCGAGGATCTCTTTGTTTGCTTCGATGAGATCGGCAAACTTGTTCATGAGAGCGCCTCGGTCGGTGCCAGGAAGTTCGGACCAGGATGGGTCATTGAAGGCTTTCCGGGCAGCCTTGACAGCTTTATCGATATCATCGGCTGAACCAGCCTCGACGGTTGCAATCTCGGATTCATCGCTGTAGCATGCGGGTTAGTTGGGGGATTATGGAGAGGATGGAGAGGATGGCGTGGGGATGCTCACGTAGGACTGATCGAAGTGATTTTGTCACCAGAACTTGATTTGACAAATTCGTTGTTGATAAATAGACCGGTTGGCAGAGTAATCTTCTTGCCATTGGGGGCAGTGAGATCGACTTTGAGATCGGCCATGGTGGAGAGGAAGCGGAATACTGATTGAGATGGTGGAGAGAAGAAAGGAGAAAATGACTTGGTGGATTTCCAAGGGATGATGATAGTCCTAGATGATACTAAGGAGGACCTAAGAAGAGACACAAACATCAAAGATACTAAAAAGAGAGCAGAGATCAGACAGTAGATGAAGTTGGCCCTGAACCACCGAACCCTGGACCCCAAAAAGGCAGGAAAGACGACAGATGTGAGATTCTAATCGAGGCCAAAGAGATCCCGGATGATGACACAGATACAACAGGGCCCTGTCAATCGGACAATTTGAGTTGGTGAATGAGAGACCAATGGCAGAAGGGTCGTGTGTTGCAGATAGGGACGATGAATGAGGCAGCGGAATTGATTGCCTGTTTGGAAATGTTTAGAGGACGTTCAACGGTGATGAGCGCATGGAATTTGCAGTTGTCCACGAGCTCTCGCTTGAACTGTTTTGGGGTAGGAGCTACCAGCTAAGTGGGAGGCACCTGCCTCGGAGCTTCGAAACAAGCAGGAAGCCACTCAAGCGCAACAGGCGGGGCGTCGATAAGAAGGAAAGCGAATTGGAGAAGTCAGATAAGGAAGGTCGAAAGAGGGGCACAGGTGGTAAACAGAGCAAGAGCGAGGGGCAATCTTTAATTGTGGAGGGGAACCCTGCAAGCTAAATGCAGCTCATCCAGTCCAGGACGTTTACGCATAGGGTGGCCCCGGTGGTACCTAAGGCTTAAAGGTAGGTATCCATTAAAGAACCCCTCCATGCCCCTCCGGCCCTACGCATACCCAGATCCGCATCATTGTTAGAGGCCACTGTGCACGTGTGGAGGACCTCTCGCTGAGTGCTGCCGGCCTGAACATCCTGGTACCCCTCTCCCACGGCTAAGCCTACCATTTCAGTCTTTAGCCTCCGTTGCTCGAGTCTCTTGCGTAGGTACTTACCTATTATACATATTTATTATTCACTTCAAATACAAATTAAAGAGAATCGAGACCGTAAACATATGTCCATGAGCGAATATGATGGACTCAGTGTTGTGCTGATGATTCCTACCTGTCCTCTACAGGGCACTTTTCCCAGGGTACTCACCTCATCATACTTCTCTCTGGGGCACTCTCCTAGCCGGCAGCTAAAACACAGGATTGCAACTCGCGTATACTTTTGACCATTGCCACCCTCGGCTGGTCCGATCTTGATATTTCTGTCTAAACTCATTCCTTGATATCCCTAGACTACTCAGGTGTGGCTCATCATTGTTGTAGGTGTAACAATGATTGTAGAGGGTAATCAGTGGATGTCTAACAGTGGCCGAATACTGTAGGATGAACGCCGTATGCTTGCAAGGCTTGGGCTAGCCACAACAGGGGCGCTCACAGCCTTGTCCACGTGAGATTCAAATATCGTCATTCATGCCTCAACTTCAATAACAACTCGGCTGTAAAAAAAGAAAAAACCATTCTCACGCATTCCAATCCAATTCATAGTGCGCGGACATGAACAGCGACACTAGCGACCCCAGTGCGATCGACTCTCAAATTTCCACCGCCGACCAGATCTCCTATTGGCAATCCATCAGTGCGGATGTGGATGGCATGCTAGGAGGTTTTCCTCAGGTTTCACGCATTGATATCCAGTTCTCGCGGAATTTTATCCAGAAACTACGCAGATTAGACAATCGATCAACACGCGCGACATCGACATCAACATCAACATCACCTATTCAGAACACTGCACAGGCGCAGTCGCAGTCGCAGTCACCGACTAACACCCATACCAACACCACCTACACATTCCAACACGCACTAGAACCCGGCGCGGGTATTGGACGCGTCACATTAAACCTCCTAGCTCCGCTATGCGCACACATCGATATTGTCGAACCCATTGAGAAATTTACCGCTGTACTCACAGCACCAGAGTCGCCACTAGTTAAGAACCATCAACTAAGCCGTGTCTGGAATCTGCCTCTTCAAGACTGGACACCAACATTACCCCCAGCATACACTGCAAACACCACCACATCCTCACCTAAATATGACCTGATATTCAACCAATGGTGTCTCAACCATCTATCATTTACGTCATTAGTGGCATATTTCAAGTCTCTAATCCCTCTCCTGCTTCCCACAGGCTGGATTGTCGTCAAGGAAAACCTATCGTCTGATGCATTTGGTGCGGATATCTTTGATGCTGATGACAGTAGTGTCACGCGGAGTGATGCTAATTGGAGAGCTGCGTTTACTGAGGCCGGGTTGAGGCTGGTTAAGACGGATTTACAGACTGGGTTCCCCAAGGAGCTGAAGCTATATCCTGTAAGGATATATGCCCTGCGTCCGGTAGAGTGAAACTACTTTTCCGTGGCAGAGATTACCGCAGATTTAGGAGTGAAATCATCCACGCGAATCAACGCGGACTATTACCTGGGAAGTTAGCTGTCATTACCCGGGTTCTAACACGGATGGCCATGGTTACAGCGGTGGAAAAAGGGAAAAGGGGGAAAGTACATAGCTTAATCAAACGTTTTGATTGTCTGTCTTGGGAAAAATGCGTATTCACAAGCTAATGATCCCTTCCGCCATTGTGTCTCTCCATCGGCCTTCTTTTTGGCTTGGAGAAGTAGGCTTAAGATCATGATCTGGAAGCATGCTGATTCGGGCTTAGGAACCACTGCCTTTGCCATGGTGTGAACCTCAAAAACTACCCAAGGCTCTCCAGGCACTTCCATCCAAAGTTCAACGTCAAATTTACCTGCAACAGCTCTGGTTCGTAGCCGGCGAAAAATGGGTAATATTGCCCCGCGACTAGGTAATTCCCAGATCTGTTCAGATGGCATGAGCACTGTCCAACTCACTGCTCACTCGCGGCCATAGTATTACCGTTGGTAATTTTCGCGGTATGTTCGATGGCAGCTGGAACACCTTTGTCGTCGGCTTCGGTTTTATATCCAGGCTGATTGATCTCCTCTATCGTCATGTCTCCGTCCGCATCTTCTTTTTCAGTGTCGTCAAGCCTGCCAGTGCAATAGTGCCTTCCATGATTTGGCGTTTGCCTGCGACGACGTGGCCATTGTGTTGAGACAGCGCCTGATCCTTAGTGTTGTCACCATTGAACTGAAGAGTTTCCTCCACGCCCGTAACAGCTTCTCCCTCACCATCCACATCAGTCTCATAGCCATCTCGCGGTGCTGGGTGGCCCAGAGACGGCTTTTCGCCAGCACACTCCAGGATGAAAGTCCACTCGGCTGGAGTGACCGGAGAAACACTCAGACGAGATTGCTTGAGCATGACCATATTTTGCAAGGCACTACCAGGCAGTGAATATGACCTCAGCTCTTTGAGTGTGACGAGATCGCTGAACTTCTTGACAAACTCGACACGCACAAGCTCCCATTTTGGCTTCTCGCGGTCGGATTTGGCGTCGTAGTATGGGTGGTTGGGGTCGAAGGCAGACTCATCAACTTCATGTTCCCCGACAATGCGCATCACACCAGCGACGCCTGGGGTCTTGCAGTTGGAATGATAGAAAAACGCAAGATCGCCAGCTCGCATAGCTCTCATGTGATTGCGTGCCACTGGATTGCGCACACCTTTGTTATAGTCAGTTAGTGAAATGAACCAGTTATGGGGGGAAATTTTGGCGACTCACCATCCCATCCTTCTGGCTCAGACTTGGCGGCAAGATCGTCAATGGAGAATTTGACATCATGACCCTTTTCAATTCGCGACTCAGGTTCAGCTTTCATGAGCCAGTACTGGATGTCTTGGTCGATTCCCTCCACTGGATGGGTAAGATCAGCGTTGTCCTTAGCCCCGCTCTCTGCATCCATCTCCTGGGATGGTCCAGACTTAGATTCATATTTAGTTTCCGCATCTTGCCTATTTTTCGTGATAGAAGTGTTCTTATTGCTCGTACGTTTGGGAGAGGTATTGGTAGATTTGGGAGCTGTAAATGTTTAGTTTGAGCAATGAGCAATCGATCTTGATTGATCTAAGATCTCCATACCATTGACTGTCTTCTTTGCGTCTTGTGCCTGTTTCTTACTAGTATTACTTTTGGATGTGATCGCGGTGGTACTTTTGGCCTGTAGATCTCTTTTCTTTTGGACAATCACAGACGGAGGAGGAGGAGTCTCAAGCTTAGCAGCAGTGGCCTTGGCCGGTCTACCGCGCTTCTTCGGGGTAAGAGTCTCCGCAGCAGGTGAAGCTGGGGTGGTGTCTTCATTGTTGGTAGATCGGCGTGTGCGGCGGGGAGGGGCATACTGCGGGCTACTAGCAGATGCTCGCTTTGGCCGTCCAGCGGATGGAAGAGTCGGTTCTTCAGCATCAGTAACGATGGAGACATCACCGAACCGGGCTCTTTTACCACCAGCAGTCTTGGTGTTGGCTCCGGCCTTTCTCTTTGTAGCTGGCATCGTGAAGAGAAGGGCGCTGCGAGGTCTGCAGTGATGACTAGATGAGAAGCAATGAAGGAGTGAAGATAGATGGAGGATGAATGAGAGAAGAGAAGAAGAGCACGAAGAAGAAGATCAAGTGCACACAATGGAGATGGTCCAGTGGTGGTGACATGAAAAAGAATCTGAAATGTTAGCTCAAGACTGTGCAGACATCGAGTTCAGTCACGTCACTCATTCACTGAAACGCGTTCACATGCACCTGCAGGCTACAGTAACGCGTTGGAGACAAAAATCTGGGGTACGATTCAGATTTTAATTCACGATTCACACACATTATTCGGGGGTGGCCAATAGTAGCATAGGGTAAGTGCATTGTTGGCCGAGGGGCCTATAAGCGCCTAAGAAAAAGGCTCCCGGGGCTCAATAATATTGCATCTAGGCAGGCAGCTCCGGCAGCTCAGGCGCACAGACCACAGGCAGTTTTGCACGTGGGATACAAGATTATTTCTCAGCCTCATTGGCTGGCACCACGATGGTCCAGACAACTGGAGTAGAGGTAGGGTAGATATGTAGGCCATGTGAAAAGATGCCTTTCAGCGTTGGCTGTAGGCTTGTGCATGTGCAGATAGGTAGTATTGTAGAGCATTGACCTCTCTAGATTTTACAAAGTAGGTATGCTTCCAGCTACACACTCCAAAGGACACAAGGCCATTATGCGGCCTTACCAAGGTACAGCATTTCAGTTCAACGAAGAAACCTGTCTCTGTTGAGGCATGCTTCCAGTACTTTGGATAGACGTCTTCCAGAAGGGTTCATGAGAACGAGGATATTCTCTATCCGAACCTGTTCCATGATATCCAGCATGCTACTTCACAACAGGGTAAATCACACAGACGACCCATCACACATAAAGGTTGGTATTAAAGTTCAGGATCAGCTTCAAAGACAGATTCTGGCACCGTCACGATGTTTCCGAAGTTGATGTTCTCAGTGAACCTACCCTGGAGAGACATATGTCAGTGTGGAAGTATCGAATGCAATCAGAACATGGATGGGAACGGACCAGGCTATCATCTTTGTCCTCCAGCGGATACTCCCCACCATACCCGTCCCGCCCGTGACTTGAGTTCGGCAGGGAACATGACAGCTTTGGGCCGCAGCGGATGCAACGGCAGCTCGACGGTCAGTTCACCTGTCAAAAGAGAATCCCATTAAACTTTGCGGTTGACCGTGACAGGCAAAGTGGGTTTTCGGAGTGTTTTTGACCACCCTTGTTGTGTCGTGTGCTCTCCCTGAGAGACCTATCTACGACTGTAGTACGCATACAACCACATATATGTCTTATGTCTGTCAGCCAACCGAACTTGGCAGGTAGGATGAGACCCCTTTTCTCACACAGCGAATCATGCTCGAATGCTGGCAATCTTGGGGGCCATTTGAAGCACTAATCTATTGTCACATGTATCATTCTCTTTTAGATGGATGACGAGAGCCCCAACATCCGTTTCTGAACAAAGCTGAAGATTCTCAACGTTTGTGAGCTTCTTGGGCAGACCAACAATACTGGTTAGTACCCTGGATAGCCAAGGCCATGAGGTGTTGACAAAGGGTGGAGGCTGCAGTGACAACGGTTGTTACTGCAGGCTCAACACCATCGCTGGTGGCATTGATGCCGCCCTTGCAGATGTGCTACTCCTGTTTTGCAGTGCAGGTCGTCCTGTCAGTCACCTCTTAGTAGCTGACTACTGTATGTATGTACTCACTTATTTACAGGGGATAGTCGCAACCTTTTTGCGTAATTATCTTGTCTGGACTTTTCGCGGATGGCCGGAGCTGATAGGACAGGCAGGTAGTTGTGATGGATGTTCCAATTTTGTATTATTACTTGTTGGCTGGCTGCAGGGGATGTGATGATTCGAGGTTCCAACAAAGCTTGGGGGGCATTTGCACCAAGACTAGCAAGATTTGTGTGCCAGTTGGCTGCAGGAGATTGACGACTCACATGGAATAGATCCAATACTTGGTAAGCTAGGCTGTGTGACCAACAAAGTCCACCCAGGGAGGATCCGAAACAGGTGCCTCACCAGTGCTTATTTAGCTGCATGTTAGAAACAGCACTGTCTTGCATCAGAGAGAGACAATGATCGAGTAGGATGCAGGATTCAGGATTCAGGATTGAGGCTGCGAAAACGATCTACACAGGCGTGAGACGACACGATGGGTGCCGTCGAGGGTGTTCAACACCCACTACTAGGAAGAGAAGATGGAGTTACCGCGTGGTCACTCGCAGTGCTGTGTGCATCATTGACCAGGCTTTTGGACAAGCACTAAAAAGCAATGCCTGTTTGTCACGGGGGAATGATCATGCAGACCACCTTGAGTACCTCGCCACGAGTACATGACACTAGTTGGGTATGCGTGGGATAGCGGGTAGCGTAGTGTACGCATTCATACAGCATGCAGGCCCACGGCTGATCAGAGGTGGTTCATGCAGGCTCTCTTGCATAAAGCCAGGCAGTTATCTGGGACAATATGCCAGTAAAGAGGCCTTTGCACTTCTGTCACCTGGTACCTACCTCTCCTTGTGTAACCAACCAGTTGACAGTGCAACATCACAATAGACGGAACGAGCAAAACATGGTAGTTTGAGGCGAGACTTGACATTTCCATGTCAGGCCAGGTGTGGATTTTGTCAAAGATGGACATACGAGGTCTGGAGGCTAGAGGCTGGATGTCGGGGTTGGGGTTGGAAGGGGAACCACACGAGCTCGCTCCAGTCCGTCCCACTCTCAGCGATCATGTCGCTACAGAGTCAACCCTGGCACCCTGGTTTCTAGATAACCAGAAAGCCAATTGCAACACAGTGTACAAAATTAAAATCTCTGTTTCCAACTTCGGATTTCGACCTCTGGTAGGGTTAGGTAGGTACTAAGGTACGGGCTGTTGTTGACAAGAATGCTTACGCAGTATAGAAGACATCGGCGCCATTTGACAAGATCCACATGCCATGCGGTTTTGCCACGAGGGGCAAATACTCCGGATGGAATGCTATACATACATATGTACGTACATATATGGCGCATGAGCCTACAGACATCTTCAACGATGTACGGAGCATACACATATGCACGGCGGAACTGCGGCACAGGTGACAGATCAGAAGCCACAACGCTTAAAAGCGAGCCGCCAGTGACCAGTAACAAACTCCTTAGCCGGCACCTGGAGCCCGAAGTCCCAAGTGTGTTTAGGCCCAGGTCCGGGTAGTTGAAGGCTTCTCCTAGGCGTTGCAAGGGTAAACGTCAGATGCCAAGGCTGCATCCACCCAGTCTGCACGTTGCTGTTTCTCCTTCACACACGTCAATGTCAACACTGAACCACGGAACACTGAACGGCAAACAATGGTAGAGGCGCCTCCTCGGGCTGACCTACCTACCTACATAACGCCGTGCTTTGAATGCTTGTAACTCCGTAAGTAGTACCTACCTACCTAGGTACATACCTAGTTATTATTGGTTCCATGGGACACATGTACCCGCCCGGTACCGCGAAACTCAAGGCCCCAAACTCAAGTCATCAGCCCAAATGGCCCCTGGGCATGCATGCTGCAGATGACTGTCTGCATTGTGCATCTTGCCCTGCACCTGAGTGCCACTTCAACAACACACCCTAGAACCCTGTCTGCATCATGCAATGCACATACTTGCAATGCACATGCAACCACTGTAATACTTGCTTTAGACTCGTACTGACCGAAAAAAGTCCTTTGGGCCTGCAGCCTATGGGGCCCTGTCTGTGGTGGGACATTCGTTCTTGCATTGGGCTCTCATGCAGTAGTCGATTCCTATAGTGGCTCCAGCCACGACATCCTCACCGTTGTATTATTGTTGTTTGGGGCTTGCGAGCCTGCCTAAAAGACGGCATCAAGGGCCAGAACCACTCATCAACATGGAAGCCACGAAGCCGAGAATTACGAAACAGACGCCCCCAAAGTCTCGAGAGTACCAATCTAGTTAGTCCTCACGACACGGCATCCACATTGTTTTATTTTCCTTTTCCCCCTTTGGCTCAAAGTAGTCATCTGGACACTTGGTTTGCTAGTTACATACTCGAGGGTCGCTTGGACGAAATGGTGACATTGGTAAATGTTGCAAAAAGGGCCACGAGACGCGCCAGGCATCGTCCAAGTGACCTAAGAAGATGTTGGTGCCCAACTTGAATGCACCCAATTAAGTCGAGAGTTCCAGCTTTTGAAGGTTGTTGTCAAAACGCCTGGATAAATTCATCACTAGCGGATCTACTTAGGATTGTCGACCGAGAAAAAGAGCTAAGAGGTGAGAGGCAAAGTTCACGATACCTGTCAAGATGAATCCGATGTCTTGAATTTGAGCAAAGCATTGGCCCAAAATGGCAGGATCTACATTGCTTGCAACGGTTTGCCAGAAAAGTCAAAGCAAGAACCCGAGGTAAACCAATCCCAATGACATCCGAACCTCGAGGTACAACTGCCAGACTGGTATGGACGTGTCCATGGTTCGTTCCATGTCGTGTACCCTGGCACATGACTGTGTTTTCGGACATTTGCAGCTCTGTCAAGTCACCTGCCAGACGTCGTCTGTGGGGGGTTCGGAGGGTCGCCTGGGGCGCCTCGGGCTGTCTTCAGGCGGCGGGAACGGAGGGGCGAGTGGGAGCGGTGTCAGATGTCAAGAAATGAAAATCCTCCCATCACCTTTACTTACCTACGGAGTACAGTACCTCACCGTCTCTCTCACAGTGCCCAGTGTCCAGCCGCCTATTTTTGCACAGGATGTACTTTTACGTAGAAAAGTACCTAGGGAGGTACCTACGTACATCATGCATCAGTACCTTAGTGTACCTACCGAGCCACCTAAGTAAGTAGTGTATGTACCAGCAGTAGTCAGAAGTAAAAGGACTACGCATGATTTTCTAGTGGCTCAAGCCTCAAGCCTCAAGCCTCAGGTCTGAGGGGCCCCATGCATGCATGACTTGGAGTTGCTCGCCTCGATCTACCTTGCATCTGATCTCCGAAATGGCGGAGTCGCCCGCCGCCCGCCGCCTCGTGGTTTTCCAGTCCCATACTCCGTAGTCCCATGATCCCAGCCACAAACCCAACCAGAGCCTACCTAAAGCAGACCCAACCGTTGGGTTCTGGTCTACTGTAGGTAAGGCTATGCGTAAAAAGGTACTTGGATTAATAACGCTTTGCTAAAGGTACTCCTTTTTTATTCCGTCAAAACACACATTTAATATCTGGGTTTACAAAAAAAAGCTGATGGATGCGGGCGGTTCTTATAAGTTGACAATCTACAGTCTACAATCCACGAGTGAACCACACCCTGACAAGTACACCCACAGCCCATCTTACTTAGACGAACAAGTCGAAAGAACAACTACTCCGTACTGTACAACTACGGCTAATCTTAGCGCATGATTGGGGATCACTGGGGTCACTTACTGGGATCTACCCACCAGCCCCGTCTGTCCATCTACGCATCTCCCACATCTCATCTCCATTCACATGCTTAGGATCGTCCACACCAACGAATCGTAGACTTTTCTTTTTCCACGGAACCTTAACCGCCCGGTTTGTTTGTTGCCGTTGCGACCAGTGCGAGTCATCCAACAGCCCATCTCGCTACCAGATTTTCCAGCCTCGACTGCCGGATGACCTAATTTCTCAACCTCGCCTGCACAATTTTGTTTGTTTCCATGGGGGCCATGGTGCTGCCCTACCGTGGCACTGCCTACTTGGTGCATTGTTTCAGTGATCGGCTAGAAGGTACTCCCTTGACGGACGTATTTCGCATCTACCCGATATGGATGCTCTTGATCTTGATCTTGATTTTGACCTTGATTTTGACTCCCGCGGGCTATACGCTATTGCCCAGAGAGGCTATCGGAGGCGACCACCAAGTCCTATCTAGGTAGGTACATAGCCATGTGCACCAAAGACTGTTGTGACTACTCTTGCCTCGCTACCGGACAGAAGATTTGATCCGCTGAACACAAACTCTCTTAGCACCGTACGGAGTACATTCCAATTCCCAAGGTTGGTTGTAGTGGAGCTGGATCCGATGGGCGATGGCGAATTCATCACTCAAGCCACATTTGCACTTACCGACATGTCATGCAGCCACGCTATCCAAGGGGTGTTGTGCGTGATAGAGGATGCGTGATAGAGGATGCGTAATTTAGATAGAACTATCCACCAGTCACCAGCCATCCTTACTGATCACTTGATTACCCCTCTCCCCTGTCCGTGGAGCTTCGTCAAGGCGCTTTGTGCCAAGGCTCCGTGCTTATCCAGAGAAAGCCTGGCCTGACTGTCCTAACTGTCCTAACTGTCCACCAACACAGTCAGGACGACTCGCTGAATCGCGATGATTTGAAACTTTCTCGCCTTATTCCACCGAAATGCATGTACATACAATTGGATCATCGAGCTGCAGACCATTCTAGGCGCTAGAACAGTATACCCACTCATGATGATCCTATTCTGTGAGAATCTGGAAGATCACTGGTAGCTTCATCGGCATATATTTCTCTTCGGCGACCGTCATTTTACTCGGGCTTTTTCTGGAGATTTGTTTTTGCTTCGACTTGCCCAATCGCCCGTCGAGACCGGCTCACTCAGTGGTTGGCAACGGCGGTTGACGACCATGTTGAGTGCACCTGATGAACTCTGGGAATCTTCCATGTCTACCATTCATTTGCTACCGAGGTCTCGCTTCGTCGTATCCGTCAGCCACCCGCCCTTGCATTAATTTCCTTCACCGCTCCCCCTGGTCTTGCTCGTCTTCATCGAACAGATCTCGGAGAGCGACTGGTGAAGCGGTGAGTCTTTCCGAGATACTGGCTCGGGGACGCCTGCTAGCCGACCGCTCTGGTGCTCAGAGGCTTCACTGCACATCTGCCACGCCCTGGTCGTGCTGCGCTCCCCAGCTCAGAAAGACGCAGAGGATAGGGGAACTTTGTAAAAACAAGCAAGGTATATTGCACATTAGAGCTCGTGTCTCGTGGATATACATACATATACAGAAAGTACAGTGACCGCCGAGATGGCTGATGTTCCAATCGCCAAAGGAAACCCCTGTCCCCGGACCATGGACTCGGTTGGACCGCCCACCGCTTCGCCGTTGTGTATGTAGGTGTCCAATGCCCTATTCCACATCTCCAGTCAATTTGTCTCAACGCCACAGATATACACATAGATATCTCTCCCTCTTATGATTAGGTAAATAAACAGTCTGTTCGGGGTATCTTGCAGATGCAATGCACTCAACTTGGGCTCAAACAAAAGGAAAAGAAAAGTCGGTTCACCGTCGGAACGAGGCGTGGGGTGGCAAAGGACGACGCGGCCGACGCCGACCGTCTTGTCTCGTATCGTCTCAATTCCGACTTTGTGTGTTTTGTGGATGGGTTTGGCAAAAGTGTGCCGTGGGGTCGACGTTTCGAGCATCGGAATCTGATTTGGTCATTTCATCATCTCCCGCCACTAAAATGTGGGGAACGCTGCGTCTCTGAGGTTGCCCTCATGGTCGTCATTGTAGGTACAATCATGTCGTAGTCGGAACCTTCATCCCATCCTTCCTGCTGGGAATCGGTCCATCATTTGTTTCAACTCTAGGTCTGTCTATAGCCGTCTCGGCGGAATGGATCGTAAGACTGTGACCGTGTCACAGAGGGGTGGTGTGGTGGAGCAGGTGGTAGGCTTCTCGGGGGCGGGTACTGCATGTTGGGAGGCGGGAGAGATAGAGGCATTGACGGTCCAGACGTGTAAGATGCACCGTAGCTCAACGGCGGCGGCGATTGCGTAGTATGAGTCGCCATAGATGGTTGATAATCGCCCGTCCGCCGCCTCCGCGTCACCGAACCTTGCTCCGAATCATTGAAAGGCTCGTCCTCGCCCGAGAGGTGGTCTGAAAGCACCGATGCCGAAGTATGAACTCGTCGAGCTCGGGGTGGAGGAGATCGAGGTCGTGTGCCCAACTGAGACAGAGGGATGTGACGCTGTGCAAGATCTCGAAAATGATTTCGTTCAGCCAGATAGAAATCTCGCTCTTCGATCAGTTCACGGAGCTCCACCTGTAAACCGGCAATGGTCTGAGAAGCTTCCCTTTCCTTTTCCTTTCTCCGCTGTCGAAAACGAGCCGATGCTCCAGCATTACGCTTCCTCTTCTCATCCGCCACTTTAGATGCATTTTGCAAATCCATCTCCACTGGAACTACCATCGGTCCATGAGCTGTGTCTAGCGTCATCTGATAACCGGCCGGCGGGGGCACCTGATAACCTTCATGCGGACCGTGCGCCAGGTGATCAGCACCGTACCCACCCAGAGAACCACGCAAGGGTGCGCCGCTGGGCGGGAATTGTGGCGGAGGTCTATAGTGGTAGTTTGGAGAAGGATTTTCGAGCTTCAGATATGGAGTCTGATGGCTGCTGGACGGCTCAGATCGAGGGGTCGAGGCTAGGTCCGGTCCGCGGTTCGAATTTTCATGGGCATGAGCCGATCGAGGGTGATTGAGTTCCCGAGACTGAGGAGCCAGCACGTTGGAACCTGTGGCTATTGCCAGAGGTGGGAGAGGGGGGATGTCAGATGACCGGTGAGGTCCCGGTTCGGCGGTATAGGTCCGTCCTCCGGGAGTGGGTAGATGTTGTAGAGGCTGGATCTGGGCATGAAATGAGGGATTTCTTCTCGCGCCTAGACTCGCAGCACGCAGAGCAGGGGATTTGGGGGTGAGAACTGGTCTTCCCATGCGGGCACCTGAGGGAAAGTCGTGATCTCTGACCGGAGAACGTGCTGAGTCTGTCCGTTTTCGACTTCGAGGTGATGCTGCCGGTGCAGGTAGCCGAGCCTGTGGGCGTGGAGCAAACTCCAGACTGGAAGGAGGTGGAAGTCTTGTCCGCGGACTCTGCCTCTCCTCGTCGTCTCCTGGGGGATTGAGAATACTTTGCACCCCAAGACCTCTAACAGAGGGTTGAGAATACGGTCCAACCGTAGACGGATGGTCCATTGGACCGGCAAGACTCTCGGAGGATTGTTGGGTCAAGGATCCACCGCCATATACTCCATGAACTTCGGACTGGGCCACATTTGCTGTGCTTGGGCGCGAAGACGCTGCGCTCGGTGCCGAGGCGGGAAAATAAGAAAGAGATCCCTGAGTGACGGACGAGGTTGTCGAGGGAAGGTCTGTGACTGGGGACTGTTGTGACATGTACTTTTGTGCCTCGTAGTTCGGCTGGGAGCCCAGTCGCGAACATGGAGGTTCTTGATGCGGCACTCCTCCGCTGTCCCTCCTCTGCCGGTCGTGGGCACCTGTCCCTGTTCCCGGGCGGTGGTGATTGGGTTGATATTCCCAGGGTAATTCGTAATGGCCTGTGTTTCCAGGCGGCCTGGGGTATTGGGGCAGAGGAGAGATGCCGACTGCGAGAGCCAGGGTGGCTACCGGTGTGGGCTAGAGAAGTCAGGGAGAGCAAAAGAAAGAAGAATCAGAGTTAGAAGCAGTGACAGGCAGGGCAGGGCAGGTCAGGGTATGTGTCGAGGGGCGGACTTACAAGAGCAATTCAGGCGGAGGTGGACGTGGAGGTGGTGATGCGAGGGGACCAAGTAAAGAGGCACGAGAGGCAGACTCGGCACCAAGGTATGCGCATTCCAGGACAGGAGCAGAAGCATGCGTTGTGGAGGAGGTTGAGCGAGTATCAGGAGGGAAGGCACGGCGATTCGTGGTGGGAGTTGAAGGGGCGGCAAATGAGAGTCATTAAACGCTGTCTCCAGCTATGAGAGGTCTGGATGGAGACGGAAAGAATGAAGCCAGGCAGCGGCAGGCAAGGCGAGATGGCAGAGGACCAGGGAGATGAGGTGCCTTGGGTCGACTAACTTAAGGTAGCGTGAGGTCAGCTCGTAAAGAACATTTTGATGAAATCACAAGCAAGTACCTTGGTAGTGGTAAGCAATGGAGGGTATTGTATCGTGGAGGAAATTCCTGGAAACGGGGAGCCGGGAAAAGAGATGGCAGTGTCATGGTAGCGATGGAGGATGTGTTCGAGGCTTCTAGCGCATTGTCGAATTTGATCGACCTGGTCCGGTCAAGATCTGAGCAGGAGGCTCAGCATCAGCAGTAGGAGGAGCAGTAGCGGTAGCTCACAGTGGAATCATTGGGACTAACGCGTCGAAGCCAAATTATCTCATCAGTGGGCATGTCAGTCCTGGATGTTGGGTCCTGGGTCCTGGGCAGGCGTTGGCAGGTTGGTAGGTGGATAGACGATAGAGCCCACGACATTGGACAGTTGACAGGGAAGATGAGGATGCTACAGATGGAAAAGAAGGGAAGTGGACCGCCCCGTCTGCCCTTGCAACAAGCTATGACCAGCTGCAAGCATGATCGCGCGGAAGTGAGTGGTCACTGTGGTGCACGCACTTTGAGATTTGCACAGGCACTTACAGCCCGGCCTCTTAGCATGGTGCTAACCCATCGGTGGGAGAAGACCTGCACGACCTGGCACCATGGCACTTGTGGCACTCCTGGTCAAGCGCGTGATGGCACCACCAAGCGGGATCATGACAGCGCTGGGCACCAACGTGATAGTCCCGGTTGGGTTGACATGGGCATGATGTGACGCGTACGGATCCCGGGGGGGCCCTGCCCCGTGCATGCAGAGTGATCTCATGCGGTTTAGAGTCAGGGCTGTCGCTTGAAAGTCGCCAGAACCGGGTTGGAGGGGAGAGGGGCGAGGGGGTAGAGGGGGGCCAACGGGGGCCAGGGAATGAGCGAGCGAGGAAGCTTCAGAGGACCGAGAAGCTCCGTCCGGCACCCCTGTCGCTCGTAGCTGCTTTGGGGCAATACAGGGTGAGGCACTGGGCAGTAAGTAGACACCAACAACAGCCCAGGTACTTGGGAAGTACTCGTACGGAGTGCTTCCACGGCGGGATGGACACCCAACTCCATGCATCTGTGTCCAACAACTCTGGAACTCAGTGGGTTGCATAAGATCCACCTCATCCCATGTGAAGGTGGGCCGACTGATGCGCCTCTAGTCCATGGTCATTGTTGACGGTGACATTGTGACATTCTAAGTTTGGGTGACAGAAATATGTGTCCTCCGTAGAGATGCCTCAGGGCTTGGGATAGAGAGGGTGCGCCTTGGACGTGGGACAGGATCAGCGGTTCCAACCATGGACAATGCACATACTCCGTATTCCAAAGTGCATTACTACATTCGGCCAGGATCTCCGTCTGCCAGGCAGCTTGTTGGTTTGGCTGGTTTGGCGTTTGGTGTATGGCGTTTTGGCTGTTTGAAGCGGAGCGGGCAGAGCAGTGGCAGACATTTGACAGGTGAACAGGGGCCGAAAGTCTATGCGTATGGCCGGAGGAGAATGCAAGCTGCAGCATGTCAAGCATAAAGCCTATCTGTGATGACGAGTGGACCGCTGCCAGGGTTTTATTACTCCGTAGGTTCTATTGTTCTCGTTGAGCCGCTGCCAACTGTCAACTGCCACCTGCACATGGTCCAAGCATGCCAGACAGGCTACGGCATGAAACCACATAGGCTACTGCCTAATGCCTTCTTACTGCATACAACCTCGAACTCGATGTCAAATCTATATCCATGCGCAAACACCAGGGCAGCAACTTCTATACCTTGGTCAGGCTCTCCTCTATGTTCTTATTATTCTATATTACATATCACTGTAGAACTGTAGTACTCCGTACTGTACCCTTACGGTGCTCGTATGCGGTGTGCGTATTCGTAGGTCCAAGTAGTGTGCAGACCCGAGGACCGAGTGCCCACCACCTCTTGGCAAACCCGCAGCAGGGGATACGAAGCGTAAGTAGCGGCGTCCCAGCAAGCAGGACAGGCCCAGCTCTCTGGGGTGGACACGAGCAAGTTGGCGGCCGAGACTGGAGCATTGGGGCGCTGGAGCAGTGTGTGCAGAGCCGGTAGACAGTGGCAGTCCTCTAGCCCGTTAGTGTCTGTCCACATGCCCAAGTAGGCCAGACTCCAGGGACCAAAAGGCACCAAAAAGGCACTGTGGCACTCTGGCCGCGGCCCCACTGAGTCATGCCCTGATGATTGGATCGCGGCTCTTCAGCCATCTCGGCTGGATCAGGCATCAGTGCTCCCGGCGAGGTCCAATGCGAACGACTTGGATTGCATTTGCTCAATCCCCTCTTTCGATTCGTCGTCTCTGAAATTCTTCCTGCTCAATTTATCTATTCTGAGCAGTTAAATGATTGTGCGAATTTTGCGCCCTATGAGGCCAAAGGCCAAAGCGAACCCCGAGAAGTGAGGCGTCCAGACACATCGCCCGTCACCTTGGCTCCCGCTCTTTCGGACGCATTCGCTTTCTCCTTTTGGTCGTCCTCCGTGGATCACATCGATGATGCAGTTGCGTCTGTTGCTGCATCACATCGAGCGGGACCAGGTGGCCAACAGTCCACATTCCGTCTTGAGCATTGGCAATGTAAGCGATCGCGACAACAACGATGATGTTTTGCATCAGCATGTGATTTGTCGTTTCAAAGACAAAACCTTCCAAGTCTGTGTTGTGTGTGTACTTGCGGCAGGTCTGGAGCGGACAAATTTTACAATTCCAAAACATTAGGAGAGGCGGCCGGTGACCTGATCGGTTTACCTTTTGAAGAGAGTATCGGCACGCCGGCTCGACTAGCTAGCACTGCCAAGGCGAACATTGAAATGTTTCTGTGGTCGTCCAAGGGACTTCCGTAAGCCTCCTCGTCCCCTTCGCATACGGCCTACAGCCTTAGCAACCCAGATATTGGTGGAGATACCTGGTTCCCAAGTACACTGGCAACTTCTACAAGTCATGATCGTTGTTACACAGTTGGATGGCCTTGCAGGATTCGTGACATTAACAACAACATCTGCATCCTGACGATCTCGTAGACCACTTTCTTTATGAGATATCGCCCCAGATGTGATGCGAGCTCAAACATACTGTTCAGTACTGTACAGCACTACCTATCAAGTTGACCAACCACATCAGCCCAATGAGACCTGTCACTTGTCATTTATTTTGCCCTTATTTATGCGGCTGCCGAATACCTACCCGTAGTGCCACAGTGCCACAGCTCCATCTCCATGCACCTCGCTCCGCAGCCCGAGTCCTGCAAGTTCATCAATATTGCAAAGAGTTGACTCTCACGCTATCATGACATGCTTGCCTCTATCTGGGATCATCAAATCTTTTCGTCCTCCATCGCCCAGCCATTCCGTCATTCGAGAGTATGTCACGGGGCAGAGACTTTTGGCTGCTGATAGGCAACCAGATTCACGACATGATCCAAATACTCCTTGACCGTCATTCGTTGGGTCCGGTAACCTCCGGTAGCCAAGCAGGACACTACACTGATCAACCGAGATTCCCGCCAAAATTACACCATCCTTCTAGCCTGCCACTTTAGAAGTCCAGTGTCGAAGGTGGAATGTCTTTCCAATTGGTCAACCATTCCAGAGTCGTAGACGAGACGGTGAGTGTTTCCCATGGTTACGCCGGTTCCACTGCGCCATCCCACAGGTGATTACAAAATCAATCACAGCAATAATCGACTCACCAGAGTCCAAGTGAGGACATCAAGGCACAATTTCCAGAAGGTGCCCAAGATGGAATCTTTGGTCCGCCAATCAGATTTAGATTGTCACCCACCCACAGTGTGGACCATCGACTTTCCTTTCAAACCATGTCAAACAATCAGTAGGGTCATGTCCCGAGAGTTGAGACGACTGTGAAGTCAAAGTTGTACCTTTAGGTGGGCCGTGCTCGTGATGTTGCAAGGTGTGGGATTATTGCACCACGAGAGCTGCTCAACGTCGGTAACCTGCATGTCCCTTGCATCGCTAGACGATGCAAGCATATCCACACCTGTCAGTGAAAAATCACCCCACACCACCCAGAATCCAGAAACGTAGAGTGGTGGGATGACCACCAGGTCCAGGATTTATCCCACCGCTATCTTGTCTGTTGCACTACCTGCAACCTGCGACGGGGTCAACGCTGTTTGCGAGCTCCTTATCGAAAACTCAAAGATGTGTTGTGAAGCTCCAAGTATCTAACGGCTGAGAGTGCCACCCCGAGGTTGCTAAGATACTATATAACTTGAACAACTGAGGGTATCAATTAAAACAAGTCCGCGTTATTGCTTGCGACAAATTGTTTGGCTTCCTTGAGCCGCCCATGGAAGATAAAGACGTAATTTCATGTCGATCATGGATAGTTAATTAGGATTGATCTTATCATGTTCCAAGCCTTTAGAAGTCGATTCACCAGTCAGCCACGAGAATGATTCTGATCATCGTCTGGGGTGATTGTACAATCTAATCTGCTTGAGCCAGCCACACCTTCCCACAATTGAAAGACGTGGTTGCAAAAGTGGGATTCTTGGCGCGATTGTTTCACGTGATTATCCCCACCATGAAATCTGCAGCTTGCTCCCCAAAGCAAAGCACAGGCCCCTCGGCCTTGCTACAGCATCAATCGACACACCAACGCCATCGACTAGGCCCATTGTATGTACATACTCCGTACTTCAAAACCCACAGACTCAGGACTAAAGTACCTGGCATGGGTCGAGGCCGCTCGGTCATCACTTCTCACGATTCCCCATACGATACCGCCATACGGATCACCTACGCACGCATACCTATACGTACTCCGTAGATGCGTTCTCCAGCCCCACGACACATCAAAGAAGACAGAGCCGAACACCGAGGTTGCCACCATCTGGGGGGCACTGTGCTACTGTACTGTCAATCATGACGTCGATCCAGAAAAACCATCAGTCCTCACTTCTGATTATGTACACAAATTCCACTACTCGCACCAACGACGAGGGTAGGGCAGAGTCGACCCAGAAGAGTTTGCTCCCGACCCATGCCGAGAGAAAAGAAGAACGTGACGTGTATTTCCTACAGGCTACAGACACCGACACTCACAACACACACAGGGGTAAATGGTTATGGGCGGCCCGAGGGCCCAACGCCACGTGGAGAGAAGACTGTTGTAGCACCCTCCACAACCCTGCAGCCCGGTCCCGCGGGACTTAGTAAATGACGCCGCCGAGCCGGATGACCATGCCCGACAACAATGGGGACCGAGTAGGCAAATGCTCCACTCCGTCGGGAGCCGGTCACTGCCAAAATGTTGCATTACCCTTAGCCTGACCAATCCTTCTACTTACACCCTGGACCTGGCCAAGTGCTAGGTGAAGCGAGGCAAGGCTAAAGCTGATTTTCTTTTGACCCCGTTATAACGATTTTGGAGTAGCATCTTCTTATTTATCCACGCAGGCTTCTACGTTCCGTGTCCGAGCACACCAACTGGGGCATGGGGGCCAAATTGCGTCCGTAGCCGGTCGCTCTAGAATATGGAGTTGCATGTCTTGGACTCCTGCAGATAGCCTACCAGGTCGATCCCTCAGTCCCAGCTCTACTACACCCGACGAGTGCCTGCAGCTTGACTTGGAAGCGAGATCAACCCTTGACTGGACTGGGGAGCAAACAGACCGTGTTCACTTCTGTTCCTGCGCCGCCGCTATGCTTGAGCATGTATGCATAACAATATGAAGGTTAGTTTCTGGGTCTGGTTGCAGCGAGCATGAACGAGCATGAACAGGTTCTGCGAAACCGCGCAGTAGCGCAAAACGGTTGTGCATTGGGCCAAGAACAATAATAGGGATCGTCCTTTGGTTTCAGGCCAAGGCTTGACGTTTATCAACACTAAGTTACTGTTCGACCCTCTTGGACCTGCGCTACGAGTGCTCGTCTTTCTTTGTTGTGTCAGGTGTGTGTCGAAACAACTCCGCACAGCCACAAATGTTGTGAAACGTTTCACGAACACAAGTCACGGAACCCAATTGTACTGCCCAAAACTGGTCAAACCACTGTGGCAGGTGAGGTGAGAAAGCATCTTCTGTCAGTCATCACAATCGATCGCGCATGAGCAAAAGATCAATACCCACGCGGGCCAGACAGTTTGTGTCGCAAGCTCAAGCTTAAGTCCGAGGCCAAGGTTGCAATATTGTTGCTGTCTCGAATCACGGAATTATTGTCATGTTGCATCACAAGTGGATGGTTCACCGAACTCGAACTCGTTACAGACCAGAATTACTCGTCTTATGCTAAGGCTGTTTGGATTCGGCAGCAATTTACCGGGTTACGGAAAACGTGACCTCCAAGTCCTGTGGCAGGCGATGATTCGAGAATCGACAAAGACTTCTACGAAATTACCGAATACAATCAAACCGGAGACAAGGTGGCCAGCGAGAAGGGGGATCCTGGACCGAGGCGGCCTAGAAAACCCCAATCGAGGCTCCCTGTCACGGCTGTATTGAGCAAGGCAGATCCCGGGCTGGGAAACCCTAGCAATCTCACATTGTTTCTCGCTTGTTCAATCACCACAGGTATCACCGCGGGCAGCAATGAAAAAAAAGGACGACATGCAGACGCCTCATTTCGCTAGTTGTATCGCGTGGCCAGGTTTTGCAGCCTTGTTCAGACATGGCCGCGGCTGAACCCTGCTCTTTTCATGGTGAATTGGGCCGCAACATCGCTGACTCGACGAGGTAATTCCCTGATTTTTTTTGCATCGCCACTCTTGCTTGTCTCCCGTGCCTGTTGTTGATCACCTGCGCACCGAACAGGATAGTCCATCACCCAAGCACATATGGTCCTCATAAAGGGGTTTGATCTGGTGTGATCAGAAGAGGATCGCCGTTCTATCTCGTGCCTTTGAGTTGGCCGTGTAACCAAACCAGTGTGATTTTGCGAGAAAGTCACAAATTGCTCACTCCCAGGATCGTTCAGCCCAAGCGAACGCGGTATTTCGGCATGCCCTTGATTCCAACATCAACCTTGAAGACATTGCCGGCAAACAGGGCTGACTCTGGGTATTTGTCAGGCTCAGCTTCCTTTGCGCTGGTGATGTACAGTTCGGTGCCTACAAAGGTTGGACAAGTGATGTTACGAGTGGGCAGGCGGATGACGCCGGTGATTTGGCCAGCTGGCGAAATGCGGATGACCTTGAACCCACCGTAGCAGGCATGCCATATATTGCCCTCAACGTCCATGGCGTGTCCGTCCGGGAAGACCCCTGGTTCGTCGAGGTGGAAGAAAACCTTCTTGTCCGACACGTTGCCTGTTTGGGTGTCATAGTCAAACTGATACACCTTTTGGTCCGGCGAGTCAGTCAGGAACATGGTAGTATCTTGGGAGTTCCAGGTGATGCCATTTGGAATCGTCATATTGGCGTGTACCGTCGTCAAGGTCCGGTCATGGTCAAGCCGGAACAGCACGCCTGCCTTGGTGGGTTCGACGATTTCCGGATCGTCAAAAGCCTCCACCCAGAACCGGCCTTGCGTGTCAACCGCGCCGTCGTTGGATCTCATTCTGCAATCTCTGGTAAGTCTCGGCGAGCCAGGGAAGGGACAGATGGGTGGCCTTGAAGCCATTCGAACCTGGTCGTCTTCTCATGAGCATCCGGCCCGTGCCAGTATTTCGCTACGTATTCGTGTTCTCCCGTCTTGAGATTGAACTTGGTCACTCCGTCTTTGGCGCCGACCAGGATCGTCTCTGACGAGTCCACCCCTTCAATATTGGCTGTCACTCCAATGGGCATCTGAGTGTCGATGACCCTGATCGATTCAGGCCCCTTGTGGAGATCGATCAAGTACATTTTTTTGTTGTTGATATCCTAATTTTCCCACTTGGTCAAATTCCGACTAGACTGGCCGGCGGGTCAACGGGGAAACATACTTGAAATCGAAGTTCGTGCCGCTCTTCAGAATAGTAGGGTCCTTCGCCGAGACTACACTTTGTCGGAGCATAAGCCTGAAAGAGGTCAGAGAATGGGTCATGTCATTGAAACTCGGAGGAGCCGTTTCCTTCCTACCTCTGTAACGGTCCACTCTTGAATCTCCATCGTAGCCGTGTAGCCGTGATTATGGAATGAATGGAATTTCGTGTCGTGTCGTGTCGTGCGGGTCGAGAAATCGGCGTGATCGAGTCGTTCGATTTCGTGTCTAAAGGATGACTTGACTTCGAAGCGGATGAGGCGCTTGGGAATTGCAGTCTCTCTCGCCTATGTTTGCGGAAAATTAATGATGTTATGTGCAAAGAGATTAATGATTCCGAAATTCCTGGAATCTGATCAATGATGACGAGCTTTCATGTACGAAGTACAACACGTCATCAAGGGAACACAATGTAACACAACAGTATTGTGTCAATGGAGAATTGCAGAGTGGCACAAGTTGACGTTGATGTTGATGTTGATGTTGATGTTGATGTTGATGTTGATGTTGATGTTGATGTTGATGTTGATGTTGACGTTGATGTTGATGTTGATGTTGATGTTGACGTTGTTGATGACTTTATGCCAAGACCTTGAGTATTTTATTTTATCTCATCCAGTGAATTCGAAGTTTCCATCACTCAAGGATGTTGGCATCGAGAGCATTAAATAAATACTACGGTATGATCAGCTGTCAATGGGTCAATGGACTTCCGTCACTAAATTGGTCAAGTGGAATCAACCCACTGCTTTTAGGCAAAGATGCAGAGTATCATTTGTCTGTGAGTTTGTGATTATCTTGGTCTCAATAGCCGAAGATGTGCCGGCTTGGTGGATATGGATGATCTATGGAACTTCTACGGCTTGTTGCTATCATTCCATGCGCTGTACGTATCAATGTTCTCTTGACTGCTCTGTCCGGTGTTTCCGGACTATGATGGAAACGATATATCCTAGACGGCTGGCTCTTGCCTATTATTGCGCGCCATCGGTCCATCCACACAGGCACACAGTGCGCGAAGGATAGGTGCGATCCATTCTCCTCGTGGGGAGGAATTCTCCAAATCTGTTCCTCTCTCTGTTCCTCTCGGTCGAATGCACACTCAGCTTTCTGCCTCGTACAAGCTCTTGCGTATTGGTAATTTCATGTTCGTGTGCCAACGAGAGCAGGCTCAGTATAGAGGATCAATCAGACACGAGGACGCGATGATTTTCCCGGTTGATCGAATATGGTTGATCGAAAGGTGCGAATCCTGTCTTTGACTTGCACTCTGAATAAACGCGAGTTCGAGTGATCCGATAACAATGTTGGACTTTCTGAAACCCTTGTATTCAATTCTGCGGGAGGTCTGGGTGGTTCAGGTTCCTATACTTTTACCACTGAAGCGAGGAATGCCTTGATGGCTTGGTTCATATCGCCGTCGTGGGATCTTAGAAGTTCTGTGGCTTTGACCTTGGTCAATTCCAATTCCTCAACCTAGGAAAGGTGTCAGTCGAACGATCCACCAACTTGTACAAGGCTTTGACTGACCAGAAAGTTAACATCATCTGCAGCCACCTTGATCTTCTTCTTGACTTCCACTTCCTTCTTTGACTCGGCTTTCTTGCTGTCGTCCTTTTTCTTGCTTACGCCACTAGCGATTTCAAGTCTTGACATTGCCTTGCCCAATGCTTCCTGGTCTGCGGCGGAGGGTTGTTTGTTGGCTGACTCTCCATTCTCTTGTGACATGTTGTTTGCATTTAATGCGTTGAGGGCGGCAGCGGCCTTGCGGTCCTCTGCATTTGCGGGGAGGTTTTGCGTGGTTTCATCTTCGGCGGCGTCTGCAGCTGCCGAGGCAGACGGTATGGGCTCGGCCATGTTGGGACGGGTGTAGACCTTGAGGTTGGAGTCCTAGGTATTGTTCGAGTCTTCGATGATCGTCTGCGTCTGATGAGCTGAAGGGACAAAAGAACCAAACATTTAACACCAGAAGTCAATCCGAGCGGATGCCGGAGTTTATGCGAAAAGGCTTGGCATTCAACCTCCTCCACTAGGCCCTCGAATATCATTTTTAGAGTCATCAAACGATATATCAACAACCACACAATATTTCGCTCCTTGCTTCATTGAGCTGTGTGCCTGGCTGCCTGGCTGCCTGGCTACGTGAATCGAGCCACAACAAATCTCAATTAGAACAGGAAGCACAACTTCTATAGCCCCTGAGAAATCCAAATATCCGAGGGGCTAAAGGATTTGAGTCATATCATCAAAATTCTCAGCAGCAAATACTTCGAAAATGGCCACCAATGCCGACACCAAAGCAACCTGGTCTCCAGCTGGCTGGAGAGACATGCCAATCGTCCAATCAGTTGAATATGAAGACCAAGAATCCTTCCAAAAGGCCATTACCAAACTCAACTCACTACCCCCTTTGGTCACGCCACTAGAAATCGTCAAGTTGAAGAATGAACTGAGGGAAGTTGCCCTGGGAAATGCCTTTCTTCTACAAGGTGGAGATTGTGCCGAGTTGTTCGACTACTGCAACCAAGATATGATTGAGGCCAAGGTCAAGCTATTGCTGCAGATGTCATTAGTTTTGATTTACGGTGCCAAAAAGAAGGTCGTGCGCGTGGCTCGTATGGCCGGCCAGTATGCCAAACCCCGATCTTCACCAACAGAGACAATCAACGGTGTCAAGATGGCCAGCTTCAGAGGTGATATCTTGAACAGCTACGAGGCCGATCCCAAGGCTCGAGTCCCTGACCCGACCCGCTTGGTGGATGCGTACTTCCATTCTGCTGCGACACAAAACTACCTCAGAGCGGCTTTGGCTTCAGGAATAGCCGATTTACACGCACCATTGGATTGGAGTCTGGGCCATGTTCGTGACCCACAAGTGCGAGACAGCTACCAACAGATTGTACAGCGCATCACAGATACTCTGGACATGATGCGTACTATTGGACTGGACACAGGCGGTGGTTTGGAGACCGTTGATCTTTTCACCTCTCATGAAGGACTTTTGCTCGAATATGAGCAGTCTTTGACCCGGAGCTTCAAGCATCCGCCCAACGCCAAAGTGCAACAACACACACTCCCTCAGCGACCGAATCAAGCCCGGTCGCGAAACACATCCCTCCCGGCTCACCTTCCTCGTCCAGCAGCTCCCAACCAAGGATTCTACGACACTTCAGCACATTTCATCTGGATCGGCGACCGGACGAGGCAATTGACCCATGGCCACGTCGAATTCTTCCGTGGCATTTCCAATCCCATTGGAGTCAAAGTTGGACCAAGCATGCCGGCATCTGATCTGGTACCTCTTCTTGATATCCTCAATCCAAGCCACGAGATCGGCAAGATCGTTCTGATCACGCGATATGGCCATGACAAGATCTCAACGCATCTGCCAGGCCACATCCGGGCGGTCCAACAATCCCCTCACCGCGGCACGGTGGTTTGGCAATGTGACCCCATGCACGGAAATGGTCGCAACGCCACCGTATCAGTGCCGGAAGCATCTGGCACCTCGACCTCGACTAGCACGATCAAGACTCGTCGCTTCTCCGATATTCTGTCCGAATTACGCCAGGCTCTGCAGATTCACCGGTCTTTGGGCAGTTATCTTGGCGGCGTGCATCTGGAATTGACGGGCGAAGCCGTCACCGAGTGCGTGGGTGGTGCGGAGGAGTTGACTGAGCAAGATCTGAGTTTGAACTATACTACTTTCTGCGACCCTCGCTTGAATGAAAAACAGGCTCTAGAGCTGGCTTTCTTGGTTGCCGGCTTCTACAGGGAAGATGCTGTGCCCGGGAATTCGTCGACCTGACCTGGGCTCTCTTGACTTCCTGTCTCCTGCAAGCGCCTTCTCCTCACGAAGATACCAAAATTCGGAAAAAGTATTGTCTTATTGACTATCGAAATGGTGTCAACGGCAACGAGCCCGCTATGGACTGGATGAACTCCATAGCCTCAAACACCTTCTCATCCTCGTACCTCCGCCCCACCAGCTGTAGCGACACCGGAGCATCCGCATACTTGTCAGGGGAATAAAGTTTATAGTTCCAATCATCCTGGTCGTTCAAAGGCTGATAGCCAACCTCGGCCTTGTCGAGCTCCTGGTCTACCTGTGAAACGGGGAAGATCATGGCCGGATAATCCAGTAGATTCCACTGTGATGTGTAGCCCCAATAACGAGCGTGGCCTAGTGGAGGGGCAGCTCCGGGGCCGACAGGACACAAGATCACATCCACTGGATATCCGTCCTTGCCAGTGTCATTCCACAACTTGGCGTATTCGGCACGATACTTTTCCCGCTGCATGGTTAACTCCCAGACCTCGGTAATGGTATTCTCCTTAACGTTGGGCTGTTCCTTAATGATGAAATTGGTCAATGGTAGCCATGGCTCGCCACTCAGAGCAAGAGCTTCGGTGTCCTGCTTGGCCCCGTCGCCAAAATACATGGAAGAGATGATGTCCCATGCCACATCGTGCTTGTATGGCACCCAATCAACCAGCTCGATCTCGGAGCTGGATTTGAGCTTATCCGTCAACTCTTTCAGGGCACGAATGACGGGAGGATGTGGTTTGACAATATTGTCGCTCCAAAGGACAGCTACTTTGAGCTTTCTGGTTCCATCAGGCTTGGTGAGATAGCTCTCCTTGGGGGGATAAGACCAGGGAAATGGCAGCAAGGAAGGTTCCACAAGCCAGGGCTTCTGGTCAATCAGGGCTTTCATGAAGACATGGCAACCCTCGAGCGACAAGCTCAAAGGACCAATGACCGGGACGATTTGTTCCTGGCCACCCATTGGGGCTGTACATCCGCCCATGGGTAGTCTATAAGACGTTGGCCTGAAGCCCCAGACACCACAATTGGCTGCTGGTGAGCGAATGCTTCCACCAATATCAGTACCGATTCCCATGGGACTTCCCTTCAGGCCGATCAAGGCACCTTCGCCGCCAGAACTCCCGCCACAGGTCAAAGTCCTGTTGTATGGGTTGACAGTCTCGCCGTAAAGGTTGTTGCAGGTTTCAAGATGCATCAAACATTGTGGTTGAGTCGTTCGGACGTACAACACACAGCCGGCCTTTTGCAACAATTCGACAATGTATGCGTCCTCCTCGGCACGCCGGTCAAACCAACCAACAAACCCGCCGTTGAGACCGAGACCTTTGATGCCGATATGCTCCTTGACGCTGATTGGCAAGCCATGAAGAGGACCTATGGGTTTCTTGTTGGTGGCAAGATACTCATCTAGGTATTTTGCCCTTGCAATGGCAGCTTCTGGAAGAACTTCGGTCACACAGTTGGTCTGGCAGGCACAAGTCAATCGAACGCCCTCATATGCCACTGAGCGTGGTTGTGAAGAATGTTAAACAGTGGGACAACGTACAAGCTTCTGTGCAATTCCTGCTCGTCTTAGAAACGCAGTGACGACTTGGACACTACTGAGCTCGCCGGAAGCCAAAGACTTGAGCAGTTGCTCTGGACAAGTCTCGGTGATTTTGGATTCTTCTGGGCTCAGTAATTGTGACGGTAGCTTGGATGTGTTCAAAGGGAGCTCTGATGAGCTGGGGACTTTGGGGACCGCGGGTTCAATGCGGTCTATTGACTTGTCTCGCAGAGATTGTGCGAGGGCAGCAACATCCTGCCAAGGTACTTTGACCATTTTCGCAGACGTCGAGGAGCTGAGTGAATGTGAATGAGAGGAGGGGGTTTCAAAGGACTGAAAGGGACTCGAGGTGGCAGGGTGTACCTATGTATTTATCAGCAATCACCCGAGGATTTCACCTACAAACGCCTAGTCTCAAAACAAACATGGCAGATGGCCAGTATATACAAGAAATGCCCAAGACTGAGCGATAACAGTGTTTGGGCGGCGACTTTGATGTCTGGATGTGTGGACAGCGAATAGGAGATAATTGCCCTCGACCCATCGTTGATGGTGGGGAGGGAGGGGACGAGAATCTCCCTCCTGCCTCCTTATCGTTTATCGCGTGTGGTAGTTGACCCGCCGAGGCAAGAGCGAGTGCACAGCTTACATAAGAACAAGGGTAGGAGATGCCCGTCTAACACGTGACGAGGAAGGAGATTACTCACGTGACACGTGCCAAGAGCCTACTTCGGATCACGTGATAAGGCATCGAATTTCCTCCTCGTGGTCTCGTTAAGTAGTTGATCCCTCTTCACCACATCCATCGAATCCACGACAAAACAAGTCATTCGTAGTGGAACTGCACTGCTACCCCCCTGTTCCTTGTGCTCGTATTTCGCGGAATCATTCCTGCCTCATTTCTGAATGCATGTCTCAGACGTGGCGTGGTCGTAAACCGCCCGCTCATAACCTCACATATCCGCTCAAAGCGACATTTAGAGTTGGCAACGGACAGATCAATTACCTAACATTACCTGAACAATGCAACGAGGCGTCCATGGATCTCCTGCAACTGAGGACAAAACCCCTGTTTAGTTGACACAACAAAATTGCTTCGTCCTCACAAGACTTTCCCTAACCCCAGATTGTGAAGCTTTTCTAGGCTTAGTTGATGGGGGATTCCCCTACACTTGATCAAAACAGGTAGGCTTCGGGAATGTTTTATACTTTTTGAAGAAAATGAGATACTTCAATTGAACGCAGAGTTACATGCGTACCCTTTTGATCGGGTTTGATTACTCTAGGATGCAGAGAACAGGGACGATGAGATGAAAATTTTCACATTGTGGGGGAGTTCGCTCAAGGGTTGACTGTCTGGAGAAATATAAATTTGCCACGATCCCCATGGGGTAGAAAGGAGGCCTCACAAAGAGTTGGCCCTTTGGCTAGGATTGGACTCTCAGAGGATTTCCAAGGTCAAGTGTTCGTCTGCTTTTCTATTAAGCTTCGGTTGTCATCATTACTGCTAGAGATGGATAACGTCCGAGAAGATGGAGCTTCAAGCTCGAGAGCTTCCACCCAAGACATCGAAAAGACACAAGAATCTTACCATGTCGAGGAAAAGGACATGGGCAACGAACATATCGAGGGCAATGCTCTGGCCAAGAAGCTGAAAAGCAGACACATGCAAATGATTGCCATTGGGGGGTCAATTGGTGCCGGTCTTTTTGTCGGCTCAGGAAGTGCTCTTCGATCAGGAGGACCTGCCAGTGTCTTGATCTGCTTCATGATCATCGGCGTCATGTTGCTCTGCACGATGCAGGCTCTCGGTGAACTGGCTGTTCTTTACCCTGTTTCAGGAGCATTTTTCACATACACATATCGTTTCGTCGACAAGTCATGGGGGTTTGCAATGGGCTGGTGAGTCTTTGGTCTCGTATTCTCTCTTCTTTGGTACCCATACCGACCTACCACTAGGAACTATGCCCTCGGTTGGCTCATTGTACTCCCATTTGAACTGACGGCAGCATCCATTACCATCGAATTCTGGCGTACGGATATCCCAATGGCCGTTTGGGTTGCCTCATTCCTTGTCATGTTATGTCTGGTACAGATCTTCGGCGTCCGTGGCTACGGAGAAGTCGAGTTTGTCCTCTCTTGCATCAAGATATGTGCCTGTGTGGGGTTCATCATCTTTGGCATTGTTGTCAATTGCGGAGGCGTCCCCACAGACGATCGAGGTTACATCGGTGCTCGATATTGGCATGACCCCGGCGCGTTCAGAAATGGGTTCCATGGTTTCTGTACCGTCTTTGTCACTGCAGCATTTGCTTTTGGGGGCACTGAATTGGTCGGTCTCGCCGCCGCAGAAGCTGAGAACCCAGCCAAATCGTTGCCCAAGGCGACGAAACAAGTGTTCTGGCGCATCGCATTCTTCTACATCTGCACACTTTTCATCCTGGGCCTGATTCTTCCATCAGACGATGATCAGCTTCTCGGGGCGAGTGGAGCCAACACCAAGGCGTCACCTTTTGTGCTGGCGATCAAGATGGCCGGTGTGCCAGCCCTGCCATCTATCTTCAACGCCGTCATTACAATTTCCGTCATCAGCGTCGCCAATTCATGCACCTTTGCGAGTTCGAGAACGATGCAAGCCCTTGCATGCCATGGCATGGGCCCTCGCTTCCTACGATACATCGACAAGGCAGGACGCCCACTGTGGTGCATTGTTCTCCAGTTGGCATTCGGGCTTATTGCATTCATCGGCGAGGCTAATGCATCCGGCCAAGTCTTCACATGGCTCCTAGCTCTGACTGCCCTGTCGTTCTTCTTTGCCTGGGCCAGCATCAACCTCTCACACATTCGATTCCGTGCTGGGTGGAAATACCACGGGTATTCCGAGCACCAGCTACCCTACCGGGCACTGTTTGGCGTATACGGATCCTACCTGGGCCTGTTTCTCAATTGCCTTGCGCTGATTGCCACATTCTACACCAGCGTCTTCCCTCTTGGAGGAAGCCCTAGTGCCAAGGTGTTTTTCATGAACTACCTGGCCGCTCCCATTGTACTTGCGTTTTATGTGTTTTGGAAGATCTATAGCCGCGATTGGAGTCTGTACATTCATGCTCGAGACATGGACGTGACCAGTGGGCTGAGACCCGGATGGGAGCACATGGCGGAAGAGAAAAGCCTGAACCAACCGACATGGCGAAGAGTGCTTTCGGGGTTCATCTGAACTAGATGCCTAGAAGGAGATATAAAAGTTGAGTGGACACATAGTCAACGATGATAAAATACAGATGATGTACTTGGCACTGCAACACGGATTTGTGACACTTTGACCAATGACAATGACCCCAAAGACTGAGATGAGGTGAAAATGATAGCCTCAGATTGGACCGGCGGTCAAGCACTCGACTCGCAAAAGCCGACTCCCCACAAAAGGACCAGGATCATTCTTTGATGGTGACGGCGATGGGAATATGACGTGATGAGATTCCAACAAGACTGTATGAATATACGAGTACGTCAATGCGATATCGGCATCGGCGCCGCGCCGAGATGGATCTTCCCCTCGATCCAATGCCGCCGATGGCGCCGATAAAGCCGTAATGCTTGTTTTCAATCCTTCTTTTCCGCTTTGTTGGGATATATTCATTCTTGTCTTGATTGTGATCTAGATGTGCATATATGATATTCATTCCTGACTAATAACGAGTCTTGGAATCACTCCCTACTAGCACTACCAATCATCATACTGGTTCAGTCAACGCTCGCACAATCAAGAGTCAACAGGCACACGACCCATGTATTCGGTGAACCAATGAGTACATTGCGAAAAGATAACGATATCGACGACGAGCATCAACAGGCCCGTCAACCATGTCCGCCCTGGTAAAACCTCTGTCTTGGTTCTACCATGAATTCGGAATTGTGTCCATCCACTCCACAGGGCTCAATGCCTACTTGATCATCCTGGCCAGGACGGTGCGCATGTTTGCCTATGGCACCAACTCATTGATCTTAGGTATGCTCGTTCCATCATTCATGGTCTCTTTCTTTTTTTGCAAAAGGAGCATATGAGAGAAATCACAAGACTGCTGCATTTCACGACGACTTGGATGCCTCCTCCTCCTCCCCAAAAAGGAATTATAAATACTAACAATACACGCTCTTCCTTCTAGCCATCTTCTTCTCCTCGTTATCCTACTCAGACCACCAAATTGGCATTTTCATGACCTTGACCCTACTGGGCGATGTGTTTCTCGGCACGTTCCTCACCCTGATCGCCGACCGAGTCGGGCGGCGAAAGGTTCTGCTGAGCGGATCCTTTCTCATGGTCCTCAGTGGCATCGTGTTTGCCGTCTTTGAGAATTTCTGGATTCTATTGCTTGCTGCCGTTCTAGGCGTCATCAGTATCACCGGTGGTGATTTCGGTCCATTTCGCAGTATTGAGGAGTAAGTTTGCAAAGGTCTCCCTTATCTCTCCATCCACGCATCATGCATGCATTCATCGTCTGTTCTACCGGTTCACTACTCAGACTGATTCATCCCAGATCCGTACTCTCGCAATTAACAACGCCATCGACTCGAGCGGACGTACTGGCGTGGTATGTCACCACCTCGAGTCTAGGATCTAGCATTGGAAGTGAAGCCTCAGGCCGGTTCATCCAGGCTTTGAAGAACCGCGACGGCTGGTCCGATGTCGAAATCTACCACTCACTGTTCTGGGTGTATGCAATCATGGGTGTGATAAACGCTTTACTGGTCTTGTCGCTGAGTTCGGCATGCGAATTGCAGTCCAGCGATTCAGCTGAGTCGTACACACAAGTACCTCAGGACGAGAATGATAACGATATTGACAATGATAATGACCGTGATACCCAGCGGCACCACACCTCAGCCGCCCGCCTCGATGAGGCTAATCTCTCCACTCTATCCGATGCAACCACATCACAACCAGGGTGGTGGCATCGAATTCAGTCTTGGTTCTCGACTAGACTGACTCAAATCTCGCGGCCAACACGACATATCATGTACAAGTTGTGGTTTATGTTGGTGATAGACTCACTAGCTGATGGGATGGTGCCGTACTCGCTGACCAACTACTACATGGACACCAAGTTCCATCCGGCCAAGTCGACGCTGGGGGACATCACATCAGTGGCATACTTTTTCGGTGCGTTCGGAGCAGTGTTTGCCGGACCTCTGGCGCGCAAGATCGGGCTCATTAACACCATGGTCTTCACACACGTGCCGTCGTCAGCCGCAGTCTTGTTGTTCCCACTGCCTTCTCGGCTGTGGCTCACCGCGGCCTTGCTCATGGTGCGCGCCGGCCTCAACAATATGGACCAGGCCCCGCGTTCCGCTTTCATCGCTGCTGTTGTCCTTCCTGCCGAACGAACTGCCGTCATGGGCATCACCAGCATGCTGCGCACATTGGCCTCTATGGCAGGTCCTACCCTCACCGGTGTTTTGGCCGCCAACGACCATTTCTGGATCGCCTTTGTCGCTGCCGGAATCTGTCGCTTGGTCTACGACTTTGGTCTCTACGCCTTGTTTGTCAATGTCAAGGTCGACCAGGGTCAAGGTCCAGATGCAGAAAAGGATCATCCCGGATCCAGGCCGAGAGATGAAGAGGACGGCGATATGAGTTTGGAGATGGATAGTTTGGTGGACAGTGAGGACGGTCGTGGAAGCCCAAGTGCCAGTCCACATACGGATCTTGTTGTTGATGACGATGGTAAAACGAGACCCAACCAGCCTCTCTCATAAATGGAATTCAATATGTAGTGGAAAAGCATAGGCATGCCAATTATTTCATTATCCTAGAATGGAATGGACTTCTGTTCCGTCCTACCCAGCCATCAAGATGAATCATCTTCCGCTGGGGTTAGGGTATTGATATGTCTACCTCCATCGGTCACCCAAACGATTACATCCAACTCCTTGGGGACTGCGCCAGGGTAGTATTTTGGCGATTTCGCCAACAACTCTTATTCTGACTTAGTGGGCCGAAATGATGGAACTTCGGCGCCGAGCCACATCCTCTTCCTTGGCCGGAGGACCTTGGTAATTGGCACGACCCCAGATAAAATACCAAGCTGCAGACACAGTCACGCCTCCCACAAACACCACCGAGGCGTAATTCATGGTGTCGGCTGTAGTCGGTAGGTAGGCTGGCATGCTGAAAAGAGGGACGATAAAGAGACACCAAGCTATATCCAAGTTAGTTGCGGGAACAGGATGCCGCCGTTAAAACGGGACTACGATCCAGGACTTACCAATCGCGATGCAATTGCAGATGATGCCAAAGACTCCAAAATCATAGTGACCCTGCGACAAGGCCTTTCGGCCTGTCAGGAGAGACACCAGGATGGGCATGGTGTAACTGATGGTCTGCATCAACGTTAGATTATGCGTGCAAGGGCGAAGTGGTAGACGGATGAGAAATCGACTTACCAGGAAGATGACGCCAGATCCACTGAAAGCGTTGAAGGCAGCGACTGATCCAAAGTAAATCACGCCAAGAATGATCTCGATGGTCATGCAAAGCATCATGGCGTTGAAGGGGACATCTAGTCTGTCGCTGACTGTTTTCCACCATCTTGATCCTGGAATGGCTCCATCTCTGGCAAAGGCCCACGTGGCACGAGAAGATGCTGTAGTACAGCAAACGCCGCAAAGGATCGAAAGGACCAGAATCGGAATTGTGAGCGCAAAGGCACCGCCGTTGTTGCCGATGGAGATCTTGAGAATATATGGCACGGGTGATGGAGCCGCGAGGACGTCTTCGATGGGAGGAAGGACAAAGACCAGGGGAACCAGGAAAATGAAGCCGCAAGTCATGTTCAAAAAGATGGTGCCGACCATGGCTTTGGGAACCTGAGTGGCGGGTTCTCGGACCTCTTCGCACATGCTGAGATTTACACAGTCAATCAGGGTGTTCTAGAGCTGCATGGAGGGCTGAGGAACTCACGAAATGATCATGCCAGTGGCCGAAGTAGCATAGGCACCGTGCAACAATCCAATGCACCAGGACCAACCAGGGATCCAGCCAGAATTGGTCTCCACGGCACCAAAAGCATAACTGGCACTTCTACGGCCGCCTTTGGCAATCACGAGGGTACAAATGACAATGGCAAAGACGCCGGTGAAGGTCCAGAAAACGGCAAAGGTCTGCGAAAAGAGAAGATTAGCGTTTGGGTGCTTTGGTTTAGCAAGACGGGGCAAGAGAGAAGCATACGTCGAGAATGGGCAGCCATTTATTGAAACCACCGGCGATGAAATTACAGAGCAAGGTGATGGCGACAAAGACCAGGAAAACCTGCCAATCTGCAGGATCCCAGACTCCTTCGCCGTCGCCGTTCTCGAAAATGTTGACACAGCCCACAATGAACAGACTAGTTCCGAAGTTGACGGCGAGAGTGATGGTGATGTTGCCTAGGACATATGCCCAGCCACAGATCCAGGCGGTGACGGTGCGGAATCGCGGAGGGGACAGCATGTATGTTTGATAATACACACCACCGGCCGTAGGGTAGACCGAGGTGATTTCGCCGAGGGAGATGGCTACACAGGCCATGATGAGGCATACCGTGACCCAACCCCAGATAACGGCGGACGGACCACCTCCGATCAATGGGTAGTAGACTGTCGTGGCTAGACCGTAGGGCACCGAGGCAAGGACAAAGGACATGAAGGCGACCTGCCAGGTTGACCGAGTTCTGGTCAATTCCGACTGGTAACCTAGAACATTCAAGAGGTCGTCGGCCTCGGCGGGGGTGGCGCCATGCTGATCATACGCTGGAACGCCGGCTTCCTTGCTCTTAAACCGACTATGGGCGTTGCTGGGTCGGCTCTCATAGTCAAATCCTTCGCCAGGCTGAGCCATGATGAAGCAAAGGCCAGAGCGAGTCTGGATGGTTTGTCGCAAAAGGGCAGATGGTCGCGGCTCAAGAGGTTGGAAATATCAGTCGCTCGGGGCTAGACGGTGGTTACGCTAGAAGAAGCTCGTCAATGTTGTTGATGAAGCCTATTTATCCTCTACACAACAACGGGGAGCGGTGCGATGGAGGGTACGATAGCTGTAACCGAAGGGAGGTGCAACGGGCGAAGTGAGGTGGGTGGGAGAGAGTCAAGCGCGGATTAGAATACTGTATCGAGGTCAAGGTAGCGGCGGGAACCTTATAAGAAACGAGTTGTCAGGTTGTCAAATATCAGAGGCCTCCACAGCTGACGGCGCGGATGTTAAGTTTTTCGCCAGGCACTACCAGGGTGCTGGTGTCGAGGTTGAACGCGAATGGGAGGGACGGTGTGAGTCTGGAGCATGAGCGAGAGCATGGGCCCACGAAAGTTCGCATCTGGCGAGTGGTCCATGTGGCCTAACAAGGGCAGTTGGGGATCAGAGGTAACCTAATAATCCTTCAATCAGCGACGCAGAGATGGGATGGACAGGCACTCGGGGAGAGGATAAGCATGGGGCAACTGGGCCTTGAGTAGCATCTGCATGCTGTTTAGAGTTTAGCAGAGATTTCTTGCTGCAGGTTGACGTCGTTCGTTGGTCATGGCAATCATGTTTAGGAACCTAACGAGGTATTGTCCGTGCTACAGCCTGTGAGCTGGCTAGCCAAGGCGCTATTGAGCTGGAGACCAGGGTCTCTGACGCAGTCGTATCTTCCTCCTCGTGGCGCACCTCGTCTTGTTTTCGGGTGTGGGACTAGTGACTGGTGACAGTGGTGAGAAGATGGATCGACTCAGTTCGGTGCTGACCCAGACCTGTGTCTTCGCAGAGTGTGGGGTGACGAACAGTCATGAGGAGGTGATGTTATTATTTTGATCTCTGGTGACCACTTCAGAGGGGTGGACCATGCTCAGCGATCCGACTTTGGACGGCGGCTACTGGGACCCGTTGCGGATGTCTGCTGGAGCTTACACTTGACATGGCCGAAGCTTGTGCCAAATGGGTTTGGGGTCAAGGAGGCAGGACGGAATGCCCGAACAAAGCATGCTCTATCAGCAAAGGAGGTGGTTCTTATCAGGGTTGGATGACCGAATGGCGCAGGGAGCTGGATCTTTGCTGGTAAGCGAGAAGATTGGTTATCTTCTGATATCGAATCCTAGGTAACACTGTGCAGAATGATCGTGTGACGAGTAAGATTGGGCGAGTTGCAAGCAGATGGGCCGAGGTATGAGTACTCCGTAGAGACCTGAAGAACTGCCAGTGAGAACATCATGATCTTGTAGCTGAGCCGCTCAAAAAGCTTCCATCATGAATATTGAAAATATTTGCCAAAGTGGCAGCTGAGGAATCTGGCGCCGAGGCAGGCACGTTGCACCCCAACCTCGCACTTGCACATGAACAGTCACAGGTCACAGTTTGCTGCTCTTGGATTGTTGCTTGAATTCCCTTTTGTACTTGGCATGGCTCTAACGGATTTTCAATTGAGGAGTCTTCAGTAGGTAAGCACCTAAAGGTAGCTGGTGGAGTATGGTAGTGCTGGTGTCCGAGTGGCCATTACCACTATAGTCCACCCACAGTCAAGTAGTGCGGTAGATCATTATTGATGGGGCACTGAGGTCTTGGTGCAATCCTTCTAGAAATATGGAGGTTTGCAGCCCATTGACAGGGGCCAATTGGGCTATTGGGCTATTGGGCTACACATACCTATATTGGCTGAGGATCATTGGCGCCGAGCCATGTCTCGGGCGCAACGCAGCCCCTCGGCCCCCCTGTGCCATCAATGAAGAAGGCCCTCGGGCCCTCTCGGGCGTTTGGCACAATCGTGGGGAGCGCCCAGTACTGATTCAATGCCTGGAATGCTGTTGGCTGTAGGTCATACCTATTTTGTGGAATTACATTTATGATGGATGATTTATTCTCTTTATCGCCGGCATGGCTATCGTTCGGAGCGTAATGAACAGCTGGCTACCTACCTTATTGATGAACAGAGGTACCAGAGACCACCCGCTCGAGACATGGTTCAGCCTAGGTACCTAGGTATTCTTGACAGGTAATGCAGACAGGCAACCTTGCCTGGAATTGGGGCACATCTGCGACATCCAGGCACCTGTAGTCCTCACGCCCAGGGAGAAATCTGTGAACATGATCGTGTCACGCGTGTCAATTGACAAAGGTGGCCGAGGGGCGCAGTCCAGCCACCAATGCCGGGGGTTGCTATTTATTTTTATTGATTGGAACTGCTCTGGGATTGTGGTTGGTGGTTATAAGGCAGCCTCACGCTTATTCCCTCGCCCCCAACTTATCAAGCAGAGAAGCCTGGAAACAAACCACGACAGCAACTGTTCCTCACAACACCTTAGTTCAATCTAAGGTACTTAGAGGGATAAGACTTCCAATAGTCTAGCCATAATGTTTCTCTGCTCGACGCATAACCAGATCTCTATGTACAACACGCCAATTTCCAAAGTAGTGCTCTTCAAATTCACCCTTCCAAACTCGTGTTGATCCTCTCGTACACCCCGCCTCCATGTATATAGAGTAGAGCCTCGCGAGGCTGAGAAGCAACCGTCTAACCCGACACCGGTCAAATGCAGGGCGTCGGACGCGCATCTATTGGTTCACTTGGCTGAGCATACACAGCCACTGTCTGCCTTTCAACTTGTCCGAGTCTTTTATATATAATCTCAGAAGCATCAAGCGGCTGATCTATCGAAGGCATTTCTAGATTTCTAAATTGTAAGTGCTTCACGGTCTATTGTGCAATGGCCACCATCTATCACTATTTCAATCAACAAGGCAAAGCAGAAGATAGCTGGTGCTTCTCAACCCGTGATTCAGTTCAAGTCACTGAAGTGTGGGAGCTATCCCAGAAGGTATCCTTAAAATGTCGTCCCTATTTCTGCAAGACCTTCGATATCCCTCAACCCGACATGAAAAGCTGGCTCCATGCACCAGTAAATGACTCCTCCTCAAACGCCGCCACCGGACGTACCTGTCGGCTCCGGGTCATCTGGATCCCTCGTCTGGTCCAGAAACGCATCATTGATGCCAATCAAGACCTCTTCAGGTTCACACATCGCTCCTGGGGCCTTGACATTGCACAAGCTTTCTGTGAGACCTCCAGTTCAGGCATTGGGAGCATCGTGGGTCAAGACCAGACCCGCCATACTCACTACTTCAATTATCACCCCAAGATCTCCATGAGCTGGACCTCGAATCCTGAGGCCTCGTATTCCACTGCGATTTGCGTCGCGGAAGGGTCCAAAATCAAACTCCTGCAAGATATTTTGAATGAGGAATTTGCACAGCGCATTCTCGGTCATCGGATGGCACTGGCCTTGCTCTGTACTGCCCTCTTCAGTCTTGAGACTCAAGAGACTCAGGAAGCGATCAAGGGTCAGGTTCGTCAGGTCGAGGTCCGAACCGGACACCATGCCTGGAAGAGCCGGGCAGAGCCTCCTGCCCTTGGGGATTTGTTCGCCCTCGCAGCTAAGATGAGTGGTTGTGAATCAAGGCTGGGATCATGCCTCCGCAAGCAGAGAATGCTAGCCGAGATGATCACGTTCATTGAACGCAATTGTGCGCTCACTGGACCCAAAGTTCAGCCCCTTGTTGACTCGGAAGCGGTGCCTGCCACGATCCTGGACGCTCTTGAGCCTCTCAAACAACGGACAACATCTCAGCAGATTGATTCGGATTTCATACAGAGCCGGGTGAAAATTCAAACGGACGCGGTAAGTGGATAATGGAATCATCTTCCACTTGTACTAATGCTGCATGTTCTTCTGGACAGATCTATCACTTGGTCCAGGGAAACGATGTCTGGGCCGCACAGGAAATGGCCCAGGACTGCAAGCTACTAGCTGTGGCTTCGCAACAAGATTCCTCCGGCATGAAATGCATTGCCATTGTCACCATGTTTTTCCTGCCTGGAACCTTTGTCTCCTCTCTTATGGCGATTCCACTCTTTGACTGGGACGCCACCTCGACGCACATCATGTATCGCAGCTCTTACTGGCGGCCTCGAGCCATCATGTTTCTGGCAATCACCCTGCCGCTGATGTTGCTCACCTTTGCTTCGTGGGGCGTTTGGCACCTGATCCATACAGGTTGGAAGAAGAATAAGAGCGCTGTTGCCGCACAAAAGCAGCTGGACCAAACCCCCTCGACAGATGAGGTTCGAGTCCTCGTCTCTAAAAGGCATACATTTTCTGCGCTCACGTCATAATGTCGAGGTTTGTTGGCATTAAATTAGTTGGTCGATTAGCGAAGAACGAGGAACGAGGAACGAGGAACGCAGGCTCATGTTGATGCTCAATATACACAAAGGACGTCTGCAAGCGCACCAGAAATTAATCTTCGCATGAGACCTGAGGGTTTGCCGATAAAATAGAATAATAGGCTTAACTAGCCAAGGGCTCGAGACGAAACGAGGCCGAGGAGCTGAGAGAATCTGTCCGAGTCAGTAGGTGCCTTGCTGTACTCAGTTAACAAAGGCACATAATCTGTGTTTGACCATACCAAAGTGCGGATCGAAGCTGGGTATTCCCATGAGGCATCTTACTGGACCAATGCTAACTTTGTGAATCAATTTGGTGTGTACAGTATCACTTCAACTACCTGGTGTCTGGTGCCTGGTGCTTGGGAGGAAGTCAAAGTAAGCAGCAACCATCAGAGGCGGGCGCGGGACGTGCCTGCCTGGTAGAAGCTTCGTGCTCCTTCCTGTCTTTCATCAAGACAAGATTTCCCGTCGATCCTTTGCCTTTTCTCTATGCTCTCTCTGCTCTCTCTGCTCTCTCGCCTCGATCTCAACAACAGTCAACTTCACATCTCAAATCAGCTGGCTCTAGAGGACCATGACGAAAGACCGAGGGCCCCCAAAGAGACTTCTCAGGCAGACAAAAAGCACCAGAATGCTGCGCCCTGCGGCTGCATGCTGCATCTGCCCGTCTTGACTGATACATCTGAGGTGCAGATTGCCTGCAACCGCGGCTCTGCACCACACAACATATCTGCCAGTCACGCCAGCGTTCCATGTGCTCAGCGTATAGCGTTGCAGCACCCGAATCCCCAATTGCAGGTCGAGAGGCCCCTCATGCCTTTCGCGTCGTTCCTCTTTTCAACTGCGACTTGCCCAAAGGGCCCGAGGGGCTGAACCCACCTTATCAGGAAACATGGCTGCCTCTCAACTACCTTGTCCTTCAGCCACCTCTTGTGCTACAGCTGGCCTGGTCAGAAGCACCAGAGGCCCCCAGGCTAAAGTTAAGCCTGTCGCGATCCGGGCCATCTAACTGTATGTACTCCTAGGTCTGTAACACGCCTGCCATTCAAAGTCTTCCCCTTCAGCCTCTCAGAACCTATCGGCCCCATGCATCTTGACTCGACCAGGGACCCTCGATCATGACACCACACGTTACCGCCTTTCAAGGCCAGTCAAGGCCAGTCAAGGCCAGTCAAGCCATACTGCTGCATCTGCATACACCTCGCTTGTCTTTAAGGATCATGTGCGCATACTGCGTTCTTCGTCGCTCGGCCTTAAGCCTGACAGCTCGAGTGAGGCAGCAGCTCATCCTCAGCCTTAGGGTGGGCATCTTTGCATCTTTCTTCCCACGCATCTCAGCATCTTCCACTGTTCCTGAGATGTTTGTTTGTCTTCACCTTCAGAAGAATCCAGCCGTCCATCAGCCTCGATGGTGTTAGTTCCCTCGTAAACCATGGACTCATGGCGCAACTATCTTCCCGCTGTGCTTAATGCCAAACATCCAACATCTGACCGAGGAGAGGACAATTCGAGGGGTACTACCTTCTCCATGATGTTCCATTCTCTGTGCTGACATCTGTTCAGGTGCCCGTGGCTCCTTTGGTCCTCCTCGCACTCTCTCCCCCAATCACCGGGCGCCGTCAAGAAACAGTTTCTCGCAAGAGGACGTATTCCACACTCCGAGCGCCAGCCCACTTCAACATACTAATTCTGTCTCCTCAAATCGCATGCCGAGCTTTTCTGGAATTCACACCCTGAGGCCAGGCCACTATATTCCGACAGCGAAGACAAATCCCCCTACTCGAGCGTTGGGGGAAGGTCCCAAGCCAGAAGCTGTGTTGCCAACCCAAATGAGACTGTCATATTTCCCAGAAGAAACCAACACAATCGAGCGGCAAGCAGCTCCTGGATTTGGACGCCGCTCAGATAACGAAGAGCGGTCAGATGACGAAACAGCGACCGACATTGTCAGTATATACCCTACCAAGACCATCTCCAAACGGTATCTTCACAATTCTCAGCCCAAAGAAGAGGCTACTCCATGGGATGAAGGACTGAATTTCGACCTAAGCGACTTAATGTTTCCCACTGCCATTCAACTGCCCCAGGTCATCCAAGATCATCTCCAACTAGCCGCCCAAGGCTATCAATCTGAAACGCCTCCAGACGGCCTTCCAACACAGCCATTTCCTTCGACATCAAATCAACAGCAGCTGGCAACTGCTCGGGCCTTGCACCCTTCAAAAAAGCCTAGCGCGCCCGCAGACAACGATGCTGACTCCGGAACTGAAGATGAAGAATATTGTTGTGCTGTCTCTAGGAAAGCTTCGGTAGAAGACCCAGATGTCTTTTACTGTTATGGCTGCAAAATGACCTACTGTCCCAAGTGCTGGAAGAAGCAAATCCCGCACAAACGAGGAAAGCCAGGACATGACAAGGTAGATGCCGTCGTGGCAAAGATGATCCAGGACACGCTTGAGGTCGATATTAGCGAGGCAGAGCAGGCCCACCTCCATCTTCTGGATGAATGTGCCTCGTGGTTTGGTGCCGTCAAGGATGAAGATGGCGTTGTCTTTCGTGATTTTGGCCGCTATGCCTCCCTCATGGCTGAGCATTCCCTTGAAGAGCGGAAAATCATGTCCCCAGCATTGATCTCTTTTGTCGGTGACACTGGAGCCGGTAAAAGCTCCCTGGTCAAACTCCTAGTGGGCCTTCAGAAGACGAAACACTCGCAAGATAGTAAAACTCCTAGCCAGGTATGTTGATTGCCCAAGATCCCCTCACTGTACCTAACCTAGACCGACAGACTCCTGTTGTTGGAAGCAGCGGCGCCGCGGTGCCCACTTCTGGCGATGTCCATTTGTATGCGGATCCTCATACATTTTTCACGGATCGGCCTTTGCTATACGCTGACTGCGAGGGCCTGCGAGGAGGCACCTTGGATCCTGTTGGAGCCAAAAGGCGGCGAAAGATGGCACTCTCGAGCCATGCGCGAACCCGGACTGCTTCCTTTGACAAATACATGCGTCGGAGGCACGAAACTTCGGAGAGAGACATAGCCTGGGCCACCACACCCGAGAGAACGACGCGCAAATTCTTCGTCGAACACTTGTACCCAAGGCTTTTGTACACTTTCTCCGATGTCATTGTTTTCGTGGTCAAGAATGCTCGAACCATCGAGGAAGTGGTAGAGCAACTCGTTGTATGGGCAGACGCCGTGATTGAGACAGCTTCCAACCAGCCCGTCCTCCCTCATGCAATCATTGTTTTGAATGCATCAGATAACCAGAACGCGGATCTATGGGACGTCGACGCCTCTACCACAGAATTACTGTCCAGTATCAGCCTTGCAGTGCACGAGAACCCGAGGCTCAGGAAGCTGGCAAACAAATGGATTTCCCGCGGGTTCGATATCGATTCCGTCAAGTCTTTGCTCTTGGCCTACTACTCAAGTGTGCGCGTCGTTCGTATTCCGGAGAAGAGCCAGCCATCATTGGTGCATGACCAGATCCAGCGTTTGTACGAGGCAATATCCGCATCCGCTGCTGGTGCACAGGACGAGAAACACTCCAAGAGAGTTAAACTAAGTGCAGAATCCTTACAACCCTACCTGCAGGCAGCGTTCGATCACTTCTGCCGCGATCTGAATGATCCTTTCGACTTTATCAAAGCCTCATTTGCGGACAGTGGAATTCCATCCGACTTCAGCGGCAACATCCTCAAGTTGGCTGTAAACATCATGAACAAGTGGCAGAACAAGATTGATGGCGCACTCCTGTTTCGCGAGTTGAGTTTCATTGTCGCCTCCTGCGTCATGTTGGATGCTGTGAGAAACCATAACCTTGGAATGGCTGGCCCTGTGTTTAAGCAATATATCGACCATTTTGACGAGACTCTGGACGATTTCTGTGAAAAGATCTGGCCCTGTGAATACATCTCGGCCAAAGGACGTTGTGTTAACGTCAAAGCAGGCCACACTAAGGGCCACCAGCTATCCCAGGGCCAAGTCATAGGCCCTGGATCCTACCAGTCACGGTTCTCGGCTCACAGTAACCGCCAACAATTCAGGAATGACATCTTCGAAAACTTGCAGGAATTGCTGTCCAGTCTTACTGGTGATAACCGTGCTGAGCGCGATGCGGCTGCCAACTTGCATGAGTCGAAAATTCTGGGGCCTTTCTACAGGCATCTGGGTGGTGCAACCAATTTTGTGAGCCAGTCCGCCTGCTTTTCTTGCCTGGTTTCGCCTGCCGAGCACTGTCTACCATGCAAACATGTCATATGCACCCAGTGCGCCCGTGACTTCGGTGTCCCCCGGGGTCAAAACGCTGTTGAAATGAAGTTCTGTCCACTTCACAGGTCCGAAACGCGTGATCTCCGCCAGATGATCATGTTTAAACCAGAGGATGCAGGAGTCCGCGTACTTACATTGGACGGCGGAGGAGTCCGAGGCATCCTCATGCTGAAGATGCTTGCTCGGCTGGAGCAAGATTTGGGGGGTTGTCTTCCCATAGTGTCATTTTTCGACCTTCTGATTGGTACCAGCACTGGAGGCATCATTGCTCTGGGGCTGGTCGAGATGGGTTGGTCGGTCAAATCTTGTCTGAAAAGGTTCGAGGTCTTCGCCCAGACGGCATTTCAGAAGCACAGAATGTTGGGCGCGGAGTATTTGGAATGGCTTGTCGCAGGATTCCAACAGGGCAGATATAAAGTCGAACCTCTGGAGGACCTGCTCAAAAAGGAGTACACGGAACGAAACCTCTTTGGCGGTGTACGAGACGATTACTCGGAATTCTCACCACGCAACCATATCGCCAGCAAGGTCGGTGTGACCACGACGACGACAAGCGGTACGCCATACCTTTTGGCGAATTATAATAGGCATGAAACAGACGAGAGCGCTCGTTATGGGTTCCTGCGCTCTGAGAAACCCGAGCAAGAGATTAAAATTTATGAAGCTGCAAGGGCTACTTCGGCAGCCCCCAAAATATTCAAACCCTATGGCCATGCAGAAAGCGGCCATACTTTCATCGATGGAGGGGTGTATTACAATAACCCAATCGAAATTGCATTGAGAGAACAGTCTCTCATATGGGAACAGAGTCGCCCTCGATTGCCAGATCTCGTCCTTTCTTTGGGTACTGGACATGCACCAAGAGATTTCAGGAGAGGGAGGCCGTCCAGGGCCCCGGCAAATGGAACCAGTGGGCCCGTCTCCTATTACAAGCACTTGCTCAAGATAGCAGTTGATCATGCCAAGAGCTCTCAAAGATCGGAGGAGGAATACCATCGGGTTGTACAACATTACAGGAATCATCCTCAGGCGGCGAATTGTTTCGCCCGGTTGAACATGCTCTTTGAGGATGGCATCCCTAAGCCAGATAATGTCGGACTTATGCCATCAATGATGAGCTTCGCCGATGACGATCTAGATGCTCGCTCGTCAGAAGTGCGACATATCACTAACCGCATGATAGCATCCTCTTTCTACTTTGAACCGACACCAGGCTCTCTCCGGAAGATCCTGGGGACATCCATCACCATCCAAGGGCACATTAGATGTCGCTACACAGGAAATCAACTCGAAGCATTTGGAGACCTCTTGAAACTTCGCTGCCAGGAGGCCTTTAACGCTCCTGGAGGAGCTTTGCACAGTCCTTGCTTCGTCCTGGAAGACCGCTCAAGGCCGAAAGAAGCAGCTCAGGTCATTCTTTCCGATCATGTGATAGACGGTATGAGCAACCGTGCCACATTCAACCTCAAACAAATTACGCTGGAATTGAAGAACCTGGTAAGCTGAGTCATAGCCAACGCCTGTTCGGTGGACATGTAGCTGACTGTTGAACCACAGAATGCAGAGTCGGATATCTACTTGAGATTCGGCTCCGAACGCGACTCGGATCAGAACAACTCAATCAGTGGGTTTCCAAGATGCTGGGACGACCGGAAAATCACTCCCATGACGTCCCGGCTGAACCTCAGTGATGTTCGTGGAAGATTTCCATCACGGCGTGGACGACCAGATTGGTCTGAACCGGTTGGAACCAGACATGCTCCAATCCTAGGAAGATATGCCATAGAAAGGAATCCCGGACTGGCATCTGACGAGCAGATGGCGTTCGTGGGGTCTCGACTGAGCGAGCCAGTCGCTGCAGAGAAACCGCCTCAAGAACTCGATACCGGGGTGGTAGTTGCGTCTACTACACCATATCGACCATATCCCCGTATTCACCGGACCCCGCGCGAGGACGAGGGGAGCGAGGTCGTTCCTGGACCAGACACAGATAACATCCACAGCTTTTATGCCGAGCTAGAGGCCAATACGGCTGTTTTCGAACTACCATCCACCACATCGTCACAGGGCAGAAGGCCAGGGTCAGGGTCAGCGAGTGCGGCGTCTGCCAGAGGGGCTTGAGGCCATGGCTGGCATTGTTCATTGGGCAGATACCCTGTGATATACCGACAGAGTTTGTTTTTGGGTGGAAGCAATGCCGATATGGAAATTTCGGCATCTATAATGTGTGAATGATACTCTACCCCAATCATGATCGTGCAGCGGAGAAGATGTGTTCTCCGCGACATGTCTTGAACATCTGCTCAATTAAGAAATCCTATATTTCCAATGCGCAGAAAATGAAGCTCAGGCTTTGAGTTTCTCTTCCGGTTGAAAAGACCAGTTTAGCAGAGTGCACCTCTATTTTGTGTTTCGATGATGTACCTATTTCCTAATTACCACTCGAGGTACTCGTAACAGCAGAAGGAGAACCTCTCTGATGTGGGGATTTTGATAAAATTCAGCCCTCGGCCCCACAGGCCACATCCTAAAGGGGCAATTACAGGAAGTTCTATCAAAATCCAGTAATTGGTCTGAATATCGCATCGTCGACAAAACGCTTAATCTCTGACTTCTGAGATTAACAACAAAGTCCTCCTTATCAGGTGCCCACGAGTCAACGCAGGTACCGATTTCAGGGCCCCTTCAATCACTCTGGTACAACGTGGACCCGAAGAAGGCATCACCAATCGACACTAATACACTGCAGTGGGGTACCCTTACACATAACTCTGTTGGATCACTTTCTGGTTATTCAAAAGGAGGAAGATGTGATTTGATATCATCTCAAAACCTGACCTCTACATGGAGGCAATAATCGGAACCGGAAATAGACTTCATTATTCCACCGCAAATTGAGTCGACCAAGTGCGCTAATTGGGTGATCTAGAGTTTGAACTATTCTATCCTCTTCTTGCCCTCCTCCATAAAACCAACATTGGCCATACTGATGTTGCGGGCACGACGGTCGTTGACATGAGCGACAGCGATGAGCGAGCCAATGACGGGATCTTTCTGGGCACGGTGGAGGGCGGAGGAGTAGCCTTCGACGGCATAGGCCGGCGTATTGAGTTTGGGCCAGTTGACGTAGAGCAGGCCATGGCCGTAGATGAACTGGAAAGACCAGGCAGCAATGGCCAGGCACAGAATGGTAAAGATGCGCAGGGGCCAGATTGCGGCGTTGGGGGGTCGTCGAGTGATTAGAGAGATGATGACGATGAAGATGGAGGCTGCCAGGATGTATGGTACGGCCTGGATGATGAGTGGTCGCCGGTCTTTTGTCTGCAATGAAGAGCCGGCGCCTGAGGAAGATGGCAGATATGTGCCCAAGAACAGGTCAAAGCCATCTTGTCGTGGGCCGTCTAGGAAATTGTTTCGCACATATCGAGTACAGGAGTTGTTGAGGTCCTGTAGCATACCAGCCCTTGTACGTTTGCCAGTCCGAGTGAAGTCTGTCTTCAAGGCACCAGTGCCTGAGTAGGCGTTGGACACAACGTCGGCATTATCAGCCCACATGTTTCGGAAGAGGAATTCAAAAGTGACATCATCGCCAGCCTTTTCGCCCTTGTGTAGAATGCCAATATCCTGAAACTGTTGCGTCAAAGCCCATCGTCCCAGCATACTTTGCACGACATTTGTTCGATCGAGGCAGTCCATGCAATTCCTATGAGGCTGTTAGTGGCCAGACGACAAGAATTTGATGTCCTAGACGGGTGGACTTACGTTCTCACGACAGCACTTTGTTGTGTGCGAACTTCAAGGGCGCCGGAAGGAGACCCAGGATTCTCGGCGCCTCTGAAATACTGGCCCATTCTTAAGCCATCGATAAGCTCGTCCATTAGTAACTCGGCGCGGTGCCACTTGAGACCCTTTGTCTCGTTGTGGAAGTCAAAATAGACATAGTGCAATTTGTCCATACTCTGGTGTTGGGTGGAAGGATTTATCTCGCGGAACTTCTCGTCGGTACGTCGATCGCCCTCGGTGGATTCTTGGGGAGAATTGACCAAGATACGGACAACTTGCTCATACGCTTTCTTAACCCGTTCTTCCCTTCCACGCTGATTGACAAGGTTGACAAGGTAGTTTTCGCCATAGGTTCGGATCTGCTCGTCGAAGTGCTTTCGAGCGGCCTCTACGGCGGTCTCAACGCCTCTGATCTGGAGTTTGGGGGTATAATGAAGGTCGTTGATTTCTGCCCAATAGACAGGAACACTGCCTCGAGTTTGCACATATGACAGAACTTGAGATTCTGATGGTTGAGCCCCCACCTTGCCATTCTGAACACCGGAGCCGCCTGCGTAACCAGTTGGTTGGCCAGAGGCATCATTGAGAATGGCAATTTGTTCGGTTTCATTGAAATTGGAGACGTGACCCTGGTCATCGATTCCACGAGAGAAATACCTGGTCCCTCCACGGAATCTCGACCGTCTGGTGATGAGGGCAAAGGTAAAGCTAGTGGATTTGATTTTTGCTGGGGTAATTCGAAGCATGCCAAACATGACGGGAAGGATATACGGGTCTACGCCAGGCTGAGGCTGACCACGGATCGCGGAACCTGCGCCGCCACCGGTACGAAAATCGATGAGGTCGGTCTGGATGAATCTGTTCCAGAAAAAGCGATCATCGGCACGTCTCCACAGGGGCTGGGAAAGATCGGTATTGGACTGGCGTTGAAAGCTGGAAGTGACATCGTGGGAGTAGGAGAAATACATGGGGCCTTTGGCGAGTAGGGCCTTGAGATATGTGAGGTATGTGTCTTCATCTGGATCGTGGACTGGCCGTTCTCGCAAAGGGAGGAATTCAGTTGCGACAACCTTATAGATCATATGTCCGCGCAATCTCCCCATGGGCTGGGCTTTCGTGATAACGATGACATACTTGTCCAGTTTCAATTTTATTATGCCCAAGATGCCAGCAATGCTAGAGACTCGTTTAGCCCCGAGGAGAGAGCCGTCATTGAGTCTAATGTCGCCGGACGGGCGCTCGACAACCAAGGTAGGCGCAGAGGGGGTGGAAGGGGAAGTGAAGGCGTAGTGAGAGACAGAGGCATGGACGTTGATGTCGCGGAAGGGAAAGAGTTGAGCCATGGTGCGGAAAGTTGGCAAGGAGTGATAGCAACCAGGTTGTTTACAGATTGGATATTTGGGACAAGGGGTCTAGTAGACTGGCATGATCGAGGTTCGAGAAGGCAAAATCTAGTAGAGAGTGAAGTAGCAGCAAAGATGGTGAAGATGACGAGAGCAAAAGAATCTTATCGTGGGCTTTTGGAAAAGAAGCAGATGCGCAGTTGTGGTTCAGAGGTAATTGTCATGTTTCGTTGGAAGGTGCAGGTGCAGGTGCAGCCTTGCTTCAACTTGCCTTGGGGGTGGCAGGTGGGTTGAGTTGGGGTGGTGGCTTGTGAGATGGGCAACCCAATTACCACATTTTGTCCTATCTGTCCTCTAGACTCTTACTGAGCAGCCTCTATTAGCCCCCCATCATTCCCCTATCAATTCCCATCTAGGCGACAGTGTTAAGCGGATGCTGCGGGTATCCAGTCTGCCAGTAGTAGTAGTGGGCGCCGCAGGGACAACTACGCGTACCGCTACGCATGAAACCCGTCAGCTCTGCATGAATAGTATCGACTCCTTCACTCCTGCCGCCTGTGATTGGCAAACATTGGCACCTGCATCGCACCTGCCACGCCGTGCACACTTACGAATGACGTACTCTTCGTATGTGACTATCTAGCCCACCGGAATCATACGGAGAAGTATTGTCACCCTATCCCCTTCTATCACTCACCAGTTCAACATCAACACCACCACCACAACCACCAACACCAACCACAGACTCTACTTCCACCACATCGTCATTCCATCCCATTGCCGCCTCTCACATACCACGAGACACCAAAGTCCTCTTCGTCGCTATATTCATCCTCATCCTAGTCCCTTCCAATCCTGACAATGGCTGCAAGAGCTCCCACTGGCCGTCCCGGCGCAGGCGGCAGGTTTGCCCAGTTCAAGCTGGTCTTACTTGGTACCACCCCACCCTGGCAATTCCATATCTATCAATCACTGACTTGATCACAGGAGAATCCGCCGTCGGAAAGGTATCCATAACCTTGAATCCGCTTTCCTCCATCCGTGTCTAATCGTGCTTATCCAGAGCTCCTTGGTCCTTCGTTTTGTCAAAGATCAATTTGATGATTATCGCGAGTCAACAATCGGCGCTGCTTTCCTAACGCAGACTATATCTCTCGACGAGAATACGACCGTCAAATTCGAAATCTGGGATACCGCTGGTCAGGAGAGATATAAATCGTTGGCGCCCATGTACTATCGCAACGCCAACTGCGCCGTTGTTGTCTATGATATTACCCAGGCAGTATGTACCCGACTCGTTCTCTACAAACACCCTCTAATCTTCTCCTCAAGTCGTCATTAGACAAAGCCAAGTCATGGGTCAAAGAACTCCAAAGACAAGCAAATGAAAACATCATTATCGCCCTCGCCGGAAACAAGGTTGATGTCGTTAACGAATTCCCCGACAAGCGAGCGATTCAAACCGCCGACGCCGAGGCCTATGCTAAAGAAGCCGGATTACTCTTCTTCGAGACATCGGCAAAGACATCGACGAACGTCCGTGAACTCTTCACCGCCATTGCTAAAAAACTCCCTCTCGATCAGGCCGGGCCCCGGAATCTAAGGTCGAACCCACGACCGGGCGTTGACCTGAGACCAGAAGCCACAAACACACAAGGTGCAGGGGGATGTCAATGCTAAACGCGAGAGCAATCCCGGAGATAGATTGTCAACGGATGTCGACTTGATCATACCATTCATCATCCTGCCCACCTTTTTTATACCATTGTTCACATTGAGCCACAGGAGCAGGCGTCGGGATATCGGAATGACTGGGGCAAGGGCTGGCCTGAGGTTTCAGGTCGGATTCAACGCTGGATAATGGATGAGTTGACTGCTACTGATTCTTGTAATGCTTTCTCGGCGGCGGTTGGTGTGTGTGTGTGTTCCATGCAAATCCGAAAGATCAAGTAGAATCTGGGGTCGACGAGGTACTTTGGTAAATTCCATCGCCTACCACAAGGCAATCAACGTTGTTCCTTGAATTGACCCTGATGAATCTTCACATTCTCTCTGATCTGCGGTGATGCAGGGCTGATCACCAAACACGCAACCAGCATAACCCCTTGTCGACTACATACGACACTGGGTGGTGGATTCCGCGGCACATACTATACTGCATTAATATAATCCGTGAACCTTAACCTAATCCATATCAAGGTCCCTCTTCTTCTCCCTCTCCTCCCTTCTGGAGTCCAAAGTCCTATCTTCACACCACATTAAAACCCCAAACTCCCAAAGCCTATACACTCCCTCCACTCCTCCCTCTATCACCGACAATACCTGCCATTTCCAACAATGCTCTTGCACCGTCCTGATCACCACCGAAATTAACCCCTCTCCGTCTCGCCGCCTCTGCTTCCTCCCACGCCAGACGTTTGGCCTGTTTGACCATCTCATCCTCTTCGGCTTCGGTTGGAAACGTGATACCCCAGACCTCGAGTTCAGTGACAGAAATGGTGGTTTTGGTAGGGATCGTCGTGGCCGCAGAAGATGTGGACGACGACGACGATGATGTCTGTGCGAGTTCTAATCCAGCATCGGTCGTAAAGGCGCCTTGACCTGCTGAACCGTCATGTTGGAATGTGGCCGTCGACATATCCGGGCCGATGGAGACAGATACCGGACCTAGAATCGGTACAGCTGTCTGACTACTTCGTGATCGCGAAGGTGGTGGAATCACACACCCTAGTGCAATACCCGTCTTCAAGTGTAGATAACTCGCTGGTATTGTGTGATTGTATCGATTAGAATGGAACATGGCCTGTCGTGGAGATAGAAGAAATAGACATGGTGCATCGGCGTTGTTGGGGTCGTGAGATGTTGATGATGAAGGTGCATGATACTTGTTCGTCGAATCCGTCCATCGATCTGGAAGGTATGCACCGAGTGTAATGGACTGAGAGTCTGGTGAGCCAGTAGTTCCTGAAAGGAGGAGCATCGTCCCGGATTGCCAGGATATGACTTGACGTGAGAACGACGAGAGTGATGTGCCACTACTTGACGTTGAGTAAAGTAAATTGAAACGTGCGTTGGAAGTATAGATGTTGGTCTGAATCCCTGTTGGTGTAGTCAGTCTGAGGGACGTCGAGAGTTGAGAGAGGAGTGTGTCCGTGAGATCCGTGTCATCTAATGATGCACTGTCGTCGCTAGGTCGATATATTGGAGAAGCTTTCACGGGAAAGACAACCGGTACATCACTTCCGTCACGATGCTTGTTCAAGTTGATGTTCTTGCTGAATAGTAAGTGCTCGAAGAGTGGAGATAGCGGTTCGAATAGATCTGGAAGAGTAAAGGTGACGGTTTTGACAAAATTCTGATATCGAATACCGTTGCTGTGAGGGTCAGGATCAAAGGCCGCGATGATAGCGTCAGCTGAAGTATTCAGCGCTTTTATCTTGTCCGACGTCAGACTTTCACCGTATGTCCCCAGAGGTGTGAGTGGCTCAATGCTGGCCAAGAGAAGAAGGAGAGTGATGAGCTTCCGGAAATTGTCCACGGGAATCAATGCATGGTTCATCTTACGGTCGATGGTTTGTCTCTGGTCATGTTTGAAGACTTCGATGGCATCAAGAGAGTCCAGAGCAGCCAGTGCGAGATCGTCTTCATCCTCGTCTTCATCACCGTCGTTGATTGGATCGTCAATGGCAAATCCAGTTATTCTGGTTTCAACGGCCTTAGCATTCTTCATGTCTTCTGGGAGTTGTTCGTCCACGATCGCCTGCATGTCGGGTTTATCTCGTGGCGAAGAAACACTAGCTTTGCGATCAAAGACGGCCAGACTTCGGAATAAAAGCTTGGCTTTGTCCTGATTTCCCTTCTTCAGGATCTTTTTATACCTACCCGTCATTATCGTGACGACTTTCAGCGTAGCCTCTCTGGTCAAGATACAGGGCGCCAGACTGGGGAATGGAAATGCACCGAGGTAGGTACACATTTGGTAGAGGACAGGGCCAGCATTGAGAGCTTCTGGGAGGGCGAGGAATCGACAAAGCGTGTCTTCCTTCCAGTACTCGACATCTTCTTGATGGTCGGCCAGGGTTTTGAAATTGTCTTTATAATGAGCGATCTCTAGATGTGAGAAGCATCTTGTAGCAAAGCGAAGTGCAAGCTCATGGCTTAGCTGCTCTGAACAGAGACACCAGATCAGACTTGAGAGTCCATTGTCTCATAGAAGGATGGATGGATGCCTGATTTCTCCTCTCTTGACTTACCTATTGGAATCTCCTTTGGAGGCTCGGACGATTGTGATTGACCCATTTTCTAACAAGAGCCAGAATTGCGCAATGATGTTCGTCCTTGACACTCTACTAAATCATGGTAATTGGACTCCAGAGTGAGATGGGATGTGACATGGAGCATGGACTCAAACTCATGTTCCAATTTTTGATGATGACCTCGTGACGATAGCCTCGTGAAGATAGCCGCACACTCCACCCCACAAGAGTACTCCGCTGTAGTTTCACAACCGCAGTTACAACCTCAACTTTTTTGAACCAACGAATCCTCCAAGCGCACATCAATGTGAAGCCTCTCGCACAGAGTAGCACAGCCGTCGGCCATGTTTCCCTCATGATTAGAAGATGGACTCTTCGATCCACCATTCAGCCAAAGCATTGCATCCGGGGATTTGCAAGCAGTACCAGAACCATGGCCATGGCGAGGACATATGCGGTAAGAGTGATTCTTCGAATGCCATGCGCATTGTTGCGAGATGATTGTCATACTGAGATCCACGACAGGACGCCGTCGCGTCCCTCAACACCCTGCAGTCAAACTTCGCCATCGTTGATGCGATCCGCAAGTCGGGAAGAAAAATGAATGATCAAGCAATCCCGGAAATGATCGAGTGGTGCAGAAAGATTGGTTATCAGGTATGCGAGATATGAAGACGTCAAGGCCGCGATTGAGTGGCTTACATGTTGCAAATAGCCCTCTGACTTTGACAAAATCAATGCGATCCATATCGCCGGAACCAAGGGCAAAGGATCCACCGCAGCATTCACCTCGTCCATCCTCTGTCAATTCATTGGTCAACAGAGTGGTGAGAGAAGATTAGAAAAAGTCGGACTCTACACATCTCCGCACTTGCGATTTGTGCGCGAACGCATCCAACTCAATGGCGAGCCCTTGTCAGAGGCACAATTCGCCAAATACTTCTTCGAAGTATGGGATCGGCTCGAGAAGGCCGCCCAAGACGCGGGCATCGATCCGAGTTCCCCTGGCACGAAACCGGTATATTTTCGATATTTGACCCTCATGGCATTCCACACCTATGTGAGTGAAGGAGTCGACGCCGCCGTCATTGAGTGCGGCATAGGCGGACAGTATGATAGCACAAACGTGATCGAAGCCCCGACGGTGACAGGCATCACCAGTCTTGGGATCGATCATGAAGCAATGCTTGGGTCGACGATTGACCAGATTGCATGGCATAAAGCAGGAATCATGAAAAAGGGTGTCAAATGCTTCACGACAGATAGCCAGCTATCAGATGCCAAAGCTGTACTGGAAAAAGTTGCTCTGGAGAGGGAGAGTCCACTTGTCTATGTCGACGTTGAACCCGAAATTGCCAATGGCGACATCCAGCTCGGTTTGCAAGCTGAGTTTCAAAAGACCAACGCCAGTATCGCAGTGTCACTTGCCCGCGAGTGGCTCGTTCAGAAAGGTGTCGAAGTGAATAAAACTAGAATCAGACGAGGTCTTGAACAAGTGCGTTGGCCAGGACGATGCGACACACGTCGGGAACCGGGACTTCGATGGTGTATTGACGGAGGTCATACTCTGGAAAGCATTGAATTGTCAGGGAAATGGTTTGCCAGCGAGCTCCTGTCGGCTTCCACGTCGACGGCAACAACTGATCATATTCAACCACGATTCCTGATCTTCAATCAACAGACTCGCGATGCCGCAGCACTGGCTAAAGCACTCTTCAAGACCCTCTCGACTGCCCTTAACGACCAACATCCCTTCACTCATGCTATTTTCTGCACCAACACCACTTTCAAAGAAACCGGCTTTCGACCGGATTTGGTGTCGGTAAATACCAACGCCTCAGACGTCGAGGCGTTGAAAGTCCAAAATAACCTGGCCGCGACTTGGAAGAGTATCGATCCGGCAGCTGAGGTTCATGTTGTGCGAACCATCGAAGAGGCCGTCGACCTTGTTCGCGGCTCTGTCAAACAACAAGGCCAGGGAGACGAGGTCACAGCTCTTGTCACGGGCAGTCTTCATCTCGTCGGTGGCTTTTTAGAAGTACTGGCCAGTACAGGCGAATAGAAAGAAGAAAGACACGCCCAGGCCGTTCACAGTCGGACAAATACATGCACTACAGATGCGTGCAGATACCATCAACTGGTATCATCGTCAATGTCTTTGAAATGAAAGGTAGAATTTAAGATGAAGAGCAATCTTCATATTCGAATCATTGGCCTTACGCTCAGGCCATGCGTAGTGTCTCGCTTGTACATTATATAATATCATTTCGGAAATAAATGAGGCTCATGTTAATATTTTGGTCGTTTCATTACCTCCCTTTGCAACAAGAGATATAGTGCGTTGGTATCTGCTCAATCCCAGCTCTTTCGCTCAAAACATACATCAAATCATGTCAAATGCGAGGAATATCTGTGCTGCGAGGTGGGTGTCACCGGGCTCACGCCGGCGTGGAAAAGACTTTGACGGCGATCGTCTGGTCCCGTAAGAGGTCCGTCCGGCCGTGGACTCGGTAGTGTGTCGAACCCACTACTAGCGCTGTCATTAGGATGCATCGTAGCGAAGCCAGTGCTGCCTCGAGCTGTTCCTCGCTCGGCGCCGAGTTCGTGAATCTGATTAGACTCTTCTACTATCGGGTGTATGCTGGAGCTGGCAGGGCTGTTGTCATTCTCGAAGCGCGTGCGTTTCTCTCCGTTGTATGGAGCAGCCCCCACGGATGGAAACGGCCAATTAACAGTATCCTGACCTGGGCCATAGGAGCTTCGTGAAAACGAAAATTCTTCCTCGTTCTGAGGGTTGGCAAACTGGGTGCCGCTTAGAGGTGAAGGGCGGTATTCGTTGGAAGACGTCGACTTGGAGTTACTGTGTGCATGTGTATGCCCGTACTTGGAGTCATATGCGCCATCTAGGATGCTCGAATGCCGAGGATGATCCAAGTCGTTGTAAGCTGTGGCCATTTCATAGGGCGGCTTAGGCCTCTCTGTGCCAGCCATCTCATGTCGCTGTGGCTGGAGAGGAGGGGTCGATTCAGAAGAATCAGTCACTTTCTTCTCCATCTGATCCGGATCCATTGGTGAAACCGGAGATCTTGTTTTGGACGAAATGAAGGACCCGCCGTTGAGCCAGTTCGTGACTCTGCTATGACCCGAGGTTGATGATTTGACCGATGAGCCGCTGCGGATGATACGTCTTCGACGGAGAAGGAGGAGACAGAGGATGATAATGAGCAGGCCTACTATTCCAGCAGCGACGCTTATCCCAATGATGGCAGCCCTACCCACGCCCCCGGAAGAACTTTCGTCTTCTGCGTTGCTTGCTGACGCTGATACAGACGAGTAAGGATAATATTGAGTGACTTGCTTTGAATATCGCGAAGTGAAGAGAGTTTCCAGAGCATCTTCAGACCAGGATGTCGTCGCGGTTGAGCCCCCATCTCTGTTGCCACCAATCACTTCACGGAGGGCAGCAGGAACCTCGTAGTTTGACCATACATCAGGGTCATACGAGTCCTGAAACTCCAAGGTGTTGAGATTGAAAACCTGGATGATGCCGCCTTCGACACAGTTGGCCTGATTCTGATGAACTCCACCAATGACAAACATCTGGTCCGGGTATGGAGTTACACATCTGTGGCCAGAACGTCCATGGGTGGACGTGCCTTTGTAAGCGTTGACCCAGGTGAATGAGGGGAGCGACAAGATCCAAACATCATCGGAAGGGACATTGCCAGAATCCAGTCCGTTATAGCCACCATAGATGTATATGTTGTGTGAAGACGAATCTTGCGCGGTAGCCAAAACCGAGCAAAACTGGGTCAATTGGCCTGGGGCTTCGCCAGTAGTATTCTGCAGATACCACTCCTGCGAGGCAATGTCATAGACAGGGACAGATGTCATGAACCCAGGGCTTTGTGCTCGACTCTCCTCTTGTTGCGATTCATTGAGACCTCGTGCCCAAATCTCTTCAGGTTCAATGACACCTCCGATAGCAACCAAGATACCACGTTCCGAGGCTGGAACCCATACTAGTTCTGCGTTTGCACGGGCTGGGATGTTGTCTGGAATAGTGATGTTGGTCCATTCTTCATTTCTCATCGTCGACATATCAACCTGTATCAGAGTATTTGCCGTGACATTGGCAGACGAGTCGTCATAATAGATTGGACCCCAGCCTGGAGCTCTCATGCCACTAAAGTAAAAGCCAAGATCCTCGCTCGGGGCGGACACTCCAGCGCCGTTGGTCACATAGCGCGTAACGTCATCAGGTAGGGTGCCTTGATAGAAGCCGGGGGCCCAGCTCGGTCGGTCTGGACCATACTGATAGGCTTCATAGCCCAGAACAGCTTGAGCGCTTTGAGGTGAGGTGGCATCGGTGAGCCGGGGCAAGCCACTACAAATGTCAGTACAGTTGGAACAATTTTGTAGGAGGCAGTAGACGAACCCGTATAGATAGAGCTCGCCATCGTTGGTGAACATGGTGCCGTCGACATAATTTGGAGCTATGTTGTTGCCGGCACCACCAGCCTTGGGCATCCGCTGGAGCAAAGCAGATAAATTGGTAGAAGCAGTATTGAAGGGAGTGGAGAAATTGAGCATGAACATGTCTCCAGCGACATTGCCGTCACTGCTCACAACGGGAGTGGTGCCGTCGGCAAAGGCAGTCTGCCACCAAAGGAGACCACCATCGAGATAGACGGCATCACGAATAACGCCAGCGCGTAGACGTGCCCAGTTGCAAATGGTAACATTTTGTTGGACGTCCACAGCCGCAGCAGGTCGCAGCGACAAAGACCAAACTATCAGAAGCAAAATTGGAATCAATGACCTCATATTGGTATTATTGTGATCGTTTGGGCGTCATGTCGTCGTGATCTGGTCAAGAAGTTCGTGTCTGTTTAATCACGATGGAAGTGATTGTATTACCTATCGTAATCGGGTGGGCTGCAGAACAATTGACGATGGAAACAGGGTGTCTGTAGAAACTGGGCATGAATGTAGGATGTTTGATAACGAGTATACGCCATCCAACGCCATTTTGGCAATCCATGAAATGGTTGCCACCATAAGACCCTGTCAATCCCCGGCAAGTGCAAGATCCGGTAATGTTCGACAAGTGTCCAAGGCCTAAATCCACAAAGAGACTTCACTGGCCCTCGAAGGGAAGATCGATGACAGATGGCCAGGCCCGGAGCCAGGTCCACATTAGTCCACTGTCCCGCAAAAGGGACGAAGATCGTCACTAGTGACTATGAGGAAAGCAGGTGCTGGCTTGTCTTGGAGGAGGGCGCGGGTGTTCAGAATGGAAGGTGTCAGGGACATCTGGAGCCGGCTTGAAAGCAACCAGTGACATGAAGGACGTGTCTTGGAATAGCCGGGGTTGGATCTTTGAATAGCATCATCGGTGTCAAGATAAGTTCCTGGGCGATTGTCCAAGTGTTCTTGACGGGTCGGGCTTAAGCTCTTGGTGAGACCAAGACACGAGAGAGCCAATGATGCAGGGATGAGGAGCGATGTGAAAGGATAGGCAGCGGGAGCATAGCACCATGGCATACGGAGCTACATGGATGTTTGGTAAAGAGGATGATGAATGGTGGACCGTGGATGGTGGGTTGATCGTTGACGGTCAAAGCTCAAAGTGAACGGGATCTGAAGATCTGCTGCAGCCGAGACAAAAAGTTGGCACTAGCCTCATAAGATCCTAGTGGTGGCATCTGATTGGCACACGGCGCATCTGTTCCCCCAATTGTATCAAGAAGATCGCCCCGCTCTGCCCGCATTTGTGGAAGGAGCCATTCCGGAAAACTGCTCCTTCCTGTTCCTCAAATCCCATCCTCGCATCATCGACGTCTCTCGTTTTTCCAACCCAAGTTACATCACCGCTTCTCAACCTTACAGTAAGTCAGCGTGGCCAATGTCCATCATTCATGCATCACGGGCCTGCTGGCCTTCTTCTGCCCTATCCTAGTCTCCTTTTAGCCAAGGCCTCCGTCGAGTACCTGGGCTCTGCCTCATCGTGTCCCCTCACCGATCGGCACCACTTCACTGGATCAGGTAAGATAATGGGGATCGCAAGGCTAGCCAACACATTCCAGAGGCACGAGAGGGAATTCTCCGTGGCTGGGATCATCATGAATCAGAATCAAGGTCACACCCTTGAAAGCTGAATGCCATGCTTCACTGACCCGTGCCTGCAGAAGTGTGCCCACCTCCATCACGACTTGCCGATGATGTCGCTGGCCAACCTTCCAAGCTCATTAGCTACTACTAAACCCGTACGTCGGCCGTGGTCAGCTTTTGTCTTGGTATTCGATTTTACTTTATATCCTCAACTGCCTGCAGAAGTGGCTGATTTCTATCCGTCCACGCGGCAAGGTGATCTGCATTCGCCAGACGCTCGTTGAAGCTACACACTCTCTCAAAAATCAGATTGATACAATACTGCAATGATGACTGTATAGCTGTGAAGAGTATGAGTATTGTTGATTGCGGCGAACCACCATGCATTCGTTAACCCTGCAACTTGTGGCCTGCCTTTCGGCAGCCCTCACCACCTTCGCTCAAACCACTGGCGCCGATGTCTACGTGACAACCGCCACATTATACCCACCACCCGAGGCCAATGCCACCCTCCTCAATGGCACATTCGTCTATACCTGCCCAGTGGCGCCAACAGTTTTTGTTAATCTCACCGAATACATTCCAGTCATTGAAACCACCACACAACCGCTGACTGTATATCAAACCATCATTTCGACCACCGTCGTGACCTCGGTATGTGAGAGAACTTTGCTCTTGTTCATTGCAAGATATCAAGGAGGCTTGTCTGTCCCGAATTGCGGGAGACATGGCAGGGTACTGCTGTTTCAGTTGCTGATTATATTCTCATCCGATGTAGGTTCAGGTTCAGCTCTTTACAGAGACCACCACCGAGGTCAGCATCACCACTGACACGACCGTCAGCGAGACGACGGCAACGGAACTGGCGACAGTAACCACCCCCACAACAGATACACTTACCGCCACAGAAGTCCAGTTGCTCGTTACTACCACCCAACAAGTCACAAGCGTAACATTATGTCCGACCAGAATTGTCAACCCAGCATTCACTGCCCTTAGTCCTTTCCCAACAGACTGGACGTAAGTACATCTCCCGAAATCCCTTCATCTGGAGCTGACATAAAGGCCTTTAGATGGGGCTGCCCTCCTGGCTGGTTATGCAGGCCAGATCGAGAACAATGCAACTGGGAGTTCGGATTGCCGGATCCGAACTTTGTATGTTCGCCTAATCACTGTGTCCCAGCCGAAGCCCTTCCTGCATCATTGCCAACATGGGACGACAGTCCCCTAGGCAATTCCACGCCCGCCCTCGACCCAGGCCTCACAGTTCAGGGCATTGATTCATATTTCATGATGGCACCTGGTGACTTTGGGTTGGGTTACAGCATCTTCGTGGTTGATGAAGTCATCGTGTTGACATCCACCACTCTATTGTTGCCAACTCCTACTATCGACGCCCGACAGGCACAAACAAGTGTCCCAGGAGCTTGTTATCCTTGGTGCAACAACTGCCTGCTCGAGGCTCAAGCCAACGGCAAAACCCCGTCTCTGTGTATGCCAGATTCAGCATTTGTGGCATCGTTACAACAGTGCGAAGAGTGTATCGAGGCGCGTGAGACCGAGGACAATGCTGGTTTCGTCCAGATTGCGCCACAATTCCAACAGTTCCTGGACTACTGTGACACATTCGCCACCATTACCGTCACTTCATCTATTGCAACCACCACCACCGATGGCTCTGGTTCGACTATTAGTACAACCCTACCGACCACCTCGGTGACAGTCACGTCGACCGGAACAACTTCCCCACCACCTCCTCCACCGCCGCCGCCGCCGCCACCATCGACCACCGCCGAGCCTCCACCACCGCCGCCCGTGACGACGCTGGTCACGACTAGTTTCTCAGATACCACTGTGCTCGGCGACGACTGGGCGCAGGTGACAATAATCCTCCCTGTGGCTGATAATAGCACGACGACCATCTACGGTTCTAGCTTGACCGAGGGAGCGACACTAGTCCTGCCACTTGCTCAGACGACACTGACGTACGAGACGACACTGACCGGCCCATCATCTGCACTAGAAGCCTCTCGCGCCTCGACTGGCGAGCCAGCTGAGTTCACGGGAGGTGCAGCGAGTCTCAGAGATTGGTCGCAGAATGTCATCTGGCGAAACGGAATGATTGTGCTCGCCACAACTCTATCGTTGTTATGGAGCCTCTAATCGACATCATCCCCTGAAGACTAATGTCTCAACTCAAGTCTAGGGAGAATTACTCTCCAAGCCGCCCCCAGCGGAGCTATCGCCATATTTTCACGACTTCTACGAACATCTCCAGGTTTGTCGAGGGTGGATATAATCACATGCCATCATAATCATATATATACATCCCTTATGTAGGATGTGGAAAGTCCCAACATGGTAAAGGTGGACAATGAATAGAAAGTATATAGGCCACAAGAGACGAAACCTGTAATTAGGTGATGAAATCAGCAAAACAAATGATTTGATCCACAAGAATACTGATATGGCAAATGCCCTCACTCTTAAATTCAAAGTGTGTAATACTATTCTCAGTACTATACATGGCACTAAATTATTCACATCGTCTTGGGACATTCCAATCACATCTTGAGTTAAGATTTGCAGATCGCGGTTTGATGGCACCTCGACAATCATGACAATTTTGGCTCCTTTGAAGCCACTCCATTCTCCGTATCTGTTCTGGTGGTCTCCTTGGCAACCTCAATGCCTTCCTCAGGACGTACATCATGAAGGACTGGTGGACCTTTGAAACTTTTGCGGGCACTGACAAAATACCAGGTGACGGCCACGGATGAAAATGCGGCAAAGACGACGCTTGCGTAATTCATTGTCTCAGCCGTCACCGGAATAGCCACTGGCATACAAAAGATGACCACAGCGAGGCAGATCCAACACACGGTAGCAATGTTAATGAAAAACCCGAATCTCCCAAGGCTGAAGGACGAATGTTTGACGGCATCGCGGCGCCGAAGCACCAAGACCAATATGGGGAGTCCGTAACTTGTGCTCAGGCAGATGGTCGCAACACCAGTAAATGCATTGAAAGCAGCCGTGGATCCAAAATAAATCAAGCCGAGCAAACAGTCAACCACTGTAGACAAGATAAGGCCCCATAGAGGGACATCAAATCGGGTGCTAACTCGAGCCCAGAGCTTGGAACCAGGAATGGCCCCATCGCGAGCAAATGCATAGGTGCACCTGCTCGCTGCAGTGAGGGCACCGGTGCCGGCGAAAAACATGATACCGAGGATCAAAAACAAAAGCCCAAAGCCGCCACCAGCGGAACCTGTAGCGGTCTTAAAGATGAGTCCAATTGGTTGTCCATTCGCCACGGACAACAACGTCGGAACATCTGGCAGAACGAACAAGATTGGAAGTAAGTAAACAACTCCGGTGAAGCCAGCAGCAGCGACCGACCAGACGATGGCTTTTGGAACTTCTCGATGCGGATTCTGGACCTCCTCGCACATCGAAGCTACCATTCCATAGCCAGTCAAGGTATATGCAGGCTGTAAGAGACCGACGAACCATGCCCATCCACTTGGCCAACCAGAGGCCGAGGCATCAAAGTGAGTGAAGACAAATTCAGCATCTCGACGCTCATCCGCCATGGAAAGCAGGGTGACGAGGATGATGATGACACTGGCGGTAGTCCAGTAGATGCATGCCTGGTTAATATGGTTCAAGTATTTTGAGAAGAAGACGTTGATAGCGGCACAAATCAACATCACAGCCCAGAACATCAAGACGACCTGCCAGTCAGTCGCCACAAAGTCTTCATCCCAGAGAGTGATGGCAGAGAGGAGTAGTTGTGCACCTCCAAAATTGATGCTGAGGGTCACGGTCCAGTTGCCAATGAGGGTCAGCCAGCCAGTAATGTACGAGACCATAGGAGCCCATTCTTTGGTGCTCAGCATCGCAGACCAATAGTAGACACCTCCAGCGGTTGGGTAGACCTAAAGGCAAGATGGTCAGCCAGCTCTCCTCTCAAAGCATCATGGTGGATATTTGGATGGAGGGTCAGTAGGAAAGGGTGACTGGGGATCATACCGCACAAATCTCAGCCAATGAGGCGGCAAGGGCGAGTGAAACGAACGACACGAAGATCCAGCCATACAGGACAGAGACGGATTGGCCATCGGTCAGAGTGATGTAGAGGGTGGTGGATGAACCATAAGGGACGGCCATAATGGCCATTGATAGGCCCAAGACCGTTATCATTGACAGATTTCTTGGGAGCTCCGACTGGTAACCAAGCTTTGCCAGGGCGGCATCGCTCTCGGTAGCTTGGCCTAGACTGGCTCGACGCCCACCTGTACTGCCAGCCAGGGAAGGCCGTTTCGACATATTGAAGCAGACTGGCACAGGCGATTTCAGAAACACGTTAAAACTACCGCCCGACTCCAGTCCTCGGATTGAAGAAGAGATGAGAACAGTCACAGTTTCCAGTCATAGTTTAAATTGAGGTGGGATGGCGTCCTCTTTAACTTTGGGCGCTCCTTCCAAGGTCACTCCGTCTGACGTCACTTGGCGTGAAATAGGCTTAAGGGCGTGAGAAGAATGGAAGGAACGATTGCTATTACGAAAAACAAATGCAAGTGCGACCGATCAATTGCAACCGCGGTATGTCTTCTGGCACGAGATAGTAGCATGATGCTGAAGGATCTAGCTGGTCCTTCATGGCCTAATTGGGTTCGATGAGAAATCGAAACATGACATGAGAATGCTGTCTCGTGAGCAAGCATTGCCCTGAGGACCTATGGTAGTTACCCAGCTTATCATGACCTTGTCTTACTCAGTCACGATGAGACACGAGTATTGCTCCGATTGGTCTGAAGGTCTTGAAATTACTTTCATTTATCTATTCATTGCGATGGTCGGTGTGTAGTGGTTGCGAGCAAGGACAAGATCCAACGCTCTCGTTAACTGCTAACTACGTAACCATTGTCTGGGGGGGGGGTCAAAGAATCGTACGACCTTGTGTAGGTTAATTGTGTCTACCACCCGCAGAGGATCATTGAGCTCGCCAACCAAACTATGAATGTCGGCCTCCATACTTGGGAGCTCTCAGCAGATAATATGTACCGTTGAATCCTTTTGTTCAATGGCCACTTCAGTCTCACCAGTGCCGACTAGGCCTCCAAGAGCACAATGATATTCTGAGAAGCTTCGGCTTGAGTCATTGGTAATCCAGTCCTGGTCGTCCAAGCCAAATTGCAAAAGCAAATGCTACACATGCGGTGGCAATAGGAATTCCGCGACATCCTCTCGATGCTGAGCTACTCTGGGATGTCTGTGATGCTGTTGCCGACTTATGGGCTGGCGTAGTCATCCTCACCACTGGCTTCGATTTGAGCTTCTTACCACTTGCTGCGTCCTTTGGCGGGAATTCCAGAATATTGCCGCCCGATACCGAACTGGGATGACCAGTACTGCCTGGGACGCATGCTTCCCACTTCTGTGCGCCGTTCAGCCCAAAGGCTGCCTCAGCGACCAAACTCCACAACGAGGTGATGTTGAAAATATGTTCTGCCTGCCACCAAAGTTTGCAATCGGCCGCTTCATAGACAAATTGCAGAGGCGTAGATGTTTCATCGCCGGCAAGGATCGCATTCCCCACGTTGACCGACATCCAGCTTCTCGTCTGCAAGTAGTCCCCATCCTCCAAGAGAACCTTCAATTTTGTCTCATTGGCCCAGGCTTGGAGCTCATCTGGTGCGTTCTGGTAGAAGTATTGAATCAGGGGGTTGATGGTGTCGATGGCCAACTTGCGACGTGCTTTGACACCTCCAACGGCCTGGACTGGGCCTTCAATTGGAAGCCCGCCAGCGACGATGGTCTTGACTCCAGCTTGCCACTTCAGCTGATGTAGAAAGGTATCGCATGTTGAAGCACAGTGCCCGTCTCCCAGCACAATCACGTGCTCGGCAGAGAATGGCTGAACCTCCCTGGGTTTGAATGCATATCCCGCCATGTAGCTTTGGTAGTTCGAATTATCGACATCTGGCAGGACGATGTTGGTGAAAGTGTCACCATGAGCAGAAACTGGCCCATACATATCAGCCCAAGACTCAAATTTGGTCCCGTTTTCGTTGTAGAAGCCCCTGGCATCAAACATGGTGTAGCCCCCTGCGTCTTCGTACGTGTCGAAATTCTCGGACGCGTTCCATACTTCCCACGCATGCTGTGTGTAGAAAGTGCCCAGCACGTTCAATTGATCATGGGCTAGATAGTTCCCTGGGGCGCGTGACTTGATTTTGGGGAACAATTGACTGAAGGCATCGTAGCCTAAGCCGATGTAACCACCGATGTTGGTCTGAACGTCAATGATGAGATACTTTTTCTTCTCAGCCACGCACATGTCGAGGAAAGTTCCCAGAGTTGACTGGAACTCAACAACCGACCGAGGGGTAAAGGATCGAATCTTGAGCACTGCCACGTCTTCAAACCCAGGTAGATCGACAAAGTACCCTGCCACAGCATCGTCGTCGGAGAGCTTCACGGGCGAAGGGTACGGGTTGGCTTCAGTCTGTTCCACTCCAAACTCGGGGTCTTCAAGATTTTGTGCTTTGTCAAGAGCCCCAACCCGAGAATTGATCTTGAGGCTGTTTCGGTGTTTGGCTAGCCTGGCGGTGATGAAGGTATTGTAGAAGGAGCGTCCATCTGTTACACCGGTAAAGTTGCGGACGGTGAAAGCCATGTTCATATATGTTTTTGTCGTGCCATTCTGGAACGAAATGGTGGAACTGATGTCTGGATAATAGAGCGGGAAAATCAACTGACCGTCCGAGGCTGCCGATCGAAAAAGGGCATTGTACCTGTTCGGAGTGAGTCAAAAGGCCAGAAAAGGTATTATCAGAATTCCTCTTACATTGCGTCCGGGTCCTGTTGTGTGCTTGTTCTGTTCCAGGCTTCATAGCGCAGCCAATCCTGTACATTCTGTCCATCGATTCGAGTGATCGGAGAGGGCTCAAAGTCCTCGTTGCCGTTTTGAGCAGCGATGTCCCCTGGAAGAAATTCAGCAACTGGGTTTTAGATCGGGAAGTCCAATCTTACAGGAGAAAAAGATCTGGGGCACGTCTTTCCCATTAGGAGAGATCGCCATCCAGTCAGCCCAAGGGCGATACCACCCGAAGATCGGAACCATATCCATCCTCAAAGTGAGATGACCATCGTGCGCACTGCCAAACAGCTCGTTGAGATGTTGTTGAAAAGCGTATTCAGAGTCGATGTGGCCGACCACTACCGCGTCTCGCACTTCTTGCAAGCCTTTGACAAGATCGGCAGCTTCGAGATGATAGCCAGGAGGAGGGTACTTCAAGTAGGCCAAGGAGGATTGCCATTCGAGCATGGCCGACATGGCGTCCATCAACCGATGCGCATCTTCTTTGACCAGAGGTACCGACATTAGACAGTCGTAGGCCACTTGCATCGGAAGCATGGTGACACCACTTTTAGCTGTGTCAATCATCAGCGAAGGCGCAAAGACCCGAATTAGGCCTTTGATGCATGAGAACTCACAGATATTCCCGCCTTGGATGTTTTCGACATAGATTCCATTCACGATCGAGCAGGGTTCCTCGGAGCGCCGTCCTCCATGGTATTCAAGTTCATCATCACGCAAGAATGCGCCGTGGGTCGTGCCCATCCACTGGCTGGCAATGAGAACGAAGGACAGGATGATGAGCAACATGGTGAAAGTTTGATGATAAGGAGAACCAAGGAGAACGCAATTACTCAATGGCTGACTACAATGATGATAGGTTTGGCACAAGTGAGTGAGTGTGACGGCGTGAGATGACACCACGAAAGTCGGTTGAAAGCGGAAGTGAGAGAAGAACGGATCTCAGGTCTCAGGTCTCAGATCAGATACCTCTTGTTATGAGTCTGATTTATCCAGCCACCATCAGGGAGTGTCGCATTAACACTGCAGAACGCGTAAGTCTTCACTCACAAGGCAAAGGGTCAACGCGTGGTGAATAAGACCCTTGTTCCACGTCAGAAGGCTGCATGTCTTCACCTTGTATATTTCTGCCCCATAGTAGTACATTCTGCCTCATCCATATCCCTGTGAGAGGTAGAAGAGTCAGGTTTCTGGCGTGATTAGTATGGTCTTTGTGCATGTCTACACGACGTGCATCAGACTCTGATATCTGTGACTGTCTGCTCATGACCTGTGTCATGGTATTGGTCTAAACACTAATGAACTCATGGAGGCCATTGAATCATCTCCCAGGGCCTGGATTCGAGGCAGTTGAAATGTAAATCGTTCTACAACAGAAAGCAAACCATTGTCCAAAGACAAACAAACTCACTGTGTTCGAGTCCGAGTACAGCTGCAGGACACTGCGTGGTACCTTGAGATTTATGCGAGTGAGACTGTGGAACAATGTTCAGACGAGCATTTTTAGCATTGTGTATAGAGATGTAGGGGATTTAATCGAAGTAAAAGAAAAGTGGAAGTCCTGGTAATGTTTTCAATGTTGGTCGTTGCGGCCCATTCGCACCGGGTTGACTTTCCTCATTCGATAGTCCTTATCGTTGGTATCTTTTCTGTATACATCAAGGTGCAATTCATACTAAGGAGGAATAGGCTATATCGTAGAGCATGATTTAAAGGGTCATAGGGTCATTTTATTTTATTGGTAATAGGCATATAGACTTCTTGAATGAAGCGAGTGGTATATTATAGAAACGTCGGTATGGTCTATCCCATGCGAGTGCCTCTATATACTCCACCCCACCATTCTTAAATAGTATATCTAAAGTCTGGGCTTCCCTCAAGAATCTTTCCTTCTTGGTCGGCCTTGCGGTTCTCCCGGCGGAAGTAGATGGTGTTGATGCACACGACAAGGATCAAAAGGCCGTTGGCAGCCATACCAGCATAGATACCAGGGCGGTAATGTGGTGCATCCTGTGAACGGAAGATCAACGATCCTGCCACACCGCCGATTCCACCGAATCCAACAAGTGTGGCTGAGCAGAAGGCGCGTTTCCAATGGCCACGGATGTTGTTTGCCTATACCTCATGGTCAGCAAGCCAAATTCCGATTTATTGCAGTGCAATTTAGCTTACCTGATAAGCCATGCAAGTTGGGATACTAGCGTTGGCACTGGTGCAGACGAGGAAGACGCCGAAATAGCGCACTCCTGGTTGAGATGCGAATCCCTACACATCGGTGTCGGTTAACAACCATTTCATACAAGCTAGAACAGCTAGCTGTCGACGGGATAGGTGGGAAAACTCACCAAAACAGGAAGCCCAATCAATCCGACAACAGCGTTGGCAATCAAAAGAGGACCACGGATGTGATATTTGTCTCCAAGCCAAGCAATGAAAACCATGACAATACCGGCGAAAGCATAAGGTGGAGCTGTGAGGCACTGTGCTGCTGCAATAGAGAAGCCCATATTCTGGCGCAGAATGATGGGAAGAAAATATGCGATGGCATAAGCCATTGTAGTCAAGAAGCTGTAAAGAAGTTGAGGTCAGCTCCACGCATTTGCTTGGGCCCCTGTTATTTGGGGCAAAACATGTCATGGCGAAGCATACCAGAAGATCAGAGCGAATCCCCAAACTTTGATGTCGGCGCCACAAGCAGCCCAAGCACGGAAATTCCACTCTTCGGCTCCAGCGTCACTTCGATCCTTGTTGATGCGACGAATGACAAAATCAATCTCATCATGGCTGAGGAATGCAGGCCAAGCTTTCTTCTGCTTGAGCTGATCGGGGAATCCAACCAAGAAGATGTAGCCAATGACTGCAATGACGCAAGTCAAGATACCTTCAATGATGAAGATCTGAGGTAAGGTCAGTACAGCGTTCCCAACAGCTTGAGACTTCAATGTGACTCACCCATCGCCAACCCCAATAGCCAGCTAATCCATGCATCTGCTGGATACCATAGGCTAGAATGCCAGAGCATGCCGAAGCCAAAGATCCAATCAGATAGAAAACGGCGTACCGCTTCTGCATATCATATCGAGCGTAGTACGTAGAGATTAGGTAAACGCAACCAGGAAAGAATCCTGCTTCGAAGATACCGAGAAGGAGACGCAGGGGAATCATTGCAACCCAATTGTTGGGGAATCCAAAGCCGATCATGACAACACCCCAGGCGAAGCAGATTGCCGAAAGAAATGGGCGAGGGCCAATTTTGCGACACAACAGCGTTGCAGGAGGTTGGCACAGGGTGTAAGTGATGAAGAATACTAGAGCAATTGTGGACTTTGAGGTGGTATCAGTATTAGGTCAAGCAAATTTGGTATAGAACATCCATCTCAGCAGACTTACATAACGAAATCCCTCGTTAAGTTCCAATTCCACGTTCATGCCAGCGATAGCAGCATTGGGTAAGTTTGTACGATCCATCAATGAAACACAGTACATGGCACCCGTTGTCGCAATCAACCGTCGATCAATGCGGTGAATGATCTTTCGTTGTTCGGGTCTGCTGAAGACGGGATCATCATCAATCCCTTCAGCTGGTTGCTTCTCAGAGTCCTCGACAAAGGAATGATGAGGGCTATTCTTGTCTGCAACGATCTCAGACTCCTGGATCTTTTCTTGGGGAATAGTGGCCATCTTGCGAGCAAGGGGTGAGACCTGTTGGCGGGGAAAGATGGGCTGCCTCAAAACCTGGGGACTCTGGGGCTCCATGGAGATCATTTTATACATCGGCCTCAGCGACAGGGACTGTGACTCCACATTGCATCCCGACTCACACTTTGCATCCCGACACGCGACGGAGACCGGCGCATGTCCATTGTCGACGGACCTCGAAACTTAGCACCGAACTTAGCAGTCGAAGCGTCAGCGAAGCGTGTGAGACGTTGGCCCTTGGCACAGGGATGTGGGAGACTACTATTGGCCGGGAAAAACGCCAAGTAGTCAATATCAGGGGCCCCACCAACGCCAAGCCATTGGCAATCGTCCTTCGGGGCGGTAGTTGTGTGGGCAAAAGATCATCTGGCTGGGGAACTTGGGGTTGGGGGCCTGGCCTTGTAATTGCTCCAGCCCTCCACAGCGGAGGTCATTTCCCTTTCGAGCATGCTCTCAGGTCAATGTACCGAGGCCACGGTGGCATGCATTTCCCAATAGAGACTTTGCAATACGTTGCTCGATCGTCAGTGGCAACAGAATGATGGTGGCATGTGCAATGAGACCTGTTACCTCGTTTAGAGGGCCAATCGTTGTACTGGAAGACTTCGGATTGTCGGCTGCTTCCACCTCCTCCTTCGTTTGTTGTTCTAGTGCCGAGATCGAAGGCTGCTCCGTTGAGACGGCGTTATGTCCGCGGAGAGATTAGTGCATCCAGTCGCCGGATGATTCAAAGGCCGTCCATTATTATGTGCAAAGGGATGTTCCATGGCACAGAGTTTGAGATCAGTTTGCGGCTCTCATGCTTATGCAACCAGGACAAAGCCTTGCTTGGAATTGTGTTGAGAAAAGGTGATCCAGTCAGACCATAGCCCCTGGGAAACATATGTCTGGACATGAGAGACGTTGACACAACGAGAAGCTCTATCACACCACGTTAATTCGATTTGCCTTCGAATTCAAGGATGGGCCGCGGTATTTTTGTTCGCAGGTGCCATTTCAAGGGGCATGACCCATGAGCAATGTTTGAGGCTCCACAATGCCATACCAACACAAGTCCTTTCGTACAGATTCTTAAGGCCAAGATCTCGGGGATGGCGACTTCAGTGTGGCTTATCAAACCCCAGCATGTGTTCCACGCGGATCTAAAAGAGCGGATTGTGCGGTGGCTCCATTTTTGCAATCGGCTTTACTCGCATCTTTCCCAGCCGTTTCCGACCCTGGCGTGCCTCTGAATAAGCGACTTTCCCCATGATTCTACCCCAATGATACTCATTGCACAACTGGTGTTTGTAGATGGTGAAGCCCTCTGAACATCTTTCAATCTGTATCAACAAAATACCTCTACTGCATAATCATATTTGTATCCTTGGCGAGTACCTTATCTGCCAAGTCATGTGCCGCCTAAGCATTGCCCTGATAAAGATTAATCCTTTGCCAAAAATTGTGACAGGTCGGCAATCACGTGTGATGCCACGCCTGCCCGCTGTCTGGGCATCTCTTGAGTGCCGATTCCTAGATGTTTGCCGCTCCTTGAAAAAGGCACTATCTTTGATGGAATTTGCCCATATGTACATCAGACCTCGGCACCATAGCCAGTCATATTAATTGACACGTATCCAAAGGGTTTGCATGCGTGAAGTGTCGACTACTAGCGCATTTGGCGTTCGTCCGCGGTTCTCGATTGACAAGGGCTGAAGCCACTGTTGTTTGAGACGGCAATCGCAAAAGAAAGTGCTCGCCCTTGCAAAGGGCCAAGGTGGCACATTTTTGGCACGTTTCGGTTGGCTGCCAGTGTCTCATTTCGGCAGATTCACCCAACAAGGGATCCGTAACTAGCTGCTGAGTGCAATGTATGTCCCCAGCTCGTTATGGACTGGCGCTTCTGCAAATTTCATGGCGCCATGTCATCCCAACGTGAGATCATGGATTTCCCGAGGTAAATTCTATTCTTCTTTTGCCTGCTGAAGAGAGCGTTCTCTTCGTCGCAAGCTCCTGCTCACGTAGAGTCTGCTGAGTGCGCAATAATTCTTCTTTGAAGGCGTACGGTGGGATGTGGACAGGGTCCCAGATAGAGGTTGGGACTGATGTTTTGTACTGATCATCACCGTTCAGGCCTGCCCTATCCATCAAGGTAGACAAAAGGCTTGGGTTTCGAAAGGTGGACTTTCTACCCAAGTCTTCATTAAAATGAACTCCCTTAGCTTTGAGATCGAGAAACTTCCTGAATTTGGCCTCGACTGGAGGATTGGGAGAGCCCGCGGGCGACTCTGGGAGAGAAGTCATGGGATGTGAAGGTTGAGTGAGATATCGAACAGCATCACGCTCAGAGTACCCATCTGTTGGCTCCCTTGACGGTGTCCCCTCTATATCAGTGTTGTCATTATTGGGCGGTGGTAAGGCTGGTCCCATTACAGGTGCCACAGATGAGTCTGGTCCCGAGATAGATACATGGGCCTGATTGGGAGTATCTCTGTGGTGAGCAGATACTGCAGTTGGTGTCGGAACAATCTCCTTGGCTTGAGTAGGGCTTGGAAGTCGCTGAGGTTTTGTGGGGAGAGTCTCATCTTCGTCGCCGCTACTGCTATCGTAGCCAACAAGCGCACTCATACTGATTCTTCGACATTGAGACTCCAGTCTCAGGTGCTGAGGATCAGCTAATTGAAAAGGCGAATGTCTGGGTCGAGTGATCTAGAGCAAGAAATCCTCAAACGCTCGGGGACAATGGTGAAGTCTACTACGCTAGAATGTAAAGGTTTCACCGTAAGAGAAAGTACGGCGAAATATAATCCCTTCCAACGTCATTACGCGGATGGCGCAGGTGCAGGCGCAGGCGACATCAACTTGCGTACGTTCTACAGCTTTCAACACTGACACCATCAACACCCACGCATCACCCTCCCTACCCTCATCCTCATCCCTAAATACTACCGTCTCGCCATCTCAAACGTACAACCATGGCGTCCGTTTTCAACTCTGGTCCCCTGCCGACAGGACAACCTGGCTATTCCTTTTCCAATGCCACAGGCCCGAATGAAGCGTCGGGGCCCCGACAACATGGTTTCTACCCGTAAGATATCTCACGTTACTGAGCTTGATCTCACGATTGAGGCTAACTCGAATATTTGTAGATATACAGACAATGGTGGATCAACGCTAGGTATCACCGGAGCCGACTTTGCCATTCTTGCAGGCGACACTCGATCCACGTCAGGCTACAATATCAACTCACGATACGTGCCTAAGCTTTTCCGCATTGGCGAAGACGAGGAACAGTCTTCACGCATTGTTCTATCTGTTGTCGGGTTCGCCGCAGACGGCAATGCGCTGAAAGAGCGATTGGATGCGATCTGTAAGATGTACCGCTACCAACACGGCAAACCGATCAGCGTCAAGGCTTGTGCGCAGCGTCTGTCAACGATTCTTTACGGCAAACGCTTCTTCCCCTACTACGTCCACGCAATCCTAGGTGGCATTGACGAGGATGGAACCGGAGCACTGTACAGTTATGACCCTGTGGGCAGTTACGAAAGAGAGCAATGCCGAGCAGCAGGTGCAGCAGCCAGCTTGATCATGCCCTTCTTGGACAATCAGGTCAACTACAAGAACCAGTACATCCCAGCGTCAGGTGAAGGCCTGTCATTACAAGAGAGACCTCGAGAGACGCTGCCGAAAGACATTGTGCTAGGGTTGGTGAAGGATGCTTTCACGAGCGCGACCGAAAGACACATCGAGGTTGGTGATGGTCTACAGATCTTGATCATCACAAAGGACGGAATTGAGGAGCAATATGTGCCTCTGAAGCGGGATTAGACCTGCCTTTCAATCCAACGAATTGACTGTTTGGCTCGGGTGGATTCAGCGGCAACATCACAACTGTACGCATAGTATCGGCGAAAGGGGCAAATCAAAGACTGGCTTTCTGGCCGGGGTGTATTGAACTACAATCAAGACCAAGTAACACTGCACTTTCATGATTCACCTAATTCTTCTATGAAATAAGTCCCTAGACCATGTAGCACATCAATCACCGTTGATGCGAAGACGCTGAAAAGAGATTCTGAACGCCGAGCCAATGCTTGAACGAAGTCTTCATGCAAGTCATAAATTCATGTCAATGCAGATGGGCTGACAGTCTCAAAATCTCTCCTTCATCCGACTAGCCACAGTCCTTAAATTGCCATAGACCTTGCCTGGTGGTGCACCGAGGATGAGGCTCACCACCGCCTCCCTGGCAATCCGGATATTTTGAAATCCACCAAGGATATGAATTTTACTATCCGCCAGCACCACTCTCGTTTTGCTGGTATTTTCAATGGCAAACTTGGTCTTGCCGTCCTTGCCTGCTATCCGGCCAATGGCTCGTCCTAAATGCTCTCCCTGCAGCGTCTTCACATCCTTGATCTCAAACGTCTCGATGTAAAGGTCGTCTAATCTCAATAGGGCAATTGCATCGTCGACGTCGAAGCCCAAGGTGAACGCCTTAACAAAGTCTTCGCCTTTCTGGAGGGCACCTGCGTCGGTGGTAAATTTGGAGGTCCGCAGTTCTACGGCCTTGGACTTTGTATTCATGCGAACTTGAAGCTTGAGATGTTCCACGAGTGGAGGGTAGATTTTGGGCCAATGTGTTTTCAGAGGTGACATGCGGTGTGGTGGGACAGGAACTTTGCGGGACTGAATTCGATGGGCGTTTGGAGAGTCTGGCTGGAGACTAGAAGGTGCAAATCGTGGACGTCCTTCTTCATCTATCTGCATTTCGGTGTCTTTGGAGGGAGTGGGCTCGTCTTGTTCTGGCGTGAAGGCGACGGTAAAAGCATCGGTTTGAATATTGTTCTCGTCAAGTGGGAGTGTGGAATCGAGTTGTTGCACATTATCTTGGTCTTGGGCTAGCAGCTCTGGTGCGCGTTGAAGCGCTGTAGGTGCTGGCATCTTTACAGAGTGGGCGTTATGTCTAGAAAAAAGGGATTGTCGAGTGGTGAGGATGGTGGTGGTGGTCTCGTTGTCGTAAACTCCACTATAAAATTGCTGTCGGCAAAGAAATCTTTCTTTTCTCCAGACACAAAAAGGTGGGTCGGGGTCGCCTAACTTTAGGTGCGCTAAGTTGGGTTGCTGCTCCAGGTGATTGGCGGCGGCGGGAAAGGAAGAAATCTTTGCCGAAATGCTGCGCATCATCGAGACAGGCAGGCAGGTGCAGGTGCACGCAGGTGGCAGGTGCGACTGGATGGAGGAGGACGGAGTAGGTGACTGCACATGCATCATGAGAATCTCAATCTGCTCCTGCTTCTCATTACTCACTACTTGTTAATCATTCTCAATTCCCAACTGCCCTCCACCAACTCTGTAACTTCTATTCGTTCGACAATTCTCGCGATTGTTCTCTCCTCAATTCTCACATACAATATGAATCATCAGCCATGAGTGAGGCCTTTCTCCGAGGCATCCATCATGCCTTCGCCTTGCCTGCCATTGCACCTCGCATAACCAGAGTATCGCAAAGAGTTGCCTTCTCCTCTGGCCAGACCTTTAGTTATCATTTACCAACCCGGTTATCGACCTCCCTTCCACCCAAATCTTCTCATGCACGCCTTCTGAGATCAACACAGGACCCTGCGTCCTGCCTTGTGCGGCAAAATATCAAACCCACCCCAACTATCGAGCGATGCCTCAAAAGTCCATTTGCTCATCCAAGAGAAGTATCAGGTCGAGCCGTCTTTCGAAGTAGAACTGGCGTGAGGTCTTTTCACAGCTGCCAAAGACATCATGAAGACTTGAAGCCCAGTGAAGCGGACAACAAACTGCGGAGGGAGACAACAGAAGCAGCCTCGAATCCGACGAAGCAGGGCCCTTCTGAGGAGGCTACTAATCAAGGGCACAGTCGCCCGCATCAGGAGCAGCAAGAGCATTTTTACGACAGACTACACCTGCCACAATTTCATCGACCTACCAAGGAGGAACTATTGGCTGCCGCCACGGGCTTCTGGTCTCGATTGAAAGTTCGTTTCAAGTGGTTGACTATCAAAAGTTCCCGGCCGTTCAACGTCGACGAGATCGTTGGATTTATCTCATGGATTGCTCTCGGCCACGTCATTTGGATTGTGATTGGAACCACTACATTTGTCTCTCTTGCAATTCTTGCCATCAACACTGTCTTCGCCCAAGAAACTCTGGCTCGCTGGATAGGAAACTATCTGACCAAGTCGTCAGGCTTGCAGGTAGTGTTTGAATCGGCTATCGTGCCCAAATGGGGTGACGGCGTCATCACCTTCCGTAATGTCTTTGTTTCTCGACGACCTGGGCAGCACAAATCTCGAGTGACCAAAGGTTCACCGGGAGCTGCCGCCCAGACATGGTCCGCTGAAGAAAGCATCTCACCCGACGACCAAAATTATACACAATTCGATATCACAATTGGCGAAGTCAACGTGACTCTTTCTTTTAACAAATGGTGGAACTCGAAAGGACCTTTGCAGAACGTCGAGGTCAAGCATGTTCGGGGTGTGGTGGACCGAACGCACGTGTTTTGGACTGGAGAAGAGCTCGATCCCAAATCATATCGTCACGAGCATAATCCCGGAGATTTTGAAATCGAGTCATACAAGATTGAAGATCTACTAGTGACAGTCTATCAACCACAAGGCTTCCGACCATTCCCCGTGAGTATTTACAATGCAGATCTCCCACGGCTCCGAAAGCAATGGCTGTTCTACGATTTCCTCTGCGCCAACAGCATGACGGGCGAGTTCGACAAGTCTCTCTTTACCATTCATCCACGACAGACGCATTCGTATACAGGCGCCAAACTCAACGACCCTGAGGATCCAAATGAGCCATGGAAGAAGCAATCACGAATTAGGGTAGATGCCCTGAACATCGATCACCTCAACCGAGGCGCAGTAGGCCCTCTCTCTTGGATCAACGAAGGAAATGTCGACATTGTGGCTGACATCATGATCCCAAATGACGGAGAAGAGTCTGTCATCAAAGTCATGACCGACTTCTACGAACGGATGGAAGAAACCTTGACCTCACGGAAGCATCTGGAGCCGGTTGATGAAAGGGCAAAGGGCTTGGACGACAACATGGACACATCTCTATGGCCGCCAAAGCCGTCTGCCAAGGACGAAGATAAGCGATTCATGGTGATGGATCTCCGCATCCATCTCAATGATGTGCGTGCCAGTGTACCCCTCTTCACCCGGGATCTTTCTTACATCAACAATGCTCTCATACGACCAATCGTGGCGTACATAAATTCTCGACGCACCTTCATCCCAATCAACTGTCGAGTTGTGAAGCGACAGTCGGATTTTGACGGGAGCTGGACTCTATTTGACTCGGGGCTCCTGGACGATTTGTCCGCCGAAGTATATGATGCATTTGCACAAGATGTTACGGACGAGCAAGCTCGTCTACGGAGATTTAAAAAGGTGGGACTTTGGAGCCTGCAGTTGGCTGTACAAGCCATATTCCTGGTAAGTTCATTCCTAACCCCGTCGTGGAGGAGGTTATTAGAGTATCTGAGTGAGGGCGGAGCTGACCTAGTCGCAGGGCATGGCTGGAAATATTGCATGATGTCGATAACAATGGAGGAATCGACTATGATTTAACACGACAGCCAACTCTTCTCTCAATGACATTTATCGGCACTGTATGGCATGGAGTTGGTATGCTGGATTGTACAAAAGTCTGAGGGTGGGTTTGGGACGCGACATCGGATGTGGGTTAATCCGCATGGGTCATCAAGCGTGCGGGCACTGGCATGTGCTCTGACGAGTAAGGGAGGTTTCCTGGATCTCGTAGTAATAGTAAATACCTCAATGATGAACCCAAGACACCTAGTGTACGCACGGGTGGTCTCTGTCAGAATATAATGATACTTTCAGCCTTCTGGTAAGATTAATGACTTGTAAGAGGACTTTCTGAGCTGCTGATAGAAACGGCTGTTGACGATTGCACTTGCCATGCGACGGATGTGGAAGTGAGTGCTTGCCGTGAAGCTCCATGCCAGGGCGGGACACGATTGGCTGGCGACATCGGCAGAGCTGCTTTTCTTTGCTCGTCTTTATCCACCTGCGACCGGGCACTGCGAGTTCCACGGTTACAACACCACAAGTCGATCTTCGTGCTTTAGAGCTCTATCTGCCTCATCCTCTCGCCTTTGTCGCTGTTTACCCTGAGCGCGCATTCCCTCGTTGACCTCAAACTCCTCTTTCCACACTATCTTTTACGCCTACAACGTCAAACATGTCTCTCGCAAGACCTACTCGGTCCGCCCAGGTATGACATGTGCTCGAGTCGAAATCTGCAGTATCCTAACTTGCTTTTTCCACAGTCCCTGTTCCGTGCAGCTCAGAAATCTAGCAGGTGCCGAGTCACTCCTGCCTTTGCTGCTCGATGTAAGCTTCAGCAGAATATTTGAACCTAAGCTCGTTGCAGCTCACTGACATTGCTACTAGCCTATGCTACGGTCGAGTCCGACATCTTCAAGCCTACCAAATATGGAGGAAAATACACTGTGACCTTGATTCCCGGTATGCAAAACACTGGAAGTTGAGGATGGAGTGCAACAACACCGACTGACGCAGACTCTGGGGTGCAGGTGATGGTATTGGAGCGGAAGTCGCCGAAGCAGTTAAAACCATCTTCAAAGCCGACAATGTCCCTATCGAGTGGGAACAGGTCGATGTCACAGGTGTGGACACAGGCAGCAAGCATTCAGAGGACCTATTCAAGGAATCGATAGCTTCATTGAAGCGGAACAAGCTTGGTCTCAAGGGTATTCTTCACACTCCCATCGAGCGATCTGGTCACCAATCCTTCAACGTGGCACTCCGACAGGAACTCGACATCTACGCTTCAGTCGTCTTGATCAAGAACATTCCTGGCCTGGAGACCCGACACAAGAATGTCGACCTTTGCATTGTGCGTGAAAACACCGAAGGCGAGTACTCTGGTCTGGAACACCAGTCTGTGTCCGGTGTGGTGGAATCGCTCAAGATTATCACCCGAGCCAAGTCAGAGCGCATTGCCAAATTTGCTTTCTCATTCGCCCTTGCCAACAACCGCAAGAAGGTGACGTGCATTCACAAGGCCAACATCATGAAGCTGGCTGATGGTCTCTTCCGAAACACGGTCAAGAAGGTCGGAGAGGATTACCCAACCTTGGAGGTCAATGACATGATTGTCGACAATGCTTCCATGCAGGCCGTTTCTCGACCACAGCAATTCGATGTCATGGTCATGCCTAACCTCTACGGAGGTATCCTAACCAACATTGCTGCTGCCCTTGTTGGTGGCCCCGGTGTCGTCCCCGGCTGCAACATGGGTCGCGATGTCGCTGTCTTCGAGCCTGGCTGCAGACACGTCGGTCTTGACATCAAGGGCAAAGACCAGGCCAACCCAACGGCCCTCCTCCTTTCCGGCACCATGCTTCTCCGACATCTTGGATTGGACGATCATGCCAACCGCATCTCCAAGGCAGTCTATGATGTGATCGCCGATGGGTAAGTTTCTACACACGTGGCTACAAGGCATGACTTTCAACTAACATCTTCACAGAAAAGTCCGCACTCGAGATATGGGAGGCGACAGCACCACACACGAGTTTGTGCGAACCTTGCTCGACAAAATGGAATCCTCTGCCTAAATTGCATGGAGCATGTTGGGATAGGTAGTCGATATTCTGGTTCTGAGGTTATTGGTGTGATGCATTCCGAGCTTAAAGGTGCCTGCGATGAATTGTGTGGTTTCGATGCTAGAAATGAACATGTGTATATATTTTCCTTGTCGTTCCTTGCCGTCATGTGTTTTGCTCGTTCGTCACTTTTTGTGAAGTCTGATCTTCGCATTCTAGCGTCATTATGTGACTGGTACCTATTACTTGCCCTGAGAGCCTCCCACGTGAGAGCAGGTTCGGTGCAGCCTACCTGGTTATAGGGAGGTATAGGCGAGTTGGGAGACGAGGCACTTAAGGAAGCACCTAAGAAGGTAGTAGGTCATCAGGCTGCACCCGCAGGCCTTAAGGTACCTAAGTTTGGTGCCTCCATGCGCAAATTTCTGTACCAAGTGACTCTAGGCCAGGCGTCCGACCGCCCATTCGTCTCGTGCCTCTCGGCCCCATTACGTGGCATTCATGCTCCTCCAATCGTTATTCTGGCCAGCCTGGCTCCAGTGTCATTATGATTGATCACTTCATGAGTACTACTGTAACTCATTGGAGCCATTTTCTACCTGCATGTCAAGGACTCGTGGTCCTGTTTCTTGCATGTGATGTTCTCCATGTTTCCCAACACTTCATGGTCGTCATGGCTCTTGCCCATACAAATTTATTGAGACGTTGTTTCCAATCTCCTGAACCGCCATGAACCCTCTTCAAACCTCTTGACCATCATATACAGGTTGCGACCAACCGTCGCCAGAGAGCCAGGCTCTCCCATTCCTTCCCGTCATCGCAACTTCAGTGCACGGCATGACTTCCCTGAAACCCATCCTTGAGGGACTGGGCAGACCCTCCTCGCAAGATTTGCACAACCAGTCGAGCCTAACCCTCGGACGCTCCCCTCGACCATACCACCGCAGAGGGGAATCTCTGACTGTCCTAAGAGAAGCCCGTGCCAGCCAGGACGTGGGAAGTTCCAGTCCGGACACACCTCCACAGACAAGCCGCGCCGAGTCAAGCGAGAGTGGAACAGAAGCAGACGATGAGAAAGGCCCTTTCCTCAAAGGACTGCCTGCGCCACCATTACGAGCCCACAAAGGTCTGCGAGGATCATCGCCGTCGGACCTGACCCCAATTCCGAGCCCTCCATCAACCCCTCCTGCCTATGTAGAGGCCGATGGATATGAATACTTCAAGAAAGACGACAAGTCTAATAAAGCACTGAGAAACGCCAAACTCACGGCCGCAGAGTACGAAACATATAAAACCCGAAAGCGGAAAGAAGTCGTTCGTCGCTGTACAGAACTGTCCTTGCTATGGGGAATCGGTGCTATTGTGTGGACGAGTCGTGGAGGCTCCAAGGCGTTTGTGGATTGGCTGCATGAACTGATCTCTTTTCTACTTATCCCGCCGTTTGTCTACCTCTCTTATCCAGTCCGTCTTGCTCTTTGCGCTCGTCGAGCGGGCAAGACGGTGTTCCACTCGTTGCAGCTGGGGTTTCATATTCCTTCTCGTTTCGACTCCGGGCCGTTGATGTATCCTGTTCTTCTCCCTTTGTGGATCGCCATGTCGCTCTTCAGTCGCTCTACCGCCTTCTTACCTGCCGCCATAGCATGTGGACTTTCTTCGATTCCCACCCACATCACCGCCACTCCGAAAGTGCCTGCGGCTGGCAGCTATCTCCACTGGCTACTATCAATACTTCCTTTTCACATGAAGTTTGTCAGCTTGATCCCACACCTGAGCACCAAACCGCTCTCACTAAAACTCAGCGGCGGAAGCGGCTTCGCCGTCGAAGACGTTGCTGTCATCTTTCCTCTTCATCACACCCTGCTGAACACGCTAGGTTATCTGACGACGTCCAGCCTCGATATCTCTGAGCTTCACCTATTGTCCACGGCTCTCATCAATCTCCTTATTTTCGCACATTCTCCTCAGGCGGAGATCATTAAGGCTTTGATCTGGATCGGAGGTCTGTGTCTCTTCATCACTTGCAAGGATCTCATGGTCTGGGAAGTGGCATTGGCCCGAGTTCCCACATGGAAGCTCCTGCGATCTCGAAAGCAACACGGCGTCGTCTCTCGAATTGACCAGGCCGTTTGCGTTTTGCTGACACGAGCAAGACAGCGGCCAACACAGAACAATTCTTCAGACAGCGACTCCGACGAACCAAGTCAATACCCCAGGCTCCGAGGCGGGCCCAGACCCCGTCTCAAATTACAAATGAACGGAAAATCATCCACCATGCCGGTGGCTGAACCAGTCTCGGCGTTTGAAGTTCCTACGACCAGGTCGGTGTCAATCGATCTGCCCAACTTCACCAAACGCCTCCGTCGCAATACCTTTACTGGCTTCGGCAACGGTAAGAGAGAAAAGTCAGCCGCTAAGAAGGCGAGGATGTCCGCAGCTCAATCGACATCGCCTTTCCTTTCATTTTCCCTCGAGCAAGCCCGAGTTCGAAAGTGGGCATACGCAGCGCTCGTCTATCTGTTTGTCGCCGCCACCGTCCTTGGTCCTGTCAGGTCGTATGTCAGTACCAATGCTCTCGGGGGCCATGAACCATTTGGCTGGGCTCTCGGATACCTTTTTGGAAACACTCCGCGCCTACGCTTCTTGATTGTCAGCAATAATCTGGAGAGATGGATCGCACTCCCGGCGAATCGCTATGACACGTCGAGTGCTGGAGATTTCTCAATTGAGTACTTGCGACAACAACGGTTGGGAGCGGCTAATGTCCGATTACTGATGTGTGTATATTGCGTTTCCGTTCTGCTTGTTGGTTTGTTTGCCGTATTGCGGCTTACCTCGGTTGTGGAAGTTGATACTCGACGGAAGATCTTCCATGGCATCATGGTCGCCATGTTGTTACCTACGATATTTGTCGACCCGTGTTTTATTGCTCTGGCCCTTGGTCTTATACTAGCAATCTTTCTTCTCCTCGATCTTTTCAGAGCATCACAACTTCCACCCATCTCGAAGCCGTTGACGAGCTTCTTGGCACCTTATGTGGATGGTCGCGACCACCGCGGACCGGTGATTGTTTCGCACATATTCTTACTCATTGGATGTGCTATCCCACTTTGGCTATCTCTAGCAGCTGCGTCTCGCGATGGCGATGGACCTTGGGCTGGCTGGGAGACTTCTGTTCGAGACATCAGCATGATTAGCGGAGTGGTGTGTGTCGGTATGGGCGATGCAGCAGCAAGCCTGATTGGACGGCGTTATGGTAGAACAAAATGGTACTGGGCGGGAGGTAAGAGTTTAGAAGGAAGCATTGCATTTTCGGTGGCAGTGACCATCGGCCTCATGGCGTCCTGGATTTGGCTCAGACTTGGGGGATGGGTGCCATGGCCCAATGCCAGCGTGATGATCGACACAGTGGGAAAATGTGCTGTCGCTGGACTCGGAGCCAGTCTCTTGGAGAGCACTCTGACGGCAGCAAATGATAATGTGGTGGTGCCTATAGGGTTATGGCTACTTGTCCGAGGCTTACAAATATGACCACGAGGACGAGGCGTGCAGGCGGCCTTAGTATATATCACAAGATCATGAGGTCTTTGTGATGAAAAGTGTGTGTCTAATGGCGAGAAGTGGGAACGGCATATTCTATGCAGATCTCGAATATAATCCATTTGTGCATAGTACTTTCTTCCATTCCCTTCTGTGCCTTGCTTGCCTTTAGGAAGGTTTCTCTCGTCACAGTGATGTTATGTAGTCGCGCCTCTTTAGACTTTCCAAAGCCCAGCCAGAGCATCGCCGGAAAAGATAACCGATAATGGGTAGTTCGGCGTTATGCCAAGATGAGCCAATCAACTGACGTAATTCCGTCATGGGGTCATGTGCTACAACCCAAAAAGGTTCAAAAGTCTGATAAAGGCGTCACTGACCGGAGCACATTAGCACACGTGATTGTTATCGCAGTTTGGCATGATTAAGCACCATCATTACAGGCCCAAATGTTGACAGGCACGAGGGGATAGCGGCAAGCCTAGGTGAGACGAAGACAACTGACAGGTCATGCTAGGATCTGGACTCTGGTCTATCTGCATGCAAACCCTCAATCGTTGAAGGAGTCATAACTTGCCCTGATCTTACTATGACCTGGACTGATAAGGGATTGGAGTGAGTCAGGATTCAATGCAGGTGTGCCCGTTACGGTACTAGACGGTATTGTGGCATGTCGATCGCCACCTGCCCACGGACGGAATGGTTAGCCTTTGAAAGAGTCTGTATGAGTAGCCTTCCGGGGGTCCCTCGGCCGCGTACAGAGGCAAACCAAAGCCCGAGGGCCCAAGTATGCCTTCGGAGGAGGTTTCTTAGGTGGTCTTTGCACTCCCACTCGCACTCCCACGCCGCCCGCAGGTCCCATGCACAATACAATAGCTCTCAATTGCTCAATTGCTCAACTGATCATCCATCACCTGCATCTCCAATCGCCATCCCATCACCGATACGAGGTTCCCCATCCCCCAGGCATTCTCTGCCTGACTTCATCTCTCCCTCAATCATCATTATACACCCAGCCTGTTTTGATCCTTTGTCGACTGGCCCTACCCTTTTATCGTTCACTTACTTCAACGTTCCTTCACGATCCGCGGTGGTTCATTAACGGCCTGTCTCCATCTACGGTGTGGTTCCTCATCGTCCGGCCCGCTGCGTTACTTCCCCATCGTTGTCCTACAACATTATCAAACCTTCAGACACCGCGCCTGATCACTGGCCATTTTCCATAGCAACCAGCTTCACCCCCTCTGTTTGAATCCTCCGACTTGTCGATCTATTTCACGGCCATCTCCACTGTCCAATACCCTTCTGTCACTTTGATCGTCTGTTGAAAGTTACACTGTGCTCCGGATTGCATTGGATTGCGCAGCCTGCTACCTTATTGCGCCATCTCCACACTTCCAACCCTGCCTTGACGCCTATTCTTCAGCCATCCACTGCGGCCTGTACACCCTTTCTATCACGCCTTGACCTCTCTGCCCACCTCGCGTAACCCATGTTCACCAACATCCCCCTATATACTTGCGACTGTTTGGGACGATAGCGTTGAGACCTGAACATCTGGGCCTTGCCTCACTTTCCGCCAACCACCGCCGTCGGGGTGGTCGACGTCGATCATGGCTACAACCACTCCTCAGTCTTCGGTGCCTCGAAGATCAAAAGAGTCGGACAAGATCGGTAGCTTTCAACGACAGGAGGAAATTGGCCGGGGCAGTTTTGCTACTGTGTACAAAGCCATTCATACTGTAAGTCGTCGTTTGTCTTCGAACTACCTGGGCCATCCCCAACTGATTGATTTCTAGGCTCATTCTGGCACCCAAAGCATCGTTGCAATCAAGTCTGTCAATCTGGCCAAACTCAACAAGAAACTGAAAGACAACTTGACCTCCGAGATCTCCATTCTGAAAGGTCTACACCATCCTCATATCGTCGCCCTGATAGATTGCAAGGAATCCAGTTCACATATTCATTTGGTCATGGAGTATGTTGCCCTCGGTGATCTGTCACAGTTCATCAAGAAGCGAGATACAATCAAGGACCATGAGATGGTTGGAAATATGATGCAAAAATACCCCAATCCTCGAGTCGGCGGATTACATGAAGTTGTCGTTAGGCATTTCCTCCAACAACTCGCCAGTGCTCTCCAATTCCTTCGAGCCAGAGACCTTATCCATCGAGACGTCAAACCCCAAAATCTACTCCTCAGTCCCTCACCCGCCTACTTTCGTCGACACAACCCTTACCCTATGCCCTATCAGGCCGACGAGAACTCATTGATGCCTGTATGTGGTATCAAGTCTCTACCTATGCTCAAAATCGCCGACTTTGGATTCGCCCGCTCGCTTCCGGCCACTGCTCTCGCCGAAACTCTCTGTGGTTCACCTCTCTACATGGCCCCTGAGATCCTCAGATACGAGAAGTATGATGCAAAGGCCGATCTGTGGTCAGTCGGCACTGTACTTTACGAGCTCGTGACCTCAAAGCCCCCTTTCAGAGCAAACAACCACGTGGAGCTCTTGAGACGTATCGAAAAGGGTGATGATCAGATCAAGTTTGCAGATGAGATTCTCATCTCTGACGAAATGAAGAAGCTGATACGTACTTTATTGAAACGGGATCCTAAGGAGAGACTGTCATTCCCAGACTTCTTCAGCAACACAATCATCGTTAGCGATATTCCAGGCTTACACCCCGAGGACATGGAACAAGTCAAGGAAGACTCGCAGCAACTACAGACCGAACGCCGTCGAAGCAGCCGCACGGATCCAGCAGGTGTGGCTCGACCTCGATCCATCAAAGAGCCAGAGAGCCCATATTCTGACAACAGCCGGAATATCGCCGAGGATCCTGTTCAGCGACGTTACTCAGTCAATCGGCGTCTTTCAAGCGCTAGAGACCAGACCGTCACACAGCGAAGACCGTCAGATGAGAGACTCGCGCCCATGGACTCGAGTCCTGGCTCTAATGCTCGACCTGCGCTTCATCCACATGCCACAGCTCCAGGAAGGACAGAATTGTATTCGCGACCCACATCTACACCAATGGCCCGCCAGTCAAGTGGTGGCTCACACAAGTTACCACCATCCTCTCTTCGTGCCCAGGTCTATGATGAGCAGCAAGAGCTGGCTCTGCGGAAACAACGCGAAGACAAGGAGCGAGAGCGAGTGGATCAGGACATTGCCTTTGAACGAGACTACGTTCTTGTGGAGAAGAAGGCCGTCGAGGTCAACGCTCTGGCTGATGAGTTGGATGCCAGCCCCCGACTCAACCGAAATTCGTTGCAGACAGCCATGTCACCGAAATCTGGAGCCATGGTCCGTCGAGCCACCACGCAAGGACACCCAGCGTCGACCACAGGGGCTCAGACCAGTGCTTCGAGAGCTGTTCAGATCGCATCAGGAAGAAGACCAGATGCTTTGCATCAACGACAAAGCTCGTATGAACGACGATATGGACCAAGCCCTAGTTCGGCGACGTCTGCCATCTCAAAAGCTCTTAACATGGCGAGTGGCCGGCTGTTCGGCGTTGGGTTTTCGCCCCCAGTCAACCTCATGCGGGGAGGCAAATCACCGCCAGTCGGATACAATCCATTTCCGGTGTATCCAAGTTCTCAAAGCAGTCTAGTGGTGATCGGCGACACAACGAAGCCACAGGCAACAGATGAAGACAGCAGATTCGTACAGATTGTGGAAGAGCTTGCAAATCGGAGCGACGTTGTGTACGGTCTGGCAGAAGTCAAATACAAGCAGCTGACTCCTGCTGCACCATCCCAGACTGGCCTTGGACTACGCAATCCATCCAGTGAACACGGATCCGAGAGTCCTATTGGGGCAGTGAATGAAGATCTGACCGTGGAAGCGGCCGTGATCGTTTCGGAAGAAGCACTGGTACTCTACGTCAAAGCATTGTCGCTGCTCGCCAAGGCGATGGATATTGCTGCACGTTGGTGGCAACGAAAGAATCGAGCTGAGGGGGCCGACGACCGAGGCTACCGGACTTCAACAAGTGCTGCCGCGGCTGGACTTCGAATGAACAATGTGGTGCAATGGATTCGCAATCGATTCAACGAAGTACTAGAAAAGACTGACCTCGTCCGTCTGAAGTTGATCGAGAGTCAACGACATTTGCCCGAAGATCATCCCAGCCATCCCAACAATATTTCTACTACGACAGCATCAAGTGTAGGCTTGGGAACCTCTGCTGAGCAGGTGGTTGTTAGCACAGGCATCACAGCCGAGAGATTGATGTATGACCGGGCACTGGAGATGTGTCGGGCGGCTGCCATCAACGAGCTTACCAACGAGGATCCACAAGGCTGCGAGATCTCATATGTGACCGCGATTCGCATGCTGGAAGCGATTCTGGAAAGTGATGACGACAACTTGTCACGACAGGGTAGCGGCTCAAGTGACCAAGAGGAAAAGGACAGCCTGGTTCCCATCAACGGACTAGAGGCTGAGGATAGGCAGACGGTCAGGAACTGTAAGTCGGGCAGATTGAAAGTTGGAGATATCAAGCTAACTCGGTTTCTAGTGGTGACTAGCATTCGCAAGAGACTCGGCATCCTTCGACAAAAGATCCAAATCAGCCAAAAGCGTGCATCGGCACCAGCCCTCCCTTCTCCTAGCCGTGGATCACCACCCGTTGGGCAACGAGTGAACCACCCTGCCGCTCTGACGCCGCCCCGTGCATGAAATGTTATCGATGCAAGTTGATTGAGCTATTTGAGAAGAATTTGAGTTGAATGGAATTACCGTGCTGATGGAGAGCGATAGGATGGTTCTTTGCGCAACAATGCTTTTTACCTTTTCTCCCGGGATTGACTGGCTGCTTTAGTGGCTACGTTGATCACTGGAATGTAATTACCTTATTGTTCTGTGTGACCTGGTGGTTCGGGCGAGTGAGCGGCCCCAATCGTGAGGGCTTTTGATGTACATGGAGTTTTGTTTTTGTGGGGAGGTTGTCCGTGGGGAAACGGCGTTGGAAGACTTTCCACTCATGCCGGAGGAAGGGTATGGATCATGACTATTATGACTGAAGAGATATGGTCGGTCATTGCCGCTTGCTCGCGGCCAGCTGGATGTGTTTGGGCGAGGTGGATTGGATTGGAATACATGACAAGAAGATACCCACCCCATGTTCTCTTTGGTCGATTGACACGACACGACACAGCTGAGGTTGTCAGGCGGGCAGATGGACATGCATTGCAAGCATGCAAGCAAGCAGGAGTTAGGACAATAGGTGCGAATGCATGACGACCAGACCACCTGTATGAAAGATGAATTACAAATGAATGAACGAACGAATTGACCTGATTTGAAGAGAGCTTGGAGAGACCATGCGTGAATCGTGAATCGAATCGTGAATCGTGAATCGCAACATGTGGAGGGATTCTGTATCAGTCTTTCTATGGAGAATCATCCCTGAGACGGTTAAGCCTTGAATGACTTCCTCAAACTCGCTGAAATTGTTATGGCAAGACCAACCGACTTGACTTGAACAATGTCAGATTGCGCAACAACATTGAAAATGCGTGGGGTGAAGAATACAGCATTTTCAACTTGCATCTTGCAGAAGGGGAGGGGATGTAAGTGAGGACATGTCAGGTCGAACGGAGCCTACCAGAATTCGCGCATTTGACAATGGGACAGATTCAACTGAAGAAAGACGGACATGGAGAACAATGTCCAGTCTAGATCTACACAGATAGGTGTGGTTGAAGGATCAGAGGGACGAACACAGACACGGATCCAAGTTTTGTCTGTCAGTGGAAGAATTTCTAAGAAATAATCTCCTCGCCGCACCTTCCACAATTCACAATTAGCAGTCAGCCTCGTCCACAAGGCTACAAGGCTGTAAATCTGCAAGGCTGAACTGGCTGACAACTCACACCAACCTCATCTTATCCGCATCTCCAACCGCCTCCAATTCTCAGCCAGGGTCTTAAGAAGCTGTCAAACTCACTCGCTCGCTTGCTGTGTTTCCCAACTGCATAATATTGTTAGATGACGCTACTCCTACGATCCCTGCCCAGGCTTGCGGATTCAAGTACTCGATCAGCTATCAGCAGCGCTAGACAACGTCGCACAGTTTTACAGTCGATTCCGTCGTCCTACTCATCTCGAGCCCAAGCCCAAGCTCAGAAGCATTGTCGATCATTTCAATCCTTAGCTACAACCCGGCAACCTGCTACTAGACATACCCCTCTTCCTCTGTCAACACTGGTCTCACGCTCCTCTCTCCCCGTTCCTGCCTTGGGTTCTACCAACATGTGTCGCTTCATGTCTGACGCCCCCGGCGCCGTCAACACCGCAGGCCGGATCGTCCTCCCCACCAATGTGGTTCCTCAACACTACGATGTCACCATTGAAGTCGATTTCGACAAGTTCACCTTTGATGGCACAATCATCATTGACCTGGACGTTGCCAAAGACAGCACTTCCATCTCCCTCAATACTCTGGACATCAAGATCCACTCGACCGAAGTCCACGCCGACGGTGCTCTCGTGACATCTTCTCCCTCCATCACCTATGACAAGGATACACAAACCACCACCATCGATCTCGGTGGAAAGATGCTCTCCAAGGGTCAGAAGGTCCAGCTCAAACAGACCTACACAGGCGAGTTGAATGATAAAATGGCTGGGTTCTATCGGTCTAAGAGACGTGATGGACAGGTTCTGGCCGTGACTCAGTTTGAGGCCACGGATGCCAGACGGGCGTTGCCTTGTTTCGATGAGCCCGCTCTCAAGGCCGAGTTTACCGTGACCTTGATTGTGGATGATGACAAGACGGCCCTTTCAAACATGGATGTCGCTTCGGAAAAGGTCGTAGACTCCAAAATCACCGGTGGAAAGAGACGAGCTGTTACGTTCAACCGCTCCCCTCGAATGTCGACCTATCTCTTGGCCTTTATTGTGGCTGAACTCAAGTCTATTTCAACCGACAAGTTCCGATTGCCAATCAAGGTGTGGATGACTCCGGAGCAAAACGACGATGATGGCAAGTTTGCCCTTGATGTTGCAGCCAAGACCCTTGCGTTCTACGAAAAGACCTTCCAGGCTCCTTATCCCTTGCCTAAGATGGACATGGTGGCAATTCCCGATTTTGCCGCCGGTGCCATGGAGAATTGGGGTTTGGTCACTTACCGAGTGGTGGATCTGCTCTTTGACCAAGCCTCTGCCGGTGCAGCGACCAAGGAACGAGTTGCAGAAGTCGTACAGCATGAACTGGCCCATCAGTGGTTTGGTAACCTCGTGACCATGGATTTCTGGGACGGTCTGTGGCTCAATGAGGGTTTCGCGACCTGGATGAGTTGGTACAGCTGTAACGAGTTCTACCCGGAGTGGAAAGTATGGGAAACTTTCGTCATTGACACATTGCAAGGTGCTTTGGGATTGGATGGCTTGCGGAGTTCGCATCCCATTGAAGTGCCAGTGCACCGAGCCGAGGATATCAACCAAATCTTTGACGCCATCTCCTATTCCAAGGGCTCTGCGGTTTTGCGAATGATTTCCAAGTATCTCGGTGAAGATGTCTTCATCGACGGAGTGAGGAGATATATCAAGAAGCATGCGTGGGGCAACACGCAGACAGGTGACCTGTGGAGTGCACTTGCCGACGCTAGCGGCAAGGATGTCGCTCATTTGATGGATATCTGGACCAAGAACATTGGGTATCCGGTGGTTACGGTGACGGAGAACGAAAAGGACTCGAGCATCACGCTCAAGCAGAATCGATTTTTGAGAACAGGTGATGTGAAGCCCGAAGAAGACACAGTGCTGTACCCTGTCATTCTGGGCCTCAAGACTAAAGAGGGCGTTGATGAAACCCTCATCTTGTCTGAGCGTGAGCAGACCTTCAAGATTAAAGGCGGGCTGGATTTCTTCAAACTCAACTCGGACCATTCGGCCCTCTATCGCACCAGCTACACTGCCGAACGACTCACCAAATTGGGTGAAGCTGCCAAAGCAGGGTTATTGACAGTCGAAGATCGGGCTGGCATGATTGCTGATGCTGGAGCGTTGGCGGCCAGTGGATATGGAAAGACCTCGGGCATCCTCAGCTTACTGCAATCCTTCAACACCGAGACACAATTTGTGGTGTGGAACGAGATTCTCACGCGGATCAACTCGGTGCGTAACACGTGGATATTTGAAGACGAGTCGATCAAGGACGCCCTCAAGGCATTCCAACTGAGCTTGACTTCGGCCAAGGCTCATGAATTGGGATGGGAGTTTGGCGAGAACGAGGATCACATCCAGAGTCAGTTCAAGAGCTTGATGTTTGGCTCCGCCGGTCTCGCTGGCGACAAGAAGATTGAAGCAGCGGCCAAGGCCATGTTTGAGAAGTTCCTCCAGGGGGATTATGCAGCAATCCATCCTAACCTCCGAGCGTCCGTGTTTGCCATGGCCATCCGGGACGGAGGAGAGAAGGAGTGGGAAGCGCTGCTGGCGAGATACCATTCTGCTCCTACCTCGGACGAGAAGAACACATGTCTGAGGAGTCTGGGTAGAGCCAAGAGTCCTGAGTTGATCAAGAAGACACTCGACCTGGCATTGAGCGGAGAGGTCAAGATGCAGGATATCTACATGCCTATCGGTGGACTGGGATCTACATCAGATGGCATCAACCGACGGTATGAATGGCTACAGAAGAATTGGGATGTTCTGGTGGAGAAGCTTCCGCCTAGCATGAGCATGTTGAGCAGTGTCGTCAGCATCTGTGTCGCTGGATTTACGAACGAGAAGCAATTGGCAGACGTGGAAGCGTTCTTTGCAGATAAGGATAAGAAGGGATATGATCGCAGTCTACAACAGAGCCTGGACAGTATCCGGGCCAAGGCCAACTGGCTGACCAGGGACGCCGAGGACGTTCAGGGGTGGTTGAAGGAGAATGGATATCTGGAAAAGGCAAAGAGTACTGGAGGCAAGTTGTAAGAGAAGGGGGGTGGTAGCCTGTGAAAAACGTTGTATTAGTATCACGTTGAGTGGAGGATCCTGACGAGTTCAAAGTCCAGTACCTAGAGAATCGCATGGTATCAAGTGTTGTAGATCATTTATGGCATTATATCATGTCACTGGTGGACTGACCTGGACGTCGAAATCCCTTGGTTGAATTTACTAGTAAAAAGAATTGGGGAGATTTTGTGGTTCCTCGAATTGCCTGCCCGCACCTGCGCTCCCATGCCGTGCATGCCTCCCTCTGTCTGCGCCTGTCTGCGCCTGTCTGCTGCTTCCCAAGTGGCTCGACTCGGGAAGCCCTTGATTCCGCCGATACGCTAGTCCCATTCTGTCAAATTGCATCAGTGCACCCACCAAACGGTAGGTCCTTCCACATTTCCTATCGCTTCCCCAACCAATCGCCACTGCCGCGTACCTGAGGCCCTGAGTCTGGCTGGGATTTTTTGGCTGCTCAATTTCCCTGCACCAGCGAAGACAGTCCACGACCTCTACCAACACTTAGCTAGGTACTGCTACCACTACCGCTACCATCACATTGCTGGTGCTTTCTCTCACTTGCCTCACCGTTCATATTTCAGTCCAATCCGGTACACGCCATTGCCATTGTCATCGGTTCTTGCTGCCCACCGCCCCTCCACTCCTTTATCTGTTCAACTTCCAGCCTCTGCCAGAGCCCTTTTGTTTGCTCGCTCCTCTATTATTCTTTCGAGACGGGGTTCGCATATACTCATCTCCATCCTTTTGCTATAAACCCTCCCCCTTTCTCTTCTAGACCCAATCTTCCCATCGCCTGCCTCAATCCGATCGCAGTGTCCAGACGGGAAAGAACCACCCTCTTTATATCACCAAAATGGGCCTCCTGGCAGAAGTCCTGTCGTATGGCGAACACCTTTGGAACACCCTTCCCGTATACCAAAGCGTCTTGTTGCTCCTCACCGCTTTTACTTCTATCGCCATCCTCATCAATGTCATTAGACAATCTTTCTTCAGGGATCGAAACGCCCCGCCCGAAGTCTTTCATTTGATCCCTGGCCTGGGAAGCACGTATGTCAAACCTTCTATCTGTGGCAAGACCCCCGTCCACTGACATTTTCATTCTTTCCCTGCAGTGTTGCCTACGGCATTGATCCCTTTGACTTCTTCTTCTCGTGCAAAGAGAAATATGGCGACGTCTTTACATTCATTCTCCTCGGGCGCAAGGTCACCGTGTGTCTGGGCACCAAAGGCAATGAATTCATCTTGAACGGCAAATTAAAGGATGTCAACGCCGAGGAAGTCTACACCGGTCTCACTACTCCAGTGTTTGGCGACGGTGTCGTCTACGATTGTGAAAACTCAAAGTTGATGGAACAAAAGAAATTTGTCAAATTCGGTCTCACTCAGGATGCCTTCAAGAGTTATGTCGAGTTGATCAGTACCGAGACCAAGAACTTTGTTCATCACGGAAAGGCATTCAATGGCCAGACCGGCACCATCGACATTGTTCCCGCCATGGCCGAGCTGACCATCTACACTGCTTCCAGATCTCTTCAAGGAAAAGAAGTCCGGGCTAAATTCGACGAGACATTTGCTGATTTGTATCACGACCTCGACATGGGTTTCGCTCCCATCAACTTTATGTTGCCCTGGGCTCCGTTGCCTCACAACCGCAAGCGAGATGCCGCCCAAAGGAAAATGACCGAGACTTACATGGAGATCATCAAGGCACGAAGGGCACAGGGTGGCAAGAAGGATGGTGACGAGGAAGACATGATCTGGAATCTCATGAATTGTGTGTACAAAAATGGTACACCTGTTCCCGACAAGGAGGTTGCCCACATGATGATCGCCTTACTCATGGCTGGCCAACATTCCAGCTCTTCTACCTCATCTTGGATTCTCCTACGACTAGCCACTCGTCCTGACATTCAGGAAGAACTCCTCGAGGAGCAACGACAGGTCCTAGGCGAGGACCTCCCTCCCTTGACATACGAAGGTATCCAGAAACTCACGTTGAACGCGAAGGTTGTCAAAGAGACTCTCCGCCTTCACTCCCCGATTCACAGTATCATGCGAAAAGTCAAGTCGCCCCTAACCATCGTCGCCAGCACTCCTAACTCTACCACCAAGACTTACAATATCCCCACTTCTCATACCCTCATGTCAGCCCCAGGTGTCACATCACGCGAAAGCGAGTTCTTCCCCGAGCCTCTCCTTTGGGAACCGCACCGATGGGACGAAGATCATCCTCTACAGTACTCGCGCGCGGGACTGGAAAAGGAGGAATTCGAGGATTATGGATACGGATTGATCTCCAAGGGTGCAAGCTCGCCATATCTACCTTTTGGCGCCGGAAGACATCGGTGCATTGGCGAACAGTTCGCCTATGTCCAGTTGGGCACGGTGTTGGCCCAGATGGTTCGTGAAGTCAAATTCCGAAATGTCAACGAAAAATCTGGACTGGTCAAGACCGACTATTCCAGTCTATTTTCCCGACCCATCAGCCCGGCTGTGGTGAAATTTGAAAAGAGAGATGCATCGCAGAAGTCGTGAAACTTGATCATAAATTGAACTCGGCCTTGAGTTTTGCTCTTTCCTAGAAACCGACTTAATAGACGATGCATAATGAAGTCGAGTCTTGGAGCGGCATTTGCATACCTACGCGTTAGAGCTGGCCTGGTGTTGGATGATTAATGGAGACGGAGTTCTAACTCGCTCATGGCGTTCTTGTCAAACAAGGAGAGGGATGGTTTTAGATGAATGGACCAATCTGTCCATTGACATCACAAACTAACTTACCGACCTAGATACGTACCTAGGAGGTGTACATAGAATAATTATTGTCAATTATTATTGCAGCCTTTAGGTAGTGTTCACGCATATATGTACATGACTCTTTTCAGATGGGAAGACCCTTCTTATGAGGTCTCAACTGTGTATTCCCAAGTCCAACTACTAATTTATATTATATTGAGATTGCAGGTGGAAAAGTCAGGATTTGTTGGATGGTTTGTTAATTCTAATATTACACGACAAAGACATAGACATATTATTGTCAGAGTCAAACATATCTGATTCCTGCTTCACGATGCATTTGTAATGTTCGCGTGATGCTACAATACCACAAATCGACAGCCCTGTCTGAGACATGTTGATAGACAGACAGAAAGAAAGAAAGAAAGAAAGAGTTGAGAAGAGTAGAGAAGAGTAGAGTCCATGTATTGGTTATCCCTCAAACTTGCAAAACCACATCGGTATCACTTACATCTAGGTACGTCTAGGTACCTACACCCACCAACATACATACTCGATCATCTCAGATGTCTATGCAAGGTATCTGACCCAACCACCCTGATCAGTCAATCAGACCTTGTTCTCGTGTGCCCATGTCAATTGATGAGACTAAAGCCCATACCCCTTGGGGATGACTCCAACGCCCAAAACCCAACGGTCGATTGAAAACCAACACAAAACGCCCTCTGCAATTCAGCCACCATGGAGAGTTTCGTTTAATCGTGATACAGAGAACCACACCGCAACGCCTGTAGATTTACGGACTCGCTGGAACAATGACGGTGAAAATTAAAAGGAGATGATAGCGACAGACGTGTCGAGGTGGGAAACAACAAAGGCAGATTGCTGGTATCAGCCCGTGTCGTCATGTCGTTCATACTGCCGCTGCACCAGGCTTCAGTCCTTTGACACTCTTCCATTCCACAAAGATGGCTGCAATGACTGACAGACATGTCATGGCAACGGCAATATACCACGTCTCGGTCAGAGCGGTATTATATGCCTCTCGCACACCCTGGAGGAACTCGGTTGGGATCTGTTCTTGTAAACTGGTTGCACCGACGTGGAGGATGATTTGCGGGTCAATGCCTGGAGCTTCGCTGGGAAGAGCGCTGATCAGACGATTGTTAAAGATGTTTTGCGCTACTGAAACAAACAGCGCGCCGCCGAACGTCTGCATGAACATGCATAATGCAGTTCCAGTGGGGATATCTTTCAGTGGCAACACCGCCTGGACGGTGACGATGGCTTGTTGCATCCCGAAACCGACACCAAATCCATAGATGATCTGATAGCCGATCCATTTTGGAGAAGCCGTGTTGGATTCGAAGGTAGTGAGGAGACCAGCACCGATGGTGGAGAAGACGACAGAAAGGTAGTAGAAGGGGGTGTAATATCCGATAAGCGTTGTGCCGATGCCACTCGCAATGTTGGCCAGGACTAGTGACATGACGAGAGGAATGGTCATGATTCCTGACTTGAAGGCTGAGGCTCCTTTGATGGCTTGGAACCAAATAGGAACCCAGTACACGAGCACGAAAAATGCGCCACCCAGACAGAAAGCGAACCAGCAGGCACTTGCAACGCTGCGTTGTCGGATAATCTTGAAGGGCACTGTGGCGTGCTCTCCCATGAAGTATTGAACAATGATGAAGATGATGGTGAGGATGCCGAAGAGGGTCAAGCATAGAATAATTCGCCAGTTGGACCATGGGTAGGTCGAGCCACCCCATTGAAGAGCAAGAAGGCAGACGACAATGTCGACAATGAACAGTGAGGTGCCACCCAGATCCAATTGATGAGCTCGCTCCTTCCATGAAACATTGGTCTCCGCCTGACGAACGGGCGAATGGAAGAAAAAGATAATAACAGCCAAGGCAACGGCGCCGAGAGGAAGATTGATCCAAACTATGGCAGACGTTAGAGCCCAAATCAAACGGAAAACATGAAGCCAAGAGAAACACGGTAAAGGGGCGGAGAAGATTATACATACAACACCAGCGCCAGCCAGGTCCGTCAGTAAAGGCACCACCGAGGAGAGGACCGGCAATAGACGCAATCCCATACATGCCTCCGATGAGACCAAAGTAGATGGGACGCGACGCCATAGGAACGCTATAAGCGATGATGACCAGTGCGCCAGCAAAGATACCAGCTGAGCCAACACCGGCAATTGCTCGTCCAACGATCAAAGCCGCCGAGGTTGGAGCTCCACCGCATATGGCAGAGCCGACCTCAAAAATAACAATCGAGACAATATATACAGTCTTGATTGAGTAGAAAGTGTACAGCCTGCCAGTGGAGTTAGAGGGTCTGTCTCGAGATGGTGAAGTATAATTACTCACTTTCCAAAGAACAACTGTAAGGCGCAGGTGGTGAGAAGATATGACGAGCCATACCATCCAATGTCACCAAGCGAATTGAAACGATCTGTAATCTTGGGGATGGCAGTGGCGATGATAGTATTATCGAGGGCAACCAAGAAGACGGAGAGGCAGAGGGCGAGTGTGATGAGAGCCAACTTGATCCCAGTGGGATAGACGAGGTTGGCTTCATCAGAGGAAGTCGTACCAGCAGCCTGAATTTCAAGCTGGGCTTTTTCGTCTTGGATCTCAACGTTGGAGGAGTCAGATGAGTTGCCGGGCTTGGGAGTCGTTGATCGTTCAGACGACGGATTGTCTCTAAGACCTGTCTCGGCCATAGTTTCCTTGTCAAGGTCCGTATTCGAATGAGTAACGCTGGTGGTAACGGTGGCCGTCTCTGCTTCGGTATTCGTGGGTGTAGCGGACTCGGAAGTCTCGAGTTTCTTCTTGAAGAGGCCCATATTGTGGTCAGGCAAGAATAGGGTGTGGTGGGTATCGATTCAAGACGCGCCTGGGCCTATGATAGTCACGTCTGAGGTCCGAAGGTACGTATGAACCCAGTACAAGATGTAGGGAATTTTGATATTTCGACGGAAAGAGCCGACCAGGGAGAAATATCGAGAAAAAGAGGAAGCTATATGGATTGAAGCATGTGCAAAATGTTGAGGAATCCCTGGTGCGGGAAATGACTGCAAGGACGCTTTGTTAGAGAAAGGAAGGGTGAAGTCCCATCAATTAAGTCCGGCTTGACGGATATATCGTGAAGCAGAAACAAACTTTCACTGGGAAACCGTTTGAGATCAAATAATATACGGAGTAGACAAAAGACAAACCCACTAGCAATGGGACAACGAAGCGCAAGTTTGAAGACGGTAGCGCATCTCGACTGACTCGGGACGGGGCTGTCACTTAAAGCCGCGATCTAAAGTCGAATCAAGCGACTCAATTGCCTACAAATGGTCAGGGATGTTCTAAAGACCCGCTAGATATTTCCAGACTAAGAAAAGAGTAAACTAACCACCTAACTTGTCAAAATTCTACCAGGTTCAAGAATTGTTGTAACCTGAAGCGCCCGGACTGATGGGCAGCCACAAGCCAGGCAACCATGAATTCCAGCTGTTGGGGGGACATCCAGACTCGCCGAATGGAGCAACTGCAAACTCATGACGTGAGAGGACATTTGAACATATCCATGCCGCTCTGTCAAAGTCTGAACTACGATCTTGATCATTGTGCTATCGTATTCGGAACTTTTGTCGCAAGGATACGGAGTAAAATCTAATCGCTGTTTTCCTGGGCGCCTTGACCTCCCTACAAATGACTTGGCTTGGGGATCCTCCCACCAAGGTAAAGCTTAGATTCCCCAAACCCCCTGGCCTTTTGATTCTTTTCACCCCATGGCAGCCTGCCATGCGGCGAGATGTCTCGCCGAGCAGAGTCCACTTCCCGGAGTCCGGATGCTTTGGGTTCCGATTGGGTACCTTGCGACTGCTCCTGACTTGATATTTGTTGGTTGGATATGCTATCTAGGTCACATAGTCTGTCTTCTGCTTCGTGTTGACGCATTCTACCATTCGTCAGCTACATTTACCGGCTCTTCATGATTTTGGCTAGAAGCTTCTGATTTCATGAGATGATCACGTAATGTCACACCCTATGACACGAGCGGCAGGCGTGGAGGAAAAGATCTAAAGAACGAGGATATCAAAGCTCGAGTCCTTCAAAAGGAGCACGGCAGTCAAGAGTTCGCGTCGTCATTATCAAGAAATCTCTTGGCCTTGAAAGAATACCTGCTCATCGTCCACAGCAATGGAAGGCGCCTTTACATTTTGCTCAGTGCCTTCCCAGCTTCATGTGAATTCTACTCCTCTCAGCCGGAAGTTGCCAGCCCCCATTGTCCCTTCTATCCTTGTCTGATAGGTACCTCAGGTAGTCAGAGATGACGATGAATGATCACTTGACGAATGGAAAACTGTCAGTCCAACTCACACTCATCTTGACTTGTGGGCACGCTGTCAATATCAATATCAATATCGTGAAGTTGAAGGAGGATCTGTCTTTGCGTCGTGTCTACAATGAGCTCCTACTGCCCACTGGTCGAGTTGGCCCCTGTGACTCGGAGAGCTGGTCGAGGTGGTGATTTCCCTTTGTTTCCTGCCACACCCTTCCACTTGAGGGTCTGAGGGCTGTTTGTCACCCAACTTGCATCGTCGACACTTCACTTCAGTCTTTTCACGCGCCATTCACAACAACAGTCATAGCCATATTCATTCACACCACACCCGTCAATGACAAAAGTGACTCAGAGAGCCTGAACACTTGGCACATCTGAGAACCTACATTTTTCAAGATTTCTCTCTTGTTCTGTCCATGCCTCCTCCTCTACCACCTCCTCCCTTAACAGCCCCCAGTGTTTTCTTGTTACCCCCAACTACCTCTGGCAACTACATTATCCTCTGTCCCCGTCAATCGACAAGATGGCTAGCTTCAAATTCCTTCTCTTGGCTCTTGCCGTTGTTCTCAACCTTGGTTCGGTCATGGGCCAATTCGCTTGGGATGTCCCGCCTTGTGTGGTGAGTTTTCTCATCAATTCCCATTCGCTGACGAGTCTGACATACGTTACAGGGCCAATGTTGGAGCAAGAGTTTCAACATGACGGTCAAGGATGCCATGCAAACTTGTCACCGCAATGTCTGGGATGCTCGCTGTCTCCACCTCTACTGTCAGGAGCTTACGAACTGCCCTGATACCAAGGCATGCCTGAATGTTCAATGTGATGCAAACGCAGAGCTCGATTGGCGCATCGATCACATGGCCTCTTTCTTTGGATGTACCTATGCAAAGCAATTCTCCACTGAAAGCGAGAGTCCAGATGCTACCTCAATCCCAACCTCGCGCATTCAAGCTAGCTCTCCCATCCCTGCAGACGAACCGGACACCCATTTTCGTACCCATGTTCGCCGTGACTCTTCTCACAACGCGACTGAAACTGCTATTGAAACTGCTTCTGAGCCAATGGTCTGTATATGCCCTACCCGGTGGTGCCTGTTTTAACTGAGCTAACATATTCAACGCAGTCGTCTTCAGTTGTCATCGCCAATTCGACCAATAGTACCCCTTGCAGTTCAATCGGTAAGGCACTTTCCCCCTCGACCCCTAAGTATTGCTTTCAAATTGAGACCTGACCTTACTCTCTAGTCACCGCGACCATCGTTCGTACTGCCACCTTTTCTCCCAACTCCACAGCGGTCCTTCCTACAAGCTTCACCTCGACCTCGTGCAACTGCAATACCACTACAGTTTTTTCGACATACACATACACTCCACCGGCCGATCATGCCGATCATGCTTCGAGTACTACTACTGTTTTCGACAGTAACAGTACCATCACCATGACCTCCGTCAAGACTAGTGTCATTAGCACCACACGCCCACACGCCAATATCACGTATTCGCATCATACGAATATCTCTACCGCCACTAGCACCCACTCAGCACCTGCTCTATTCACTGAAAATGCTGCTGTGCCAGTCAATCCAGAAGTGAAGGTTCTCGCCTGGTGGGTTGGCGTGATGGGAATCTTTGTGGCGAGATTTCTTTGATCATCACTACGTAGGGCATCTAACCAAACGTGTTGGAATGTGATGGTAGTGGCTAGATGGAGGTTCACATCTTGTTTCTTGTTCGGTTATCAGCGACATCACCAGGCTACAGAGACATTGGGTGCTGATTATGGTTGGCAAGCGTAGCTGGGTATCTAGCTGGCTGGCCACCCAATTAATCAGTTGATTTTGTATTTGGTCATGACGACAGATGTCTTCCCCGACAGGGAAGAATGAAGACTTTAGCTTCTAGATCCTGGTGGCTTGACGCACCTGCAACCGCTGCAATGTATACTGGTATCCCCCTGGGTTCAAGTGAGGTTCATGGTCACGTGGTATAGCCCAAAATGTCACGTGGTTGTGCCTGTGATGAAATTGAACGCTGTTTATCAAGATCATCGACCTACAACACGGTGTGACTGAGCTTGTTATTCTGCCAGAGCAACCTTGAGTAAAGCGCGACACTTCTCACGGCTGCTCAAGTCTCTCTTAATTAGTCATGATCGCATTATCCGTGCGAAATCAGACAACTTATTTAATACGACGCCTTTGGTATTGTCTTTGATCATCCATCAGACGAATGCCACAATCCCCGCCACCTGAGCCACAAATCTTGAAGGGAGGTAGCGAGGCACGACCTAGTGGAAGCCCTCATCCTCACCGACGACGCACCTCCCTGTATGACGTGGTTGCAGGCAGAGTCGGCCTGAATGGCTTCCTATCCCGAGAACAACTACAGTCTTCCAATCTAATTGCAAGTGCTCCTGAGGAGTATCTTATCCGCCGGACAAACATCCCAGAGCAAATAGTGGATGAAGCCGCTGAAGTCACAGATCGTATCTCAAACGCCAGTGGACTCCCAGATTCAGATCTGCTGAAAGCGATTCATGCCTACGCTTCCGATTTCTACAGGTCATGCAACCGGGGCAAACCTGACTTCGACAGTCGGTCCATGGATGAGACAGCGCTGATAGCGATCAGCTTCTTACTCGAAGAACTTGTGAAGCAAGAAATCGGTGAAAATGGGGATATGGTTTTTGTAGAGCCAGAAGGCTTTGAGAACGCGCCAGAGGCACCCCGGATGATAAAATACCAAATCCAAGGGAGAGTTTACCCTCCCCCGATGCAGCGCCAGCCCTCCTTGTCAGATGAAGATCTACTCGACCAGGAACAGTCTCCAGCGAAGCGACCCAGGCGATGACCGGAGTACTGCTTCATCACATGCCAGAAGTCTCTGAGGTTCACTATCACAGTGGAGCCCAGCGGAAGCAGAACGGATGTAAGATAGAGTTCTATTATGCAGCGGTTGTTTCGGCCATTCAAGTAACTCTCACTGCCTTATCATGTGGCTTGTCATCTCAGCTGGGTTTCCAGTCATACTCGAAATGCTTTGTTCTGGAAGAGCAACCGGGATAACTCGGCCAAAGCTTGACGCAAATAACAAAAGCTTCCCACTGGAAGTGATGTAACGACACGTGGTCTGGCGTGCGTGGGAACTAAATACGGACGCCGGCGCAAACGTCTCAGTAGCGACCATTCCCAACCAAATTGCTACCAAGACCTGCATCCCCAGAGCGTGGATCACAGGTTACCATTTCCTGACTACTCTAGCTAACGACCCAACCAACACCTCTTATCAAGACGACGTTCAGCTACAGAGTAGTCTACGCTGCGCACCAGTGGCATATTATCCACAGGCGAAGAGTGCTCAGATTATAGCCCCAGCCTTAGGCTTTTCTATACTGCTTGATCGAGGCGAAATGAAGCTGATGCAATAATAATATGAGACCTAGTGATGTAGAGAAAGAGTGTACTTAATCAGACATCCATGTCCTCTAATCAATGAAATGTCATTTTTCTCATGACTTTGTTACGCCCCATGTTTAGTAGGCCTGAGTAGCAGACTCTGACAGACAAACCGCAAAAACTCCTCGAGATTGTCCCTCATCAGTTTGGGCATAGTCACACCAACTTCCAGGCAACAATGCATCATTTGGTTGCTTTGAAAAATGCCTCTGAAATCAAGGTGGGGAGTGATTGCTTTTTGGGCACGTCAGGCCCAATTTCCGTCAACATTTGACTGCTTCAGTGGTGTCTCCAGAGATGATCAATAGCACGGTTTAGGTGCGGGGGCCCCTATCAGGTTCACCGCGGGCACCTACTCCCCTTCTTGAGAATTGTGCAGGTTGACTCGACTAAAGACTCTACAGACATTCTAATAAGACGCAATTGATCGCACAGTAAGGTGGCACCAAAATCAGGCCTTGATGAGTTTCGTGGAACGTTGGAAGTTCAATATACTGCACCTACATGCTTACATTGCGAATGGACGAGATATCGTGGAGGGATGGTGTGAGGTTTCGACAACACACCAACCAACATTATTATATGCTTGCAAACCACGGTGTTCGATATTCTTTTAGGGGACCGTGACGACAACTCAGGTCCCCTGCGACCCGAACCCGGGTTCTCGGTTTTGTACGGAATGTTCGCCGGATCAACCACACTGTTCCAAAAGTGTCGCCTACAATATGTACGGGGCATGCACTGCAGACAATGTCTGTACCAGTCGTGAGAGTCATGGGGTCCGCTCGGCTGAGGCAAGGTCAATAATGCCGTGTTGGGTGATCGGCGTTGGCCGGTGGGATGGGATCTTTTGATCTTTGGGCCTGGAATGCGGACTAGGGACTGTACAGAATGACAAAAATCACAATTGGGCTTTGCCACCTGCCACTGCCAGCAACATTGACAACAACTGCATCTTACTGGCAATGATCGTGAGATGGTCTGAAGAAGTCCAGCCCATGAAGTGTCTGCCTGACCCTTTCAGCTTGATTCTGTTGCTTCCCTAGTAATGTCCTGGCCTGCCTGGTCTGCACCATGATGAAATTTTTAGCCAATAATAATAACAGTGACTGAACAATGCCCTCAGACCCTCGCGACTCGAGCAACTCCGGCCATGAATCAACGATGACGAAAGTCCTGTTCATGTCTCGAAACGAGTTGCGCATCTCCCGTTGCTTTGCATGACCGGAACCGTCTCTTGACAGATAGTCAGCCAATGACGACATCCGATTTAAGTAGTGTCCATCTCAAGTCTCAGCGTACCTCAAGGAACAAGCCTCATTCCCCCGTGCTTGCGTGTCTAAGGGATGCGGATCAGACTTCCATGTTGTTCAAGTCCGCTCGTAATAGAGAGCTCTCTCTATGAGAGAAAAGGTCTAGATCACTTGTGACAAATTCTCAATGCTCCGTTGCCTGAGGTTTCCACGGTCAAGCCAAATGTACCAGACTTCGGATATTGGAGTTACAACAGGCGTGATAGACTCTTACAGGAAGGAGAGAAGCCCTCGGGCCACCATGTATTTTATTAGCCCCTCGGGCCCCCTCGCGTCTGGTTAGGTGGCACTGGCACGACTGGTGGGCTTTATCCTTGCCCCATACACCCCACTTTGCTTGTATCGAATCTAACAGACTGGACGATTATTTGTCGGATAAGCCAAGTGTGAAGACGATGCGTCCTACAGGTCAAATCGCTCAGTGCATGGTGGCTCGGTAGAGGCACACTTCCAGGCTCTTCGCCGCCACTGCCGCCCACCTCTTGTGCTAGAGGCGCACGAGGCGTCAAACAACAAAGTGCCAGCCTGCCAGCCCTGCCCACACTGCCATAGCGCCCGGGGTGCTGCAGCTCAAGGAGTGAGCCCGCGGGTCCCAAGTCCCGGCACCAGCCAACCGTGCCAGCTCTTGTCGTGCTTTGTGCAGCTCCAACGTCAACCCAACTGCCCACTAGATTGCCTAAGCAGGGCACAAGTCCGCCTCGCCGCTAGCGCCCCTCGCCTCGCTCCTCCAGACTTTGGCCCAATGCTACCATTGGCAACCTACGGCAACCTTAAACCATCAAAAATTGTGGCCCCTCGGCCGTCCCTCCAGGCCGTCCTCCAGTCAGACCTTTCGCCTGTCTGGGGCTTCACAACCTCCCACTTTGACTGCTCCATCCGCCCAACTTTACGAGTCTCGAGTTTCAAACTGCTCACGTTCTTCCCCCTCGCCAAGTCGAAGCTTGAACCTGCAGACAAGCCTTCTTCTCATCCATCCAGTCCATTCTCCATCCTCCCGTCACTGTGGTTGTTGCGATCTTCACCAAAGCTTGGCCACTCCTCTACATTGTTCATTCTATCTGCATCGTAACCACCTCACAATCCCTACAGGGACATATTCGACAATACCTGAGAATCGACAGGCGCCTTCGCCTCTCCTAGGCCTTCGTACCTCCCTCTCGTCCTCCGCCCATCGCCGCCTAAACACCACCTCTTCTTGTGGCATCCCACGCCACGAATCCCGCACCCAGCTCACCACTTGCCTGCGCCCTCTAGAAGAAGCATGCGCGTCGCACTCGATTCGTACTACATACCTTGAGATCTACCATTCGCCATCTTTCTAAATATTCTTCAACACCGTATACCTGGTCGCTGAGCTGATGAGCCGCTGAATGGGTGCAGTATTTCCAACCCTCACCTCATTCCCTCCGAGTCCGACACAGCCACACCCACCCTACTCGCGTCCTTTCCCCCGCCCTTCCACATCAGTCTCTCAAACCAAGGAGTATATTCATTAGAGGAGCGTTATCGACCATGCTGTGGTCGATTGCACCATCAAAACAGTATTGAATGGATCAGGTCCTCATGGCGATGCCATTAGAGACACTGCTCACCAACCCAAACCCGCCAGTGCCTCGTTCACGCTCCATTCTGTCCTACTTCTCCAATCCACTCTCAAAACATGCCCGGAATATGTTTGAATTGGTTATTGAACCCGAGGATCCCTTCAGGGTCTACGCACCGGGTCAAACAGTCAAAGGTCACATTGCACTGACCGTGACAAAAGGGTTTGACATCACTCATCTCGTCGTTGCCTTACACGGATATGCAAAAGTCTACAAACATCAAGTCACCACTGGCGAACCCCCTCCTACTGCCGAGTTGTTGATGACAGGCAAAGGTCCTCGAAGTTTTGAATATCATGGCAACGGTCTGGCCTCGCTTTTCCAAAATGAGCAGGTTCTTTGTGGCAATGGTTTTCTCAAGAAACAAGTGTACCGCTTTGCCTTTGAGGTTCCATTTCCCACCAAAGGCCTTCCGAGCACCATTGATGTTAGTCAATTGACTTCTACTTCTCCAAATCCCCGCTAACGCGTGTCTAGTTCGAACGAGGCACCATCTCTTACATGCTGACTGCGACTTTGACACGTCCCACCACCATCAGCCCCACGACCACGCGCAGTACGCCGGTCAAATTTCAGGATCACATTGACATTGGGTCCATGTACATTCCCAAGTCAAGAATCATCTCACTGGAACCTTTGTCAAGACGTGGAAAGGTCAAGAAGGTCAAGGCTTCCTCTTCCGCGACCACCGCCACGACGTCAAGTGCCGGTCAGTTGACGAGGAAGAATACCCATAACAGTATTGCCACACGGAGCTCCAACTCTATCAACAACCCACCCTTAAGTCCTGCCCCCAGCGACGACACCGTAAACACCAATACAACCTCGACGAGCACGCAAAGCTATCAGATGGTCGAGCGCTCCGATTCGCCACCAACAAAAACGAGTCCACAGACGAGTGACTCGAGAAGCAATGCCACCAGCTCATCCACGCAGACCATCACCGCCGTCGCCGAGTTACCTAGACATGGTGCCCTTCCAGGAGATCAAGTTCCGATCCGTGTCTCCATCACACACACCAAAGCCGACGTCCGCGGAATGGTGATTGCGACTTTATACAGACAAGGCAGGGTAGACTTACATCCCGCAATTCCCTTGGCTACTCGCGGAAAGGAAAAGCGGCCAGAATACGAAGATGTCTATCCCAAGTCACGCACTGGCCTTGGCGGCCTCTACTTTGCCAACAGCTCCCCCAGCAGTGTATTTCGGAAGGATCTGGCGCAAACTTCAACTATGATGATTATCAATCCGCGCACAATGACCTCTGAAATTACTACCACGCTCAAAGTTCCAGAGTCTTCATTTCCAACAATCTCCAACGTTCCCGGCATGATGATATCCTTTACCTATCACGTCGAAGTCCTGGTTGATCTCTTCGGTAGATTGAACGAAACCCGGATATTACCACGTCTCACGTCAAGTGAGCCAACATTCACGCACCATGTAGAAAGTGGCAATCAGCTGACGTCCGACTGGTCGCACAATGTCTTGGATACGACTCCCTTGCGGCGCACGAAAAGTGTCATCACCTTCGAAATGTCATTGGTGGTTGGGACCTTGGATAGTGCGAGAAAGCAAAGGCAAATGAAACAAATGGATCTCCAAAAGGTGGAACAAGGACCACAGTGGCCTGAGGATGAGTGGTATGGCGAAGACGAGCAGGAGTACTTCCAACAGTATTACGATGATCACGCCAACCATTACCATGGAGGGTACGAGCATGGTGGGTATAACGACGCCTTCCATCAAGACGCATACAACCATGAAGTGTTCAATCATGATCCAAATTACCAGGACTACCCAACTCCAGGAACCGACATCATTCCTCCTCCTGAGCCACATGAAGAAGTCGATGAGAAAACTCGTTTACGCCGACAGGAGCAGTTGCTACTACCTAGCCAGCCACCCCAGGAAGGTGAGCCATCGAGTGCACCTCCAGCGTTCACACCATCAGCCCCAGTACTCCCAACTGGAGGGCCGAACGACGAAATTGAGAATCTTCATGATGGCAGCGCGACACCCTCAACACTACATCCCTCGTCCGTGACTTCTGGCCGGTCAGGTGACACAGTCAGACCGTATTCGACCTCTCCGCCACCAGCGCCGCCCTCAGGTGGGGAGCAGGAAGCCACCGATGACAAACATGAATTGGAGCGGCGAAGGTTGATGACACGTGCCAGTGCGCCTCCTGGAGACGATGAAGCGGAGGGGTCAAGCAGCTCAAACCCGCCGATGGTCGGAGCAAGTGCTCCAACTATTGATGAAGAGAATGAATATACTGTACAAACACTACATGACGACGAAACAGGTCCGGAATTACCACAGTATTCGCGTTGACCCAGGCGCGGATCTTTACTTGGCAGAGTATTCTGCATATCAGCGACGGCGCTCGAGGATGGCAGGGCCCGGCATATCGGATTTGGCTTGGAAAATGCATATCCTTACATGAAGCGATGGATAGGGACAGATGAGGCTGGTGATGATGGAAACAGTCGCACGGTCGGTCCCTTTGGGCAGAAAAATTCTTACAGATATGATGTTAGTATCCTTCAAGTAGTGGATATTAGCAGAGCCATCAAAATAGAGAATGTGAAATGAAGTGGACAAACGATCCCACGCGATCCATAATTGGTGATAGCCGCAACAGCCAATGGTTTATCCACCTTAGTACTGGCCCTCTATTGAGCCAAATAATGATGATGATCGTCCTGTCTGGGATCTGAAGACTACAATTTTACCTCTATTTTACATTCCAGTATCACCCTTAGGAGCCGACTCTTTTAACGAGACTAGACCAGTACATCACATTGAGCTCTTCACTCCTCTTCGTCCTGGTCATCAAAAGGCCAATGCCCCATGAGCAATTCTCCTCTCCTCATCTGATTCCGCAATCCGCAAGGCGTCATCTTTCAACTTTTGCCGCTAGAGCCTTGGACAGTTCATCCCGTTTCGTTCGGGACCCGGCCTTCAGTACCACCACCAAGGCGTTCCGTGATCGCTTGCAACTCTTCCTCCATCTCGTTTATCTTCCCTTCCTACTCAAGTCGAACCATTCTTGCACTTCGTGTTGTTGATACTGCAAGGGACAAGACACAGCACAAGCAGTTTCGTTTCATGTTTCTTGTGTGACCAGGTTTGCAACCTCAATGATTTCCGTGATTTGAAGTGAGGAGTCAGAGATGAATATGTTACTAGAGTTGAGGTCGGGGTGGCGTATAGTTGGCTTATTGAGAAACCTATCCTCTGCTGGAGTGATGAAATCAGCAAATCTCAGGATAGTCTTCCAAAGCTCGAAGATAACCGTCCACGGACTGCTCTTTGCACTCAATCATATCCCTGGCTTGAAAACGGCTTGGGAAGTGGTGACCACTAGAACTAATCATTGTATGTAAGCAAACACAATTCATCATTTCGTGTGGGTTTTAGAGTATGTATGTAATCACAAGGTCCTCTTTCAAGATCGAGTTCCGAGCACCCTCGATGCCATGCTATAGACTCAGACATGTCGAGGGACCGATACAGAACATAAACGGCGCGTTCCAGGACCAATGGGACCCAGGTCTGAGATCTCGACCCTTGGCATATGAGGTTTCAGATCGTCTGTATTGTAGATACTACCACTAGCAGTCAAATCAAGAATAACTTCTCTTCTTGTTCTGCAATCTGAAAGATTACTTTCAATCTCTCCTCGTTTGTGGTCGTGTATGGTCCTCGCCGATAGGCCGACCCTCAAGCATTTCCATGATGATGTATTCTGCTTCGACAGGGTTAGAGGATGTAGTCGAACACCCATAGATCCTTGGAACAGGGATGTCTTGTGATTGAAGGAACTGCACGATGGGTAGGCCACGCACGAGGACGAAACCGGTCACAAATACCAGACGCAACCAAATGCTGGAGGGTCCCTAGTTCAATTGAGGCATGGAAAAAGAAGGATGGGATTACGCATGCTGTCACGGCAACTGCATTTGTGAAGAAAGGAGGGAGCAAAGGCGATGTGAAGGAGGCACTTGAGGAAGCTGCAAACATGGTGAAGATGTGAATCCCGGAGCAAAGAGATTCGAATGACAAATTATAATGATGGTGGCTCTCTAGAATATAGTCGAGTATTATTGAATGTCGGAAACAAGCTCTTATTTCAATCCACAGTGGGGATGGCCGAGTAAAAGACAAGACCGATCAAGCACTCCCCCATGCCGTCGAGACTACAAGTCTGAAAAGGATTTTTGATTTTAGGCCACATAACTAGATGAGAAACACACCACAGCTTTGAACTACACATCCTTGTACGGCCTACGGCCACCTGCCACAGGGATTGCTCCAGGAGATCTATGTACAGCCAAATCAGTATCTTGGCGAGATATACAGTCAGATGACGCTTATTGATCGGTGCAAGCATGCTCTGTGAGTGCTTCTCTGGGTATAGCAGGCCAACCGTGGGAGTACTAGTAGGGGTGCGTAGGGTGCCCATTAGTTCTGTAAGAAGTTCACCGTGTTCATCCTCTGAGATGTGGCAAGGATAAGGTGGGTGTTTGGAGACCATCGTCATCCTATTTTGCTTTATTCCATATTCCATATTCCATAACAGTTCATGACTGTCATGTGTAAAGTAGAGGTATAGGTATGACATCTAATTGTCTTTGACCTGTCTAAACATCCGTGCAATACCTGTTGCGAGAAAGAAATTTCTCCTGACCACCCATATCCACGTTGAACCCATTTGAATACGCCGTCATCACCATCCTCACAGACGTGAGGTCAGTCAGATGCCAAAAAGCTCCTCCAACTGCTTGACGGTGTCTTCGGGGTTCTTGACAGCATGGCCAGTGACTCGGGGATCGGTGTAAATCTCCCAGTCGTTGCCTCCCTCGAATGCCTTGTCACCGAAGAAGTGAATGGTCTTGTAGTTGATACCAGAAAGGTTCTTGGTGGGGTCGGCTTCAGCTTCGATGTGACGCAAGCAGTAAGTCTTGTCCCAGCCGGTAGGGAAAACATCAAACGAGATTTGACCGCCGATTGAGTATCTGGACACAGATTGGTATCATGGTCTGGGGGAAATAATGGGGACAGTCTTACGTCAGTTCAAGGGATGGGAATTCCTTCTTGATATCATCAATCAATTTTGCTCGAACACCATTCTTCAGGTCGTAAGCCTCGAATTGATTTCGCTCCTCGGTACTGGCGTTACGACCAACAGGGCTGACATTGATCATGCCATTCCTGAATTCGATGAAAGTTCCTCGCATAGCTGGAAGGCCTTCGAGGTCGGAGATCTTTCTCAGGATGAACTTGGCCAATTTCTGGTATTGCTCTTCACCGATCCATTGGAGGAAGGAATTGGAGGGTAGCTGCTCGCCCAGGCGGTAGGCGGTGAGGCCGTTCTCCGAGAAGGCAAAGTCGAACAGGGTGACAACAGGGAGAGAAGGAGTGCCCAGCTGTTCTTGTTGTTTCTTGAGGTCGGAGCCACCAACCTGTCGCAGTTAGTGTCTTGACCTAGAGTACAGAGATGGGGGAGATGCTCACAAAGCCAATGGCGACCTTGTTTCTTAGTTTGGAGAGAGCCTGAAGGACCTGAGCACTGACGCTGAGCCGAGCAGGAGTCAAAGTGCCATCGACATCAAAGAGGACAATAGTCTCCTTGATTGGACGGTCTTTGAGATCGGGGTAGAGTTCGGCCATGGTGGACAGGAGGGGTGTTTGGATACGAGAGGACGTTGGGGTTCAAACGGATGACAGTCTGCTAACAGGACCGACTCTTTCAATTAAAGGTAGAACGACCAGTTGACAGAGTGTTCACTGTGCGAGGATTTGGAGAGATGAAGGGTTTGGTAGACTAAAGGACAGCTCACCGTAAGTTTGGCAATAGGGAAAAGTTGACTGCACGTCTTTGACGCCTTTACCTTTGCCGCAGGGAGCCGCGCCATGCAGGAACAAAAAACGCCCACCAACCTGCACCCACGACGCGACTGATGAGGGGGGCTTGACGTTCTGGCCACATCTCTATGCCTCGATCCTTCCGCGTGAGCCCCTCGTCCCGTTCCCGCCACCTAAGCCACTTAAGGGAGAGGAAGGCCCCGCACTGATTCTTTAGGGGTTATCAGTTATAAGGCAGGCACAGTGGGCACTCAGCCAGGCAACACGTGCAGTCGATAAAGTCCACCAATTTCCCTCGGAACTCATTTTTTACAAGGACAGCTGAAGCCATAGTCGCAACTATCGAATCTCTTTATGGAAGCCACCTACAGCCACGTGTCTTTTGCATGGCCAAACCCTGCGTCGGGGAGATTACTGTACTCCATTATGAACGAGGTGCTACCTCATGATGATACATATATGGGCTAGGTCATTGTTGATTGTGATACCCGTTTGCCTATGTCTCGGGGTGCTGGTACTCAATAAAAGGTGGCCTCCAGGTACGGTTCGACAGTCCTAGTCTAAGTAGTCTGCTAAACCCCCCCGCCCCCCCCAAGGCTACCAAAATAAGGGGTAAAATTCGTCCGCAATTTTCAACGCACCCCATTACACTGCTCAATGCTCACCAGCATGACACGCAAATTTGTCCGCGCTATCAGTTCAGTTACGCTGAGTATTTTCTAGATAAGACGTAATCATGAAGTCAAAGCGTCACTTTGAAGGTGCTGAGTCGACGGCCTACAGACGTCAACAACGCCTGAGTTTTCGTGTCTTGCAAATATACAGACTCACAAGCCCATAGAAAGCGCCATTGAATGTCATTGCTATCTTCTGTATCCTGCACGGACACGGCCTTCCTGGCTGCTGAGGTACCTGTTCATCTCAGCGGTGCAACCTTCCAGGTTGGAGAATCCCCAACAATACCGTCAGGCTGCTGTGTGATGCTGTGCCTCATGAATGCTATTTTGGATCCTCCATTGTGATTTGCGTATCGGTATGAGCCAATGGCCAGGGTCTTTATTAGAGACAGGTCATCATGTGGTCTGTCTGACTTTGACCCATCAAGTCGAGAGGCATCCCCCACAAAGGAGTTCCTCACTGTGCGTGGCAGAAGTTCAGTCGCGGAACTGGACTGCAAGGTGCAGCTTCGCATCCCTACGCACATTTTCTCATAATCCAAAGCAATTCCGACTGCGACGACCATGATCACCTCCCGAATCCTGGTGGGGGAAATCCACGTCCTTGACCTGGAGGGCCACCCTGGAAGCCTGGTGGTGGTTGAAATCCAGCAGGCGCACCGCCAGGTGGACCACCAAAGCCTGGAGGAGGGCCGCCAAATCCGGGAGGAGGACCTCCAAGAGCTGGTGCACCTCTTCCTCCAAAGCCTGGTGGAGGTGCTCCGGAAAACCCTCCTGGTGGAACACCAAAGCCGCCTGGCGGTGGTGGACCTCCAATACCTGCCACTGGACCTCCTAATCCGACCGGAAGACCGCGACCAGCTGGCTTTGAGATGCCCACACCTGCCTGAAGCGTTGACACAGCACCACCGGGTGCGGATTGGCCAAGTCTCGACGAAGGATCTGATGGCGGCGGGCCTTCGACGCTGCTAGACACAATGTTTGTTCCTCGCAAAATGACAAGACCCAGTGTTCTCTTTTCTTCTGTTTCGACGGCTGCGGCTGCCGCCGATCCTGGAGCTGCTGGCGCTGAAGACTTTGCTCTGCGTTTGACTTTGCGGAATTCTTCGGTATCGGCGAGGACGAGGTTCATGTGCTGTTCAAACGTCAGTAAGGAATTCACCACAAACCTAACATATTAGACTGACTTTGTCAAAAGCCAGCATCTGGCCTGTCATCTGTCGACCATCATTGAGAGTTACCCGCATGCGATAGTTGATCTAGAAAAATCATTAGTTGTTTTGGTCCTAGTCGAGACGGAGACTCATTACCAGATTTTGCTGTGAACAAAGTTAGCATCAGTCACTAGCCCACCACCAGATGCAAAGGAAGACACCACGTACCATTTTCCCCTGCTTGTTCGCCATCTCGTCTTAATTTGGCGCACGAATGCGACTTGTAGCCTTCGCGTCAAGCGTTGGTTCAAGGATTTTCAAAAAAGTACTGTCGCGTGGTTTGGGGCCGCAGCTCAAACCACGACTGTCAGACGGTGGCTGAAACGACTGCTTGCAAAGCAACAGTAGACCAGGCCCGAGCTGACGTGTTAATGTTGTGACACAAGAGTGAGTATATGAAATCGCCAGGTGCAATTCTAGTCTTGAATCATTGCAGACAGTCGATGTAGAGTTGCTGCTTTTGGGATAATTTTGCACTAAGACATAAATGGACTAGCCCAAATACAATCTTGGCACCCACAATTCTGCCAAGACCCGCTATTTTCAGAGACACACTGAAATTCAAGTCGACCTCAATCGCACCGCACCGCAATTTGCAGCCGACTTTCCTCCCTCTCTCTCATCCTCTCCATCCCACCACGCAGCCATCTCACTTGGTTTTTCAATCTCTGTCGCAATCGTTAACACCACCATTTCTCACAAAATGGCGGAAGGCAACGACAAGAGCTCAAACCCCATGCGGGAGCTGCGTATCGACAAATTGGTGTTGAACATCTCCGTCGGCGAATCTGGTGATCGTCTCACTCGTGCCGCCAAAGTGTTGGAACAACTGTCGGGTCAAACCCCCGTCTACAGTATGTCAAACCCCCTCCCTCGACCCTGACCTCTGTTCAAGAATCGGAACGATTTTACATGTGGCGATGAAAGCATAAACTAACCGAAGGTTTTTCCATCTCTCCATAGGCAAAGCTCGCTACACCGTTCGATCATTCGGTATCCGACGTAACGAAAAGATTGCCGTGCACGTCACGGTGCGAGGACCCAAGGCCGAGGAAATTCTCGAGCGAGGACTCAAGGTCAAGGAATACGAACTGCGCAAGAAGAACTTCAGCGAGACCGGCAACTTCGGATTCGGTATTTCGGAACACATCGATCTTGGTATCAAGTACGACCCTGCGATCGGTATCTACGGAATGGATTTCTACACCATCATGAGCCGCCCAGGTGCCAGAGTTGCCAGAAGACGTCGGGCTAAGTCGAGGGTTGGACGAAGCCACCAGGTCACCCGTGACGACACCGTCAAGTGGTTCAAGACAAGATTCGAGGGTATTGTCCGATAGACAGATAGACAAACGGAGCAAAATTGTCATCATGTCTCGTTGTCGGTGGAAAAGAGGGATTTCCTCTCTTGGAGCATGATCTTGCTTGTTACACACAAGGTGGTTCTGTGGTATATGGATCGAACTTGATCACCATGCACTACAACCCATCCCTTTCCAGACACGCGCCTCATACCTAGTCTGGTGCTCTCATACTGCTTCTGCCAGACACGGTCTATTCATCCAAGGACAAAAAGTGCTGGACGTTGCTGAATCTATGTATCATGGCGAGCAGTGGTCATTATCGGCCTTGCCACAATCAAAACGCTGAACCAACCTAAAGTTTCTCTCTCGAGCATTGTGTAGAAGCCTTAATCAGTATCTCCAGGTGCTGTCGTGTCTCGAAACTATTGAGCGATCGCCAACCGATTAATGGGTTGAAGGTCTCGACATCATATTTGGAAGTGAAAATTATATTCAACCATCGACATGTCCAAGATGTTGTCTTCCGCGTCTGACCAATGATGGCCTACACCAAGACATGTTCCAACTACATAGGCTTAAAAACGCCGTACTATACAGATCGACTCCTGGCTCCCATTATATTGATGCTCTGCTGCTTCTGAAATCGTCAATGTCGTAGTCATGATTGTTTACACCAATCGGCGGGGCATTTAATGATCTGGTTGTGCTAGATCGGTAGATATTTTCAAGATTGTCTGTTGTTTGAAGATTGAGCTCCAGTAGATGGCGAGGTAGCCGATGGGCTTATCACGGGCGTATTTGGCTCTGATGCAACCGAGATATTGATGCTCGGGAGGTTGAGCTGAGGAAGCCTCGGGGTTGCGTTTGTTGGTGCACGACTGGGCAGTCCTGCGGCTCGACTGGCGTTGCTAGCAGCCCGGCGAGCCATGGCCACTTCATAAGAAGGAGCATCTCCCCAATCCAAATTGTCGTATTCAGGTGGCCTGTTGGCATCGTCCACCGCATCGGCCTCGGGAATGCGTGACTCACCAATGTCCTCAGAGCCTGTGCTCTCATCAGGAGTGAATCTGTTGGCGGCAGGTGAGGAATTGGCGGTTCCACTGCTATTTGAAGCCCGAGGAGGTTCTGACCCTGGAGTCACCTGTCGAACGACTTCTTGGTCTGAACCGATGGACGATACACTCAAGCCACTGATCGAGCTCTCTCTTGTGTGTGGTCGAGATAGATAGGGGATGGATGTCGCATCAGAAGTCAACCGGGGCCGACCTGTGGTCTCCTCACCCATAGGGGCTGCTCCGCTCAGCAAGCCACCTCTCTCTGAGTCGTTGCTGTTGGCCCGGAGTCTGGTCCCATCGTGTCGTACTTCACCTAGAGATCCATACGCGACACTTGAAACTCTCCTTTCTCGGCCTCGTGACTGATGCTCTGCGATCAGAGTTGCTGCTGAGACGCTGACACCGCCATTCAACGCCGTTGCGCTCTCTGCCCGTTGACGAGATTCTCTCCGCAGCTCTTCCAATCGGACAGTGTCCCCCCGATCGCGAGCTTCCTGCCTCTCACGTCTTCTTGCTTCTCGCTCTTGAAGTTCTCGTCTTCTCGCAAGTCGGATTTGATACAGAGACTCCATCTGCTCTTCTCGGCGAGTTTCCTGTTCATCCTGGGTTTCTGGGTATTCGACCACGGTATCCATACCGCCTCTTTCTCCTTCTCGTCCAATGACTTGCTCGCTCTCTTTGGGCGCCCTTGAATAGGCGGGAAGAGTGATTGTGCTTCTGACACTGGCATTTCGATCGACACCGGCGGGTTCAGCGGGATTATATGCGGTGTTGGTAGAGGAGAGGTCTCGATTCTGGACCTGTGAGTATTTTCCACCAGGCTTCCAACTCTGCCACTTGCTCTTGAGAAATTTTGTAGGGATGTATTTTGGGCTTCGGCCTTGGTTCCTCCATTTACGCAAGAATGAGTAGAGTACCACACTACCAGTGATGCCAACGAGAATAGCGGCAATAGTCTTGCATTGGTCAGCTTAAGACGATAATATGGAGGGCGGGAACATACAGCAATGGTCACCGCACTGCCGGAGAAGCCATTCCTGCCTCCACTGTCTCCAGCTTGCCTCTTGTGAATGTGACTGGTTGAAAAGGGACGACTATTCCGCCTGGAGTGGTTGGGGAAAACGGGCATTTTATGGATGGGTTCGAGTTGGTATTGATGTCGTTGGTGCAGACTCGGAGACAATCATAAGCAGGGCATCTGTACGTGAGGCTCGACGCCGACAATCAACAGCCAGTGTCGAGTGGGTGAGATTCAAGGGTAAGTGACAGGTATGTTGTTTGCTATCGTTCACTTGGAATATCGCAGGTCACTACTGCGACAATAGCAGAGACGCTGGGGACAAGACTGGGAATGCGTTTATACACAGAAAATAGATCGTTTGTAAGGTGATGCAATGCTTTTTGACTAAATGTACAATGATAAGATGTAGAAATGGTCAGCCAGAGAGTTGGTTGCTGAGAAGTTTACGAGGTGGCATACGTAGAGCTGATGTAGTCGGTTGGTCCGGAGGGACAGGCAGGCAGTGAGTGCCTGCTTAGACCCAACTGGGTGACTGGTTAGGAGGAGTTGGTCAAGAAATCCAACCCGGCAGGATGGCTGCGGCCGTCAGCCCCCCGGCCCCCAGTGGATGAGCCTTACAGTAGGCTTGTTCACCTTGGCCGTTTATCAAATAACCATCCCTGGTTGATGATCGTGGAATCCTGACGGATTCGTGCTAGTGGGGAGGCGGTTTAGTCACTACTCTCACCATGTAATATCCTAAGAAGGCGAGGCATGCGAGGGCACGGCTCGACAAATTCAGACAGTCTGCACACTGCTTTCCCCTGGACGTAGATTAGATTCGAATCTGTGTTTCCTGAGATCTATGTTTGGCGTGCAGACCATCATGCCAAAATGATATCCCTGGCGGCTGCATCTCATGCGACAATGGCTGCAACGACTATAAGAACTCGCACATCCTGCCAAAAGAAACTCGGGGATTGGAGGGACTTGACGCCAGCGTTACTCGGCACCAATCGCTGAATTTCCAGCTACTTGTATCTGCTAAAGATGTTTCATGTTGGTTGCACTTAGATCACTGCAGACGCTTCACTGATGATAATTAAATTTGTCGTGCGCAGAACAGAACCTACATCAGCGACGTCGCCAGACCAGAGTTTCAACGACTGGTGGACTGGAGGCGTTTGGTAAGGACCTGAGTGGTACGTAAGACAGGCACACTGCCCGTGGGGGGTAAAGGCGGGCGCCTGATAATTGGTTTGGTAGGTAGGTAGGTAGGTAGCCAAGCATGCCTCAGTTAGGCACCTGTAGCTCCTAGACTCTAAAAATCCAGTGACAACCTAGACTAGGTACATATCTGGGGGATCTTAGGCCTATACACTACTCATTCCCAAACTCGTTACGAGACGCATTAGCTTTCAAGCTTGAAGTGGCTCGACCTACAATTGAGCTCAGTCAGGATTTGGAATCCATGATTCTACTCAATGCGTCCAGTCGAACTTGATGAGATGAGCGTCCAGTAGTGGTAGCATAACATCATCTGGTGTGCCTGATGAAGTCCCTTCGGCATTTGACATTTGACTTCCTCTGTACACACAGGTCCAGGTAGATCGTCGTCACTGTAGCCCGCCAAGACCATCGGAAAAATAATATTCCCTATCCTGTGGATCGCCCAATGCGGAAACAAATAAACATCCCCGTCCTCACTCAATAATGTTCAAATTGGAATTCTCGCTCAACAGGATTTCAACCTTCATCGTTGCAGAACATAACATATCTGGACATCGACAATCGTCTCAACGCAGCCATGCCCCCCTCGCGCTTTGACAACGGCACCATCGGTACCAATTACAGCAGTATTCACTCAGCTGATGCCTTTGTTGGCAACTACCAAGTAGCGCTTCCCACCTGTTCCTCCTCCATCAGCCACTACTGACAATATCCAGGTCATGTACACCCCCGGTTCCACATCACCACAATTGGATAGACCTACGAAGAAATCGACACGTTTCAGTCGAGCGGTGTCGTCAAAGTCTCAGAATCTCTCCCAATCCTTTGTGCTCCCTCAAAACATCCCCAACACCTCTCAAATCGTCGCAGACCAAGGCTCTTTACCAAATCTTCACATTCCTTACTCAATCCCTGTGGACGAGAAGCAAATTGTCGCTTCACTACGAACCCTACAGCGCGATCTGAACGAGGCAGTCCAAACCATTAACTCGTTGACGAGGGAGCGGGATGAGGCCCTACTCGAGCTCAAGTTGCTACGCGCTGCGAACAACAAACAAACAGCTTCTGCAAAGAAGATTCGTCGCGTATCAACCCATGTAGACGACGAACTGTTCGACATCAGCCGGTCTATGTCTCCAGACCAATCCCCCGTTCGACGTTTCTCGTCCAAGAGCGCCGTCGCCGAGAATAAGCAAAATGGCAAGACGACAATCTCAGACGAAGCACGTGTTTTGCAATCAGTCAATGTCAACAGACCAGCCTCTCCACCACTCCAAAAGCGAACAGCGAGTAAGACCACAGCAGAGAACAGGAAACCCTCCCAGAATTACAAGAAGCCTGTTGTTAATGACACGGAGAACAGCATACTCGATGACGCTACAGGGATCTCAAACACATCTCGCCGGCGCCGACACCTCGATCTTGACGAGAACATGACATCTGCCTACATCATCCCTGATATCACCATGTCTCAAGCCCAACCACAGGGTAGCAAAGACGTTGTCTCTAAGGGAGCCCAGGGTGTTCTTCACCGCCACGATCCAGACCACATCCATAACTGCGAAGTCTGCCTCCGTCTCACCAACACCAAGAAGACCAAACATGTCTCTCACGCCAATGCTACGGCTCAACCATCCAGCAGTACTGCAGCCGGGAAAAAGGCCTCGACCTCGATCGACAGACCACAGCCCGACTTCACCGCCCAAATCACCCAACTTCTTCAAGATGCCATGCTCGACGACCCGACCATGAGACCCAAGATATCACCTTGGCAAGCTCTGTCCAACGTCAAACAACTCCTCACCGACCAGTTCCAAGAAGCTAAACGAAAACACCGTGTCGCGTGGGAGACGTATGATGACATCGAGGCGCCTCTGAACAGCAAGCGACATGCGGCTGTTAGTCAGGAGTTGTTCTATTGGTCTAAGAAAATGGACGAGTGTAGAATTAATTTAGACCAGTTGAGAGATGTCGAGGAAGGCATGAAGGGAGAGTACGAGAGAGATGTTTAATCGAACAGAGTGTTTGTTTCCACTCTTCGGTTGATGTCAGTGATGTGTCAGTCTCGGTTTTGAGCGAGTCGACTGGTTTGCCTGGACACTGGTTTAAACGCACGGGGTTTGATTCGGAGCGCACACCTTTTTGCATGTTGATTTAAGCACGATGGATTGTCAGGCCAGACAGAGACGAAATCATGGCTGTTTATCGGTAGAGAATGAGCATCTTCTCATCAGGGCAACCGTGACGAGATGTTGATGAACCAATACATCGGCGTGTGCATGTCTTGATTTTTTCACTTTTAGAAAGGCATGCGCTTTTTTGATACTGGTGCCTGAAATACTACAATGTAATGCACTGCAATCTCATGCGATGCGAACAGCCCCCGGCTATCATATTCGCTGTTCGAACCTCACTCATCCATCATGCCATCGAATCTAAATTCTCGTTCCCATGATCATATACTGTCATAGAATATGGGCTGCTCGCTCAACTGCTGCTGGAGCTCACAGTGGCCCAATCACTGCGCATCTCGGTTTGCACAGGAACTTGGAAACCATTGTCGTCGATCGACGGTGTGCTTGAGAGCGTGCGACGATGTATACACATTGGGCCAGAGAGATTGCCGGCTTGAGATACCGTGGAGGGTGGGAAGTGTCCGAGGTAAGGCAGACTCGTTCCCTGCACAGGTCCCAGCCACAGAGGAGCTCAAGTCTAGCCGGGAGGCAACAGGCCAGCAACACATGCCATAGTTGCTCCTCAGTCTTCCTAAGACACAATCTCTTCGGTCTCCTCGATGACCTCTTCGATAACTTCTTCCACCACCTTTTCGCCTTCGAGGTCTGCGCTCCTCGTCCGCGACAACTGCAGCTCTGTCTCAGGATCTGGGAGACCCAATTCTTCGCGCTCCTCCTTGAGTCGCTCTTTCTCCTCGGAGATCCAGCTGTACCACTCCGAGTACAAACGTCGTCGGGCTTCAACAACTGCGGCATTGGCTCCTTCCTCCAATTCTTTGTCCAATTCTTCAAACTCTTTACTGTACTCTCGGAGGTTGCGGCGGATGGCACGTTGTTCTTCCTTAGAGAGCAAAGTCGCTGGCCGTGGTCGCCACAGCAGCTGCTTGAATTTCTCAGTAGGGTTCTCCGAAAGTGGTTGTCCGAAGAACGTCCACATGCGATAGCCATTTTCCATCTAAATTTGAGGTGTGTGTTAGTGTGATGGCTCCTTGATACGATGCACAAATAGTTGCAAACAACCAAAACGAGATGGAGGAACTTGGCTTACCTGATGGGTCCACACACTAGCAACCGTGGTAACGTATCTTCCTGTAGGGTCCCATTCGATATCCGTCATACCGTAATGGTCTTCCGTGTTCATCAGCATCAGATTTGCGGCGAATGCTGCCTCGCTTTCCGGTTTATCGCCCTCGTAGTCAAGATCATAGAAATCAATGTCGCTGTGTTGCTGCACACTGACAGTTGCTACCACGACAAAACGACCACGTGGTGACCAGTAGATGCCGTTGGAATTTTTCTTGTCGTAGGTCCGTACATGCTTGAACGCGCCAGTGCCCGGGCCTTTGAGCTTCTCGGGAGCAAAGAACGAGACGGCAGTTTTTGGCAAAACATTACTTCCCGCAACGGCCTCACCGGCTGTGATCAAGACAAATCGATCCCCCTTGGGTTCCCAGGAAAAGTTGATAACTGTATCCTTGAGAGAATCAACAACCTCTACAGGAACGCCCTTCTCCTTGATGCGGAAAATCTCTAGGTTAGTAGCTAATGACTTCTTCGACTTGCTATGTCGATCAACCTTGACACAAATGAATTTTGCCTCGGATTGCCAATGCAGTTTGGCGTCGGTGACATTGAAGAGGTTACGGGTGCGAACGATTTCTTTGGTGGGAACCGACATCAAAGCAACTTTGGCAGGATTGGAGCCGATCTCGGGAGTCCAAAAGCAGAGCAGCTGCTCCGAGATCTTAACGCCTTCACGCTGCACGGTAGCGGGTGCCCATTCAAAATCGACGATACCCTCAATTTTGATGGAGGTTTTGTCCAGAAGATTCATGCGAGGTGTTTCGTAGATGGAGATGGACTCGCCAGGCTTCATGCGAGCAACATATTTCTCGTCGGCAGACCACTTGAAGGCGGGCCATTGGACCTTGGCTTTTGGAGGTACAACAGACCCATCGGCGGCGTTTGTTGGGGCAAGGTCATGGGCAACGAAAGAACGTAAAGGCTGGCCAGTTTCAACGTCCCAAATCACAATGTGTTTGCCTTCCTCGTCAATAGTCAGAGGACCTTTTCCTTCTTCGACCACAATTGGTTGATTGGACCATGTTGTGATGTATTTCTCGCCAGGGGAGAATTCGATGAGGCTGACAAAGGGGTGAGGAAATTGTCTGATTCTGTTGAACTTTGGTCCACCCCAAATCTGAACACCTTGCTGATGTACTGATGCAAGATATGTGCCTTGAGGTGACCAGCTGACGAAAAGTTGTGTCCAGTGAGGTCTGTCCACCACGGACTCAGGGTTGTCTTTTTTATTGTGCCAAAACACGCCAACATTGTCACCTCGGAACATGACGAATTGGTCGCGAGCAGCGGGGTCAAAGAGCCATGACCTTAAATGATCCTGCTCTGTGAAAGGTGCAACTTGTGGTGGGGAGTATTCTTCATCTATTCGTCCTTCTCTGCCGAATTTTTCAATGTCGGTTAGCTTGTTGACAGCAAGGGTATGCTTCTTGTCGAGGGCGGTTCCGTGAAGTTGTTTGGTGGCAGCGACCGCTTGTTCAGGCGTTTGGAACTCGACGAAGGCGAAACTGGGAACATAGTTAACATCACAGTGGCCTCAGTAGTAAAGGCAGGTTTTACCCTTCGGATTGTCCCTGATCACCCATCGGCATGAAGACTGAATCTTCTCCATCCTTGATGCGACCAACAGTGTTCAGTCTCTTGAGTAAGAATTTGACAAGTTTAGGTTTTTGCTCATTGTTGACAATGGGGAGACCATCGATGACCTTTGATGATTTAGCAGAGAGTTCTAGCACAGAGAATCAAGGTCAGACGTACAACAAAAGTGTCGAGGCCTTCTTCCATGCGAACATCGTAGCGTTCCTTGAGATCACTGAAGTCGATATTATCTTCTTCGTCTTGGAAGTCGTGGTCCGAGAGCTGGTCGAATCCAGGGGCCATGATTGCGGTGTTTGTCGATCCTCTCAAGTCTAAGGACGACTAGACAGCAATGCACTGAAGGATGAGATATGAAGAGGAGGCGGCGACGAGGGGCGTTGATCTGATGTGCAGTGTCTTCTACTGGCGCCAGAAAAATGCAAGAGCGCAGTTGTGGATGGCCAAGATTTTGGTGACTCGATTTGTGCCATATCCCGTGATTAACACGAGTCATGTGTGTGCGAATGACGAATTGTCCATTTTGGTCATGGCTCACAGCAAATACGGAGTCAATGTTCTTGGGCCAATCCAGTGCCCCAGGCTTACCGCCTAGGCTTGCTAGGTACCGAGAATCCTTGTCTTCAGGCTGGAGCATTACTACCAGAGACCGCTCGGGCCACCTGCTCAAAACGACTCTAAGTGGCTCCAAGACGGCCGTGGGGGCTCCCACTAGCCAGAAATAGGCGAACATCACCCAGTCGTTCCAGTCAAGCAACCCCGTCTCTCCAACAATTGTCATGTGGATGCGCATGCGGGCATCATCTTCACCTTCAACCTCCATCTTCGCTTGTCAACTTGACCTGAGCCACCTGACCTGACTCCTTTCAAACTTCGCATCTCTATCATATTGAGTTCGTCTGCACCTCAAAACTCTGTGTACACCTTTCTCTGTTCTTCAACGCCGTGGCGCTGTAGCTTTTCTGCACATCTCTGCAGGGAATCTGCAGCGGACCACTTGCTGGGAGATCTATTTACCAACACCGAATTGATGCTTTTGTCTTCAAGGCACATGGGCTCGACCCCGATTTCTTGACCATTATTTCTTCTGAGATTTACTTTGATCGCCTGCCGAAGTTAGCCTGATCCCTAATCTCATTCTTTACCGCCGAGAACCAGGTTTGACGATGTCGCGTAAGTGCATTGTTTGTCGGACCCTGTCTTGATATTAACCGTTCTGATAGTCCCTTCCGAAGTGCGCAACAAGTATATCGGCATCATCGATTCGATTTTGAATAGCGCGGATCTGACCACTATCACGAGAAAGAAGATACTCGCCGGAATTCAAGAGAGGGTTGAATATGACATAACTCCCCAGAAGGTTGGTCTCGCGCACCATTACTTACTACTGACGACGGCTGACGAATGTGTATACAGACTGCCATCAAAACCCTGATTGATGAGAGATTCGATGTTATCAATGCGAGACTGAACGGTGAAAGTACAGTCGTGCCCTCAGTCGAAGCAGGAGACCCGATTCCCAAGACCAACGGAGTCCGCAAACCTTCTCCGTCGTCCCCTTCTAGCACACCGGGCAAACGCGAAGCCTCAAGTGAGGATTTGTCAGATGTCGTTGATTCTCCACCGCCAAAGAAGAAGCGCAAGAACGGGATTGATTCGGACGCCGCGTTTGCCGCCAAGTTGCAAGCAGAAGAAGATCTACGAGCACGTCCAACACGAGGTGGAGCTAATAGAAAGACGGCACCAGCCAAAAAGAAGAGAAAGGTCAAGAAGAAGGAGAGGGTCACTGGATCAGATGATTCAGAGGCAGAAGATGGCGAGAAGCCGGCTAAACCCAAACGAGATACAGGTTTTCATGTAGGCAATTGGCCTTATCCTGCGCAAAGAGTGATCGGACTGACCTTGACTAGAAACCACTGAACTTGTCGCCAGCCTTGTCTAATCTGTTTGATGGTGCGATTCAGGTGAGTCAGATCTATCACTGTTTTGCCGTGGCTAACCGAACAGCTTTCTCGACCGGAAACAACCAAAAGAATATGGCAGTATATCAAGGCCAATGACCTCCAAGACCCGGCGGACAAGCGATTCATCATCTGTGACGACAGAATGCGGGAAGTCTTTCGACAAGACAAAGTACACATGTTCACCATGACCAAACTCATTTCCCAACAAATGTACAACCCTGACGAATAGCTGGATTTATGGCCAATATTGTGCACCTAAGATCGGACTGATGGTCGATGGCAAGGCTGATGGAGTGCGACACTGATGACTGAGCAGCATTGGAGCAGCATTGCACTTCGAGAGGTGCGCATAGGTGTGGAGGGCAGAGTACATCACCACAGAAGTTGGACCTGAGGAGCAGAGTCCTTTACTATTTGGTGGCAATGCCCGGTTGGAACGACGATACCTCTGGCAGTATTACATGATAAAAGGGCTCCAGATTATGTGATTTGAATATCAAGCTGGAATGAAACCCAATGAGATATTCCTAAGGCTCTTCTTCTCACTTTTTCTCTCTATACCACGTATATGTGTATACGTTCCACGGCTGCGTGTCTTGTTCGGCGGAATATTGTTCCCTCACCCAGCCTTGCTGACTAAATTGGACGAGGCTCAAAAGTAGGTAATGACAACAACCCAATTGCTGGTTACCTCTCCAATGTGCTATTTGCATGCAGCCTTAGCCTTCGAGAGGGGGGAACTTCCTCGTTTGAAACTGTAAGCCTGGGATGCAGTGAACCAAAATGCATTTGGATAGGAGGTACCTAGTAACTTAGGTACTTCGGTAACTCGGAACGCACGCGCGGTATCTCGAATGCCAAGAAATGCATCCCTTTTCTTCAGCCTCATCTCATCGTCCGAGGAATGCATCATCGGGGCATCTACGTATGCACGCTATTCCCGGGCAAATCTTGAGCCACATTACAGCCTAATCATGTCCATAGGATCGACTAATATCTATCCAAGAAGTGCCATTTGGAGGGTGCCTTGGGGAGAGTGCTCTAAATAGAAATGCTATTTGGAGGGTGCCCTGAGGAGAGTGCCCTAGACAGAACTGCAATCTGGAGGGTGCCCTGGACAGAGTCTATATCTCTTCAAGAATATGTGAAAGAGCTTGTGAAGTACTAGTTTTGGCTACAATGTATTCAGGCACTGCATCTATTTCCCAAGCGCCACTATGCTTTGGAATGTCGCTAAAGTCATCACTCATTTCTCGTGCCATTGAATCAAAGACATGAGCTGAACGCCTGCAATGTGTCGTAACACCCCTCAACCAAAATGAAACAACGTCTCTCCTTTGCCTTTGCCTTTCTTTCCTTTCTTCTTGGACGACCCTAGTTCGCCTTCGCCCGTCTCGTTACTCGGGGTGGCAGAGAACGCCATCGCCGCAGCGGCTTGAGCAGGAGTCGGAGCCATACCACCATTTCCCCATGCGGGAGTGTTGGTCCCCGACCCAGAAGGTGAATTTCGGCTTGAGTCAAGCCATCGAACCGATCCACGAGTATTGAAGCCAGCCATCATGGTGTTGGGTTTGGCGGCAACAGGCAACGATGGAAAGTTCTCCTCCGTCTGTCGCAACGGCGGAGCTTTCCTTGCTGTAGAACGAGATGATTGGATAGAGCTCGCTTGAGATGCACTGGGGTTTGTCGATGTGCCTGTTGGAGCAGAAGCTTGGCCCCAAGCCAATTGTACAGCGGTCTTGCGGCTGTTTCCCTTGCTAGGACCAAGAGCTGGAAACGGTTCGCTGCTGGTGCCATTGGTGATACTATTGCCCCAAGAGCCTTGTCGGGAGACTGCGGACCGAGACGATTGAACTGTGCTTTTCTTCAGCGTCAACACTCTTCGCCCTCCTGACCCAGATCCAGTGACCCCAGGTAGTGTGCCACTTGGTCCGGGTAGGCTGGGGTAATCTTCGTTGATGCTCCGCCAATTGTTCCAAGCAGACAGGAGCGACTGTTGCTTGGTCTCATCTTCGTACAAGTCGGCAAGCTCCCGCACCAATTTTCCAATTTCTGAGCTAGGGCTGTCAAACAAATCAAAAATGGCATCAATCAAATCCGTCGCCGAGCTGGTCCCACTGCGGTATGCTGAAATATGTGTCCGGAACTGGGAGAGTTTCGTTTGGTCGTTCTTGAGCAGTGACGCTGCTCGCGATATCACGGCCTGGTGCCGCAAGTTTCGGGCTTGTTCTTGAGGGGTCATGTTTGGTGGCGGTTGGGCTGCTTGGTTGAGGGACAGATTCTCCATAGGGGGCAGGTCGCTTCTCGGTGGTCCAGTACTTGTTTGAGGTCGTGACACAGGTGCAGCTTGTGTGAGCTGACCCCCAAAACTTCTGCTCGATACTGACTGGGAACTCTGAATTGCCAGCTGCCTCTGGTATGCCAATTCGGCTCTGCTTAGAGGTTGAGCGCTCGAAACCGGTAGTGGGTCGGCATTGGGGTCTCTTCCTCGACCAATACCACGATCATTTCGCTCTTGTCGACCACCCCTTCGTTCTGGTTGGTACGGGGTGCGGAGATCGAATCCAGAGAGATTAACAAGCCGGGCATCCCTGCGAGCATCCTTGGACAGGCCATTGGGATGCTCTGAGAGTTGATGAGCTTTCAGATCCATCTCCGACTCAAAGACGTTTGTTTTGTTTGCCTGGCACTCTGCATCTAGACAGACGTGATGAGCCTTGGCAAAGTGCTTCTCTAGTGCGGCATAGTCGAGATAATATTGAGGATTTCTACCACCGTTCCTTCGGTCGCAGATGTGACACCTCTCATGTCTTTCCCGACAATGAGTGTAGAGTTCATCGTCCCCGTAGAAGCGTTGCCTACAGAAGCCACATTCGGGATGGCCCTTGAACCCAGACTGGTCGATTGCGCCAGGGTTGTCGTCGCCAAATCTCTCGTGTTTCCGTAGGTCACCAAACGTGAACAATTCATGTTCGTGCGTAAAGACCTTTTTGTGTCTCGTGCAGTGATCACACATGATTTTGCCATGCTTGGTCTTGACATGTCGATGAAGATCCGGCCAGCCGAGGCAGGCGACTTCGCATTCTCGATCCGGGCAATTATACCGGAGCAGTAGTATTGTGTCCTCTAGGATGACATCCTTTTCGTACTTGATACCTAGGTTATCGTCGACTTTGACAAAATCGGAAGGGGTAAAGTCTTCGAAGCGCTTGTCCGCGTTGTCAGTGAAGATGACAAAGGGTGATTCAGTCTAAAGAAAATCACGTTAGCAAGGCGCAGGATGATCTGGAGGGCTCACGGAGGACATACTCTGCAGTGTGCACATGCTCTTGTCTTGTAAAGAGCCCTTAAGCGAAGGGAGCATATGTGACAGGTCTGATGATTGCAAGGTGCGATTGCGACATGTTCAATGGGACTGGCGCAGATGAAGCAAATTTCGGCTTCGTCGTCGACAGCAGATGATGTCTCTTGTTCTTTGGGAATTGTATCTTTAGAGTCGCCTTTTTGTTTCGAGGCAGCTTCGGTCAGGCGAGCACCGAAGCCGCCTCCAGGTGGTCTCCCGGTGCTGTTGACTGCGGGGGCTTGAGCGGCCAGAGATGCTGCAGAGGTGGAGTTGCTTCCTCCGCGAGATTTACCTCTTCCTTTGCCACCTCTTGAGTTTTTGGATCCTCTCGCACCGGAGCCGTGTCCCTGCGATTCATCTTGATGTTGGTTGTCATTCTTGCTTCTAGCTTGAGAATTTCCTCCACGTGCGGAGCGGGAGCCTCGGGGGTTTGAGGGCGAGGATGGTGTGTTTGCCGGATCTGCCATGTTCAGGCACAATTATTGACTCTGGATTGAGCGGCAACAAAATACGTAGGAGAATATGAGGTAATGGAGCCAACGCAGTGGGTTGTTGGGAGCGGAGAGCGAGATTAAAATTGGGTGTTGTGTTTTCGTGGGTCAGAAGCGAGAGATGATGACTTCACCAGCGATAGAAAGCCGTTAAGCCAATTCCAGTAACTCGAATAGACGGAACAGGGGCTCGCAGGCCCTCGGGCGGTGATAGTGGGCGTGAACGGGGAACAATGGAGGGGCGCCTCGGGCGAGGGGGATCTGGAGGGGCGACATGGGTAGCACGTTGGGGCGCTGGGGTCCTTATTGGCTGCCAATCGTTCCAGGACATTGCGGCAAATGGAAATCCCTCTTTACGTATCTTCTCTGTACTTCCAGTATAGCATTAACCTAAGGTTGGGTATTGATTACAGATGCAACACCGAGATACCCAATCAATAGCGAATTGACTATGGCTCGTTAGTGCTGCTGTGAGTCACCTTCGCCATTAGCTGCAACACTGCCACATACAAGTCTCGCATGTTCAAAAAAAGATGAGATGCTGCTTTTAGTACCCGCAAATAGCACATGAGAGAAGCAACCAGCAATTTGCCCATTACATCGGAGGAGAGTAAATGAGTAAAATGTGGAACTTCCAGGGTAGAGAAGCGAAAAGCCATCAACACCTCTCTGCAGTGGCTGACTGAATAGAGGTAAGATGTATATGGTCCAGGCGTTTTACAGAGCCCTGATTGAACATGATAGAGCAGCAGGATTGCGTAATGTCCTCCTTTTGTAGGTACTATCTACTATACTATAAATTTACCATTAACTTTCAGTCTTGATTATAGACGCAACATTAGCATAACCAATCAATAACGAAATAACTATGGCTCGCTAGTGCTCCTAGTGCGAACGCATCTACAGGAGAGACCTCCGATTGAAGCCTCCTTCAGCGAGCTGTTTGAATTGTACAATGTCGTGTTTGGTCTTCTTAACGCATGGAGCCGCAATATCTTTCATCTCAGCTCCGTTGAAGGACAGCTATGTTATAGGCCACCTGACGTTCGGACATCCGAAGGCTCTTATTGTAGCTAACGAATTAGTACATAGTATGCGAAACATAACATCCGGCAGCGGACATCCATCTTCCGGTTATGTCGTCTAAGTTCATCCATCTCATGAGAGATAGAAACTTGAGTTTGCTTTTGCCCAAAGGGACAACGGGGATAACGGAAAGACTATTTACACAAGCACAAATTACCAGGTGTGCTTTTGTACTAAGTGGCTGCGGTAAAGGGGTATGTCTCGTGGCATTCGAGCTACCGCATGTGTAGACTGGTGAGTTACTGTAAAACTCTGCTACTGCCTCGCTTTGCCGCAGGTCAGCGCTTTCGTCGCTTTTGTGTGCCACTGGCCTCCTCGAAAACCCTTACGAGATTGTGTTGCACCAGCTTCCATGATGAGTGTCAACGCATTTGGCTACTGCAGTACCTCTAAGGTCTTGCGGCTGTCGAGAATATTCCCTACTCCAGCACAATAACACCATCTTCATTGTCAATGGACTCTACGGGTACAGATGTACAGAGGACTCACACGACAGAGATCAAAGGCAAATCCGGCCGTCAGTACACAATCGAAAACGTCCTTCAAGATAAAGGAAGTTTGCTAGGTCGTGTCTTCCTTGCGACGTATGCCGTTCTCAATGGACCTACCTGGTATATTTTACTGACTTTGATTTACACAGAGATGGCAATGAAAAGTTTGTCTTGAAAGAAATTCCTCGAAACAACTACGAATTGCGTTTGGACATCTACCGACGATTGGGTAGTTGCCCCTACGTGCGTGGATTAGAAGACACTGCCCCAGACCAGTCGATGTTTGTTTTCAGACATCTCAAACAAAATCTTCTGGGATTGGTACAGAAGAACCTGCCGATCTCCACCACGAAAAGAATTCTCAAGGACGCGCTACGAGGTCTTGCTGCGATGCACGAGAAGAATATTGTCCATAACGGTAACAGAGCGGTTCAGTTTCAGACAGGTCGGAAGTGGCTGATGAACATTAGACATTAAACCTAACAATATCCTGATTGATGCCGCCGACGGACCTCACGGAATCGTGGTTGAGCGGACGCAGCTCACTGACCTCGAAGACAGTGCATAATGCCCTCCTCCGGGGAACCTTATTGGCGCGCAATTGGGGAATTGGATGTGGCGAAGCCCTGAAGCACACGCAGAAGGCCCTATGAACAAACCCTCGGACATTTTCGCATTCGCTATCGTTGTAAGTTCACCAGGACATGTCGTTGCCCTGATGTGGAGGGATGGCGTTAACGAATTTGTGTTTTGCAGTGCATCTACGCCTTGACTAAACGAGTCATTTTCAGTGTCTTGAAAGAGGAACTCGAGGAAGATATAGAACCCTTAGCTGTCGTTCTTGAACGTCAGATATCTTATTTTGGGGATCCAGAGGCGTACAACGACTTTCTTCAGTATCTCCATAATGCTGACCCAGAGAACCCTTGGATCGCGATTTTCCAGATTACGCACACCAGCTTCAAAGCTGAGTACCCCCGGGAACCATTTTCTCTCTGGCAGGACGAAGTTATCGACGAGGACTTCAGGGACCTTATTGTGAGAATGACAAAATTCAATCCGGAAAAAAGGATCACGGCACGGGAGGCACTAGAGCATAAAGGGTTCATAAATGTCTAGACAGTAAAATGGTGAAGATGTGAAGCCCTGGGCATAGAGACTCGAATGACAAAAGAATGATCGTGGCATTGGTATGAATGTCCAAAACAAGCTGCTTTTATTCCATGCAAATAGCACATTAGAGAAGCAACAAGATAGCACTTCTCATCTTTTAGGGTACTTCTAGGGTGGACTTAGTTATTCCTATAGGGATGATTAGGCTGTTATGTGACTATAGATTGTCCAGGGATAGCGTGCACATGTAGAATGACGAGGCTGAGAAAAAAAAAGGATACATTGCTTGGCATTCGAGATACCGCACGTGCGCACTGAGGTCCTACTGATATGCCCTTTGGTACAATGCATTCCAGTATTACCGACACAACCGAGGAATTCTCTCTCTCGCAGGCTTGGACTAGCCGCAAGCAGTGTTCCACTTGCACTGTGGAATCTGATGGATCAATAATGATAGTCAACGCATTGTTGCATTACAGGTACCGACGTTGCAAGTGGCCAAAGAGTCCCAAACAATGCCAAGGCCACGTGTAGAAATGAATAATTCTCATTGGCCAGTTTCCCACGTCGTACCAACATCCATTCTTTGGCTGTGAAGATTCTTCAAACCCGCTTTTTTCACAAAGGCCTCAACCCTCAAGAGGCGTCCAGTCCATTGCCAACCATCGAATCTAGAGCATCACGGAGCCTATCCATTGGATCCCAGGCTATTAAACTCGCACCACCCTCGGTTCCAGCCCCAATGTCAGGTGCCACGAATGCCCAGTGTCTCCATCAATGTCCGAGACCCCTCCATCTCGCGGACGCGAGCTTCGTCACATTGCAAGATGACCAAGGAACAGGAAATGTGTCGCGTGAGCAGTTTCTCATAATGGCTTAAGCCAATATGTCCAGGGTTTCGTGGCCCCAGATCGTTGAGGATGACTTCAAAGCTCAGCTGTCAATCCCGTTTTATCAAATGCACACAAGCCTTTTCCCCTGATTCCATCTCTGCACGCAATCACGTTGGACAGGTGCAAAACGTGCCTCGAGAAACGCTGCTCATTGGCCCGGGCCTGGATTTTCTGCGTCATGGGCTGGAAAATTCCCTTCTTTTGGTGAGATCTCGGACCCTGTGCGCGTTCGGGTCTTTCGCCAAAAAGCTCCGCCCTGTTGGCCAAGCACTTGGCGGAGATCTTGGCTCGGCGGATCGTCTCTGGTCGAGGCTGTCTGACCACGGTCTTTGAGTTTTCTCGTCGCGAGCTCACCGTGCTCATCGCGCTTTTTGCTCCCCCACGGTTTTACACCTGACAAGAATCAAACGTTGAAATGGCACACCTGTTTAACTTTTGCCAGGTGGGGCAAGATCTGGACGGATGGTTCGCCTTGTCAGCTCCGCCGTACTGGTGACAGGATGCAACAGACAGGTACCACCGTGCAGCCAATACTCATCCGTTTTTCTGCTCGCGTGCTCAGTATATATCCCATTCCACGCTTTCATTCTCTCACTGTTTCTTCTGCGAGCATCTCACATTCATCCTTACCACTCTTCTCTCTGCCCTCTTCTCCTCGCAGCAGAGATCCCTTTCTCCCAAGCATGCCTTCTCCTCAGACTGCTCCATATGACTGGATCCTTGCCATCACCTCCATCGCCTTTGTCTTCAGCGCGTTCGGAAACGGCGCCAATGATGTCGCCAACTCATACGCCACTTCGGTGGCTGCCCGTACCCTCACCATGCCCCAAGTTGGTTTCCTCTCCATGATCACCGAGTTTGTCGGTGCAGTCGGTCTAGGTGCACGTGTCACCAACACTATCAAGAATGGAATCATTGATATCGATCGATTCGAGGGCTCTCCTGGCCCCCTGATGTTGGCCATGGGCTGTGCCGAAGTCGGTAGTGCTACTTGGCTCATGCTGGCAACCACATGGGGCTGGCCCGTCAGCACAACCCAGACGGTTGTGGGTGCCTTGATCGGTACTGGCTTCGCATCACAAGCCAGTGTCAAGTGGGCCTGGGAATCTGGCAGCGTCTCCCAAGTTGCTGCTTCTTGGGTTATTGCCCCCTTGATCGCCGCCGCCATCTCAGCCCTCATCTTTGGAACGGTCAAATACTCAGTCGTCGAACGAAAAGACCCCTTCAAGTGGGCAATGAGACTGATTCCTTATTACTTCGCCACCACAGCCTCAATCCTTGCACTCTTCATTGTCGTCGAAGTTCCTACAGCTCCATCACTAGAAGAGTTCGGTGCTGGCAAGGCTGTGGGCATCATTCTCGGTGTCTGGTTCGGAGTCCTGGCAATTTGCTACATCTTCTTCATGCCCTATTTTGAGCGACGTTTGATCAAAAGAGACTCGCGTGTCAAGTTCTACCACGCACCACTCGGCCCCTTGCTACGCAGAGAGAACCCTCCTCTGTACTTTCCCGCCAAGGAAGACGGCAAATATGTCACTGACTACTACGAGAATGCGTACACCACAGCAGAAGCTGCGGCATCGGAGGACTTGAAGGTCGAGGTGTCATCCAGCAGTCCCGTCACCCCTGATATCGTCAACCTCGAGAAGGGCAAACTTGCCGAGCCACCTCGACCGAGAGGACCTATCGGACCGGTCGAACGGTTCTTGGACCCCGTCAGATCGCTGCCCTGGACAAGCAGCAAGAAATGGCTTGGATATGGCAAGTTCGCCCTGTTGCAGGGTGTCACCCGCGACTGCGTAAGCCACGACTCTGCAAGACTGAGAGATGTTCATTCTCGTGCTGCCAAATACGATCTCAGGGTTGAGCATCTGTGGACATACTGTCAAGTGGCCTCGGCCATGTTGATGTCAATCGCTCACGGTAGCAACGATGTCGCCAACGCTGTCGGTCCCTGGGTCGCAGTATACCAGACTTATATCGACGGAGAAGTGTCAACAACATCCCCTACCCCTATCTGGATCCTAGCCATCGCCGGTTTCCTATTGGGTGCAGGCTTCTGGTTCTACGGTTACAACATTGTGCGCGCACTCGGCAACAAGATCACACAGATGTCCCCTACTCGGGGTTTCAGTGTCGAACTCGGCGCTGCCGTTACCGTTTTGTTAGCCTCCCGCCTTGCTCTCCCCGTGTCGACTACTCAGTGTCTCACAGGTGCCACCATGGGTGTGGCCTTGATGAACTATGACTTTGGTGCCGTCAACTGGAGACAGTTGGGCTTCATCTTCATCGGATGGATGTTGACCCTTCCCTCTGCCGGTTTAGTCGCCGGTTTACTTTGCCTCATGGCTTTGAACACACCTCATTTCTGATTGAAGCTGTGTGCAATAGATTGCATTACTTCACAGATTCTGACGAACAATTAAGGAGAGAATTCATGATGAGCGGATTTTGGGAACAGTGGCCTCGATAGATATTGCCCTTCCCTGGCACGGCGTTCCATTCAAACTTGGTCCATTTAATCGATAAGCGCTCTGCGCAATGAAGAAATGAATAAACACTTCTGGCATGTAATTATGTCACCTCAAACTACCTAAGTTTTCTTAAAACGTACGCTCCGTTGTCTGTTGAATTCCTCTCTAAGTCATCATTGCGTGCATACGCGAGAACCTCAACAAAGGCCATGATCAAGCGCACAGAACTTGACATATCTTGTGCACGTCCGCTCCCACCACATCTTCTTTGTACTACATTCCATTGTCTCCTTGATCATGATGAGGTCATGATTAGCTCCCCACGCCGCCTTTGTCTATCAATAATAATTGGTGAGTTAGTACCACTTATACAATTTGGCGGACGAGTCCTGCGGACCTATCGCCCAAGATTGTTGGATCCTCCATGGTATACACATCAAGAACCCTATGGCTTCCGCTCCCTTCTGCGTCCAACCAGATACCATGTCGCGCCCTTCGGATCTTCGCTTCCGATCCACCGCTATCACCAGAGATTCTCCCCCCAAATTTCCCCGAACACCTCGATCACCAAATGGTGTATATAGCGGAATCCCAGTGACACCACTGTCTCGGTCCCGCCGACGACGAAGACACTGGCGCAAATATGTCATTGGGTCTATCCTTATTCTCACCTGGACATATCTACTCACATGCTGGTGCTCGACAGATGCGCTGTTGCATCTAAAGAACAACTGGTCCTCCATTCACAAACCGTCGTGGTTGCGGAGTCCGATATCTATTTCTATCTCCTTCAGTCGCGATACACCGTCTTTCACTCCCCACTTTCCTACGCATGAACATCATTTTCACATTGATCCTGCTTTTCTCGACTCCTCGGACCGAGGTGACCAAGCTTGGTTGAGTATGTTTCCGGACGGAGACGGGAGTGTTGTTGTGAAGAACCCGCGATATTATGGATTACCCCCTAGTTCGAGTGCTGTTGGTGAGCAGAGGGATGAAGTTGAAGAGACGGAAATTTATGAAGTTTCTGTGGTGAGACAGCTTAATTGTCTGGTGAGTGATTTACATGTCTTTATTTCGTTTGTCTGTTATATGATACTGACCAGTCACCTCTCCAGGCACTAGTTCGTGATTTTGTCATCGACCCATACGCCACCATGTCACAAGGAGACGACATCTATCGTCAGGTCATGCATTGTCTTGACCATATTCGCCAGGCATTGCTTTGTGCTGCCGACACTACGCTCGAACCTACTGGGAAGGATGTCTCTTTTATAGATACTCACTCAGACCAGGCTAAGCAGCAGAGTCCTTACATGGGCGTGGGTTTTGTAGCCGCCCGGCATACTTGTCGGAACTATACACAGGTACGGGAATGGATGGAAGCGAACATTTAATAATGATATTTCTATCCAAAGAAGCTTGCACTCCTGATTAGAAATCATTTCATGCAGTAATATGATAAGCATTCATTAGCGGATGCTGTCTATGGACTCTATCTGTACAATGATTTCATGCGCCTTCGCTGATGAAACGAGAGAAATGAAATTTTGAAAGTACTCTCAAGGTGTGTCATCCTGAAATCAACCTTCGATAAGCTCGAAAATTTGCGCAAGCAGCGTACATCTAGCATCGACAATCGAACTTGGAAGTTCATCCAACAATCGACCGGAGCCATCACCATGAAGACCGACACCACTGCCATAGACCGCGACATTAGGCACACTGTCGAAACCAGGGCCACCGGTGGGATCTTTAGCAAAGTCGGCCCAGGCGGTCTGCATCGCTTGACTCAATGCAATTTGGTCATCGGTGATGTTTTCTTGCGGCGAGGTGCCCCAAACGATGGGAATTTCCGAGACGTGAGCGGCGCCCGCGCCGGGGAAGAATTCGGTGTTTTCGAAACTCGCGTTGAATACGAATCGATAGCTGGGGATGCCAGCAGCTTGGGTCATATTGGTCAGGATGAGCATTGGGCATTGGTAGACCAAGTCTCTGATGAATCCGTCGACTTGTGCGTTGGGGTTCTCTGGATCTTCTGGGTAGATGTCGAGGAATGGCTCTAAAAGTTCGGGTGCTTCTGGGAAGATGACGGACAGGAGCTGCTTGCTGTTGTTGAGTCCGAGGGTGAAAATGGTGCCTTCGTCGGCGTTGCTGCCAGCCAGGACGGGTACCTGGGCGAACGATCCATTGAGGCGGGCTTCGGTGCGAGAGACAACGTTGGTCACACCGTCGCTGATCGGGCTAAATGGTAGACTGTATAGTTCGATGGTCGACTTGATAAGCTCAGCTGGCTGTGATTGAAGGCATGTCAGGTTGCTCTCTGGGTGAGTCTCGCTGCAGTTGAAAGCCTCGGCAAGCAATGCCCATCCTGGTCGAGCGACACTGGTGTTGACCGTCGATGGGATAAAGATCGGGGCAGACTGTAGAATGGCAGCACGGAAAGGAGGATCCTCGGGAATACTGGTGATGAGTGCGTCGATGCCATCAGCTCCAGCGCTCTCTCCAAAGAGAGTCACTTTTTCTGGATCGCCACCGAAGGCGGCAATATTGCGCTGCACCCAGTCAACAGCCAGACCTGATGAAAGAGCAATGTCAGCTAAAGTCTGTGGAATGGTCCAATGGATAGAGAGGAGATCTCACGTTGATCAAGAAAGCCCAAGTTTCGATCGCCCAAATCGAGCTCAGGCGAACCGGGAAATCCAAATACTGTAGGAAGAAGAAGAAGAAGTCAGCCATAGCTACGCGCCAGACGTGCTGTCAGTAAAGCATACCATTGAGTCGATAGTTGAAAACAACAATGATGACATCCTGATTTGCAGCAAAGCTCGTCCCATCGTACAAGAGGTCGGAGTTACGGCCGAAGTTGTTGGCGCCTCCCTGTAATTGATATCAGCCATCTGAGCAAATACTTGAGTAGAAGAGAGTGCTTACATAGAACCAGATCATCACAGTTCGATTCTCAGCTGGCTCTGCAGGAACATAGACATTCAGGTTCAAGCAGTCTTCACTCTCGCCCGCAGGTGTAGGCGGGTCGTTGTACCATGCAATGGACCGGTTGCGACTCTCTTCGGGGTAGTTGAATTGCTGGATACAGGAGGGACCATACTCGGTCGCGTTGAACGGCCTTGACCATGGTTCAGGCTTGGTCGGAGGTGTGAATCGAGTGGGCGGTGCGGCGAATGGAATACCGAGGAATTGATTGACTGCCTTGTCCGAGTTAGGGAGTGAGGTTTTCTTTCCTATGTAGAGCCCATGTCAGATTTGGTCTTGCTCTTGTGCCGCAGGTTTCCGAGCCAAGTCGAGGTCTCTCTTGACTTACCTATTACCACTCCTGAGTCAATAGTCGCTCTAGGAGGACAAGCACTAGTCGGAGCGGCAATCGAAGCCGCTGCGAACAGAGTCGCAATCAGAAACGAGTTGAGAAGCATTGTGTAAGGAGGAGGGTGTGATCATCAATCGTAAAAGTTTATCTGGTCGGTTGAGCCAACTCCTACGAGAGGCCATCTCGAGCTATATAGAGCACTTATTAATAATACAGTATGACCTCGACTTTGCGTACAGCCTTTGGGCTGCGTCATCGAGCCTTGTCCGGGGCAGTGTGGTAGCAGTCCATGGACCCACAGTGGATGGTTTAAGGCCTTTACAGATCATTCATGTCTGATGTAGGCTGTACAAGAGAAACAAGGCTCCGTTCTATACGAAACCGTGCTGTGGCGTTTGCGAGTTGTCAACGGCCACTGATGCCGTCCTCAATGGCAAATGACTGTAGCCAAGTACTCGGCATTTACCGAAATACCGTGACTACGTAGTCTAATTCGAATACGAAAGAGAGTACGAAATGTGGCTTACCAAAGATCGTATGAACCCTTGGCACAATGTCCGTTCCTGGATCGAGTGGACCTTAGCCAAGGGCGTTTTTGTTGGACAAAAGCATCTTTGGCATCGTCATAATGAGGCTTCCAAAAGATAGGAAGAAGATCATCGTATGTGAACAGTCGTCATAGGTGTTGATGAGGTTGTTAGTATGCGTAGATACTAGAATTTTTGGTGTTGATTACTCTGTAAAGCTTCGATAGAAGTTGATTTTGTTCTGCCCATGGCGAGGCGAGGCTAGGTGACCCATTTTCCTGTTCAGTATGGTCATGCACTTTCTTCGCGTGGTGATTATGTAGCACGTACTATGTGTTCGTTGGATGTCAGCCCCGGTGTTACCGTTGGTATGGAGTTACAATGGGTCTGGTTTCGGCCACATCCTGGGTTGCCACCGGCTCCCAATTATTTTCGCCGGTGGCCATTCCACTTCAACAACCAATGAGGGTGGCTTCAACAGCACCGCCTGGTTTTCGGGCCCCTTCAAACAACGTGCAATCAGCCAAGTTTACGTATATCATTTCATTCGAGATGGTGATCAAAAAACTGGTCATCTGCATGCCACGCCCGTTCCTGAGGCGACTGATACTATCCTGGGATTTCCCCGCACTTTGCCGGTCGCGAGTAAGCATTGTTCTAATCCAAATAAAGGTCCAAGCCCCAGGGCATGGCGCTGGTATGACTGGTAACTGGTTGTCGTGTCTGGAGACACCTCTGCCCGTGGAGAATAGTCATTCGGTTCAAGTGACATGCATCTCGTTCCCGCAGGGTCACATGAATCCCAGGGGAGATGGTCAAAGTGATCGAGAATGCGACTGTGGAGCCCGGCAAGGCGTAATCTAGTCCTTCACAACTCCATTTGCGAAATCTGATACAAGAATGATGTTCATTGCGAATGAATCTCTATTTATCTGTTTCAAGGACGTCAATAACAGCCCTCGAGTGCCGTCATGGTGAACGTTGTACCAAAGAGAACCCACTGCACAATGATACAGCACTCGCGGATGCAGGTGCGCGCAGCGTCGATGTTTGATGTTTTGATGACCTCAAACTGTAAAGCCTGAGCCTCCACCACTGCAATTTTTCCGGGGACAACTTCCGAGGGTGAAAGATTCAGGGGGGTAGGAAGGCCAGGCAACGAACAGGGTCAAGTCGGGGTTGAGAGGCAATCTATGCGCTGATGTGCGAGTGACAACAGATCTTTCCAATCACTAGGTTAGCTGCTGTTCGCTCATGTGCTGGTGTGATGAACTCTTTGGAGCCGAAGCTGCTCGGCATGAACAGTACTCTTGCACGCAGAGTGAAGTATTCGGATGGTTGAACAGTCGGATTGATTCCTGTAGCGGCGTACGAATGTCGACTCGAGCGTAATTCCAACCAACTTCCAGGAACGAATTCTTCCTCTGCTGGAATTCTAGGGACATGGCGCTTATCCGGTCATGCCTCTCCCGAATCCATTCGTTCGGTGATCGTCTCGTGTTGTTGGGGAGCGCAAAGGAGATGAGTTGCAGGCTGACCAACCATGAGCCAGCAGGCGTTCAAGACCAGCAACCGACTTCAGGCACCTCGACATGCTTCAGTGCTTTGCGGAGCATCCTCATTTCTTGGCCTTCTGTGCCTGTTCGTAGATCCAATCATTGAGGCCAGCCCGATTTCTGGCAATCTCGATGGCAAAGAACTGCATCCGCACGGCGAATATGGTCTCCTTTTCGCCATACTCTGTCTTTGGGCTCTTTCGTAGCATGGTGCCGAAATTGTAGTCTTCGATCTTTTTGTCGCCCTTTTCGTAAACCATGGAAAAATTTCTCCACTTCTCCTTGCCTTCTTTGCTTTTCATGACGTCTTCATTAAGCTCTTCGGCTGGGTCAAAGTCAGGAAACTCCTTCTTGAAATGTTCGTAGATTTCATCATCTAGCCGTGTGAGGCGAAGTTTGGAGCCCGGCAGTTTCTCGAGGATGGACCAGTAAACAGTCATGTGTTGGACAGCCTTGACTGCAAACTGCTTCTCCATGTCCTCAAAGTTCTGGGCATTTTCTGGATCGATGTGTTGAGTGAGAGACATGATTGCTACTTATTCGCTGAGGTTCTTGCTGATACAATGGTAAACGCGAAGTCTATTGATTTTAATGAAGTTGATCTTCAGAGAATGTTCTCGTCACAAAAATCATAAAAGGTCGTCATGGCTTGGCAATGATACTGGCGGGGCGCGCGGCTTTAAGAAATTCCGATCCCTGATCACGTGCTCAGCTATGTTTCTCTATTTGAGCCTCAAACGACACTTGATTTCCCCTTCAATATCCTCATCAAGCCTTTTATAGGTAGGAGATTATATAATTGCGAAAGTCCAGACACTATTGTCTCGTCGAGCCTCTCTGATGTGATATCGAATCCTCAATACTCCGCATGTCGAAGTCGATGTTTCACAAGTTGTCGAGTCAACGTAGCAATATAAAAATGATTATCCAGGCACAATGTACTATCACTATCATATCCCATGCACACTGTGCTCGCATCATGGAAGACTGACTTCATTCTCATTGTCATCAGGCAGAATAGGGTCTCATGGCATATTTATACTTGGTCTCGAATTGAATGCCTCAGCTTAAGTTGCTGTACTCCGCCAAATTTCTACGACGGCCAGGTATCCATATACCTTATGCCGCGTTTTGACGACTTCTTGTTCTGCCGCTATGCCCGTTCCATCCAGTCGTACAAAATCCGTCAAAGCGGTATTCTGGAACCTCAGAGGCCGTGTTGTGACCAGCCGACAGTGTGGCGCTAATTTGCCGTCTTCATATTCGGAAAACCCCAGGATCAGGCGCAAATGTTTACAAAAGCCGTCCTTAGTAGTTCACTTTCGTCGATTGACAACAAATGCCGTACTTTAATAGCACTATCAGCCTCGGTCAAGTGAGTATGCCGACCGTTTGGCTGCAATGTAGATGAAATGGTCTTTTAAATCTAGACTTCCGCATAAATCGATCTTTCAAGCATGGCGAATTATTCGAAAACGGGGGTTGACTTCACAGCCTCTTAAGGAACGATCCTATAACTCAACGATTGGCTATCGAAGCAGACATCGCCCTTAAAATAGATCATCTTTTCGCCGTTTTTCGCTTCAAACCGCTGTTTCCGCTGTCAGGCCAAAAGCTATTGTTAGACCTACGAAAAGAAATCACTTGGAAGGATGCCTTTCTCTGACGGAAGCTCGGCCAGCCCATTCAGTCCAACTGTTGTGGTCACAGGTCACAACTCTAAGGGGCAAGCGATGGTTCAGAATTCATACGAATGCCCCGAGAAAGTGTTCCCCAATCACGCATTCACTAACCACCACCTGTATTCAACCTCGAGTATGCCTGTCGACCTCAATGAGGATGCCGATGTCAACAAGCATCAAGAATGGGTGAGCGCCGAGAAAGTGGGAATCACAATAAAGAATGGGACGGTGTGCCGATACGTCAACCTGGCTCCAGGGCACACGCCCCTCTCTCATCGCACGCAGAGCTTGGATTTTGGTGTTGTGACGGATGGTTCGGTGATGATGGAATTGGACGATGGTAGCAAGACCCTGTTGAAGAGAGGCGATGTCGTCGTCCAACGTGGTACGATGCATGCATGGAGCAACCCAAGTCAAACAGAGTGGGCACGAATGGTCTTCTTCCTTCAGGATTGCTTGCCTCTCAAAGGAGTCAAGGAAGATCTTGAGCACAGTAATGGACTGGAGCAACTGTTTTCCAAGACGCATGACGAGTAGACACAGGAAATCAGGTAGCAACTTGAAGACGATGGCTTGCCATACTTTTCAGAGCTTAGAAGAATATACATAAAATACCTTGGCTCTAGCCAGTCGATGTTCAGAACAGTTACTCGTATATCGTAGTGTTGGTCTGAGATGAATCCCTGTTGGCTGGATACCCAATTTCGGAAGGCACGGATACAGTATGTCGGATTAATTCTGATCCATTCCGGCTGGAACCTCGTGCACGTGACTGTCAATAGCCAACAGAAAGCAATATATCCGGATTTATGCCCCTTGTTCCCAAGCCAGAGTAGGACATCAAGTGGTGGACTAAAGGCCGTCCGATGTTAGAACATGACAGATGGAATATGCGGTGGAAATAAGATGGCCTTTGCGTGCCTTGGGTCTGTTGGGGCTGAAGTGGCACAAGCGGGCGTGGCGTGGGTGGCGGCCCTCGGCCCTTCGGGCTAAGCTGATCTCGGCCTGATCACGTTGTTACTCGTGACTTTTTGACTCCGCACCAAATCCATCCACCATTATTGGCGCAAAGTCGTAGTTTTTGATTCTCTGCTACGCTGTCGTGTTGGTCGGTTGTTGTTTGATAAACTCCAAGAAAAACATGTGAAGAATCACCCACCAACTGACACACACGACACCTGGTCCTCCTGCATCTCTCGGACAGCTGCGTGCCACACACTCTCTCATCCTACCACGTCTGCTCCCTACCAGCTTACGTTCCCCACCTACGCATGCCGAGTCCTCAAAGTCCACAGCGTCCGTTCCTCGTCATGCTCAACATCTCGTCTTTGCAGTCTTTTTCTCTCTAGTACTCTTGACATCAGCCGCCTGCGCCTGAGAGCCTTACAAAGGACAGCCAGATACACGGGGCACACCATTCTGTGTCAAGCAGAACGAGAGCACTACACGCCTAGCACTTTATATTCACTCAGCCCTCGTGCTCCCAGTAGATTCCAACATGGAGATGCCACTGCATCGCCCTATCCCTCGGCGGACTTTCGACATCACGCCTGCCTCAACCGACTCCTCTCTCCCTCCGTCCCCAGCCCCTGAAGTGACGAATCCGGAACTTTTGGGCAGCCAGAAAGACATGACCCCGAGTAGAACTCGGTCCATTCTCAACCTCACCTCGTCCACCTTGTTTGGCATATACTCACCAGTCGGCACCGATTCAAAAGAGGAATCTTCAACACCATGGGGCACAGGTGCACAAACACCGAGCCACCGGCGTAGCATCGATGATTACATACCCTCAAATAGCCCCTTGGGTTGGGACGAGCCAACTCAAATGACCAAGCCCAAAGTCCAAAGACATGGATTTCGTGGATACTGGCTTCCGTTGGTTGTGCAGACAGGCCTTTTATTTGCATTCGGCGTGGGATACGGCTCTATTGTCACACACCTACATCGAACCCAACGAATCAAAACCATCCCCTTAGTTGATGTCGAGCGCGATTCTCTTTACTATCAATTATCGTGGGGTGTATTCGGCATCCTGCTTGGACATGCATTACCAGCGGTCGACGCGTTGTGGGAAAATTCCATTTCTCCCGCCTTGTCCGATGAGCAAGTCCCGTCGAAATCTCGATCGGCCAAACCCAAAGCTGCCAATGCATCTGGGGCTGAATCCGGATCTTCTTTTGACAGCAATACCGGACCAATCTGGTACTCTGCCGTTCGAAGTATAGGTGCTTTTGTAGGAATTGCCTTTGCAGTGGTGAGTGATTAAGCGACCAAGGCCATGAATGCATCGTCTTTGCTAATGAGTTATTGCAGCGACGACTTCCATGGCAGTCAACACTTCAGGTGGCATTGACTTTGGCTCTAGCTAACCCTGTCCTGTGGTATATTATCGATCGATCTCTACCAGGCTTTGCATTCTCCGCTGTCGTCAGCATAGTCGGCACGGTGGTTCTGCTTCTAGTCGACCCCAACTTTGTACCACTGCCCGCAATCCATCAGTCCGCGGCTTCTGAACAGATTGGTGTGTACACTTGGCTCGCTAGCATTCTCTTCTGCACCAGCATATGCTTTGGAGCCATTGGAAGACGTCTCCAGCTGTAGATAGCCATCCCAAAAGATCAAAATGAGAAGGGTCAAAAGCCTCGGTTAGTTCCTATCCAAGTAGGGTCTTCAAGATATGCCTTGTAGAGATTGTTGGGCCATGAAGCCGGAGGGGCCTTTGCGGGGTTTTGGAGAGCTTGCTCAACTACAGCATCGCCCAGGATTTTCTCAATGTTCAATCGTGCAAGTTTGGTCTCAATCTCCTTGCCATACTCGACGGCGGCATATGATTCGCGAGAAAGTGGACGAAAATCAATCAAGACACCCAGTCGGACCAGCCTAGCCAGCGGCGTGATCCTCTCAGCGATGTGGGGGGAAGTGTGCAGGGCAATGGCAGTCCAAACTTGACGAGCGTCGACAGCCGAAACTCCATGTTTAGTCAGAATGCTCACAGTGGCATCTGCACCTTCGACCTCGAAGCGCTCAGAAGTGTTACTGTGCTGTCTGCATGCTCCAAGGTCATGACCAATAGCTGCGGCAAAAAGCAGGTCACTGTCGGCCAAGGGGTCGTGCTCCTTATCTGCCAGCCATTTGGCAAACAGATAGACTCGTAAGCTGTGGTGAACGATGGCCAGCGGCAGCACCGACAGCACATGGTCCAATAACGCTGTGCTTGGGCCAGACTGGGGGCACAGTCGCTTGAGAGCATCAACCTCTGCAGATGGTATCAGGGAGGTTTCAGGTCCGGCGGCAGATGGAGCGGTTGTCTCGCTTGGAGGACACATTTTAGGCTGTTCGCGCAGACCACTCCTTGCAGGAGCTTAGTTAGTTTGGTTCCAGGGATGGGATGGGCACGCGACAAGTGAGTGGTTCGAGCCTCGAAGCCTGCCGACGTGTTTGAAATTGATATCAATAATACTGGAGTGATCAACGTCGACTTGCTGACTGGCACTTAGGGGCGTTTAAGCTGATCGCAAAGACCCTTGTGTGGGTGGACGGCAGCCTTGGGAGACTGGTGACAATTAATTAGAGTCGAACTACTGTACGAGGTATCTGATGTTGTGTCCCGTGATCACTTAACGCGCCTGGAAGAGCGCGTGCATAGAAGGAGCTGGTGCTTAGGTACCTATGGAAGGAACCCTAGGTGGTAGCCTCTATAGGGGCTAAGGTCCCTTAAGGCATGGTGCCCCTCGGCCTGCCCCTCGGCCGCTTCCTTGGAGCAACACCCAACTCGTATTGAAGCCCCCAAAGCAAGGCCACCTGTGGTCCAGGCGACTCACGTCATCCGCTTCCTTGAAAAGACAAATACCAGCGCGTCTACAGGAATTTTTGGAGGTTGCCTGGCAGTAAATTCGTGTGCCGTCCAGTTTCAGGGGATTTTGACCATCGAATAACCAGGAATTAGGAATGTGTCGTATCACCCATTACGACATCTTGCGTGAGATATGCCAGCGTCCAATCTCGATTCCCTACTTGACTCGGAAAGGTCAGACGAGACGACACTTCAGCCAACCCGTGATGCCCCTGAGCATGGGGGTCCCATGTCCCTGCCGTTGTGCTGGGCTCTGATACGCTCTGAAGCCTCTGGCGGCCACGGATTTGGAGTCGGGTGTGCCTGTGGAGCTGATCCCTGATAGGCGACTCGTGATAGGCGTCAATTCAGTCAAATATAACTGGCACACTAACCTACTTCGGGCTACCCTAAATTTCCCAAACATTTTCAAAAACAACAAATCCCAAACTTGGATCTGCTTAGGGCTTCCAACACCAGACTGGGATGCGCTAACCATGGCATTATCATCGTCAAGGCTGTTTTGATAGTCGATCTTGCTGCTCTCGCACCAGATCTCGAGCGAGCCGTGCTTGTATCCTAGCGCGCAGCTGGCACTGACTCGGAGCCACACGCCTTGCCTCGTCTGCTATCATCAATCAGTGCCTGGCCTTCCCACGCTTTCCTAAACATTTCCACCGCTCGACCCCAGTCGCGACTTCCCAGCGTCCCATACCACACCCCTCCCCCCATCGACTCCTACTTTATTCTTCCTGCTTCGCACACTCCCTCCTTCGACTTGAGTAGCACTGTCCTTCATCTAGCCTCACTCGATCACTCAGCGCTTCGTCCAATATCTTCAACTCGAGAGCTGGCTCTTGTGCGGTTGTCTGTTGAAAATTTGTTGCTGCCCGACAGATCCACCCCCAGATCGATTCCTCGAGTACCAATTCGTCAACTTCACCGATCCCTTCACCGCTCTTCGCACAGATCCCCACACTCGATATGGTTTCATTCCAATGCGAGGTCAGTCTTGAGTCTTGTTCGCGAATGGCAGTCCGCCAATCTTTTCTGACTAGAATTCCTATAGGCCTGTGGTGACGTCCTGACCAAGAAGAAGCTGGACCCCCATCGGAACCAATGTCGAGGGGCGTATTTTGCGTGCATTGATTGCATGACCACATTTAATGGCACCGAGTACAGATCGCATACAGTATGTCCAGTCAATCCTATCGTCAATAGAAAGGCATCATCGCCTTGCTCTATCCGTCTGATGCAGAGGTATTGGAGTCGTGATCTAACATATCTGCCACAGTCATGCATGACCGAAGACCAGAAGTATCAAGGTGCCCTCTACAGGCCAAAAACCCCCAAAAACCCCAACAGGAAGTCTGTCTCAATCGTCGAACCTGGCGACGCCAAAGCCCTGATTCCTCGCCCAGCATACGTCGAAGATGCCCCCGACAACGAGGCCCCTCCTCATGTTCCTACTCCTCCACCCGCCGTTCCTCCCCTTACCGCCGACAGTGTTTTTGATTACATGGTAGACGAAAGCATGCCCAACACCCCTCAGATAGCCTATTCCAAGGACAAAGGAGAAATGGCCATGGCCAAGGGAGCCCCATCCATCTTCACAAATAGCCGCCCAGGTAGCTCCAGTGGCTATCGCCATCATGAAGAGCAGATGCTCAATCAAGATTATCTTGACAATGGCTACACGTGGGGCACCGAGCCCGTTCAGTCCAAACAAGTCCTCGACATGAACGGAAGCTCCCTGACTCTGGAGTTCATGACACCTGCGGCCAAGGAAGTCAAGGCTAGGTTAGACAAGAAAGACAGACCACGCTCGCACAGCCGAACCGACAGTGGTAGCGGACAGAAGAGGAAAAGAGACGAGCACCAAACACCAGCAGATTCTCTCATGGTTGATACTACCAAGGCCGACACACCCACAATCGTGCATTCAGGTTTGACTGGCGGTCTCAACCGGATGTTGAGTGAAGAGAAATACCCATTTCGAAGGACGCCTGAGACAGAGGAGAAGAACAAACTGGTCATCGAAAAGAACCGCCCTGTTCGTCGAAGTCACAAGACTGACGACCCCATATCACCCCTCAAACGGACGCGGCATGCCAAGGATGATTCCAACGGCCTAGGAATATCAATGAAAGGGCGTGCGGCTAAAGCCCTGTCCATGGTTGGCGTAGCACTACTTCCTGGCTCGGGCAATTCTCAACAGGTCAAGACGAGGAGAAGAGCAAGTTCGTCTGACCATGGACAGAATGCGACTCGGGTGCGAGAAGGGGAGAAACGTGAACGCAAAAAGCACAAAGTTCACCGACACAATGGAACAGCGTCAGGAAATATTCGACACGAGCATCGCTCAAGACGTCATGGCAGCGAGGACTCGCCTTCTCATTCACCCCATGAAAATGGTCCGCGCCGGTTAAAAGCGATCGAGTATCGCAAACACGACGATTCTGGCTCGGACACCGACTCAGACCCAGCCAATCGTCACGGGAATGAGCAGGGATCCAGAAGAAAATCCACCAATGGTGCAATGGTAGTTTTCGGCGAGGAGGAGAGGCAGAGACGGGCATGTCGAAACTTCCTGGCCAACGCTCCAGGGTTGGACTCGGAAAAAGGCTACTCGATTCATAAAATGCTGAAGCGATATCACAAGCAGACGGACACAAGAAGCTCGTCTGCCAAGGCTGATGATGAGCAGCAGCTATGGCGTGGATTGCGGATCAAGAGGAACGAGAAGGGCGAATTCGTTCTGACCTTTTGATCGACTTGTTTGACCCAGCAGACGAGCGAGTCGGCCTTCCCACGTGGACTTTAAATCATGAAACTTGTTCGGCGTTATTGTGATTCAGGGATGGGGGACCACTGGTCGCTTTGGGAGTAGATACTTTAGACCATATACTCGCTCCAGCTCGAATGATCATGGTCACAAGAGTGACATTTTCCTCTCTTCCTTTCTCCAGACTGTATTCGTAGTGGGCCAATCGCCGAGGACTGTGACGAAGGTGTATGGGGTCATATATGAGTCCGATTTTCGGCTCTGCTCACGCTGGTTTCATATGAGGAAGCAATCGGCGTAGTCATGACCTACGTACATTTAACATACTTTGCGTTGAGAGACGGGCACACTGTAATTATCATTTTTGCCTAGCCAGAAAAAAAAATGAGGTCATGACACATGTCAACGGCTGCGACATTCAGGAGTCGTGAGCGTTACCTGCACCACCAAACCATATCCATCGCGGAGGAGGAACGGGGATTCGCTATGCCACGGCCGCGGATGGTGGAACATGGGGATGTCACTTGCAGCAAGCACTGGTCGAAGGCCTGAAACGTAGACGAATCGAGGACACGAGCATCGAAACTTCTGGAGCTAAGGGTCGGCCGGGAGCTCTGGAACGCGCCGGAAAGCTGATCGCCTAGCAAGGGGCAGAGGGGCTGCGGAGAAGGATGCGTGAGCAGGTTCAATAATGAATGAGGATTTTTGCCTATGACAGAAGTTACCTAGAGCACCTAGGGAGACACGGGAGGGACACGCGTTGGGTGGACAAAACTCTTGTGGGATCTGATGATTCACGAAAAATTCCAAGGAAGTGCCTCGTAACTGGTCTTGGATTTTCATGATTGTACATACGGAGTACATCACAGTAATCTGTGTAGAGATGCCATGCATACCTTCAAGGGCGTATTTCAAACCGTGCAGTGGTAATTTCTTGATTTGTGGCTTGATTTTATCCGGCATTGGGAGGAAAAGGTGTCGTGGGATCAGCTTGACCATTGCTCAGGGTGTCTGTGAGGACAATGCGAGTGGATAGTGGCCCCCAAGGGTGGCGGGGGACCACTGATAATCCAGCCCAGCAATCCTGAAATAAGCCTGCAGGGCCTAGCATTACCTGGAATTGCCTGGCATTGGGGGCTCACATCCGTACTTCGTATGTCCTGACACGCCGCCGTGGCTGCCCACCCAAAAGTCACTCAGAGCTGGGCCAATCCAATCCCTTGAGACCCTGGAAGTGAGTCCCTTGCCTTCGTGGCCTACCCACAGACCTTCCACAACCCTCTCCAAGTGTGACCTCTCTTTCCTGAACCGGACACTCGCTCTCGCACGCTCACTTGACTTCCTTCCTTCCTCACAAAGCGAACATCCCTCTCGCCAAACCATCCCACACACACAACCCTCCACCCACACCTACCACCTACCACCTACCACCTACCACATTCTTAAACCCTCGAAACCCTACAGTCAATCATTTACAATCACATTAATATGATCTTGTCCATCGCCACCTAGCCTCCTCCTGCCTTAATCTCTGGGAGCTGGCGTCCCACACAGTCAACCATGGCCAAACCTCCACATCGGCCCCCAGGCCGGCGTGGAGGATCCAAGTCAATGATCACCTGGGCTCTCCTGCTCTTCCTCATTGCTGCCGCGCAGTCACAATCCCTCCCACAATCAGAGTCTATTCAGAGACTGGTTGCTTCGACCCAGACGCCCGTCCCAGACTCAAATCGACACCCTCAGGCTGGCCGCAGTCCACCCGAGATCCCACTCCTTAAAAACGACGTGACCACCGTCCGATTCAGAAGTACCGATGAATCACCCCAAAACCACAAACCTCGTGCCTTGGCTCCGGCTCACGATGCCCGTGACGCTGTTCGAGCACCTCTTGTTCAGTCTGCCGAGTCCTCAGGACTCTCGTCGCTTGCCCCAGCGCGGCTACTACAAGATTGGGAGGTCGAGAATATTGTGCTTCTTGCCACTATCGATGGCACCATACATGCTCGAGACCGCCAAAGTGGTGACGCCAGGTGGTCTTTGGGCTTCCCAAACAGCCCTATGATTGAAACTATTCACTACAACCTCAATCGTTCAGGCGCCGAAGGCTCTCTGTACGACGATGACTACATCTTCATCGTGGAGCCTAGCAAGGACGGAGATTTATATATCCAACACAAAGATCCTAGAATTGGGTTACAACGATTGGGTCTTACCATCAGAGAGCTCGCCTCCCAAACACCCCATTTCGTCGATGACCCGCCTTTGGTCACCATTGCTTCGCAGGAAACTACTGCATACGTTGTTGACGCAGCCACCGGAAACATCATTCAACAATTCGACAAGTACAGAGGCTTCTCGAGTGAGGACAATGGCCGCAACTGCAGAAAACTGAGTGGATTTGAACTTGATGACCCTGCATGTGAGCCACTAGGCATCATCAACCTCGGCAGAGTCGAGTACACCGTTCAAGTCTCCCATAAAATTACAAACAAACCCCTCTGCACTCTCAAGTTCTCAGAGTGGCTTCCCAACATGGGCGACAGTGATCTGCAAGATCAATACGTCGCTCCACTTGACAACATCCAAATCCAACCCACTTACAATGGCCGTATCTTTGGCATCAACACTAACCAGGCCGCCAACAAGAGACCACAATTCACCCACACTTTCGACACCCCTGTCGCTAGAGTCTTCGACATCGTCCGCCCTTTGGACAATGTGGAAGAGTCGCCCAAGCTGGTTGTTCTCGCTAGACCGACAGATTCTCCATTGTTATCATCTCAGCGCACCTCCGCCACCGACTTTGACCGATCTGATCTCGTCTTTGTCAACAAGACTGAGTCCGGCATGTGGTTCGCCATGTCGGAAATCTCCTACCCTGGTATCACCAATGGTGCTTCGCAAGCAAGCTCAAATTGGAATTATGACAACCACCTCCTGAACTTCGAGGGAGAGATGGACGAGATCGTCGGAGTCCATGTTTTGTCTGGCATGGAGCACCAGGCGCCTTTGCCACTGAGTCTTCCTGCCCCGCCAACATCGGACTTGGCCAAAGGCTCTGAAAATGCTCTCGCTGCCCTAGAAGCAAAGCTGCCCCCTGCCATCTTGCCTCTCATTCACCATCCCCTCCTCTCGTTCTTCAACATAGTCGTTGCTACTGTTTTTCTCCTAGCCCTTGGTATTCAACTGAGAGTACCCTTGATGTTAAAGGCGCGACGGCTCCTCCAGCAGCTCGGTGTTGACGTCAACATCAAACAGAACAATCCTAAAGCCGTCAAACTCGCTGCAACGTCCGCGACGGAAGATGAAGCCCCTGTGGCAGGTGTTCCGACAGCTCCATCTGCTCAAGGAACTGTTTCTGAAGTCCCTGAAACCGTCGCGGTAACACCTGTGAGGAGTCGCGCTCAAAGTACTGTTGTCGACCCGATGAGCCCCGCAAAGAGTGTCAAGGTCGCAGAGCCAAACGATGAAAGTTCCGATGGCGACTCTGACGAGGAGAAACCTAAGTCTGAATCCACATCAAATGACGTTGCAGAAAATGGTGGTCAGCCTCGTCGGAGACATGCGAAGCGAGGGAAGCGAGGGGGAAAGAAGAACAAGAAGGCCAAAAAGACAATGGATCCAGAGGCCATGGATGAGAATACAGCTCTCACTCCAGAACTCCCGACAAAGGATGGTTTGCTCCAAGTTGGCCGGCTTCGCATCGACACAAAGGAGGACAGTTGCTTGGGCCGAGGTAGCAACGGTACCGCCGTCTTCCCCGGAACCTTAGATGGCCGAGAGGTTGCTGTCAAGCGTTTGATCCGCTCATCCAACAGCCTTGCAGCAAAGGAAATCAAACACCTTCTGTCGAGCGATGAAAACCCTCACGTCATTCGTTACTTTGGCAAGGAAGAGTCTCAGCATTTTACCTACATCGCACTCGAGCTATTCACCACATCTCTAGACCAGTTCATCGAACGCCCCCTATCATATCCAAACCTCGTCAAGCTGCCAGAAGGCTTTGATGTCAAGGACTGCTTGCGCCAGATCACTGATGGCGTTCAACATCTTCATTCTCTCAAACTTGTGCACCGAGATATTAAGCCTCAGAACGTGCTGGTCAAAGCTGTCAAAAGTCACAGGCCCACAGCTGGTTTGCCAAAACTGCAGTTTGTGATATCAGACTTTGGACTATGTAAGCCATTGGAAGAAGGTCCTGAGTCGACTTTTGCTCCTACCGCAAATCACACCGCAGCTGGTACTACCGGATGGCGGGCTCCCGAACTTCTAGTCAACTCTCGTGCCACCTTACCCACACCCGCTATTGCATCCAGTGCTTCAAAATCGACAATTCATTCCAGCGATGGCACAACCCCTGATAGGTCATCTGGTCGCCGAGCCACAAAAGCCATCGACATCTTCTCCCTTGGTTGTGTCTTCTACTATGTCATGACACAGGGCCATCATCCCTTTGATGTGGGCGGTACAAGTCTCGGTCGTGATCTGAATATCAAAGAGAACAAGTTTTCGACCGATGCGTTACGGTTACATGACTATCAATATGACGCCGACGATCTTATCATGCAAATGCTCAAAAATGATCCGAAACATCGGCCGGATACCCACGATATCCTTCGACACCCGTACTTTTGGGACGTGGAGGACAAACTCGACTTTTTGTGTGATGTCTCTGACTGCTACGAAAGGGAGAAGAACTCTATCAACAATCCATTCGATAACAATGCCGTGCGAACACCCGCAGAGAAGGAGGCTCTTGAGGAATTGGCTGCGCTCGAGTCATTGTCACCTAATGTGATTGGTCCTTCGCGGGACTTCTTGCGCGCTTTGCCACGATCGTTCATCAACGAGATGGGCAAGCAACGCAAGTACACAGGTTCCAAGATGATTGATCTTCTTCGGGTGATTCGCAACAAGAAGAACCATTTCCATGATCTCCCGGACGATGTCAAGGAGCAGATGCTGGGAGGAAGTTCGAGAGGATACTATGAGTTCTGGGTCAAGAGGTTTCCTAGCTTGCTGATTAATTGCCATGCTCTGATCCTTGAACGGGATGTTGTAGCAAGGATGAGACTGGAGAGATATTATGACTTATCTGAATGAATCGCGGTATTCGTCGGGCTTTCTACGATACCGGTTATTCAATAACCAATAAAATTTTACTTTAGTCTACATATGTCTTTTCACGTACTTTGATGGTGACCCAAGATCCAAATGTATTGACTGAGGCTTCTAAATGACGAAAGGAAGGTGGGCACGTAAGCCGGTAACGTTCAGATATTGTGTTGGATGTTTCTCATTTATCTCTATGAAGAGCTTTTCTCTGGTCATGACAAACAGGAGTCGTAATCTATCTAGTCTCGCTCGGTCTTTGGTTGTAAAGGGAGGTAGGTAGGTGGGTAGGTATACAGGGAATCGGCATCGTCCACGGAGGCCTCCATTGTTCAAATCTCGACATCAGAGAAGTGTCTTCTGTCTGGCTATCTGCCAATAGTCACCTCTCTCTCTTCCTCACCAAGAAGTCGGACTTCCTCTCCATCCATCATCCAGCCGAGAAGGGGTTGTCTGTCTAAACTCACTCTTGCTTCGAGATCTTGGAGTATGGAGAGAGGGAAAGAGAGTGACAGATGTGCTCCCACATATCTAAGGGGGAAATGGTGAAGTAGAGATCTCCGAGGAATGATTCTGCCGACCGGAAATAGAGTTGGTTGGATTTTCTTGAGCCCCGAATGGGGGCATTTCATGAGGATCGGGATCGGATCCAGCCAGCATGACAAGGGGCATACTATACTGCGTATCGCAACTGTGTATAGAATATAGCCAAGAGACCAACTGCATTGAGATAGATGGACAGGAGCCACTCGTGCGTCAATTCGAACACCGTCCCTGACCCCAATGGGATGAGCCCTTCTGAGACCAATTCCGGAGCTTTTACATCCTCTCTCGCCGCCGTGGTGCAGCACGGATGATGTTGTCGACACGAAGCAACAGCTCTGCAGCCTCGCTGGCGGAGCTGACGACTGCCTTTTTCAGTTTATAACTCTCAATAACACCCAGTTCGCGCATGTCACAGATCCCGCCGCCAGGAGTTAGAAGGTCGAGGCCACTGCTGGTCATGCCACGATATACTTCACTTCTCAGCTCTGACACGAGAGCTGATGAGTCGAGACCAGCATTGTCGGCCAGGATGGTGGGGAGTTGTCGCAGGGCGGTGGAGAAGGAGTCGATGGCAATACGTTTTTTGCCGCCGACTTTCTGGGCCAGTGAATCAACGGCTTTGGCCATGACCATTTCCGCGCATCCACCTCCGAGGGTGACGCGGGGTTCTTTGACGGTTTGGGATAGAACCGCCAGAGCGTCGTGCAGGGATCGCTCGGCCTCGTCGAGGAGTTGCTCCGTCGCCCCTCGGAGCACGATCGTGCAAGCCTCGCCTGCGGCGACGCCAGAGAATTTGATCAGTGTGTCTTCGCCGATGATGACTTCTTCGATCACATCGCAGTGTCCGAGTTGGACTTGGTCTGGGTGGTCGAAAGTCGAGGCGATTTCGCCGCCGGTGACGAGCGCCAGTCGTTCGATACCGTCGAAGTCGGCGTGCTCGATCGAGACGATTCCGGCTTCTGTGAAGAGTTGTTCAGGCCAGTTGTAGATCAATTGACGGTTGATGAAGCAATTGATGCCATGGGCCTTGATGCGGTCTACCTTGGCCTTCATCCGGTCTCGTTCGGCCTTCTCCAACTCTGCGAGCTCCTTGGGAGATGATACCTTCATTCTGCTCGCCCAGATCTTGACCTTGTCTGTGTCCATGGCCGTGTTGGCCACGAGGATCTTGGCATTTTCCAATCGTTTGGGTTGGTTGACCCCGATCTTTTTGTCGAGGATGAATCCCTCGTCGAGGTAGCTGTCCGAGAGTTTTCCACCGGCCTTCTTGATGATCTGGATATGGTTTAGGTCGATGGAGCCCTTGAGGCGGAGGATGGCGTCGCAGGCAAGGTCGGAAAATTGATTCCGATCTTGACTGAGCACCTTGGAGGAGAGGGTAGTGCGTGCGATGGCGCGGAGGTCTTTGCGGAAGGCTTCAGGGTTCTTGCTGTTGTCGACGGCGGACTTTTCAAGGGCTTGTAGGGCGGCTTGGGAGGCCAGTCGATAGCCCTCAATGATGGTTTGAGGGTGTATCTTTTGTGCCACCAACTTCTCGGCTTCCCGCAACAACTCGGCGGCCAGGACTGTTACTGATGTGGTACCGTCGCCGACTTCGTCGTCTTGGACTTTTGAAATGTTGACAAGGACTTTTGCGGCGGCATTGTCGAGGGCTATAGATTTGAGGATTGTGGCTCCGTCGTTGGTGACCATGATCTCACCGGTGCTGGCGCTTTGGAGGATCTTGTCCATCCCCTTGGGACCAAGCGTGGACTTGACCAGATCTCCGACGGCGATGGCGCCGACAAAGGCGGAGAGACGGGCATTTTCTCCCTTTTCTTCGGAGACGTCTTCAGCGAAAATCTGAGTAGGGTTTGCCATGATTGCTGCAGGACTCGAGACTTCGGCTACAAGAAAGAGAAGATGTCACCTGTTGTCAAATGATCACCAGGCACAATTGAAAATATTGACTGCGGGGGATGAACATGGAAACAATGCCTGTCTATGTGCTTGACCGTAGTCTTGGCGGGGTGTCTAGGGTGGAGTGCCCCGTGATTTGAAAGCGGATTATCAAAAGGGGCTCACAGGGTTTACGCATATGGCTGCAGCAGTTCAAATCATAACCCTTGGATATCAATTGAATGTCATGACACAATGGATGCTATCTGATCCAACCCATCTAAAATAGACATTTCAGTCGCTCTCATGCGATGCGAGGTAGGTCTATGGAGTTGATCGTATAAATCAATCCATGTCTACGTCGCTTTCCGCATCTCCATATCCGTCACCATAGTCTTCACCATCCATTTCGTCATCACTCCTCTCTGCGAGAAGATCTTGAGTGATCTCATCATTGAGATCGCGATGCCGGCGACTGCTTCGAGCCTCAGGGGAGGGTGGAGCAATATTATGCACCCGCTCCCGATCTTCGCGAGGCCGTGGGCGTTTCTTGGACACTTTGCGTGCTCCATTGGAAGCCCCTTTGCTCGGAGGTGGAGGGGGAAGGACGTCGACGTCCAAAGGACCCGCGATGTGTGCAGTGTAGGCGGTGAAATCGGAGATTCCACCCCATCTATCAAGTCTGCGTCGACTTCTTTTCAGGATTTTGGTCCAGGTCTCGGCTTCTTCACCGAGGTCATCAGGCTCATACCCAGCGGGCATTCCAGCTGATTCACCTTCAACGAGCTCCGCATCCCAGCGTTTGGCAAGGAGACCTGCGAGGCCAACACCGCCGCCTTCTTCCTCTTCTTCGGAATCGTACGTTCCCGGGAGTTCCGTAAGACGACGAGTAGTCTTGATAAGCCATCGCTCATCCTCACGCAGAGCGCGAGCTTCTCGCAGAAGTTTACGGCGTTGTCGACGTAGCGCCCACTCGACACGACGCATTCTGTGCTCTTCTAGCTCACGCTGATAGCCTGTGCGCGCCCGTGACTTGGTAATTATGGCGCCGGCAAGCGGCGTTTCATTTGTGCGACCTATAGATACAGTTAGCAAGTGGTGGAATCACAGTTGGATGATTGGTGGTCTGCTTACCAAGAGACAAAGAACTAGGCTGCAATGGCTGCGGGGTTCCTCGGTAACGATCGACAGTATCAGGAGTGCCCACGCGTCGACTTGACTTGAGGAGGCTCCTGGGTCCATCACTTTGTCTTGGGCCACCTCTCAAGCGGCTGGGGGTGTTTTTGCCTCGAACACGCTTATATCTGCCTCGGCCAGGATGTGGATCGACGGCTTCCCAGTCGTCCTCCAGGCTATCAGCTTGACCTCCCAGGCTACTCATGACGTGGCCGCGTTGATGATATTCTGGAGCGGGGGATCGGCCCATGCCAGGACTTCCTCGAGAGTCGGCATCTGATAGCATGGAATCATCGTCTCCGTGAAGAGCGGTCTTTTTAAGACGCTTCAGCGTCTTGTGATCGGGATTGCTAGGATCTGCCATGACCAAAGGCGGCTCGTTGGCGACCTCCAACATGATTCTCTTGCGTTCATTGGTCATTTTCTTGGCAAATGCAACCTCCTCGGGGGTATCAACGTTCTCGGCGTCGCCTTCTTCCTCGCTGATGTTGACTAGCTTCGGGACCAGTTGGGGGACGATACTGGGGTCCTCTGGATCTTCTGTTTCTTTGTACTCTCCCGGGCCAAATGGATTGTTCAAAGCATCGTGTTTGGAAAAGTCGGATTCGAGATAGAACCACATGAGCCAGAGGAAAGCTCTAGCTCGACTTTCAGAACTAATGGTGTGGCGCATAGCTAGGTCAAAGAAATCAACTTTATCGGTAAAGTGGCTCTCGCTAACGGTAGGGGCAAATTGGGAGAGAATAAAGATAAGGTTGACAGGGTTTGTCCTAGGGATGGATTTGGCTTTGATGGCGGTGATTGTTCGAGGCTCGTCGGTGTCTTCACTTGCACCTTTCAAGATGCTCTTAAGGCGAGGGGCATCTTGCAAGGATTTGTAGTCTTTCTGGCTTTTGTATGCTTGTAGTGAAGGGATGGAATGATAGGTTCTCAGCTGAGCTCGCATCTCGGGAAAGAAGTTGAGGGTGGTGTTCATTCTGCCAATGTTGACCAGCAAACAGATCATAGCCATGTTTTGGGCAGCTTGTCGATCGATTTGCAGTCTGTCCTTGAGGATCTTGCTAGTCTTGGAGCTGCGAGCCATGCAGTCAATGTAGACATCAGCAAAGTTGCAACCAGTTTGGCCATCACTAATGCGCGTGAAGACTGGTTTGGTGTCTTCAATCACGATGCGCAGGAATTCGAACTGGATTTCTTTTCGCCAGAGAGGAGTACCGTCTGGTTTTTTGATGTGTCTGATCTTGCTCCCAGAGTAGACTGAACCTACGGTGCCATTGGCTTGTCTTCTGGTCCCAACGGCAGTTCCAATTGTGCGAGGTTCGGATTCGGGGGAGGCTTCTTGTTTTTTGTTACGAGAATGGGAAACTGATATGATGCTCCCTTCATCTTCGGTGCCATCGTGGAGCTGCTCCTGGATCCAGATGGCGCCCTTTTTCGCTTTTGATTTCTTACTCGTGGCTGTTCTGGGTCGTTGTGTACGGCGACCAGAGCCTGGAGTGCGGGTGGAGGGTTGGTCATCGGTGAGGTGTGACTGATCAGGTTCTAATTCGGAAACTTCAGGTTTGATAATCTCTGTTTGCTCGTCGATAGTATCGCTCTCAGAAGGAGCAAGGGAGGGGTCGCGGGAGGCCATTTCGGCGAGAAATTAATGGTTATGCAGTAGGGATTTGGGGCATTACGGAGATTCAGGGTTGGCGATGAGAAGAAGATGACAGATGGAAAGAGAATGGCGAGTTATTTAAGGATAAAAGCAGAGGTTGAAGTTGATGAGGTGTGACTCGACGTGATATGCAGTTGATACGCAGTTCTGATATTGAAAGAATGAGGAAGGAACATGATTTCTGAATCCAGCCGCGACTTCTCAATTCGGGGAAGTGACTCCACGCGCTTTGGGGAAGGAGCGACCCCTGCTGCTGCGTCTTCGGCTAACCTTCCTATTGTCATTCCTCCGTAGTCTCACCCTTCGTCAAACTGATGCTGATCAGAACAACGACACTGGACTACTGAGCATGCGTTGATGTTACATCTGAAGCTGGAAGTTGACTAGATTCCTCTCTATCATCCTTTACATCAATTTTAGAATCACAAATCAAATTGAGCCGTCTCATACATTTCTATTTCGTTCCGGGTCGGTGGAAAGTTGTCAGCCGTGTCACCAACATACGACAACCCCGGACTCGGCACGTTAGCCACCCGAAAGTCAGACAAGCACGCATCACTATATCAACATCCAATTTACCTGCCTCCACACCTGGTTCGAAAGGCATTGTTTATATAAGATCGTAGGTACAAACAGTTGTATGCTGTAGACAAAGTTGTTTGGAGAACTGTTCTGTTACTTCTTTGCCATCTCAATCCATTACACCCCCTTTTTCAAAGCAATATGACGAACTGGATCTTGGGCGACAAGTTCACTGAACGTTACCCACATTTGAGTGGCGTCAAAGCGCTCTGGGAGACCAAATGGAAATTCCCAGCAACCAAAGGCGTCTATCCATTTCATGACGGTAAACTTGAGGACTTTGCTCCAATCTTTGAAAAGCTCATCCAGGACAATGTCAACGACGCTTACTCAGACACCTACACCGAGTATTTTCTCCCTACCGCCGAAAAACTGACCGACCAAGCATTGTCTGCCCAAGGCTCAGACCGTGCTAAAGCTGCTGAACTTTTCAAACGAGCTGCTGCTGTCTATCGAATCTCTCGCTTCCCGTCAGTCGATGCCGGCTCAGGTCTCAAGCGAAGAATCTTTGAAACACAGAAGCAGGTTTATTTGCGTGGTGCAAGCCTATGGAGCTCGCCCATCACTGAAGTTATCATCCCCCATTCAGCTGCAGAGGGTGCCGATGATAAGAGCATCCCCCTTTTTGTGAGAATTCCAGAAACCGCGACAAAGGGGAGCCCAGTCCCTGTGGTCTTACTGATCACCGGACTTGACGGTCACCGACCTGATAATTCTGAGGTAAGCTGTCTGAACAAAGTTGAGATCACCGCTGAAACCCTACCAGAGAACCGACGAGTTCACCAAACGTGGCTGGGCGACTGTCATAACAGAGATTCCAGGGACGGCTGATTGCCCGGCAGATCGAAAGGACCCAAAATCACCAGATCGACTATTCACAGCAATCCTCGATTGGATCCAAGCACAGCCTCAATTTGACTCGACCAAAGTCTTAGCCTGGGGTTTATCAGCCGGTGGCTATTATGCCATTCGCGTGGCTCACACTCATCATTCTCGTTTGATTGGAAGCATTGGACAAGGTGCTGGAACTCATCTGTTTCTTTCCAAGGAATGGCTCGAGCATGTGGATGATCATGAATACCCATTCATCCTGAGTCACGCCTATGTCCTCAAGTATGGATACAAAGATTGGGCCGATCTCCTTGAAAATGCGCAAAAGGACTTTAGTCTCGTTGAGAGTGGCATCGTTAACCTCCCCTCCACCAGATTGCTTCTTGTCAACGGAACTTGGGATGGCCTGATGCCCATCGAAGATAGCATTCTTCTGTTCAACTATGGTAAACCGAAGGAAGCAAGGTTCTACGAAAAGATGTTGCACATGGGCTATCCACCGGCCAACGAGAGCATTTATCCCTGGATGGAATCAGTCATGACTTCATCATCGTCACCATAACCAGTTCCATCTCAACAGTCAGACCCTCGTATCTCAGTTTCGATTTCAGAATCCTTCAGAATGAACCAATTCCCACGCTCTGGCAATGAAGACCTTGCTGGTGGTGATATGTTTGATCGATTGAGGTGTGGTGTTTGCCGTTTCCGCCTCTTTACTGCCGAGCCCCTTAAGATTGTCGAGTTCATGAATAGCCAAGTATTTCGAAGCCTTTGTTGTGCTGAGAACGCTCACAGGCCCAAGGGTATAACGAGCAGAACGGCGATATCCAGGTAGCTTACTCAACAATTCGAGGTGCTCCTCCTCGTACCACTTATTCAGACCCTCCTCGTCATCAGTTTCCATCTCCACAGTCACCATAAATGGTGGGGGAACTATGATATTCACAGCAATTAGTATCGAGATTCCCGGTCGTTCATTGAACCAATCAATCAGTGTCAAAAACTCAGAGATTTCTTCATCTCACCTTCTCCAATCTTCTTTGGATCATAGTCAACCAACAACTTGTAATTCCGAACATCAAAATCTCCATTCTCGAGAATATGAAACTTGTTTGGGAACAAATCACTACCAGGTCTGGTCTTCTCCTTGAAATTCTTCGTTTCGAGCGATTCCTCAAACTCGGTGTGATAGACAGCTAGAAAGTTGCGTGGATTCTTCTCCTTTGGCGCGCCTGGAAAATCGTACGTCTCGCGGTAAAAGGTGCCTCGCGTGGCTGTGCCACTGGAGATGAGATCTGGGAGCTGGTGGAGGGTTTCCCCAACTGTCTCAATAGATGTGCCAGAAAAAGATATACAGATAGGTAATTGGGTGGTTAGGGAGGCTAGGTACGTACATGTTCAGTCACATACCACTTCTCCCAGAGAGCATCGTCGGTTCCCGATTCAGGAATCGGCCTGGAATTAACGAAGAGGAAATATGGGCCGACCATTGCTATTTCATATGGTATATCGAGCTCTGAGAAATGCTATTAAAAGACGAATGAAGGACTCTGTTATGGATAATAAATCCGGTCCAGAATGGAAATTGAACTAACTGATTGATTCTCTATGTATAGAGAGTTAGCTTTTGAGTACTATTCTCCCTATTTATTGTGCTGTTTGTGCGAGATCACCATCTTCCGTTACTGCCTCCGGATTTATCAGCGAATCGTCGACTTCGTGAAGAAACGGGGTGTACTGCTGATCCCCGCAATTGCACGTCAAGAAGTGAAGCGGCCGAGAGGCCCTAGGCCTCTTTCAAGAATATATCCTCGGGTAAGGGGTAAAACCCCAGAAAATGCTCCGGAATCCTTGGGAGACTAAATAAGGAATCTGGAGGCGAAGCTACTACAGAGTGGTACCGAGTAACGAATAACCATCTCGGAAATTTTTATCACATGTCGTCTTTCAACTTGATCTGACCAGGGACTTTTTGTCTCGGGTTTGGTATTTGTTCTGCGACTACAGAATTTCTCAGAAAGCTGCTACCATCTTTGTTCGATGTTCATATGGCCATGATTACTTAGGTAGGCAGCATCATTCAGACTTGGTATCCCAAATTTCTCCCAAGAGATAGATGTCTCGGTGGCGGCATTCAGTGTCTCAACGAGATCATCTCTTGCCAGGCCATTCTGAACCCACGCCACTTTCGCCCTTAAGTCGGCCATTTCAATCATTGTCCACTCTCTCTTGATCAACCGCTGCCTCAATTTTTGCTTTCTTGGCTTTTGGCTCTTGTCTCTCTACACTCTTGCTGGGCGCTTTCTTTCTGCGGGTGGTCTTAACTGCCGGCGGCTTCGGGGTGTTGGACTCGATCTCGTGTTTGCAATTGTCTAGTTCAAGGGAGACGCGACGGAGGACTTCGAATTGGAAAGCCGGGTTCTCCACCATGACTTTTTCGAAACCTGGCTGGGCTAGATTCTTGCTAAGGAACGTCGGAATGCTGGCTGTTGATGCGAGGAGGTCGAACATCTCGCTGCCAGGAAGGGGAGCAGAGCTGTAAACGCTGTTGCCTTTATCGTCGCGGTCACTGTCGCCGTCTGTGCTGGAGAGTGGTGGTGTGGACGGCATTGAAGAAGACTTAGGGTGGAGGATAGGAGTAGAAGAGGTTTTGACAGCGCCGTAGCCACTACCGCCGAATAGCTCTTGAAGACTAGGGATGAAGACGCTGTCGGCGTTCCAGATCAGCTCGGCCCTGAAGTCGTCGGTGGCCTTTCTCACGAGATCGCCAATACCGAACCTGTCCGCTAGGAGGAACATCTTGGCGTGTAGAGCCACTGGAGGATCCCACTCGTCGTCGTCCTGCGAGCAGGGGGGACTCGAAGCCGTTGGTGTTCCTAGAAGAGGGGATCCGGGGGTCATGATTTTGCCATTCTTCATGATGTCCTGGATGTCTAGGGTGGTACACTCAGAGTATTCCCCCGTGTACAGCCAGAGGACAAGATAGCCGACCAAGAGCGGTTCCTCATCCTGGAGGACCACGTTCTGATTACCAGGCACAGGTTTGTTGTCAATGAGCTTTTGGAAGAAACTGGACTTTTGAAGTTTTTTGGCATGCACCTTCCACTGATATGAGCCGACCGTGATGGTGAAATCTGGCTGCACCTCGCGAATCAAGCTCGATCGAAAGGTGCTAAGATCGCTGTCCATGATGTTGGAGGTGAGATCAAAATGGCGGAATTGTTATCAAAAGACAGCAGTTGCTGGCAGGGAAGAGGATCAAAAACCAGATCGACTTAGCGCCAACGATAGTGAGATGGAGGAAGAAGGGAGGAAGGGAAAGAACAGGGGGGGAAAAAAGAGCAGAGAGATCAAGGCGAAGATCAACGCAAAGATCAAGACTAGCCAGCAGGCATGTGAAAGATCGGCAGTAAGTGCTCTGAAAAGTGAAGTCTAAATTGTCGTAACGCTGTCCAAAGGCTGGATGTAAAGGGAATCAAGCCTCTTTTCATTGGGCTGTAGACGACCTCACCTGTGGTTAATTGTACGCATACCTCTAGTCTGCAATTCCTCAAACTCAAAGAACAGCAGGTCTGAAATAGGTGTGTGGTTGAAGCATCAAGTCCCGCTGCAAACGTCTACCGAAGCAGAGTTTGTGACGGCTTCTCAATCCTTCATCATTCTCGCGCTCAATGCTCGAGGCATTTTGACTTGTGATCTCCCGACCATGGGAATATGCGGTCGTAGACGTCTTTTCTGTTCGAGTTGCGCTGACTGGCACAAAGGCCAAAGACGGATCAAGCATAAGAGAACCACTGGTGAATATGATCTGATGTCGTAGCTTGAGGGGAATATTATTGTACATGTCATTAGTCTTCATACTTACTGTACAGGCGCTGATGCTGACACCTTCAAGTGCTGAACATCCCATTTTTCTGTCGCTGATTCAACCCAATCCTTCTTCTCCCCAAGGATCGCAGTAGATCTTAGGTCAGAAGGTGTATCAATTAGGTATTTCTGCGCCACCCTCTGCACATCCTCTTTAGTGACATCGAGAAGGTTCTCTCTCATCTGTTGGTCCATGTCTTCTGTGATGCCATACATGAACTCTTTGCCAGCCTCTCCACTCACGCTCGTGGGTGCATCAATGCTCTGAAACATGCTGAGTTTACTTTCGTCAATCTCTCGCTGAGTCCATGGTTTATCGCGGGCGAATGCACCAGCGCGTTCAAAGACGTTCAACGTGTTTCGCGGATTTGGATCTCGGTAGGAAGACATGGTAAACAACCCACTGATCGGACTCGCACTAGCAGAAGCGCCGTACGCTCCACCCTTTTCCCTGACTTCGGGGTGAAGGAAGTTGTGGATGAGTAATTGGCCTAGCACGGTCAAAGGAGCCTTGTCAGGGGACGAGTATGGCGCGGTCTGTAGGCAGGTGCCAGTGTAGGAGACCTGGAAAGGGAGATTGAAGAACGCTCTCTTTGAAAGTGAGGACCCAGAGGTGACGTCGGAAGTGTAGGAGAGTTGTGGATCTGCGGAAGGCAACTTTGCTAGGAAGTCTCCGAGCAATCGTTGATTATGCCCAGTCGAAGACGGTTCACAGACAATCCGCGTTGATAGACTGGAGGTGTTGCTGATCACGATGGATTGTAACTGTTGGAGGTTTTTGATCACCTGGTTCAGGCTATTAGGGTCATTTCGAGCGGCATCGAGAAGCCTTGCCGATGCCTCGATCTGTGTTAGTCCTGAAAGTTGATCCTGAACGATACCGCGTCGAGTGAGAGCAGCGGACGCACTGGTGATGGCAAAGTGATGACCGCTCTCAGAGACAGCATCCAAGGCACCTGAGGTCTTGGACTCCAAAAGTTCTTGAATGGCGGCGATTGCTTTCGGATCGGCAAAGTCAATATCCAAAAGTAATGTGTGGATCAATTCAAACAAAGCAGAGACATTTCGATCCAAAGCGTAACCACTGAACATCAAGCCCTCGCTGTACTTGTCTAAGGACCATGGATCCGGTGCTGCGAATGGTGATATCGTGATGCCACCAGTTTTGAGGAGAATTTCTGCCTCAAGATCACCGACAGACTTTTCCTTTGTGCCCAGCCGCATCAAGGATTCGGTGAATAGCGGCAGCAAAAGGCGAAGCTCCGAAGGGAGATCTTTCAGGATGTGTTTTGCTTGAAAGTAGGTGATTCCATTTGTCGAAGTTTCACGCCAAATCCCCTTGACATCGCCAATGCTGTCGTAATGTCGAGGCTTTCTCTCTTTGGTTCTGGATATGTCTCCCACCTTCAGGGTGGGAAGCGAGTCCAAGTTCTTATATTGGGCAGTTTCTTGTTCTTTGAGCAAATCCAATTCTTGCTTACCAAGCTTGGAAATGGCTTCTTCTGGAGAACTGGCTGTTTGCTTGAATTCCGACAATATCTTCTGCCTGCGTTCTTCTTCCTGTGCCTCTAACTGAGCGCCGTATGTCTCAGATGGACTCATCACAAACTGCATCGTCTGGTCGTTTAAGAAGTATCTGTTGACAAGTGATTGGAGATATTCAGGTTCTTTCAGGCGTGCTTTGAAGGCATCGACGGTGTCGTTCCACGCTAAACCTTGCATCGGGTCGACACCGTTGAACCAGCCAGACAGGGTCTTTTCCAACAGCCCCATGCCAAAGTTAGGGGTTTTGTGCTTGAGAGTCAACTCCAATTGATGCATGTAGCCTTCGATTTTGTGCTGTTGAAATGCTTCATGTGCTTTGTGGCGCAAGATGTTCTGAATGGTTTCTTTGAGGGCGGGCACGTCTTCGGATTTCATGCCATCAAGACCGATTGAGAATACTCCAACGCGACCTGAACTATCGTAGCCGGAATTGGCGCTGAAGTTTGTCCCCAAGCCTGACTCGATCAAACCTTGGTACAGAGGAGATCCATAGCCATTCATCAACAGGGACATCATGATGCTGATGGAGAAGGTTTCCACAATATCCGAAGGCGGACATCCTAGCCAGGTGACCGATGATTTGGTCTGTCTATCAGGTGGTTGCATAGTGTCTAAGGGGCCTTGAACCTGGAAGGTAAGAGGACCAGCAGACAGGTCAATAGGTAATTTGATAGCGGCGTCGGGGGTGGACTTGTCAAATCGAGAGATTTCTTGATCGACATGTTTCAGATGTTCGGCGAGGTTTAGGCTCCCGTAAGAGAAGATTTTGGCATTACTTGGATGGTAGTGTTCCTTTGAGAACTTGACGAGTTGATCGTGGGTAAGCTCAGTCATGACCTCTGGATCGCCGCCGGAGTTGTAGAGGGAGGGGAATAAATGCTCTCTGAATCGAATATAGAACAGGTAACTGGCGTCTGACATCTGACCCTTCATTTCGTTATAGACGACGCCCTTGAACTTGATGTTCTCTTCAGTTGCGGGCTCGCGAGGGTCTTCCGGACCGAGTCGCCAACCTTCCTGCAAAAAGTCCGAAGACGAAAGTAAGGGATGCAAGGCAGCATCGAGATAGACGGTGGAAAGGTTACGGAAATCCTGGAGATTGGTGGTTGCGAACGGATAGGAGGTGTAGTCCGAAGAGGTAAAGGCATTCATGAAATTGGCCAACGATCGGGGCATCATCTTAAAGAAGGGGTCTCGAACGGGGAACTTCTCGCTCCCACACAGGGTGACATGCTCAAGGATGTGTGGCAGGCCTGTTCGGTCTGTAGGGTTGGTCTTGAAATTAATTGCAAAGACATTGTTCTTGTCGTCGCGAGCAACATGGAGATACTCTGCTCCTGTCTTGTCATGTTGCAGGCTGAGCGCAGTGAGATGCAATTCAGGAACGTGCTTTATTTCTCTGAGGGTGAACCCATGGAGGGACTCTCCGGGCTTTGGAAAGGCTTCGAGGTCCGTAACAGAAGCATAACCTCTCTTCCGGCTCAAGAATGCATGTGGCGAGGGAGACTTGCGGAGGCCATGGCGTATAAAACCATGCCTCAGCATTGCCGTCAGCGGAGATCGAGAGGCTAGCGATAGGGAGGACAGGGAGGATAATGAAGCGTCCGTAAGAGTAAGACCCGGGGCAGCAAGCTTAAGGGGTTCGACGTGACGATGCTTCTGTTAGTCGGTGGCTAGAATATGGATCAATGATGTTATAAAAAGTTTGGGTGATGTCGCTGAATCAAGAGAATCCGCCGCACCAGCCGATTCAAGGCCATCGTCATGTCCACTTTTATTATTATTAATGGTCGCGCCTTCTGAGAAGGATCTGTCTGTCATTTGAAATAGCCAGGTGCATCCCATTAATTCTCACGTGGCAAGACAGCCACCTGCGAGTTAATTTAACCACCTCTATCATTGCGCATTCATTGTGAATTTCCATATGTAGGTAGACATTACAGCCTGGTACTTTACCACTAGATGAGTTAATGCCAATTCCAATCGTTGATGATAAGCATGTCGAGGCTCGCGCAAGTGACCCATGGGTGATATATATTAGGGAGGCTCCCGTCATGTGACTGCCAAGGCCAGTTTAGCGAGTGTCGATTTCCCTCTCCGCGTGTCCTTCGTTAGGTACCCAGAATGTTGCAGCCCGTGGGTTAGGTCCCTATTATTATTACAATCTAGGTACCTTGCTGGTACTTGTAGGCAGCAATTGGTGCGCCGGTGGCCTGGGACAGAGGCACAAGACCACAGCCACAGTTGTCGATAGATCTACGAATAAATTGCCTTTGATCAATCTAATCTCTCACAAGGCACATATCGATGATGAGTGCATGTACGAAGTAGAGACGGATGCCAAACCCAGATTGCCATCCTTTGGGGTTCCCTTTCTCGGTCTGGAGATACCCTCGCCTCGGCCGTGTCTATTATTATGAGTCTCACAAGTCTCCGGGCGAGGAAGTGGTGCCTAGAGACACCCCCCCGCGCCTATTGTCACGATCCCCCGTCTGAAATGGATCGTATTGCACATAATTGCTTGGCCGTCCGCATCCTCCACTTCGCCTGCTCCAGCTGGTCCAAAGTGAAAGTCCAAGAGCACCTTCACCTTTGGCCTCCTCACTCGATCGTAGTTGACTTCTACTCAACTCTTCCTTCTGGCCTCGTTCATTCAATCGCTCATACACGGCTTTACCATTGTACAATATAACCCTGTCTTTTTTCCCACCGTCAATATCCTTGTACTGGACGCATCTTGCTCCACAACCACAGATCGATCATCACTTCTCTCTTTCTCTCAGATGTTCTTCGTCGCAGCCGGTGCAATCAACCTTCGGCCTACTCTACAGCCGCGAATCGCCCGACAGTAAACCTTTCTACTCTCCTCTACAGTCCGCCACTATCGGATTCTATGGCTACAGCTGCCCAGTCTCCTACCGCCATCCCCGGTGATGCTCAAGACCTACCCCCGCCCGCCCCCATGGCGAAAAAGTCAAAGGGCAAGAAGGAGAAGCAACTGAGCGCCGAGGAGAATGCCAAACTCGTGCAAGCCCGACTATCCCAGCTAGAACAGGAAAAGGCTGGCGAGAAAAACCAGCAGGCCGAGGTGGATCGCGAGGTGAAAAAGGCCACCAGGGATCTCAACGAACTTATGAACAGTGTCGAAGGACCCATGAACCGCCTTGATGTCGTCCAGAGAAAGTACGAGGAACTTCTTGCCGAAATGAAGAAATTGGAACGTGATCATGCAAAGAGTAAAAAACGAGGTGATCAGTTGCAGAAAGATTCGGACAAGATAAAATCGGAACACAGCAAGACCGCCAGCATGAAGGAGAAACTCGAGAAACTGTGCAGAGAGTTGACAAAAGATAACAAAAAGCTTAAGGAGGAAAACAAGAAACTCGAAGAGACAGAGAAACAAGCACGAGAGGTTGTCAATGATCGCATGGACGAATTCTTGTATGACGTCCAAGAAGTCATGAACTCCAAGACTGCCGCCCACTCAGAGAATCTACATCTCGAATTGGACGAATTGTATGTTTCCAACCACTCCCCCTTCACCTCCGCCGCCCATGTACTGACCTCTACTAGGTTCAAAACCAGATGTAAAGTCCTCGCTGATCAAGCCGACATTCGTGAAACCCACTTCAAAGCCATCCTCCGACACAAGGATGCAGAGATTGCCCATCTTCAAGCCAAACACGAGGTCGAAAGGCGCCGTGCCGACAATGAGGCTGCTCGATGTAGGACCTTGACCAGCCAGGTCTCCACCTTTTCCCATACCGAGGCCGAACTCCGCTCCCAGCTCAACATCTATGTAGAAAAGTTCAAACAGGTTAGTTGCCCCTTTCTCGCTGTTCTCCTGTGCTGTCGTCTGCCTGTCCCGTTCCTATTTGTACGATATAGCAGCTGAAAAATCTGTGGCTCACACTGCAGCAGGTAGAAGACACCCTCAACAACAGCAACGAACTCTTCCTTACCTTTAGGAAAGAGATGGAAGAGATGTCCAAGAAGACGAAGCGGTTGGAGAAGGAGAATCTCACCCTCACCCGCAAACACGATCAAACCAATAGGAATATCTTGGAAATGGCTGAGGAGCGAACCCGAGACAAGGACGACCTGGAACGACTTCGAAAGCAGGAACAACAGATGCGAAACATTATCAAGTCTATGCAAGAGCAAGGTCGAGGCGGTCCTATCCAACAAGAATTGGTTGACGAAGAAGGGACTGAGAGCGAATACGACGAAGAGTACGAAGATGAAGATGACGAGGACGACGAGGGGAGCTATGATGCCGAGGAGGAACTGGCGGCCGAGATCGTGAGCAAGCCCGTCTTTGGCCCCGTTCCACCTCCAGAGATGTTGCTGAAGGCCAACGGCCAACGAGCAAACAGTGGTGGCGTCGTGAATGGTATCAAGCATTGATTCGTCGTTTCATCACCCAGATACATGGCCACACATGCGCCCTCATTACGGCTTGTCGCAGGCATTGGTATATACGCTTTGCACGTGGCCCTTTGAAGCTATGTATGCTGAACCTCGTCTTGACTTGCTTCTACAGAGCTTTTGCCAATCTGTCAATCAATACGATGTACTCCACATGATATCAAGCTACAGTGATACTCTTTCTACTGCCGTTGATTGTCATGAATACCCAAATCACAATTTACTCTTGCCTCCTTCGATGTAGGTAGCGCCGAGTCTCAATTGTTGCACAGCTTGACGGACCATGTCCTCCAGAATCTCCTTTGCCGGCTTGATGTCCTGGATGATGGCAGCAACCTGACCCATCAAGAAGGGCATGTCGACCTCATTCTCCTGCTCCAGATCGTACTGCATGGGCACGATCCCTCGGTCTGTCAATTCCTTAATCTTGGCGGGCTGAGCCTCCCAATTGCGGACATAGTCGTTGAGCTTCATGCGCAGCGGCCGTCCACTCACTACTAATGTGCGTGTGGTGTCGTTGAAGTCGGCGCTGACGACCGCTTCCTTGTGCATGCGCGAGGCGCCCGATTCCTCAGCAGTGACAAACCGCGTGCCGACCCAGACACCCACGGCACCTTGCATCAGCGACGACGCCAGGCTTCGTCCATCGTAGATACCTCCTGCGGCAACCACCAATGCCGGCTCGCCGGTCAATGGCGACTTGTATTTCTTGGCCACATCTACCACGGCGGGAATCAGGATCGAATTGGCAATATCACCTGTGTGTCCACCTCCTTCGGTTCCTTGCGCGCATACAATATCCACACCCGCCTTCAAGGCCTTCTCTGCATGCTTGGGTGCGCCCACCATGTTCATCACTAGGATTCCGGCTTCGTGAAGACGCTTGATCGTCCGTGCTGGAGGTACTCCGACGGCCGACACAAAGATCTTGGCTCCGTTCTTGATGGTCACTTCAATCAGCTCGTCAAGTTGTCCGTGTGTGTAATCATGGTTGGTCTTGCGCGCAGATCCGCCTACTTGGGGCAGGGCGAGGTCGACGCCAAAGGGCAAAGAAGGATCGGTGAGGTTTGCTTTGAGTTCGTCGATGATCTAATGACGGTATATGTTAGCTATGGCGCAGCAGAGTAGAAAGATATGTAGCAACAGGGTGGTGTGGCTTGTAGCTTGTAGATATAATACACATCAGTAACTCAACGCACCTCTTGCAATTGGGTGGGTGTATAGCCCAAGCCTCCAATCGTACCGATACCTCCTGCATTGGACACAGCAGCGGCGAGAGGTCCACCTGATGTCCTCGCCATCCCCGCAAGCATCACCGGGTATTTAATTCCCAGGAGCTTTGTGAGCGGTGTATTGAGGGCTGGTACTGAAGCCATCTTGATAACAATAAGTTCTGGTTCTGAGTCTGATGTATCAAATGTGATGCCAGAAGTATGGAGGGAAGGAGATGCCAACTTGGAATAACAGGTGTTTTCTCAAAGTCCAGTCAACAACATTCGCATTCACAAGACAAAAACAGAAGTCTGAATCTGGGGATCTGGATTCACCCTCAAATACAAGTGACGTGAACTGTACCTAGGATTCAAAAGTGTGGGGTCGGTTCCAGCAGAAACATACCGAGGCTCGTCGCTCGAGGTCAGACTCTGCCCTGACCGTTACCCGCCATTGACATTGGCTCCGTTCATTCTGGGCTGGCTTGGGGGCGTATAGACAGATCGCCCGCGGAGGAGCCGGATTTAAGAGATCCCAGATTGTGAATCTGCTATATCGTAATGTAGATGTGCACGACGGAGGGAAAACAACGAGAGTGCAGAGCGCACTACAAACGTTGGCATTTGTTAGACCGAGGATCCCCAGAGGTTGAATCTGGTGGACCTTAGGAGATGGTTGGTTTCATGCACGTGATCTCGTTTCACTTGCCCTCTGCGCGAGATTCTGAACCACTTTAACCATCGACGCGTCCAGTGCGACCCACGCGTCACTAACTGTACAATGTCTGAAATCTTTCTGAGTGTCTGAACAGATCCAAAACCACCACCACTATGAACTGTCAATATTGTTGAGAGTCCCTCGCAGTACAAGGGCTGTCTAAATCAATCATGGCGCCCGTTCAGGACTTCCTGCGTCCTTACAAGGAAGACGAGAAGTTCGAATCCCTCACACGGCAGTCGTCAACTTACACCCCTCTCTACTCCTACCGCCTTCCCCGCGGCGAGACCAAACAGTATCTTCAACAGTATGGCGACATGTATTTCTTGCGACTGGCCAAACTCAAGCCTGTGGTTGAGAAAATCGCAGAGGAAGATTGGCAGGACTTTGAGATCGCAGGAGAGAGCGCACAAAGAGTGGAAAGAGTATTGGATGTGAGACAAGGTCAATTGTGTTGGGTCGTTGGAACCATATACATGGACATGCCTCTGAAGCCAAACATTCTCGAAGACATTTCCAAGGAACATTGGATCGCCGGACCGCCTCCTCGAAGATCTTATTTCTCTGCGGACGGCGACACCCAAATCATGTTGGAAGACGAGTCTGGCCGCCTTCGATTGGCTGGTGCCATGTTGAAAAACACTTTACTTGTGACTGGTGTCATTGTGGCTGTCTTGGGTACTGAGAACGCTAATGGCGACTTTGAAGTACTCGACATTCACATTCCCGAACTTCCCAGACAACCAACCCGTTACGAACGAGATGAAAACGAAGACGAGGATACGATTATGGACATCGACGACCATCCACACAAGAAAATCGCATTAATATCAGGTCTCAACATTTCAGGAACTGAGGCCGACACATTATCCCTTTCTCTTCTTTCAGAGTATCTCCTGGGTGAATCTCTAACAACGCCCGACCAGACCGCATCGACCACAGTGACTCGGCTCGTCATTGCGGGTAATAGTATTGCCAGTGATACTATCATCAATGCACAAGCCAACGATTCCGTCCAAAAACCCGCCCACACGAAAAAATACGGCTACGATGCTACCGCCTATAATCCTACCCCAACACAACATCTGGACGCCTTCCTCTCCGAACTCCTCCCAACCATTCCCATCTCCATAATGGCAGGTGAACAAGACCCAGCCAATTCATCTTTACCTCAACAGCCAATCCATCCTGCCATGTTCCCTTACTCTCGAGCCTATTGCTCCGCTAACATCAACGACCCCGACGAAAACGACGAACCTGGTTGGTTCGACTCTATTACAAACCCATGGGATGGTGATATTGCCGGTTGGAGATTCATGGGCAATTCAGGACAACCAGTTGACGATATTTTGAGATATGTCGATGTCCCTGAGCCAAGTTCTGCAGATGGTCGGCTTGAAGTTATGGAATCGATGTTACGCTGGCGTTGCAGTGCCCCTACTGCCCCAGATACATTATGGTGTTACCCATTTCAGGACCGAGATCGATTTGTTCTTGAGGCCTGCCCGCATGTTTTCTTCGTGGGCAATCAGCCCAAATTCGAAACCACGGTGATTGATGGACCAGGTGGCGCGCAAGTTCGTCTGATTGCAATCCCCAAATTCAGCGAGTCTGGAGAATTGGTCCTAGTCGATGCGGAGACTCTGGAAGTCGAATTGATCAAGTTTGATGTTCATCAAGGCTGAGTTGAGAACCTCGAGGGAGATGATCAAATGTAATGGTCATGAGACACAGACTACAAAGTCCTGCATGTTGTGAGCCCGCCCTGCAGCACAAAAGCCATCTTCAGCAATGTGCAGTCCGACCGGCCGGATGATTGGAGACGATGAAGATCGAAACTACCAGCTACCTCGCGCACTGCCATGAATCTGCTACAGCATGCGATACAGTTGTCACAATGCAACAACGAAAATCCAGCTACTAGCCCCATGAAGGTCTGTATATTCTATTTATTAGCTTGGACTCTTTCCAGGTACAGATTGGTTGGCTTAGCATTGAATGAACTTGACTGCATCCCACCCACACGGGAGCATAATGAGACTAGGTAGTCATCTGTTTGTCCTCAATAATATATCGAGGCGGCTGGGCTCTAGAACACCGTTCTCTCGGATGATGCGATACCCAAGTGGCATCATGTACAGCCTGGAGAAGGAGGACCTACTGGGTGTCAACACATTGTGAGATCACCCTAAGTGTCCAGCGAACACATTATTTGTGCACCGCCAGGCCCCTCAGCCTCTTGACCAATTCAGAATTTGAGGCTAGAGAACCAGAAGCCGTCTCGTGCATTGTTTGCCTGAACTGAAGATCAGGCGTCAAATTGGACTGCTAGGAATCACGATTGAATATATCCTTGTATTTGATATGATTGGGTTTCCTATAGCTAAATGTACATACACTGCATGAACCTGTCCAAAAAACATGTTGTGTGTACAGTGCAAATTCCTTCATACATGTACTGGACATTTCAAGCCGGGCTTTTCTCCGCCCTCTGTCATCTCGGTGTCAGTGGTCCATCAACTGTAGACTAGGAAGCACTGAAAGCCAAAGAATGATGCAGCGCTTTTTTCTCTTTCCAATTACATAATGCTCTGATTTTCGTTTTCCTGACAACAAAATACAAGGCCAGTATAACAAACAATTGAGGCATTGACTGCATGATTTGATTGACTTGTTCTGCTTTTCTTGGTGTGTTGTGCTGGTTTTGGGTTGAGATATGGTAAATCCAGCGTGCGAAGAGCGACTCCACCAGTTTCGACTGGTGTGATATTCAAGGTTGTAGAAGGGAGGAGCCGCGCCAAAAGAAAATGGTGGACAAAGACTATTAACTGATCATTTCCTTTTCTTCCCTTTGGATTTTGATTTTGATTTCGCTGTCTCGGATGGAACCTCTTCAGGCAGGTAGCGGGAGGATATGTCGTCGTCGAAGAGCTGCATGTCACCCTTGCCACCCATGCCCATGAACTCGGCCTCTTGACGATGGGCCGCAGGATGTTCTTCGGCACCAGCCTTCACGTTCTTGCCTTGAGGATTCTTGTCCCAAACCTTGACGCGAGCGGGACTTCCGGCGATGGCGCTGGACTTGCCCAGGACCGAGTCGCCGTTGACCTCGACCACCTTGCTGACTTTGACGTCGTTGATGTTGGCGAGTAACGTGCGTTCGCGTTGCACTTTGCGCTTGGAAAAGTCCAGCTCGGACATCTTGCCGGTGATGCCGTCGGTCGAGTCTGCCGGGTTGATGTAGCCAACATTGCGAGTCCACGGGTGTTCCAGACATTGGTCGATCGTGATGCGTTTGCTTGCATCGACCGTCAACATCCGGTCGATCAGGTCGAGCGCCGGGTCGCCTACACTGTCCCAGTATGGTGACGGATAGTCGAATCGGCCCATTTTGATTTGTTGCGCTAGAGTGTACGGGTTTTCGCGTGAGTAGAGCTCGTCCGAGAACGGGGGAAATCCGCATAGACAAATGTACAAGACTACGCCTAACGACCACACATCAACAGCACGGGTGTATTTTCTGTGTCGGGTATTTTCGAGGATTTCCGGAGCAACATCTGGTTATGTGTCAGTTGGATCAATCTTGACCGGGTTTGTTTGGTCGGATGCGATGACTTACAGCTTGGGGTGCCACACAAAGTGGTGGTGAAGGATTCCTCGCCAATGATCTTAGCCAGTCCAAAATCAGCCAGTTTCACCGACAAGTCCTTGTCTGTGAGAAGGATGTTCTCCGGTTTGATGTCTCGATGGACAATGTTGCGCTCGTGAAGATATTTCGTGCCTTGAAACAACTGAATGAAAACTTTTCGTGCCTCGGCCTCAGTTAACTTTTGTTTAGTAACAATCAGATTAAACAGTTCGCCCTCGGCGGCGAGTTCGAGGACGAGGAAGACACCATCGGGTTCATCAAAGGTCTCCTTCAGACAAAGGACATTAGGGTGGCTGACACTCATGAGCACGGCGATCTCCTGTTGGAGGCCTTCAGTCTGTGAGCGTTGAGAATCTCCCATTCGCCTTTCGAATTTCTTAACTGCAAATTTGAAGCCAGTATTCCTCTCCACGCATAGATAGACGGTAGCGAAATGTCCTTTGCCCAGCTGCTGGAGAATGCGATATCTCGAGTTGAAAGCGGTGGAATCTCGAGTTCTGGGGTAGCGGAAGACGAAACGGGTTTCATCGAGGATAGTGATCTCATCTCCATCCTCGAGTTCGCGGCGTTTGTTGCGACCGACTATTTGTTCATTAACAAACGTGCCGTTACTGGACAGGTCCTCAAGGACTGCAATGACATCTCCATTTCGAGTTTCATTGAAAAGCAAGCAGTGCCGGTTGGAGATGGTGGGGATGTCGAGAACCATATCGCACTCGGGATGTCGACCGATGAGATAACCACCAGAGGGAAATCCAACGTTCATTTTCTCCTGTTCGTACTGAGTTTCGTCTTCTGCTAGCTCATGTTGGCCATGCCTTTGGCTCTTGACAGTTCTTCTAGCAATTTCAAGAGGTTTTGCTGGGGCAGGACAGAAGGCTCTCCTTCTCAAGACAAGCCGGTGTCCAGAGCCGGTTGTTGGGAAGAGATAACCCCACTTGCCATCTTCATCGTCGAGATCTGCTTCAATGTCTCGAGGAGGATAAACAAACTGAGACAAGGTCTGGGTATCCTGCGGCGGTGAAGACAGGGCATGGAGGTGTGGTGAAGAGTGAGGAGTGACATGCCGAATCTGGCTTGGGCGCCCTTCCGGGGGGCTTGCGGTCTGCTCTTTGTAGGGTTCGGTTGCGGTAGACTCTTGAGCAGTGAGGGGAGATGGTAGATACTGGGCTTTCAAGGGAGTCTGAGAGGCAGGGTCTTTTTGTATTTGGGAGGATAGCCTTTCGGACCGTCGGACCTTTCTGTTGTCATTGTCCTCGCCGGTGCTTTGCTTGAAGATTGTTAGCCTTTCGAGCTAGGACAGGACTACTCGTGACTCACCCTGTTGCGCTTAAGGCTGCTCTTCTCCTGTCTGGGCGGCATGTGTTTGATGACGGAGAATGTCAGGCCAGGGTTGGAATGATGCCGGTATGAGTGCTTGCAAATGCAAAGTGTCGCTACTCAAGAAGGCTCTCAACGTCCAGAAGGTACTCTGAAGACGTGCCCAGCTCGCGCACACAAAAGATTCTAGAAAAACGCTTTTGGATGAACGATCAGGGGGGAGGGAAACCAGATGGCGCGTTGAGACGGGGTCCTTATTGAGGGTGAGGACAAGGAAGGGCGGTGGGATATTTAAAAAGCTGGTGTTGACCGCAGACGCGGGATACGGGATGGGATACTTTGGGGGCAGGAACGAATCACGATCAGCCGAGGGAATTACACGTTCTCCTGCTTTGGTGATGTATAGTTCAGAATTCAAAGGATGAGCCAGTGTCCAATATTGCTTTAGTACTTTGAATCTCTCGAGGCTGAATTGAACTGACTGATGGGTTCCAAGTGCATCAGTTGATCGCTGACCAATTCGTTGGTGGGGACCAAATCCTTGCCTTTATTAGACTGCAGCGTCTCTGGTCAACTCCTGTCCAATGACCATGTCTACATCACACGGGTCACCCAGGCAGTTCGATGCCTTACACTACGCGGACCACGACGACGAAGAGGCTTGTGTGGTCATGCTGGGACTTTCGACATCTTTTATGTATCAGATGACATGTGCGTCTGGCCTTCTACCACTTTATGAGCTGGCTGAGGGATCCTGGGATGACGGATGGGTGATGGGTGATGGGTGACGGAGCGACGGGGCGACGGGGTCACGGTTGGGGCTGCCACGAGGCTGACGCGACGAGGCTGCATGTCTGCAAGGCTGCATTCGTTCCTTCCCAGTTTCCCAATTGAAATTCAAACACAGCAGCTGCACGTGTTCAATATACTACATCAACCTCACTCAGTCTTGATATAACACCAATATCACCCTTGCTCACCTCTCTTTTCCCCTCTATACCTCCTTGAGAAGTCTTAGATGCTGAATATCATGAAACTAAGCACTCTGTTCCATTGAAAGTCGAGTCCTTCGGATATATCGGACCAGTGCAGCCACCCCAGATGGACGTGTATGACCCAGTCCCCCAAATCATCTTGATTTTATAACACATGCTCACATATCTACAGCGGCCACGGTGGCCTGCGCCGGCAGGCTTTCTCCAAGCTCGCCCTTCTATCCTCCCGCCCGACTTCCAATAATGAGACCGACTTTCAACGTCTGTTCACCTCAATCCCTGTCCCCAAACCCCAGGCCAATGGCGTCCTCGATGGTGTCTTTCGAGCCATTGCCCCAGTGTCTAGAACCCGCATGTCTCTTCGAGAACTCGATATTATACTCGCTCTATGTGCTAGCGCTCAAGACCTACACAACTATGAACACGCAGAAAGATTGGTCTCCCAGCTCGCCGCTTACCTTCCTGAAGCACACACCCAGCTCTTCGCCCCTTCTCCCTTTATGCATGAGATCAAACCCGCTCCATGGACCGCCTTGACTTTCCAGCTCACCAGCGCCCTCCTTGTACTTGGTTTGAGGTTCTCTCCACTCAAAACAAAAGTCGCACAGGCTGTCAACCTCTACCTGCACCACTGGTCAGAGTCTGCGACTGCTCTGGCTTCAATTGCCTTTGGTGAGCATGACGACGACAATGAGCTGGAAGCACAGGAAGTCGCTGCTGTCACCGTCTCTCTCGTCGGCTTCATGCAAGCTGCCGCATCTCACGAAAACTTTTGGTCCGCCTATGAACGAGTCGAGATGATACGCTCGATTCGAGACTCCCTTTCTCCCTCTCTTCTGATCGCTTTGGAAACCGCTTCTTCCGCCATACGCCATTCCGTGTCCTCAGGGCAAGGCACCAGAGATTGGAGAAAATACCTCAAGCGGTTCGCCGCCCAGGGTACTCCCGTCGGGGCAATGATGTTACAGAAAGGCTTCATGCAACTGGTCCTCGCCTGCACCGCTCGTATGCTGTGTGACGACCACACGGTTGAATGTGGAGATATTCTTGATCAGTACATCGCTGGGAGACATTTGGGTCGAGCCAAAGATGACCTCGTCACCGATGACATGGTCGAATACCTTGTCGATGTTATCACTGACCAAATCAACGTCTTAGAGGACGGTTCGGACTATCTCCAGCTGAGCTCAGCTTGGCAACAACGTCTCGCGTTCTCGGTCAAGGCCTACGCTTTTGAAGCCTACCTTCATTGCGTCGTCCTAAATGACGACATTGCAGATCCCGAAGATCTTTTCAATTGGATTGAAGATACCATCGAAAGCCAGGTCCAGATGGCAGACTTGCAACTTGCAGATGTTGCTTTGAAGGCTTTAGCTGTTATTGCAAAGTACATTCCGGAGTCCACCTCCAACTATGCTCGCATCCTCCTGCGGTTCATTGTTCAGGGCACCTCTCATCCTCGTGCTGTCACCATTGCGGCCCAGAGCCTATCACACATCCTCAGGTTGCTTTCTCAAGATGCAGTCATCACCACCATCTACTCTCTAGGTAATGTGCTCAGCTCTCAAGCAGGCTCAGAAAAGGCACCTCATCCATTTGCTCTGGCCGATGGCAATGGACATCACCCATCGTTATCTTCCGCATCAAGGCTGCGGACCGGCTCTGTCATATCTTTGTCAATTAGCGGAGATGAAGAGACTTCTCTGGTGTGTGGAAACGTTGCGCATGCCATTGTTGTCCTTGCCGCCGAATGTGACGACAGCAGAATAACTGCCTTGGTTCAAACCATGATGTTGCAGAAGATTGGTCGTGTCAGTGTCATGGTCGATGCCCGTATCATTGAAGAGGCCGCTAAACTGGCCATTCATGGCAAAGAGAATGAATTCAGGGCTCTCCTAAGGTTGTATACACGTCTTCACCATGAAGCGGTCATTCAGGAGAATACCATCGTTTTGGAGGCGGTCCGGAAGGCTCGGGACTATCTGGCCACGAATCTTGAGGCCAGATCACCTCTTTTCAAGATCTACGCCACACACTTGCTTGAAAGAATCATTAGCAAAGGTGATGTGGTGGAAGGAGAATTCAAACAGTCTGCCGAGGTTGAACAGGCGGCCAAAGAGATAGCACCTCTTCTCAAGCCACTTTCCGTTCTAGCCTCTCGCAGGCCCACCCTCAACCAAGACAGCGGTATTCCAGATGACCCAGAAATTCTAGCGTTGGCTCGCGATGTCTGGTACAATATCGCCGTCCATGGAATAACCCTTCAGTCCCGTATTGGCCAACAGTACTATCACGAGCTTCGCGTGCTCGCCCTGCATTCCTTTCCATTGGTTGATGAAGACCGCGCAGAGCTTCTTGAAGCTGATGTCGAACTCAATACGGTTCTGCGAAGAGGCATGAGCACGCAACATACCGCTGACCAGAAGAAAAATCTGGTTGCCGTTATCCCTTCGAGGGAAGCTGAAATCCGACAACTGAGCTATCAAAAAGTGGTATTTCTCAATGCAGTCTTCCTGGTGGAAAGCCTTCGCGCCACCTCCGGCAGTTGTGCTGAAATCTTGGATTATTTTGCTGACCCCACACTCCAATCAAGCCACATGGGCTCCTGTCTGGGAGCTGTTGCCGCCGAGGTTGTCAAACGGTACACCGAGAAGGTGGCATCCGCAAAGGAGGATGAATTTAGTGCTCCGTATGTCTCAAGGCAGCTCGCTCGATTCTTGAGCGGATCCTGCAACCGGAGCAGCAAGATGCAGGAGGTCGCCCGTGCATCGGCCAACCAGATCATCCATTCCGCTCCCTCGGCTCTCTGTCAAAAGTCTGCGCTCTTCGCCTTGTTGGAACTGCTCTCTTTGATGTGGTCAAGCTGCCTAGAAGCTGACTTCGACGAGTATTCATGGCGTCCAAAACTTACATCTACCAGGGGCAAGATTACAATCGAGCTTTCTGATAATTATTCACTTCGACAGCAAACCCTTCAAGCGCTGTACCATGACGCTCGAAGGTGGGTGACTGGGGCAATGGGCATAGCACCATTAGACGTCAAAGGTCTCCTTCAGACCTATCTGTCGGAGTTTGATGATACAGGTGCCTATGGTCATGTCTCTCTTGGCAGATCATTCGCCCTCGAAATGGGCTCAATGATTCCTCCTATGGACCATCGGCTCAACGTACTGGACAAAAAGGCAGAGCCGGCCAACATCAACATGGCATCAGATTTCATGGCGCAGTACACTACTCGTCAAGAATACCGATTCACCGGTATTCCAGAGCATCAGCGCGGCCTCCTTGCCATTGACAGCGCTACGGGGCGACGTTCGTCGTTTGGCCCGTCTGGAGCCGACGGCACCAAACCCCTGCTCGTCGCCTTGACCAATTTACACAGAAGGGCTAGCCAGCACGCTTCGATGCACTTTTCCGAAGTAAAAGACGTCCTCCGGAGGGCTGCTGCGCTACTGTGCCAGAGTAAGAAGTCACAAACCGCAATTGTTCATCATCTTGTCAGCATTCCTTTCGACATCTTCACCAAAGACTCTATTAAACTGGGTATCTCTTTGTGGCTTGGGGTCATTCATGAAAATCCAAGAATGGAGTCGCGGATTCTGACAGAAGTTGTCCTGGCGTGGGAGCGAACCATCGACAGAAGACAAGGCATTTTCAATGCAAGCTTCAATCACCTAGACCCTTTTTACGTCAAAGAGGAGTTCGCTCCCTCTGACAAAGCTGCCCTCCAAAACCAAGCGCAGGTTGCTCACGACATCATCTCGCCACACTTCAGACTGATCCAGTTCTTCGAAAGCCATTACAATGCCATTCGACTCGGGAGCGCCAACTCTCAGAGGACTTTCGTTCGCATGCTGGAGCGTACTCTCCAAGGCTTCAGGAAATTGAAATGGCACCCTTTATTGAGAGAAATACTATTTCATATGGTTTTATTTGCGCTGCGTGTTCTCAACACGAGTACGTGCATCTCGCGACTCGATATGTGGAGATTGCGCGATGTAACCCTATCAGTTGGCCTACGATGGTTTTCGAACCCTCAAGGTTGGGGATTTGGTGGTAACCGTCTGCAGATGAGGGCGGAGGTGCAAGTCATGGGAGAGGTGCTTGGGGTTCTGGCCACGTCTAAACACCCCATCTTCGCATCGTCCGCTACAAGAAAGGACCCATTGCAAAAGCACGAGTTGCTCGAAACCTTGATTGCAAATGAAATCAACCGTTTGACTGTCTGGCTGAATCCTTTGGGCGCGGGAGGCCAGTCTCATGCAGAGACGCAGCTTACATCGTACGCTCGGACAGCCTGGGCGGAGGATCCAGCTCTTGCTCTGCAACTTCTGAACAGATCTGCCAACGAGAACTTGAAGCGCGACATTCGCTTCCTTCTCATGAACTTCCCCGAAAAGGCAGTCGATTGCCCCGGCGCCCTCGATGTCCTTCTTGGGAATGCACTGCCTTCTGACGTTTCCTTCCAATTAAAGTACTTGTTGTACTGGAGTCCAGTGAACCCAATGCAGGCAGTGACCTATTTCTTACCAGCATTCGGCAATCACCCATTGGTCCTCCAGTATGCGATGAGAGCACTCGAAAGCCATTCGGTCGACGTGACTTTCTTCTACGTGCCGCAAATTGTACAGAGCTTGCGTTATGATGCTTTGGGCTATGTGGAACGATATATCATCGAGGCTGGAAGCTTATCACAGCTCTTTGCGCACCAAATTATCTGGAACATGAAAGCAAACGCTTACAAGGACGAAGACTCACAAGTGCCTGACCCTGTCAAGCCCACGCTGGACAAAGTGATGAACAGTTTAGTCTCGAGCTTTTCAGGCCAAGACAAGGATTTCTACGAACGAGAATTCGCGTTCTTTGCAGAAGTTACTGACATCTCTGGCAAGTTGAAACCTTACATTAAAAAGTCCAAACCCGAAAAGAAGGCCAAAATTGAGGAAGAACTCCGCAAAATTCAGGTTGAGGTGGGGGTGTATATTCCCAGCAACCCTGAAGGGGTGGTCGTGGGAATTGACAGAAAATCAGGCAAGCCGCTTCAATCTCATGCGAAGGCGCCATACATGGCGACCTTTAGGATACGCAAAACGCGAGAGGCATTAGCTGGGACCGAGACCAGTGCAGGCGACACCGGCGTGCTCTCACCAACCGTTTCACGCCGGGGTCATAGTCGGGGGAACACGAGCGACATCTCCAACATGGGATTGAATGATAGCAGCACAACAACATATGAGATTTGGCAGAGTGCAATATTCAAAGTGGGCGATGATTGTCGTCAAGATGTGCTTGCGCTTCAAATGATTGCAGCGTTTCGGGGCATTTTCAACTCGGTGGGACTGGATGTCTATGTTTTCCCATATCATGTGGTTGCGACTGCTCCTGGGTGTGGTGTCATTGAAGTTTTGCCCAACTCGATCAGTCGCGACATGCTCGGTCGTGAGGCAGTGAACGGGCTTCATGATTACTTCATCACCAAGTATGGCGGGGAACATTCAATTCGTTACCAGGAGGCGAGAAGTGAGTTCGTCAAGAGCATGGCTGCATATTCAGTTATCAGCTACCTTCTGCAGTTCAAAGATCGCCACAACGGCAATATCATGATCGACGACAAAGGACACGTTTTGCACATTGACTTTGGGTTTTGCTTCGACATTGCGCCCGGTGGGGTCAAATTTGAGCGAGCACCGTTCAAGCTGACCCCAGAAATGATTGCGGTCATGGGAGGGAGCAACTCAAATGCGTCTCAGTCATATCGGTGGTTTGAAGAGCTCACTATCAAAGCCTTTCTCTGCGCACGCCAATACTGTGAGCAGTTGAGTCATCTGGTCAGCTTGATGCTCGACAGCGGGTTGCCTTGCTTCAAGCCAGAAACGATGAGGAACTTCCGCAATCGGTTTGTGCTGGAGAAGACCAACCGCGAGGCGGCGGAGTACATGCTTGGGTGCATCAAAAAGAGTGCAGGCAACTACTCTACAAAGGTTTATGACGAGTTCCAATTGTTGACCAACGGTATACCTTATTGAGAGGGTTGACGCTGGCTGCATGACGGTTGTGTCGGTCCTAGCGTGGGTAGACAGTATTTGAAACATCTAATAAGTAGTAATTTAATGGTACACCCTTGTCTTTCTGCAAGGCAGTGGGAGGACGGCGATGGCTTCCAAGTCGTCTTCGCTGACACTACCAATAGCCTTTGATGTTGCTGATCAAAAGAAAGCCCTCCACCATTTTGAGATCTGCCGTGCATGCCAATTCAAACCTCGGTGCATGTGGTGATCATCTCGAAATTAATCCAAGCTTTGCCAGGAAATCGAGAAAGAAGCCCCAAATAGCGGGCATGAGCTTGAGCTGTTCAATAAGCAGAGGAGCGATGACAACGAAGATCAAAGCGACTATCCAAACGATTTAGTCAGAAACAAAGCATGTCGAGATTTGAGATCCGAATGACGGTGAAAATAGTTGGGCAATGGAGGTCAACTTACCCACAGCAATGACGCCGACTGGTGATTTTCGGGCCTCCTTCTTTTTATACGCGGATTCGGGTTTTCCAGCTCGCTTCTCGACTCCCTTGGCGTACTTTTCGTTTGCCCGTCGTTGCTGAGGTGTTTGGACCTGGAATTATGGTTAGAGGTTTTGATGCTGGGTTCTGTTTGGCATCTGAAGCCCTTCGACCCCTTTCCTTACCATTTTGACGTTTGGTTTGTCGATTATTTAAAGAGTGTGTTTTATTAGATGATGGGTATGTCTTCACGTTTAGAGCGTGAGATTTGAGGCTGGATGGTGATTGAGATGATCTTGATGAGTGTCACAAAAGAGGTTGACAATGTAGGAAAGTGATCGGTAGTTGGATGAGATTATAATAAGAAGCCGAGTCCTGCTCCTGGCAAATGAATCGAGGCGTGTCTGGTTAGCTGTCACTGCTCACTGAAAGGGACAGATATGCTCTGTGGTGTGCGATGGCAGCACGGTTGACGGATCGAGGCCCCTGTCCTTGTTTGGCGACGTCTCCTGAGTGAGATTTGCCAAGAGGTGTGACCCTCACGTGACTTTGAATCACGTGGTAGCGTGATTGTCTGATCACGTGGGTCACGTGGTTTCTTCCACCATCGCACCCAACGTACCTTCCCCAATCTACCCCCCAAGTTCCCCCACTCTGACTTCAACATCATCAATAATAAACAGAATCCCATCATTCATGTTACCTGTAAGATGTCAATCATCTTCAAGCATCTCACGCATCTATCTCGACTTGTGCAAGCCTCTACACCTGATCCCTACATCTCTAGATAAAGATCTTACAATCGCCCACGGTAATTTCATATCCAGTGCGCCCCGGATATGCAGCGTGCCACATTCCGTCATCCGCAACTCCAATGACGCTGTCCAAGACAATTGCACCAAAGGTTACATAGGTGAGTTTGTCATAAGCTAAGCCAAGCATGTCTCTACATGGGGAAAGCTTTGAAGCTCCTCACCTGGCGTTGCATTGCCGGTACCTCGAGGCTCAAGGGACGGGGTACTGTCGAATCAAATCATGCTTGTTATGGTTGCTTTTCTTGGCATTGAATCCTCTATTCTTCACCATACTGCAACGGGCAGGAGACGGACGATGAGCACGATACCATCCTTGCCTGTGTTGCGATCGTCAAAGCCTTGTCTTCTTTTTAACCCGGTTGTGTGTCACCTCGCCGGTTGGTCGCATGGAGCTCCTACGTATATGACCGAGACATGGCCCGGACGAGTCCGCAATGTTGTTGGACCTACACTCTGGATTTCTTGTTCTCCCTGTTAGCCCATCATGAAATCCCTTTGTGTATGTGGAATACTTGTGCTTCAAGCCAGCTCGGTCTTTAGCTGTGCCAAAGACTACAAGGCACCTAGCTTCTTCAATCCTCAAGTAGGTCTGCAAAAGCGACAGGAGACTCAGTTCCCTCCGGTCTTGACTGAACAAGAAGCTATCCTGGTTAACTCCATTGATAACGTCACCCTGGAAGAATGGAATTACTATTATGCCCACAGTTATCATCTTGCCGGTACCAACAGGACCATTGCTCAGTGGACTGCAGACCGGTGGGGGGAGTCTGGCTTTGACTCACGTCTAGTCGAATACCGTATGCTACTTATTTCACTACCAAACTATGAGTGCTAACCCTACTATCAGATGTGTACTTGGACTATCCAATTTCTCAAAGTGTAACCTTGACATACGAGAACGGCTCCACATTCGAAGCAACCCTGATCGAAGACGTACTACCAGAGGACGATGTGACCGGAAGACCAGATCGCATTCCCGCTTTCCACGGGTATTCCTTCTCGGGAGATGCTGAAGCAGAATATGTCTACGCTGGTCGTGGTCAGAAAGTCGACTTTGAACGCCTCGAGGCATTGAATATTTCGGTCGAGGGCAAGATTGTCCTTGCGCGTTACGGCGGGCCTTTCCGAGGGCTCAAGGTCAAGAATGCTCAAGACCGAGGTGCCGTTGGTGTAGTCATCTTCACCGACACGGCAGATGATGGCAACATCACTGAAGCGAATGGCTACGCCGCTTATCCAGATGGACCAGCCCGCCACCCCTCGGCGATCCAACGAGGCAGTGTGCAGTTTCTATCCACTCATCCAGGAGATCCGACGACTCCTGGATATCCATCTACTTTGGACGCACCACGACAAGACATCTCTGACGTCACCCCGCAGATTCCATCGATACCTGTGTCGTGGGTTGATGGTCAAAAACTTCTTTGGGCCTTGGACGGCCATGGGGTGGATGGAGAGACGGTCAACCGTACCAATTGGGTTGGAAAGCTCAACGCCACCTACTCTACAGGCCCAGCTCCTGGAAACACGATCTCGTTGTCCAACAACATGGAAGAGAAGATCACACCTATTTGGAATGTGGTCGGAGTGCTCAACGGCACGTCTGAAGACGAGGTCATCATCGTCGGCAACCACCGTGACGCATGGATCATTGGAGGCGCAGTGGACCCCAATTCGGGCTCGGCGGTTCTAGTGGAACTTGCCAAAGCCTTTGGCAAACTTCAGGCCACAGGATGGAAGCCTAGACGCACCATCGTACTGGCATCATGGGATGCTGAAGAATATGGCCTAGTTGGGTCGACCGAGTGGGTGGAAGAAAACCTACCATGGCTTTCGGACGCAGCTGTCGCATACCTGAACATTGACGTTGCCACCTCGGGGCCAGACCCAGATTTCTCTGCGACGCCAGACATTCAAAAGATCGCCCTTGACACCATGAAGAAGGTCGTCTATCCGTACCGGGGCTACAACAACCTCACCCTCTATGATGTCTTCTACGGACTAGACAAAGCCGAGTTTGGAGTCTTGGGGTCTGGCAGTGACTATACGGGCTTCCTCCACAACGGCATCAGCTCCATTGACATCGGCACAGGCAATGGTCCAACCGATCCTGTCTACCAATACCACAGCGCGTACGACACCTGGCATTGGGTGACCACTTATGGAGATCCAGATTACATCCAACACAAGGTCGTCGCCCAATGGGTATCTCTACTCCTATACCACCTTTCGACACAGGAGATTATCCCATTGGACGTCGAGGCATACGGAGTTGAAATGACACACTATTACGACACACTCGTAGAGACTCTCGAGGAACACAACGCCACCGTTAATCTGACTCGTTTAGAGCAAGCCATCGCCACATTTAACGAATCAGCCGCCGTGATTTCTTCACAGATCTCCGCCGCATCAACCGAACAAGACTACCAATCACTCAACTACCGACTCAAAACCTTTTCCCGCGGGTTTGTCTCTCAAGGAGGTCTTCCTAACCGTGAATTCTATAAACATGTTGTCTTTGCACCAGGCTTAGACACCGGTTACGCCCCCGTCGAGTGGCCCGGCATTACTGAAGGTATCATCGAGTATAAGAACGAAAGTCTTGCTCAACAATGGGTGGAGATCTCTGCTCGAGGTGTCGAGGCAGCGGCTGCCATATTGGCTTGAAATTGTTCCCACGTTGTTAATGTGAAGCCAGACTCCTATGAGAAGAAGCTAAAGTTGGTGTTTGATATTGAGTGAAGTCGGAGATGTATTTCACCCGAGCCAACCAACACAAAATCAACAATAATAATAAATGGATACATGTAAGATAAAGATATGACGAGAAGGCTGGTTCAGAGATGGTAGGTAGTATATAGCCATACTATGTAATACTTTGACCCTCAGCCATCAAATCAGCAAGTCACATTGTCGCTCAGAGGTAAGCTCTGGGCTCAAAGATACAATATACTCCGCCGAACCAAATACTACTAATAATTTCTCCAACTCCAACGACAAGACTACCCAAAACACCTCCAAAATCAACGCACGCATATACATACACGCTTCAACCACCACACCCACCTACCCACTCACTCTTTGGACGAGAATTCAAACCCGCTTACGATTTGATCGGGTACTTAAGTTCAACAGAGATTATTGCAAACTTTCATTTCCCGGCTCGGTCCTCATCCACCACGACACTCCTCCCTCCTTCCACCAAACTTCTAACCCTCCAAAACCACGATGAAATCATTTATTCCACTCCTTCGCCTGGCGCAACGGCCGCTGGGCAGACACACGACAAATACTCGTCTACGAGGTTATCAAAATCCAACGACACGAACCCTCACAACAACATCCCCCCGGTACAACCACCCTGCTGATCCACCAGCATCGTCGTCACCATCACCACCGCAAGGCGGATCAACGAATTTCTATCGCACACATGGCCGAGCATTATTCAAGGCCTTGACACTGGCTTTCTTCAGTTATCAGATTATTTATTGGGCTTGGTTGACGCTCGAGACAGAGGAGATTAAAGATCAGAAAACTCGAGAGATCGAGGGTCTTGAGGCGCAGGTGAGGAGGTTGGATCAGATGAGGAAAGAGAAGGCTTGAAAAGAAAAGGAAGGAAATCACAACAACACCAACAACAATGGAATGGTAATGATCATGATATTGCTTCATCGGCAGATCTTCCATGGGATGTACCAGGAATGCATCTTAAAATCCTCTTCTGTTCAAAAACATGACAATCAGCGGGTGGGAGCTCTGTGACAATGCCAAATCTATCATATCTATCATCCACCTCTCGTCTCACAGCCATCACAGGAGACTATATAATTGGTGCGGGACTGATACAGTAGCCGCCTCGGCCCATCGAGGAGCATGTTCTCAAACAACGTCATGGTGGTCTCCCCACGAACCAAGAGCAAACTCAACCCTCCATGCGCAAACCGATCTGCATGCGGAACCATCCAACTTAACTGGGCAACAGCGGCTTATACTTGTCCAACGCACTCCCCGTCGTCGATCGACCTTGCGTGTCGACACTGTGACTAGCACCAACGTCACTGCTGCTACCCACATCATCATCCATCATCAAATCACGCGTTCTCGTCCCAGCGCTAGTTCCCACAGGAGTAGCACTTCGAGACTGCCCATGCACAGACATCGCACCATTCGTGTCGCGTCTCGGTGGCAATGGTGGCCCTGGAGGACTTTCGCCAGAATTTTTGCCTACCCCGCCGTCTTTTTGCAGCTGCGTGATTCGAGTGAGCGAAGGCGGTGGAGTGGAAGTGCTAGGTGTCCGAGTCCTGTTGGCGAGACTGCCGCTGACACTTGATGCGAATGAATGATGTGTCGAGTGAGATATGGAGTTACTGTGCGAGAGCGATCCTTGCGCTGAAACGTACGAAGATGCTGTTGAGCTCGCGGTTCCTGTGCGGCGGGGCAACGGTGGTGGCGGCGCGTCATCGTTGCTGTCCATCGCACCGTCTGTGCCACCGCCGTATTGCTGTCTGGGACTCGGATGGTCCTGTGAAACACTGACGTCTGATCTGGAAATCGGGGCGAGTGGTGAGATGACTGGTCCTGGAAGAAGTGAGACATTGGGTACGGCCACCTGGCTCGCCGAGGTCGTCAAGGTCATAGGTTTCGCAGGTTTAGGCGGAGGCGCTTTTCTCGTGATTGTTGCGGAAGATGATGACCGTTCCGGCATTCGTGGTGGTGGGAGAGAAGAAGATGCTGCTGTAGGAGATATATTTGTATTTCGTAATGGTGATGAATCGGCACGACTTCGTGATCCAGAAGAAGCATGAGGCGCTGAAGAAACAGACCGGCCGTAGGGTTTGATCTCGGTAGGATTGGCCATGCGCTCTCCGTCCCAGGCTGGTGGAACCATCCTTCTTCTCGCCGGCGGTGGAAGAGGCTTGCGTGTTGAAGCTCGACTCTGAGTACGGCTGGTGCTCGCGTTTGCTTGGTCTCCATTGCTACCGAGAGGTCTTTTAACTTCCACCCAATCGTCTTCGCTCGAGTCTTTCCACGGGTTTGCCTCGCGGTGCTTGTTCAAAGCCATGTTTTCTTGTGGCGGTCGAATCACACTTCTAGCGCCTTTGTTTCCATCGAGCCACCACTTGCGTTTGTCGCTACTGGCAGGAGGGAGCCCTTCTTGGATACTTTCGTATCCCATGACACTTTCCGTCTCATCTTCCTCTGAACCAAGGTCAGAAAAGTCCTCGGTCGATTCCGTGCCTTTGAGCTTGATATCCCGTGCCTTTTTGGTATAAAGCTTCTTGATGAGAGCTTCCTTCGTTGCCTCATCTATCACACGCACTCCCATCTCGAACGTGGCAAACACTGGCCGATGGTCGCTAAATTTCAATGACATGACACTGTTGTAGTCCAGCTGCTTCATCTTGGAGCCGAGATCCTCCCCAAGCTGGGTACTGTTGTGATTGACCTTCCAAAGCACTCTGTCAGTCCAAGCGGGAATGCGTTGTTTGTCACTCGAGTCGAAGTCATCCCTTCCAATGTCGTATTTATATGTAGGCAGAAACCGAACTCTGCCCTCTCGGTAGAAGTTGAAGCAGTTTCCAGCCACCATCTGGATGTTGAGTTGATCATTTTCGTAGAGTTTTCCCAATGCTTCCTCTCTAATCCTTTCGTTTCCAATAATGGCCTCGTTGACAATCGCCTTTGTCTTGTCATATCCGAGACCGATGCGATAATTGAAATCTCCAGCCCAAACCACGATTTCATGGTCCTCGATCCCTCTGTTCCGTTGAAACCTGAGTCCCGATGTGATTGTGTTGTAGTCTCGGTTTCTTTCCTCGTAATTTCCAAACCCCGCGGCCAAGTGGGCTGTAACGAAGCACACAGATGTACTCTCAATGTCCATTCGAATGGCAACGGCCCCTTTGTTGCCAGCGATACCGCTCATCCCGGTTTTCTTGATGGCACCCTCGACATTTTTGATGCGTCCGAGAAGACTGGAACGGACAAAAATCAAGAGCGCCGCGCCAACAAGTTGTCCGCTTCTCAGGAGGACATATTGATCTCCTTCGATAGAAAGCTCGTCACTCTTTTCACTCAGCACAGCGCCGTTGAGACAGTTTCTGACGGCGGTTTCCCAGAGCATTCGCCGGTTTGGGTCGGTGCTCATGATCTGTTGAGGGCTGAGTTCCACAATTTCTTGAAATCCCACTGTTACAACGTCAAAGCCTTTCCCATGGACGTCTAGCCACTGACTAAGGTCTTCTCCAGCCCCACTCGTCTTGCCGTTAAGGTTGTATGTGCCCATGAAGATTTTGATGTGGTCCCTCGTCTCAAACTCAGCCCTCCTCCGGTTCACCTCGGCTACAACCCAGTCATTGACAGGGTCATACAAATCAACGCTACTCTGTCCGACCAGTCTACCTAGAAGCAGGTCAACTGTATTTTGCCTGGATTTATCTTCAAAATGATTGACATAGAGCCGAGTGGCACTTTTTCTGGCATCAGCAAAGGCACCTGCAAGACTCATCTTGCCATGTCGGGTGAAGGAACTTTTTAAGGCCCCTGTGCCGGCGTAGATCTTTGACAATGTATCGCCGTTGTCCGCCCAGAGGGCAGAATGTCGCATCCAGAAATCCGAATTGGCTCGTTCATCTCGGTGAGACAAGAAAAGCTCGATGGCCATCTGACTGATTAGGCCCTGGATGAGATTGGTCCGATCGAGGCAATCAAGGCAATTGACACGAAACACACCGTTTTGTTGCATTACCACGACAGGTCGTCTAACTTTGACGGTCTTTCCATGTACGACGGTTTCATCGACGATTTCTTCCGAGAGAAAGTAGACGAATGACTCTGCACTATCGTCCAGGAAAGGTTTTATAGCCTTGGCCCCTTCGTAGCCGATGGTTTTGGTGCGCTCATGAAAATCGAATTCTGTTTCCCGCATGAGATGGTGCTCTTCGAGTTCACCTTCCTGGCTTTGTCGCAGAGGGCTCCTGGCAATGTGATGTCGATATCGTTCGGTCAATTCGACCTCACCCGGCTTGAAGGCACTCAGTAGATTGACGATATGCACAGCACCGTAGGTCCTCTCAAGGTTGGAAAAGTGTTTGTCAAAACTAGGCTGGGTGGCCTCGGGGGAGCGGGTAATCTGAATCTTTTGTTGTCCGGGGATGAGACTACTGGAACTCTCCCAAAAGACGGGAATACTACCGCGGATTTGAGTGTAGGAAAAGCAGAGGCCGGTAGGGGACCAAAACACTGTCTCGGTCTCGACGAAATTTGCGACATTACCGTTGTCGTCAATACCTCTCGAATTGAAACGAGTACCTGCCCGGCGTGAGGAAAGCCTGGATATCACTGTCAAGGTGGTGGGGAGCCCATGGCCACTTCCACGGATGGGGGAAGACGACGATGGGATAGGAAGGGTCTTCACAAAACCACGAATGACAGAGGTGAGGATGCGAGAGTGATCTAGAGCGACTTGTTCGTGGTCCGCAAGGCGGCTCCGGAACTTCAACAGGGGGTTAATCATGTACGAGTTCCAGAGTAAACCTTCGTCTAGACTGGTAATGTCGAGGGTGGATTCAGCACCAACACTTTGGACAGATTAGCATGTTAATTGGGGTGGGTGTTTAAATTGGACTGACCGGTCCTGCAGGCGCCGCGTCAAGTCGAAATCGACGCTGTAATAAAAGTTTCCGCCGCTGAGCAACTTCCTTAGGGCGTGGAAAGGATGTTCGGCGGTGGTATCGGCCTGGTCATAGCCACCACCGTAGTCGACATCATCAGACTGAAAAGTCTGACCCGGGTAGGGATTTGGGTAAGGACCATGGGCATGATCGTAGTCGGCGCGGTTGAGACAATCTAATCTGATGTCAAAAATGGGATCAACAGTGGCTGGAGGGATTCTTACAAAAGTCAACAGAGTAGATCTTTTGAACAGTCTCGCCGGGTCTGACAGTAGCGACCTCTTCGGCGCCAGTGATAACGCACAAGAAGACATCGTTGTTGAGGGTGATGACGCCAAGGGTTCCCTTTGCGGACGCAACCGGATGGAAATGGGACAGGTCGAGGGCCGACTTTTCAGAGAATTCGACCATGCATCTTGGAGTTAGATTGTGACGGCTACCACCGACCGAGGATAAGCTAGTCTGGCTTCCAATACGCAAGGACGTCTCCGGCTGTGTATGGGCATGTCGGAAGACCAGGACGTGATCTTCAGTGGCCAAGGCCAACGTGCGGTGTGGGTAGTCATGGATTAATACTTTGAATGACATGTTGGGGAAGGATAGAGAGGGTCAGAGAGCGCTGCATTGAGCGCTTGGTCAAGAGGATATTGTCATGGGTCCTGGTCGACGTCCGTCTTGCCTTGAGTGGAGGATCTTTGCGGGCTGACGCGGACGATGAGGGTGATCGTACTGTGGTGATGATGCGTCAAGATTTGGCACTTGGTGAGAAGAGAACACTCGACACCCCTTGTAGAGGGACGGTACAGCGAGAAGGATGTGGTGACAGGATAGTCCTGGAGACGGTCGAATGTGAGTCAATGATATGGCTGATATGAGTGATATGATATGGTGGTGGAGGTGGTCATGGCTGAGGTTGCCAAAGATGGGAAGTGGTAGGTGAGCACGTGACACGGTGGCACTGGGGAAGGAGGGGAGGTTTATATGCTATTGGAATGCACCTTCCCAACGTTCATCTGTAATTTTGAATTCAACAATTTTCTTCTTTAGCAGATTGAATAAATGAACAAGCAACAGATCCTCCAAATGATTCGAATATGGATATCTGTACTAGTCTGGGTCTATGGCCCTCGTCCTCACGGCCACCAGGTGACTAGCTGTCCAGGCTTTTGAGTCAAATGTCAGCCGTCCCAGACGCATGGGTATTTAATCGATCAAACGCCGGTAAGAGATCCCCAAAACCCTTGTCATTGTCCCAATGCAATGCCCGCTGCAAGGCCATCAAGATTCCATTCAAACCTATTCAAACGCAGCCCCTCTCGTATGCCCGTCACCCCATTGCTCGCGCTCCCAAATGTGTTCGAAATCCCAGACAAGTGTCGCTCAATCCGCTGGCTCATCAATCATGCCGCCAAAGTACACGAAAACAAAAGAGACTTCCACTGTCAATTCCCCCAAGGCATGAAAAACCGATCTCGAAGATGTCGAGAGGAAAAGCCATGCCTCCTGAAGTAGCCAATGCCAGAGCCACTCGGTCATCAGCTTCGCAAAGTCTTGGTAGTGAAGCCACGGTCCGGAATGATAGACCGTGGTAATAATCGTTGGTTTGTGGTCAAATTCCGCAGTAATCAAAAGTCGACTGAGCCGCCCAGATTTTCCACGACGATGGAATCCACCCACCCAACACAACCCCTTGGACTTGTCGAAACTGATGCCAGAGTGACCCTTCACATTACGGTGCATGCGCCCTGTTGTTCGGCGGCACTGTGCTGGGATCCAGCGGCTACATCAGGCCTTTTTTCACCTTTTAAAGACCGCGGTGGCCGACTTGGAGCCCCTCCCAGCATCCAACTCGCAAGTCCGCCTGGCTTTTTCTTCTTGCCTACGTGCACGCTGTGGTTAGAATGCGTCGGTCCAACCGCAAGTCGTGGGTGCGACTCACCTTTCTTCTTGGGTGGGTTCAGAACCTCGTCCAGGTTCAAGAGGGTGTCCGGTCCAAAGTCGTCCGTCACGATGATCTCGTCTTCTTTCTTGGGTTCTGGCACAGGCCAAAGCATCATGGTAATGTGCATGTCGGGCTCAATGGTAGAGTCCCAGTAGTTGGGCATAATGATCTCTTTGTCTGGGCCAAGCAAGTCATAGCGGCCGTTCAAGACTTGCTCTCCTATGCCGTCAATATGTGCAAAAGCCTGATTGATGAGGCCTTCCATATCCTACAAAATGGTCAGTTTCTAGTGGACGGGGGTGTCGGTTGTAATTCTAGGCAAACTTACCCGCCATCGGCAGCAACGCTCCCAAGGGAAATTGTAGTTTCGCCCGATAGCGTCCTTGAAGCGGACAGGAGCCTTCTTCTCGGGAGGAGCCGCCGCCGCCGCTTTCTTCTCGGCCTCCTCTGCCTCTGCTTTGGCCTTGGCTGCCGCTGCCTCGGCCTCCTTGACTTTGGCATCGGCCTCTTCTTGAACCTTTTTAGCCGCATCTTGGGCGGCGGCGGCGGCAGCAGCTGCCTCGCTCTCCGCAGCCTGCTTGGCTGCGGCTGCAGCGTCGTCGGCGATTTTCTTTTCAGCAGCAGCCTTCTCTGCACGTGCGGCTGCTTCGTCTGCGGCGGCCTTGAGAGCTGCGGCAGCGGCCTCATTCCGAATCTGTTGTTCTCTCGCCGCCTGTTCGGCCGCTTTGCGCACCTGATCTTCATATGCGCGGATAGCGTCTTGTCGTGCTTCTTCCCGAATGCGGTTTTCTGCCGCAAGTCGTTCTTGAAAGGCAGCGGCATCTGCACGAGCTTTGGCTTCGGCGGCCAGGATGGCCTCTTCGCGAATTCGCCTTGCTTCCTCTGCACGAGCGGCGGCAGCAGCGGCATCGGCGCGTGCCTTCTCGGCCGCCTGGAGAAGCGCTTGCTCGCGGATGCGCTTGGCCTCTTCCTCGCGGAGTTGTTCTTGGCGAGCTCGCTCTTCTTGCTGTCGGAGGGCCTGTTCACGTATACGCTGTTCTTCCTTGGCCCTCTCAACGGCCTGCTGCTCCTTGGTGAGCTCCATTTGAGCCCTTTCCTCCTTCATCATGTCTGCAAATCGCTTGAAGATCTCCTCTGGGTCGGGTTCTTTGGGCTTCTCCAGCTTGTCGGCAGATGTATTGGCAGAAGCAGGGCCGGGAGAAGAATTTCGAGGTTGATAACGGTAGTCTGGGTAGGGAAATGGGGCCGGCATTTGCTGACCGTACTGCATGTATGGTTGTGGGAAGGGGGCGGGGTATTGGGGAGGATATTGTTGGGGGAAGTAACCGGCACCCGGGGCGACATAGTTGGCGATGGAAGAGGCATGATATGGCGAGGTGTATGGCGAACTGACTTGAGAGGGAGCATGATGACCATACGCACCAGCATAGCTCGGCTGTGGGGGATAGGCGAGGGCCTGGCCGTGAGCGAATTGATTATGGTATGGGACAGCAACCTGCTGTGGTGGGACGGGAACCATGGTGGTTTGTCGCATTCTTGGATACGCAAAGGTTGAAGGATCTGAATTAGGATAGCCGGGAGGGGCGTATTGGGATTGTGACCCCATGTGTGGATATGGGCCAGGACGGTCGAGGAACTCTTCAGTCGAGTCACCGCTCTCGGTGGGAGACCTATCCTGCAATTCTCTCGTTCGGCTTCGAGCAGCGGAATCACGGATTGCTTGGGGTCGTGCGATGGTCCTGCGTCGCGCCGAGTTGGAGCGAGAGGCACGTTGTTGAGGTCGTTCGCGGTGATCTAGCCTCGAGGCAGAGTCTGCCCCATCTCCTTCTGGCTCGAGTTCGCTTGGGTAGACGACGGTAAATCCACCAGGCACGGAGGAAGAGCCACTCTGGCTTTGAGCGGAGGGGACGACGGAGTAATGGGGGGATATTTCGGCGGCACTGACGTCGACGCCGTCGTTCTCGAGGAGCTCGTCGTCTTGAGAGTTAGAGGAGGGAGTTGGTGAGCGCGATTGAACGTGTGTAATGTCAATGTGAGTGTGGTGGCTGTGGCTTCTAGAAGATGACCTGTGGAGATGGTATTTAGTATTGACAGAAGACACCTGGTAGACAACGCACCCCATCAGAGATTGGATATGGTCAAGGAATTACCGCGTTCAACCTGCACAGAGGCAGGCTGAAAGCGATAGCCTTGAGGTTTCGTTAGTTCAAGGGATGCTAACCGAGCCAATGATGAAGGCGACCGTGGGATGCGAGACTAACAAGTGGCCTGGTCCAGAGGCGCCAGAGGGTGTGGATGGAATGAGTCTTGGACTCTTGGAGGCCTCAAGGGCCAGGGGTTGGTCGAGGGCAACTGAATTGGGACGAGTTGAGCAAGTGTGGGTGTTTTGTTTGGGTGGTGGAGGTGGAGGTGGTGACTGCGGTGAGGATGCTGAGAGACTTTTACAAAGTAGTGGAAGTCACCTGGGAAAACAACTTTCAGGTTGTAGTCCGCAGTTGGTTAGTCTGCCACTGACCAGGGTGTGTGGTCGGGACTTGGACTGCGACTTGTGACGGTGTGTGGTGTGTTCGTGTGTGTGGATTGTGGACGGTTGCAAGAATCCGATGAGGGTGGAGCCGCGGGGTAGGAAGGGACGGCCAGAGCCTGCATGTGGATTATGCCAGGCCCAAAGAAAGCCTAAAAATGGGAGCCCGATTTCAACGGCACACAGACGCTAATCGGACAGTATGGTTATCACATCCGCCGTCAATTGACAGCAGTGGATTGGAGTTGAAGAGGTAATTTTGTCGTGGCGGTGATTATAGCAATGATGGTAATGATGATGGTATGAGTAGTAGTAATGGTGCTGGTGGTGGTGGAAATACTCAAGGGACAGCCCTGGGCAATGGATCATGTATTATGAGTCAGGCCTAGAGGGTGCAGAGTTTCGGGGGGGGGTTCTGGTGGTGTGCAGTGTGTCAGTTGCAGTCTTCAGGTTGAAAACAGGTTCTGGGACATGAAAATCTCAACGCGTGTGTCCTGTGACTGAAACGTGAATGGAGAGGCGGACGAGGCGGACGAGGCAAGAGGTACGAATATGGCGAGTATGGCGTATTAGGTGGTCTTCTCAGGGGGGTCAATAATGCACCACTTGGGCGTCGGTTTATAGGTCGGTCTGGAGCCCGAAGCGCTTCAGGGGGCCGAAAAAAGCTGCCAAGATGAAGAACCCTCTGGAATAGCAGAATGGCTGCCCAATGCTGCCCACAGGTTCCACCTGCAAATATCAACTGTTGGGCCGAGACGAATGGTCTGCAAATCCACTGTCACCTCAACCCTGTTTCCTGATGACGGAAGGATGATAACAGCCTGTTCTCTTTCAAGGTAATGAGGGACAATGTACGAGTACAAAGCTGTTGTCGGAATGGCGGTATTGGTGACCTAATAGTCCCGTATAATTGAATGCTGGATGGCTTCCTTGTCGAAGGGCCCGAGGGAGTGAACCGAGTCGGAGAATTTAGCGGGAACAAGTGGACCTAAGAAAAGTTTGGTGCACAGGGCTCTGGGTTTTGATGAAAGAGTGCGGCGACCTGGGTCCCTGGGTCCCTGGGTCCCTAGAAAAGCGATATTCCTAGGTCCAGTAAGTTGATCCGAAGATAGGCTGGTGTGTGGTTGTGGTTGTGTGCAGCTACAACAAAGCGTCAAGGTCACTGTGCTTTTGAATCAAGATCCCTGTCCGTATGCTCCTCTAGGGTCTCAGTAGTCACGAGAAACCTGTTGGGACAGTTCTGTTGAAACCTCTTGACTCATTAACAGATACAAGAAATTCCCGAACTGAACAAGATTCTGCAAGGTAGAACGAAAGCAGGACGACCTGGAAAGTGCCCGCAACAGGCGGACTTTGGGTGTTCTTGACCGGTTCTAGGTGGGTTTCTGTAGGGGTTGGGTGCTTAATTGGCGTTGACGGTTTCGGCTGCAAAGCTTGGCCTGGACACTGATCAGTGATCGATCCAAGTACCTCTGTCTGAAGCTTCAAGCTTCAAGCTTTTCGTGAAGCCACTGTTATGATGGTGAAATATGGGAAAAAGAGGCGACGATGCCTCCTTGATCCAGGGTTTATTACACAGTTTCTGTCCAGACAGGCGATGCCGACTGTCGCCACAACAACCTGACAAGCTCTGATCGTCCAAGGTAACACCACTGTCACACAGGACTTCTGCCCAGCGTGTACAATCTGGCCCGGACGGGTGGATCTGGTAAGCGCTTCTTCCACGCAGGTTTCTTCTGTCTATGCTGATGTTGACGAGTAAGAGACATTGAAACTCCAGGCAGCATGGCTTTGAAAAGTAACTCGATATGCCTTGGCTCGAATTCCTGGGTCATAGCCGGGCCATGAATCTACTTCGGCGTGCTCCGCCTAAAAGTGCGTGATGCTGGTCGATGCTGCGGCCATGTTGAGGCCATGTTGAGGCCATGCTGCAAGCACTCATCTATATAAATGACTCTTCATCTTCTTTAACTTCTTCGTCATTGGAAAATGCCATGTCATTAACTTCCCAACATCCTTTCACCAGCTAATCAAAGCTCGACTTGCACCGCCCAGCCCACGAGCATTGCGCTTGCTCACCATGACACCGTCCACAACAAGTCCCAAACTCCACCGATCGAAGGAAATCCACGCTTCACTGACCTCGTGGCGCTGGTGCACGCACTGGAAACAAGCCTCGCCGGACCTTTGTGAGCGGGCAACCAACATGGATATGATCCACAGACTCACTCGTGGTTCCATCCCATTCGTCCAACATTGGGTAGTCTGACAGCCGGGGCACCCTCAAAGAAACTGCCACGTCTTCACGGCGCCAATTGTGGGAAGCTGGGGAAACTGCTGCCCAACACAGCCCAGCTAACTGTCGGACATGACATCAAGCAAATTCCGCCGCATCGTGCAAGACCTGCAATGCTCTAGTTTCCAGTGTAGGCGGTAAGCGCTGCAGGTACCTGCTCGGCGGGATTTCCTCTTGGAAGCCTCAGACACAGAGTCCCCTGAGAGGCGCCGTAAATTGTGGACGTGGTCAGGTACAACGGCTAGCTTCACCAGCCTAACTATTGTAAAATGCGGCTCTTCGCTTCATTGTCCAGGCTTATTTGTCCGATTTGGACAGCAACTCTTGCGCAGCAACAAGTTCTGGCTGGCCCGCCTTTGACCCGTTGCCATTTAATCGCTCCTTCACAAGAGCCTCGAGCTTCGAGGATGCTAAGGCGTTCAATTTTTCAATTTTTCCCTGCGATATTGTCGGAGTCGTAGAGCCTTTTTGTGACCCGCCTTTCTGCAGTAGCCGTGCACAAGCAAGCTTGAGACCATAGAATCCTCGCAAATGGTCATCACATAGTTCTATGCTTCTGCTAAAACGCTGCACTGCCTGCATCAGGTGCTTCTGTGCTTCGGCGCCGTCCAATGACAGACCTAGGAGGTACTCGAGTTCGCCCAGTCGTGCGTGCAGGTTCCATGCATTGGGTGTCATAATGACGGCTTCTTCCAACGAGAAGATGGCCTGAGGAAGGAGTCCTTGGGAGAAGTACAGCTCGCTCAACTCGGCCCATGCCTCGACATCGGTGGGAAAGGCATCCAGGAAATCAACTAGGTTTGAAATGGCCTGCTCCTGTCGCCCCAATGACTTGATCAAAGCTGTTCTTCGTTTGTGGATCGGGACGTTCATTGGATTTTCTGACAAGATCTTGTTGTAGTCACTCAGGATTTCTTGGAGTGCCTCATCATTCGGCGCCACGGCTTCCTGGTATAAGCCTCTCAATCCCATAATTTTCTCGTTGTCAGGCCCAAATCGTTCTGTCAACTTTTCCAGGCACAAGAATGCTGACTTGTCGTCGCCCGTCCGGAGACAGGCAAACAACATGCGTTCCAAGTCAGCCCATAGTTCCGGGGTGTCGGCCGTATTCAAAAGTGAGGCGGGGAACGTGGTGCTGACAGAGGATGCTCTTGCCAGGATCGTTGAGGCTTGCTGCGCAGCTTGCAGTGTAGAGGCCGGGTCGGACGATGAATGGTTGAGGACTGAGGTAGACATGGTGGATTCGCGTCAGAGGATATAGGATGGTAGAGGGTAGATGGTCGAATGTGAATTAGTTTGCAAGAGACAGTCTTTTCACCATCACCGTCTCTCACCCTGGCCGGTCGTCCAGAGTCGATCTCTGAGGAAGATAGTTGTAGTGGCCTCGGTGCCTGCGGGTCAACTCAAGACGAAAGATTGGCCGTAGAAAGTAGAGCGGAGCATATGGCTTATCGAGTCCAGGCTTGGCATCAACTGCCACATCTCCGACCAACGCTTCTTCTCCTGATGTTGATCGTCATTACTCTATCAAAGCATTGGGGTCTCTCTTCTCCCCCTTGACCCATCAAACATCTCAATCTGATATTTCTCTCCCATGATTGCGATGGTGCTGCAGTTCGTTCCTGACAAGACAATGTCATCCATGATTCGTAAGCACCAGGCTTAGTGGGGGGTTTTCTAGACGGTTGGCTAGACATAGCATACTACATTCATCATGTTCGAGAAATCACTGGTCGACCTTATTCGAGGCCTTCGTGGTCACAAGGGCAATGAAGCCGAATACATTCAGAACGCGCTCAAAGAATGCCGCAACGAAATCCGATCCCAGGATTTGGATGTGAAGGCAACCGCCTTGCTCAAGCTCATTTATTTGGAGATGTTTGGCTACGATATGACTTGGGCTGCTTTCAATGTTCTGGAGGTCATGTCATCTCCCAAGCCGATGCAAAAGCGAGTCGGTTATCTCGCTGCCGTTCAGACTTTTGGCCCAGAGACCGAAGTATTGATGCTGGCTGAGAATCTCCTCAAAAAGGACCTTACTTCGCCATCAATTCCAATACTGTCTCTTCCACTGATAACACTTCCACACATCATCACCTCTTCATTGGCGCTGTCCATTCTAACCGACCTACTTCCTCGTCTTTCTCATTCTCAACCTGCAGTGCGCAAGAAGACCATCGTCACGCTGTACAGGTTAGCCCTAGTGTATCCGGAGACTCTGAGGGTGGCCTGGCCAAAGATCAAAGAACGTTTACTGGATGAGAATGAAGACAGCAGTGTCACTGCGGCGACCGTCAATGTCGTCTGCGAACTGGGCTGGAGGAGACCTCAAGATTTCTTACCGCTGGCTCCAAGACTCTTCGACTTACTGCTGGCTCAGAAGAATAATTGGATGGGCATCAAAATAATAAAGCTCTTTGCTGTCCTCACCCCTCTTGAGCCGAGATTGGTCCGCAAGCTCGTCAGGCCGCTCACAAAACTGATTCAAGAGACTACTGCCATGTCACTCCTCTACGAATGTATCAGCGGCATTATCCAAGGGGGCATCCTTGATGGTGCCGAAAGCGGCGTTGATGTCGAGGAAGTCGCAGATCTTTGTATCTCAAAACTAAGAGGGATGATCGTCGTTGACGGAGACCCGAACCTGAAGTATGTGGCACTTCTAGCGTTTACCAAGATCGTTTCCTCGCATCCATCACTTGTTGCCATGCAACAAGACGTCATCATGGCTTGTCTTGATGACCCCGATATCTCAATCAAGATGCAAGCTTTAGAACTGGTCTCTGGAATGGTTAATAGCGACAATCTCCAGGACATTGTCAACAAGCTCATGAAGCAACTTGCCACTTCACCTTCCTCGAATCCTGACAATGATCTACCCGATGAGTATCAGACCGATCTAGAACAGCGTCTCGTACCTGACAAGCGAGGCTCGGAGATGGCACCATTACCTGATGAATATCGCCACGAGATCATTTCTAGGATACTTGGAATGTGCTCTTACAACACATACGCCAACATTGTCGACTTTGAGTGGTATGTTGAGATATTGGTCCATCTTGTCAAACACCTTCCTATAGAGAAGCCAGACGCATCAACTAGCATTGGAAGTGGGCAGTCATCCACTTTGGCTAGTCGTGTCGGATTTCAATTGGTCGATATCACGATACGTGTGCAGGAGCTTCGCCCTGAGTCGACCAAAGCGGCAGAGACACTTGTTCTTTTGTCCAACAGAGCGATTGCCTACCCGGCGCACGGATCAGGACAGGCACAGATTCTAGCCTCTGCGGCATGGGTATGCGGCGAGTTCTCGCAATATCTCTCCAACCCTTACGAGGTGCTCAATTCATTGATACACGAGTCATGCGAAGGCTTATCTCCGGACACATTGGCAATATTTGCTCAGGCGATTCCCAAGATGATTTCTCGCATTGCGTCCAATTTCAGCAAAGAATGGAATGCGTCCAGGGCAAGCACAATGTCACTCGTGCTTGCACGAACAACTGGATTTTTAGAGCGACTTTCATCACATCCGAATCTCGAAGTCCAAGAACGAAGTGTCGAATTTTTGGAGCTCCTTCGGCTGGCTGCAGAAGCCCTATCGTCACAGAACAGTGATAGTGTGGAAGCCCCATTGCTATTGACTTCGGCCATCCCCACACTATTTTCGGGGATGGATTTAAATCCGGTAGCTCCAACGGCCCAGAAGAAGGTCCCCCTACCCAGTGATCTCGATCTAGACGCGCCAATCAATCCAGATCTTGCTGCTATCCTCCAAGACTCGCAGATCGCCGACGACGACGATTCGTCAGACTTTGCGCTTGGCAAATATTATCATGACCGAGAGGCGGCACCAGTGGCGCCTGTCGTGCAGCTTTCAGCGAGCACAGCACGTGCAGTCGAGCCAAGTGAGAGTGAACCAATATCATACCAATCAACACCGGACTCACCAGCAACATTGGCACGTCGAAAGGCCGCACGGATGAACCGCAACCGGGATGATCCATTCTACATTGCAGCTTCGGGCGAAGACAGTCCGCGAATTCACGACATCATCAGCAAAGCAAACGAAGGCGAACAATTTGACATTGATTCGATCCCCATTATCGATCTGCAAATTGAGCACGGGCCCAGCGGTCCAAGTAGTGGGTCAGCTCCTGACCATGGACTTCGTACAGGCAGGAAGAAGAAACCAGCTCGAAAATTTGTCGTCGCAGCCGACGAGAATCTCGATATTGCCGACGGCCAGTCTCTATCACATCCGACATCCCAGACAGGCTCATTATCCGCAACACCAGATGCACGGACGAGGTCGCTCAGCCCAATGCCACAACAGTCGCGGCGTCAAACCCGGCCGACGCGGAATCTCCTAACTGTGGATTCGTCGACTTTGCAAGAACTTAGCTTGGAAGGTGGACAAGGAGAGAGTGAATTGGAGATTCTACGGCGAGAAGCAGAGGAATTGGAGATGACTTTGGCGTTGAGGGAGGTGGAGAAGAAAAGACTGGAGATGCAGAGAGAAATGGAACGGAGCATGACTACGATGGGCCAAGGGGTCGATGTGGAAGGAACGGTGGTGAGAAGAAAGAAGAAAAAGACTAGTAAGCGGACTAAGGTGGGCGACGCTGAGGGTGAAGGCGAAGGCGACGGCGAGAGTGCGGGCGCAGCAGGAGGCGGCGTGTCACAGCCCAAACGAAAATCCAAGAAGAAGGTCGATCCCAATGCTGCAACAGGGGTCGGTGACGGTGATGATGACACAGCCGTCGTCAAGAAGAAGACAAAGAAGAAGAAAAAGATCAAAGGCGACAAGGCCGACGAGACCGAGGCGGTGCCTGATGCTGAGGGTTGATCTGTATCACGCATGTCATGATGACCAGAAAGGAAACAACAGACTACCAAGTACGCCCGCCGACTACCAGTTATTACACTTGAGATATGAAACGATCTGATATGTCGTCACGATCAAAGATTTCTTATGACTGTTGTTGTATATCTATTTTTCTTTGTCATCTGTGAATGTGTGGTGAGGGATCAGAGGTGGCAAGCCTTCAAGCTATGCTGTGGACTTGGATTGGAGTCCATTGATATTCTATCGATATCGATATGAGTACAATAGGAATGGCAGAGTCTAGACTTTGGGACTTGTTTGGACTAGTTACCACATAAGCACTCCTGGTGTTCTACTCCGTAGTAAGTAGTAGTACATGCAATACATAACCAAAATCCTGATCCCACATTCTCATCTCCCGCGGATTCACGATGGAGGAACTTTAAAAATCCATGGTCAATTTACCCGACATCTACAGTAAGCCCTACCACTACCTCTTCGCTACGCTACACTAAACTATACTTCCTACACTACTTGGTTGCTGTCTCGTCTTTGTGTCAGCAAGAATGTGGCTTGAGGATTTTGGCCCTTGGGTCAGAGTTGGCATTCCGGGGCGAGGATCCCTCCCATCAGAGTTCCCGTTCTGTTCTGCTTCGGGAAGTTTGAGAGATGTCAGAAAGTTGTGGGAACTGGGTACGGAGTAGTTTGGGAATTGTGAGGCTGAAAACAATCCCAAACCTTCATTCGTGGGAGTTTCCAGGTGGAGTGTGCGCAGGCCAGGCGTACCATCCCGTTTCAGGTGGTGGATACCTACCTACCTACCTAGGTAGATAGTACGAATATACGCCTTTTGGGACTGACTTCAACCAACACAATCAAACTCGGACAAATCATGTTCAATGATCAGAGAGAAAAGGCAGACAGAACTGCGGTGATTGTTGAATTTACGCCCCCATTTGTTGGCCCTCACTCTAGTCCTTTAGTCTTCTGGCCCCCCTGGAGCTCTCCCGTCCGTGGTTCATTGTTCACGAGAGTTGATCTCTCACTTGTGCGATTCGATCGACTTAGGTACTTGGGCAATACGGATGATATGCATTGGCACGCATTCGTTCATCCCACCAGTAGAGTCTCTGTCCCTTCCGTGCCTGGTCCTGTGTCTGCCTGTGCCACCACCATCAGCACCCAACACGACGGAACGGACGGCATTGATGAGACGTTACTAGTAGCCGTGGGATTCATGATCGTTGGTTGAGCCTATGGGCGATTTCCTTGTGGCTTGACAGGGAGGCTTGGATGCTGGTGTCGGTGTTGGTGTTGAACCGTTTGGTTTCTTCCTTTCCGTTGAGCCTGACTCATAACTTGAGATTGTGACCGTTGACTACGATAGCATAACATACAGTACATAGCTAATCAAGTATTTGACTAGATTGATTGGGTCGAATGACTTCTAGATGGGCGTAGTTGTGGTGGCTTGGTTGCCACGTACAAGCATACACACATACCTAACAGCCGCCCAGGTTGAATGATAAACAAAAAGTACATACATGACACACTACACACTCGTGACACTACGACACTAACTTACACCAAGTCATGGGACATCACCCTGCAGACCTGCAGAAACCAACGTTCCGGGGATGCGGCTCCTTACATGATCCAAGCCTCAGACAATAGGCATCCATGGGGGCTCATCTCATGTTCAGTTCTTTGTGTCTATTTTCTGCCAGGCACCATCTCGTCTTTCGTCTCGGCAAGGCTCCAACGAGCGTCTTCGGGTACCTTATTACTTGATCTCGTGGACAGATGTCTTACAAGGGGGTGGGGCAGATGGGAGTTGAAACTCGGATGGATCGTATAGGATTGATAATTTTGGCCTTGTATTTTTCTTCGTCTTCTGGACTTTTCTACATGATGTTCGGAGTACGTATGTACGTACTTACATAAGGTTTGGCCCCGCGGGGGTCCAAGAGACGGGACCAAGGGTTTGGGTATTGGGGCCGTTCTTTTTGTTCCTACGAGATGTACGGTAGTAACTGTAGCACGGAGTACGGAGTATGTAGAGGTGGATGGTTCTTCAGGCTGGGATGTACTTAGCCAACCAGCCTAACCAGCCTAACGAGCCCTCCATTTCGGTGAATGGATGCTGGGGCCAAGATCGGCTGCTCAGCCTGTTCCCATTTCATTCCATGCCATGGCCCACGGAGTGATCTCAATACGAACCACAAACCCATGGGGGCCATGAGTCGAATTGACTCATGCAGAACGAGGCATGGATTCTACAAAGTTCGGTTCAAATTTTGCAAGTCTGAAATGACAGTTCAGATTAACCGGTGTATGCCTTGGTACAAGCCTCGAAATGAATTGTGGCTGTCAAGAGCAAAAAGACATTGTGGGTGATGACACGATGTGAATTCAAGCCCAATCAGAGCTGCAACTCTCCACGTAGGGTTAACCATGTGCAGTGTGTAATAAAAATCCAAAGAATGCGGTACCTGATTTGTGACGAAGGCCCGCTAGGGGAGAATCAGGTAATTAAACCAATGCAAGCCGGGGTCCAGCCAGTCAGGCCAGGTACCATTTTACCTTGGGAATTGTTGTTTGGTTTTCGTCAATGCCTGTGATGCAGAGTGACTGCCTACCCCCATGCTCCTCCTATGCCCCTCTGCATTCATCCACTCACCCCTCATAACCCCTTGTAGGCTTTAAACCAAATAGGTGGGAAACTCTCCCATGCTGCGTGTCATCTGGCCGATCGCCAAGCTTGTCCATTCCTAGACGAGGAACCGGAGAAGATATCATCCAATTGCCATGTGGTGGACAATGGTCAAGTGTTGGCCAGAAATAATTCACCACCAGCGACGGTAACCAAATGATGAAACTGTTGGGAAGAAGAAGGAGTTGGCCGATTCTAATGATAGGTACCTAAGGTACTTTTGGGTGGTAAAAGACACAAGGTATACGTACCTTAGGTATGGATGTATTGACCAAGTAATGGATCGTCATGTCATGGGCGGTAGAAGCCGTGGTCAGGTGCTGTGGCCTTGCCCACCTGCACGCAGGGCATGGCATGGCGCCATATTCGTAGGCATCCGGGGAGGCTTAAATCCCAAAGCCCAAGAGAAGCCTATTGTTGCCTTCTCGTATGACGCTTTTAACTCTGTAATGCGAACTCAAAAGGTCACAGGTTTGTTTCGCTTGGGTTATGCCTACAGAACGGATCCCATCTGCCCAATTTTGGATTCATCTAAGGAATTCCAACCCTAGTGACCTTTTCCTTCTTGGGTTCAGGCTTCAGCTAAGGACGGCGAGGCTGATGTTTGCCTGCTGACCATACCATACCACGATCCACCCGTTTCTGTCCTGTCTTGTCTTGTCTTTCGTCCACTCCCACGTCACATCTGGTCTAAGTTCACCTCTCGTCAATCCTCCATTCCAGGCGCTCTCTAGCCGACAGTTAATTCCTGCGTCCAGCCACAGTACAAAGGGTCCGCAAAAGACATCGGGCGTCGTCCTAGATTGGTGCCTGAGGCCGTCCATTTGCTCGTGGCCAATGAATCGCTACCTAGTATTTACTATCTCTGCGTCGGCGCATCATGGGCCACACTTTTGAGCCCCGCCCCGACAATCCCACCATCCTAGTCATCCGTCGGGTCAACGACAAGTCAGTCAGGGTTTTGGTCTGCTTGCTCAACTTTCGTCCATTGTTCGCTATCCCCCGGCCAGGGTTTCGCAGACTCTGAATGCCTAGTCATCGCGTCACTGCCCTGGTCACCTCTGACTTCTCGTCTTGGTCGCGCGGATGTCGTCAGGTCCAGACAGGCCTCTGGGTCCAGCGACTCACCCACTTCGCCCACTCGAACCTTGATCGATATCTCGGTCCCTCACCTTGCCTCGTCTTGCCTCCTGCCTCGTCTTCGCCCACCTCGCCACCTTTCCCGCTGGTGTTTCGCCAAAAGTCCCATTCTCTTTCGTACCAGATCATCTCTTCGTGCTCGTCTCCCGAGACAATGACGTGTTGTTCCTGGCATTGTCAATCCCGCGGTTGTCCTGGTCCACAGTGCATGCATCTTGCCGCAATCCGTCCACAGGCCCCCTCAACGTTGAAACGCCATGACTCCAAAGCCCCATGGAATAGTGATTTTGTCTCCTGGCAAATTCAAACCCAGCCATGATTGAATCCGCCTACTCTTAGGCACAAGAGCCCAAGGTCCAGTCAAAAGTCTCCCGAAATCGACTTTAACTCCAGCATGTATCCTTTGATTCCTTTGATTCCTTCAGAGGATGGATACTTTTGTCCCTGTGCCTGCTCCCTCTCGACCTCTCCGTCCACTCACCCGTCAGAATCGAGAAGAGTCATAATCGTGCCTAGAAGACGGGGCATCCGCCTGCCCATGTGCCTCATCAGGCATTGCCACCACGCCTGATTTGTGGATATCCTCAATATCTGATGCTCGTCTGCCCATCTCATTCGCCTTGCTGGTTGGTGCCTTCGATCTCGCCGTCTGCGAAATGGATTAATCTGCACCGCTTGTCGCTGTGATTTCAGTCATTCTCAATTCCATTGGCTTGAGGCTGCGGTCTTCTTGCTCGCCAAATCCCTCATGCTTTTGTTTCACCGGCAACCCGCGCTGCGGTCCTGTGTGTCATTCCTTTGATGTCTTCATGGTTGAAACACATATATTGATGGTCGTTGCCTTCAATCTCAGTCTCATATCATTCACCAACCACCACCACCTGAACACAACAAGGCAACAAGACAACATCATCGTTAAACCTTCTCATCATCACCACTCTGCCTTAACAGGTCATCCGTCCTGAACAACCTCCACCAGAGAGAGCGAGCCTTGAAGCATCAACTCATCTCCGTGTTCAACGAACAACATATTCACTTACCGACATTGTAGACTCGTTCAGAGCTACAACTCAACCTCAACAGTAAACATCTCTTCCCGAGCTCATATCTCACAACTCTCGCCGTTGTCACAATCCAAATCACACACGAGATATTGCAGCGAAGTCATGTCCTCTTACGCAAAGCCTCCTCGCCCATCGCCGCCCCCAGACCCACCTTACCAGGGACCATACCGTCGCCTCGGCGGTGGGGCCAGGTCACCACGAATGTCATAGTCTTGTCCATGAGTCGATCCACGAGAGCAATTCTCACCAAAGACTTGTTGGGCGTTTCAAAGTTCAACTCCGCTGCCTGAGGCATCACGTTGGTACCAAAAGATACCGACGCCTTCACTGATGCCTCTCACCGTTTGCCCGATTCTGAGTATCGTTCTTGCTGGCTTCTCGATGGCAAGAACCGCCCATGAATCGGCCCAGCCACATCGTTAGGCGATCAAGGGCCCATAGGAGGCCCCATCATGAGTCATGAGGGATGTCGACAACCATCCATATACCGCCATCACTGTTGTACCACCACTCCTTGAAGAGTCTCAACTCTTCAAGTATTCGAGAGACCATGCTTTCCAGAGATTGTCTTTAGTCTTCATGGTTTGGAATTTCCCACGGCGTCAGGCGTTGGTTCAACATCAGTCACATCAACACGCAAGCATAGCGAAGAGCAAATACTAGCACCAGCACCAGCACCAGCACGAATGTCATTACCACCTTCCGGCGCCAGGTACAATCACCGACACCAGCACCAGCACCAGTACCAGCACCACATGGGTGTCGTCAATTTTTTGTTTTTATGTGCTCTGTCCCTTTTCATCACCAGCAAGGCAAACGAGGGGATAGGTATCAGCCCCATAGTTGTAGAATGTATTCACACCCCTCTCGATAGACAAGGCGTCTGTAAAGCGTCGATTCTTTTCCCCCCATTTTCTAAATGTTTAATAATTTTGAGATCAAGTGGACGGCCGGAGAGTAGGACGAGGGAATAAACCTCTGGAGAGGAAAAGAAGGAGCCGGTTGGGAGCCGGTTCGCATTTCATACCCACGACTCCCAGCGTCGTAGCATTAGCGGTGCATCCAGTAAATATGTATGCGCAGCTGACCAAGATTTGGTTCTGGACACGATTTATCTTCTGGACGCCCATTTAATGTCACTGGCACAACTGGTTTGCTTGGGTTTGATTGGATTCGGATCCGAAATCAGGACAGGTCAAGGCGGTGTTCATTGCCGTGTGATTGGTAGTGTGGTGGGGTTGTCAGGATTCTTGGTCATACTATTAATCTGACATTGCTTTCGAGACGAGACGGAGCGGGATAATGCAGTGGTGCCTTTTTTCTTTCTCCCTTTGTGCACTGTCTGTGTGCGTATTGGTGTTTGCGTGTGCTGGGCGAGTTGAGGATGCAGCTGGGGGACGTCGGTCATTCGATCCAGTGCAACTTGACCCCTCTTCTTGCTCTCCTATTTCCCCTTCCTCTCTTCCTCTCATCCCACTTTCCACCACTGGTGCCCTGTTCCTTTGCATCTTCTGCGCCCCAAAACATCGACCATTGGGCTCAAACAGAAACGGGATCCTTGTTGAGGAAAACCACTCACCTACATAGTAGTAGTACTATCTCATGGGTTCAATGTCATGAGTGATGATTGAATGTTTAGAGACTCTTTGCTCTGACCGTCCATGGGTTGTTACGATATGATGAAGCAGACTTGCAGGAAGATTGAGGTTTAAGTGTTTCAGTTCTTCCCTTGCGCTTAATTAACATCCCAGATACAGGGGAAATTAAAGTCTTGTCGCTGCGGAGCTTCTTCTCCCTTAGCTCCGAGGATCCGTGCCAGATCTGGTAGATGCATGCTATCTATCGATTACAAAAACACCGAGTTTCACGCAGTCAAATCCATGTCTCTACCTGACATGTGAATGAGTGGAGGTGAAATGATGTAACTTGTGAGATTGCTGTCCTCAATTCACCTGGACCAATCATGGAGGTGACGGGTACGGTACGGCCGGCCAGCGTCAATCATGTCCCCAGTGATCAAGTTGCACATGTTGTTCGACTGCAGGTGTATAGACACACGAACGACTAACGATGGCTTACAGGTGTGACTCACAGAAAGAAAGGTAGAGAAAAGGTGGTGGGGTGAAAAGACGCGTCAGTTGCTGGTTCCTTAAGAAGGAGCGAGGGAGAAACAGCCGCCTCCTGCAGCATACATGGCATGTTGGATTTAGTACTCCTCGTGCTTTCCTGTTCTTCCTGCCACGTGCCTGCCTGCCTGATTATTATTATTATTGATACCCCTCCTTCCTTTCCTGCCTTCTTCACGTGGTGATGGTGGGCACGAGGCTCACTCACTCTTGCTGCCCAACATGTCTGCCTGAGCCATCCACACACAAATACCTGGCAACTGCCTCTATTATTAGAGGAGTGCATCACCGCTAGTTACTAATTAGTAAACTTGTTCAACCCACCTCATCACGTGAGTCCCCGTCCTTATTCCGCATACACAGAAAGCGATTTTTCAGAAATAGCCTTCATTGCAAGCCTCGTTAGTCGGACGTAACGTAGCATAGATTCGTGGTCAGCTTCCGGGGGTGACTTGACTGGATCATAAGGTACTCGAGGCTGAAGATGCGGTCCGTAGGCCATGTAGTTGTGACTGGAATCGAATAGTTCCGGATACTTTTCGAAGAAGGACGGAATCATATTGAATTCCAACATTCGTTCACCCACATTGATGAGCTTCTTAAATGCGCGAAGGGCAAAGCTTCTCGATTCGAACAGGACTTTGGCACTGGGTGCGGGAAGGTCACAGGCCCGCTCTTCGTCACAAGGCATGTCCTGGAGAGGATCAACCCAGGGAACCTCGTCGTCGTCGCCGCCAGATAACGCCTGAACGGCGGTATCATCCAACAAGCCGTCCTCATTAATCACTCTTTTCGGTGGCGTGGGTGGTGCCATTGCTATCACTAAGTCCCAGACTCTCAGATATCCAATCACAGGCTCGATTCCAGCAACGAACTCGGAAAGGTCCACTTGCACACAAAATCCGCAGCCGACGTCGACTACGACCTGATCGAGTCGCGGGTTCGTGGAATGATACAGGATCAATCTGTCGCGCATCGACGGCCACGGCATCCAATCAATAATACATGGGTAAGATACGGACATTTGAATCCTGGTGGGGCGGTAGTTTTCCACTATGCGAAGGTAATTTTGGGCGGTCGGGTCAATGCGATAGTTTAATATCGGGCCCACAGCACGATATGCTTGTGTAAAGGTGAAGAATGCGATGCCGTGCTCCCAGGCCATGTTCACGAACATGGAAAACATAAAGTTCGCTGTTTTCCTCAACCTACGCATCCATCAGCAACCTCCTTCGTACAATGAACAAGAGGTGAGAATCTGTCAGCATTACCTGAGGACTTGGAGTCTTCCTCTGACTTCTGGTTTCACCAGTTCATTCTTAAATGAATACTCTACCGCAGATAGATGATCGGAAAAGGGGGAATTCGTCCGGCAGAGGGAGCCGACAGGTCCTCGTAATAAAACGGGTCCTGAGTCCATGATTTTGGCATAGGCCTCGAAACCCATGTAGTCCAGTTGACATAACTGTGGCTGGGACCAGGGCGATGAAATTTGGGTGCTTGTTTTTGCCAAAGCCAGATGATTTTGCTGAACGCTCGTGGCTTGGGTAGATTCGATGATCGCAATGGGCGCAGGATGCTCTGGTGCGTGTCTTGAAGAGGCCCTGCATGTAGCTCGAGCTTGTTCTCTGTTCATTTCAGACTGTGTCCCGTCATTTCAAAGCTTCTGCACTGAAGATGAGTGGAATTACCGGTGTGGACCACAGGAAATCGGCCGTGTCCTGGGATAAGTTGTGCATCTTTAGAGACAGGCTCTGGATTTTCTGTTGGCACTGTAATAACTTATTTCGGAGCTCCTGGTTTTCAGCCTTGAGATTAAACAGCTCTTGAGAGCCAGTCACTGAAGTGCTGTCGAGCATTCTCTCAAGTTGCTTGATCCGATGACTTTGTCTAGCTCGATAAGCCCTTTGCGATAGCCTATTTCGCAGTGCCTTGGTATCGCCTCGTATCTGACTTTCGCGCCCCAGGTTTCCATCCATGTTGAGGGCACGGTGATTGAGGTCTCGGCTTCAAGGCGTGGGGCTTTTTAGGGTGAAGGGGAAGAGATGAGAGGGAGATTTAGATGACAAAGTTGCATATCTCTGGGGTTATGAAGTTGATGAAATAAAACCCCCAGGATTGGTTCGAATTGACCGCCCAGTCGCCCACTTCTAGATTCCCCAGATCCCCGCAACCAAAGACTTCGGGCTCGTCTGGGACCGAGGGGCCCATGCAAGATATAGAGTTTAGCCGTTGCTGGAACCCCAATGTGGCGTTTAGAGCCTAATTAAGAAAGTCAACTACTAGAATCCTTCTATGCCCAACATCGTAGGTATTCCTAAAATTGTTCGATCCTAAAAGCTCACTAAAGTCGAGAAGATGGATAGATGCTCCGCCTGACAACGATACAGCGGAGATTTTGCCATCGACTCGAACGTTTATGTGGCTACTTTTATGAAAAACTACGCCTGAATACAATGCCACGAGGACGGCCCACGACGGTGCTAAATCCGAGGCCTCCTAACGGGGGATCATCTTAAAGTATCCATGGAGAGCTCGACTCACAACGCAATATAGCTCCCCTTTGTGGCCTAATTGCCAATAACCCATCCTGATGAGGAGACCATCTACACAATGCTGACTTGAGATTAGTTACGTGATGCAACACCATTGGGATGCTCGTCACAAAACGTCTGTCCCCAGATTTGTTCCCTCCAGTGCAGCGTAAACACTCTTTTCCTCCTTCGCGTCAACTCAAATTTCTCTGTCGGGCTTCTGGATTCCATAGCCAATCAGTCTGATGACAGAAAGTCTTTGTTTGGGACGGAGGCGCAAGCTAAGGCCCCCGAGGCCATGTTTCAGTGGCTTTTGCGGAGCGTTGGTTTGGTGTGCGATGGCCCGTACAGCGCATGGTAGCCGAGCACTGCGAACGCGCCCATGGCCAGAACACCAAAAAAGTAGGCCGGGCCGAGTGCGAGAATGCTGAAAATATTGGACGGGCCCAGTCGACTGGTTCCAAAAGCCAGTCCGCGGTTTGGCGAGATGTTGCCAAAGAAATAGAACCCCACATTGGACCAACCATCCATCATGACAATCCACCCCAGTTTCTCTGCGAGACCATCTGGAAGTTCGAGGTGTGGAATGGCAAGGCCAGTGCCCATGACCATGAGAGCGTTTGCAACCGGGCCAGTGTGGCACCTCACCCAGCCCTGCTCGCTTCCAGGCAGAGAAAATTTGACAATGAAGCCTGGTATGATCTCGAACCCGCCAAGAATGAAACACCAGAGTCCCAGGCCTCCAACCAGGCTTGACAACAGCATCCAGGCGCCGTGGCCTAACAAGGTCCGTCTGAGTGTCTGTTGGGCTGACGAAACGTCCATGGACATAATTTAAATGCTGGACGGGAAATACAAATACTTTGCAACGAGGGCTGTGAGTGTTCTCGCAGAAAGGTGAGAGCAGAGTGAGGTTCTCGAAAACATTTCTCTGCCTCTCCCGGCACAAATATATAACCAAAATACCTAAACCAACTGCTTTCTGACTGACAGACGCTGTCCAAGTCTTGGGAACATTTCCGCGCTGCGGAACAAGGTTCAAAGGCACTTTAGCCAGCCATTTCCCCAGATTCTCTCCTCCATGGGCTCCATGAAACTTCACAACCCCGCAGATCAGCTGTAGTAATCGTTTTGTTACTAAAGTGGGGCCAAGTGCCATTTTAGGCGATTTATGGTTCTATTGGTTGGTTTCTCTGAGGCTGGAGAGGCACAGAGGCTAAAGGCTCAGTGTTGTCCTAAAAGGGCTTGACTTTCGATGCCTATGTTCAAATTGGACCGATCACATTGGCGTCGGCTATATTGATATGGCTCACAGTATTGCGATTGCCAGAGCAAACCACGGGAATGATTCCTTGATTCCGCACATTGTAGCCTTCTGGGAGCTCCTGTGGTGCGGAACAGCATCCATCAAGCATGAAGCATTGATTCTCTTGGAGACTTCTGAAGGAGAATATCCTCGAGGCTGTCCAAGTTGTCTGGTCGCGATGGTGGTATAAATTGACACTCAAGAATCTTGTGAAGATAAAGAAGACCTCGGAGTCTCAACCGTGTTCATTGATTACAACCACAAAATCATGAGTCCAAGCTTCGCAACACAGGAGCCTCCTGTCATCAACGGTATGAACGAGACGAACGGTGCGAATGGTCCCGCGCCTCACTGCCTTCCGACTCCCCTTGAATGGGTGCACAATCAGTATGGCACTGCCAGTGATCATATGTTGCATCCGGCAAATTGGACTGCCATATATGAAGCACCGCTCTATACGCCTCGGAAAATGCGCGTCATCATTATTGGAGCAGGGTTTTCAGGGTTGATGGTTGCTCACAAGGTAGGCCCATGGCCCTCACTGCGAAATGTCGGCACATCCGGCAATGTTAAACACCGCACAATATAGATACAACATGACTACAAGATGGAAGATTACTGCGAGCATGTCATCTACGAGAAAAATCCCGTAGTGGGCGGAACCTGGTATGAGAACCAATATCCGGGGGTCGCTTGCGATGTACCCGCACACATCTACGCTTTTACATGGGCCCCAAATCCAAGTGAGTCTTAATGACCCATTGTCATGCCCACGCTAACATTGCTGTCAACCCTAGCCTGGTCTGAGTACTACGCAAAGGGGCCCGAGATCCGTCGATACATACAAAATGTGGCCAAAGAATATAACCTGGAGAAGAATATTGTGTTCAATGCCAAAGTGCTGAATGCCGCCTGGATTGAAGAGGAGGGAAAGTGGGACGTTGAAGTCAATGTGAACGGCCAAGTCAAACGTGACAAAGCCGACGTCGTTATCAATGCCAGTGGCATTTTAAAGTAAGAAATTTTCTGATACACAACAACAAGCTCTCGACGGCTAACAAATGTGGCAAGTGACTGGCAGTGGCCAAATCTCCCGGGGTTGGAACAGTTCAAGGGTCATCTGTGCCACTCGGCTAATTGGGACCATGATTACGACTACAAGGATAAGACCGTGGCCGTCATAGGGAATGGCTCCTCTGCCATTCAGATTGTGCCTTGCATACAGCCGGATGTTAAACACATGACGGCCTTCATCCGCTCATCCACCTGGATCAGCCCTAATTTTGCGGCCGAGCATACCAAGGATGGTGGGAATTTCAAGTACTCGGCTGAAGAATTGCACGAGTTGAAAGACCCAGACAAGCTTTTGGCATATCGCAAGAAGATCGAGCACGGCTTCAACAAGCTCTACCGCGGCCTGCAGTACGGAACCCCGGAACACGAATTCTTCCAGGGTCAATCCCGACAAATCATGCTCGACAGATTGAATGGCAACCGAGAAATGCAAGATGCACTGATCCCATCGTGGGCGTTTGGATGTCGTCGTCTGAGCCCCGGCGACGGCTACCTAGAGGCGTTGCAAAAGCCAAACGTAACGGCCATCTTCAATGCAGCCACCAAAATCACCGCCGACGGGGTCGTCGACTCAAACGGAGTCGAACACAAAGTCGACGCCATCATCTGTGCCACGGGATTCAACACCTCATGGGTGAAAAGCTGGCCGATCAAAGGTAGGAATGGAACCTTGCTGAGCGAACAGTGGGGAGTGGACCCGCAATCGTACTTGAGCGTGTGTGCCAAAAACTTCCCAAATCTCTTCTTCGTCCTGGGTCCCAATTCCCGTAAGTTCGGACTCCTCCCCCCCTTTCGGCGCCATGCTCATGCTAATGCTAATGCTCCATTAACAGCGGTCGGTAATGGCAGTTTGATACCCCAAATGGAGTGGGCGGGCATGTACGCCGTCAACTGGGTGCGCAAAATGGCCCACGAACAAATCCACAGCGTAGATCCAAAGCAAGAGGCCATTGACGATTTCAACGTCTATACGCAGGAGTTCCTCAAACGCACCGTCTACACCAGTCACTGCCGCTCGTGGTACAAGAACAACAAGATTGATGGGCCCGTCACCGCCATGTGGGCCGGATCTCCTATGCATTTCAAGGAGATGATGAGTGTTCAGCGCGGGGAAGATTTCGACATCAAGTATTGTTCGTCCAACCGTTTCCGGTTCTTTGGAAATGGAACCGCCGAAAGAGATGCAAAGGACATGGATCTGAGTTACTATTTGAGAAAGGACGGCTGGAACCGGGAGCAGACAAAGTCCGCATGACCACCCTCAAATCTCTTCAACAGTTGTTAGCAAGATACTATTCAACTTGCTATACGTGCCTTGGCACTATTGGTATACGTCATATTTGCGTATGAATATTCTGCCGATCAGTATTCGTGTCATCATGGCCCATTCACTTCGGCTACATTTGCCCAAACTTTCCAGCATAGTCTCGCAACGTTCAGTGCCCGGAACCCGTCAAGGACGAAGCCGTGGTTTGTGGCTGCTCCGCCGAGATCTAGATCACTTGGACGGTGTTGGACTGAAAACAGCTTCCGATCAGCCTGGGAACATCTTCGTTGTTGTTGGTTCTTGCTGAGTAGGAGTGACACCAAATCTAGATTGGGCGGCATGCACATACCGTATTCGTCTTGGACTTTCCGAATCTCCTGGACCAACTTGAACTCTCGAGCGTGAATTTCTGCCGCTGATGCCCCCTCAAGGCTATGCATCGATGATGATGAGGGTGAGGCCGACACTGGTGTGTTACCTGTCGCTTCCGTCGTAGGCCCACGGCTCAACGTGTACCGATGGAATGATATCCACAAATCCACCACATCCTGTTCCATCTTCAGGACCTTCTGCTTTGCCATTTCAAGGTCGAAACTGAGGTTACTCTCTTCGTCTGGGACGTCAGCGAGCAACAACACGGTTGCCTGCTGTTCGCCCACAAACATCATCAGGACAAATAAGAGGCACATGACAATGTCGGTCTCGGCCACACCAAAGCTTGCGCTGGAGGCCATTTTGAATAACTGGTTGTGAAGTGCCTCGGTCACAAGCTTTGCACATGCAATGGCCATGGGGAGGATCAGCCCCTTGAGAAACCGGTTGATCTTGTCGGGAATCGCATCCAAATTCTTCTGCGCCTCGGTCCGTTTGAAGTGCATTGACTCCTCCAGAATGGCAGCGTCCGCGCGGTCCACCATAAATTTATTGACCAGCAGACTAACAAGCCAAATGAGACACAGTGCTTGTCTGATGATGCCATGTTCGGGGATATCTTTCCGGTAGTATTTGTAGATCCATCCGAGTATGTCGCATTGGAAGTCTTCTGTAACTTCATCTCGGTACCATTTCATCGTCCAGGTCACCCACGTATCCTCGCTCACTAGTTCTTCGGCGAAGCACTGGAGGAGTGCCTGTCTAGTTCTTTCCATGACCTCTTTAAGCTTACCCAGTGGTACCAACATGATGATGGGGGGATCCCAAACATCAAGCCGCTGGTATGTCTTGTTTCCATTTGCATCTCGTACCATGCGGTGAGCACTACGGGTTGGTGGACCCAAGGGATGGAACTCCCTGACTTTGACGGTAATTTTCTTATTGATGTAAAGGTTCAGCCGCACCTGAAGGATCGGCGAAGGTAGAACTTGAAACGTGGACTCGGTGATTTCGGTGAATACCCTTTTTGTCTGGAGATGCCCCGTTAACTCTTCTGTGTAAGTTGGTTAGCTGCAATTGCTCCTTTAGCTGGGTGTGGCAACCGTACCAGGGAAATAATGGAGCAGGCGGTCTTCCCAAGAGAACGTCTTACGTATACAGTGCTGTGGGAACTTTCGCCGATCTTTGCTATTACAGGAGTTGCAGGGTATCCCCAGATCGCACTTGAGCCTTCTGTTAGAGCCAACATGGAAGATCAGACCTGAATAGACACTGTACCTTTTCTCTAGTGACCATACAACGGAGACAAGCTCGAACACGTCGTACATCACCCGCCTGTTGTTTCTGTTCCGGGGATAATGGTCCTCTCCGGCCTCCAATCCTCTCTCGTCCTGACGGACCGCCCAAAGTGTTAGAGACATCATGCATCGTTACATCCATTGTCGAAACACTTATGTTGAGCGGTCTGATAGGGTCCCATGGTGGTGCGTTATGGACGTTTGCTTGGAAATGCGTGGTGTGTGTATGGGGAGGCACAATGAACCTGGGTCTAGGTTGTGTGGGAAAGCTATTGGCAATGTTTTCGGGGTCTCGATTGTCGATTCCTGTAATTTCATACTCTATCTGATGGTCAGATGTGATTTCGACGTCATTTTAACATCTCATAGACTCACCTGTCATCGAAGAAGGGTGCATATGTTCGAAAGTCCGAACAGCTGGTCCGATCTGTTGGCCATGGTCGTAATCATGGAGAGACGCTGTTGAGCCGCTCGGTGTATTGACGACAGGAGATATCGTCCGTCCATTTTCGTGGTTTAGCCCGTTTTCTGCTGTTGCCGTCTGCGCAAGGCTCACGTTGTGACCCGTCAACACATCCAAGGAATCCGCATTGCTAGCATCGGCGACCGCCGGTGTCGGCCAGGCATTAAACGGTACAAACGCCCGATGCTCGGCTGAAGGACCCCAGGTATGTTGCTGTGGTGGTTGAGCGAATGCTGACTGAGTGATGTGATTCGGTTGAAGATGATCGACACCGCCCTGAAGAGGGATATTCGGGCGGAGCGAGCGAGCACGTCGATTGCTTTGGCTGTAGCCGCTTTCTCGCCGTTTCCTCCCCATAGTTGAGGCTGAAGCCTGGTTGTGCCTTCGATGCCAGAGGCCGCTAATCAAACTGAAAGCTACTCGATGCCTACCAGACACCAACTAGCTAGTTGACAGGCAGAAATGGGACCACAAGGCATCTTGGAAGGCTGAGACGCGGAAAGTGGACATGAAGGATGGAGGAAATGGTCAGCCCGACTTTCGAAACGGGGGACTAAGAGGATGAAGAGAAAGATGCCTGGCGCGTGGTCTGCTGAGATGCTCGTCAAGATTGGCCTGTCACAAGCGGCCTCGCGAAGTTCAAGTCAAACTCGATCGGCCATGGGGCTTTCATGCAGTGGTCCCCAGACCCTTGCATCAGTGCAGACCAGGGGCTGCTGAGAGAAACGATTGGACAGGCCCCATGGCGGTGTTGATATTACATCTGCAACAGAGAAGGAGATCTAGCCAAAAGACTCGCAAAGGACTCTCTACAAGGCATGTTGAGAACTCGCGGGCTGAGCCGGTCCACCTCCACCTTCTACCTCTATCATGTACTCCGTATGGCGGCAGAGAAATTCTGACCAACGATAAAGCGTAAATTCCTGGATTGCGGGGCCAGAATTTTCTTGGCCGGTTTCAAACCGGTGATTTCATTGGTAGATATCTTAGTATGAGCCGGGGTGTTCATCACTCGTCATATCAAAAAGTCATGGGTTCACTCACAGCGGTTTTATAATGCCACAAACGCGTAGGATAGCAAGGTATAAGCGGTCTTGGAATGGACCCGATTCGGGACAGCCCACGCTACTGCGCTGGGAAAGCCCCCTTCTAGCGGAATGTAAGGACATGGCAATGCTGACAATGCTGATCCTCGGAAAAGCCTCTCGTGTCTCAACCTCATATCTCGCCTGATGCGGCTCAAGAGCCTGATGGGGGACACGATATCTCAGAAAAAGCATGTGCACAGCCATCTGTCATTTGTCATATCAAGTTTGACGTCCTTCAACGACGCGGCAAAGTGGTCACACTGCCCGGCGACCTTCCTCAAGTACGGACCGCAGGACGAGTCAATAGAGATCACAAACTCATATTTTGGCTGACTTGTACCCGACCTATCGCTATGCAGAATCATCAAAACTTCCGGGTATCGTATTCCCAGCGGAAACTGTGTCGATGCCCCTGAGATAACGCCGCGAGAGATATTGTGCCCAGCACAATGCCATGGTAACTTTCACCCATATTGATACCGCCATAACCGAATGTGCCCTTTGATGAGATACAGTTGGTCCCATGCTAGACTGTGTACTTGGCCTTTGCCCGAGTGCTGCCGGCGTGAGCTGCGTCAGTGTGACCGCTGAATTCGAGTTGTTCGCTGGCTGGAAGTTGCAAGATCTCTTTGAATCTCTGTCCAATCTTCAACAGGGTGTCTCGACCACTAGCTTTGCCTGTCGTACGAGTCCAAAGCCCAATACGATAGAACCCTTTCCTGACGTTGACGACAACTCCCATGATTTCATTATCACCCTCATCTTCCAAGGTCTCGCCGATAGCCGCCAGCTGGGTATGAAGCCAGAGTTCATCAATGTTGATCAGCTTCTTATCCTTGTATTGATACGACCATTTGCCACCGTGCTTGTTCTGAGGGTCTTCCCACTCAGGTCGGACCCCCTTCTTGAAGAGATGATAATCCGACTTGAGGCCTAGGTCAGAGCACGCGGTGATGTTATTCTGTAGCCATGTCATCAGTTCGGCACCCTTTGCACAAGAAAGACTCCACTTACGTAGACACCCCAAAACTCCTCCACCGAGTCGAAGGAAATAACTTCTTTGAGGAGGTCGTTCCAATTGTCGCCCTTCGAAGAGGGGGGCTTTGTGAACTATTGTAGTTGGCTTAGTCACAAATAGAGCCTCTTAAGACTTGTGACAACCTACCCATAAACTCCAGGTGTTCAACAAAGGATGCTTGACGTTAAAATTGTTTACGTCGTGGAATACTGTCTTGATCTCGTCCGAAGATGCAGGTGCGGCGTTTTCGTTGGAGACTGGTCCAGGGACAGGCTGGGGTAACTCGACTTCGGCCATCGTGAAAGAGTGTTGCGGGAATGGTAGGTCTTATAGCAGAAGGGTGAGGGAGGAATTGACTGAGCACGACAACTAATGGTCACAAGGCTTCAGGGAAATTGGTAGACTGTATGAACAGTCGAAGAGATGCGACTCGGTCGATGTGATTGATGTGACACGAGGCGTGTGCAGGGAAAAGAGATGAAGAGCGGTGATGTTGAGATCAAGATGTTGAATAAGGAATAATTTCAACCCGCATCGGAAGGAACAAGTCTGAATTTCATTGACTTCCTGCGCCAATGCCTAATCGGGACTAGTGGCTCTCCGACTTCCAAACTGTCGGCCAACGCAAACAAAAATCTAGACTGCTTCACGCATGTCGCGCAGAACTCATATTGACTAATAGCCGGACAACATGTGCATTTCAGCTTGTCTTCTGGCTCACACCTCTCCATCGGTTCCTGAATGCATATAACAACGAACGAAAGAACGTTCTCTAACAACACGATATCTTGACCCCTCGTAGCTTACTGTACAGATCCAGCCATGAACGAGATACATTCCCGCGGGACCAGCCCTCACTTGGAACTGTTCAAGTAACTCAGGAAACAATTCCACCCCAAACTGACAATGTTCACAACCAGAACCCGATGCTCCAGCGGCACGAGCTTGAAGTTAATGGCCTGGACGGCTGGCCAAAGCATCCAGTTGGCTTTGAGGCCTGGCAGGTAGCTCTTCTCGAGCTTTTGTTTGGGGTCACTACCTTCCATGATGGCCATGCTCGACAGGAAAACCCCGAGATTGACCGTCGCAAAAACTGTCTGATCTGCAGCAACACGAGCCAAGATCGTGGCGTTGGTCGATTGAAGATTGATCTTTCGCTGTAGAAATTGGTACCATTTGGTGGCTGCTGGACCAAAGATGCCTGCTCTCATCAGCCAGTGACAACAAATCCCAACTTCTAAACTTACAGCCTCCATACAAAGCCATTCTCCCTGTTCGGGCGACCTCATGATTCCGGAACCCCTTCTTCTCTACGGCCTGCTGTGCCAACGTGTCTCCCGCACCAAACAGGATCTTTTTAATGTCAATACAATGTTAAATGGTCTGCTTTGGTCTTCGCACATACCGCTGTAGTTACCGCTTGGGTTAAAAGTGGCCGTTGGGCAAGCTTTGCCTGATACCTTTAAGTTGGTGAGTCGTCGTATTCGCCCAATTAGGGAGGCTGAGAGAGCGCAACGTACCACCGTAGGACCATTTTCAACCTTTTTCAATGATAAGGAAACGCTATGCAGCACAATAAACAGATATTGAGTAGAGATTCTCCCCACGACTTGTGTTTAGGAAACGCCAAATTGCAAGTTATGAGTGTCCGGGGAAAGTCTTAAAAAATCCCACCGTCATCAGGGACTGTGGCCGTCGCTATCTCCAAATGCGTCATAACAGCATCCAGCAAGATAACACTTCACAGTAGCTACGTCGGATATACTTCCACTTCGCGGCATTGCCAAAAAGAGACTAGTTCTAGGGCAGAAATTATTGCCAAGAGTTTTCGAAAGTGCGCACGTCTGGGCGATTTGCTGGTACCACGAGACAGACAACCAATTCCGTAAATCGACACCCTCAGTCGCACCTTTGTCAACTCGCAAAATTTACGTCGACCAAGTCACCCAAACAAGACACAATCATGGCTGACGCACCCAGAGGACGTGGAGGTTTCGGAGACCGTGGTCGCGGCGACAGAGGTCGAGGAGATCGAAGAGGCCGACGTGGACCTCGCCGTGGAGGTGGAAAATCTGAAGAGAAGGAATGGCAACCAGTCACCAAGCTGGGACGTCTCGTCAAGGCTGGCAAGATCCAGAGCATGGAACAGATCTACCTGCACTCGCTCCCCATCAAGGAGTACCAAATTGTCGACTGGTTCCTGCCCAAGCTGAAGGATGAAGTGATGAAGGTGAGCAACACACCAGCAAAATGGTAGTGCCAGCCGGAATACGTGGGCTGACAAAATTATTAGATCAAACCCGTCCAGAAGCAAACCCGTGCCGGTCAGCGAACTCGATTCAAGGCCATCGTGGTCATCGGCGACAGCGAAGGTCACGTCGGACTCGGAATCAAGACCTCCAAGGAAGTCGCAACTGCCATCCGTGCCGCCATCATCATTGCCAAACTCTCCGTCCTCCCTATCCGCCGTGGTTACTGGGGTACCAACTTGGGTGAGCCTCACTCTCTTCCCACCAAGGAGTCTGGAAAGTGTGGTTCCGTCACTGTCCGCCTCATCCCCGCTCCTCGAGGAACTGGTCTCGTCGCATCCCCCGCCGTCAAGAGACTTTTGCAGTTGGCTGGTGTCCAGGACGCCTACACTTCGTCCGCAGGCAGCACCAAGACGTTGGAGAACACACTTAAGGCTACATTCGTCGCTGTCAGCAACTCATATGGTTTCTTGACACCCAACCTGTGGAAAGAGACCAAGCTTATTCGCAGCCCTCTGGAGGAGTTCAGTGATGTCCTGCGAGAAGGAAAGAAGTACTAGAATGTCCTTGAGATTTCCAGGCTATGGGTAGTTGATTGCATTTCTCAGCGAAGAAGGAGAGCCCGTTCATGGCGCACGATGCAGAAAAGTGTCTAGCCGTGAGAAAATACCATGAATGAATTGGTGAACGATTACTGCTTTCTTACACGTGAACCAGTTCTTTTCGCTGTAAATAAAGTGGGTGTCGCCATCTAAGTTGACCCCGTAATGTACATGCGTCAATAAAACAGCTCATAGGCTGGATGGCGACTCGCAGCAGTACTCAACTCCTCTAGGGTAATTGAACTTGGCCGAATGAAATAATGGCTGGATGCAGGTCTAGGTGACTACGCTCAGTCTTCCATGGCCATCTCTTCCATTGCCTTGACAGCATTTTCCAATTCTCTTATTCGAGGGCCGACTCTCGTCTGTACCTCCTTTGCCACTTCGGGGGCACTTTCTCGAATCGCCTTAGAGAAACCCTCCTGTAGAGACTTCAAAGCCTCCTGGGCCGCCTCTCGATCGTCTGCCGCATAGACTGTCTTCTTTTCCGTCTCTTCTGCGGCGATTTCAAATTCATCCTTGGCCGTCGCGTACAGCTCATTGAGATCTTCCATAACCTCATCGGCGGTCGGAGACTGGGCCCATTTCGCCGAAGACGTGTGAAATGCGGACAACTTGTGGGATTTGGGCGTGATACCGATGACTGAGCTCGTCTTATTTGGTCTGTGTTGTATTAAATACCCTCGGCGGACGATAGAAGATGAGGAGCGGAGAGATGAATTTGCCGTGGCTAGTCGTTTTGACGATCGGTGGATTGATCGGGGAATCATGGCGTCGGGATCTTGAAGAGAAGAGAAGCGCTGAAATACACTCGTCAATGGTGAGGAGGGATCAATAAACAACGCGAGCCAGGTATGCCTAAGAAGAAATGAATCTTGAAGCCGGCGTCTTTGGGAGAGACTGTTTGTCAAGATTTTGGGGCACCTGAGGAAGATGACGTTGCATGCCCTGGTGCTGGTTGGGGGTTAGAGCTTGACTAAGTTAGGATCAATCCGCCCAAAACTTAGGCATTTCAGGCACCTGAAGATCTCCTTCGATAGCCCGAGGCAAGCCCGGAGCGAGGAAGGGGGGTCGTTCTTGGCCCCTATCGGTCGCCTGCAGCTTATCTCCCACGATGCATTATTGAGGGGAGGCACGCCCCTGGCAAGGTGCAATCGATCCTCCCCTTGGCCCCCACCAAAATCCGGGGAATCGTTATCAGACATCCTTTCAGCATATCAATCTCATCAACACCATGAAGCGAGACTACTTTCGTCTACATGACTGTGACCTAAAATCCCCATTATGCACAGATGGAGATTCACTGCTGGTCCCCTTGGACAATTCCAGCGTCAGTAACGATTAAAGTGCCAAAGCTTCAGGCTGGCCCCTCTGATGAGCCACAATGACGTCCTGTGCTTGGTGTCTCGAACAACCTGGATACTCTTCCCGATCCCGTACCAATCACTTCACTGACGCATAGGAGCTCGAGACTTTCAGAAACACATGCGTCATCGGGAATAATAATGGCGTTTGTCATGCCTCAGCTTAAGATTTCCGAGATATTCTTACCAGAAGGTTTCCTGTAGTTGCATTTTTGTTTTCTTCTCACACTTATTCCTCGTTTCATTACCACTCACAATATCCTACACAGCTCTCACAGCACTTCATCATTAGCCTCTATTTAAACCAGGGGTCATTCACTTGTCGACATGATCGCAAACACACCTCGCGTTGCCCTCCGCTCAGCTCGAGCCATCAGAGCTCGCCCGACACCCCGAGTTCGCCAGCCCCGAAATGTACGCTTCCAGTCGAGTACTGGCCCCTCCAGTGGTCAAGCCTCTTCGGCTGGCTCAAGTAGTGCTCTCATCGGGGGTATCGCAGGAGGCACTGTCGCGATCCTCGGTGGCTACCTCTGGTACTCTATCTCTGGTGCCAAGTCAGTCGTCAATAGCGTACATTCGGCCAAATCCTATGTCGATGGAGCTTTCAAGAAGACCACAGAAGCTGCCCCAGAGCCAAATCAGGCCGTCCAATGGCTCCGAGAGACCGTCACCAGCTATACGTGCTTGATTCCGGGCGCATCGACTTATGTGGACAAGGCGTTTGAGGACTTAGACAAGATCAGAGAAAAGCATGGAGACGAGGTGGATAAGACCATCAATGAAACCTACAATGAATTAAAAGGCGTCACCAAGAAAGGAGTCAGCTTGGATGCTCTTGCCGAGGGCTGGGATATCCTTCAGAAATGCCTGAAACGTCTGGGATCGCTCGCCGGTGACGCAGCGGAGGATATCCTTGACAACCACCCTCAGCTGAAGGAGAAAGTCGGCGGTCAGTTGTCCCAGTTGAAGCAAATGGGTGAACAATATGGACCAGAAGCAAAGAAGCAGGTCGACGAAACCTGGAGCCAAGTCCAGGATGTTCTGAAAGGAGGTTTCACTGCCGATACTGTGAACAAGATTCAAAAATTGATTCAAGAGAAGCGAGACCAGATCAAAAAGTACGGTGATCAAGCCTGGCAGAAAGGTCTCGAACAAGCCAAGCCCCTTCTCGAAAAGCAGCCGCAGCTGAAGGAGCTTGTGGAAAAGAACAAGGACAAACTTCTGCAAGGCGATCTAGGTCAACTTTGGCAGAAACTGCAGGATGCAGCCAAGTCAGGGAACACCGATGACATCCAGAAGTTCATCAAGGAACAGACCGGAAAGGTATCGAGCAAGAGCGGTAGCGGGATCGAGCAGCTTCTTGGGCTCATTCCTGGTGGCTCGGAGATTATGCCCAAATTGCAACAGCTGCAAGAGCTGAGTCAGAAGCATGGGGATGATGCTGAGAAACTGGTCAAGAGTGCGATTGACGACATCAAAAAAGTTTTGGCGTCCAAAGTGGAAGAGGGACAAAAGCTCAAAGACCGCGTTGAGAAGGATGCGAAGTCGTGAGATCACAACTGAACGTGTCGGCCGTTTCTAAAAACTGAGCAATGACATCAATCCTAGCATCAATACATTTAACGCTAATTACATGTGCAATAAACACCGAATATTTCTGATCGAATAGGTTGGGCGAGCGCAACGAGGCATGAAGCATTTCTGTAAATAATAAACAAAGTAATCTGACGTCACTCGGCGGAATTGCAGCGCGTCTCTGGTCGTGCTATCTTTCCTAAATTGTCATCAACTAGGGAGGCTTAGAAGCTCACCAATATTTCAAGATGAGTGGTTGAAGTCGTTCTAGTATTGCGAGGACATGATCATCGAAACATAGTGTCCGAAAACCAACTTCAGCATCTTTGATAAGAGCTCAAAGAGAAGGGATCTTCCCCAGGTCTTAGCTACACCAACCCCACCGCAGATCTACGGAATTGACAACCATGTCGACGTCAGGTACAAGTGAACCATCCGTAGCCGCCCCGGAACAGCGGCCCCGGCCTAGCACGGTGCAGGAGCACCTAGCTGGCTCGTCTGAGTCATGGCATGGCAAGGTTAGCAGCAAGACAGGACCGTATCAACCTCAAGCGGGGCGTTATCATCTGTATGTTGGCTTGTTCTGTCCGTTTGCGCACCGGGTCAACATCGTGAGACACCTCAAAGGGCTGACGGAGGCGATTGACGTGAGCATTGTCCGAGCGTATCCCAAAGGCGACGCTAAGGGTTGGCCTGGCTGGCGCTTTCCCAAGGACGAAGCCGAATATCCTGGCAGCACGGTGGACAAGGTCTTTCGCAGCGAGTATCTCCACCAAGTCTACTTCCGGGCGGATCCAGACTACAAAGGCAGATATAGCGTGCCGGTGCTTTGGGACATCGAAACGGGAACTATGGTCAACAATGAGAGCTTGGAATTGATGAGGGATCTGCAGACGTCCTTCGATGAGATTCTGCCGCCGTCCTACGCACAGGTGACCTTGTACCCGGAGGCCCTCAGGGATCGCATCGACCAGGTCGCTGCTTGGGTGCAGAGGGATCTGAATACAGGAGTATATAAGGCTGGCTTTGCCGAGAGCCAAGAGGCCTATGATCAGAACATCTTGCCCGTTTTCGCCGCCTTGAATCGGTTGGAGAAGATGATTCACGACAATGGCGGGCCGTATATCTTAGGCCAGGCATTGACTGAGGTCGATGTCATGGTCTACGCGACCGTGATCAGGTTCGATGTCGTCTATGTGCAGCATTTCAAGGTCAATCTAGGAACGATCAGGCATGATTATCCCCAGTTATACAACTGGCTCAAGAACCTCTTCTGGAACGTCAAGGGCTTCCGAGAGACAACGGATTTCAAACATATCAAGGAAAACTATACCAAAAGTCACGGCGATATCAACCCGAGGGCCATCACGCCTCGAGGTCCCTGGCCAGACATCGAGTCGGGCTACGAGAGCAACTTGAAACAAGTCAGGATTGGGGGTGTCTTGATGCCAGAGGTGATTGAGCTGGAGGCGAGTTTAGCTTAGCGGTTATCTCTGCCTAAGTAGGCCGTCCTTTTGTGCTTTTAGCTCTCTGAGAAGACGCAATGGACAAGGACGCATGACCAATTTGGTAAGTGGTTCTAGGGCAAACCACCCAAGCCATACCAGGTCTGAATCTCCTAAGCAAATACCAATCTTGATCTTTGACCAGTGCTCTACTATCAGCAAGGCAAGCGAAATACAACCACAGTCTGGAATATCAATTTTTTAGGGCGGTGTCCATCGGAACAGAGTGAATGGTTCCGAGGAGGGCCTGAAGAGCGCTTATGTCAACCCGTGCTGCGTCTTCTGCAGGCTGCTTGAGGAGGGATGCATAGTGGAGTGCAGATCGGCGGTGAGGGCTTCTGGGAGCCCCTCTAGTGGACCTTGTCAGTGAGATCTTGGGTGATCTTCTGGTCTCTGTGCGGTGGTGTGCATAGTGCCTTTGGGCCAAGAAGGTCTCGGCCTCGACCAGCTCTCTACCATAGATGTCCTGTACGGAATCTGAATTGCTCACGCAAGGATCACCTCGAGTGTCCACTTGCCAGGTGGAGATCACTCAGTACGAGAACCGTAATTGTACGTAAGTACATTCTAGACATTCTTGTACAAGTGACTCCGAATACTGGCAAGACCGTCGCTTCTCATGGTGTCTGGGGGTGGTCCAGATTATTGGTGACCGTTTCATCGTGAAATCGCAGACCTTAGGAGGCATTCTGGTCAGGAACCACGATCTGCATGAAACCAAAAGATCAGCAAAGAATTGAACAGATGGCAACCAGGAGATGAAGTAATCAAGCGAACCAGTCGGAGGAATTCTGCACCCTCGGGCCTCCATTGGCGGTCCATTGTGAATATTGCGGTTGAACCAATGGAGAAGCGCGTTGAAAGTGCCCAGGGCTTTCAACATGGATTTCAGGGGTGGAGGACAAACGATAGGCTGGTTGTAGGATGCCTCAAGGGTACACACGCATCTGCTTAGAGAGTCCGTTGTCACTACTGGAAGTGCCAGTGATTGCCACCAGAGCCAACAGTTGCGTACAGAATGAGAGTGGCAACCTGGAATTAGAGCACCTTCCTTCCAAATCTGCGATTGATTGGAAAGTAGCAGTCGCTAACTCACGGACGCCTGCGACAGCCTGCGTCAATTTTCAACACCCATCTCGTTGAATTATGCACACACGACATCTCTGTAGGCTTGGTATCTCGATTGAGCGGAAGAAGACTCCATGATGATTATTCTTGTTGATTATCTCCAATCCCCTAACTCGTTCGACCCACCTTCCCAAGCGACGTATACGAGTAGGCTTAGCCACTCCGATGGCTAAGAAAGGGCCTAAGCACGGGGAAATTGCCGAGCTCGAGGACTCTGGCTGCGTGGTTCGAGTTTGACAGGTGGGAGGCTTCAGCTGGCAGGTGACCAATACAAACATTTACATGACATGAGGTGGATCACATCGGTAAACAGTCGACCACCCAAGCGACACGATCAGCAGGTGTCGAAGAAGCGTTTGGGACAGGACAGTGAAGCACCAAGCAAGCGAAGAGAGTCGCAATCAACTCAGACTTGAGGGGGGCACGGGGGACCTGTCTAACCAGTGGTACGCATACTTGTTGAGCATTGCGGATGGGTTCTCTAATTTGCCCTGACCTAGCCAAGTGTAGTTTAGCCACGGAAGGGCGGTTGGGGGGCATTCCTAGAGCGCATTGGCCTTTGGGACTTCATAACCCCATGCCTAATTCGTGCCTAGGCATACGGAGCAGTCCCTGGCATTCTCGAACCACACTAGTTGGATGCACAATGGCACACTCCCTCTCTGACAACTCTCCCGCTGTCAACACGCCCGTCACTTGTCTCCAGCTCTTCTTCAACAAGTAATCTGTTGATGGCAAACAAAAGTCCGGGAATGGCCTTTTGGATTCCTCTAAGGCTTCATGGCGCCAAAAGACACCGCCACATTCCAACAGCGTGGTCATGACAGACCACTATGTGGACTGCCCTGTTGTCGTGGGCTCGTCCATCCTTATCAAATCCTCAATTTCCCTCGTTCTAGTGGTCTCAAGCATGTTGTCGACCCTGGTCGATATCAGAACCTAAATGAGCTTAATTCACATTTCGATCGATGCCCTGGCCTAGCCTCCACCCACGCAATGTCCTCTTGCGGTTTGGTCCATCCACCAAAAACAGCCTCATCTCCTACCCCGGCCAAACCTGGGTCCATTGAGCAAGCATTTCAGGCTTCGCCAACGATTAAAAAATGTTTCGGCGCTTGTGATCTCTTGGTCCTTACCTCGCTATGTCTGCTTCATCTCGCCTGTGGTCCAGTCCTAAGGCACATCCTCCACTGCACTCCTATCGACATTATTGTTCTTCTATCCACCCTCCACCATTCTGATAAACTTCTCCATGCTCCTGAGATGCTAAACGCAGTACATGTCCACGTCGACCAGATCCTGAACCGCCGATCCTGTCTCAACACCGCTTTGTTGAGCTTGGGACCCTATTCCCATCTTTTATGAGACCGCAAGTCAGACCGAGGTGGAGGAGGCGTGGGAGATAGATTGGAGGACATAGATTCAACAGAACCGGAACCATGGACATACCTTCCAGGAATGCCAGCTTCCTCCCAGGCGTCAAATGCTCCAGCTGTGGCTGGGACATGCAACTCGGCGATGTTGCTGAACATCGATGCCAACCTCAAGCAGGCAACACTCCCCCAACGAAGCCCCCTTCCAACGTCTCTCCTATCGTGTCCCAAACAATCCCTCGCACCGCATCTTCCACGACACTGGGCCTCAAAAATGTCCGCCCACAAGATAGACCATTACTACCCAGGATAGACCCTTCAGTCGCATGTTGGTTCTGACCGTTCTTTTTTTGTCGATCAGCGCTGACCTTGACATAGTCCGACCGTCTTTTCCCGGGGAAGTCACCCCTGCCAGCAGCGGGCACAGTTCAATGGCTTCACCAGTGAGTGCCACTTCAGGGCCTCGGTCTCCATTCCCAACCTCTCGCAAACCATCGATCCCTGGCCCTCGAAGACCCCCGACACCAGAGCTTACAAATCTCGACTGTGCTTTCCCCCCATTCCCTATAGCCAGCAAAACCGGCACCACCAAAAGACGTGGCCGAGCCATGACGCAGCATAGCGACTCAAACCGATCCAAGTCAAGAGATCCGGCCAGAAATCTCCCACCGCGGACCGCTAGTAGAGCTATTCCGTTGACAAGAGCATATACTTCAGACAACCTGCCACAGGTCGGAGTTACTGCGGAAATGAGAGCCCAAGCATCAAAGGGCTCAAGCAGCATCCACGACTCTGTTGCTGTGGATGCTGACTCTCCTAGCCCTAGATCTGATCAGGCTGCCCCGGCTCACCAGGCCGGCCCCGTATCAACAGCTAAACGAGAACCCACAAAGTCTGTTGTCGGAAATGGAGGACTATCACTATTTCCTCATGTTCCAAGACCAGATCCAGGCTTGGAGTCATTTGACTTCTCTAGCAAATCCCCAACGGACGCAGCGGCTCCCACAAATGACTCAACGACAGGTTCGATAAACATGCCCTACTCGCAAACAGGCGGTGTGGAGCCTTCGTATAGATCAAAACGGCCTCCACCCCTTACCAGTGGTCAGCAAAACCCATCTGGGATTGCTTCACGATCGCCTGCCACCCCACTGACACCATCATCGAGTGTCTTATCCAGAAGTCTCGGAAAGTTATTTGGTCGACGTCGTTCACAATCAGCAACCTCGCGACGAGAGGTTGCTCGCCAAGCTCTGAGCGACGAACCCGATGACTACGAGACGGACATGATGAACAGAAACGTTCTGACTCCCAACAGCGACCACTCATTTGTGACCTCGGAGCCGTCTCCCACCACCACCTCGCCTCTGAGATCTCCTGAGCCAGCAGCCAATGTTGAGGATGCTCTAAGAAAGCTTTCTGGGCATGAGGACTCTCTCAAGGCTCTTGAAGGGGTCGTGGAGGTCCCACGAGAGGCGCCTATTGTCGTCATTGAACCAGCGGCAGAACAGAGAGCAGCATTAACAATGCCTAAAACGCCCACGACCATCGTCGAACAGGCAGCAGTAACTGCGTCCCCAGAAGCCGTTGCTGCAGGTCCGGAACCCCACGAAAGCATTCACAGTCAGCGTGCTTCGATCGACTCGGCCTCGTCCTATGGTTCGGTGAGGTTTTCTGGCCACTCGGCAAGTTCAACGTCAAGTTCACCTCCAGTTGAGTCGGCGTCAACAATGTCTACTACATCCATTGGTTTTGCATACTCGAATCTGCTCAAACCAGCTGATGCTGATGTGCCGGCACCTCTGAAGCTTCGATCGCCAGGGCTGTCGGCTGATGGATCGGAGGCTGAGACGGACTTGCCATTCAGGAAAGGGAGATCCTCGATGATTGTCGATGTTGGCAACGACAATGTCATCAAAGGACTGACACCACCATCTGCTTCCCACGCAGGCGAAGTGGAACCACAAGCCCAGGGATCGAACTCAGCACCAGAGCCGGTTGCCGAAGCGTCGAGCAAAATCACTACGCCGAATAAAGGGACATGTCGCGGCTGCTCGCACATCATCCTAGTGACGCAGAAGTCGGTCTCGAGTGCGGACGGGCAGCTCAGCGGGAGGTACCACAAAGAATGTTTTGTGTGCTGGACCTGCAAGCAGACCTTCCCAACGGCCGAATTCTACGTCCACTCCGACCACCCGTACTGTGCACAGCATTACCATGAGATGGAGGACTCGCTTTGTGCCACTTGTGGGAAGGGCATCGAGGGCCTGTACATTGAAACGGCCAACGTGGCGGGCCGTGGCAAGGAAAAACACCATCCAGAGTGCTTGAAGTGCACCACCTGCAACGCTCAACTCTCACACGACTATTTTGAATTATCAGGAAAGGTATACTGTGAGCGAGACGCCTTTCGTCTGGCTACGATGCCCAAATCTCACGAGAACGCACCCAGTCGGCCCAGTCCTTTGGTGCGGGAATACATCAGCAGCGGGGATCCCGGACTGGTCAAAGGCAGGAACTTTCCGGAGAGAAGAATAACTAGACTAATGAACATGACATAACATGACGACAGCGAGAACAGCGTGTTGGGCATTTGAGCACGGAGTTTACATTTCTGCTGGTGGTTGATTAGATTGCTAGGACGGGATAATGGTTCCAGTTGGAGTCGGACGTGGGATGCATCATCTCAAGGAGGTTTGATAGTTTGAAGTGAGGATAGCGCAGACATGACACTTTTGGGTCACTACTGCCACGGCGTTTCTTCGCATTGGGGGCTCTGCGGGCGGCTCGAGTGGAACCTGGCTGTTCCAGTTGAAGAGCAGACCGAGAAAGTACCCATAATGTATAGCCTAGTTTGACCTCCTAGCCAGTTCGAATCCTATTCTTGTATGTTTGTTTCTCGAACACGGCCAGCCAGGCCCCGGCTCGCGATGATGCGCTGTGTATTGCAGGGAAGCTAATGCAATATCGATGGATAACATGCAGAGAGACCAGAGGATCGCGCATCATGTTGGGCATCACATTGGCTGCACCCAAGCAGGTGCGGGAGAGCAAACAATTGGCCATGCAGCCCTGATCCTCCACCCAAACCCACCGAAAACCACCGTGACCAATTTGAGTGATTGCATGCGAAACCAGTCCTAGAGACAGGTACAGACAACGACAGACCTGACGTGCTTAGGTCGTGGTTGTACTACGAAGTACCTAGCTTGTGAATGAGAGACTCAGAAAAAGTGGCAGAGAAATTGTCATCTTTGATGCCGTGTCTAACGAGGAAGGAGATGAACACGCTCCTGCCACAGTGACAACGAGGACGCAACTCACCAAGATCAGCCAGCTTACACTTATTCCAAGTGCAGGTATTTACGTGGCTGCCTTCATCGCGTGACCTGCATTTGGAATAAGTGTAAGCTGGCTGATCTTGGTGTGAGAGGCTATCATCCGAGGGTGGTGGATCGGGCACACATTCGCCAAAACAGTTGGATCGTCCTCGGAAGTATGTGGATGCTAGTCGACCACAAAGTCATCCGTAAGCCTAGTAGCATTAGGCGCTCATGTCATAGCCACGAGCACCGAGATGGACATGCATAATGAGGGTGCTATCGGATAGGATGGATATGCACAGGCAGTGTACGTGGTAGGACTGATAAACTAAGTCTATGGTCTGTCGGCATGATTATTGTTGAGGCCACTTAGCTCCTGGGTGGAAGGAGATGTATTCGAATCACTGCAAAAGATTAAGTTCCTGCGGATTCCTAGAAGAGGATCACAAGGGTTTCTCATGCTGTACCACACCGGAAGGAAGTGGAAAGATGGAGGAACATCTGGTCAAGTAGTACTCCATACTCCTGAATTTTCCACCAGAATCTTCATAATTCATGTCCCCGTACCCTATTCTGCAGCTAAAATTGGGGTTATGAACAGGCAACGAAAACATGAAACCACAGTGATGGAATCTGCTCAGAGGATGGAGGGGCATGGGGGATGGAGGGGAGTCCGAGGGGCTCAAGGGGCACCTCGGCCGATATCACGCACCCCTCGCCCCCTCAGACTGGCTTGGGCCTTATCGGAGGGGACTAATTGGCACAAGGGGTACACGTCGTCGCAGTCTCCATTTATTACATTTACATGGTTGTTTACTACTGGATATTGATAGCCAGACATGGACAGTTGGCAGATTGATAGTTATCGTCTGATTATCGTGGTGGAAAGAGCTAATGTAGCTAAGACGACGTTCCATGGCAATGGGCGGTCAAGCCAGGCTGCGCCCGCGCCGTCCAGACCCTCCCATTAGTCACAGTTGAACACTTCATCCACAGTTTCCACCTTCCAGCGTTCTGACCTCTCCCTCAACAACTTCCGCCTAGTAACGGGTAATCAGGTAATAAGAACGGGTGCACACCCCCAATATCTCTCTCTCTGCCTCTTTTCGTTTCCAGCATCATCTTGATCCCAATCAACCCCAACCCAACACCTTCAAATTCCAACCTGTGGTCTTTACCGCAACAATCGTCTAGACGTAGGATCACCCCCGAGTGATCCGTCAACCGCCAAGACGTTTTCCAACCTTTTGCTTTCGTAAGTCGCTTGTTTGCAATCTTGTACACCCCTGCTCGTCTTAGCTGGTCCATTCTCTGGTACCTGCATCCTGACCCTGGTGATCGACTTCATCCCACCATATCATATATCGATTCATGACGCGCTTGGAAATCTCATCGCTGCACCCATCCGTCTACATGGCTATGGCGCTTGATTCGAGCCTCTTCTCAGTCGCATTTACACCCCGCCAGTTTCGTTCAAAATCCACACAGTTTTCATTCTTCTCTTCCTACACAAGTCATGCACCCCAAACTGACATACCGATGCTTTCAGGTCGCACCACCCGTTCAACGGAAGCCGTTGCTCTTCCCCTCCTGGAGGAGCCGCGGATTGTCAAAAGACTCGATAAATCCGCTCACACCGCACTCCGCTTCAACTCCTCACTTTAATCTCAAAACCCTCTGCTCAACATGGCTCCTCATGCGGAAGTGGGCATCGGCTCTATGAACGGGTACAGCGCTCCATCTTCGGTCGGACCGGCCCAAGATCTCTTTACGGTCGACTCACCCAACGTCGTTTATACGGATGATCAAATCAATACCAAGTATGTCTACCGTACCACTGCGATCAAAAAGGGCGACAACGGTAAATTTGTTGCCACTCCCAAGGAAACCATCTATGACTTCAAGGTCGACCGCAAGGTTCCCAAGACCGGTGTTATGTTGGTCGGCTGGGGTGGCAACAACGGTACTACCGTCACCGCCGGTATCATTGCCAATCGTCGTGGCCTCACCTGGGAAACCCGAGAGGGTCCCCGTGCTGCCAACTACTATGGCTCCGTCATTATGGGTTCCACCGTCAAGTTGGGAACAGATGCCACCACTGATGAAGAGGTCAACATCCCCTTCAACCAGATCCTACCCTTGGTTCACCCCAATGACCTTGTCATTGGTGGATGGGATATCAGCGGTATGAACCTGGCAGCTGCCATGGATCGTGCTCAGGTCCTTGAGCCCACCCTCAAGGCTCTAGTTCAGAAAGAGATGGCTCAGATGGTTCCACTTCCCAGCATCTACTACCCGGATTTCATTGCTGCAAACCAAGAAGATCGCGCAGACAATGTCCTTCCTGGAAGCAAGGCAAGCTGGGATCACGTCGAGAAGATCCAGGCTGACATCCGGTGTGTATCATCCTCTTTGCTTGCGAATAAATGTCCTCGTTGCTAACTCGGTCCAGCAACTTTAAGTCTCAGCATGCTCTGGACAAGGTCATTGTGCTCTGGACTGCCAACACTGAGCGATATGCCGACATCATTCCAGGTGTCAACGACACCGCAGAGAACCTGATCCAGGCAATCAAGGCCGGTCACGAAGAGGTCTCCCCTTCCACCGTCTTCTCCGTCGCGTGTACTTTGGAGGGTGCACCATTCATCAATGGCTCTCCTCAGAACACCTTTGTCCCCGGTGCCATCAAGCTTGCTGAGCAGCACAACTCTTTCATTGGTGGTGACGACTTCAAGTCCGGTCAAACCAAGATGAAGTCCGCTCTGGTCGACTTCTTGATCAATGCCGGCATTAAGCTCACATCCATCGCCAGCTACAACCACTTGGGTAACAACGACGGCAAGAACTTGAGCTCTCAAAAGCAGTTCCGCTCCAAGGAGATCTCCAAATCCAATGTTGTTGACGACATGGTTGCGGCCAACACTGTTCTGTACAAGAAGGACGAGCACCCAGATCACACCGTTGTTATCAAGTACATGCCTGCTGTCGGTGATAACAAGCGTGCTTTGGACGAGTATTACGCTGAGATCTTCATGGGTGGTCATCAGACCATTAGCATCTTCAATGTCTGTGAAGACTCGTTGCTTGCATCTCCTCTGATCATCGATCTCGTCGTGGTTGCCGAGATCATGACTCGTATCTCATGGAAAGCCGATGGCGCTACCGATTACAAGGGCTTCCACAGCGTTCTCAGCGTGCTCAGCTACATGCTCAAGGCAAGTGTTACCCCAGACTACTCACATTCTTGACTAACAAGTTCCCAGGCTCCATTGACGCCACCTGGCACCCCCGTCGTCAACTCCCTAGCCAAACAGCGCAGTGCTCTGACCAACATCTTCCGTGCTTGTATTGGTCTTCAGCCCGAGTCAGACATGACTCTCGAGCACAAGTTGTTTTAGGCCAAGTTGTCACCGTGCCATGCCATGCCGACGGCGGGAGCTCTCAGCAAGATGTAGCAGGACCTTTGAGCCTTTCACACATGCGATGGGTGGCTAGACTGCTTTTCTTGCATTGCGACCGGCGGAAGAGGCCTCTGCTGGAACTTACTTAATCCTCCTAGACTGCACAGCTTGTTTGTTCTGCCTGAAGTTGCATTGCTCTAACCACTTACCCAAGTCACTCTTTTATCACCATAGTATAGTCTAACCAATGCACCACATATTTTCAACCATAACGTCTTGTCCGTCTCGAAACTTGGATGCTTGTTGTTACTGCCTGCGAGGTCGAGTCGACGTGCCATATTTCTCTTGATGCAGGTGGTCTTGCTTTATGAAGCCGTTATCATCATTCCCTCCTTCCTTTTGCGCTCTTGCCTTTTCGATTGATGAGAACTTCTGTCATCTCAACGAATTTTTCCCTCCCAGCTATGTTTCTCAACATCAAATGATCCGATGACTGTGATCCCCTCCGGCAATCCTGATCCAAGGAGGACAAAATTCCTCGATGGTATCTGCCACCGCTGTTGGACTTTAGCGGACAAACTGCTTTCTCTCACTTAGCTCAGAACCACATCCCGCTTCAATCCTTAACCCCCCAATATGCCATCTCGGGCCTTAAGCCGGCCCCACGTCAAACAGTATTTACGGGGGTCGTGGTCAATCTGCAATCCCACTGCTCGGATCTTAATGCGGCCGCTGGCGCAAAAGAATGCTTGAAGGTCATCTCAAAACCAACTGCCTTTGGCTGACCAGGTGAGATGAGAGAAGCAGCTTTTGGGGTTTGACAGAAGTAAAAAGTGATGTCTTGTAGCATTCGGTTTCTATCAAGTTTTATATAGGGAGGTTCAAGATGGTCTAGAGCCTCTTCAGGATGTCATTTACAACTTGGTCGGTGGTAGCTTGACCACCCAAATCAGGGCTGACGAATTTGCCCTCTGCTAGATTTGCATCCACTGCTTTGTAGATGACATTGGCAGCTTCTGGCAGATTAAGGAACTCGAGCATGACACCGACACTTCTGATGGTGGCGATGGGGTTGGCAATACCCTTGCCTTCAATATCAGGAGCCGAGCCGTGACAAGGCTCGCCAATGACGATGCCCTCGCCAACATTGGCCGAAGGCACCAAACCCAAAGAACCAACCAGAGCAGCGGCACCGTCTGAGAGCAAGTCACCGTACAGGTTAGGGGCGACAATGACGTCGTAGTACTGGGGTTGCAGGAATAATTTGTAGACCATACTGTCGACGATCTGCTCTTCGACGCCAATGGAAGAGAATTGAGGTTGAGCCAACGCCTCTCTAGCAGTCGAACGGAACAAGCCATCAGTTTGACTCAAGACGTTGGACTTGTGAGTAATGGTGACCATAGCCTTCTTCTCAGCGCCCTCAGCCGCCTCTCTCATCTTCTGTCGTCGCACCGCAATCTCGCCGGCAATGTTGGCGATCCGCCATGTGGCCTTGCTCGAAATTCGCTTGATGGCCTCGGCGATGGTGCCGTCTCCGGACGGGTCAGGATATGTCTTCTCCTCCTTGACGTACAGATCCTCGGTGTTTTCACGCACAATGACCAGATCGATCGGGTGTGGTGTAGGGGAAGCGAATGCGGGCGATGCCGTCGTCTTGCATGGTCGAACGTTGGCGTACAGAGACAGCTTCTTGCGCAGAGCTACAATCGGCGATGTGTATCCGGCGACTTTGGTGGTGGGGGAGCTGTGTGGAGAGTTTCAAGTCAGTTTGGCGGAATAAGAACAGTATAGGGATGCTCGGAAGGTTGTTCTTTGTTGGGTTTCTCGGTCTTCTTTGTCCTTTTTCCATGTCCAATACCCTCCAGTAGCATGGAGCGGGGGGATATCGCGTGCACACAAAAATAAGAGGACATATATGAATGATCATACCTCACTGCTCCAAATAGAGCACCGTCACATTCCTTCTGAAGTGTCTCCACCGTCTTGTCTGGCAACGCCGTTCCCGTCTGCTTGAAGTGCTCGTACCCGGCATCGAGGTCCACAAAGGAGAAATTCAATCCCAGTGATGATGGCAAGGATTCCAACACGCGTCGACCGGCCTGTAATTGAGCGAGAAAGGTAGGTTAGCTGTGAGACGAGCAAGGTAGGTGTTGCCCTGGTGTTGGAGGAAACAGAGATTTGTGGTCCACTGAGTTAAGTCCGGCGGACACGGCGACCGGACAATCGAGAGACAGTGGATTCGACGCCTCTGTTCATGTTGGATGCATTGCTGAGTGTATAGTGTATCTGGCTACGTACCGGGATGACCTCTCGGCCAATACCATCACCGGGGATCAAGCCTGCGTTCGTCAAGTCAGATTGGCATCTTCAAGAGCAAGTGACAGCTAGCGGCACGTCGCAAATCTGTCTCCTGTACCAACATACCTATTCTCAATGTCCTACTCGCAGCCATAGCTTCCTCGTCTGTTGTCGCAACCTGTTTGAATTCAGTGTGACTGGAGTTTCGCAGTTGGAGAAAAGGAAAAAAAGTTGAACGAGGCTGCGCTTGCTTGCTCGCTCACTTTCGACACAAACTTTCTCCACCTTTCCGCCTCCGCAAATCGGAGCATCGTCCTTCGGCGGTGCGGAGCAGCACGAGACAGGTACCGTACCGCAAGGCTGTGGATATGGAGGGGGAGGGGGACGGGGAGGGAGGTGAGGAGTGTAGAGAGTAATTAAACAGCCACAATACATTCACTTGTGTTTCTAATGATGTAGGACAAAGTGTCATGATATGCATGGCCATTGTAAGCTTTCTACATGCTACATGTGTGTATAACAGTTGCTTCTAATGTAAGGATCGACTGCTTCTGCTCGAGCTGGACGTTCAATGTCCTTCCTGTCAAATATCCACACGTCACATCACCAGGTATCATTCGTTCACGCATGAAAACTCCTATCCAAATATCCATCATCCGTCAACCGTCAATACCCAACATGATACTCGTTCAGGTTGGAGACCACAGAGCGCATCCCTCTTCAGCGTTCAAGCTGTCTAATCCAACATTCCACTCCAACGTCTATCTTGATTCCAAAAGTCGAGCCAGATTTTCCAACTGCGAATTAAACGACCGAATCTTGTCGAGCATGCCTCCTTCATCAGATAGTGCACTTACATTGCCAGCCACAGTGTGAAGCAAATACTCCACCCCTTCGTCAGCATCATCGCTGCCTTCTTCCAGTGTCTCTTGCTCTCGCTCTAACTCGAGCTCCACTCGACGAGCAGCTTGGCTCAATTGCCACTTCTCGCGCGCATCTTGTTCACATTCCCAATGCTGTCGCCGAACCGCATCACACTTGAGGGCGATTTGTTCCCTCTGTTTGCGGATTTCCATGTATTCTGCCTGTAGACTGGATTTCTCTCGTTTGGCTTTCCGCACTCGCGCTTCGAGGTTGATTCGGTTCTCCACGGCTTCTGACAGTTGGAACAGCTCGTCGTCAAGATCCTGTCCGAATGCTTGGAGAGCACTGCGCTTGTTCTTGCATGTTGCTCGGTCGGACTTCGTTGTCGATGTGGTTGTTTTGTCAAGATCCTCGATTAAGTTGCTGATGGTCTCGCGACAGATTTGGGCAAGGACGTCGACTAGATTTGGCTGTGACCGGGATTGAATACGGGGGGCTTGTGATTCGGTCTCTGCCTCATTCGTCGTGGCATTGCCGTTCTCAACTTCTTCGGATATGGTTGGCAAGGTCCCCAGATTGGTCATTCGGTGTGTCAGGATGGGAAATGTCGATTTGGATGATTTGGGTTTCGATTTCTCTTGCTGCGATAGGCGGTCATTCTCCTTGCTCAGGCGTGGATTCTTGGATCTTGGTTTTTTGACCGCTGCCGCTGGCGTCGTTGGCTCCGGCGAGCTTTCCTGGACATATGTCTCGTCTTCATCCTCCTCGTCTGCACCGTTCGGCGTGCGGTCAAGAAGCTTGGCAGCGATGCCGTGCCGGTTGGGCGTCGTTTCACCATCGTCAATTCGGTCGGCGACGTCCGCATTGTCAGCTTCGACGGCTTCATCAGCTTCTAACGTCGTGGTCGAGTTATCAGGCAGCGCAGTGTCTTCGGTCTCGTTGCCTATAGTAGGCTCCTCCAAAGTGGATTCTTCAACTTGGCTTTGGTCGGAAACACGTTTTTTCTTGCGACCCAGCACGACCAATTTCCGCTTTTTCCTCTTCTTTGGTTTGGAAGGTGCTATCGACGAAGAGTCCAATGTTGAGGACTCTATTAGTGACTGATCTATCGTTGTTTCTCGAATAACATCTCTCGAGTCGTCAACATACTCATCGGCCTCGGAATCTTCCTCAAGTGTAGGTTCATTGTTTTCAATGTCAGGGTGGAAACTAGTATCTTCCGCCAGAGCTTGTCCCTCTTGCTGAGGCGCAGCTTTGGGGCTCGACAGGGGACGATCGCTGGCTGGCTCTTCAGCCTCATGTGATACTAGTGGTTCATTTTCCTTCTCAGTCTTTTCGATGCCGTTGAGCCCATCCGTCGTAGGAGGATTTGATTGGTCATCTGAATTTGCGTCCTCCGCAATTGTGAAGATCTGACTGGCTCTTTTTGCTGAAGACCGAGTCGAACGTGTTTGGGAAGGGATCTCAACAACAACAGGGTTCGTTTGTACTGATATAGGTGTTTTGAATGCATGCGAGTTTGAAAGTCGCCTTCTCTTAGCCGATCGACCTTCTGTCATTTGTGGTGTCTGCGAAGTCGCCCGAGACTGGTTCGAACTTCGTCTTGTCTCGCGGACATTGCTGGTGGTCGGTGCTTGGCCGGTTCTCACAGAGGGTGTTCGTATGCTCGGCGTCGCCGATGGTTGTCGCGAATTCGAGCGCCTCTGCTGGGGTGTCTGCTTTGTGGACCGTTGTGAACGTGCCGAACTGGGGAAAGCAAATCCAAAGTCCACGTGATCGACCTTGCGGGAGGCAGCACCTCTTTGCCGCATCTGTTGTCGTTGTTGTCTATCATTCCCCATATCGATAGTTCGAGCGACCTGTCCATGTCCAGCATGTTGGCTGCTATTAGCGCTCTGGCGTCGCAAACTTCTGTCTGGTTGAGTAGCCGAGGACATTGCGGTCGTTGGGGTTTAGCGGTCCCCAAGCGTCGCTGCAAAATCGAATCATTGGAATGTGAGATGACGGATGACGCTGGTGAATCAATGTTCCCCAGATATGCGATTATCAGCACATCATATCCTCACGCGTTTGGCCGCAAGTTGAGACGCGTCGTGGCGTGAATGCCCCCGGACAGGCCGAGGATTATCCGGCTTGGCAATTAGCTGCGAGTCTGTTGAAGATGGGCTCCCTCCATACGGCCAATTGCAATAATAGCCATTCACAGACGACTTCACTGAGCAGCATGTGGGATTTCTCTTGCAACCCGAGCAGTGTGTATGCTCGACTCTGAACTCTTTCAGCACTTGTAACGAACCATGTCTTGGTTCTGGGGCGGAGGCCAAAAAGACCCCAAGAATGATCCTGCAAAATCTCTGGATCAAGACCTCAAGAAGTTCCTGGATGAGCAGCAACCGAAGCCATATTCTCCCGCCGAGCTTCCAACGCCCAAGACAGAGAAGCCAATCATTCCGGTGACGCCCGACGTCAGCCATGAACCCACCGAGCGTGCGCTGCCAAAAGAGTCCCTATTCCAAGATGGTCGATACAAAGATATCTGGAAGACCTATGTCCCCCAAGTAGAAATGGATGCTGCAACAAACACTCCAGTCGATAGAGTCCTCAATGCGCGGAAGGATCGGAGACAAACCATTCACAGGGCGGCACTGGAGAATTGCGCCTTTGAACAACAAATGCAGCAAGATTGCTTGACAGGAGGAACATGGTCCCAAAAGATCAGAGGCAAAATGACTCTTTGCCACGAAGAGAACAAAGCCTACAATCGTTGTTACAGTCTTCAGGCAAAGTTTCTGCAAGCATTAGGCTACATGGCCAACCCGAACAACACGGATGAGGACGAGGAAAGAATTCAGATGCACGCAGATAAGCTGTATCACCGCATGATGGATTACGAGGCCGAGGTGGATGAAGCCAGGCGGAATGATCGCCCAATACCCCCGCTCTCATCCTTGTTCAGCCCCAACCAAGCAGCTCCCACACTCTCACAACTGGTGCTCCCTCCAGCAATGGCAGGAAAGATGAAAAAGCCTTTGGATGAGTACGCTCCACACGAAAGAGAATTGGCGGCAAAAGCAGCCATAGAGGAAGCCAAGGTGTCTGATGCATACGCGAGAGACCTCTTCACTTACACTGTAACGATGAATCAGGAACGAAAAGAACGACAGAAATGGCTGACAAAGGCTTTTGGCGATACCATTGGCAAATTCCTCATTCCCGATGGCCCAAATCAGGAGCCATCCGCAAACGCGCAGTCATATGATCTCGAAGAACTGGAAAGGAGAATTTGGCAAGGGCCTGGCAAGGATTCCAAATGAAGCCATGATTCTGCACCACCACCTGGGGAGGCATTTTCAGTCTCCTGACAAGAACTCCTCACAGCTCGAATAAATGTCCTTGGGCTTTTTCGCCTGTAAGAACCATCTGCCTTACAGCATGGCCATCGAGGCGACCTGGACTTCGATCGGCAATCATGAGGCAACGGATCAAGGCACTCAAGGTGCAGCAGAGGGCTCCATCAAGCCACTTGTGCCTAAACCAACGGCCATAAAAAGCCTTGTGAACAGAGAGATGCACTATTTCAGTCGAGGTCGAATAGCCGGTCTTAAAGACAAGTGGACATTAGAAACATGCAGTCTATCAACACAACAGACGACATCTTGTATCAGATGCTTGGTTGGTTCAACGTTTGTCGCACCCAAAATATCCCCCGACTCGGCAGGCATCACCATGTGCCCGAACAGGAAGGTGATACCACGAGCAGAATATTCAAGATGAGAGACAAGAGGTTTGGAATTCCACCTTCTTCTCTGGTCATAGTCTTTATTCTGAAAAAATTATCCGATTGACGACGGGGAACTAGGGTGTGTGATTGTGGGGCCGAGGGCCCTGCACGATGTCACTACCGAAGCCTTCCTGGTCTACGGGAGAAATGAAACCGAGGCCTCGCAATCTGACCATCAGGCTTGATTGTGTTATTAGCTCTGTGAGGTTCTTCGCCTTCCTATAGTAGACAAGACCTCATGTATTATAAGCATTTAATTCTCTACTCATACTGCATTATTTCTTGTGTGAAGCGCGGCAATGTTCACAAGGAATTGGACGCCTATTCTAACCGAGCGTCAATGATCCGCGCTTGGAGAGACTCTTTAGGGCGGGGTGCGTGGAGTCCAGAATCACATCATTCCTTTGGGTTTGAACATTATTTTATCAGTTTCATTGTATTGCCTAGAGAGTCATCGTTTTCCCTTCCCTCGGTCCTGACAACAGCGGAATGACATCAAGATTGGATGACAACGAAGCCCGTTAAAAGATCCACATCTCGATGAATGTTTCATCTTCCATATCCCATCGCCACTACCTTCCTGGCCGTCCTTCTGTCTGTATTGGTTTACCGATGGGCTGAGTCCAAAGCCGCCATGGGCATGTTCAGACGACAATCTACTATGGAAGATAGCAGCCATGACCCAACCACATCTCCTGTCGAGGCCGACATGCCTGCGTCCGTAGAGCAGGAAGCGCCTCTGTTGCAACTCCCCAGCGAAATCATTTACCAGATACTGTCCCACCTCCCCTGCCAATCTCTGGTGTCGCTAGCCCGGTGCTGTCGACAATTGCAAGGCCTCACCCAATCCGATCTACTCTGGGCGGACTTGCTTCGAGCCAACATCCCTCCTCAAGACTTTCCACCCGACCCATATCCCTCCTCCTCATATCGCGACCTCTATATAACCCATCACCCGTATTGGTTTCTCTCTCGTCACAAGATATGGATCTCAGATGAGCCTCATGTTGGAAGAGTGATGATATGTCGATTTGATCCTAGACGAGGTTGCATTGAAGGGTACCGGCTCCTGGCCGAAAGAAGTCCATTCACTGGTGTGACATGGCCTTATGACACAAATGTTCACATTCACATGTTCCACCCTCGTGTGCATCTATGGTTGGACGACCCGATTCTGAAACTACCACATGATGTGATTCCATTCAACACAAGACAGGGTTGGTGGGAAGGCGAGATCAAGATGAGTGTGGGTAGACCCGGCCACAATACATCGGCCTCGTTTTTCCTCAGTCGAGACATCCCACCTCGGTTACAAAATAAGAGCATGGAACTCTGGCCTCCACGGACGATCCCCAACATGCCCCGGGTGCGTGCTGTGAGTATCGATAAATTCAGAGGTCATGGCCACAAGCCACAAAAATATGACGAAATATCGCAGACGACTTTTCGAATGAGACATTGGTCGCAGTTCACCACGGGGATGTCGCAATTCGGCATTCGCATTGGAGAAGAGGTCAGCACATGGAGCACCATCGATCCTGTTCTTTATACTCCCACCAAGGAGAAACCATATCAAGGCATCTATGTCGGCGACTATGCTGGACACGGGTGTGAGTTTCTGTTGATTATGCAGACGGAGAAAGCGCCTTCGCCCCCACCTAGTCCGGCGGCAAGTCGCTACCTCCGTGTCCTTCCTGGAGATTCAGACGAGGAAGGTGACACACCCATTCCGGACTCTTTCGATACCACACCGGTACATGATCCAGATGAGGGAAAATTCCACGGCGCAATAGAAGGAGTAAAATTGACAGGCGATCCCAATATTCCTCGCGGAGAACATACCTTCATCGCAGATGATATTGGCCCGGGAGGACTGATCAGGATCGCGGAGGAGAAGCCGTTCCAAGGGGCAAGAATTGTTCGAAGTCGCGGTCATGTGGCCGCACGCGGGTTTCAAAATGGTAAGTTGTAGTTAATATATGCTGTGCGCGTTGTCATGCCGGCAAACTAACCATTGACCAGACGAATTCATCGAGTCCCAGCTGATCATGGTCAATCACAATCTGCTGGCGCAGTACTGGCTGACCTTTGGTCACATAGCCTACTATCAGAGGATCGATATTGACCAGTTGCTCAACGACACTTTCGGTTAATTTCGATGAATCGGTCATCGACTCACTTATGATAGCGGCGGAGGCGCAGGATCATGTGGCTCAGGATGGAGCTTCTACGGCACAGAAGACGCATGTACGAAAGTATGAATGAACATAGACGATAATTGATTGAACAAAGTGAAGAAGATAGGTGCCGTTATAGAGTGGAGTTCAACCGAAGCCTACTGTATGTAACCTGGCTGGTCCAAACCTACGCATCTGCCTTTGCCTTTCTTCATATTCCACAACACATACGCCATCAACGCCCCAGTAATGCACCAAATATCAATCGCACTCGACAAGACACATAGGCTTGTCTGGATATCGTCTCTCAAGGGTTCTCCTGAGTTTTCTTTCTTCGTTTTCCTCCTCCATCTCCATCTTTCACCTCCTCCTTTCAAACCAACCACTGCTACCCATAACTGCCACAGACTGATCCATGACCCACTCGCCCACGCCCAAGTATCGGTCCACCCAACTCTGAATCTCCTTGCTCTCACCGATCGACGATGACTTGATACTGGTAGGTCTACTGTTAGTCAGTCTGGTTCTGGGGTCGGAGAATTGAGCAGCGTCGCATTGGGTTCGATAGATAGAACACAATTCGCGGAGGAGAGTACGCACGTCAGACCAGTGCTTCGCTTGACACCGGCCAGAAAAGCAGAAATCAATACGGCGTCGAACGCATAGTGGGTGAGACGTCCGAGCTAGTTTGATGCGATGTTAGCTTCCAGGGTTATGGTCCACGAGGGTAGAGGACGGGGTTGGGGAGGACATACAACCATGTTTAAATTGAGGATAGCTTTGTGGAGAATGTATGGAATGAGGTGCGTAGTAATGTATCAGACAGCCTTTATAAGTATGGAGTTTGGACGAAGCGGTAGGTACTGGTCAAAGTAAAGGTATGCGGCGAAATATCGTGCCTGGTGTCGTCCGACTCACATGTGTCGCAGATGGAAGTAGTCGGAGCAAGTAACGAGTAGTGATTGGCAAAGTCAGGCTCGAGGGGCCCCTCACAGGAGGACCCTCGGTCAGGATAATCGCCCAGGCACCCAACAGGTAGTGCCAGTGGCAGGCCTCGGGCACGCAGGTCACGCCTGTCACCCGATTCAGCCGCCCGGAGAATTGTTCTTGCAGCTTCCGTGCCTGAGACAGATGGGCGGGAATAGATGCTCGAGGAGCGCTCGCTTATCTTATCGTCACCTGATTTGGGGTGCACCCTCCGTGTCATCTCAGGACGAAGGTGAGGGGTTGGAAGCTTCCAACGCGTATCTACAGGCTACAGAGTCACCACTGGCCAAGGCCAATCCCACATGCTTTGACCTGCCGTGCCTGTTGGACCCATTGGTACTGGGCCCGTGGGTGCTGCCGCTGGAGCTCCAGCTCCAACAAAAGCATTCAATTAGCCTTTTCAGCGTTTTGGCGTCCTTTGACCAAATTCACGCATCTCTTTAGGCGGCGCCTTGGTGGAGGAGGTACGCATTGTTGGATCGACTATAAAGCCCAGAGGACCCCAAGGACCCCTCTTTTTGCCCTCAACCCCCACCTAACCCTCTGTTCCTAGACTCAACTCGGCGCCAAAAACAACCATCTCCGTTAACATTTCCCACTGAATCTCAAGCCAGTGGATTCATCCACTCCCCATCGCATTGCGGTTATCGAAACCGACCCGTCTCATTCGTTGATTTTCAGTGAGCTCGACCCTCTCACGTAGCCCTGTGTGTTGTGCTAGTAATATCCTTGGGTGTCTGTAGGCTAAGATAAGCGTGACGTGAGAGCTCCATACTTTGAGATGCTGCGATTATGGGTCCTGGCGACCCTTAGTAACATTGAGCCTGCTCAACCATTGCTTTTTTCTGGCAACAGTAGCAACGCAAAAACAACACTCAGCTTTTCCCTCCTTCCTGCTCTTTTCAGAATCTTCATCTTTATCCGTATTCACTTCTGCTAGTGATACTCTCTCGTAAGTTTCTACACTCCCTTTGAGCAAAAGTCCGGTCTGTGACAGGTCTGAAACCACCCTTGCTGACCGCATTAGTTTGCCCGCAGGTTGGACACCGCCTGTACCCCATAAAACCCCTCCGCTGCCTGCGCCTACAACAGTACCCTTTCAGCTCAAAAGACAATCAAGAACAAGACTTCAAACACAGGCAAAATGGGTGACGCTCTCCTTCATCTCAGCAACCGTACCAAGTTGGAATGGCAGGCCAACTTGAATACGGAGTATACTCCAGCGCGGAACCACCGCAGAACCAGCATCATTGGTACCATTGGTATGTTGGGAGACAATGAGCATTGATAAGACTTTCAAGTACTAATCACAATGTTCAGGCCCAAAGACCAATTCCGCTGAGAAGATCACAATGCTCAGAAAAGGTATGTCTTCCTTCCATACTCTTGAAGTCAAGTCGAGACCTGCACTAACCTTGTGACAGCCGGACTCAACGTTGTCCGAATGAACTTCTCCCACGGCTCATACGAGGTAGCCACCGTAACACCGCGAGACCTAAATCTATTCTGACCTTGACCAGTACCACCAAAGCGTGATCGACAATGCCAGACAATCAGCCAAGGAATATCAAGGACGACCTGTGGCCATTGCCCTCGATACTGTTAGTTGATGTGCCCAACGATATGGTTGCCTCGCTAATATGAGAAACAGAAAGGCCCCGAAATCAGAACTGGCAATACTCCTGGTGACAAGGACATTCCTATCCAGGCAGGGCTGGAACTCAACCTGACCACGGACGACAAATATGCCACTGCCAGCGACGATAAGAACCTGTGAGTGAACAGCAGCTGCCCAATAGAACAAGGACTGACGTCAAGTAGATACGTCGACTACAAGAACATCACCAAGGTGATTGATACTGGCAAGCTGATCTACGTCGACGATGGAATTCAATCCTTTGAAGTGCTCTCTGTGATCGACAGCCAAACCATCCGTATCCGAGCCCTCAACAACGGCCAGATCTCTTCCAAGAAAGGCGTGAACCTTCCTGGTACCGATGTTGATCTCCCTGCCCTCTCCAAGAAAGATATCGCCGACTTGCAGTTTGGTGTCAAGAATGGTGTCGATATGATCTTTGCCTCGTTCATCCGCCGTGGAGAGGACATCAAGCATATCCGTTCAGTTCTGGGACAAGAAGGCAAAGAGATTCAAATCATTGCCAAGATTGAGAACCAGCAAGGTGTGAACAACTTTGACGAGATTCTCGAGCAAACCGACGGAGTCATGGTCGCCCGTGGTGATCTCGGTATCGAAATCCCCGCCGCCAAGGTCTTCATTGCACAAAAGATGATGATTGCAAAGTGCAACTTGAAGGGCAAGCCTGTCATCTGCGCCACACAGATGTTGGAGTCAATGACCAACAACCCCCGACCAACCCGTGCTGAAGTGTCTGACGTCGCTAATGCAGTTCTTGATGGCGCTGATTGTGTCATGTTGTCCGGAGAGACCGCCAAAGGCAGCTACCCCAAGGAAGCCGTAACAATGATGCACGAGACGTGCTTGTTGGCAGAAGTGGCGATCCCTTATGCTAACACCTTTGACGAGCTGAGAAGTAGTGCTCCCAGACCCATTGACACTGCCGAATCCATTGCCATTTCAGCTGTTGGTGCCAGTATGGAATTGAATGCAGGTGCCATCCTTGTCTTGACCACCAGGTGAGTTTGTCATGATCTTCCAAGTCTTGAGCCGTGTTATTAACCCTCGACAGTGGCTCATCTGCCCGACTTCTCTCCAAGTATCGCCCCGTCTGCCCTATCATCATGGTCACACGAAATGCCACTGCGTCCAGATATGCCCACTTGTACCGTGGCGTCTACCCATTCCTGTTCCCAGAACCCAAACCCGACTTCGCGGGAGTCGACTGGCAAGAAGATGTGGACAAGCGATTGAAGTGGGGTATTTCCAGGGCCATTCAACTTGGTGTCCTTAACAAAGGCGATGCCGTCGTCTGTGTGCAAGGATGGAGAGGTGGACGTGGTCATACCAACACCATCCGTGTTGTCCCTGCTGAGGAGGATTTGGGTCTGGCTGTTGATTGACTTACAACGGCAGGTGAATTCTTTGGCACGCCAACCAAGTCGAAGCAGTTCACATTCTCACCACCAACATCACCACGAGTCAAGTCTCGACCGGTCTCACGGGGGCTTCCTACACGAGGGTAAGGGATGGTGTGTTCGAAGCTCATGACACGGGAATGCGATGCAAAACGATTGTTCGAGGTAACAGCGTACTTGACCGAGGAGTTGATGTCCTGATTAGCAACCTGACTTATGAGGAATGTTTATCTGTAATGCAAGGCAATGATCCTTGAAAATTCCGCCTGATGTTTATTCTGTTGGCTGATGCTCTACGCATGTAGGAGTGATATTTCGCTGTCGCCTCCGCCTTGAAACGGGACTTTGGGCTCGCCTTCAACGTTGTTAATAACTGCAGTCGGTCGTGTCTTATTGGAGCGTGGAAATTCCAGACGTCTCTTTATACGTGGTCCTGCCCAAAAAATCTCAGGCCGTAGCTTGCCAATTCACGTGACAGGACTGACAACATGGGTGGGCTGTGGTGGCTGCTCTTAGCACCGACAAGTCAAGACCACAAAGGGGCCAAAAAGAACATTTGTGGTAGAAGACACGATGGTGCTAATCCTTCCATGTCGAAGCTGAGAAAGAGTCTCGCTGGTCATAAACAACACATGTGATCTTACTGAGATATCAAGTATAACACTTTGTCCAACATCGATTAAAGGTCAAATATGGAGATGCGGGATGTCTCGGCGTAGACCCAGGATCCAATACTCTAAGGATTCTATTTGGGTGAAGGGTGTCATGGCTTGTCTGCTTGCTTGCGGAAAGGCGATAGATCACCGGTGAAAATGATGTATGATCAACCATGCACGTAATGGCATGAGAGCTTATATGACTTCTCTAACTCGTTGATACAGCAAAACAAGTAGTCGTAAGCAGTAGAATCTCGACGTTGAGATCTATCGTATGTCGAATTTCCTGGGGACGACCTTCCACCATCCACCAAGGTTCCAAGTCAATTTCCCCGTTTCACATTCAGCCGGTCACGGTCACTCACGCTGGTTTTAGCTCTTACTTTCGGCCCCTCCCATCATCTACATTCTACCAAGTGTCAAATCCACATGCAACCTATTGACAATTCTCGCGCGTTCTTCCTCAGTCAGATTCAACACCTGGCCTCCATGCCTCCTTGACATTGATTTAACCATTAAGCGTCTTTCCTTATTCCGATCTCAATTGCCAATCCCCGTCAGCTTCGATATCTCTCTGTTCTTGTCAGCCAGCCCGATCTGCTCCTGGATCCGTTCGTCAGGCTCCGCACTTCTTAAAATCCACCTGTCACAAACGGCCCCCCCAGCGTCCGTGCAAGCCAGAACCCTTACTCGTGTCCTTCGATCCTGAAGCACCTGGTGCTGCTTCAACCCGACAATATCCTCTCGACCTCTCGATCGGCCGATTCTCACGAGAGAAGGCGGTTCGAGCCTAGCTATGGCACAGGACAAGGACAACGCGGCCAAAGCGGTCGCCGTGCGGCCCAAGATGCCTGGCTTCACCGATTCATTCTGGTCCGCCGACTATGCCGGTGGATTAGGGGTCTTGTTCGAAAAGCTGCACCAGGGTGTGGTCGAGAACCAGCAGATACTGTCCATTGCCAGCATGCGGGCCGACGCCGAGGAGATGTACAGTGATCGGTTAGGAGACATTGCACCCACTATCGATCGCATGGCGGGAGGCTTTGCAAGAGACGATGGTGCAAGCGTGCGCAAGGTAGGACGGTTTCTTCAATATTCACAATAATTCAAACGTACACTCACACTTCTCTTACAGGCTTACGAAGGCGTCCGCGGCGAAATGGTCGAAGCCACCAAGAGTCACAAGAAGATTGCCGACAACATTCGAGAACTTGTGGTGAACCCTTTTTCGCGGTGGTGCGACTCACATGCGACAAGAATACAAAATTCCCAAGATGACCTCCAAGCCAAGATCAAAGCCCTCGATCGTCAGTCCGATGCAGTCAAGAAATTGCGCAGTCATTATTTCAACAAGTGCAGACTGGTGGAAGATTTGGAAGAGGAGAATAAAATGGCGTTTCAGACAGCCGCCCAAGAGAGTCCCAAGCCACAAAGCCCTCCTCCCAAGATCATCTTACCGGAAGATGACATTGATGAGTTGCCTATAGACATTGGAGACAAGTCCTATTCTCCCGACGAAGTCAAAGTCTTGTTGACAAGAATGTTGAACGTCATCCCACTTGGTGAATTCAAAGTCCCTATATTAGGAACTTATCAGAATGTCTCCTCAGGCTCTGACATTACCGACTACATTCAGAAGCATATGGGTGCACCTACCGTGGGCTATGCTGAGCAGATTGGACAGGATTTGGTTGATCGAGGTTTCTTACGGCTCGTGGGCAATATGGGCAATACCTTCGCCAACAGCTCCCGCATGAAGTATCAATGGAAGCCTCGAGCTTTCAAGATCTCAGGAATTCCGGAGAAGAAGATCATTATCAGCCGATCAACTACCAACTCTTCACTTGATGCTTTGGCCGATTCTCCGATTGGAAACATCACCGAAACCCTACAAACCTGGAATCCTTTGAACAACCCTCATCCTAACGAAACTCCCGCGCAAAGACTGAAGCGAGAAGCAAGAGAAGCCGACGACAAGTATAAAGCAGGTGTGAGGAGGCTAGATCTACTCAGATGCAACCTTGAAGAATCCATGATGGATCATCTCAAATTTCTCGAACGATGCGAGACGGATCGTCTCAAGGCTATCAAGTCGGTGATACTCGATTTCTCGGGTACCATCAGCAACAGTATTCCCTCATTCCAAAGTCAGGTCGATCACATGATGCTTTACCAAGAAACCATCCAGCCCCTGGGCGATCTGCGATATCTCCTAGAGAATTATCGGACGGGACCATTTGCTCCCAAAGTGACGCCGTATGAGAATTACTATGGAAGCGTTGACGATCAGACTTTTGGTGTCGACCTGGAAGCTAGGGCAAGGGCAGATCGAAAACGAGTACCACTCGTTGTCACTTCGATTTTGACCTTCCTAGACAATCATTATCCGGATCTTGAAGGAGACGAAGCGCGAAGAAATATCTGGCTGGTTGATGTTCCTCTGGCAGCTACGCACCATCTACGAAACCAGATCAACAATGGACAGGCCGTGCCGAGAGAAGTGCTGGAGAAGTATGAAGTGCCTATTGTTGCAAGCGTCTTGAAACTGTATCTGCTCGAGCTTCCTGGTAATTTATTTTGTCCTCTTCTGCTGAGTTTAACTAACACATTTAGACTCCCTTGTCTCATCACAAGTCTATGAAATCATCAAGACCATATACGCAACCACCGCAGATGCAACCCCGAATCCAATCTCGAGCGATTCAATTGACGCCACGCCACGAATCAAAGTCTTGCAGTCGACACTGGGTCAGCTTCGTCTAAACAACATTGCTACCTTGGATGCCATCGCTACACATTTCACCCGATTGATTGACCTGACATCAGCCGATGAAGCTTATATTGTCGCACTAGCCCAGTCTCTGGCGCCATGCATCTTACGGCCACGACTCGAGAATTCTCTTACTCTAGAGGAAAAGCACGCCTACCGACTAATCCGTGATCTTTTCGACCACAAAGAAGCCATATTTGGTGAACTCAAACGCCAATCATCTACAGGTGGCTCTGGACCTGCAAACCGTTCTCGAGCTGTGAGCAACGCCAATCCTGATGAGAGCTCTCGGCGGGCGCACATGGAGGCTCGAGCCAGAGCCATCACCGAACAAAGACAGAGAGACAAAAGTCCAGCACCTACGAACAGACATCGTCGCGACAAGAGCACAGATGGCAGCCTCGGACGATTCCCTGTAATTGCAAGCCCACGCCCCGAGCACGGTCGCTCCCCCAGTGGTGTAGGGTTTCCCACCAAGAGGTCCAGTCTGGAAGTTCCAGGAAGCAACGAGTCTTCGCCGGTGCAACAACGAAATCAATCGGCAGTCAACGCGAATTCCTCGGTCAGGGCCGAGCAGGATAGCACCGCAAATGAGGATGATCAAATGCCATCTTCACCAGTGCCAATCCTTCCTAGTACATTCAGCGGAGGTGGACCTGGACCCCACATTCCTCCTCCTTTGGATGACGACAGCAACGATTCCGACACGCAGTCGCCAGTACCACTTCCCAAAGATGACAAGCCAGCTGCAACCAGTGGCTCGATCAAAAGAGTCGCAGCTGTAGGAAGAAATGCTCCGGGAAGCCTGAAGAGAACACCAGTTCCGAGTCAGTTGCAAGGAGTCCAACTGACGGATCGCCCGATGGACGACTTTTCATGAGACAGGATATGATAAACCAAAAAATGGCATTGGTTTTCTAGCGGGTACAAAACATCGAGTTTGACCAACACAGTCGGAAACAGTTTCTTTGAGTGATGATGGATGTATGTTATTCAGGTGTTTTTTTGTTACCGTTGTTGCTCTTACGAAGCTTGGGTGTTTTTGGGCGCCAGCTGTGTCAATCAACCCTTTTTCCAGTTTCGATAGACTTACTAAGGGCAACGGATATCCTACGTGACACACGAATCGACAGGATGGGGGTTACAGCAGCAATCAGTCTCTTCATTTCCTCTAGGAAGAAGATGGGAGCAGAGGGACAATGAATGTCCATATCAGACGGAAGAGTCGACATGATGTCTATTCTGTCATGTCGAATTCAGAAACGACCGGTAGAGCCATTAGGTAACTTATGTAGTGTAAACTCTAGTAAAGGTAACAACGATATCATACATGGATACCTATACCTTTACAGTGGATGTATGTATATTTTTATTTGCCCTTGAAGTCTTTATCAGCAAAAGCCATGTCTGGTCTACTCGTCCACCCCATCATCGTCCATAGACACACACTTTTCTCACATTTAAATCACTCCTTGTCCTCCTACGATCAAAACCCAGCATTCACCAACCCCATCAAGATCCCCACTCCTGCCTTGACACCATCCACAATATGCACTCTCGCACCAAGTTCAAGACCTAATTCCTCCACACAAGCCTGACGAACAACCTCATCCAAACCCGCCATACCCGCGCATCCCAGACAAATCGCATTCACTGGCCCAAGGGGACTCTTGCCCCTTCTCAACAGTCGCTTCGTTGCCTCCTTCATCTTCTCATTAACCTGCTCCGCCGGCAAATCATGTAGATCTGTTGCATTGAGACCTGTGGTTTCGACTCCCGCGAAGCGATTGGATGAAGAACTTCCTCCGCCGAGAAACGTCACTACGCCTTCACTCAAGGCTTCTTCCCAGATTTTACCGGTCGATACGATTCCGAAGGATGAATCGGTTCCTTGTAATAATGCTAGAGATGAGAGGACGCTGGCTTCGAAAATTCCAGTCACGTATCTCCGACGTCCGTTCTCGATCGCTGCACATGCCGCTTGCAGTTCAGATACAAGTGGATGCTGACTGTAGCATGCGACGAGGATTGCGTCGTGATCGTTGAGTAAGGGTAATATATGGGGTAGACAGATGGAAGTGGATGCCGTAGCGTCGGCGGGAGAGTTGATGCTGGGGATTCCTGGGCTGGGGGAGGTGAAATAGGTGATTTGGGTGGTGGGGTTGGTGGTAGGTGAGGAGGATGTTAAGAGTGTGTTGTTGAGTAGTGGTTCGAGAGACCGGGTCATCGAACCACTTGTGTTGGGGTTGATGATGAGAATCCTCGCTGGTCTAGGGGAGGTGGTGGTGGTGGCCATGTTGATGGGCGATTGAATGTGGGGTGAGAAAAAGTGCAGGGGAAGAGGTTCAACTTTCTCTGGAAATGAGATGGTGTTGAAAACTGGAAAGTGAATATTCTCTTTTCCGAATATTGAATTATTAATTCTTCAGGACTTTGAATTTCTTCTGCTTGATAGGTGGGTCGTCGGGTGATGGAAGAATAGTACGGAGTACTGTATGGTTGACAATATCTTTATGTCCGCAAAGATAAGAAAGCAGAAAAAGGAAGGAAAGATTTGATAACGAGAATCGAGACGATTTTTAGACTTTCTAGGTTTCTTCAACGGAAGAAGGAGATGTTCGATTAATAGGTACTAGGTACCTAGTACTTCAATGATCTAGTCAGGACTGAAAGAGTATAGTCATGAACTCGTCAGTTATTAGATATAAGTACTTAAGTAATTGACCCAAGTAAGGTAGCAATGCCAGAGATACTAAGAACCTCAGACGTGAGGAGAAGATAAGAATAAACACCCGATGTACTGTAGGAAGGGTTCATTGAATGACAATGGCCACTTTGATATCCCGTGGATTACCTCTTGAACCGGAGTCTTAGAGGGAATTACCATGCTTGAGTACTTCAATTGAGAGCAATTCTGTAGAATTTGTTTGATGGGAGTTGGGAATATACAGATCGCTCATATTGGATTTTGTGCCGACACGTGACGAGGTTGGGAGGTAGGGACTTCATCTATTTCATGGCATGGGTTTACTGTCCCGAGGAGACAGGGTCTTATGATGACCAGTCTTGTATAACAAACTCTAGCTCCATCATATGAAACAACCAAACACCAGATCTCCCATTCCTAAGACCCATATATACATCTATTGCTCAGAACCCAGTGACATCGTCCTCGCCCTCGAATGTCTTCTCCTGGAGGCTCAGAGCAATGGCGTTGGCGGTCTTCCACACTCTCAGAAGATTACCTCCTGCAATTTTGCCTGCATCTTTATCCGAGACATTCAACCTTAGGAGCTCAGCGATCAGGTCTGGGTACTTGTCAACCCCTTCTAGACCTCTGGGAGTTAGATCTCCCATTCCGTCAAAATCACTCCCTAACCCCACGTAGTCGTATCCAATCTTTTCTCCGACGTAAATAATGTGTCTTGCGACCTGGTGTAAGGTGTTATTCTTGTCGTAGAACTCAGGCAGGACCGAAGAGTTCGGGGGTGCGAGACATGAAATGAATCCAGGGCTAAAATTGATCATCACGAGACTCTTGGTTTCCTTGACCAGATCGAGGATGTCATCGTGGACATTTCTTGGGTGTTCACAGAGTGTAAATGCAGAAGAATGGGAAAATATCACCGGGGCTGCAGACGTGTTGTTGCTCAAAACGGCCTTCTGTGTCCAGTACGAGGTATGTGAGATGTCCACGAGCATCCCGAGTCGGTTCATCTCACGGACAACCTCTCTTCCCGCAGGAGTGAGCCCCCCTCGATGATAGGGAGCGATGGTTGTCTCTCCCCGTGAAGTGATCAAGGCGGCATCGGCGAAAGCATTGTGACAATTCCAGGTCAGAGTAGCCGCCCGGACGCCCAAAGCATAATACAAACGGAGGGTGGATAGAGGTGCTGACTGGGGAATTTGGTGCAAACCTTCGATGCTGATAGGGGAGATGAGTGATTTTGTTGCATGAAAATTAGTCAATGCAGTTGAGAGGGAACTCGTAGCAGGGGTAAAGTTGGTCGCATATTGGGCCTGAATGCGACGTACCACATCAATTTGTGCGAGTGTACGTGAGACGGATGAGGCATAGGTCTCGTCGGAGAAATCATCGCTGGCGTCATCTGGACATGCGACAAAGGCACTCCAGAAGGAGCCTCCAACTTGGCCTTTGTGCAGACGAGGAAGATCAACATCGCCGCCAGCACCACCAGATTCAAACTTGTCCTTGAAGTCTCCATGCAACTTGTTCTGGTACATCCATCGAATAAAGATGGCTAGATCATTGTGACCATCAATCAATGGGGTGCCGTCCAGGATGGCTGTGACCCTGTCCTCGATCGTTTTGATTGGTCTAGGAGGGATCCGAGGACTTGTCTCTGGCTCGTCTTGTATCAGAGGGCCTAACAAAGTCACCACGAAGGCGAAGAATACGACAATTGTGAAGATGGAGCCCAAGGTGCTGATGGCCGATCTGGCGCTTGATGCAATGCCTTCATCATCTTCTTCATCTTCTTCTGCTACTGGGCTTTTGCCTTGATAATAGATTGTATTATATGGCAGTGATGAGGCTGGAGAGACTGTGGCGTAGTATGTGTTTCCAGGTCTCTTGTCACTGTAGCCTTGAATCTCCGGAGCGGGAGGATCGTTCGGGAGTAAAGGGTCGAGTTCGGAGGATGGAGACATGTTTGGAATTCACTGGTTGGGAAGGGGAACTAGGGAGTTGGGAATGTCACATTGCTGAATGTCATTGGGATATTGATGTGGTCGTCCGCGGGGACGAGGTTGTCATGACAGAAATGTAGCAAGATCTCGGATATCGAATTGCGGAGGAAGATACTGATATGATCACGTGATGACAGAAACCCCGTGACTGCTGGAATACTTGGGAATGTCACATGGCCGGGGACTCCAACAAGGCGCGTTCAGCCCCTGAAAAGTCCCCCAACTGACAACAGGCAGGCGCGACTCAGTGTCCCAAAGCCCAGAGCAACCACCCAAACAGTCTTGGCACGACTTTGCTATGCAGATGACTGCTTTACCGATCCAATCCACTGCCAATGCACGCCATCGACCATCACCATTGGGTACAGTCCTAAGTAGTAGACAGACTGGTCGTTCTTTTAGGACTTTGATTGTAAGTTGTCGTCCTTCACCTTTGCAGGAGACCTTCAGCCTTGATGCCCCCAACCTGAAACGCGTCTCATCTCTACTGTGACTCCAGACTCATCAGACGGGCTCCAGTCATCGATCTCACTCTCACTACGCTCCCCTTGTCCGCCCCAACCTCAACCTTGCTGTCCCCCAGATCCACTCTCTTTTCTCTCGTCAACGTTGGTTCCGTGTCCTTGGGCCCGAAACCTTTACATTAGCCATTTCGCAAAAATTCTATCCTTCCAGACTCTTGAATCCTCGTCATGTCTTGTTGAGACCACTACACAACCTCCCTCCTTCTGGCAACTGCGACCCGCTAATTCGTACCTGCCCTTCTGACAGTCATGTCTGCCACTTCAGGCAATGGCGGAGTGAGAAATCTTCGGGCCATGTTCGAAAACAAGGCCGGCGACCAGTCCACCTCACCACCAAGCCGCGGCCGATCTCCAAACCCTTCTGAACTCTCCAACAACAGTAGACCCGTCAGCAAAGTCCGAGCCAGTTTCGTCGCCGTCGAACGCCCAGGCGAGAACGGCTCCGCTCCCATCCTAGGTCTGAGAAGGGCCAGTGAAGTCAGCAGTCTGGGTGGGATACATGAAAATATGGTCACGGAAGGTAGTGACCTGGACAAGAAGCCCATCACACGAGTTGGATCAGGGCCTGGAAGTGATGCCGCCCAAGTAACCAAGAAGGCCCCATCAAGCAATGGAACCAACGGCGACGGGCTGGGAAAGATACTTAAAGGCTCTGCTTTCGAGTCAAACACTCCCTCAAAACCTCCGAGAATCTCCCCACAAGTTGAGAAACAAGACGGCAGTTTCTCATCTCCACGGACCCTGCAGAAGGTGCCCAAATCACCTGCCAAAGACAAAGACACTTCCAAGGCGGCCGAGATGGTCAAGAAAATGAAACCCGTCGAGGGCACAAAGCCAGGGCCTGCCCCAACCACTCATCTGCAAACCACTAAGAGCGCACTGCCGGTCAAGTCTCTCCCTACGAGAATTGCCACCAAACCGGACCCCAAATCTCCGACCTTGTCGAAGCCGTCCCCCAAGACACCCACATCGGCAGGAGTGGCAAATATCAAAGGTGGCCCGGCAAAAATCAAGGGAGTCATGGATTCGGCAAGACAAGCACAACAAGCAAGAGCTGAGAAGCAAGCGTCAGACAAGCCATCAGAAAAGGCGAAGACGGCACCGAAGATAGAGACCAAAGTAGCGTCCAAGTCGACGGAGACTCCCCGTGCAGGCCAGAAGGCTCCTTCTTCGCCTCATTCCACAAGGTCAGCGATCTCAAGTGGCCCCAAGTCTCCCCTTCGACCAGTGAGACTTCCATCTGCAGCCACCGCAACGACTGCGTCTGCTGCCGCCAAAGACAGTCACCACCCCTCCCGCCCCGAAACGGAGACTCGAAAGTCGGTCGCAAGAAGAGCATCAACACTCTCGGTTAGACCACCTCGAGTCAGTACGTCGTCCGTGGCTACTCTGAATAAGAAATCCTCGAGGGCATCGTTGGCGAATGGACATGAAAAACATGAACGACCAGTCTCACGGGTCAGCACAAGCACGGCTAGGGCAGATGAAGGATTTCTGGCAAGGATGATGAGACCAACAACAAGCAGTGCACAGAAAACGCATGACAAAATTCAAGTGAATAGCCCCCCGCGCCTGAGAACATCTACTTCTCACCGACCCAGAGAGGGATCCGCGACTAAGAAGCCTCCTCCGAAGATGCAACAGCTCAAGAGCCAGCCTCCACCAGCAGTGCCAAAACAGGACCACAGCCAGCATGCTGACCCAGTGGAAGTCGCGGATGAACAAGTTCCTGAACCGACTCAGCCTGAAATCACGCAACAAGCAAGTGAGAGCGTGACAGTGCCTCCACCAGCGGCAGATGTTCCTGTGCCGGCCGTCGACAAAGAAGAGGAGACTCAGCCAGAGGCAGATGTCCCTCAGATGACTGTCGACAAAGAACAGGAGGTTCAGCCAGAGAACTCGAGCGAGGAACCAGCACCCATCAATGGTAATCTGGTGCTAGTGGAGCAGGAAGGATAGCATTTTCCACTTGGTGACATTTCATTCGGTACCAGTTGAACCATGATCAGTTATAGCGATTTAGCGATTAGCCATTCGAAGATAATATTCTTGCACAAGCCCATCGAATGCCAATTTTTTCGAACAAGGTAGACAAGATGAGAGCTAAAATTGCATTGACTCCTGTGAGCATGGGCGTTGCATGGGGAGCTGGTGTTCGTAGCCGTGCTTTGAATGGAAGCCAGAACAGGTTAGCGCATATTTTCACTCTATTCAGACCAATTTGCGGCCATGATTGAACTCTTTCCAGACTTCATGTCTTCATCGTGTTCTATTTGACTGTCCTTTGGATTATTGAGACCAGTTTCCGTGCAACATCCCTTTGTGTGAGATGTCTGAGAAGACCTGATGCCGCTATTCTCATTCTCATCCGGACGTGCTGTCCACTTTCTTCCATCTTCACCAGCAAGAGACTTGCCTGAACAACGCGGCTCTTTCTGTTGGATGCCTTTCCCACCTCATGATTTTCATTGTATGTTGCTGAATCAACGTCGCTTGCTGTCTTATTCACACCCTTATGCGACTGACGGGATCTCATTTACTTCACCCTCTTTCATAGGGTGGGCCACGCTTCCACCCAGTCTTTCTTTGAACCAAGTGTCAAAGAGATGATGCCTCACTTCTAGCTCCTCATAGCTCTACGTAGTCTTAAGGTAGGTCTGCAACCTCTTCTATCGCTCCCTCGCCTGTCACAATTCAATCTGCAATTCATCTTGCACCCGACAGTCCTACTGAGGGTTTCCCTTGTAACCATAACCCGATCACTTAGAGACATAAGTTCCAGCGATCATGAAGTTACCTGCAGTCTCTGCGGCCTTGCTGATGGCTTTGAGCCTTACTGGCGCGGCAGCCACTCCCCATGAAGATCCTAATGGCTCCGTTGAAAAACGAGAACCTCCCAATGGGGGTCCCCCAGGAGGTCCCCCCGGCGGATTCAACAGTGGAAGTGCACCCTCATGGTGGGGTGACAAACCTAGGCCTACCAATGGTGGTCCTAATTCTTGGGGAAATGGAGGTGGAGGACCACCAGGTGGTGGTCCAGGAGGCGAAGGTGGTTGGGGAAAGGGTGGCGGCGGCGGTCCTGCTGGCGGTCCTCCTGGTGGTGGTGATCATCAGTGGACTGGCAGGCCCACTGGGACAGATGCTCCATGGGGTGGAAAACCAACAGGCAAACCATCCAAACGCGACGCAGAACCAACAGACACTGACGGCGAGGACGACGGCGACGGGTTTGAGCTTCCCACCGACTTGGAACCCACTGGGGATCCTCTGAAAGTGAATATTCCCAAAGGTGTGGTTTCAGACGCCAACGGCAAACCCATGATATGTGGATGCTGGCATTTGAAAGAGGGCGTCAACGCCACCAGCGTCAGAAACGCCACCGACTTACCACATCCTTCCGGTCCCGAAAAGCCTGGCGAGACACACGCGCCTGGTGAAAAGGTCAAGCGGATGTACATCTTTAGATGGGACGAGTCGCAAATAGGAGGCCATTGGGGTAAATACCTCGAGTTTGGCTCCGGAGATCCTGACGACCCGCTCTTCGACTTCAAGCGCTATGGCGCCATCAGCAGATTTGGCTGGAAGCAAAAGCGTGACTCTACAGCTGGCGGTTAATTTTGACACATGCACCCTCCAGGAAGCATGTCCGATATGATTTTGTCGTTAGGAGAGCCGCGAGCCGCCTCATGATTTTACCGTTTTTTCGTCCCCCCACATCAAGATGAAGCCAATACCAATATCAATACCAATACCGGTCTCGAGCTTTCCTTGCGCTCACGAAAATTGAAAATTGGATTCAAATCTGGATTGGTTGTCATCATCAGCAACAGGCACTGGACACTATTATCTTCTATCTTCTAACACTCGCTTACTCACTCAACTTTCAAACCCATTCAACTATAACACAAGCCATCGACGATCATGGACCCACCAACAATGCAATATACAATAGAACTGACCTCTGACTTATCATTCAATCAAACCCGTCTTCTCCCTTCCCCCCTACCTCCCTTCCTCTAAGATTCATTCTTTTATCACACGAGCCCATCCATCCATCCATTCATTCAATCAATATTCACGTTATCACAGTAACGAATAAAACAAACACCAACCGGCTGTCTGCACGAACCCAACAGACAATATATAAAACGATATACAAATCCAGGCGCCTTTTGTTTCATTTTCAATTCATTTCACACCCGACCAGAACTTTATCTTGTCTTGAAGACGACATTCTTCATTCGTAAATCAGCCAGCGCACATTGATGGATGGGTGGGCTGATCGACTACTGACTTCGGGGGGAGGGTAGGAGGGAGGGCTATGGATTTTAAGCTAGGCATACCTAGGTATGCATGCATGCATGCACGCACTTGGATCTAGCTTGGGCTTTCTGTCCTCGAGGGATCGATCACATTCATTCCTTTGGTCACTCCAGCCGTCTCTTTAGGTTAGGACCGAGTTGTTTAAGCTCATTTATGATCATATCACCACCTTTTTCCTCATCTTGTTGATTATTTAGAATAAGATAGACATCAAAGACAAGTCTTCTTACAACTGTGAATCGCTTCTCATGACCAATTCTTGCTCAACTATTGCATTCGTAGTCTAACTTCTACGGGCAAAGGCTGAAGAACCATCCCATGTTATCATTCCTTCGTGGTATCTTATTACACTTTTCAACTCCCATTGTTCCATGTTCCAGACTCCAAAGGCCAAGATTCTTCATGGTCACCACATGTGCTGTCTTTAACTGAACCGATTTTGTGTGCGTACAGATACGGCCAGGTTCGAGTGATCTATCGCAATGAATGCAAACTTGCTCCGAGTCCTCTAGGTCTCGATCTAATGTCCATTGGTGGTGGCGGCAGCAGAGCCCAGTTTCTCCCTTCGTATCCTCACGCTGTTTGCAAGAGTTTCCAATACTGATTCGGTGTCTTCCCAGCCGATACAGGCGTCTGTAATTGAAACGCCATATTTGAGGCCAGCCTTGCCTTCTTTGGGAACTTTCTGGTTGCCTGCGAAATGAAAGATGATTAGCTTCGAGACCCCATGTAAATCTTGTCAAGGCTAGGAGATGCTCAACTGACCTTCGTTGATATGACTTTCAATCATGACACCCATGATGGACTCTTCACCGGCCTCGATTTGATCAGCCAGGGCCTTTGCCACTTTTGGCTGGTTCTTGTGGTTCTTCTCGCTGTTTCCATGCGAACAATCCACCATGAGTCTGGGGTTGAGGCCCTTTGAGGCGATTTTCTCTTTTGCCTGTTTCAGGCTTTCAGCGTCGTAATTGGTTCCGGTTGTGCCACCCCTGAGAATCACAAAACAATCTTCATTCCCGACGGTACCGACAATTGCCACGACACCAGGTTTCGTGACGGACAAGAAATGGTGAGGGTGTCTGACAGCGCCAATAGCATCAATGGCAACGCCTAGGGTGCCGTCTGTGCCGTTCTTGAAGCCGACGGGGAAGGAGAGCCCGCTGGCAAGTTCACGATGAAGTTGACTCTCGGTTGTACGCGCACCGACAGCACCAATACTGAGCAGATCGGCAAGGAATTGTGGTGAGATGGTGTCCAACATTTCACTGGCAAGGGGCATTCCCTTTGCAGTCAAGTCGACGAACAACTGCCGACTGAGTCTGAGGCCTTTATTGATGAGGAAACTGCCGTCGATCTCAGGGTCATTAATCAAGCCTTTCCAGCCGACAGTTGTGCGTGGCTTTTCGAGGTAAGACCTCATCACAATGACCAAATCATTTTGGTATTTCTCTTTCAATTTGAGCAGTCTTTCGCAGTACTCGAGAGCGGAAACAGGATCGTGGATACTGCATGGTCCGATGATGACTAGCAGACGGCGGTTCGGGTCTGTGCCTTGGACGACGGCCACACACTCGTCACGACCCTTGAGGACAGTAGCTTTGGAAGCGGCAGTTTGGGGAATTTCGTGCTGGAGGAGATCTGGTGGTGTGAGAGGATTGTAGCCGCGAACTATTCACAACTGGTCAGTCCAAGGTCGGAACACCAAGCAGGACAGGGCATGAAGCGTACTTCTCCAATCCTCGGTGCTCTCTTTGTTGCCAACATTGGCGTTATTGATATAGTAGGACTGTTGCAAACAAAGTAGAAAGTCAGTGAGACGAACATGATGGGAAAAATGCGGGGAAGGAGCGAAAAAAAGTTGGGTGGAAAGAACGTACAGCCATGATTGGAAGGAGCGTCGGACGGCAGAAGGGATTAAATGGCAAGAGAGACTCAAGACTGTGTGGTGTAACTGGTGTCTCTGCGGCGACGAGGTGCAACAATGATCGAGGATCAAGTTTAATTCAAGAAAACAATACCTAGGAACAAAGTGGAATGAGAGCGGTGACTCGATTGACCAAGGGGATCAATTTTTTGGTAACCTGCGGAGAGGTGGAGAGTGGGAAGGAAGCGCCTAATTGGGTTCGTCGACCGTGGATTCGAAGAAGCGCAAAGCCGAGCACCACTCATTATTGAGTCATTATTGTACTCCGTACAGGTGACAGGATCGCCACCAGGACAGGCCCGAGAGGGCCCTCGGGCCTGAACCAGCACGGCCAGTCTGGCCATTCAAGCTTTGCTTGCCCATTGTTCTAGACTGGGATCGCCATTCCTCGACTTGCTGGCCTGAGGGGCCTCCCATTGGTAGCATCTACAAGTGCACATTCATCTAGAAGCCCTCAATCCTCGGTTCCTGCATGATGCACGAGACGCATCGTTTCCTCTTTGAAGCGAAGGCCATCCATTCATACCCAGGCCAGCCAATCTACTGTAATTTGCCAAACCTCTTTTCTGGGCCAATCGTATATAGATCGTCGCTCTTCATATTCCATCCCTCAATCCCATCTTCTAACGCAATTTCATGCCGATATTATGCTGTCAGGGCTGCTTCATCCTTCATCTCTATCTAGATAATCCGTGAGCATCTCTAATAATTACGATCCATTGATCCCAGTCGTCACAACCTTTGCGTCGTGGAAAAGGTCTAGCAAGCAGCCTGCAGACCACGCTTGGGTGGGTGACTATGACACATAAGTTAGCACGCTCAGCTTGGTATTGCAATGGACGGGAACATACCGAGTCGCCACAAAACGAGCCATCTTTGTTGGTCAGTTCTGTCAAACCCTTCCAGGGGCTCTCTGTAATAGCTCGCTTGCATCCCTCCAGTCGTCGAGTCACTTGCTGGAACGACTCGAGCCGGCCTGCCGGACTGTCGCGACGCAAGAGGTCAAACTTGAGCAACGCCCGCAAGAAAAATCCAGTGGGCCACAGCCATTCTGGCCCTTGATGGTAGTTGCGGCCTTTGGATGTTGCAAAGTCGGTGGAATCCTCAGAGTTGAAATAATAAGGTCGGTAATTTAGGTCTGAAGGGTCAAGAGTTGCCATCCCAGTCGGTCCCCGGAGGAAGTCATCTGCTGCTTTCAGTGCAATCAACGCCTTGTTAGGACTGAACAGATCCGGAGCCACCGTCATGGCTATCGTGAAGTTTGGTCGCAGCTGATAATCTTCGTACTCTTTGCCGGACTTGTATAGATCCTTGTAGATCCCTCGTCGATTGATGATTTTGGGGTCCACATCGTCATCAACATCATCTTTGGGATCGACCGGGACCCAGTAGCAACGCTCAAAGTTGGCTTTGATACGCTCAGCCCAATCTTTGAACGAAATTTTGTGTCCTTGATCCGTATCCACGTGCGAATATTGATACTGCCCACTTTCAGAAAGCCCTGACACCCACTTGAGCGCACTATAGGAGAGGCCGGTGATTTCCACAGCAGCTCCATCTCGAGGTGTCCCTGGAACGCCCTTACTCCCTGCACGTTCGCTTTCGCCCATCTTGTCCATCCAGGTTCCGCAATTGAACTGACTGCCGCCAAAGATGATGCCCGTCTGCCAGTCGACCTTGACGTCAATCTGGAAACCTTCCGGCTTCATCTGCATGTCAAGATTGGGCCCTGCATTGTGCTCGCGGAATGAGATGCCAGACGCATGTCGCTGCAGGATTTCTTGAATGATATCTTCCACGGTGGATTCCTGAGAATACGCTCGCGGATCATCATGTGGAAACCAAGTGTCGTCATATGGCAAAAATCGACGTGGCACCTTTTCCTTCAGAATGGAGATGCCATCCGGCACAATTCTGGTGTAATCTTGGATATTCTGCAGGAAGAACCACGGCGAGTCCCTCGAGTTGTACCGGGGGGCCGCGCCACTGCTCAGCAGGTTGGGTATCAGACCATGTTTCAGGACGCTACCAAAACCCTTGATATGCTCCTTGGCTTCCTCGTGTCGACCTGTGCATAAGTAAAGGCCTCTTAAGGAGATGAACACATCCCGGCCCCAGCACCGGGCCCATTCCACAGAGAAATGCGGTAGTCCTGCTGCTAGAGAAGGAATTGTCTTGTTGGGCCATAACGAGGCAGATTTGACGTAGCCCGTCTGTTGGATACTGACCAAAGCTAGGCTCTGGACAAACCCCTGGCTGTTTCGGATATCTGGACTCATCAGGTCGATGGCTCGCTTGGTCGCGGCATTGTACGCAATTTCAACAATCATCGCAAAATAACGAGGCAGCAGAAAGCTAGGAATGCTTCGCACGGCATCAAAGCGTTCCTTTAACCATCGGGCAGGAGCACTCAGCCGTGAATATCCCTCTTGCTTTGATATCCGCTCAATCCGGCCAACTAGGAAATCCAACGCCCAATGGCCTGCACGCAAATGATTGCATAAGGGGTGGCCAAGGTCATTTTTCCGGACGATGGGCTCGATGACAGACCACCATCCTTGCAATCCTGCATAGACAAGGCGTCCGTGGCCGGGAATGTCATAAACCCCATCCCTTCCGCCGCTCAAATCTCGTTCTTCAGCATCACATCGATACAGCAAAAAGTTCAGGTCAATAAGATCTAGGCCGCCAAAGGCATCTTCAGTGCCGCTGTAGAGGAAGTTGTTCAAACCGAGAGAATGCTCGGCTGTGGGGACCCAGGTCTCGAAGATGGCGATAGAGCCTGGAGGGAAGAAGTCTGCAACTTTGATGGTCGTGTCACCGCCGTCATACTCAATGGTTGCGCCTTTGATGGATCGTACCCTCGAGGGCAGGCCGACGAGATATTCCTTGTCCTCAATTGCTTCTTTTTTGGCAGCAGCACTCTGGTCCACTTCTAGAACCCAAGAACCGACTGCTTTGGCTTTGGTACCAGCGAGATGCACTGGACTCAGACCTCCGTTTCCGTTGCCGCTGCCTGGGAATGCGGTATGAGCGATCAAGAAGTATCCTTTTCGCGAGTCTGGGTGGACCCGGTGAAGCGTAATGAGTTCGTCTTCATGATGTAAAAATGTCTCATCATAGCCATCTTTGCCCATCATGGTATGAATTTGGTTCAAGAGTTTCTTTATTCCGGCGATGCCACCTTCGCCCGCGCCAGAGTGGACTTCGCCCTCCGAGCTAGGTGATGTGTAGAGTCGGTCTTCATGTACGATTTCGACAAGCTTCGGATAAATCTCATCGAATCCCATGACACTCCCAGTGGCACAAGCGCACATGTTGACCAGTGCTGCAGTTGGCAAAGTGTCCCTTGCATCTCTCTTCTGGGCGGGCATTTCATTATCATGGGTGCAATCCATGAACAAGGCATGAACCGGAGATTCCCGGATATGTTTGACGACCTCTTTGGTTTGGGGCCCACTGCCATTTGTCAAAGCATTGGGTCGGCGGTCACTGGACGGCTTAGACACATTGATGTCGAAACTGCCGATCGGACGACCGGACTGTCGGTGGACGACTCTGCTCAATTCCTGCGTACTCCATGCCTGCATGGCTTCACGGATCAGGGCACTCAGCCCAAGGCGCTTCACAAAGATGAAATCAGTTGCTTCGTTGCCGGTGAAGAGCTCAGCAAATACCGCCAGATTTGGTTGGATCTTTCGAGCCTCGTCAAGTAAATATTCGGCGACATGGATAGGAGTGGAATGGCAATTGTCAATTCGGAATGCGGTAAAGTATTTGGCCATCAATTGGACATATTTGGTCATGTGTTCCCATAAGAACGGATTATCCTGGGGTCCTTTGCCGTATCTCAGCTTGACGCAGTCACTCCAGGGAATCAATTCTCGTCGTAGGTACGGACGCCAGTCGGGCCCGGCGTTGTCTTTCATAGCATCAGCTGCCCAGATCCAGCCATTGACAGCTAAAGCCAGAGATCTCGGGTCATGAGTTTGTGTGGTCTCATTCTTGGGCAAACGGGCAAAGTAAGTTTCAATGAGCGGGCTGTCTTCAGTGATAGGTCCCAGCTTAGGGCCATTCGCATCGATTCTGGTGTACTGCAATCTGCCCTTGACCTGGCTGAGAATGACTTGAGAATCCTCGTCGAATTCGCGATAGAAGGGCAAATTGAGCTCGTTCAAAATGTCCTTGATAGCTTCCTCGATGGTGGAGGGATCAAGACCATCTGTAGAACGTCCATAGATAGCTGTCAAGAGGGCAGAGCCGATAGCCGGGTCTACTTTTCTGGAGTAGCGTCCATCAATGCGGGGGCCGTTGAGCAAACCCTTGTCTTTGAGGAAAGTCGCTTTCTCGTAGAGAGACCATTGTTTGACACGATCAAGACCGCCACCTAGAGCATCCGCGAAGCCTCCCGGAGGCAATTTTGTTTCGCCTTTGGTCCAAGAGTCGACCACAGCCTTAGTATCAGCGACAACGTCGACAACGAAGAATTCCCAGAGACGAATTTTGTCAATGACGTGCTCTTTAATGCCAGCAATGACTCTGTCAAGATCACTGCCGCTATTGAAGGTAGTGGGAAGGCCTAGGGACTCGAGATTTTTACCATACTCGAGGAGAGCGTCGTCCAGGACAAGGGCGGATTCGAGCCATGGAGCTGTCACCACGTTGTAGCCAGCCTCTGGGTGCTCTTCCAACCATTTGCTGTTATTGGCGGTGTGGTTGAAAACAACATCGGTCAGGCCAAGGAGGTCATATTCTTCTTCCATGGACTTGATCAACTTGGCCACGCCAACTTCACCTTCTGGAAAGAGTTCTTTGTCAAAGGAGAGTTGATCGTAGAGGCTGTAAGGAGAATTTGACTCTCCGCGAGGCTGCAGAGGAGTAAAATGAATCATGTTGTAGCCTCTTGCACCGATACCTCGGAGGTGTTTGTCCCACTGCTCAGGGTACTTGCCCATGAACTTTGACACGACCGAGAAGATACCCAGAGCATCGAGAGGAAGGCTTGAGCCGGACAGGGTCAGTTTGGGCTCAATGTCAATGTAGTAGGTCGGTGTGCGGGTCGGGGTCGGGGTTTCGACATCGGTGGTCGCGAAGTCTGGCAACGGAGTGTAGGTTGTGTAGAAGGAGAATGCACCGGAAGTGGCAATGGGAATATCGATCTCCAAGGTTCGATTGAAGTCTGGGTGAAGCTTGAACTCGCGAAACCTGTTGCGGTCGAAAGTGAGGCCAGGCTCGGGTATGTTGACCCAGAGGCTGCCTTGTCTGCATATTGAGCTGGCACCTTCGATAGCAAATCGAAGATAGTAGAAGGGTTCGGTGGGGGCTGGTAAGTAGATGTATTCGTTGGGAACATCTGGGGCACCGGAGTCGGTCAAGGGAAGGAGGTAGACCTGGCGGGTACCCTGATGCGTCTTGGGAGGCATCGTTGGGATCGTGAACAAGCTCGAGTGTGTAGGAGAGGGTTGGTTATTTCATGCTGCGGGATGAGGAAGGCTGATGCGGAGAAGGTTCGAATGCGGCTATTGAGACAAAGCAGGTCAGGTAAAGAATGCTGAGGAAGTAAAGGCAATCTAACAATAATCAGGATCTAGGCAATGATGAGTGTCGAGGTACGAAGGGCGAGGATGAACTCAGTGGGAGAAATCATGAGGTCAGTGGTTGTTCTACGGATGCACAGGAAAGTGGTTGTCCCCAACTTCCATGGTGGCGGAGATTTGGAAGAGCGGAGGAACCGCCGGCTGCAAGCGACAGGGTTGGAGGAAGCCACGAGTCTGAGGGGCAGCTCTGCCAACAAGGCGGCGGCATGACGGCGTGGGCGGGTCGGCGACATGGGAAAAAGTCCAAAATTTCAACATTGGGCATTGGGCAACTTGGTTCCTGCATACCGACAGAGAGGTCCACCCTCAGCAAATTCATCCACCATCGAGTTTTGCGGAGCCAGGTTACAATGCCATCGACAGAATGTTGAGTAGAAGCGGTGAGATGGTTGAATACTACTGGACTTTACAAAGATCCCTGCCCCCGGACTTGAAGAGAGGGAGAATCTTTACAACTTCTGGCGAATACTCATTCCAAAATCAGTACATTACATAGGGACATTCTACTCATAGCCGATTGTAAACTTGTGGTGTGCGTGAGCCCCCAAACTGTTAGTAGCCATCACATCTGTTACCGTTGCGACGTCAACAAAAAAATACATTATTAGGCGGACAAAGTCAACCATGGGGCTTTCACATGCTTTGACAGGAGCTACCTCTAGGCTGCACCAGATCGTGTGGGTGTCCAGTAGTGCCCACAAAGGATGTTCCAAGTGGGCAGATGTGCCCCAGAGATGACCGAGGGGGCTTGAGGGAGTGGAAATCAAGGTACAGATGAGTAGATGTCTCGGCCGACGTCATTGATCATTGCCTATTCGGCTTTTTCAGGCTAAGGAACTGACAAACTTCACTGCTAGCGTGGTGCCAGTGGGCAATAGACATGACTATTCTGTTTCGAGGTGGAGGATCTTTGTCAAAGCGCTCAGCTCATGAATGGATCGTAACAATAATTTAATTTTCCATGGAAAAGCCACTCACTTAATCGCATAGGTTTGACTACATTCTTCTCGATAATGCATCGCAAAGAGCGTTCACTGCTCCAAGCAAGTCTCTGAGGTACCAAACGCTTGAGGCTTGCCCTTCGCTACCAAAATCTAGGACGATTGCTTGGATGGCATTTCACAGTACAGAAAGAAAGATCTGGGGTACGGGCATCGGTGGTGCTATTTCAGGATCCTCAGCGACAGATCGAGGGGGTCAAGGTTGGTGGCATGCGTGCAAAGCTTTTGGATACTAGCTTGTGGAGCTCCCGTGACTTGAGGTGCCTCATGCACCTGATTGCAAGCATAGGACGAGAGGTACGATCTGGCGCACAGTACGGAGTAGGCTGTGCTCGTAGAAGCGTCGGGGCCCTTTCCTGAGGGCGGGCGAGCTAAGGCATGGTGTTGTTCGTTTGTTTGCCTCGGCCATCGCCTAATTCCTGGGGGAGGAACTCAGGTAAGCTCTCGGGCCCTCGACCGTGTACCACGGCATCCGGACACACCGTCAGCTTAACTGCAAGCAGGCCGAGCGTGCAAATGAGGTGATTCTTTGCCAAGGCGCCTGGCACGTTGCTTGGGAAAGCCTTGGACGATCCCCATCAATGAGGCGATTTCTCTTACGTCTTCTTTTGCTTTCCTTGGCAATTATCAGCCTGTGAGCACCGCATCTCCTCGCCCAAAGCGCAATTTGACCTTGCACGTGTGACCGTGAAAAGCTTTTGTGCTTGGGGCTTGGGAGTCAGGCGCGATGATGCAAATTTTTGGACAGAAGCGTCAATGCCTCACAGTGAGGAACAGTACATAGAAGGTGGGTCGCCACTGTCAGTGCCAGATGGCTCTCCATCATCTCTACCCACATTCCACTTGCTCAGCGTTTGGACAATTCGATATTGACTCTTGAACCTTACTCTGTCATTCTACTGGCTATCATTCTTCATTGTTTGCCGGAGTTTCGATTTTAGTACAACCTAGGCCCTGAAGCAACAACTCATCGATCCAGCATTCTTTGAGAGACTCTCTTCAGTTCTTGCCCGTTCACCAGGCTCAAGTTACCTGCTCTTGCTTTACAAGATCTCGCAGCCGTCACCTCGTACGGACTGATCATGTCAGACAACAGTCAAACCGTCTTCTATGGCCGTGGCGGCGCAGGTGAGTCACCGTCAGACTTCCCCGAGGCCATCCCCTCGCTAAACATGTGTTGTTTTTTTGCGCAGGCAATGTGACCACCAAAACCGCCCAGTCGCCAAAGTTTGTCGCAGAAACCACACCAACTTTAAAGTCCAAGACGTACACCACTGGCCGTGGTGGCTCCGGCAATATGGCAAAGAATGACCTCCAAAACCCAGAGGAAGCCCGGAAAGCTCAGGATGTTGACATCCCGGGGCTGACTCTTCCAGAGGGATCTCATCATACTGGTCGAGGTATGTCACCTGCATGAAATGATGGCGGTCCAAGAGGAAAGAACCGGACGCTGACGGCACGAAATAGGCGGCGCAGCCAATATATACACCCCTACCGAGTCGGAGCAGCTCCAGGCCAAGCAGAACAATGAAAAGGTGAGGTCCGAGTCATTTCGACGAAGCGGATCCAAGGAGCGCAACGGAGTTCGAGCATTGGCAGACAAGGCCAAGGATGCATTGACGGGAAAGAATTAAATGCCAAATGAACACCAGCTTACTATATGTGCGATCGGAGGAAGGATTTTCATCTCATGTCCGGAGCTGGGGAACCGCCTTTAATTGAGCGTTGAGGCTGCGACGGAGTTTTGTTATTTATTTTCCTCTGACATATGAACTCTTAGTATCAGATATGAAAGCCCCTTTGCATGGCCACAGGCCAGCGGGACAAAGTTGATGTGCGACCGGCTATGCAGGCGCGCTTCCGTTAAACCTACGAGCTAATCAGCGAGTTCAAGAGTTGATCTCTTCTGAGAAAAGCTGCTCAAGCATGAGACCGACCCACTGCTAATCTGGGTTTAAGCGACGAGGATTTGGTTCGGAGCTGAACTTTGGTTGAGCGGCGTGGTGGCAACGGGGGTTATCCCACTTTCTGCAGCCTGAATTTATCATGTGCAATGGGCGCGAACAGGACGAAGAAGGTGAAGATGATAGACCGCAGTGCAAAGTCGCGGAACCCGACTGCGATTGCGCGTTCACGACACTATCAAAAGTGATAGGTTATGTGCCAATCTCGACCGCCGCCGATTTGCTATGACATTAGGATGCAGACTTGTCGATACGGATTAGAGGCTTGGTGAATCAGTTTGGCTTGATGGCTGCGTCGTCAACCTGCAACATGAAAATCGATCTAGCTCTGCATGATAGTCCCAGCCTCGAACTGATTCTGTTCACGCCACTTGCACACATGCGGATCAAGATTCCACGATCAAAGACCGTGTGACTTTCCGGAGCTTGACAGGTACGACAGGTCAAGGCTCCGCCTCGCCTCGCTACGCAGCGTGACGCCTCATGAACGGGGAAAGATTGAGTTTGCTTGGCTTGGTGAATGCACGATAGAACTTGGGTCCTGAGCCAGTCGATGCAACCGCTCGTGCCGACAGAGATGTCTGCTTCTACTCCGTACTCCGTAGATCGCGACACGTCCGATCAAGGGCACGGAAACCTTGAGCGCCTTTTACTAAGTAGATCCGTAGGCGGCAGCTAGGTGTTTGGGAAGGCCCACCCGACCAAGAAACTCAGGTTGGTTTATGTTGGAGGGCAGAGTTGCACCAGGTTTGTAACCCCTCAGCAGATCATGCAAGCCGCAAGGGTTATTACCTAGTACCTTAGGGCAGCGGTCGAGTCGCGGCGCAACTGTAGAGGCCGACTCAGGCACATCTATGCATGATTAGCCTCAGGCAGAGGTGCATAAACATTGTTATTTTTATTTCTATTATCATGATCCTTTATTATCCTGCATCGCGTTGTCTCTGTTCGTTTAGCACGAGAGCTTCTGGTGCCTTTAGGGAGGCTGTAGGAATCCCAAGGACCCCGAGGGCCCACCTGAAGCATCTTTCTTGCATGAGGGGGTGGGTCGCCACATGATGCGAAAAATACGGGAGATATACATGATCGGCGAGGTGATCCCCCAGTGTCCCCTCAAACTTCCAAGGCTAGATAGCGTTCTTTTGACGGCATCGAGTCTAGACGTCGAGGCCTTGAACAGGAGGAACGGGATGACTGAATGACTCCATTGGGAGTGACGACAAGTATGAGCTCATTGTGCTCCTACGTTCGCAAATCCACTCTACCTGTGTAGTATGGGCATCGTGGATCGATCATGGCAAGTCGGCGGCTATGCAAGTCGAAGCAGCGTTAGATCGAACAATTACTACTGGCTTCTCAAAGGGTCTCGGCGAAAGGGTCTTTAACAGGAGCTGCAACTAATTTTGAATCGCAAAGAATCAGTGGACATTGTTATTGGTTCCGTGAATCGAGTCCTACTCCGTACACTTGATAACACAAGTCTGCGCAGCTTAACCTCCAGAAAGATTGGAGTTTCCAGTACCTGACCAGAGGTGCCAGGTCGCTTAGGAAACCCAGTAACATGACGTCTCTGTCTGCCCGGACAAGACTATCGATTGACTACGGGCTCGGACGAGGGGCTCTCCGGGCAGTTGGCACCTAAACCCCCACCTATAAGACGTTAGAATTGGGCTACGACTTATGCATCTATAATTTGCCCAGCGCACCAGTTCGCTGGTGCCTCCGCTTCCGCTTGGGCTCCCCTCTCTGGAATAAAAAGGGTCCAGGTTGACGATCCGAAAGATCCGAGGGCATCTTGTTGGTCCAGCACTTTGACTTCAACATTATTGGGACCAATACCATAAGTAGGTACTCGAGGGAATACTCCGTAGATTCACTTGGTCAAAGCATTGGCAGCCGAGTCAGGCATAGTTGAGGATCTGAGTTCATGATCGGCGTGAGCTCCAACCCACACGCACCACCACCACCATACCGGCTAGGATCAACTATTGTTGTAGATCAGCATCTGTAAAGCTTCTTTAATGTGGTACCACGTACTACGGAGTAGGTCCCGTCGCCCTTTGTTCTAAGCGACTCCGCCTTTGGCCTACGAACACGCGTGTGCCATTTGCTACACGGTCTTCTGACGTGCCCTAGAAGCCTCACCGATTCAGTCAGGTCTTATCGACACATGTTCACAGCAGCATGACACGCGCACATTGCAGACTTTGAATTCAGGAGACTTTCTACAGATGATAGATGCTACGGGCGCATATGCGTCTCTCATCAGGGCCGCATGCTGTAGAGTCCACATTGACACTACACCAATTACGCTCCTCTCATTTGTGGGGGGCTCAGAGGTAGGCGCACATTATTTCATCTTTTTGCTGCGCCCAAGGTTTGGCTGCAGTGGAAAGCTTCCCAGATGCCCAGCTCCTCCGTTGGTACCTACGGAGTAGGGAGGTTCTGCACCCAGGTCCACGCCCCAGGTCCGCACCCAGGTCCGCGCCCATGGAGGGCCTTGGGCCTTGTTCTTTTAGCAAGCAATACTTAACTTTTGTGCTATAAGGAGTATATCTACCTTAAGTACCCATGTCTTGCCTATTACCCGTTGTCTGTTGCTCGTCTCATCTATCACTGAGCTTTGTTTCTATCTCGCTCGAACCACCGGTATCCTCTATTCAAGTGCCCATTAACCGACAGATTCATCCACGAACCCCTAGCCCTTCCCCGACACGAGGCGAGGCGAAGTCCATCAAACTTGCCACTGTCCATCTTCTACTCGAATGAATGATTATTCCCTACCTTGATCCCAATACTCTGGACCTAACAAGGATTGGTCGGCCTCAGCGCCCATCCCGTCATTGTGGTGAGTGCTAATCAACCCCCCCTGGCCCATGTCCATGCAGCTATGCCTTTTGCCTACGCCTTTGTTCAAGCCACTCAAGCCCATGGCCATATCCATCCTCTCTTATGGTCCCTGCAACCTTGAGCTGCACGTTCAACGTCCAACGGTTTTGTGTCCCCCCAATATCCAGACACGCCAGACACTCCAGTGCCGTACATCTCGGGCTTGGGCCTGGCCTGTTGTCCTTGTCCCTTTCTTTGCCATCGTTGCACTGTGGCACATGGTATCATCGCAATTGATGTCCCAGACCACTAACCGACCCGCAGACGATTCTCCCTTGGTATTCCTTCTGTCCGCTACTGCACCTTTCTTCATCCCCGCTCTAGTCGATTGTCAATTTGTCGAGAGGACCAGTCAGTTATCCGACCATTTGGGCTCCCACTCAACCTCCGTGCCTCCACTCCTCGCCTGATCCACTCGGCTGGCCACCAACCGACCCTGTCACGCCTGTGCCCTGTCCCCTACGGAGCCCAACTGTCACGCTGTCAGTCTTTTCCCCGTCATCCTGGTCTCTCCCTCCCTGGCCTCCCTGGCGACATCAATATCGCCCAGCCTGTCAGGTCATCAAAATTTACTCTGCATTCCATTATCCTGTTTAAGTCATCCCTCCGAATTTTCAACGGACTCGCCGCCCACGAGGTTGTTCATGGCTGTTTGACAAAAGCCTATTTCTGCCCCGAGACCCTGCTACACGCCGACTGACTTGTTTGCGGACCTCATCTCATCACAGCCTTGCAACCTACCTCCGACGCCAGTCTAACTCAGGTAGTTTGCTCCTTTTCTGTCGCGAGTGCCGTGGCAGAAGTGAGGTGCAATTCGCCGTTCCATTATTACTGCTCAACCGGCAAACTACAATTCTCCACGCCATTTGAGCCATCTACCATTTTCCATTTATTACACTTTCTTTCCCGGACTCACGCGCTTTGCGTCAAAATAGCCACTCCCCACTTACCACTCGTTGCCGATTGTATGGTTGAGATCGAGCAGTGTCTTAGTACTTGGCAGGGAACTCCTAGCGTCGTCGATACTAAATCCCCTACAAACTCATCGTCGACCAACTTCGCCTCCGGACATTTTGCTGCTGGACAGCCAATCCTGTGTCCAAATCACTCTTTTTGACGCCGGGACACAAGGGCACAGGACACAGGACACAAGCCTCAGGACGTTTTAGTGCAACATTTGCCTTGACCCTTCTCCTCCACAGCCGAACTTGCTGCTAGTTTGTCCCAAAACTTTGTATCAAGTACTCCGCCAAAGTCGACGTCTGTCCAAAACTACTCTGGTCGACCTCTGGAATTCCCTCGACATTCGGAGCCAGGTTAATTCGTGGCTTGATCTCAACATTTACCTCTCTACTAGCTTTTGCAAAAGTTGGGTTCTTGTTCGGCGTGGGTCCTGATCGAACCATCCGTCGCTCTTTCTCCGTGCAAATCCACATCACCGACGTCTGCCATTTGCCGCTTCTCACTGTTCGGCAGGAGGACCTCAGAGATCCACATTTGTCATTTCTAGAGATACAAAGATGTATGGGAATCCCTCACGACCTCGTCTACCTCCATATTCTCTGCCACCACAGCACAACATGTCTACTCAGCATACCGTACCTCCCCAACATACTCTTCCTCCTATCCACGGAGCAAGTTCTCAACATGGCATCCAGCCACAGCACCAGTATTCCTCTTCTAGCAACCCACCTCCATCACATCAGCAGCGGCATCCGGCACCTCTTTCGCTTGCAACACAAAACCCTGAATCATTAAACTATCCAGGCTATAACACCGTGGCCCCCCCTCCTCCCAGTCCATCCCAGGCGAGTGAAGTCGCCGATGATGGCAACTACAATCTGCCCGAGATTCCTCCAGTGAGTCGAGTATGGCGCAACTATGTGTGGGCTCTACAAATTGTTCAACAGCCCATCCGTGCCAGAATGTGTGGCTTTGGCGACAAGGTAAGTACCATTCATGTGACCAACCCGTGTGAAGTTTGACTCGTATAGGATCGCCGCCCTATTTCCCCTCCCCCGTGCATCAGACTGATCATCTTTGATCCGGTTTCGGGCAACGAAATCGATTATTCGTAAGCAAGATCTTGACGACTTCGTCAAGGATTCATCTGACCTCGTCGTAGGAAGGTGTCGGATCTCTCCTGCCTCGTCCTGAATGTGGACCTATGGAATCTTTCAGGTACGCGAGAGGACAATCTCGTCAGACACAACAACGCATCGCCTTCCATTTCCTCGGTTTCCACCACCGCTTTCGTTGCCCCCGTCAACCCTCCGACCTCCATGTCCTCCAAGCCCGCCCCTTATTCGGGAGAAGTTCCCTATGGGCCGGTGCCCCCCACCCCGGCCTTTTCACCTGTCTCGACTTCGTCAGGCTCTGCCATGAGTCCAGATGATCCAACTGGTCATGGTAACGGCATGCCAGGATACCACCACCGAAACCCCATGCATCCTTACGATCACCATCCCTCGCAATACCAGAACGGCTATGCGCCAAACTACAACTCTCAGGCAGCAATTGCAAACATGCCACCAGGCATGTCATCCTCTCCATCTGCACGTTCAAGCCAAGACTTCGGCGCACCTCGAGACATGAGTGAACGTCCTCTGATTGCCAAGAATCTTATTGGGAGCTCATCATCTAGTGCATTCAAGCTTGCCGACGAGGATGGCAAAGTTGGTCTGTGGTTTGTGCTGCAAGATTTGAGTGTCCGCACCGAAGGCTGGTTTCGGTTGAAGTTGAGTTTCTTCAACCTCTCGGCACAGGAAATTACAGCGGGTCTTGATGCACCGCAAGGGGACTTGCTCGCTGAAGCGCCTTGTCTCTCGTCCATTTTCAGCCGTCCTTTCAAGGTATTCAGTGCCAAGAAATTTCCTGGTGTCATCGAGACCACAAGCCTGAGCCGACAGTTTGCTCAACAGGGGATCAAAATACCAATTCGCAAGGATGGACACGGTAAAAAAAGAAGAAGAGACGGTGACGATGATGACGACGATGACGAAGGCGACTATGATGAGTAGACATCGTGGTGAGTAGAAATCGCCGACTTTGGACAAAGACTCTTCATAGAGTGCCATGTTTGGTCATGGCCGCCCACTGGATCGATAGATTGGAATAGAGTGGGCACACAGCAGAAGTCGTCCTCGCACAGGAAGCTTGCATGTACGGCGTTGGGGTTTGGACAATTGAGAAAACCTGTCTGCGCGGTTGACTCGCAGGCTAATCGCTAAAGGTGGTGGACAGAGCCTGATGGCCTGCTTTGATTCATCCTGTTCATGATGTTTGACACGAGATTCCCATTGAGAATTGGGGTAAAAATGGACTATTTAATAATTGAGCGATCGACCCATGTGTCGATGATTGTACTTTTTTTTTTCTCCCAGCGCCAAGCAGTATCTTGTAAGTGGTGAAGCAAGCATCCTCCATGGGTCCGTCATCACGGTAACAGTGCAGCTACCTCTCAATTCCTACTGTTACCGAGACCATTGTTGACCTTGTCCACAACCAGCCTGGTGATGCCTGGGCCGTCGATTATAGGTTGCATGGCATACAAGGCCGCAGAATCCCGAAATGGCTCTTCTGTGGCTCGAGAACCCCGGGCCCCGGACCCCGAATCACACGTCGATACAAATCCACGCAGAGCAGCAACGAGTGAAGAACCGTCTAGATACGTCATGATAGCCGCGATGCTGGTTGGGGCGCGCGGGAGGATGGAGTGCGGCCGGAAGAGGAGCCAGAATGAGGAGAGCATCATGATGCCAAGGATGGCGAGACTGACAATGACCGAGACCTGGAAGCCGAGATACGAAGTGGAGCTGCTATAGGGAATGGCGGCAAGGGTGGTGGTGATCACGTCGCCCAGAACTGCGTTGAGTGACATACAGGCAAGGAACCAATGGCGACGGACTAAATTTGTGGGCAATGCCGTCACCGGCAGCGTTGTCGTAGTCATCATGATCGAATCGCGTCCTGCTGTCGGTCCTCGCAACAGTCGCTGGTATGGCTCTTGCTGCCGTGCCTCATATTCAATCACTGACCAGCCAGCTGAGATTCCCAGCCCGATCGTTGTCCATAGAAACCGCACCCCACGTCTCTGACTGTCCATGAAATGCTCAAGCCCAGTCTGGAGATCTCTCGTCCATCGGTAGTATGCGACCACGCTGAATACAGCGGCGAGAATGACAAAAAGGCCCAGGATCAGAGTCCGTCGGGTCCATCGCTTGCGGTTCATTTTGGCCGAATTGTCTGGTAGTTCGGTCATTTGAGACTCAGTCTGGGACGTTGGTGAATATGGAATGTCAGGGTTGTATTTGAATTCGATCGAGTCTGCTTGCTCAATTTCCTGTAGCTCGATCGCGGGCAGACCCTGAGTGACAATCAACTGTAAACTCGAGGATGATGGTGATGCAGCAAGTCTCCATGTGGTGCCCCTCAGGGTGTCTCTGATTGTTTTGGATGTGGCATTGCCCGGGATGCCTTTTAGCGCTGCTGAGACAGTGGGGTGGCCCATAAGCGAAGCCACTGCTGCAATACTGCTAGGGTCGCGCGAGAGAACTGACTTTAGCCTTCTGGCTGACCATGCCAGGACGGTCAAAAAAGCTGCATCCAAGACGGCTATCCCTAGAAGCACTCCAAGAAGGGTCTTGTTGAATGCTAAAGATGGGGTGCATTCGTCGCCGTTGTGCTCACTAGCAGAGCACCCGCCCTTGACATCGGCCCTGACCTTGAAGGTGACGGCTTCGGATGAGATGGGGACGGCGAGTGTGGTGAGCAGGGTCAGAATCGCCGCGATGATTGCTAATGCAGACTTTTTGCCATGCTTTAGACTTCCAAAGATACCGGCCCACCCATTTGGTTCGAAGCAGACAGTTTCTGCAGCGGATGCACCCTCTGGACGTAATAGATGCCGATACGGAGTGGCAAGCAGAAGATTGCGGTGCAGGCTTGACCAGAGGACCCGGTAAAGAACAGCGGTGATTGGAGCTAGATATGTCCCCAAGAAGTACTCGCCCGTGGTGATATTGAGGAAGTTAGTCCAGCTTGAGGGCGGAGGAGCCCCTAAACAATCCGGGCAGTCGGCCGTCAGAGTCTCGTTGATGCTTGTACCTCCCTTTGCGTGGAGTGATAAGCCAGCCAGGGAGACGAACAGTACGTTCAGGAAAACCAAGGCGATCATGTAGGCTGATCGAATAGAAGCCGGCTTGTAGCCATCACGGTGTGAGAAGAAAGCCATGGAGGCAACAAGCAATTCTCTTCGTCGGTAAGATATGTCGAGAATGGAATAATGTTGTTTGTAAATTGGTTCTTCGGCGCTGGAAGTCGCGGATGGTGTGTGTCACTGGACTTATCTGGTCCCATCGAAATACATTGAAGTGAAATCCATACAGAAATTAGCCTGCATGACAGTGAGGCTTCTGGAATTAGCACTAGGAACCCAGCAAACGAAGTGATGTCTAAGATATTCAGATGATACCAGAGAGTTATACAGACTCGACTGGGAAGGACTTCAGCCTCCGTCAGAAAAACCTACCTCGTTCAGGTACTCATTACCTATGCCGCAGTGACAAACCTTGCCAATGGTGATGGTATGGTAGCAATGAGATGGACGAAAACAGCAGCCAATCGTTCTCCACAATGGCCTCTGAGCCGTGTTGCAACGCCCAATTTATTGGAGCTGCGAATCGCAAAGGTACATTGAGCCAGCGGGGTTTTTCCCACCACCTTGCGGCTGAGCCATGAGTAAGGTTCCTGGTGTCCAGAGCCTTTCTCCGGCCAATGCTTCTGATATGGAAAGGGTGGATCAGGAGTACAGTCTGGAGACCTCATCCATGGAGGGAGCAGCTGTTGGAGGTGAAGCTGTCAACTACTGGAAATAGACTCAAAAGAAACCAATTACCAGTAAAAGATCCCCAAGACTTGAGGGTAATGAGGCTAAAAGCGTTGAGTCAATTGATGGATGGACTTACTTCTAAAAAAAAGATGAACTGAAGAGGCGCAGTTTGTTAGGTTGGGCCTTCCTCTTGAGGGCAGGTGCCAATGGGGAGGATTGTCACGTGTCAATTCCTTCCCTCCTCCCTAATCACGTGCATGTCATGTAGGTCACGTGGCTTGGCTCTCCCTGGGTGTGGGTTTCTTCGTTGATCTTCCCTCCCAGCTTGATATGAAATCTGACCAGGATATCTCCCTTTCGGACATTCGAGTTTATGTAGATCAAATTGAAAAGGAGAAGATGACAACCAACAGATGCTGCCGTCAGGGGAAAGACGTGATTCCAGGAACCAAGATCTGGCCCAAATCCGTCGAATAGCAGCCCTCACAGACTCATGAAACGTAGAATGTAACAACCTAGCGCCGGCGGCACGCAGGGAGAAACTGCCAAATCCAATACTCCCATTGCGGATAGGACATCGCGAACCCCCATGAGACGGTAACTAGTATGCGCAATTCGACATATCCATCTTACTGTATACGCTTAAGGATGACTTGGTGTACATATACCATCCATCTTCTCTCGCTTCAGCACTGTTCCACTTGGGCAACCGCCATTATCCTTCATTCTTTTCTTCCTGTGCGCCGGTCGTGCAGTCATATTTTCACCGCGAAACCACATTCCTTTGCTCATTTAAAAGTCCTGATAGTCTATCATTCGCCTCGGGCCTTTTGGTAGACCTCAGCCACCTTCGCTTAGTTTAGCGAATATCACTCCACCTAGCATCTCATCGATCAAGCCAACCGCCATGCGCTTCCTCTTGATCTGTTTCCTCGCCACAATCCTCCCAGCAATCTCTGTCCTCGGGCAAAGAGGTGGCCGTGGAGGCGGCCGGGGCGGATTCAACCGCCCAGGTGGAAACTTCCCCAACACCTTTGTCACTGCAGCCCGCCCTGCACCAACTCAAGGTGCGGGTGCAAATCCTGCCGCCGCTCCCAACAATGCTCCTGCTGGAGGTGCTGGAGGTGGGGGGGCGGGTGCTGTTCAGGCTTCCCTGATCCCCCCATTTGGGATCACGGCTGGCGTTCGATCCAGCGACGGCACAGCGAACTGTGTTGGGGACAACAACGTCAACATCCCGTAAGTCATGTTGCCCGAGATGGATTCTCAATGCTGATGACGACCCAGGTGCGATTGCCCACCACCTTTGAACACTTTTGTCAACGCCGTGGCAGACTCTGTGGCTCGTGGAGCTGGGTTTCCCTCAGGTACGTCTTGGTTTCAGCAAAGCAATCAGTCTTAATCGGTTGACTAATAATGTTTATAGGCAATTCCGCAGCGGACCAGCTTGCACGGCTTCAAACCTGCATCGTGACATTGCAAAACTTCCGTGGAGGGCCTGGTAGTGGCGTTGGGTGTCCTATTGTCAGCACGACTTGGAGAGGCCTTCAGACTCGACTGCAGTCTGAAATATGATATGAACCGAAACGTAGATATGCCTTGAAATGCCTCTGAATATGCCGTACCGACCATATCTTCTCATTTTGACTCGGCTGAAAGGCCTCTTCACATTACCTCGCAATCAATACGAGCCAGACTCAGGCATAGACTGCATAACTGTCATGCATGACCAAAGGTCGAGAGCTGTCAAAAGGGGTTGCTAAAATTTACCAAGGAATGAAAGACAAGGAGAATCGATCGATGTGGTTGTTGAACTTCAATCCTATGAAACACTCCCGTTTCAGACCTCACTCCACTGCTTAGGGCAAGGTCTGGTTGGCACGGTTGGCTTATTCCAGGTTCTTTTGTTACCCCTCTTTGGGTGAAGGCAAGATCTCCCGGACCAGGAAGAGAGACCCTTGTAATTGATAGCCGAAGGGCTGAGGTGCCCAATAGCGAGAAGAGCGGTCAACAGGTGTCTACTCCGTATTCCTGTTTGCACGCACCATCCCCTCCATCTCAACTCTTTACTCTTCCATCTATCCCCCCTCGGCCAGACCTTTTCAGCTCTTATCGCTTGTGAAGCACTTCAAGGTGACTGGTCAGAACCCCACTCGAGACCATGTGATATATGCTGTGATAGTGCTAGGGTCTTCTGGACTGTGAAGGCTGAGTCTACACATATACGACCATGCTCAGAAGTCGAGCAGAAGACGGAGGACTCTTGCCCGAATTTGATTTGCTGTGTCCTCGTTGCGTTCTCAATATATTCTCTCCGGTCGACGCCGTTTTCTAGGGTTCTGACAACGAGCTAACGTCACAGTGTCTGATTTGTAGTTAACAAGCCACCTTTACAAGATCCCCAGATTCAAGCTCGGTTCCTCCACTGAGGTGACGCACAGATAATCGGTGACAAGCGATCTCCCGCCCAATCACCAAAGGATTTGCCATGGCGACTATTTTGCGAGCCATGATCCAGCCTCATCCAGACACCCAGTTGCCCATCTAATGAAACATATATACGAGTACGTAAAGAACCACAGCTGACTCGCAGGTCTTGGCACCAGAACTTCTCACAACCTATATGCAAGCCCCCTCGGACCAAGTGATAAACGGTAGTCGCTCCAGTGTCAACACTAAGAAAGGTGTCAAGAGGTCTGGCTACTAGCAGTGAGGATGATCTCAGCCACCCAAAAGCTTTTTCCGCCTGCAGATCCTCGACATTCATCAAGCACTTGGTAACTGACCTTACACAGTCTTATCGGGTAACACAAGTCTTTCCGACGACAAATTTCAGTCTGGATCAGCTCAAGCCTCACCTTGCAGCGTCTTGTTCAATCCAGCCAGCCTCGGAGTCTCGTGATGCAGACTTGTGCCTTCCGTTCCTCCTCGATTAACCATACCATCGAATCAGGTGGCTAAGAACCTGGACTCGTTTCTTCGTTGAGGCCTTGATCCATCAAACTACTGAGACGTCGGCCAGTCACCGGTCCCAGCCACAGTCACACCATGTGCCAATGCCATCTCCGAAGGGCTTGTCGAGGCTTAGGGCCGACAATTTTCTGGATCACAGGGATTCTCGAATTTTTAGGTCTTGTTGGATGGCGCTGAGACCGGGCAGATGTAGCAGCTTCCAAAGTTCGTATAGAGCATCTTGGAGGGGCGATGGATTGATCAGGTGCCATTTCGTCTGGTTTGACTGCCAAAAACTTTCTCTTGCCCCTCTGAGTCGAAGTATCGAGGAGCAGGTCGATTAAGTATTTATATGTCCAACTTTCCGCAGAGGTCGGCGTTTGAACTCCATTTCAATCTCTAAAACCCTCCAGCTAGTTGAAAAAGTATCCCCAGATCTGACCATTTCTGTCTCCTTTCTGACTCTTCTATTTAATCGTGGAGTCTGCTCCGAGTAACGACTGGTGCGGTACCCCTACTAAGCCAGGCATCCAGATCCGCAATCTTCCTGCCGGATTTCGAACACTTACAGCTGCAGACATGGCGAGCCAAGTGACTGTTCCAGCACCCGCAGACGCGTCGTCGAAGAGTGACGTCCTCAATGCAATTGACACCAAAATCGAGACCTTGAGTCTGAGTGACCTCAATAACCCGCCGCCAGACGTCGAGCCAGCAGCACCCGAGCCATCTGGACCACAATATACCTGCATCACTCAAGAGGCCGATCCAGTCTCGACGGCTTCGATCGTCGTGGGCTTGTTCAAGACTATTCCTCGCTGGAAGTTGGGTTCCACCATCAACTTTGCTGTGTCTGCCACAGGCTACCCGACCCCAGCAGATGCAGTGTACGCCGCCAAGAAGCTGATTGAGGCAGCCGACGAATGGAACGGCTACAGAGTCGGAGTCAAGTTCAAGTTTGTCCCAAATGTTAACGATGCAGCCTTCGTTCTTGCCTATGGCGGAGTGAAGGGCACAGTCCTCGCCAGCGCCTTCTTCCCTAACGCTGCCGAGCTGAACACTCTGTGGGTGTACAGCTATGCGTTTGATCAGACAGTGCGAGATGGTGGATGGAGCAACTATTCCATTATGAAGAATGTCTTCTTGCATGAACTGGGCCACGTCTTGGGCTTGAGACACGAGTTTGCACTGGATGCCGATCGATTTGAAGGCGGGGCCTACCGTTTTGGAACGACCAACCCGCTCTCTATCATGAGCTACGAGTTCCCACCCAAGGTTCAAGAGAGCGACATTCTCGACCTTCGTGCTTTCTACAAGCTGCCAATCCTCGAATTGTTCACTCCGGACAATTGATCCTGGCCAAATGAATCGAAGAGAGATAGTTCTCATGTCTGAAGGTGCATGATAAGGACCAAGAGTGGGATGTAGGGTGATGTTGCGACGGAGATCGAGAGTCACTCATTACTACTTGTTTAGCTTGAATCAGAACACATACTTCAGAAAACAGAGAGATTGACCTTCTTCAGCTCCTTAGCCTCGCTCATTTGACACTCACAGAGTACTTGCGTGATTTGGCGACATCATACCTACCCCTAAGTCTCCTCCAGCGTGGATGCAGAATCAGATCGTGCCTCAGAACATTGTTAGGGTTGATAAGATGCTAAGTGGAGAAGATACCTGCTTTGTGCTCCTCCACCTCTCGTCCCACCCCCCCTCACTTCTCAGCCTTGCACCCTGGAGCCTTGTGAGGAGTGGCATTGGTCTTGGCAATCCCTCCGTCTGGGAACTCGGCAGGCGTCCCTTGGATCCTTCCTTGAATCCTTCGTTTAATCCCACCAACGTATGATTGTTAAATGGCTTGCAACGAGTTCTAGGGACAATAACAATAAGCGTGGCTGATCCTCTCTGTGGCTTTCTCATTCCATATCCTGAGCAAGGTCCAGAATAGCCGACAGACAACATGGCTGCGGTATTGGAACACGGCTAACCATCACGATTTCGACTTGACTACCTTCCAAACCTCCCTCACATCCTGCGAGCATGTCGAAACCCAAGAAGCCAAATGCCTTGCCCAAGGCACCGCGGAGAGATCCGTTGGCATCCTTGAAGCTGGCCAATATGCTCATATCGAAACCCGTCTTTCCTGCAGGTAAGCGATGGCCTGGACCACCATCAACAAGATATCTTCCCACCGACTGATCCCTACCAGAGATCCTTGCCACAATTGTCAGTTACCTCGATATGCCAGATTTGTTGCGATTTGCCAGGGTATCTAGGCGTATGTGCGAGATGGTCTATGATGATGCAAAATGGGTGCAGAGACTTCGCCAGATGGGTTGCTGGGATGAAGCAGAGGCCAAAAAAAGAGCAGACTCTACAAAACACCCTACCACCCCTGGCCAGACACGCACCCCCATCGACAGAAACGTGGTCAACGGAAAAGGTCGGCCTGAACTCCTTTTCGACGTTGATGCATCTCCCATCGCCCAGCGAGGACAAAGCAATCTCAGGTCTCCCATTCGACCCCGTCCTGCCAACGCCGACGGCTTTGATATCGCTCAGTTGGCCAGCCCCAAAGCAACCAATCCGCCTGCGCTACCGTCTGAAAGTCATATACCTCTCACAATCTTTCGTCACGTCAAATCCATCAGAGGCCAGGCTAGGCGAGAGTATGGCAAGATATATGCTGCTCTTGGTCCGTACTATAACAACTTGACGACTGTGTCCAATCCCATGGACTCAACGATCTTCACACGTTTGACCGCCCCCGAAGATCAAGCACAGCTTCTGGCCAATCTCAAACTCTTTGCTTGCAGCGACTTTTCTCCTCTCGCCCCTAGCAGAGAGCTCCGTTTGCAGTCCACGATCGACCTCTTCGACACCGCTGCCCTACTCGAGTTTCGTAAGGGCTATGAGTTCAAGGATATCCAAGGCCGAATGCGTCAGTATGCGAAAGTCATGCACACTTTGAATGGTGGCAAGAGCAGCATCGATCTTTTTCTCAACGACAATAACCTAGTCTCTCAAAAGGTCAATCTTGGCACAGCGTCCGATTGCGTGGACTATTCTCTTGGTTATGGTCAGCTGTCGCTTGAAAAAGTTCAGGCTTACTTCGAGAGATTGGAAGCTGCATTCGCTCAAGAGAACGCGGTTGTTCAAACAGTATTTCCTGACCCCAAGGAGGTTTCCCTACGACTTATTGAGGTGGTTGGTAGCGATATTCTTTCTCCATTCCTCTCACATCTGTTTGATGATGCCCGTAACAGAGGCTCTTCCATGTATCTCCGGACCATTTCGGGCACTTTAGCTGCCACGAAACAGTTTATTGGAGACATCGCATTGCCCAAGGATGTCGATGAGGCAACCACCATCAGATGTAACGCCGTCCTCACTCAAATTTTCCAACCGCACCTCCAGGCCTATCTAGCTGAAGAAATTTCATTCTTCCGGGCCAAGGCTAATTCGGAAGTCGAACAATGGGATAGGGCACTTTCCCAGCAAGCAGAATCAACAGAAGACTTTCTCATGTCTAATGTCAACAATCGTCAGGCAGATAAAAAGGATTTCATGTCATCCTTCAAGAAGGTCGTCATGATGCCGGTCAACATCCTCCCCAGCTTTTCCAGCACCTCGTCACAGAAATCGCCCGCGAAAGCTATGGTCAATGGAGAAGCAGTCCATTCTCGTGCCTCGACGCCCAACCCGTTCGGAGTCCGCACTGTGACACCCTCACTCCCCAGTGAAGCCCCTACCTCTGAACTAGCCGCCAAAGCTGCACTCATGACGACCAAATTGGAGAACATCAAGTCGCTCTTCTCCATCGAGGTGGCGCTTAATCTCGTCCATGCCGCGAAATCGTCTCTTGAACGAGCTGCACAGTTCGTCAGTTTGGGTGGCGAAGTTGGAGAGGCTGCCCGCCTACAGTGCACTGCCATTTTTGTGCTCCTAGTTCAGTCCATCGGCGACCGACACGTCAAGTCAGGCTTTGACAAAGCAATCGACCATCTTGCAGCCTACAGCCCTCGGGAAGCCGATAGCAAATCCGCTCAAGTGGCCCCACTAGCAACATTCCTCGAACTCGTCAATGTAGGCGATCTCATCCAACAGATGCTCGACGTGTTTTACGAATCCGAGCTGGTGCGTCTTCAAATCTCCAAGCGAGACGATTTCCTCGACGTCAATGTCAAAGAAAAGAAAAAGTTCGAAGCCATGCTGGACGAACGTGTTGCAGCGGGACTCAGTAAAGGCATTGACGTGTTAATGGACGAAGTCGAATACATCTGCGCGACCAGCCAACAAGCGACCGACTTCTACCCCGACCTCGCGGTCGCCGAAGCAGGAGGCGGCATGGCCAAAGCCCCGATTGTGATGGATTTCTCTGACAAGCCCACCGCGACGGCATCGCGAGTCATCTCACTCGTCAGCCACCACACCAGCATGCTGACCGGGGCGACGGACAAGTCGCTCTTGGACGTGTTTACCACAGAAGTCGGACTGCGACTTTTCACCGCAGTGACGAAACACATCAAACGACAGCGGATCTCCACCTCGGGTGCTTTGCCGCTGATGGCTGACCTCGGCGCATACGCCAACTACATTGCAACCCTCAAGAACAACGACCTGACATCATACTTTGTGGCGTTGCGTGAGGTGGCACAGATTTTCCTCATCGGTGGCGACAGCGAGCGTGACGTCAATGAAATGGCCACCATAATCAGCGACAGCGAACGCTACCGAGGTATTTTTACGGTTGACGAGGTCGTCGAGTTCGCCGAACGCAGAGCTGACTGGTTACTTGTCCGAGGCCGTGTCGAGAAAAAGGTCAGTGGCGAACAGTGTCTTGTCATGTGACCAAGAGGAGGAAATGGAGCATATAGACCTTGACAGACTGGCGGTCAGTGGTCATGGTGATGAGATGAAATAGATGTCAAGAGAAATGAACCGTTATGAAAAAAAAGAGGGCATAAATGAATGTGACGAACTGACCATACAAGTCATTGGAGTATGATGGGTTTGGAGCTAGCGTCGATTAGACATGCAGCATTTATTTGATGGGAATTTATTGCTTCTCTGGGTCTCCCCTCAAGGAAGAATGCATACATGAATGAGCAATGTTTCTCAGACATTTTTGACAAGTAAAAAAAAAGGATTCTTCAAAGGGTGACAGTGGATTAGCTGTTGAAGGGTGGTGCATGTTGAATCTCGATATGACCTCGATGAGAAGAAATTAAGGAGAGAGGTCAAGCACGATTAAAGGGTCAATCTCTAAGCTCATGGCAAGAACCGGATTCTGATATTTCCACAACCACGAGTGACATGGAACTTGTGGACAACTCAACCCTTTTACACCCCCTTCCTCCCTTTCATGCAATCTCCTTGATGGTGAGATAGGGCAAACGTCTGTCAATGCATGTTACTTTTCGTCAAAGACCAATGGCAACAGCATCCAGTATTTGTAGACGCTGGGGTGCAAACCAAGGCATGCAATCTCCAAGTACGTGACTTTTGAGCGCCCGTTTGGGTGCATCAGAGTACGAGTGCGAGGACTCAGAGCTCATAGCTCAAAGTCCTCTTCCTCGATCCGACAATCATCTTGTCCTTGTTTGTCGGCACAGGTTTCTTCTTCTGATGTACCGATTTCTTCAACATAGCCAGCAACATAATGTTGGAAAGTAGGCTTGTTGAGGTTCTGGTGTTCAAACTGGGTCTCAAGGCCATGGTTATTGTCGTTATCGTTATCATTATCATTATCGTTCTCGGGGAAGAAAGGAGAGTGGATGTCATCAATGGCAGAATCAGGATTATGCAACTCTACCAGGCCACTCAGGAGATCAATGGTATCTGACTCGTCAGAATCAGAGGAAGTCACGAAAAGCCATTCGAACCAGTCTGGCTCAGGTTTGAACAATTGCTGCGTGATAGCCTTGCCGGCGAGGATCTTGCTCTGGAGAAAAGCCATTTTCCGTCGGTGGGTCTTGAATGTGGTGCCGAATGCGATAAGTTCATCTTTCAGGGCCTTTTCGAGTGGGTGTGGCGACCTCTGTTCTTCTTCGTACAAATTCCAAAACCGATTCCAGCTGGGATACATTTTGGTTTCCAACGATTCCAACAGATCCAACCAGTTTGCGTGGCGGATGGCCTTCTGAACAAGAACGGGCACATCGGCCAGGTAACTGTTCCATTCGATGAGGTTGATCATGACTTTTGGGTCTAGTTGACGAGCTCTTGCGATTGCGGAGCGATTGCGTAGCTCTTCAAACTTAGCATGGTATAGGGTATTAAGGATTGCGATCTTGATCTTGACGGCTTTGCGATGAAACTCTGACGCGGCCAGGGCATTGATTGCACCGCGCTTCCACTCAGACCTATTAGCAAATATGGTGAGGATTGTCTTGATCGAGACCGAGTCTGAGCCGCCATCGATATTGTCTAGTATACTTTTCGCGTCCGTCATGATGCCAATATGTTGCGGTATTGCCCTTCGAACCATGCGGGATTGACTTCTCTTATTGGAGCTTGAGTCTTGACTCTCAGTACAATTTTGAAGGCATTGACAGCGTTGCGGTCCTTCGGGGCTTGTCTAGAAGCAGTGGAACTGATTTTAAAGTTAGAAATGTATATGTGGAGGGAGTAGGTGAGATCTATGCATACCACGGCCGTACACAGTTTGGTAAAAGTTGACCTTCTCCAAGTGTTGGAACCAGTCTGAGAGAAGACGAACAAGGTGGTATTGGAGGACGCAAAGACAGAGGGTGGAGTCAATACCGTTGAAGGAAGGGCGCGATGGTGTGGTGGTTTGATGGCAAGACGCCAGGAAAACTGGGAGGAGATGAGAGGGAGATGAACGGGCAGAGAGAACGAAAGGCTTGAAGAAGTGCGCAAGAATGAGCGCGAAGACAGAAAGAAAAATGATCTAACTTGTGGACCGTGGCAGACAGGTAACAGGGACGGCAATGGTGTTGTGGAATGAGTACTTGAAGAGTATCGCAGACCAGGGACATGCTGGCAGCCTGTGACTTGACTTCGTGGACTCAATGGACGCAGGACAGGAAAGCAATGAAAGTGAATTGCGAATCGGACAGTAAGATCCATCGGTAATGAAGTGAAGAAAACTGCGTTGTTTGTTACCACGCGGCGAGCAACCATTAACCACTGTCCTGTTCTGATCTTGTCTGATGGACACAGATCGATCTGTAGGGTTTCGCGGTGTGTCGTTTGGAGAATGTAGTCTCATTATCGAAGGCTTCATGTTAGTGACTTACATGCTATGTTGATAATGTCTTTGGAGGGATCCGGATGGGCATCAAGTGATGTTAATTTGATATGTTGTTGTCAATGAGCAAGAGACACGCGACAAATGTGGTGTACAGGTTTGTGAGGGACGGTGCTGGCTTACATCAGCTAATTACATACCTAGTAGAAGCTTGGGGGCCCAAGACGGACGTAGAGAAGTTGCCGCCATCTCTATTGGAATAGACCAGGTAGGGTACCTTAGGTAAAGGCCCAGGTAACTACTACCCTATAGCGCCTAAGTCCGAGCATGCCTAATGGTTTAGCCCCTCGGCCACTCAGCCATTGTATTCGAGCACCTTAGCACCTTACCCAACCCCCAGTGCCCCCCAATTACCTCTCCCCGCCCGAGGGCACTCGGGCCAAAGCGTACCCCTAATGGCCAACTCGTACATTCCCATATGATTAATTCAGGCAGACACGCTCCGTAAGAACACAAAATACATTTCGGCTGATAATATCCAGATCGGCTGTCATCATTCCATTCTTACAGTTCTGACTGACCTGATCCATATCACTACGCAATTTAATCTCCTGGACTATCACTGTAGGTCTTGAAATATGGCTTCATTAATTGAGCTTGATTCCCTGGAGGTCCAAGTTCTCGTTGACAACGAGGTTGATCCCATCTCCACATATGAACACCCTGGAATTGCCGTTTCTGGCCAATTGAGGGACGTTGGACTCAAAACACCTCTCGATGAATCGAGTCGAGGAGGCGCCAAGCTTGAGATTCGTCTAGACAACGTCTGTTGTGGAGCGCATGGATTATCTCTTATGATTGTAAGACATATGTGTGACAGGGCCAAAAACTCGCCTGGTTGACTGACCACTAAAACAGACCGGCGTCAAAGATTCACAACGTCGTACAGTTCTCTTCGACACGGCCCCTGAAGAGCTGATCTGGGAACTCAATGTCAATCGGCTTCGTGCCGACATTGCCTCCATAGAATGGGTGCAACTCTCCCACTGGCACCGAGATCATTCAGGTGGCATGCTCAAGGCCATTTCAATGATTCAGAAGGCAAAGTCTTCAAAAGAGGGACTGACAGTCGACCTGCATCCTGATCGGCCCACATATCGTGGCATTGCTACTCCCAACGGCATCGTCTCCCTTGAACGAGATCCTACCTGGGAAGAGATCGAAGCAACGGGCGCAAAAGTGGAAAAGCATTCTCAAACCCATGCCATCCTCGACGGTCACTTTCTGGTGTCGGGAGAAATCCCTAGGGTGACGGCTTACGAACCAGGAGTGCTTCGCGGGGTCAAGTATGATGACAAGACACATACCTGGGAGAAAGATGAATTGATCCTAGACGAGAGATTTCTGATGTGCAAAGTCAAGGGCTACGTATTCGCCCTGTCAAGTGGGACCAAGGTGCTAACTTGAGCAGATAAAGGACTTGTGGTATTCACCGGATGTAGCCACGCCGGGGTGGTTAATGTGGTCAAGCATGCACTGAGCCTCGCGGGAGAAGCAACACCATTATATGCCGTTGTGGGAGGCTACCATCTCGTGGGTCCTAATGAAGCATTTATCAAAGAGACAGTGCAGGATCTCAAGGCACTGAACCCACAGATCTTGATGCCTGGACATTGTTCTGGTTGGAGAGCAAAGCATGAGATTGCAAATGTGCTTCCAGGACGATTAGCTCCATCCACCGTGGGAACCAAGTTTGTTTTTTGATATGAGTTTGAGTAGAATTTCGATGATTCTAGAGAGGCAAAAAATCATCATACATCATACCACCAATTGAGGTGTAGTAATATCATTACCACCTCAAGCCCTGGAGGCTGGGATAAGCGAGTTTCTGCATGCACCTGCCTTCTGCAACAAGCAGCCCATATTCACTGCGGCACTTGCAACCTGTTTGCTGACGTTCTCCTGTCGTTCTTTCCCTCTGCCTTTGACTACCACGTGTCACCCCAAATGTCTCACACTACGAAGGCATATGACGTCGACACTCACTTACACTCTCACCACTTATGAGGAAGGTGGCTGTTATCCTCCGACTACCGGCCTGTTGTCGGCAAATCCACCTGGACGCCTAGAAGCCTAAGTAGAAGCCTCGCATATGGCCCCTCGGCCCCCTCGGCGCGATGTGTAGTCTTGGTCCTCGTATTTCTAGCCACCTTTTTTCCCTTACCTCCTTCTGCAATAGCTAAATCCATCGCTTCAAGCAGGCTCGTTGACACTACATTATCTAATGCAGCTTCTAGTGCTGAGGATGCCTGTCATTGCAGAATCCTCCAACGCTGATGTCTATGGGTATGGCTCCGGGTACCTGAGGGGCTGAGACATGCCAGGATATTCCCCTCCCGCCCGCACGAGTCACCACTCAAAGGGTCTTGACTGATACCCAAGCTTTTCCTGTGCATTCACTAGCTTAATTCACTAGCCTCAATCTTCATGTGGCTACTTCGAGCATCACAGCTGTCTAGCTGTCAGCCATCGATAAGTTGAGTTTACGGATACACCTCAGCGGTGAAAGGCTGATAACCTCTGGCTTCTCGGTTCTGGCTTCTACTCCGTAGGTTTTGGACGGACCATGTCTCGGCCAGCCGTCCGGATCAATACAAAATTGAGAATGGGTGTCTCCCAGCGACCACAGCTCTCGCACTCGGGCGCTTCCACATGGGCAATAGCCCCCATCAGTCCCATCCAGATCTTTTGTTGCCTCCCCCACATTTTTCTCCCGCAGTTCGTCCTCGCTTGATCTGCTTAGACTGCCATGGACCTGGCGATTTATGGTCCAGCTCCTGCCAGGTCCACCAGGTCCTACCCACCATCGGAGCTTCCACCGAATGCAAACTGGGCTGGCACCATGGTTTTGCAGACCTGCATCTGCTTCCAAGCTGTGTAACGCCAACTGCTTGTATAAAGCCAGTGCCTCCAACCAGACACTAGATTCCTTCTTCAAACTCTCCATCGTCTATCGTCATTCGCTCTACCGTTGATCACGCAATTGTCTGTCGTGTCTGTACCTCCAAGATACTCACCACAGAGTCACTCGCTTGTATACCTCTCAACACCTTATCCCACCACCGCCACTATGCGTGCCTTCACTGCCACCACCCTGGGTCTTTTGTCGCTTCTCCACTTGTCGGCAGCACAGACACCGACTTTGCCAGCATGTGCAGTATGTTCTCTTCTCCGCTCTCTTCTATCCGGACCAAAACACCTCCCACTGACATCAAGATGTAGACCAGCTGTGCCCTCACTGCCATTGGTAGCACTGGATGTTCCGTGACTGATGCCGCATGTATCTGCTCGGCCACCAGCTTCCTTGAGAGTGTCCAGGCCTGCATCACCACCGCCTGCAGTGCCGCAGACCAGCAAGGTATTTCATTCCACTTGTGCTCCTCTCTGGTCTTGGTCCTCAACTGACATCTTCTCTTCTCTCCAGCTACGCTCGAGTATGCCCAATCTTTCTGCCTTTCTGGCGGTGTCACCATCACTCTCCCCACTGGAGCAGCCCCAGCCCCAACCAGCTCTGAGGCCGCTGTGACGAGCGCCAGCGCACCAGCTTCGGTTCCTGCTACAACCTCCGCAACCGAGTCGGTTGAGCCATCCACCACCAGCGCCCCCCCATCTGCCTTCACTGGTGGTGCTAATGTCATGAAGCAACAATGGGCGGTCATGGGCATGCTCGGCCTTGGTGTCGCTGCTGTCTTGTAAATGGTCTAGCTGAGATGCTGGCCATGATTGCGACAGCCACCGATCCTGAAAATGTGACCGCTCGTATTGACATGTTCGAATCCACCCACCACTTGTGGACCAAACAAGAATGGGCTTGATACAACAGCAACTGTTGCAATATTACGAGTACTTTATCTACCGAAACTATGTAGTAATGAAAGACGGACGAGAAGAAAAATAATAATCAAACGTGAATTTCAATTTTCTTCATATCTTCTTGCTTGGTCCTGACCCTGTATGTGTCTATATTCTAGATGTCCGATATATTCACAGCAGATACAACATCCAATCAGGATTGCATGCTAAAGCTTCGACTTGCCTTTAGCCTTGCTCGACGACGTCCTGCCGGCAAGGTTCCGTGCGGCATCGACCACCAAAGCGGCGTGGACACTGGTCGCGACGAGATCGCCCGCCTCGTCCCATACTTCAATGTCGAGATCGAACCGGCCGTTCTGAATCTTCTTGGCTCGCACACGTACAAACAGCCATTCGACTCCCTCTTCAGGCAGGAGTTTCTTGACATCGAGATTGAGCACCAGGGTCGGATACCAGTAAGGGGCTTTAGGGGGGATCTTGGACGCCGTCGCAGGAGTTGTTTGACCTGTGGCGACAGCAATGGCCGCCTTCTCGCCTTCATCGTTGATATACCGCTCGATCGTCTGCGGGAACATGTCGACTAGGAAGCCCAGGGCATCGTTTGTCCAGCGGCCGTTTGGCGTGCCACCCGGCGAAAACCGCACCCATTGATCATTCACCGAGATAGGTAGGTGTGCATGCTCCTTCCGGTCTGCGCGCAGCAGGAACATCTGGATGTTGACCACCGCCCGCCGGAACGCCTCAAACGGATCCTTGCCCCGCACCACGTAGTTGTCGTCGACGAGCTTGTCGGCCAACACCTTGAGATTCGTCGGTAGCCGCGGTGGCTGTAAGGTGTATTCCGTCTGTAGACTCAACCCCGTCTCAGTGGCAATGTTTGACATCATCACATAGCCCGTCACCTTCTCTTCTATCTTGGGCTGATCGGGGTCTCGCCGTTGCGACAGTGTGATGTGGAGGTTGGAGATACGTGCACCGAGTTTGACATCCTTGACTGTGAAAAACGCTTCGCTTGCCGATGTCCGCCGCAGGAACTCCAGGTGTAAGTTGACCGGATGTGGTGAGTTACGGCTGGAGTGTGTCTCGCTCATGTGCGCCCGCGCCACCATGAGAAACGCTGACGTGACATATCCGCCATTAGGTACTGTTTTTGTTCGAACGTGTCAGTTTCATATTCGGTGACAAATTTCTCGACATGTCCCCCCCCCCCTTTGCAGTGCTTACCTGCTCCTATGGCCCATGCCTCTTCGAGTACCACAGAATATGTGTGAGATGACAGCCGTTTGATTGGCAAAACATCCGCAAAGGTCGGCGCCATGGCTGGATGGCTGGCTGGCTAACTGGTCGAGTCCTCGGGTTATAAGGTGAATGTGTAGGATTGCATTTCGAGGCAAGTATTTTGGTTTTATTCTTCCATGAGGAGATGCCTGTGGACCTGGGCTGTTCAAGGCCGGGGTGACGCCCGGGTCAGCACAGGGTTTCACACGTTGCGGCCATGATGTCTCGTTGTACCTCGGTACCGATTCTTCCAAATATGGTTTAGTCGCGTCAGCGTGTTCCTGTGTCACGTGCTGAACCATGGATGTGTGGGCGCCTTCCTCTATCATTGTCGCCGTGGGCTCCTACAACAAGAGAGATCTTCCTCTCCCTCTCTCCCCCTCCCTCTCTCTCTCTCTCTTTCTCCCTCTCTTCTCGATCACTCTTAGACAGCAATTAGCCAGCAAAAGTTAATACACCTACATTACTAGTACAACATCGAACAACATTAGTCAGGTCGTTGTGTGGAAATCTGCCTGCGATTCAGTCCTTCGTAGGGGTGAATGCAATCTGAGGTAAGCGAGAGATGTGAAAGTCAACTCGCCTGCACCAGCCCGCACGAGATCGAGCCAGTCATGGCATTTGTGTAGCAGAGCAAAGTCTCATCAGGTACAAGATGTGATGCAACGAGAAAGCGTGTCGAACGCACCAATTCGCACCAAAACCGACAGGTATGCCTACTATTATTAATTATGTATATCATGGTATGGAGGATCTAGGGCATGCCTAACCATATCCCTCTAGCTTATGCCAACAGGCTCAAGCTCCATTAAGCTCCATTTTGTAGGCGCCTCATAGGTGCCCCGGACTCTGCTGACAAAATAAGGATTCTCCATACTTTCTTCCTGCAATTCCTTCTCTGATGACGTCGTCCGCCGTTCGGAGAAAGTTGCCTCGCTTTACATAATTTCAGAGCGCGGTCAATGTCACTGGCGACCGGGCACACTCTATACACGCATTACTCAGTCGGAAATACTTGCCAGTGATTACAGGATGGTCTGTTCTTCAAGATGCTTCTCACTTCGAGGGCACAATGGCGATGTAGCCAGCCTCAGGTATATTAGGTATATGCCAGCCGCTCATTCTGTCCAAGTATCATCACCATCAAACAACTTGAGTGCAATATCAAAGTATCACTACCATTAGACAACTTGAGTCTAATATCTTTATCCTCCTTCAACATCCAGTATTCGTCAGTCACCGCTGCATCATTCTAACAAGAACGAAAATGGTTTCCTGGGCTGTCACGGGCGCTACACGAGGCATCGGTGTGAGCTTTCCCCCCTGAAACACCACTCGTACAGCTTGAAATACTGACATAGACACTTCCGCAGTTTGGCTTCATCGAAAACCTCGTGAGTTGCACCGCTACCATCCCGCCCATGACAAAACCATAGGACTAATTGTGCTGCCAAAAGTCTGCCAATTCAAAGGATGAAGTTTTCGCTCTCATTCGAAGTCGAGCAACCGCTGGTCCGCTTGAGAAGCTTGCTACAGAGCGCAAGAACGTCCATATTATTGTGACCGATATCGCCGACCCTCAAAAACTGGCTGAGGCTGCTGCTGAAGTTGCCAAAGTCACAGCCGGGTCACTTGATGTTCTCATCCTCAACGCAAGCTCCCCTGGGCCAGATACAGGCGCCCTGTCGCCAACTGCTTTGTAAGTGAGCCGGCCTACGTGTTCGAGACCTTGTCGTGTTAACAAAAGGCAGCCATGGCAAGGAGGAGGCGCTGGCGAATGAGATCAATGAGAATGTATGATCCTCCAACTAACCCTCCAACGAAACAGCCCCAACTGACCGCACACAGGTCAAGACAAATGTGATCAGCAATGTCTTCGTCGTCAACGCGTTTCTCGATCTCATTCGTAACGGCAAAGAGAAGAAGATCTCCTTCATTACCAGTCCGAGTGGAGATGTTGAGTTTACTCGCATCACTGGCCTTTCTACCTTGCTGGGATACTCTGTCAGCAAGGCTGGCGTCAATATGCTCGCCACCAAGTACGCCGTTGAACTGGCCCCGGAGGGTATCAAGACGGTAGCTTTGAGTCCAGGATGGGTCGATACCGATGCTTGTGAGTATCATTCATGCCCAAGGCTATTGGCGTCGGCTCAGATTTACTGACTTAGAATAGCTCGTGCAGTCACCGGCGACCCAGAGGTACGCAAATTCATGCTAAACGCGTTTCACAAACTCGACAAGGACGTTGAAGGGCCGATCTCGGTGGATGAATCGATCGCGCTTCAGCTGAAGGTGATCCAGGACTTGAACCAAGAGAACAGCGGAAAGACTCTCACCCACCGCGGAAATAGTGATGGTTGGTTCTAGTCTGTCTGGGTTGCGCGGAGGTTGCGCTGGATGGGATTTGAAAGCTCAGACAAGCTCAGGCAAACGGGGGTATGAACGGAAGTCCCCCAACAACCGCATTGAAAATCGTTAGGTAGACGACTTGTTTCTGGTTCTCAGTATTCAAATCATGTTGGTTCCACACAGCCTCCACCGTATGCCGAATGAGATGAATGTGGCTCGATCTCCGTCTTCGATCTTGTCGGCTTTGTTCGAAAACGTTCATGATATGAAGACGCTGGTCATCGTCAACTGCTTCGCAGGCAATGATGAATAACGGCCACGCGTTCTGGCATGTTTTCATCTTGGCCAACAGCAAGATTCCCTCTCTTACAAGTCGTCTGTGACGGAATTCCGTTCCTGAAACACAATGAACAGCCCGATTGACATAGATCAGACATGCGATTCGGTGAAGATCGGAAATCATCGTGTTCCGATGTATCGGTGTGATGGACTCCACGTGAATGGGTCCGTAGTCTCCAAGAGCCCTGGATACGTTCTGTTCTAGAATATTGGTATCCTCAGTTTCAGCACTCACGTCTTGGATTTCGGAAGAGTTCGTCACTATAGCTTGTCTACATGTATGCACAAGCAACTGGAGCACATCGATTGGACAGCCGATATTGTCCTGTACCTGCTGTAGTGTTAGCTGGTGGCGAAGACTGCACACATCATATGCAATCACCTTGAGGTTGCTCTTTTCAATCACTCCCAGAGATCTTGCCAGTGGAGCCCAGCCGCAGCCCTCGTAAGGTACCTTCCAATGTCTGACCGTGAACTCCGCAAGAACCTCGTGATAATAGATCCAATCAAGGAAGATGGAATATTCTTGCCGTACCAGCTTGTGTATTGCTGGACAAGTGTTGATGATCTTTTTCACCGTGCATAAATAATTTACCCAACTTCCTTTGGAGTTTGAATCTAATGATAGCTGTGATCATTAGCTAACTCTGGCGCGCACCTACGGGACAGGATTTCAGACTACCTCGTAATGATACAAAAGCATGGTCGCCATTAGGTTTTGAAGTAGAGTCTTCTCGTCCAACCGGTTCCATGACTCTTTCACTGATAATATCACCAGATGCTTGTAGCGAAGGCTCTGCGAGTTGCCGTGGATCTGCAGTGACGCGAGAGCGAACACGCCTTGTAGGACAGGATTGGTTGCATCAGATGAATTTGAAAAGGCGATTCTCAGGATGAATTGAGCCAGAGCCTCCTCATCGGTTGGTCCTAACGTGAGCGATCTTGAATTATTGACTGAGACATCATAGTCAGTGAGACCCTTGGTCTAGAGAGTCGTCATGCATACAGAATCCAAGTAGATGAGACTCTTCTCGGCCTAATGCGGTAGGTGATAGATAAGTTGGGCGAGGGATGCTCATGGTACGAAGAAAACGAGCTACAGACATCTGTTGTCAGCACCAGGGAGTTGCATTGTGGCGTCGGAGGTTAAATTGTACCAGGCAGCCTCCTTCCGTGCTCGAGCTCTCGCGACAAAGAGATGTCCCAAGAAGATGTGTTTAGAAATCTCTTGACATTAGCCTGATTACCGTTCACTCTTAAAGGCATTTCCTGAGACACGACGGCTCTTTTTCTGTCGCCGTCTCGAGGCCACGACAGCTGGATACCATAGCCTTTACAGACGCGCTGTGCCTTTGCGCAGTTGGCACATCTCGGCCAAAGCGAGTCGCACCGGATCTTGCGCTCTGAGCAGGATTAGCCCAGTCATATTTGCATGGTAGAACCCGTCGCTGTAGGTCTGGCCTAGGTTACCTCTGCAGGTCCAACACCCCTTTACTCCCATATTGTCGCTGACAAATAGCACTTGCTCACCCGCTGGCTTCGTGTCGCTGGACGTTTGTCCTAGTCTCGACTCCTCCAAGCGATTGTGCTCGGTCTAAGTTCGAGTCCCTCTGGTTCATCGTGTTGTGCATGTAAATGCCAATGTCCAGTAGATCTGAGTCTATATTGCGGTAGAGGATCTCCGCTGCCTCATCAATGAAGGTGGAAAGACGTTGGAGCGGAATGATATCAGCCTTGGCAACCGGAGATCACATGACTTATTTCGGGGATAATGATGTCCAGCTGCTACTGTTTGAATAATCTGTATATATGATTGAGCTGTAGTTGGAGAATAGGGAGACAATTCATTGCTAAAAACATTTGATCGCAATGGGATTCATTTCACAAGGTAAGGTGAGAGATGTGACTTACACAGCATGCCGAGACCATACGGAGTAGGTATGGAGATGTTGTTTCGAGCAACAATGCGTTACGAAAACACCCTGTGGAATTTAAACTCCCCGAAACCTCGTATTTAGCCATGTTCCAAACCTTCGGCTCCGATTGCTTATCTCGACTCGCAATATTAATCAAGGTTCGAAGTGTTTGTTCATGCTTTGAAACTCTGTAATTCTCTGCGTTTCATTAGTTCGAAATGAAGTTTATGGCCATGTTCAAGATGAGAGAGCCACGACCGTGAGTGATACGGGCTCAAGTCACTCAAGCTCTAGACCCAATCAGAGACTTCGGAGTTTGGCCAAATCGAGATCAATACCCCAGGCTAATCATGGTGAATCCTGGACACCCGAGTCGAGGTTGTTATGCATGTCGCCGGAAGAAGGTCAAGGTAGCACGCACACGTGCTCGAGCATTCCACCCTACTGACTGTATTGGATTTAGTGCGACGAAACCAAACCTCAATGCCAGCGTTGTACTCGGGCGGGAAATGCTTGCCCTGGGTATAGAGATAGCAGTGACTCGTCCTTTCACTTTGTCAATGCTGCAAAGACCCTGATAAGTCTTCAAGAAGACCAACGGGTCAATCATCCCCGTGTCGACTGTACCCAGATACAACCTACCGCGTTGATCGAGCTTCAAAATGGACATTTCCCATCTTCCAGGGAAAGCTCAACTGTCTCTGAGGACACTCAGGAGTTGGCCCTTTCCTTGATCCAAAGGGCAACCAAGAGCCCAAGCAATACCTCTGCTAAGCCATCACCAAGTCCAGCGCTCCAAACCCTGTCGTCTCCCTGGGACGACCTCGCTATCCCATTGTTCATCAATCTGTTCGCATCATCATCTACCTCGTCCCATGGTCAAAGTATCCTCTCGTTTCTCCCAAATCTCATCCGGCAATCATCCCCCGATTCTGCATTAATGTTGGCCGTCCACGCGGCTGCCGATGCAAATGCCTCTGGCAAATTGACTGACCACAATGCGATCTACCAAGCTCGTCGGAAACATCTCCTGGCCCTTAATGCCGTCCAGAGAGCTCTTCGGGATCCCCAGAGTGCCTCGCAGGATGCTACTCTTTGCTCCTTGTTTATCTTGACTCTTTTCGAAGTAAGAAAGTCGTCTGAGCACCGGCTTACCTTGCTGATGTGAGCACAGTACATCAGTGGAGATACAGCGTCAAGTCATGGGTCTCATATTAGTGGGTATGAGGCACTTCTGGACCTTCGATGCCAAGCAGGCGACCCTCGAACGCAGGACTACACATTGGTTCTGTCAATATTGACTCAAATCGTTAGTCACTCTGACTGATATCAACCCTTCACTAAATGCTAACATACCCAGATTATTAAATATCTGAGAGAGCAAACAGTTCCACGCCCTCGAACAGTACAAATCATCGATGCCCTCTATGGAAACGACGCAGGGACACTGTCTGTCAAGTTGAAGCTTAGGGTTACACAATTCAACAACCACGCCGAAAATAATCTCAGGGTTGCTCAAAGTTTTCTGCAAGAAGCCGATATTCGGGCCCTTGTAACGCTTGTCCACGTTGGTGAGATGCTTGACGATGACATCAATGACTGGCCTTCTGGATCCATCGATGAATCACAGTACGCATACAGCAAGTCCGACCTTGCGTTGAGCGGGTGGTCCGGTCCTTTCCACATCTACCACAACCTGGCTGTGGCCAACGTGTGGAATATGCTCCGCTCAGCAAGACTGATGCTGCTAATGTCACTTGTGAAATGTTGTGTGGGTCTTATCTCATTGAAGAGCTCGGAGTCTGAGGCACTGGCGCTTCTGCAGAGGTGCAAAGTCAAGATCGCAGAGACCTTGGATGATATGGTGGCGAGCTTCCCCTACTCCCTTGGAAGAGGTGATATGAAGCACGCGATGCCGACGGCTGGAATCGCCACTAGCGGATTCGCCTTGTTATGGCCGTTAGGCCTCATCCTCCGATGCCCATTCTCTACTCCAGCACACAAAGCCGTCGCCACTGAGGTGTTGGAGTACATTGGGGGTGCCTTGGGACTACAGAGAGCCTTGGATCTGAAAGAAGCATGGTTGCATGGTGATGCCACAGCGACGCGAGTAAGGTCGAAAACCTGACATTTAGAGACAATCTTTGAATCCCAGATCCAGTGTACTCCGTAGTGGACTCGCAAATACGGTCTGTAACCAAGTCTGAAAAGCATAGTAGGACTAGTAATGAGGACCTCCGATGCGTTTGCCTGGACAGAAGGATCCCTCATGTTGGTCACGTGTCATCCCTCAACCACAGTAATAAAAAGGTGGCCCATCTAAGCCTCCGTCCAAGAAGTCCGACAACTCGCATGGCACCCACTGGGTCGAGCTGTTGATGTACAGATCTATCTTTATGTATAATATTGGTTTCAGGAGTACCAGGGCATTTCTATTTGGCCATCCCGCATATTCTCACCTCTCCGAGCTATCGCCCTGACTGGCATCAACAGCTGGCACTTTTCGACCACTTCACTCCCTTCCACTTACCCTCCGACCATACGCCATCCTCCCTCGCAGTTACCTGTCCTCTTCACTCCCACGGCCTCGTCCGTATACATCGGCTGGCCCGAATCGCCGCCTTTCATGTCATTTCCCCCGCCCCACGGCGTGCCTTCATTCACAAGCTCCCAAGGATCCCAAGACGACACATTTTGGCGACAGAAGAACGGTCATGGCCATTCAAGAAGCAGAGTCTCGGACGCGGTCGCTTCCAAGTTCAACGACCTCTTTATAGAAGAGAAGGGTTTGCCAATGTACAAAGATAAACCACACTTCCCTTCTAATCGACGGGGAGGTACATTCCAGCGGAAAAGAGTCTGGTCTTTAATAGCACTCTTGTCGATACTTGCCTTATGGTGGACTGGATTATTACCCGGCTCCTCCCCGAGACCGGTTTGGGACCCAGCAGATCACCAACATACATCCTTAAACCATGAGAACTGGGAGGAGCAGAGGGAGGCCGTGAAAGAAGTGTTCAAAACGACATGGGAGGGTTACGAGACCTTCGCTTGGGGCATGGATGAATTTTATCCTCTGTCGCGGAGAGGCAAGAACATGGTGGAGGGAGGGATGGGTTGGATCATAGTCGATGCGTTGGACACGGCCATCATGATGAACTTGACCGAAGAAGTCGCCAGAGCAAGGGAATGGATTTCCACTTCACTCAAATACAACGCCAACCACGATGTTAATACCTTCGAAACCACCATTCGCATGCTGGGAGGTTTGCTGTCTGCCCATTATCTATCAACCACGTTCCCCCATCTGGCCCCTCAACGAGACGACGACTTCAATCAGCCCGGGGAGGATTTGTACATCGAGAAAGCCACTGATCTCGCCGATCGACTCCTGGGAGCCTACGACAGTGCCTCCGGCATCCCCTACTCGTCCGTCAACTTGAATACTTCTCAAGGTTTGATCAACCATCTCGATGGAGGTGCCTCATCTACCGCCGAGGCGGCGACTTTACAGCTCGAGATGAAGTATCTAGCCAAGTTGACCGGCGAACCCGTCTACTGGGAGAGAGCCGAGATGGTCCTCAAAGCCATTGAAGCCCAGAAGAGAGAAGATGGTTTAGTCCCCATATACATCTCTCCCGCTACAGGCGCATTCCGCGGCGAAAACATTCGCTTAGGGTCTCGAGGTGATAGTTACTACGAGTATCTCATCAAACAATACCTCCAGACAGGAAGGGTCGAGACCGTGTATCTGGATATGTGGGAAGAAGCACTCGAAGGAGTCAAGAAGCATTTAATCACCTATTCCAAGCACTCATCCCTGACCATTCTTGCCGAGAGGCAGAATGGCCTCCGACACGCGCTCACACCGAAAATGGACCATCTTGTCTGCTTCATGCCTGGCACGATCGCACTCGCCGTGACGTCGGGGGAAACAGTTGCAGCCGCAAAGGCTCGACTGGGTTCCAGCTGGACCAAGGTTCACGATGAAAACTTGCGTCTTGCCGAGGAACTGATGAAGACTTGCTGGGGAATGTACAAAGTCACACCGACTGGTCTGGCCCCGGAGATCAGCTACTTCCACATCGACGACCCACCTCGCCAGTGGGAAGGCCATCTTGACCCAAACTGGTCGCCTCCCACTTCCGCCGACCTCAGCGATGCCGCAGATGCCGAGTGGCGACTGGACTATGACATCCATGACAACGACGTGCACAATTTACAACGACCGGAAACGGTGGAATCGCTGTTCTACATGTGGCGCATCACCAAGGACATCAAGTATCGACAATGGGGATGGGCAATGTTCGAAGCATTTCGCGAACACACCAAAGTCGTCGATGACATCCACGGTCATATCTACGCGTATACATCGCTCGACACAGTCATGGAGAACCCGGTCAAACCCCGCAAACGTCGAGACAACATGGAGAGTTTCTGGTTGGCCGAGACGTTGAAGTACTTCTACCTCCTTTTCTCAGACGACGACATGTTTCCTCTCGACAAGGTCGTCTTCAACACCGAAGCTCATCCACTGCCCGTTTTCGACATCAAGGGAAGTAAAGTCTTCAAGACCGGTTGGGAGAGAAGTAATGAAATACCAGCGTCTGAGTCAAAAGAGGATCTTGGTGGTCACACTGCAGGCGAATTCGTCCAACACCGCAATGTACGCTTCGACGATGGTGGAGCGCGATTCGATGCCGATGGAAACCCTCTCCGAGCAACACCGCCAGATTTCAAACTTAAACAGCAAAACGACCTTGACAATGTTAATAATGGTAATGGTCATGGTAATGCCGATGCCGATACCGACCTCACTCATGATCAAGATCACGACCATGACGATACCCTCGAACATGGCCATATCGAACAAAGCGGCATCGATCAACCGCACGAAGATCATTCATTGCTAGAAGCATTCAGTAAGGGGTTCGGCAAGAAGTCGGATCCTGTTGCAGACATTAATGTCGACTGAGTGAATGGGATAGATCAAGTCGAGGAAAAGATGGTTAGTTTGAGTTTGGGTAGCTAGTTATTGACGCAAGCATGGATACCGACCTTTTGCATTAAGAATCCCATACTATAGGGAAGGGGCTGGTGGAAGGTGATAAGGGGGAAAAGAAAGCATCAAGAACAACAAAGAGAAGTTGGTGAATTGTCTATCACATCATTTGGATTATGGGGTTGTTATTTGGGACACCAGAGCATGTTTGGCAAGGATTGTATATCACCTTGTGCCATGAGATAGATGCTCAGGCTATATCCACTGTATGAAAGATGAAAAACAGAGAAATATACTTTTATATGTGTAATTTGTTTTGATAATAAACAATGATTATTGTTTAACATCAGCTCATAGAATTTGACATTCGTCGAGTGACACTCCTAAGATCCGTTCTATTCTATATATAACCTTGGATGTAGCTCGATCGATCCCATGCAACAGTAGTTTTTGATGGTTTGGAATGTCGTTCACTCATAAAACTTCGTCGGTATCGTGGAAATCGTGGATGATGGATGATGGATGATGACAGAAAACCTGGTAAGGCTCGGCGAAGTCATGACTTTTCGGTCATAATTCGAGTCACGATGCAATACTGGCATCGATGATAATGGCCGCTGGTAGGTCTGACATAGCGGCCTAGCACGGGTCCATCATCTGGGGCTGACATTTGCCCGTAGCGACGCGTTCGAAACCTCAGACGATTGGCTACCTGAGGTTTGGACTTGGAGGTTAGGCGGCGGACGTCGGATCGCCAGGGCGCATTGTCGTTTAGCAGCCTGCATAGCTCGGTAGTGGCTTGGACATGCTAATATGAATATTCATGTCGCTTTCGCGAACAAGATAACAACATGGAATACAGCAGAGATGCCATATGTTGGTTCTTTCAGAATTTAGGCCCTCTGTTTCGCCCGGTGTACTTCGAGTCAGTCTTGACGACCTTGCCCTTGGCTCTCATCTTCTCTTTCTTTTGTTGCACCCAACCTTTGCTTCCCTTGACCAACTGACCTCGTTTGCCCTTCTTGTGTATGGCTTCACGTACTTTTCTGCCGTCCTCAATGTCGACTCCTTCCATCCTTGACACTGTGCCTGTGATGTCGGGTCCACCCACACTGAGGACAAGGTATGTCTTGACGTTCTTTGTGCCACCATCGTCCTCCAAGATTCCAGCACCAAAGCCTGCACGGATAGCGGCTTGGGAGATCATGGTTCTTTGCTGAATGTTTTTGGGATAAAACTGACAGACCGCCCTGCCACCTCTCCTCAGTGAGGCATATAAACCATCAAAGAACCTCCTCAGGCGGCCTTCGGGACTGACGCCACTTGTTTCGGCATTGCAAAGCCACTGAATTGCACTGATACTGACGGCGGCATCGAATGCACCAGCCCGAAAAGGAATTCCCTGACCCATGTCGGCGAGAAAAAGATCTCCCTCGACCTCCCTTTGTAGGGCGATATCCAACATGCTTGGTGCGATATCCATGCCAACCCAGATATGTTCATCTTCTGACAGGATTTCACCTGATAGACCAGAGCCGCAGCCAATGTCGAGAATGAAAGATGGTTGTGTCAAGTCGAGGAGTTCGAGGGCACGATGGGTCATAGAGGCTTGAATGGATTTTATGCGTGACGAGGTGGTATATTTGGCGGATTCGGTGTCATTGTAGAAGAGGTCTGGAGGGAGGAGATCTTCGGGGCGAGACATATTGGTGGCGGGAGGCGAGGAACGGGACGTTGCGGGGGAGGGCGTGCGCGTACAAAGCTGTATTGCTGATAAGTCGAGTTCAAGTGTTCATGATTGCAGCTGACAGCAGCGCAGAGGAGGAAACGTGGTTGTCGTGGAAGAATGATTCTTCAAGTTGGATGCTGCTGCGAATTAAATTTTGGTGGAGAAAATTCCCAATATTGGAGATGTGGAGGATTATCGATTGCGCCTGCCGCATGATTATCATTGGTGGATTAGCGAAGCACTTGCCTTGTTCGCGACTTCTCCAACAGACGCTCTTACCAGTAGTTCGTATGCTCGGTGGCTCCTTCCTCTCAAGACTCCAACTCACCCTCCTCTTTGTACACACGCACCGACCGCGAACACAACCAGGCATGATACACCGTCCAGCTCATATGCCATGTTGTCTACTGTCGAATCGATTTCAGGATCTTATTCATTCTGTTACAAGTTACACAAGGGTATATCCATTCTGATAAATAACAAGAAACGTTGGCACTCTAATGGCGCCCTAGCCTAGAAGGGTAGGTTGGTTCAAGGTGTCCTCAAAATGGCCTCGGCCACGATCGTGACTCCAGTGGTCAAAGAAAGCAAGAGTCTTTGATGTTGCTTAGGATTGAGAGATTTCCTTGTATCCATTTGCGGCAACCGCGTTGGCCCGCTCGCGAAACATGACATTTGTGCCAGCGTATCGAGCCACGATCCTCTGACTCTTTCCATCAACGTTGTGGTTGACGCCCGTCATCCACGAATCGGCTCCATAACTCAAGGCCTTGACGCCCAATTCATTGACATGGTCTGTCCACGCTTTCACGGCTTCTGCAGTGGGATCCAACCTCGTTAGATTGTGCTCCTTAGCGTAAACGAGTAGATCGTCAACCCAATCCACAAAATACTCGACAACCCTGGTAATGTTGCCTACGACGGCATGCGGGCCAAGGATCATCATCATGTTGGGGAAGTTGTTCACCATCAATCCCATGAATGTTTGGGGGGCTGGTGTCCATCGGTCTTTCAACTTTTCTCCACCAACACCTTGGATATCAATGCGACCATGAGATCCAGTCAGAGCATCAAAACCTGTAGCATAGATGATGACATCAAACTCCCTCTCCTTGTCCGATGTCTTGATTCCTTTCTCTGTGATGCATTCGATCGGCGTTTCCAGTAGATCAACTAATTCGACGTTGGGCTGGTTGTATACCTCAAAATATTTGGTTTCGAGAGGCAATCTCTTCGTGCCGAAGCCGTGGTTTGTTGGAATCAATTTCTCGGCTATTTTAGGATCTTTGACGCGCTGTCGGATCTTCTTCGCAACCCAGTCACTCATAACCTTGTTGGCTTTAGCGTCAACCAAGACGTCTATATAGTTGCCCATATAGATCCCGAAGCCAGGCTCGGTGTATAACTTCTCCCAAAAGGCCTCGCGCTCCTCTTGCGTGACGTCGAACACAGATCGTGGATCTGGTTCGTGAATGAAACATCCGACGGACGTGTTGCAGCGGTCGAGGATCTTTTGGTAATTCTTCCGTATATCTGCCATCTCTTCATCTGTCATGGCGCTATTATTCAAAGGACAGCTCCAGTTAGGGTGTCGCTGGAAGACTGTAAGATGTTTTGCAACTTTGGCCACTTCTGAGATCGCTTGTATTCCGGTCGCTCCTGTCCCGATAACGGCAATACGCTTGCCTTCGAGTTCAACTGGTTCTTTGGGCCATTTCGCTGTCTGGCATGACTGGCCTTTGAAGACTGAAGCGTTGAGGCCGCGTGGCATGGTTGGGGTCGACAATGGACCTACGGCGGCGATGAAGAAGCGGCTGGTCACTTCTTCGCCCTTGTCTGTGACGAACTTCCATGTTCGAGACTCCTCCTGCCACTGGGCTGTTGTGACACGGGTGTTGAATTGAATGTCTCTGTACAGGTCGAACTTCTTTGCGACATGTTGGCAGTACTTGAGAGTTTCGGGTTGGCCAGAGAAGTGCTCCTTCCACTTCCACTCGTCTAGTAGTTCTTTGGAGAAGGAAAATGAATAGGTCTCGCTCTCAGAGTCGAATCGGCAGCCTGGGTATCTATTCCAATACCATGTTCCACCTACGTCGGAGGCATCTTCGAAGGCTTTGGCGGTAAACCCTAACCTGCGCAGATGATATAGTTGACACAGGCCAGAGATGCCTGCGCCTATGACAACGACATCGTAGTCAAACGATTGCTCTGATGACGATGACGCGGACGCGCTGTCATTATTTGAAATGGAACTGGTAGGTGACGCCATGACGAGGACTTTGTTGTGGTTCAATTCAAGTTCTTCATATCTGTCTCTATTCCTCTTTATATATATGCAAGCCTCGGTTAATATCCTAAATGGTTGGAATCGCACGAAACATTGAATTGGTCAATCATTGCCACTGAATACGCGAATCAAAGTGTCCGACCTTCAGATTTGCTGACCCTCGGTCGATCCAACTTCCCCGCCCCCTGTTGCTACAACGTTGATTCAGCCGCCAACTTCTGGGCCTCCTCATGCCGCGATTCGGTTGCCGGCACACTCCAACCCCGCTCACCCCCCACACTCCGTAATATGTACTACAGTCAATGGCTGGAGAATGGGTACAAAAAGCCGAGTCATATATGATGAGTAGGAGACAACACTTGACCTAAGCCCGAAGCGAAGACATTGCTAGATCATGCCAATGGCTCCCTCGTTCACGGCGCAGCTGTCTCTATGCTCCTGGACAAGACCTCGGGAATCGGGAATGGTAGACTGGTGGTCAACACCCTTTCTTAGTCAAGGTATTGCTTGTAACGGCAAGAAGTTGTGTCAGTTCCCTTGATTTGCTAAAGTATTCTCGCGGGTTTGTAATTGACCAAATCATGCGCTAGCGAATCATCACGGGATATTTGATACATACCCGGCTATTGCAAACTGCACGACTAGCACTGTTGATTATGCCATATCGAAGTGATCATCTTACCATTGCAAAAGTCATGATATGAAGAGTGCAGATATTTCCAGTAGCCACATGAACTCATTTCTCGTACACGCGTGGTTAAGAAATTTGAATGTTCCAGATTCACAACAAGCAGGAAGTATGCACGTAGGTAGAGTTACAGCCTCGAGAAATAATAGAAGTATCAACCATTTGAAGTCAGCGCCCTGTTGTAGGATTTCATCCATCTAAGGATTTAGATTTCGATGGCAAAGGTTCTATGAGCGAGAAAGTTCTCTCGTGGACAGCCCAGAAGGAAGCGACTATTTTCGACGCCAGTACCTCGCATTAGAACCAACACAATACATTGGTGTTCAACTGTGGCTAGTTGAGTACCTGAGTACCTGCGGAAGAGTAATTATCACGAGCACGTGAAGGGGTTTACTAGTGCTTGGCATAGAATATACCTCAAGCACCCTAGGGGCAGGAACTGCCTGCTTTCTAATGACGACAGGATCAGAAAGGGCGGTGATCGAATGGTTTAGGCTCTTCACAAATGAGTAAGTGGCCTTATACGATTGACACGGATTGGTTGATTAATCTATAGTTGAATGATCTGTGGTTGAATAATCTGCGAGTGTGGTTGATTAATCGTGATAATCCATGGTTGAGAGAAGTAGATACTTACGGACTAGTACCTCTAGAATATGGACTCTTGGCGCACTAGCCATACTTAGCAGTGGCACAGCTTGCCCTTTTCGTAACGTGTGGGGTGGGGCACAGGCAACGGCATACTATGGCATGGTGTATTTCACCATCCATGGAAGAATGTTTTTCAGAGAGACAAGATCTGTCGTATGGAATCTAGATTACTAGTAATGACCTAGGTAGCAATATGAGAGGTGGTATGATCAGTAAATCGCCCCTAGACAGCGTAGTTTTGGTCGTCAGTAACCCAGGCTTAGGAGCATATCTCGTTTGCTATTACATATCTTTGATCGTCATTTTTCACGCGACGCGGGGCTGTCGGAAGTGACCTAATACCTGCTACAACCTGTCTGGGCGTCTTGGTAGTATTCGATTTGCATATATAAATGTCTGCCCTCCCTCGACTTTTCCCGTTTTCCTCTTTCCATTAATACTCCGCCCGCATCGTTCTTGTGTTGGTATTGCTCTACGCACTCTATTCCCATCAATTTCTCCCAGAAACTCTGCCCTCGCAAAGAGACTACCAACCATGGCACGATCAAGCACTTCAATTAACGCCCACCAAGCCGAAAATACGGTGTACCTCATCACCGGCACCTCCAACGGTTCGCATCCCCGATTCCAACATGCCACTATTCACTCGCCAGCCTTACTAACCTTGTGCGATAGGTATTGGCGCTGCAATGTTACAGATGCTTCTCTCTCGCAAAAACACTACAGTCATCGCTCTCCACCGCGCGGGCTCGCCACTTCCTACAGTACCTACCATTGAAGTGGGCACGAACTCTGCCTTGCTTGGATACCACTACGATGCATCGTTATCTGAAGATGAGGTTGGCCAGCTAGTCAAAGGGATCTCAACAGGACACGGAATCGATCACATCGACGTTGTCATCGCCAACGCGGGCATGGCTAATGGCATGAAGCGTGTTAGCGACACTGCATGGGCGGACGTTCAAAAGCATCTCGATGTCAATTTCGGAGGGCCTCTCAAAATCTTCCAGGCAGTGAAACCCCTCCTCTCGAAGCCTGGCAGCAAGTTTATCCTCATCTCGTCGTCGGTAGGATCTCTGGCCTCTTTCGATCCTGTGCCTGGTTCGTTGGCGTATGGAGCAAGCAAAGCCGCAGCCAACTACATGATGGCTCGAATGAACTTTGAGGAGGCGTCAAATGGACTCGTTGCTGTAGCCATCCACCCTGGCTGGGTCCGGACAAAGATGGGCACTCACGCTGCAGTGGAATGGGGTTTCAGTCCGGATATTGTTCCGCTGACAGCAGAGCAGAGTGCGGCTGCGGTGTTGAAGATCATCGATGGTGCTACCGTGGAAAGCACCAGTGGAAAATTCTTGGCCCACGACGGAAGTGAGTTGAAATGGTGATAAATGCGTAAGAATCTCACATAGACACGTATAGGCGTAGATGACATTCATTTCATGATATTGACGCATGTGCATGTCCAACGTTTTGGTGTTCTATTTGGTCATGAGGTAATGGTCAAATTCGAAAACGTCGATCCCCGGCCCAACGTAATCACAGTCAATTGCATTCAACTGGGAGAGTCCCTCCAATACTTGTTTTCCTCAGTTTGCGAGTATTTCGACATTGTATGAAAGAAAGTAGTCCGATGGAAAAGGGGCTCCTGCCTCGCGAGGCTGCGCTAGACTCACGTGTTTGATGCCAAGAGGTTTAGCGCGTCGACGTCACCTCAGCGAATCTGGCCTCAATTAATGTCATATCCACATCCACCACATTTCCCTCCCCCCCCCCCCAGGGCCAAACCCTCCCTGAGTCGTGCAGCTGATTTGAGCCACGAAAACCAGAAAAAGCGCACGACATTGATAATTTGACAGTTTGGGCTGTTTCTAAATCCTTTTCTTCCTTCATCCTGTCTGTCGCTATGCTCACATCTCAACGCCTGATCCTCCTATCGTCCCTTGTACAATCATCACCATACAACTTCTGATCGACGGAAAACGAATCCTTTAAAACCCCCTCTCCAAACCCACCACCATCATGTACATCCTACCCCTCCTTGGTTATGTCGGCCTCCTACTGGGATTCTCCTTCCTCACCCTTTCCATCGCATCGGGCCTCTACTACCTGTCGGAACTCGTGGAAGAACACTCGGTATTTAGTGCCAAATTACTGAAACGACTCGTCTACGCAGTCGTCACCGTACAAATCCTACTCTGTCTGGTGGACAAGTTCCCATGGCATCTCACCCTGCTAGGAGTGGCTAGTCACGCCATCTACGCGACCAACCTTCGTCATTTCCCTATCGTCAAACTCTCCGATCCATTCTTCCTTTCCAGCTGTGGCCTGGTGGTGTTCAACCATTGGATGTGGTTCCGACACTTCAGTCAACCCGTCACCTATCGTGGTGCACCGCCGAGTTCTCGCAGAGATTGGTATTCAGCACCAGTGTACGACCAGCCCACCTTCACGGAGATTGCCTCCTACTTTGGCATCTGTGTCTGGTTGGTTCCGTTTGCGTTGTTTGTCAGCCTGAGTGCAGGAGAGAATGTCCTGCCCAGCATGGGTTCTGAGTACGCGACTGGAGCCCGAGATGGCGTGGGATTCAAGAAGGGCCACAAGAGAAAGAACACGGGCATGGCGAAAGCGGCGGTCAACAATGCAAAAGACTGGATCACGGAGAATGGTGCCGTCATGGGCTTGTGGCAGTCAGATAATGTGAGACAGACCAGGGCCTTTGATTGAGAGGACACACTCGGGGATGAGTTGTATGATTTCTACCTCGGATTTGCATGATACATGGGGGCCAGATAAGATACTTGGCTCTGGATGACAGAACGACTTTTCGACGATTTTCCCAATAACATCAATACCCGCACCACAACCGCGGCCATGGCATGACGTTTCTGCGGCTATATTGTTGTCGATCTAACAAGTGAGTCGAGCAACAATTCTTCCAGAGCCACATGACTTGGTGAATGTCTATTGCTCAAAGAGGTGCCATCGAGATTACAGCACGGAATCTGGGCCAGATGCACTGACATCTGCCTCTCGAAACGTCGAATCGTAGTTAAAGCTTCTGCTCACGCCGACCTCACGAGGAAGTGGAAGAGATGAGATCTTGAGAGTCTAGGTCACGAAGCCATGTTTGATGAATCAAATTGCGGCCCTCCTTTAGAGGATATGAAACAGATCTGGGAATAGCTACCAAGACAAATGTTAAGTAGCAACAGCTGCAGACAAATGTATCCTACTGGCCTGCTTGAAACACGTGACATTCCATGTTCAATACCAAAAGTCGGCCGAATTGAACGCTCCCTTTCAACATCCTACTTGCCCTACTCTACTGGGGAGAATAATTGAAATAAACCCAGAGCCTCCACATGTGAACTCATTCATAGATGGTCGACAGATGGCCAAAAGCGACTCTCAATGTCGAGGATATGTCTCCAAACAGCTTTATAGACCTCGAGCTTGCGGACCACGGCATCTTCGCGTTGGGCAAGAAGATCGGTCAGGTCGGCAATCTCGCGGACAAACTCGACGAACTCCGGGCTCGTCCAATTGGGAATGAACTCGTTACGAAGGGCACCACCATCGAGATCCCCACCGATGTGTTTTGATCCACGATTCGAGGAGGACAGCGAGCTTGGATAGTCTGTGTGGACTGGTATGGGGCCTTCGGAGTCGACGTTGGAGGAATAGGAGGCCGCTGAGAACGGTGTGGCTGGAGTTGGGGATTCGTTGTTGGTGTTTGCGATGGGTTTGTTGATGGCATGTTTTTCGGACGTCGAGGGTGCAGTGCCAAAACTAGCGGCATAGGTCCAGGCGCGTAAGTAGACAGTCTCGGTGGCCCACAGCACTACCATGCCTTCGAGTAGTGACATGCTTGGATCGCTGCCGAAGGCGCGAAATAGTTCAATGTACTGCATGGTGGCGGAATCAGCCTCGAAGGCGGGGCTATTAGGAGCCGGCATTTCGAGATCCAAGCCATATTTACGAGCAGTGGTCGAAAAGAAATTGAGTTCGCGGTGAATGTTGGTCATTGCTGAGCTGAGCATATTGACAATTCGCCAGCGAAGACTGGTAGATTGGTCGTGCACGTAAGGATGAGGCAGAATAATGCGGGCAATCAGACTGCCGATGAAGCCGATGTAAGCTTGCGCATAGAGACGATCCTGAGACAGCCAGCGCGATAGGATGTGCTTGGGAAGTTGGCCCAGTCCTGCGAGGCGGAGGAACGGGTGTTGAGTGGCTGCTTGAAGTTGACCAGGAGAATTGTTGATGAGGATGGTGGTCAATGAGGGGATGTGGGATGGGTGGGGTGGAGGGGACATGGCGTGAATGTACTGAGGATGGTGCTGGGTGTTCTGGGTGTTCTGGGTGTTCTGCGTGCTGTAGGCCATGGCCGGTGGGTATGTGTTGGATGGTGAATGGTGTGATGATGTGGAGGTGGAGTCGCTCAAGACAGATGAGCGATTTCCTGAGGGAAGGTGTTGAAAAGATTGATGTTGGGGTGGTGAATGATTCCACATGCTGGCAGATTCTGATCACCGAACAGGCGCTGTTCAAATCGAATCCAACAGGTTATAGGTAGCACCAATGTGAATATTTCGAGAAGGCGATATAAACTCAATTCAATCTCACTTGTCAGCTCAGCTGAAACACGTAGATGAACAAGAATACGGTATTCAGAGTTTGGCCCCAAGAGTTGATCAAGGCTGGGGCTGACGCAAGGCTGAGGCAAGTACCGTAAGGTACGAATAGGTCTAACAGGTGGAAAAGTCAAAAGTAATCGGATATCCCCGGAATTGTACTTAGTGGACCAAACAAAGTACTATATAAACCCCGCCAGTTCAGAAGGAATGCAGGTAGTATTTTGTTGATATTGTCATGCTTGATTAGTTGAATTGTGAGTGAAATCCTGGAGTGCAATCGTTCGAGGGCTCCCTCCTTCCCTCCCACTCCATCTCACTCCTTCCCTCTCACTCATTCTCACTCCTTCCATGTCTGTCCCCTCCAATCAGGCAAGGGCGACTTGATTATTTTAATTGGAACGAGAGCCGCAGGAGCCCAGAACCCCGCAGCCCAACAAGGGCGATCATGTGATATCAATCCTTAAATCTCCACGGCCTCGTGCATCTGTAACATTCGAGCCCTGCCCAGCCTCCTGAACAATACCTTGAACCTTCATGCATTTGCAACTTCAAGGTTCACGTAAGCGGTGCTCTTAATATCTGAACCTTGATGACTAGCCCATTTTATGTCCTGGAACAGGTCAATTAGGGAACGCCGCTTCTCGCCACTCATTGCACTGTGCCCGTACCTCGTATTCGTATCCAGATATCAAACATGTCAAGCTCCCATGCTAACCATTGATTACCTCCGACGAATGCATAACATAAATAGCTCTTTGAGAAAGCCTGTGAGCAATTTTGATATCAATATCGGAAGCATCGTCAACTTTGCTCAAAATGTCAACCTCGCCAACTCTAGTCTTTGTCCCCGGCGCATGGCACAAACCCACATGCTATGACAAGATCATTCAGATCCTTCAAGAGCAGCATCACTTGAAATGTGTCGCCATCACACTTCCTTCCACCACTGACAATCCCAATGCCACATTCAAAGACGACGTCGACGCTGCTCGTCAAGCCATATCCACCGAAACATCTCAAGGCCGTGATGTGGTGGTGCTTGCCCACTCCTATGGCGGCATGGTTGGCAACAGCGCAGTCAAAGGCTTCACACGCCCAAAGTCTCAATCCGCGACCGATCCACAGTCTTCGTCAACGGGTCATGTGATTGGCCTCGTCCTTATTGCTTCAGGTTACACCTGGACCGGTGTGGCCTTTATGGACCCTTTCTTCGGCCAGCCTCCACCATCGTGGCGTGTCAACAAGGAAACCGGGTACGCCGAGCTTGTTCTTCCTCCTCAAAAGGTCTTTTACCACGACCTCCCAGCAGACGAAGCCGAGTACTGGACCTCTCAACTCTCCAGCCACAGCTTAAAGTCCTTGTTCGAAGGCGGTGAACATTCTTATTCAGGTTGGCTCGACGTCCCTTCTTGGTATATTGGCACCATTGAGGACTATGGTCTTCCAGTGGTGGTACAACGCATGCAGGTCGGCATGGCGAGGGCAATGGGTGCTATTGTCGAGCACAGGGAGCTGCAGACGAGTCACTCCCCTTTCTTGAGTAAGCCAGAGGAGACGGTCGAGATCATTGCTCAGGCCGTGGCTGCATTCCGAGGCGTGGAGGAACCGCCCTCGGCCACCCCTCGACCTACCGCCAGTCTGATCCCCCAAGCCAGGCTTTTGTCCCCTGTCACATGGGTCAAGTATGGCCTGCCATATTTCTTCGGTCGCATCATAGGAAAATGTGTCCTTGGCTTCACCTGGACTAGACGGCTGTGGAGGCGCACTTGAGATTTCAGTAACGCTCTTTGGCAGGAATAGATATCAATCCCCACTTCGCTTCACAAGTCGAAGACAAATGGTATAGCCCACAGCTAGCGTATGAGGTTGAAGTTGTGTTTTTACAATGTCAGGATTAGACTACCGCCATGGCTCAACAGGCTTCTGGTTTCTTTGCGGCCAGTCTGTACTTTGTTCTCGAAGAAATATTTGGTCCCAGAGTTCGTGTAAATGCATCAGCTCTCAAGCTCCCTTGGAGAATTGTATGCGTCAGGATACCGCTGATGATATCGAGGAAGAGAATTTGACCAGGTCGAGGAATCCTTACTCCACTGTTTAGCCTGCACTTGATCTTGTGGCTGTTGCATCACTTTCAGGGATTCAATCTCTTGTCGCTGGCGGGCAATGCGGTGGTACAAGAACCCCAGAATGACAACGGCTAATACGCCTGCTGGCACACCGATACCGATTCCAATCTTCGCTCCTGTAGAAAGGCCAGATTCAGAAGGGCTGGAATCATCTGGAGGATCGGTGAAGGATGTCAAGGAAGAGACTGTGGAATCGGAGGCGGGAGGAGCGGCCTTAGAGGCTGTCTGTGAGGTTGGCAAAGACGTTGGTTCTGTTGGTGGCGTTGATGATGACGATGCTGCTGTTGAAGTGGAAGTGGAAGTTGAAGACCCGGAGGTGATGATAGGAACGCCAATCGTGGTAAAGGCGAGCGGGTCTACATCGAAATTGGTGGTGTTGAAACCAGTGGCACACTGGCATGTACCTCCTAGGCAGCAAAATGATCTTTGAGAGCAGAAGGTCATGGAGTTACCGCCATTCATGGCATCTGTCTGGGTCAGTCGATTCAAGGTGGCCCATGAAACGTAGTCACTTACATTGACTGCCAATGCAAAATTGAGGACATTCAGGACTTGACCAGCCCTGGTCAGTACAGGAACCACGATAGTAGTTGATCGAAGGATTGAGGTTGGGGTCAAAGGCCTGGGCCAAGGTGGTAACTTGACAGATGCCATTCTCAAGGCATGCGAAACCTTGACCACAGCAAGTAGTGCTGGTATCTGATGTGCAGGGAGTGTCCTTAAGAGCAAGAGAGCCATCTGGATAGTAGCAGGAACGCTGTTCCTGGGCAACTGCAGCACGACTGAGGAAGGAGACCAGCAGAGATGACGCGAGGCTCAGTGAATGACGCATGCTTGGAAGGAAAGGAGCTGTAACGAGCGAGGAAGGAAGAGTTGAGGCACGCACAAGTTGAAGGAAAGAACCTTAGCAGATTATGATATTGAGGCCATGGTCCAACATTGCAGCACCATATTGCCATATGTATGTACTCAGGCAAAGGACTGATGAGTATGCCTGGAAACGCCAACCGCACCCGAGGCCTGCGAAATCACTGTCATTTTGATGCTAGGTCTTGATCATAAGCGAGAGGCAGTCCAACTTGCTAAGAATATGGTTGAAGATACGGTGCTGCCATCTCAAGTGTGGTAGTAGCGATAGCCTCACCATCCCTTTGATTCGACGATGAATTTAAGAGGGAGCCAGACTGACTTGAATGATTCGGCACACGTTGCTCCCATTGTGTTTCAGGGACGGGCCTCGGGTGGCTTTTGGGGCTGAGGGGCTTGAAAGGACCCTCTATTCGGATGCTTCAGGGCTAAATTGGGGCTCTCGCAGCTGCGAATTAGGCATAGACCCAATTAACTGTCCAACTAAAACGAAAGCGCCAGCGCCCATCCCCCCTCTGACTTTCTTAGCCGCGCGCTGACTTGAAACCCTTCGACGAATAAGGACAAAAAGGACGACCATGCAATCCACCATCTCAGAGTTCTCGTCGGCTATGTCTTTGGACTCGTCTAAGTTAGGCCACTCGATAGCCACAGTGGCACATTTCGGTATTTATCCTTCCCCGTGTAAAGTGTAACAAAACATCTGTCCAGAATCTTGCCGCGTACAAACACCAGCCATGCCATCTGATGGCCCTTCTCCGTCATCAACGTATGATCATAGTGGTCGCTGCCACTCTGTTCATTCTTGCACTCGTTCGACTATACATTAGGCCACAATTGCCTCCTATTCTCACACATGTCGGTTCATCCGAAAATGACCATCGTCCAATATTCGTGCCCGGAGTGGCCAAGGGATGGACAGAAAGCTACACCAAGACCCTCGTGATGGCCAAACTAGAATCCGAAGATATTTCATGGGTATCTCGAGATCTCGGCGAATTCAACACCAGCATCTACATCATGGACCGCAACAGTTCTCAGGGTGGTCTGACGGTACCTCGGAACAAAGGTCACGAAGCCATGGCATATTTGACCTACATCATTGACAACTACGAGCAACTCCCCGATGTGGTCCTATTCTTCCATCCTCACAAGTCGACCTGGCACAACAACATCTTGCTTAACCTGGACAGCACGCAGACGATCCGTCGACTCAACCCGGGACGGGTGATGCGCGAAGGATATTTCAATGCTCGGTGCCATCACGACCCCGGCTGTCCTAATTGGCTTCATGTCGACCGACCAAAAGCCGAGTGGGATTTGATCAAAAAGAAAGAAGAACCTCATTTGACCAGTCAAGTCTGGCGGGAACTCCATCCAGGTGGTGATCCCATCCCACCAGCGTTGTCGCAACCGTGTTGTGCCCAATTTGCCGTTTCTGGACAGAGAATCCGTGCTCGACCTGTATCGGATTATCTCCATTATCGACAGTGGTTGTTAGACACTGATCTGTCGGATGAATTCTCCGGGCGCATTCTCGAGTATAATTGGCAGTATATCTTCACTGGTCAGGCAGAGTTTTGTCCGTCACAACATGAATGTTATTGTGACGGGTTTGGTATCTGCTTTGGAGGGACCACCGAGGCCAATTTGCAGCATTGGCTTGATTTGCAGAGGAAGAAGGAACTCGTGGATGAAAAATTGGTCGAGTTGAGAAAGGATGCAGAAATGAATCGACAAGAGATTGTCATTGCCGACAAGGAGAAGTCAGCTTTGACTCTTCGATTGGATACGCTCAAGGCTGAAGCTTACCGTCGTGGTGAAAGTCCCAAGGAACGGGCCTTGGAATGTGGTAGACCTTGGAAACCGGGTGATGGATTCTAGGAGGATACCATCATCCTTTTCCGCGGGAGTTACCACTTGGCCATTGTTGATAGAGACAAATCGTACGCTATTCAAATACATAGAATGCATCTGCCATATAGGGTAGTAAGACCATGCTAATGGCAAGACTTCCCTGCCATATCGACATTGCCTCCTTTTCCCACTCAAAAAATCACTATCACGGCGGATCACAGTCAATCACAGGGATAAAGGAGGTCAGGTAAAGCTTCTCGACGTTTCATCACACAAAATAATAATAAGTAGACCCCCCTCCACATCTCCGCCGACAGGAGCAACTCGACAAAGCCCCGCGGCTTGACCCTCATCTTTTCCTACTCTTGTCCATCGCATGATCGGAACCGACGTATCCCCTTTATTCGTCGGGCTGATTGCTATTGTACATATACACAAAGTTGAATTCCAACTTGATCCATTACCCATATCCCATTTCAGGCACACGTCGTTGGCCAAATTCTCACGGCGTCCACGGCGTCAACGTTTCCTCATCTCTTGCTGTCGCATTTAAATCCAGCCAACCTCATAGAGAGCATGTGATTGCATCAAGAATGTCTTATGGCGAGACCTAGATACAATTGCTGACTTGGGTTGAACCGTGGTCGTGTTTTCCGGGCATCGCCCTTTCTTACTCCCACCAGCTCTTGATTTCAGTGCAACGGCACCAAATCTCACTCGCCCTCAACGCCAAATCCAAATATTGTTGGCGATAGAAAAACTGGGTATCTGTAACATAATACAGGTCAAATGCGACAATTAAACAGAGAGGTTTGGCCGGTACAAAACCCCATGCTCCTGCTTTTACCCATGCTCGAATTTGAGTCAATGTATATATCAAGCTCCATTTTCTCCGGCTGTTCTTGCCCTTCATGCATGAGGTCAGAAAGTTCCAGCAACCGGCACCAAGTAGCCCCCCACAGATGCTAACCGGTCCTGGGCTGGTGGTTGGATGTTGCAGCGCTCAGCTGTTGTTTGAGGGAATTGATCTCCTCTTGCATGGAATTCAATCGTCCTTCAAGATTGGTCACATAAGCCCAAATCCGATCATCCTTGGGGAACATCAGGTTAGCCCCTTCGCCACTACCATGGCCGTGGCTCGACAGGCTGTTACTGTGCGAGGATAGCGGACCACTGCCACCCATGTGAGTTGGGGGCCCACTGGGCTGAGTAGGGGGATGAGCGGGGCCTCCTTGGCTGGGCAGGGTATAACGCGCATCGGGCGGATTGAGACCTTGCGGCGGAGGAAGTTGCGGTGCGCCTGGAACACCCAGAGACCCAACCGGGCCGCTGCCACGATTGTATTGTTGCTGTTGGTGGTAGTGTGTCATGCTGGGTGACCGACTGTGATTCAAACCACCCTCCGATGGGCCTGGGCCAGATGACCTTTGCGTCTGGCCAGGTGAAAGTGGCTTGGGACTTTCAGTGATTGGATTTTGAGCAAACACAGGACCGGCCTGGCTTGCCGATCGGGAACCAGCCGTCGCCCCTGTCATTGGAGGATACTGACCAGGACCTCCTGGAGGCATGGCCACATTCGAGGGAGCGCTAGAAGGGTGGAAGCCGCTTCTGGGTGGGAAGAATGCTCCGGTCATCCCAGCAGGAGGCCGACCTTGAATGGGGGGATACGTACTAGGGATGCGTGAGGCGTGGTCTGGATCGTCCAAAGAATCATCTCCGGAGGGAGCCTGGCGACGGATAGTCGGCCGCCTTTCGCTGCCATCATCTTCATCCATGACGTCGGGTTCGTTATACATGACACCATCCATGGAATCATCCAGACCCTCATCGTCGTCCCCGCCAAAACTATCCAAACTGGCTCTCCGACCGGCACAACCACCGGGGCCCTTGTTGTGGCGAGCCAATGCGTCCCCCCGAGCGAATTTACGACCACACTTGGGACAAATGTGAGGTCGTTCACCGGTGTGCAACTTGGTGTGGCGTTTCAGATCATGCAGTCGGCGGAATCTGGATTGGCAGGTCGAGCAAACGTAGGGTTTTTCTTGGCTATGTGTTAACAGATGACTCTTCAGATTGTGATGACGAGTAAACTCGGTCGCACAGTAAGGACATCTATGCTTTTTGCTGGAAGGAGATCTTGTACCTTGTCGAGTGCCCGAGTGGGGCAAGCTGTTCCCACGTCTTGCGCCATCATTTCCCTGAGGTTGTAGCAGAGGTGCTGGATATGAGAACGCTTTGGTACCTTCGGTCGGTGAGGTGGAGCCTGCCTCGGCGGCATTCACGACTCTCTGTGCGGTTTCTTCCAAGGGAAGTGGGCTGCCGACGGTGGTGGTAATACCTGTGGCGCCAGCGGCGCTGTCTAATGTACCGACGCTCGACAGACTTGTTGGGCTGGTTTGGAGGCCATGGTTCTCATTTGATACCCCAGCCTCTGAGGTAGCTGGTGCAGTGGTTGCGGTCTGTTGGATGCTCTCCACCACTTGAGTGAGAGGCTCACTGATGGTGGTTGTGGGGTCAGGTGAGCGAACAGGGCTTGCAGTCTGAGCTTTGCTCACGGCATTTTGATCTTCACCCATGAGAGAATGTATGGCCTGGCGAGCGGGGTTTGGGCTGACTCCCGTCGAGGCCGGAGCAGGCTGCGTTGACGGTTTAACGGCCTCTGCGAACGCGGCGGCAGCAGTCAGCTGGGGAGGGTCGAGTCGCGGTCTCTTGCCAGGTCGCCCCGACTCGTCCAAATCGCGTGATGACTCGAGCGGTGTTTTGGCAGGATTTTGGGGGGGACGGTCTGGCTTCGCAAAGGTGGGAGTCGTGGGCCTGTCGTCCTGCGTAGGACTTGTCTGGCTGGTCAAGGCTTCAGCCATCAACAAGAGAAAGTAATGAGAGGTTTAAGAGAATCTGTAGTAGGTGTCTGCATTAGTAGCGTTCGTCAAGCAATAGTAGAGACCGAAGCCGCACCACTATGGGGGTTCGTCGAGAGACTGATGGGACAATGTTTGAGAAGGATGGATACAAAATAGAAATCAAGGCCGCCGTGGAAGACGGTATGGCCCAGAGGAGCGGAATGTCTGGTCGTACCTTGTGGATGACATGAATCGAGAGGCGACGGTGGTTGAAGCTCGCAAGTGGGCTAGGAAGGTGATATTCTCAGCCTCGAGAGAGTGTACGGTGATATGGAGAGGAGAAATGTTACTGAGGTGATTGCGCAGTTATGTCTGCGTACAAGTCTTCTTGACAAAGGTTTTGGGGACCATGCATAGCATGATACTAGATATTGGAGCCTTGCAGATTGCGCGGGAGGTGCTCGTCGCTCGAGGCGAAACGGCTGACCAACTAAATGGGTTGATGACAATGATTGAGCGGCGACAGATATGTTTCCAGTAGATGGAGGCGGTGAGTGATTGGTCTGGGAGGGTTGGGTGCCTGGTTGGGATCGAGTAGAGGCCTGTTGTGAAGGTGCAGCACGACGATAGGTATGGAAAGAGCGATGGTGGAATACGTCGAGTGGGCGAACGAACGAGATGGGGCTGGGATGACGATGAGGGGACAGGTTCAATAGTAAAAAGAGTTGGATTGTGGCGTAGAAAGAACGGGCGCAGGCAGGGATGAGGGCGGGTGGGTGTGGCTCACAAAGACTTTTGGGGTGAATGGACGAGTAGTAGCACTTTGTGGACTTGATAGTTTGCTGGCAAAGCAAAGATTCGCAACAACGTCGAGTTTGCGCTGGCGACAAGAAGGCGAAGAGTGTAAGAGCGACACGGATGTAAGTGCCACAAGCTGGGGTGAAAAGCAGTGGAAGAAAGGCTTGCCTGGGTGGCTATTTGATGAGAAGAAGCGAGGCCGAATCTGGGAGGGTGACGAGAGGCTGAGTGGAGGAGCGGAACAAGTGGCAGAGGCGCTGAGGGCAGAAGCAGAGGGAGGCAGAGGGAGGCTCGTCACAGAATCAAGACGGGTATGTGTACGCTGGGTGCAGGTGCCAAAGTCGACCACTGCTGACCGGTGCGGGCGATGACTGGTCAGCCTGGACAGCCACGACGGGTCGAGTCTAACGTTGTGTGGCCGTGGATCTTTCCGCTTGACTGTTTACGAGCAAAGACTTGATCAGTAGTAGTGAGTGATCAACGCTGGAGGGACCGACCAGCGTTGGGGACGAGCATGGCACGAATGGACTGAGGATTCGTGCTGTTGCCAGCGCCTGAAGTGCCCTAAGGTGCCTGGGTTCCCTGGGAAGATACCTACGGTACTCCGTACTTGCTGGAGAAGAAAGAGCCGTAGCCACGGTTCCACTAGGCACTAATGACGGGGGAAGTGGCGCGGCCTTTCCACCTGTACCCTGGAAATTGTAATGACGTCCCTTCGCTGGCGCCTCAAGTTGCGGCTTGACTGGCACAACTGCCCCCCAGAGGCCCCCACTCCCCCTTGGACTTGAGGCTGCACTAGGCCCGGATGACCACTGGTTGGTTCAACGGTAGGTATGCAGCCCGCATATGACTGCCACGACTACTCAATAGGTCTGTGTGCTCATACGATAGATTGCCCGCACTGATGAATTATTGCAGACTGACACACTGGTCAATTGACTACCAGGCACCCCTCGAAGAATCAACCTGAGGCTCCAATAGTGTCCATTGTTGGTGTGCACCCATGTTCCAGGGGATCGTGGCGTGCGTGGCTCACTCGGCCTGGATTCGTCCGTGGTGGGGTCATGGGGTGTGTTTGTCTGACCCCAAGTGGAAGGCGGATGGTGACGGCATCACGGCATCGAGGAAGAATTCGTTGTTGGTGCCGGTCGAATAATGGGCGTTTTACAAGTAGAAGAGCGTCAGGTAAGTCGAGGCATCTCTGACAAGGCCAATAATAGGGCCAGCTTGAGGGGGTTTCTGGAGGAAGAGGAGAGGCGCAGGTCCTCGAGGCGTTGAGTCTCGACGGATAGCGACTACGCAATTAAGCTGTGAGGGCCGGTTGATGCAAGGATCGTGGCTGCTGTCAGAGGTAGAAGTGGCGCCCCAAGGAAATCTTGGTGCACTGGATTGGGCAAGACAAGGTTCTCAGGTGAAGCCTCCCGCAACCAACTTCTAAGTATGCGCATTAATACGGAGTATTTTGGGTAGGTCTCCAATAAATAGCGGACCTGGGGCATCGACTAGATCAATCCTTCGTGTGGTTTCGACACGTCTTGTTCACTAGAATTACTATTGTGACAGCAGCTTTCATTTTCTTTTGATCAGGGCCACAATGCTCAAATCGGCGATATGCATAGCTACTCCACAGATCCTAGGAAACTGGCGAAAGCGCTTCGCCGTCCTTGGTTCAATGGCAAACGCCCTCCCAGCCAACACTGTAGCTTGTATGTAAAAGGCCTTCATTATAAATCCTAGCATTCAAACAATTCAATTGAGCCATCACCTGCTTAGGTTATTGTCCTTGATAATCAAAATCTACGCTGGCTACACTGGTCCCCCAAAAAGTATTTACGGCGTATGCATGCCATGTCATTGTTGGTGGCTGGTGGTGTTTGGTATTGGACCCATCCATCGTATTTGGACGCCAGGTTCCTGGGACTGTGGCTACGCTGTACCACAGAGTTTGGTGGATGACAGTTGATGAAGCGTCTCCCTATCTAAGTTATATTACTCCGTATGTACGGAGTTGTGTACCTGCCTAAGGAATGTCTATGGGGAGGCACTTGCCACATCAGTCGCATACGTCGTTCTTTCTGTTTCTCAATTCAGTCCACTGTGCCTGCATCATAAAGTAATAATAATTCCTCCCTACTGTTTCGAAAGACGCTGGTGTGTGTTCGTCTCTCCACCAATTTTCTCTCACAGATGATACGCGTCACCTGCTGACTTGTCGACCTCCACTTCGATAGCTAAGCCCACCTAGGGAGCCACAATCTCCATTCGGCATTCAACCTTGGCTTTGAACTTACCTACGCGAACGCCTACCTGTTCACCTCGACAAGGCGGCGTCTGAGCACTTGAGCGGCACGAACGGTCACGGATGGCTTTAGCGGCTCAACAGGATGAGCAACTTATTTAGCTCATGGACGAATCATCTGGGAAATGCCTTCCTCACCTCACCTCTTTTTATTTGGCATCACCCAACTTGTCGTCAAGCTTACCTGTGGGCCACCGCCGAGGCTGCCCCCCCGGTGCATGCCCCAGGCACTCGGGTCTTAGGTATCCAGGCGCAGGGAAGTTTCAGGTGTGGCTGAAGCTGTATTCGACTGAAACTGGTGACTGGCACAAATGACCAGCTTTTAGCTCCAACTTTCTGCACCAATCGCCTCCACTCTACACCTTGTCATCACTCGATCTCACACCTTCTATCCTGATCCAACCCCAACAGCCTCATACCTCACTTTGTCCTTGAGTACTCGGTGAAAGCCACTTGCTATGTCATTGTCTTTCCTGTCTGACCCTGGCAGTCTTGGTCACCAATCAACTCCCAACTCGTGGTGACCCTTGGGATCCGCGACGAGCGTGGCTGAGGGTTTGTGTCTGAATGACTGGTCCATACTCTACAGTACGAGCACAGCAGTATGGAGTTGCATGGGCAGACCTGTTGCAATGCCATTTGTCTCAGCTAGCCTGATCAATTCAATCCGCCCTGGAAAACCAGGCGTCCAAGGTAAGAGGCAGAAGGTAGGTCTCGAAACACAGCAATAGTCATGCCTTGGAGTTCACTGTCGTTCCACTGCGCTCTCAGGGTCCTAACAGCCCGCGCATGCCCCGTTCATCAGAACCCTGCTATACAGAACCATTGTGAAACCTAAGACGACTAAACCCGATCACAACAGCTGTGTAATGAAGAATGAATAGTAGTAACTCGATCCAAATAAGCCACTAACTACGTCACCCGATGGTTTTTAGAAAGCCTAAATGTATATGGGCACGAGCGTGTTTTGGTCAGACGGAAACTATTAGCTTGGGAGAAGTTAGAACCCGTCGACCGAAAACCAGGAATCCACATCTATCGAGAGATGAAGGCCAGCACCGACCCGAATAGATGTAGTGCGAATCGAGCATTTAATCTGTCCCAAACTACAGGCAGTAGAGGCTCACAAGGATACGCACAGGCAACACCCGCTCCAATAACAAGCACGCGATCTACAAACGCTTTGTCCTGCAGATCCTGCGTCAAAGAACTACTCCGTATGGTTTGAATGGTCTGGAGTACTCGGTAGATCTTGCGCCATGATGGGACGGTCGCTGACCGGAATGTTCAAAGCGTCATGTCATCCGTGAACTGGTCGTGACTACTGGCAGGATACACGGGGCGATGCGAATGTGAACAAGGATGAGTGATGATAGATTGATCATATCTGATCCGATCCACGATGTGGTGGCTTTGACACTCGCCACAGTGACGTTGAGTTTTAAAACTCAAAATAATCACCGCCACATGACATGACAGAGGGAAACGGAAGTAGGAACCGCTTCATTTACATCCTCATTCTCATCCTTATCCACATCTTCATCCTCATAGCTTGATTGTTGGTCACTGGCTCCGGAGTAGATAGGTACTAGCCTGGAGTGGCATTCAACATTCTGGGTACACCAGATCTATCTGTGTGGGATCTAGTTTCCTGGTAATTCTGGCGCGAGTCAGCAGCATGGAGACGGTAGATAAAGAAACAGGCCAGAACAAATTGGACTGGCCCCCTTTGTTTGGATACGACTCTCCACGTGGTCTGGTCGTAGTAGGTCTTCGGAACTATATCCATGGCATGGAATAAAATTAGCGTATTCAATTATCAAGTATCAATCGGGTATATCTCAGTCCAACTGTCTCAACATAAATCCAAATAGACCTCCATTGAATCACAACCCTGTGCACGCACCAAGTTGTGGCCTTCAGCAACTCCAAGACAAACGTAATAGAGGTGGACAGGTCGTTATTGACAGTCGTCGGCCTCACGCCGCATTCCCCGGGTCGACACTGGCATTCCTCTGCTTGGCCGCCTCAAGGGCTTTCCTCATGCGCTCCTTATGCTCAGAATCTTCACCTTCCTCCGTCAAGATTTCTTTGATCAAAGTCAAAACCTCAGTCGGGCCCTTGACAACCGAGCTGACTCTGGCATTCATCTCCTCCACCAGCTTGGTGTCCTCTTTTTTCTTCTCGCTTTCCAGCTTGCTGTAGGTCGCCTTGTCAGCATTGGCGACACGCGCTTCCGCCACCGACACCCCATAGTCAGACTCGTTCAGAAGAACATCTGCTTCATTTGAGAGAGCTAGAAGACGACGGGAATCTGTAATGACCAGGTTCACAGTCTCCTGTGCAAGATCCAACAAATCTTTGACACCGTCTTTTTCCAACATCTTCTCCGTGGCCGCCTTGTCTGACTTCCCTATGGCTCTCTTGATATCTTGTACTTTGACCAGAAGGTCGTCCACAAATGTCTGATTGTCACCTAACCCTCGAACCGTTGCACGATCAAAGGAATCCATCAATTTGTTGGCTCGGCTATCCCGAGCGCGGGCCTCGTGAAGCACTTGCATCTTCTCGGCCGTGGCAAACTCAGAATCGAGTTTCTTAACCCCGGCCGTGTCACCGTTGGTGTAGAGCACCGTCAACTCGAGATGCTTCCGTCTTCTTTCCCTCTCCACGTGAGCTTCTGCAAGCTTTTGGTGCCGAACCTCCAACTTGTTGAAGAGGACCAGAACACAGCTCATAACATCGCTCATTTTCGCACGTTCATTGGCCAATCGCGGATTTGCAGCGAACCAGTGACTCACAGCCTCACTACTCATGTCCAGTAGATCGATGGCAAGAGTATGCGCCGTTGTCAGCTCTGCAATCTCTCTTTGAAGCGTATCAGTGACTTTGTTGAACACCTGAGTGGTGAATGATTCCAATTCCTCTTGATTCTCACGGTACCGTCGCTCGGCCTCACCGAGTTTGAAGTCTGCCTCTAGCTCCCCAATATCCGCATAACCAATCTCATTGTCATTGAAGAGTGCGTCGATATGCGCTTCCGATTCCTGCTGCCTGGCTTGTCTTTCGGCGTCCTGTTGCTTGCGCACCTCGCGGTTTGTACGATCCCATTCCACGACCGCGGCATGAATGAAACCGAAATCATCGTGGATGCCATCAATTTTGGCGCGAATCATCTTTAGCTGTGGATGATTGGGTCCATCGATGGGTGTAGCAGGAATGGCCTCGGGCGGGAGGACCGATCGTAGGTTTCCAACCGCTTTTCTCATAGGATCTTCAGGGATTGGGGCGTTCACAGGAGTGCCAATCCTTACAGACATGGGCGGAGGTCCCCTCAGATCCGGCGCTGCAGTTCCAGGTCTTATAATATCTGGCACCAGACGAGATGACGCTGGTGTTTGCTTCCTGACAGCCATGCTCTGTTGCCTGATCAGGCCGATGAAAGCCTCTTCGTGCTCCCTTCTTCCACCAGCTGATTTCGGCCGAGAAGGCGCAGCGAGCGTATCGATAGCCATCAATCGCCCCGAGTCCACCACTGAGTTTCTCAAGCTCGAGTAGGCTTTATCTGCTGGTTGCAATGTCTTCGGCTTCTCGTCCTGCACTGCTGAGTTGTAACGGAAAGGTGTATAAGCTGGCCTGGGAGGTTCGAACTTGATTGGTTTACTGGGCTTGTTCGTTGCAGAGGAACTTGGGGCGGATGAGGGAGGTGCCATTTCTGGAAGCACAAGAATCGGGGCATTGACGCCTGGCGAGGGAGGTCCAGGCATCCGATAATCTTCTATCACCATAGGAGCGTTAATGCTTGGGGATAGGGAACCATCTGCGCGTCCAGGCAAAAAGACCTGGGTTCCAAGAGGTCCCGTGTGACCAGTATGAGGCAATGTAGTTTGGTTTGTCAGCTGGCTCACTTGATGAGGCTCGTGAACATTGGCATCGCCCTGGGCGTGGACAGCCCTCTGGGGTACCCTTGGCCTCCCGCCCGGACTGTACTCTCCTTCTTCAATTCCATTTGAGCCAACCATCACAAAAGATCCATCCTTTGATCCAGGCCGCTCCTCTACAGTAGACTTTGTTTGCAGCTGAGTCAAAGGTGGCGGCCTTGCAGGAGAAGGTGCTCGCTGAGTAGTTGGCATTGTAACTTGTGGCGCAACGCCTTCGTTCACGGCATGCCCGTTAGGTGCTGTTGCCGCTGTTGCTTCTTCTGCTGTTCCAGTGGCGATTGGCACAGCTTCTCGCTGTGACTTTTGTTCTTGTCCAACGCTATGAGCAGAGGCGGGTCCGTCGCGTTTTAGTGTGTCGATCGCTTTACTGACATCAGCTGGCTTGACATTGGCAGGCAAGGCGGCTTGGATGTCGGCAAGGCTTGCAGCTTTCTTCACCTCTTTCACCACATTGGGCAGCTCAACACCGTAAAGTAGGCTTCGTAAACGCAGCTCCTTGTTGACAAAAGACTGGAAGATGTTGAACTTGTCTTCGTCGGTGCTTGCCGCAGACTCTTTAGCGAGCATTGCAGCGTATCTCTTGAGAGATGCTTTGAATTCAGGCTCCAGGTCTCCGTACTCGTCCACTACTCTCACAGTTGGAGTGTTTTCCAAAGAAACATCACGTGCAGAGTCGCGAGATCCAGGGCGAGCCGCGTTTTGATATTGATGACGTGGGTGTAGAGGGGCAGTCCACGCCTGGACGACACTATCGATGGTAGTGGATTCATCAGTAGCCACCATGGAGTTACTCTGCTGCTGGGCCAATGTCCCTGAAGGGCGTTCTTCCGCGTGCTGTCGAAAATCAGGCTTCGGAGCCGGTGGAGGCTCTTGAGGCTGATGGGCGGTCAATGGACTTGCAGCGCCAATCTCAACTGGGCCAGCCGGGTGGACAATATCTATCTGAGGCGCCTTTGTGGGAGCTGAGACAGTCGGTGGGGGAGGCAGAGGGGGGGACACAGGTGCCTGTAGTTGCGGAGGAGCATTGGAGATCATATGAGAATTCCCAAAGGGCTGTACGCTTGGGGTGGTGGGAGTGTCGGTGGGAGGGCTGCTGGCATAATGCTCCCAGTCGGACGGTCCACCATAGCCCAAGGCAAGGGCGGAAGATTGTTGGGCAACAGAATTTGGGACTGTATTGCCTTGCGTCTGATGGGCCCAATAAGAGCTCGATGCCTCAATGGGGGAGACCAACGGGGCATCGAGGGTCGCGCCCATTTGGGGTTGTGTGGTGGATGGGTAAGCCGGCGCGGACGCTGTGGGATTCTGGGACCCCCATTGACTTGGTACCTGGGGATCATACTGATGTGTAGGCGCGTGGTGGGAATATTCTTGGTGAGGAGTATTTATACGATTGTATGAAGGCTGGCTTTGGGCTTGAGCCTGAGTTTGATACTCGATTGGTCGCGGGGGAGGGGGAGGTGGTGGAGGGTCTATGCTTGATTGTTGGGTGGGAGGGTTTTGATTGTAGGGATCGCTCCATGAGGTATTGTATTGGTGTGATGGGGGTTGATGGAGAGAAGAGGAGGGTTGGTATTTTGAATAGTTCAATGCAGGATCAGGCTGGGGACTGACTCGACCAGAGGCACTGTCTGGTCGTGGTGGCAGAGGAGGTTTGGGCTCCAGCTGCTGGCCTCCGAGGCCTTGATTATATCGTACTCCCCAGGCCGAGGTGTCATAATGACCAGAAGAGGAAGGGGGCGGCGGCAGTGGCGGACCAAAGTTGGAAGATCCAAATGAATGATGAGGAGAGGTCGGGGATAACGGGTGCTGCTGTTGGGTCGTTGGCGGTGGAGGAACGGATTGCTGCTGTTGCTGGAGTCGAGGATCAGCCCATCCTCTCCGGGGCGGGGCTTGCCATTGAGGCTGAGGCGGTCCTGGAGTATGCTGTTGATAGTTGTAAGGAGGGTTGTTGTTGTAAGAAGGATTCATGGCGGCGCTGACGTTGTTTCACGGCTGCGATGGGCGGGCAGGCGTGAGGTTGTGTCATGCGCAGGTCGCACTTGCCGTTGCAAATTGCAACTATTACACTGAGATGGCAGTTGGGCAAGAGCGACTGCCACTTGCACCCTCCTTCCACAGCTGCGCGACGAAAATATCAGACGCAGTGCGATGTCGTGCGTCTTCGCAGTCGAGGCGGTTATCCTTTTGATTCTTCAAGCTCAGGTGCCTATCAACGGACAATCAGTACTTAGCGAGAGTAAGTAAGTAGCGAGGACTCCACAAGCGCGCAAGGTTGAGCCAATTGGGGTAAATGCGGCTACTCGGGCTGAGTCCGCGCCCGCAAGTCTGCCTCTCATCCATTCAGCCTCGTGATGATTCCCAGGCCCACGCTTAGGCTCTTCTTAGATATACGCCAGCACTCATATATGCTTTGATCACTCATATATGCTTTGATTAATGTCTCACAGCCATTGGAAAGAACGGTTTATGATGGACTGATTTCTACATCTTGCTGACTTTTGAGTCTTGTAGAACTTTTGGATCCAACGGTCGACAGGTCAGCAGCAGCATTGAACCACAGTCACCGAGATCCACCCTCCGAACAACCAAAGGCCGGGGTACCATTCCACTATCCACTCAGATCTAGCACGACTCTGCCTTGCAGCTTGCCCTTATCCATCCTCTCGAAGACTTCTGTTAGTTTGCTCATCGGTTGAGTTTCAAAATGAGTTTTGACAATACCCCTGCGGCCAAGTTAGCTTCTTGTGATATGGGGTGAATGTTGGTGGAAATGTCCTTACCGTGCAGCCAGCTCCAATGTCTCCATGGCATCCTTGCGATTGCCCACAGCACTTCCAACAATTCTCAGTTCTTGTGCAAGTAGGGCTGCAGGGTTGGCTGTCTGGATTGGCTGTGATGCCCCTTCGGGGACACCAACGCAGACCAAAGTACCTCTGTAACGGAGGAAGGTCAGGCCCTGTGCATAGGCGACGTTGCTGGCTGTGCAGACAACAACAGCATGTGCACCGACGCCTCCCGCAGCACTCTTGACATCTGCCACCAGCTTCTTGGTTCCCTCATCGTCTCTGCTATACTTGGACAAATCGAGGAACACTTCCGCCCCGCATTCCTTGGCTAGCTGCTCTTTCTCTCCCATGTCGATGCCAATCATACGGAATCCAAAAGCTTTTGCACCAATCTGAAGAGCAAGATGTCCCAATCCGCCACCAGCTCCGGGAATGACGACCCAATCTCCCGGACGGGCACCCGTTTTAGAAAGAGCCGCATAGACAGTCACACCTCCACAGAGCATGGGAGCCGCAGCATCGCTGGGCAAGCCGTCTGGGATGGGAGTAACGTAGTTGGCGGGTCCCAGAGCATATTGCTGAAACGTGCCGGGTGTATAATATCCACTGATCTTGGCCGAGGTACAGCAAGCATCAGCTCCCCCTAAACAAGGAGTGCAATTCCCACAGGCTGCAGCAATCCACTTGATACCGACCCGATCGCCAATCTTGAGGCCAGAAGACTCTGTGCCTGGTCCTAGAGCAGCCACTTTGCCCACTCCTTCATGACCACCGACCTGTCCCTGTTGTGTAGGGGCTGGTAGCCATGCCCAAGAATTACTGGTCGTCTCGTCAGCAAAATGGATGCGTGTGCTCAGATTGGACAGCTACTCACCACATGACACCCATATCGGAATGGCAGACACCAGAATGCGTCAGGTTGATCAAGACTTCTCCAACGCCTGGCTTTGGGGTATCGATCTCTTCCAGCTTGGTGGAGATGGATCCAGGGTTGTCATATACCAAGGCCTTGTGCCTCGACGGTACCTGTACAGCTGCCATGATGTATGGAATAGATACTCAATTTTGCTAAGAGAGAAAAGGGCTTCCAGTGAACACAACACAGATCAATTGAAGAAAGAATAAAAGAGGAAGATGAAGGAGGAGAAGAGATTAAAGTCAAGAAAGCGGAGTCTTGCCCTATAGTAAAGGTCAAGGCGTAGAAGAGTGGGAATGCTTCTACCTATGTAACCGCCAGTTCATGATCACACTAGTACTACACTACACAACCATTTCCTCTCCGCATGGACTTTGTCGAACAGGGTATGACGAGATGGATCCATTGGAGAGTGGCACGGAAGATGTGTACGGAGTACGCGCATGATTGTGATTGCGGGGTTGAAAGAAAGGATGGATGCCTGCCTGAAGCTGGGTCTGGATCCGATGCCAAAGACGAATGACCCATCTCTGCACGTTCGAGTCAGTCATCACTACCTAGGTACACATACTACAAAGTCAACATGTCGACACGCTACAAAGTAATGCAAGGGTTTAAGGGTCCGAGGCGTCCGTCAGCTCAAATCAGGACACCCGTCTTGCCTTGTCAGCCTTATGTAGATCTGTGATTTGAGAATCGAGAATCGAGAATTGATCAACTGTAATAACATACATTATGCATTGACCTGCCTAGAGTACAATTGCCAAGTGGTAAGTACTAATGACTTGGTAGAGTGGATTACGGTAGACCGAGGGACGGTCGTCAGCGCCACGTTCCTTGTCCCTCGTCCCTCGTCCCTTGGAACAAAAGCGTACGAGTTGGGTCTTGATAAGGTGGATTGATAGAGGATGGAGGGCGCAAATGTCTACGAGTGAGTCGGTAGATACCTACGGGGGCTAGGTCATGATAGATCTAACAACTCTAACAAACGGCTGAGAGCCTCGGTAAATAGGCGAGGAGGGGCATTTTTTTTTACACTTTGAACCTTGGGATGAACCGCGGGGCATAACCCTGGTACCTCGAGTCGTGCCCTATCAGTTTGAGAGTCCCTGACAATAATGTCTACGTCGAGACCAGAGAGTCATGTACTACTTACTATGTACTACTCCTCTCGTGTGCGCATGCACACAGGAAAAAGTACTCCCCGGATCCCCCCCTCTCGTAACCCCCCTTTGATCCCACTCGCGACTGAGTGGTGATGGTGGACACTCCACCAAGGCACTGTTGCCGGTTTCGGGGATCCATTGACAAGTCGTTGATGAGTACACTGTGGCATGACCAATGCCTTGTGTGTCACGCAGAGACTGGAAGATTCTTGATGCCATGACACATTCTGGTTGCGTCTATCTACGGACTTATTCTTCCACACATGGTTCAATGGGAATGGTCTGGTCTTGATGAGAAACGACATCTACCAGAACCACCTTGACCAGAGTGTCCCATTCAAATTTGTTGGGTACTGTGACTTTCACACAACCAGTCCCCAATTGCCTTTGAGTATTATACTCATTGAAATGCCTCAGGTGATGTCTCTCAATTGGGCTGCTGCAGTCGATGAATAGAGATCGATTCAGTCATGAAGCAAGTACTGTGGGCTCCGGTGCTGCAAGGGAATTGTATCCTCTCGCTTCTCTTGAAAGACCATGATCCTTGGAGCTGTAAAAGGACATTACCATGATCTGGGTCCTTTCATTCCCAAGCTTTCCAGCTTCACAATTGTCCGACTCGCCTCCTGAACGCACCCAACTGTCCTATCTCCCGGGGCAATCTCATCGACACAGCGTCAACCCTTTGTCGTACCTTGTCACTTTGGAATGTCGAGGGCTCCTGTGTCTTTATGCTTTCAAGTGCTGACAACAAGAACTCGACTAACACTTGAGAGGGATCGTTCAATGGTGAGATCCTCTCACAAGCCCAACCCAACGCCGTCAGGAGACTGGACACAACTTCCTCTTCCCCCTCGCTTCGAAGATGGAAGTCCTCCACGGCTATTTTGACAAGGTGTTGCAGTGATTCCACCACCGGCTCCAGTCCAGGTCTCCGCTCCCTCTCATAAACTGGATGTCGCTCGACTACTGAACCGAACTGGGCAGCATCATAATTTTCGAAAATCTCGCCGAATCGTCGTTGGAGCTTTTCACCAAAGTGACGTACTCTTTCCACCGAGCTTTGTAGTCGGTTCAAGAAATTCCATCCGTCCTGATCATGACAACCCCAGACAAAAAGGGTCCCGAAAAGATCTTCTTGAATGGTCCATTCTGACGAGGGTCGGTGTTGCTGCTCCTCTGTGATGATTCTATCAATGTCCGGCCGGAACTCCGCACCGAGCTCTCGTCTGACAAATGTTGTAAGAATATCTTTGATATGCCACTTCCTCTGATCCAATGTGAGAGTAGAGAAGATGTCTGCCATTTGTCCTGTCCTGATGTGTTCAGAGATTTCAAAACAATTTGAGACCAATTTGTCCAAGTCATGAGAGACAATATATACCCATCCTTGGAGTGGCCCACCACCACCGGGCCGATCCATAGCTTTGTGCTTCGGAGCCAAAGATGCCTGGCCAGCACTTAGCGGCCGTGGCCGCAGGATGTTGAAGTAACGGTTGGCATATAAGAAGCGAACCAGCTTGGTCATTGTTGGCCGTTTGATGGAGCACTATCGCGATGACACGACCTCGCAATGCACGACGATAGTGCTTGCATGCTTCGTTAGTCTATCACTCGGAAGCATTCCCGGGAGTATTCTGAAGGCCACATGAATCATGTGGGACCGAAATGATGTGGTTGAGCTGGAGTTCAATTGCTTGACCAAGTCCATACCAATTCTGCTCAAACCGTCCCATTTAGGTATGGCTACCTGCATTGTGGTCCTGCTCCATGGTCCTCAGCGAGGTTGTCTTTTCCTGATGGTTGATTGTACAGTTCCCTGGTCGAGAAGTCGAAGCGAGCCCTGAGCAAGGATAACTCGGAATCTGAAGAGCTATGCCCGCTTTGTTCAAGTCACGCACGGCTGGCTGCATGACATGAGCTTCATGTGAAGGGATGATGGCCGAAAGGCAGCCTCAATCAACGCCACCGATGCACGGAAGCGCATTGCAGGTTGCCAAGTAGTGTATGTGCCGTTGTAGACGCATGAGGATCCAAAGCCCGGTATCTTGTTTGTTCGCCAGGGTCGTGTGGGTAACAAGTTAGCCTCATGGGCGGCAAGAGAGAAAGGGGCGGCCTGCCGGTCACGTGCGATGCGGGCGGCAAATTTGCCAATTCTCATTGGCCGACAACGAACCTCGAAAGGGCAACTTCACACCTTGTTTGTAGCAGACGTGAGTGATGAGTGCCTTCGAGATGGTGAAATGGGCCGCAGGAGGTCGCAGCCGATAGTCTCCAATGCGTGAACTCTGAAGGTCTATATCATGGCTTCCATCTTGTCAAATCACGGTACAGCGTTCGCAGTCAGAGCCTCCCCCACCACCTTAACTGCACTGCTAGGCGAACTCGGTCCACAAAGTGCAGCATTGTGGACGTTCTCAACCTAGATGCCAACCGAGATATGACGAAATGTATTGCTGAGTGTTACCAATGAGCCTACGCTTGCTGCCAAGGGTGATTGTTGAAGCAGATGCATAGGCCCCGTCCGGCTCATTCCAGTAGTGGCACACACATACGGCCGTCTGGAAGTTCAACCGTCGATAGTGTGAAAGAACGAACCCCCTATTCGCCCTATTCGCAACCGGTACTTTCAAGTTTTCTTGAACACGGCCGTATTCGTCCTCTGCCTGCCCCTAGCAAATACTATGCAGCGCCATCGGCAAGTCTGCAGTAATGATACATGCACCTTCTCCGCTGCATGGGGGAGATCTGCAGAGTACGAGGGATTGACAATATGCGCGGGATGGATGATTGCCGCAAGCCTGCGTGTAATACTGAGCATTTTGCATTGTGGAAAGATCCTTGGCACCGATCAGTAACGCGTAGGAGAGCGGAATTAGGTGTAGACATACGGGTCTAGCTGCCGTGCTACATGGATCCCGACGTGATATCATCATTGATTGAAGTTATGCAGATGAGTGACCAGAGCTTTGGAACGTAGGGGAGGCGTTGACAGCAATCTAAACGAGGTGAAATTGATACTATCCGGGTGATGTCTGCCACTTGCAAGATGGTGGACGATCATCCTTTCTCGATGGCAATGGACAATGTAAGGATAAACATGGAGAGAAGGACCTAGGCAGAATGAATCATTAAGGTCTTGCGAGACAGCGAACATCATTACTTACAAGGGTGGCCATGGTGCCAGCAACCTTGAGCTCCCACCCACCAGCAACAGCATATCCCCGAGCCATTGAGTTCTGAACTCGAAGGAATCTGACAGCTCCAAGAATGGCCATGACCATCGCAGCAACGTGGCAGATGCTGGAAAGCGGCACGCTGACGACGAAATAGCCCAATGTGAGATTTGGAGTTGAGCTATGCTGGAGACGCATAAGTTGGGCAATGATGACGCCGAGGATGGCAAAAGCCTGGCCAGTGCGAAGGTAACCAAGAAAAGTTCTTTCGTTTGCTGAGTACTCGAGTTAGCCAACATGTTACACAGGCATGGAGTCGGTCAATCAATGTTGCCGCTCGAGGAGCCGAAAGTTACCTAAATGATCTCGACAATCAACATGAGGAACAGCCATCGATATGTGTCTGTGCCAGAAGCGGGAGAACTTGCTAGGATGGTTGCCCGTGGCATTGACGGGGGGGTAGTTGTTGGCAGTGTTGATGTCGAGTTCCAGGGCCTCTTGTTCCGACGGATTCGCCAACGAGCTAGAACGAGGTGGTGTATGGAGCTCTGGCTCTGGCTCTGGCTCTCTTCGGCCGGGGCTACGCTTGACATTGACCATTTTCCAAGATCATGAAATTGTTTCAAGGAGAAGTAATGGTGGTATCTTTGGGCTCTTGGATATAGCTCTCCTGATCTCCATGTAGCTGGAGCTAGGTGGTGGGATGGTTTGACGCGAGTACAATCTTTAAACAAAGCCAGGCCAGGCCAAACCTTTTTGACGGAGGGCTGAAGGTCTCCCGAGTGATTAAGAGTCAGTCTTGCTGTCTCTTAATTCTTGATTGAGGTTGTGTGAGGTTCAATTGATTTTTGATACCTCAATTCCTGGTATTGGGAAGGCACGATATTTGGAAATTATTACTGTTATTATTAGGGAAGGTGACGTGTGTCTACACGTGACTTATAATCACTGCCACGTGACCTGAATCCCAACACGTGATGGAGCCAAGGTCCAATCCTGGAGTTCGCCCGGTACCACAATTCAAGGCGCCGGAGAGTCAGAGTCCACCACTCCCGCCTAAGGGCCGAGGGGCTTGAGCCTAGAGCCTAGAGCCTAACGGCTGTTGCCATGGACCGATGTCAAGTTCTCTGGGCCTTTTGGGCCTTTTGAGCGCTTTTACACACGTGCCTGTACCTAAAATGCCATCTCTCCCAGTGGCACAATGCCTAACTCCATCACTAAGGAGAGCTGCACAATGACGGCACCACCTTGGGACCTTGATTCGCTTGTTAATCGGCTCTTATTTGTTGAATTTCTTTTGGGCGCCTCTTTACCAGCCACGAGGATTTTGATGCAAGTCTTGATTTGATGCTTCATGCCCCCCAACCGGCGAGAACTCGATCGTGAAGCGTAATCTTGTTTTCTTCCCAACCCCCTCTTCCTCTTGTTGGCCTCGACGCCGACTCTTAAACCTTGACCCAGCTCCATTCTCTGCGTCACTCCTCGTCCATTTGTACATATTTCTTCCTGCCACGTTCCAGGGAAAACTCCCGCCTGGTCCATCCTCCGGTCCTCGGTCCTCGCCATTTTTCCCACGTGTGCGACCCCGCAGCGTCGGGGCCATCAAGTGCACCGTACCCTCAACACTGGGTCTATCCATAAACCTTTCAATCAACGTCGGTCAAGATGATCGGAGGATTCCTCTTCACCAGTACTAGGATCTTCGAGATCGTCACTCTTATCCCCATCATTGGGATGCTGGTATGTCACAACATGGAACCTTGGTGACTCCATACCGCCTGGGTTACTGACGAGAGCTGCAGTCATGGTTCGTCAATGGGTTCAATCAAAACAACCAGCTCACTCCCAACTTCATCCTCGTCCTCTTCATCGTCTCGATCCTAGCCTGCGCATGGGCTCTTGCGACCCTGCTCCGCTTCAGCTCGACCCGACGGAATGCGCTTTTTGTCGCCTTCATTGACCTGTGCTTTGTCGGTGGCTTGATCGCTGGAGTCTACTACCTGCGAGGCATTAGTGGAGCCAACTGTTCCAACTTCTCCTCTGGTTCCATCTATATCAATCTTGGTCCATTTGGCTTCTTTGGGCGCAGCAGCGGGTCCTCGTGGGCGGTCAACGTCAATAGGAACTGCGCCATGCTCAAGGCTTCGTTTGCCTTAGCAATCATCAACATTATCCTCTTTTTCTGGACATTTTTCTTGGCCCTCTTCCTGCATCGTCGTAATAGTATCAAGGAAGTCAGAAGGACTTCGCGACACAGCTCCAGGCGCGGTCATAGATCTCGCTCAGGATCGAGGAGGGGCAGTACCCGTCGCAGTGTCTACGTCTAAGGTCATGTCGAGCGTCAACTGTTCCATCTCAACAACGATGCGTCTAGCGAGCACACATATCGGAGCTTTACGAATTTCCTTGCACTCTCACAGTGCGTTCTTGATCTTCGTTTAAGAACAATGTCTAAGTATTTGAGCGATCTGTTTATTTGTTCCCTTTTGGGGAAATCATTTGGTGATGTACCGCTGCTCAGCGCGGTATCAATGAGTTGGAAAGGCAATGAGATGGTTGGAAATGAGGGGGAAAACGCCATGATCACGACCCCAGACAAGAAATAAAATCATGATTTACATGTTCTCTTAATGTTCCATGCGCGCATACTGTTTCCGTGACAATAGCGCGACGTGGTGAAGGAGTAAGCCTTCACTGTGTCCACGATGGCTTTTGAGATCATTCGAATTGACGAAGAGCTTGGGGCAGGATTCTGGGGTGGTAATGTAAGGTAAGGTACATGTCCTCAAGAAGATGCTAGCACCAACTTCATGTTCAAGTATGAGATGACTTCGAGCGAGGGTACGCAGTAGTTCCTAATCTTGGGACTTCTTATTAATGTACAGCATCACTTTCGACAGCCTACGGCTAAAGAGTGATGTCACTACTCAAGTCGGTGTAACCTTCCTACCTTCGAGTCCATACTCTGAGTGATGCAGGAAGCACCGCAATGATTCCAGAAAGGATCTTCACGTTTACGATCAAAGAGCCAAAACATTGAAAGTGGACTCTTGGCCCGTCCTAAATGAGGTGCTACACTTTATCGAGTCCGCCAGCTGGGCATGGCATGGCATGGCATGGCATTCATCACCATAAAACCGGATTCCCGAGCCGAAATTTCCAAAAGAATGAGATGGCATTCTCCTTACCCCGGAGCCGGGCTTGAAAAGGCAGCCATTTCTTTCTCTGCCGCCGTCGCCTAGACTAGATGGGACCCAGTAGCCATGGCATACCGATGTTGTAGGCCGAGTCGCGTGAAATGTACCTCACGAGCATACTGATGCGCATCAACAGCCCCAGGATCTGTGTATCATCGCATGGTGTAGGCGAAATTATCTCATGCCTTACCACATGTCCTTGGTCGTGCCTACACTACGTCCGAACCCCCCGTGGCTGTCCTGTACAGCAAAGTATCTACAGTAGTTGAGCAAGATCAATGTTTTCATTTTCGAGGTCAGACAAGATCGAAAGACGAGGCTGTGAATTTGTCGAGACTCTAATTATCGTTGTGTGAAGGGAGAATGCTAACAGCGTATATTTGGCTGCATATTATATCATCACAATCTATATCCTCGTACATACATACCAGAGTCATGGACTAAGTAGACCAACTCGATCCGGTCGGCTTATCCCGAGTGAACTCTTCAGTGCCAATGAGCAGTCTGCCGGTTCATCCAAGGTATTTCCAGCCAAACATTCAAAATCTCAGCCCTTACGTACATACTCGACATATAATTTATCACACAGACGAGTAGATCAGTTAGTAGGTAGTAGGTGCTCGTCGTGTCACGTCGATCGTATTGTCGCGGAACTGGTGCTACTTGCCACCGGGTCAATAATCACCGTGGCACAGAAGAGATGTAACATCGGACGGTAATGTTGATTTTAAGCGAATCCCTTCTTCTCCTCTCTCTTCCCCTTCCTTTCGTGGGGGGGTTTGGTGTTGATAGAAGTGGGGTTTGGGGGAGCAAAGGGGGGGAGGAAGGGGGGGCCGAGGGGCTTGTCCCACGGGCAAAGACGGCGAGACAAATTTCTTGCACTTGTCTCGAAAGTGGGGAGTGCCGTGGTAACGCCATTCATCTTCTTTTAGTCATTTTCACAGATTGCTATTACCAGACATGGTAATGGTAGTGGTGGTAGTTGTCGCATCGTCTGCAGAGATGAGATGCAGCATTTCTTCACCGCCTTCCGTGTGGCGTAAACTCGGGAGTAATGCCTTACATAGCTTTCTACTGTATACGCCACGAGCATCACACGTGCCTCTTGGAAAGTGTGGTGGTGGACGCTAACGGAGAGCAAGGAATAATCGTAGACGAACAGGGCTTGGAATGGGTCATGATAGGTAGAGTACTATGCTGCAATACACTATTGCAATGTGCATCGATGTCTGGACAAATACTTCATTTTTACTGCGTTGCAAGACGTTCAATTTTTGTCAAGGAAGCACTTGGATAGTTGGCTATAGACCAGTAAAATCGAGGAATTGCTTTAGACAATATTATATGGCCCTTGTTCACCAACTGAGAAACATCTTCTTGACACAGATTCTGCGTGCATCATATTGATATCTCAAGAAATGTTGCTCGTCCCAATCTCTGAATTTGCGGGGGCGGCATGATTGAATACTATCAACCTACACCTTGGGGGGAGCAGGGTTGACTTGTTCGATTTGCTCGGCGTCTGTGCTTGCGACACGCTTGATGTCGAAGGTGACGGGGTCGACGTCCTCGTGGTGTACGACCTTTTCGACAGCCATGGTTGTTCGGTCGGCCAAAGCCTTGTCTTCGAACACTACACTCTGTGTTAGTAACATAGAATCAAAATACCAGAATAACAGGTAGAACTTACTGAATGACAACTCCTCCAAAGTACGGTTGGATGTCTCAGGGAAGAAGAACCAGACAAAGACAATCTCGAAAGCCAGCCAACAGCAATAAGTGATGAGCCACTTCCAGCCAATGTTGTTGAGACCAATAGGGTTGACGAATGTGGTGAAGAAGCCGGCAAGACGACCGAACAGTTGGAAGAAGGCAATACCTCGGGACCGCTCCGCATATGGCCAGATTTCAACCAGATACGTGTACGTCAGGGCGTTGTAACCCAGATTGTATGCAGGCGAGTAGAGGTAGATGAAGAAGATTGTCGCGACACCGGCGGCCTTGTTCTCCCCACCTTCATCCAGGGCGTGCATGCTCTGTTGCATAGAAATGGTCCACGAAATGTAGACTAACAGAAGACTGATCGTGCAGGCGAGATACATAGTTCGTCGTTTGAAGCGCGTGACAAGCATGGCAAATGTGAAACCGCAGACCAACGACCAGCAGGCGGTGCTGACATTGATCTTCTGCTTGAAGACCGAGTCGGTGTGGCCGATCATGGCCAGAAGATCACCGAGGTAGTATGAGATGAGCGTGTTGCCGGACCACTGGGTGAAGAGACCAAGGAAAGTGGTGATGAAGACACGGCGACGCATACCTTGTGTCGCAAATAGTGAGAGCCACGATTTTTTACTGGCCTCAACTTCAATCTGGATGGCTGTGTTGATTTGGGCAAATTCGGCGCGCACGAATTCGGAGTCTCGATCCCCCTCGGCGTGATACTTGACAAGGATATCATAGGCCTCCTCACTACGGTCCTTGGTAACCAGCCAACCTAACAAGTGCCATGTTAGCATTCGCAAACGTCAAATCTGTGCTCGAATCAATGAAGACTTACGGGGGCTTTCTGGAAGGAAGAAGACAAAGCAGATCTGCAACATGGAAGGCATGATCTGGAGTAGAGAAGGAATTCTCCATGCCCAGTTGCTATTAATACTGTTGGTGCCAAAAGTGATGCCGGCAGCAATGATTTGACCTGGAATTCATGAGTATAGTTAAAAGATTCGGGGACAAGCCTTTCTTACCGACAAAGTAGGCGACATTGAAAAGCGATGTCAGGACAGGTCGCTCCTTTGGATAACCAAGTTCACCAATCAAGGACGAACCAGCAACAATACAAACTGGAATGCCGAAGCCGAGGATCATGCGAGCCACAATATACATGCCAACTAGAATGCGCGAGTCAGATATTTGAAGCAAGATTCAGGGGACGTTGCTCTCTCTCACCATGCTGCGCAAAACCTTGAATGATCGCTCCAATGCACATGACAATGGATCCCCCCATAATCGCCCACCGTCTACCAAATTTTTCATTGACAATGGGGACGAAAGGCAGAGACAAGATGGCGCCCAACCCATAAGCGGCAGCAATAATGCCTTTCAACGACCCTTGAGGATCATCGAAGTCTGAAGACTGGTTAGCTGGACGCACATTGACAAGCAAGAGGCACTCGTACATAGTTTCCAATATGGAACAATCTGAAGGGCATTGATCAATTGAGAGTCGAAACCAGAGGTCAACTCAATACCCATACAGGTCGGGAAGAGCATAAAGTAGAGATATCTCAAGTTCGGCTTGCGATACCATGGTACGTTGTCCTCGGCAACTATGCGGGTGACAATGGGATCAGAGTCCCGATTCTCCCTGTTGGTGGGCTTGAGAAGGTTCGACATGATGGCCCAAGATGTTGACTTGGATGGAAGAAGGCCTGACTCGGTCGAGTGTGAGGTGGTGAGATCGCATGAAGGGGAACCATGGCCTTATATGCTTCTCCGGATGCTGCAAGATCTCCCGCTGCAATATTCGTGTGATAGCCTCAACCTGCACCTCCCGTCCAACTATAGACTGTGGCAATCAACGATTCCATTGGTTAGGAGCCCTAGGGCCAGAGTCAATCTACAGGTATAGCAGAATTGTCAACTTCCGCTTGGCACCATTTGACCCCATGAGCATGGGGGGCGCTAAGGTGACACGAGGGGTGGATTGACATTGAGCGTTGACAGTGTTGCTGTAAAATGATCTTTACCTGAAGGTTGCCACCGGGCGAGGAACAAATCCGGGGCATCTTCCGTCTGTGGAGAATGCTACAAGGGAGTTTCCATGTGGGACCATTTGGACATTGAGCAGGCTGATCGTGACTCGACCAGGATTAGCTTCCTGTCTCTTGTCTGTATTACTCAACGTTTGGTCCCTTTTGAGAGCCCACCCAACCGTTTCCCCGGATGGAAGGAAGTATAACAGCGCAAACACATCGATGAACGTAATGTCAAGGTACTGAAACAACCGTAAAACGGCGCATACAGAACAACCAGACTGTGATTCAGAGACCAGAGGCTAGAACACGAGATGGAAGGTAGTGGAGATCATGGGGCTCGAATTTGCATATCCTGTGGTAAGAATTTCCCATGGTCTTTACACTGGCGTTGCCAGACTCTTTTCCTCAAGTGGCTCGCTTGCACCCGGTCGAGCGAATGACGGCAGGGCCAGATTGGAGAGAGAATACGGAGTAGAATCAAGCTCAAGCTTCAAGTTCAGGCTGAAAGGTGCAGAACAAGCGCAACTTGACCTGCCAAGCGGGATAATATGACTGCCAAGCTAGCCGTGGCTGGCATACTTGATCGGGAATTGACGAGATCAAGCTCCGTGTCGCAATGGTCATGGTCAATCTTGGGACCGTCATCGTGCCTCGAGATACTGGTGGTATCCCACATTGGGCATCTCGTGGAATGTAACGTGCGCTAATAAGGCTTGCACCTCGTCTGGCTATGATGTCGAGCTAGGTCTTATTTACTGAAAAGCCTTTGGCCAAGGTCTTTCGGAGCTGGAGGTAGACAAAAACTCATAAAACCATTCAGGTTGAGATTGTGGCGGGAATCCCTTACCATGAGCCCTCACAAATAGGCAATATTCACAGACTTAGTCACGAAGTATCGAATGTACTCATTTGTTCATTGTAACCATAATGACTGTCAGAGCTCCACGCTGATCTCAACGGACTGTATATCGGCAGTTCATTTTTGCTGCTGGACTTGGTTCCTTAGGTGGCGCTTTCGGCTCTCAAAGGGTTAAGCTTCCGTCGTTCTTTCATGGCGAAGATCCACCTACCAACCAGAGTATCACATATTTGAACGTTGTTTTGGGGACCCCGGGCTGCAAGCCTTAGCTAGGTTTGAGGGGGGCGTGCCGAAGTCTGGTTAAAAGAGGCTGCAATAATAGACCAGGACCAAGCCCCACCTCGTGAATCGAGGACGATCGCTGAACAAATACGCACTCCACTGGCGTGGAGCTACCACAGCCTAATCTTCGGCACAAGGCAACCACTCGTATCCTTTATACAATCTGCGATGGGTGCTAGCAGAGTCTGGTCGATATCGTGGGGATTGAATGGGGGTTGAAAACGATGTCGACGCACCAAGGAGGATTTTCGTTGTCCAAGGCAATGGGAGATGGGCTTACTCCGTCATGCCGAGTGTCAAGTTCCGAGCGGCGTGTTTGCATGCTCGAATCGAGCCATGCAAACCCCAAGCTCCGAGCTATGTGGCTGACAGCCTATATTCAGTTGCTAGGAAGTCATTTAGATGTTGGTAGTGTCCCATAGAGCTGTGGAGAGGGGGACATCAAAGAGGACGATACGACCCATGGACGTCGCTACATCTTATGACAGCTTCCGTGTGATTGGCTTACATAGAGATGGAAAGAGTAACTACAATGTGAGTTTCCTCCGTCGTTCATAAGCGAGGCTACACTTGATCATCTCCGACACGACAGCCGACTTCAGGAACTAGAGAAAGAGGGAACCCGCCGAAACCATGCCTGGCCCAGCTCGTGCTGTTTCAGTTAACACGATCCGTCGATATCTGATTTTAGTTCTGATATTTTTCATCATCTCAACACTTACACTTGACCATATCTGTATGCTCAGTCGAGTCCGACAGGAATTAACGGGAACAGGCTTAACCATAAATTCTGGTTTCGTGCAGGCTAAGCGGCGTTTCTTTCAATTGCGCTACGCACTCATGCGCAAGGCCCAACCCCAATGCTAATGGTCCTAACTTCATTTATATATATTCCATCGCACGAACTGTTATGATGGAGACTCGAGTCTATCGTTGGAGGGGCTTAATTCTCCGTTATGAGACTTAGGAAGTCAACAATGATAAAGGCGGTGTCACCATCCCCAGTAGGGTGAGCTGGCTGACAGCATTTCAAATGTCGCTCCAACTTACCTGCTAACGAAGACCTTGATATCGAGGCTCTGCAATCGAGCGCGATCAATTCACTTATCTTGTTAGACCCAGCCATTGGCGGATGCTTTTCAGGAAGAAATTATCGATTCGACATCAGCATCAAGCAAGTCCCAGGTGGAATCCGTGCTACCTACGGCACTGAGGCTGTACTTGCTTTTTATATATGTCTTCCACTTATGCTACAGACCAGTTCGTGAACCAAGAGTGGGGGAATCAGCACTGACAAAAAGCAACAAGGTTATTGGAGGCCCGCGAAATTCCCGAACTGGGCTAGCGCCTTGGGTTCAAGATCACATGTCGATAAGCACCAAGCCAATGAGCCAATCAAATGCTGATCTGAGCCTTGGTCGGCCTTCGCCGATTGCACTTTCCCACTTTCCCCGACTTTCACTCACCTCTTGCCTCGTACTTGGTCTCGTACATCATCGACTACCCTTTATCTCTTTTTATACATCCCCATTTCTTCATTTCCAGTGCCAGTGCCAGTTTGTCTGACTGGGACACCTATGGATTCGGTGTCTCTGTTCTCAATTCCACGTCCGAGTTGGCAGTCGTTGCAGCGCTGGCCGACATGATGTCGGTGGCAAAATACACCGCAACAATCGACGAAAGGACGGGCTATATTACTAACATTGATAGCATTCGAGATCTCGAGTACCCGGGCTTGCGAGACACTTCATACCTGGATCATGCAGGCACCACTCTTTACGCGAGATCGCTCATTGAAGCATACTCGCAAGACCTCACAAGCAATATTTTTGGCAATCCACACTCTGCCTCGGCCGCATCACAGCTGTCTTCGCGTCGAATCGAGGACATCAGGGTCCAAGTACTCCGATTCTTCAACGCTGATCCTGACGACTTCGACGTCGTATTTGTTCCCAACGCGACTGCCGCTATGAAGTTGGTCGGTGAAGCCCTGCGAGATGGCGATCGCGGGTTCACCTATTGTTATCATGCTGAGGCACATACGAGCATGGTTGGTCTCAGGGAACTCGCCACGCAAGGCTCATCATGCTTCTCGAATGATAGTCAAGTCCAACAGTGGTTTGAACAGCGTAAGACAGACTCTTCAACTACACATGGGCCCATCCTCTTTGCCTATCCTGGACAATCAAATATGACCGGTCGTCGACTTCCTCTCGAATGGTGTGGAAGGGCTCGTACGCTCAACCAGAGAGGCAATGTTCGAGTATTTACTCTCCTGGATGCTGCGGCACATGCCTCCACTAGTCCTCTAGACTTTTCTGATGCCAATGCTGCGCCGGATTTCACTGCACTCAGTTTCTACAAGATTTTTGGCTTTCCAGACCTCGGGGCTTTGATTGTTCGAAAAGCTTCTGCTTCAATTCTACGACACCGGAAATATTTTGGCGGCGGGACAGTTGATTCCGTAACGGTTGGGGATGACCATTGGCACGCCGTCAAGGAAAGCTCGATCCACAGCCGTCTCGAAGACGGGACCGTTGCTTTCCACAACATCATTGCATTGCAGTCAGCCCTGAAAATCCATAGCAGCCTGTACGGATCAATGTCGGTCATTTCCAAGCACGCCAAGTATCTCGCATCAACTTTGAGAAACACGCTTAGAAACTTGCGACATGCGAATGGAACCCCAGTCTGCCAGATCTACGCACATGAAAATTTCGAAAGCTGCTCGCAAGGCCCTATAATCGCGTTCAACCTACTGGACGATGCGGGACAGTTCGTAAGCAGCACTGAAGTTGAGAAGCTTGGAATTGTCAAGAACATCCAATTCCGCACAGGGGGTCTCTGCAATCCTGGAGGGGTTGCATCCCACCTTGGCCTCTCTACCGATGAGATGCGCCAAAACTATGCAGCTGGACATCGATGTGGAAGCGCCAATGACATCCTAAATGGAAAGCCTACCGGCGCTCTTAGAGTGAGCTTTGGAGCAATGAGCAGTCTACAGGATGTCACAGCTTTTATGGACTTCATCCAAGAATTTTACGTCAGCGCGAAAAAGCCCGACATCTTACCTGGTTCTGTGCCCATGATCCATCCGTTAGAGAGGGGTGCTCCCTTTGTGGTGGAGAGTCTTTCGGTGTTTCCAATCAAGAGCTGTGCAGCGTATCGAGTACCTCCAGACATGACATGGGAGGTCGGTCCAAAAGGATTGGCTTGGGATCGGGAATGGTGCCTTGTGCATGCAGGGTCTCATGTTGCACTCAGCCAGAAAAAGTACCCACGGATGGCCCTTATTCAACCAGAGATTGACTTACCGCAGAGGATTTTGCGAGTCTCGGCTCGACTAGAAAACGGGGTGACACGAACGCTCGAAATTGGCCTCGATTCAACGACATCGTCATCTTGGAGCTCTTTCCGCCGTCAAAGACCTATTGTCAACAAAACCTCGGTTGTTTGCGGCGAAGACGTAGACGTTGATGTTTACACCTCCCATCAAGTCACGTCATTCTTTACGGAAATTTTGGAAGTACCATGCACGTTGGCTCGCTTTCCACAATCAGGCACCGTTCGACACGCACAAGTCCGCCGACCTGGTGATGTGACGGGACAAAATGATATGCAAATTGGGAGGTCTATCACTTTGTCGAATGAGAGCCCTATCCTGCTTGTTTCGCGCTCGAGTGTCAACCGCTTGAACGAAGATATCAAACAAAATGGCGGCGCGGGGAAGGCCGTGGCAGCAGCCTCTTTCCGGGGCAATATTGTTATTGCCCAAGAACTCGATGGGGCACAACAAGAAGACCCATATGCTGAAGACGAATGGTGTAGTGTTCAGATTGGGGATGATCCTGCATGCCAGTTCGAGGTGCTAGGGCCGTGTCAGCGATGCCAAATGGTCTGTGTCGACCAAAAGAATGCCCAGCGAAGACAAGAGCCTTTTAGCACCCTGGCAAAGACTCGGAAAAGAAGTGGGCGAGTATGGTTTGGCATGCACATGTGCCTGACTTCAGAGTCTCGCTGGTGTGATCAACAGGGAAATGCGGTTCACATACGGGTTGGTGATCGTGTCTCACCTTGCCGAGGACCTCTACCCAGTGTATGAAGATACTTAAATTGTACGATTTACGGTAATAAATTAGCAAGCTAGGAATGATTGAAACTATTTAGCCAGAGACGACGAAGGAGTCGTCGTTCACGGCCTCGAAGAAAAAGAAACATAGCTCATGTGAGCATAATTCGCTTCCTCCCGCTCTCACTTTCCAGTCGTCATAATACATCATCAATCATCAGTAACTGCGTCAAGGTCATGGACTAAACATGATGGGGCATGTACCCCGGTTTAATACGAGGATGATGAGGTGCATCCCTTCAAATTCTCGCCCTCTTCCGAAGGTCCGCCTTTGACGCCTCACTGAACAAATGCGAATCATCGGTGTATCCTTTGATGACTTGATCATCATCCACCATTTCGCGCAGCATTGACTCGAGGAATTTCTTCTGCTCAGAAATCCACGCCTTGGTGGACGCTGTATTGAAACCACGCCCGGCTCTCTTGCGATCTCGTACTTCTCTGAGATGAGCTCGCGTTCGCTCCTCCAATATATCTAGCCGATACTCGGCGTACTGTGAGTACAGCTCGGATAGATCAGAGATGGAACGAACTGTTGTAAGTACAGTGTCGTCCTTGATGAACGCTGATTTGGGTCTGAACGACGTCACCATAGTGATTCGTTCAGTTGTACCTGTTGCTTTCATCGCTTGGTGTTCGATATATCGTCCTTGCATGACGACGGCGTGTCCCTAAGCTTATTAGCCAGATACATGGTGAATGAAAATCAACTACTAACCATTCCTGGCCCACGAACTTTCATGATCGATCCGTCAGCTTTTCTCAACGCGGTTTCACCCCCGACCATATTAGTGCAGTCGCTGAGCATGGTTACGCATACGAAGGCGTAACTGTCGGTGTGCCAATCGACAATAGGCGTGTCATCGTCGACGGGACACCCAGAGATACCTTCATCTGCATCGCGGTGGGCCTTTTCCTCCCGGTCTCCAGTCGTTGATGACAAGTTGATGTGTGCAATCTCAAGGTCAAACTGTGGGACAAGCTCGACTCCAGCAATCTTGGAGACAATTGAGAGCACCTCTGGGCTGTTCCAGGCATCGTATACAAAAGGTGCAAATCTATCTGGTCAGTATTGCCTTGATCGATCCTTGGGTCCAATTTACCTTGGTGCAAATCCTCTTAGCTGCGACTTTGCGATGTTACTTGAATACTTGCAGTTCTCCTGCACTGCGTCGCTAAGTATTTCGGCTCTCATTTGCTCGATGGCTTCCTGAGAAAAGAGGGGGAATGGCTCCGACACTGCAGTGGGCGAGATACCCTTGTCTGTCATCCCGATCTCCGCCATGGACCACACTTTCTTGGGCTTTTCATAAATAAGGTGCTTCTCCGGCTCAAAAGCGACCTTTCTCGGCACTCGCATCGTATTTCTTTCAGAGAGGAGCTCATCTACTGGAAACTTTCGCTTCGCGACGCCAAATGCGGGTACCGAAGAGGGCAAGAGTACGTCTGCTGATGCCATGTTCACAGGAGTTTACTTAAGTTGCTTGAATGAAGATATTCCCAGCCTTTATTGTATATTTCTCAGAATCCAGACAAAAGACCTGCAAGTGCGGGTGGTTGCAAAGAAGAGGAGTTTGTAATGGAAGCAAGACACAAATATCTGAAGAAAGGGAAAGGTAATGGCTACTTCTAAGAGAATAGTAAGTCTAGTACACAAGAACCAGAACTAATACAGCAATGTGCTTGATATATCTAGCAAACGCCAGCGGAGTTCCGTAAGCTGCCCATGCCCAATGCTTGAGCCATGTAGCATGTGGGAAACCAAATCCCTATTACAGCATTCGTCCAACAATTCACACAAGGGAGGACCAGACATTCCAGCTATGTCTTGGTGTCGAAAATAGGCCGCAAGGATAGCACCTACCGATGCACGGTGACCGCTTGCACGGTTGGCTCTTATCAAAGTCCTTATCATGGTTGCCTATCATCAAACCTTGACTATCGGCAAAAATGGTCTCTGGACCAGTTGACGTTCTGCAAACAGAAACTGGGGAGCAGGTCCTACGATCTCCGAAGTGGAGACTATCACGCAGGCATACTGTCAAAGGAAAAAGTTTCTCTCTTGGGACTAACATTAGGGCAACGTGAGATCCCCAGTGGTCACCCCAGACCAACTACTATCGTGATATCATCGCGACGTTGCCGATATTCACATGATCGTGTTTCGAGACCGTTCGAGCCGAAGCCAAGCCCCATCAAGTAGATTGATGATCTTCCAAGCACCCCACTTTTTTAAGAGGAAACAACAGCTAGTTGTTATAGTATCATTCAAGAGATAGATCAGCAGTTGTTGCACGACCGACACGGCGCTGCGGGGAAAACCTGTCGGCCATATTTCGCGAAATGGGATCACAACCGTTGCCTTGGGAGACTGAACAACGGGCATGCATGGCACGACTCGTTTGGATTCGTGTGTCTAGAGTCAGATCTATTGTTTTCATGTCATATTTGATCATTCTCACTCGTCGTTGCGCAGCAGGCGGAGGTGGCTTGAGGCGGGCGCATATGGTGGACATCCCCGCCATGCATAACCTACATACATATGCGGCTGTAATGCCTGCAATGCAAGGATCTATTAACCAAAACAGGCAACGTGCCGGGCTTTGTCAATCGTCAAACCAGAGACCATTTTGATAGGGGGATGATGCCTTTTTCATGATGAAGACATGACAACAACTCGACATCTAAGCCAACTCATCACCAAAAATCGAGTTCTTCAAGGCAAACCATTGGACCATCTTGCCTGCTATTTAGTATCAAGGTTGCTCCCGGAAGGGCCCTCAACGGCTTTCCCCGCGTCAATGACCCTAGGCCACGACTAACTAGAAGATTGACCAGGTAAGTTTGCAAGCCATGGACACCAGGAATATCAATCGTTCTTCCCCGGACCCAGTGGGAGCGCGTGTCTGCTTTGCTAGATTTGCCTTGTCAGGTTGCGATGTGTCAGACCTCATGCAGCAATCATTTGAGCTTTGCCTGGCTCATGAGTCGGAAGCTTCCGCATAGGAATGCCCCAGGACAACAAGAATGCCACGCCGCAAAAGGCTATTGCGACGGCGAAGGCGGCCTTGAGACCGGTCATGTATGCCTCGAGTACCCCTGGGAGCACATCTGCCGGAAACACATTATGCAATTCCGAAGCACCAGTCAATAGTACCAAGCCTGGGTTTACACCTGGTGCAGTCGTGGGTAAAGTGGCAAGTAATCTGTTCACAAAGGCGGACTGTCCTGCCGCAGTACTGAATGCACCGCCAACGGTTTGGAAGACTGCGCGCCAATGGTGGTCAGCCTAGATGAACAACTCAAGTGGGTACAGTGACAACAAATACTTACAAAGTAGGTTGGCGGTCACGGCTGAGAGGTCTTCGGGACCGACATTCGCTTGGGCGATGGTCAGGCCGTGCATAATGGCAAATGCCAATGTTGCCCCAACGAAGAACTGGTAGCCGACCCATGTTGCGGTTGAAGTGCCAATGTCAAGGGTGTAGAGTAACCCGATGGCTACTGTCGCGAGCAGTGAGCCGCTCATCATGACTTGCTGCGCGCGGCCAGTCTGCATGACGACGGCACCACCGAGGAGAGCGAAGACGGCTGCAGCGAGCACCAGTGGTAGATTGTTGACCCCGGACCGAATCGGACTAGCGTTGAGAATGCTCTGAAAGTAGATGGGGAGATAGAACAACAGGACAAGGTAGCTCCCCATGAAGAAGAATTGAAATGGAGCTGTGACAGACAGGGACCGTTGTTTGTACAGCCTGGGGAGCATCATGGCATAATCACCCAACCACAGTTCCCATCCCACCAAGACAATGGCGAGCAATCCAAAGCCGACGAAGAGACCGATGACGACGCTGCTGCCCCAAGGGTGACTGTTTCCCGCATACTGGAGTGCAAGGATGAAGCAGGTGAGACAGCCCATCGCCAAGGTAAGACCGACCGGGTCCGTGTGCAGCAGCTTCTCTTTCAAGGGGAGCTTTGGAGGTGCCCCGACAGCAGGAAGACTGAAAAACAGAAGCACTGCAAGCGCAGCAACGCCTCCGATAGGCAGATTGATATAGAAGCACCATCTCCAACTCACACGGTCGGTGAAAACACCTCCAAGGAGTGGTCCTAGCACAGCGGCAAGACAATAGGTCATTCCAATGATGCCCATCATCAAGGGGCGCTTTGCCGGAGCAACTGTGAAAGAGACAATGGTGGTACCACCCACAGAGAGGCCAGCACCTCCAAGCCCAGCGATAGCACGGCCCACGACCAGGGTCTTGGAGTTTGGTGCCACGCCACAGATCAAACTGCCGACCTCGAAGATCAGCATGGAGACTAAGAAGCTCCATTTCAAGTTGAAGTATTTATAGATCTTGCCTGCCGAGGTTTGGGAGCCACCAAAGGTCATGAAGTACGCTGCTGCGTACCAAGAGACATCCTCGAGGCCATGGAACTCGTCGGTGATTTTGGGGATGGCTGTGCCGACAATTGTCTGTTGGATGCTTTGTCAACGGCTGAGTCCCTCGATGGCTCATGCGTGTTATAGACAAGGAGCTTACCTGGTCTAATGCAATGAGAAAGACCGATATCAGAGAGGCTGATGCCAGCAATATCAGCTTCAATCCGTGGGGATACTGATCGTCAGTCATTTCCTGAGTGGGCTCTTTCTGGCTATCGTTGATGTCGACATCTTTGCCATCGTTTTCGCTCCAGCTTGAACGCTTGTTTGAGCCCGAATCTGTGGCAGCATTGGCCTCTTTTCCTAAATCAGCAGTCATTGCTAACACGGTGAATTGTCAGTGACGATGGAAAGTGTTCTGTCCGAGAGTGCTGTTGGAATCAGGGAGCACCGCCCAGAGACTGAACTTATAAGTGATAGAGCTGGGTCATGATTCATCTCTTTGAAAGAAAAACTTTGTTGCCTGGTTCAAAAAACGGACACGGTGCAATACATTCCCCGAAGTTACCACAAAAATCAGTTGCCAGTCGAAACTTGTCCGTCTTGAGCCGACGCCCCAGGGGGGTGTCATGTCTATAACTACCCTGGTTCAGACGCCTAAACAGAGAATAATGTGTGAGCTGCGGCAAGGAATTCTGCCTGAACGAGACCCCGTTCGGTCGATTTACGGCGGAAAATGGCATGTTGTCACCGTGAAGTTATCTCCACAAACGTAGCAATTCCCTTGCTGGTTGAAATTATGCTTCAACAAAGCCAGTTGAGATATGTGGTTTGAAAGGGGATGCCACGGATATCTAACAAGGGGTCTCCATTGGGTGGAGCCGGGACGCTAGTTGCTGCAGGAAACTTTTTGGGAGGATTTCATTGGTCGCTTCGGAACGTCATTCATTCGAAATCACGCATGCACGGGTGCCTCCCACTAGATCCTCCGGCCAAGTTCATTTTCTTCTCATTAGAAGCCACAGCCGACACTGATCAGGACTTGTTTTGCAATGTTGGTTTCTGCAGCAGACTGTCGCGCATATTGCAATGGCGCCTACGCCTCTGCCATTGGCGCCTCGGATCGGAATTAAAGGGCTACCTTCCATCCCTGTTCCACAGGTGTTGCCCACGCGCGATGAGTGGGCGTCGTTTTATCCTGAGTTGGAGAGGCTTTACGTCCGGGAGCGACGGAAGTTGCGATATGTCATGATGTACATGGAGAGGAAGTATGGATTCAAGGCGAGGTAAGACAACACACATACCGTGGAGCCCCATTGTCGACCATTTGCGGTGACTGATGAACTGACTCTCGTGATCCATATCCTTGTAGTTCACAAATGTTCAAAATCCGGTTTTCCAAATGGGGATTTCAGAAGAATTCAAGGCGATCGGATATATCAGTGCGAAGCATCAAGGCTGAACCTGGTTGCAGCCATCGGAGAGATCTCGGTGTCACAACGCGCTCCCCTAGCCCCGCAAACCTAAGTCTGGGGATCGATGATTCTCTAATGCTCTCGCTGCTATCCAACATACGAGCCTGCAATTCGGCCTTCTTTGAGACGATACAGCCACCGGTATGTTGCTTGGCTGTACCGTCCCCAATTGATCGGGAATTGCTCAACCACGCCACGGATGTCAATCTCGTATTCAAGCTGGTAACAGATCTGCTCGACCGTGGGCATGGTGAAACTGCAGGCAGAATGGCTCGAAAGGCCTTTTTGCTCCTTGAGGAAATGCTGTCACTTGATGTACCGGCTCTGCTGTGGAACCTTCTGGAGATCATGCACCACATGGTCAGCGTGCAGCACGCTGAATTGTTCCAAATGGTTCTCGCTCATGTCATAGCTCTGGAGAATGGCCGTAACTCCGAGGCTCGACCGCTCACTTTCATATTGCAAGGCTTGCGAGACTTCACCTTGCATTTGACCAAGGCCATGAGCACGCTGGGAGAGTCATCGCCACCTTCGCCGTCATCGTCTTCCTCAACCAGTGGAAGCAGTGACTCAGCAGCGAGCAACAGGCGGTGGCACCCCTCTGGACGGATAGCATTCTTGCTTGAACGAGCATGGTCTCTCAATACGGAAATGGTGTTCCACCACTTCAACCCTTGTCTGTTCTCGATCTACTCGCGCCTTCATTGGGACTCATGCTCCATCAACCCACCATTCGCCATATTCGGAGTAAAGGACCGATGGCTCGAGGAGATACGATCACATGAGATTTCTAGCACCTGCGAACAGAACTTTTGTATGAAACTTTACGCCAAGATGAATCCTATCGATGACGACAAGATGTCTCTCCTATCATCATCACTGAAGACTGAATCTGTGCAGCTGGGAAATGACTTCAAGTCACTTCGCGACAGCAGCTTTGCGGAGTTCATGCAATACGGAAATTCAATACTTGGCGAAGGTGCCAGCTATGGTGGAAGTACTGCAACGCTGTTACCCTTGCTTGTTGGACTTTTAAAACACACCATGTTGGAAGAACAACAGAAGGCTGCAACAGCTGTGGCATCTGATCAATTCGACCTTGTTGCCTGTACAATCAGGACGGTCATGAACCTGAGCCTGGAACAACGAGGTGCCGCATATTGGTCTGACCCGGATACTATTTCCCAGATTCGATCCATCATTATGCTTCGCGAATTGGCGGGCGGAAAACTTAAACCAAATGTTCTGCGGGAGATGTGGTCTTTGGAGCAGGCACTCAACGAAGCGGGAAGATTTGAAGAGGCTCAGGCAATCAAGAACAGTGCGATTGCTCGGGCAGAAGAGTACATCCAGGATATCCCGGCTGGATCTGTATGACCATACATATACCCTCGATTTGATCAAATCAGCTTTGTACTACATAGATCTTGCACAATCTTATCTCATCGGGCATGATTGATGTGTGAACAATGGGATGTATTTCTGGTTTCCCTTATCGATAAAGATTCTGAGCCAAATCGGGTTAGCAGCATCTACAGGCGGAGACCGACGGACGTAGGAAGGTGCGTTCTGCATGCCACAAGTCGCACCTGCCTGGTTCCCAGAGTATTTGCAACTGCGCCTGCGCCTGCGCCTGAAATTTGCACCAACCGCGTCTCATGTGTTGGCGCCTCTCACTTCGACGGTGACGATATGGCAAGTTCAAACGGTGCAAGCCAACAGGCTAGTACTGAAGGCGGTGGTGTGGAATGGGACAAGTCCGCAAAAACATTCTCTGGGTATGCATAGCAGCAAGACGAGATTGCTGACACAGCTGCTGATCGACCATTCTCTACAGGAAACAAGCCTCCGAATATTACGATCCTTGTCAGGAAGCTGCAGATCGCAGTATCAAATGTATGCGTCGAAATAACGGGGACAAAGACATGTGTCAAGATTACTTTCAGTATGTGAAGCCCGCAAGTGCGCCAAATTCTCTCCAGCTACTTCGGTGGCAAGGCGAGTGCTCACATGCACACGACATATAATTTCGACTAACCAGATGGCCTATATAGAGCATACCGAGATTGCAAAAAGGAATGGGTAGGCTTCCGTGCCATAATTTAGAACGAGCATTAATTGACCTTGTTTCGCAGATGGCAAGAATGAAATTGCAGAGGAAATCCTGGTTCTCATAACCTGCGCAGCCTCGAGGCCCTTTGCACATATGGGCCTGTAGAATACCTCACTTTATTGTACAATATGAAAAAGCATGGCGGGAACCTGGAAGTGAGGGAGTTAATACGTTGACTCTGAGTTGGACAGTGCAATTAGCGAATTTGTACTGTATAATCTTTTACTCTGCTCTACATATTGGCTGCACACCTTGTCTATGCGAGTTTCACGCGGCATGACAAATATCAAGGATGACAACCTGAAGAATCCCAAGATGCAAGATGCAATCGTGCCTCAAACCAGAATCCATAAAGCGCAGGCGGCGTCGAACGACTTCGTGACATAAATTATTACCCCACACTTAGTTTCGTCCACTGCACCCGTCAATTTTCTCGTCCTCGCTCTCATGACGGCACGGGCAAACAATAATGTCTGACTCGTCTGTCACCGAACGAAGGATACGTCCAATCCAAGACGCCATCGCCACCGATAACTGGAAGCAAGCTCTTCAGCTATGTGACAAATGGTCCAAGAAGGGCGAGAAGTCGGAAAGATTCCTGGTATGGATGTTGGACTCTAAACCTCCAGATCCAGGGTATTGACAATTGGCAGACCATCAAAGCCTTCGTGCTCGTCAAACAAGGGGACAAGGCCCAGAATGATAAGGGGCGAGCAGAGGTCTTGGATCTCTGCAAACGCACACCACCCATCACCGAACCCGAAGCAATCTACCAGCTGCAGACAGCCTTGAAGGCCTTGTCGCTTCAGGAACAGGAGGGGCCCAAAGTATGGGAAAGAGCTGCTGCTGTCGCTCAGGACAACAAAGATATCCTCACAAGATGGCTAAACCAGGCCATCGCGGACCGCAACTGGCTCAGTGCCCAGAAGGTGTGCATTTTGGAATGATTCATCGACTCGCAAGAGACGGGCTGACATGGGGCCATACGGCAGGCCACCATGGGCTTACGAAAGTCATTCCCCAAAGATCGAAATTACGAGTTCTGGAACATCATGATGTGTCATCTGATTCACCAGGACCATGACGGTGTCGACGAAAAGACTAGACTCTTGTTTGCGACTCTCGCGTATCGCATGATCACCAAAGCCGCCGAGACAACAGGAACAGATGAGGTACCACCAAAAGTCGACTTCACCATTTGTCTTAGCTAATGCTATCTCAGGAGCAACTGTTATCACCAGGAAAAGCAATCTCAACCGCGGAAGAGGTTGCACTTCTTGCTACTGTCCTCAACTCCACCGGCCACGCACAAGAGACGATCAAACTCCTGCAGGGGGACGCATTTAAATTAGACTCGAGAATCGGAAAACTCGATCCTCAATTGACATTGTCGCAACTCCTACAGTCTTTCAACGTCGCTGAACAATGGGATGAAGCCTTCGAGTATACTCAAACTCTTCTCTCAAACCCAGAGTATCAATCAGATGACAGGGTATGGATACTCTGGCTCAAGTCTCTGACGAATTCATCCACACCTGAGTTGGTCATACCCAGCTTCCCATACAAGATGAAAGTGAGCTAATAAATATCAGACGTCAAAGGTCATGTGCGCAGGTTCTTGATGATGCTTGCAAGGCAAGACCAATATCGAGGGCTTCGTACAGCGCCAAAATGCAATTTCTCCAGAGTCAAGGTGACGACGAGTCTCTGACGCAGCTTCTTGCAACCTGTCAAGAATATGCTGATGCCTTTTCTACCAAAGCATTCTGCTTTGACGATCTCAAAGATGCTCTCAACTCGCTAGATGAAACCCGATTCAAGGCATTCAGTGATTCACGATTGACCGACACGAGCAACCTTGGACAACTATTTAGCTTGAAGTTGGAGTATAGCAAAATCCCCACCTCCGATTCAGGTGACACTTTGGTCCGCTTCGTGGGCCGAGCCCTCGCCTTGTACAAAGACTCGCTGGTAAACTCACCATCATGTCCGGAAGCAGCTGTCCTAGCGGTTCTCGCCTTGCTACGGCTGTCAAAAGCCGAGAACAATATTGAACACGCTCTCCGAGCCACGATTCTTCTCGAAGCCGCCAGAGCAAAGTTTGAGGATTACTACTTGTTCACTGTCCTGTTGGTCCAGCTTACTTCATATCTGGGTCTTTTCTCCTCTGCAATGGATACCTTTACTAAACTCAGTGTCAAGAATCTGCAGTATGAGACTGTTGCACACTTGATGTTGACTAGAATCTCAACCTTGCACCCCTTGCCTAGCAGGCCGAGCGATGAGAGGTTGGATCCGATGTTTGAGCTGGACATCGCATACACAGCCCTGGTGAATGCCGATAGGGCCCTCGTCCGTGCCATTCGAGACGGCCTCCGGTTCAACAACTATTCAAATATAGCAAACAGCGTCGAGATGCGATCTGATATGAAGAAAAGCGCGAGTCTACAACTGTACATGATTGAAGATCGAAAAGTGTCGAGAATTCATGGCGTTCCCGAAGCTATAATCCTTGATCAGAGCATCGACACAATCGTCGATCATAGAGACTGGGCATACCTTCCCAACTACCGCAAGGACGACGCCGAGATGATCGACTCATTTAAATGTGGTCCAACACAAAGAAAAGGGTGGATTGACGCCATGAGGCTTCTGGACAACGTGGTGACTTATCTACAAGCTGAAATATCGGGCCACACCAACCTCATTCCAAAACTTGTTGAACACATCACCACCACACTCAAGGCTGTGGAAGGGTTTTCTGAGCAACAGCTCGCCGAGCTGACCGAAGCTGAAGCGACAAGCCTGAAATGCCACCAGACATTAGCCAAAGGCGCTCTTCTCATTCACGGGCCTCCTGCAACGAGAGAGCAAATGGTCGAGGTACTGGAACCGTTGAAAACATGGTTGGAGGAGATCAAGGCCATTGAAAGTCAAGATCCAATCCCGACTTCGCCCACGGTGGCCGGCGTGCCAGTTTATACATGGAAACAAATCCACACCAGTCTCTCGCGCCTGGAAACTCTTCAGCCAGTGGCCATGTTGCTGGGGATTTTGGCCAAGAAGGCCAAAGGCAAGAGTAAAGCGGCCGCGGCGATTCCCAAAGACGACGTGGCAAGCTTGCAAGGTCTTGTTGCCGAGATTGAGAAATGCATCCACGACAATGCGCTACGAATCGAGGGCGAGATCAATGCTTCGGGTGTCTTGGGCAAACTGGTCGACTTGGGTTATGGTCGAAAGGTAGATGGGGTCGTGTCTGAGGGGCTCGACTTGACTGCTCTGGAAGAGGCTTTGGGCAGCATCATAGACGAGGCGACAATGGAGACTATCTGCGGCGGTATCAAGGAGAGTTGGGAGGAGGCATTGGAAAGACTCCGGGTGATCAAGGTTCGTCGGAACAAGTAACATCTATACTTGCATGTGCCACCACGGCACGACATTCAATCTCTAGGAACTCATAGCGACACGGATATCTAGGCATAGACTACAGTGCATATCAACAGTGATGATTCTCCTGGCATTACAGTTGATGAGGCCAAATATTTGTCTACCTGCTCGAGTGTAGTTGACCGTTCACCCAAGGCTGGCTCGAAGAAACCGCAGTTCCCCACGAGATTATGGATGCCTGCCTCTGGAGGGAGGTAAGTCACGGCCTATCTAGTGCCGGAGACAATCACCATAGACCTTTTGGCGGTCCGTTTCAAGCATACCAGCCGAAGCTGCAGCTCCAGACCAGCATACAAAGCAAAGTCTCCCTATTGTGCCCATCCACTTCGGTCGGACCAGAGCCGTGATAGCCAAACCATCAATTATGATTCTCGGAGAACGCCGTTGCATGGTGGTAGAATGTGATGATAGTACACGAGAGTGAAGCAGAAGCCATTTCTAGTCTTGTCTTCCCTTGAGTAGGCGCTTGGTAACCTTATCCTTCTCGATGATGTAGACATGGGCACCCCAACCTGACAGGGCATCGCGATCGACAGCATTCAGCAGGGCCTGTGATATCGTCTCAAAAAGCTCATCCGGTTCCTGTAGTAGAGTCCCGTATTAGCTTGCATGAAGAAGGGGAAAGTTTGCAAAATCGAGTTGGGTGTCGCAGGGACACGCAGCAGGACAGGGAATATAGACCCAGAACAGGAATAGTGTCATCTTGCCGTATGCCGTGTACGAGACCACAGGTAGACGAAGACATAGCATGCGCCTCTTGAAGAAACCCTCAGACGATGAAAGACCTACCAAATCAGGTTCCCATAGCCCCTCACATGTTCCAAATAGTTGATCACTGGCTGTTCCTGCGACAATGAAGTCCTTTGCGAAATCTATACATCCGATCGAGTCGAAGCCACAGATAAACGGCTTCCCTGTTGTATGATTGATACCGGCAAGAACTGGACTGACGAACCAAGGACCGAATCTCCGTTCGTAGAGAGATGACGAGACTAGGTTTGCGAGTGTCTGAGGGGAGATGTTGCGTTCTTCTCGTAATCGGTACATGTTGACTTTATAGCGAAAGGTGTCTGAGACGGTTTGAACGTCTGTTGCCAGACCTGTCAGGCCCAGAAAGACCGAAGGTGCATAATTGAAGATTTTGGGAAAGTTGTTCGACACCGTAAGGGCTTGGAGACCTAGCCGAAGATCGCATGCTATGGCTACACAGTCTTTGCCCACCATGGCAACGCATGCACCTCCATCTGGATGACAAAGCAGTTAGTCGACAAGAATTCGGTAGGAGCTTGTTAGCGATAGGGAACGCACTGATGTCGAATGGACTACTCTAAAGAAGGTGTTAGATGTTGGAGTTTCCCAATTGCGAGGATGAGGCTTACCATTGTGGCGGTGGATCGGTGTGTGCAATTGAGAGAATACGAGGATGAGGAGGGAGAAGCGAAGTCGGTAGAGGACGAGGACTGGGAGATTAAGGTGATGAATGGAGAGGTAGAAGAGTATGGCTGGTGAGGTTGCGTTGTAGATTGAGATGTCGATGGTTGCGCAGGCACGGCAGGCAATTGCAGACCAACGCGTTCAATGCAGTCGCAGTCTAGAGGAAGGGAAGGCACTAGTAATTCGCCGTAGTGTTAATTCAACCAGTTTGACGCCTGAAGGAGTTAGTTCGTGTTCTTAGGCTTCTGCTCTTCAGTTGGAGAAATGCATGTCGCCCAATGATAGGCTTGTCCCCCGGAGATGGAGAACCCGCTGGTATGACGCCGCTTGGTGCCTGCCATACGCAGACGTTTGGAGAGCCTGGGAGCCTCGCCGCCGAATCGAAACATCAAGACAAGTTGACTTCCATCTCCCACATGCCATCACCTAAGCAATTGTGATTCCCATTCTAGATCCTTCTCTCTGCACTGATACCCAAATATCCCAGAATTTCAATCCTGAACAGTCCATACTACCTCAATAACATTCTATCTCTGCCGAGTGGACATTTCAAATCATCCAACCCCCCCGCCTCCGGCCGCAGGCTCACGCCTTCTACACCCTCAGCATGTCTGCGCATGTCGTGGTGATTGACTCGACAGCGAGACGCCATGTCGTCAAGACCACACCGAATAAATACCTCAGCGAAGTTGTTGAGGAAGTCTCCGCGAAATTAGGTATCAATGCCTCTCAATATGGCCTAAAGTAAGTGCGTCTCCAACGCCCTGCAGTCAGCCCTGGTTTCCATATTCTGACCTTTTTCTTAGACATAACAACAAACCCGTCGATCTATCGAGAACCCTACGTCTATCCGGTCTATCTTCCGGCGCCAAACTCGAACTCATCCAACTCTCTAAATCCGCTGGTGTGGTTTCGATAGCCCTGCAACTCCCCGAATCTGAGGCAAAGGGTCAACCCAATGCACGTCTCACAGATAAATTCCCCAGCTCCACCACCCTTTGGCTAGTCCTCAGGAAGTTTGAGGCCGGTGTCGCAGGAGGAGGAAGTTCAACACGAAATTTCACTGCTCGAGGCGTTCCATCAAGTCAAGGCGCCGCTGGTGCGGGAAGATTGTACTATGAACAGCCTGTGTTGAATTGCTTAAATCGAGAATTGTCTTCTTTTACCGATCTGCAAAAGACACTTGCTCAGCTTGGCCTCAACAGTGGTTCTGCCCTGATTCGACTCAGCTTCCGCCACACAGATATGCCTTTGGAAGAAGCCATGGCCCAGATACAAGGTTATTTTGACACAGTCGACCCTCCGTCCACATCGCACCAGCCAACGCCAAAGGTTGAGCCCGTCAATGAGCCTGTTGCTCCATCAAGTCAGCAACCAGAGCAGCCAGAATGGACGGAAGATATCAAGCCCAACGAGACCACTAGTCCCGAACAAGAACCTGGTCCTTCCACTTCCGCCTCCGAAGCCACTGCCACAACCACCACGTCGAGCGGTCGGCCAGTGTCAGTTTTCCGGCCTCCTAGTTCAACAACACCCTCAGCTGCTTTAATCTCCCACAATGACACAGACTACGTTCCTACGGTGGAACATGCACAAATCCATCAGAAAATGCTCAATGACAGCACCCGCAACCGACGGTTACCCACCGAAGCAGAGCTTCAAGCGCAAGCAACAGAAGAAGCGGCGAAGTGGGCACAAATCACAGAGGTCGAGATCAAAGTTCGGTTTCCTGATCAGAGTGCGGTGAGTGCCAAATTCAAGCAGACAGATACAGGGCACGACCTCTATGGGTTCGTGAGAGACTGTCTGGAAGACAAGTGGCGATCTGACGTTTTTCACCTGCGGAATCCTGGTGTCAAGGGAAAGAATGAGACTATTCCAGATGACGCCAACAAGACATTGATCCGTGGCCTACAGCTAAAAGGTCGAGTACTGGTGACATTTACTTGGGATGATTCAAAGGCTAGTCTCGAGGCAAGAGGGACAAAAGCACTGTTAAAACCCGAATTGCGAGCTAAAGCTCAAGAGTTCAAGGCTCCTGAGGTGATTGCTTCACAGGACACGCCAGATGACCCTGGCGTCAAGGTGACCTTGGGTAGCAAGACAACCTCGGAAGATAGTGGAGACACGAAGAAGAAACTACCAAAGTGGTTGAAGGGATTGGCAAAGAAATAGAGGTTGCGGTAGCCACATCGGCTAGAGACTGTACGTCGATGTCATGTGTAGCATCATCTCGTATGAGATACGGTCTTGGGACTATAAATATTAGAGCATGACATGAATTTAATAGCGATTGCATACCGTTCCAAAGATATATGTTCACGTTATGTGCAGCCTCGTGGACCAACCTGTGATCTAGCGCAAGGCTTAACCCCGAAGTCCCCTCACCTTTAATTCCGGCGCTAGTGAATATTCCGCACAATGGGATCCAGGTTCAATTGTTGGGAACATCAGGACATTGAGACGAGACTGCGCAAAGTCACTCGACGACTACCACACACCGACTCCGGCCAGACGCAACTCGAATTCCTCAGATACCCCAGTATCAACCACCCACCTACATCAAGATGCCTTCCGAAGTCACCGACATCAAGCAATTCCTTGAGATTGCCCGCAGAAAGGATGCCACCGGTCAGTCTCACTCCCGGTTCTTTTTCTCTGCCATCTTGCGACCAAAGGATTCTTTGGGGGCGTTGTTGAAAGATTGAAAGATTAGTCTCTTTTAAGGCGAACATCATAACTGACATACATTCATTTATCCACTAGGCGCCCGCCTCAAGAAATCCACAAAGTCCAAGAACATCAAGTTGAAGCTCCGAGGAAAGCGTTTCCTGTATACCCTCAACCTCAAGGATGCCGACAAGGCCGACAAGATCAAGCAGAGCTTGCCTCCTAGTAAGTTCCGACATGATTTTTATGTTTCTGTTTTGAGGACATGGTTGAAGTGGAAGCATCTGGATGAGCAGATGGCAAGAGAAGCATAGAGCGGGTGCAATGAAAATCTTGAAACACCGAGAAAGAGAGGGATAGAACATGATGGACATGAAATATCGCTGAAGATCTTTTGTCGAGTTCGACGAGTTTTGCGTCGAGATTCCAAAATGCAACCTGCCAACCCCATGGACATAGGCTAACCACCCATCTTTCTCTTTCTACAGAAATGCCCTTCCAAGAAATCGGCAAGAAGAACAAGAAGCCCAAGAAGGACTAGACATCTCAACAGCCCCAGCGAAATGCTTCGGTCATCTATTCCAGCGCTTGACTTTTTGACTTGATCGGCTTTCATCAAAAAAGGATTGCGACCGAGTCGTTGTCATTACCATATGTCTCTTTTCCTTGAACGTTCACCCTCTTATTCACGGTTTCGACGGCAATGGACTCGATTGCAGATTTTCTGTTCCATTCCAATTTAGAATATGGCTGGTTCGAATGTTCTCACATGATGATTCATTCAGTCGGTCATGTTTGAAATTATGGACTGGGTTGGATGGAGAGTGTTCATGATAGTTCATGGATTCATGATCTTTTCGACGATCTCGGGTTTTCGACCAGTCAGTCAATCAGTCAATTGTCTTGTGATCCGGGAGTATGGTGGATATCCATAGCGATTTAGACCAAGCCGGAAGATCCAAAGCTGTGGACAGAGAGAGAGAGACAGAAAAAATCAACGAAAAACATATGAAATCACTTGATGACCCTCAGTTTCTTCCTGACAACATGTACTGATATATCAGATGATTCGTTGAAAAGTTATGCGACAGGATCAATTTCTCAAGATCGGAGCATCGCCAGAGGGAGCAATATACTCGACCTCCGTGTAAACAGGATCAACATCCCTATGTAGTACAACCCGCGCCAGATCGTGACTCGAACACCGCAACTCCCACTCTCCAAAGTAATTGACCGTCGGAGCAACCTTGGTGAATCCCAGAGCTTCGAACAGGCCGATACTCTTATAGTTGGCCTGGCCGATTTTGACGGCGAAGAAATCAATCGTTTTAGGCTTTGTCGTGGTCGATGTAACTCCCTCGAGGTCTTCTCGTCCACCGCCAGCCTGATGATGCTTGAAGAACTCGGTCACAATCGGCTCTTGATGCTGTAGAACATAAGTAAGAAACGCGCGGACCGACGCCTTGCCTAGTCCTTTTCCTCGTTGAGCCTTTTCAGCGATCATGACTTCGAGTTCCGCGACCAAACCCAACTCTTGCGTAGGATCATCACCCTCATCATCATCATCCTGATCATCCACTGAAACGAACATATTGACATCACCGACCATGACGAGCGGACCCGTGCCGATGACCGAGTCATCAGGGCGTGTGTTGACGTCGAGATCGGTAGTGACTGAAGACCGATAGTCAGACAGACGTCGACAGACGATAAATGTCAATTTATCCCCATCAGTGCGCCATGTTTGTTGCATAGCGTATTCTTCATCGAGAGATAGTGGTTCCGATGCAGTCAGGACTTGGATTTCCTATTGAAGAGGCGGCGCGGTAGGCATTAGTAGGGTTATGAAGATATAACAACAGGTCTCTGACTAAGTAGTTCCGTAGATGGTGAGCAGAAGAGGTCACTGACTTACAGCATCTTTCATCCATTCATGGTATTTCGGTACATGGTGCATAGAGTAAGGAACCAATACGACTTGACTTGTCGTCACAGCTGGGATGGAACAAGAGGTATAGAGTTAGTCGTGTTCCTCTTTTCCTTCTTCTAATTCTTCTCCGACGAAAATGAAATGGCAATTGGAGAGTATGTGGTACCTGTAAATTCATTGATCCGCATGGTTTTGGAATTGGATAAGAATCCGGTGGCATGACAGGTTGTCCAAGTGTCGATGTTGGTCAAGTCACTGTTGGGCGAGATTTATATTGTGGAGGCTGTTATAAATTTTTTGAATGTTGGAATTTTGACTGCCATATTGTAAATTTTAGATGTCCTTGGATCTTGGATAATGTTGTGGAAACATGCCGATGAATTTGTCGAGATGAGAGAATATTTGATAGGGGAGAAGTCTCGTTGAGGTGTTTACCTGAAAACTATTATTTTTTTATCGTTGCGAATTGGCTGTCATCCATAGACGATTATTCGTATGTTACATGTTCACAGCATTGCAATCCACAGTTATGCACAACGTCGGTCTCAGCTTTCAAGTTTATGTTTATTTCTATGTACTCGACATTGATCCTTCTGAGGGTATATCAATGGCCAACTTCACCTGTATCCATCTATTTCTAATGTTCTAATGGTGGACCTTGGACTTCCTGTTGTCCGTTTCAAGACTGCCAAAGGCACTCACGGATATATCCATCCCCTCGAGCCACAGTCTCTTGCAGATTGATCCCTGCGACAGCTAACCATAGCAAAGTTACACCCCGTTTGATGATAGATCACATCCTAAAAGTTGTGCAGCTGCAGTAATCGGCTTTCTTTCTTCGGTTCCAGTTCGATGCCTCAGGTCAGTTTCCGGCGTAGTCGTCGAGTATGTTTGGCCAAGTGCATTGCCTTGGTTGTATCCTCTGGACGCGAATGTCCGATCTGGTTCGGTGTCGTGGCGGACATCTCAGGGCGGTTGTGATCGAGCATGAGACGGACGGCATTAGATTGCCGAGGAGATAAATTCCCTCCACAAACTTAAACTGCTGAATCGCGAATCTGATATCTTGCTTGCACTCACAAATCATGTCCTGGTTCTGTTTGGCCAAAATAAATGCTGATTGAACCCATGTATGTTGTGAGGCGCAAAGTGCACTCGAGCACTTGGTGGTATTCGTCGGCGTTCGGTTGATAAAAAATTAACAAGTTTCATCATTCATTCATTCACCCAGGCCTCATGAAAATTTCATCTAATCCCTTCATATCGGTCAAAGCCAATCGTTTGGCTTGAATGTTGCGTCCTCTCAATAGATGTCTGCCATTTCTTGAAGGGGTCACCGTAGTTGGGGTGGCTGATTTGGCTGAGCTGATACTGGCAGTTGATCTTTTCCGCTTTAGCTTCTTTGAAGAGGTTGCATCTTCATTTCCAGAAGAGGATGAGGACACTGGTTCATCGGGGGCATGCGACCGTGATGATCTGTGACTCGAGTGAGTCTGTTCGGCTGATTCGCTTTCACTTCCTGTTTCGTTGCTGGAGGTGTTTCGTGACTTGGCTTGTCGTTTTGCAGCCTTTGCGGCACGTTTTGCGGCTTTGGCTTCTCGTTTCAGCCTCCTTGCCTCTTTGCGTTTTCTTTTCTCTTCTTTTGCGTTGTTTTTCTCTTCCGAATCGGTGGTGGCAGGGGTAGAATCGGGCTTCTGTTCCTCGATGGTTTCACCGGTTCCGAATGTCTTTTCACCGACTAGAGTTCCACCCTTGATGAAGACCATTCCACCCCATCTCCCTTTGGCGTACATGGCCAACTTGCGATCCTCGACTTTCTTTTCCATCACCTCGACTTCAGCCTCTGACTTGCCATTCAATCTTCCCAACATTGCTTGATAGGCATCCAAACCAGTTCGTTGGGCTTCAAGATCTTGACTTTTGTTCTTTGCTCCGAGGCCGAGATTGTTGTCTTTGAATAGAACGCCTACTCTGGCGGCTGCGAGGCGATCGACATCATTGAGACCGATGTGTGTTGAGGCTCGATTCCCTAAAGATTCGCCCTCGGACCAACCTTGCTTGACCATCATTCGTTGACCGAACGATGATGCAGCTTGTTGTTTCCATGCTAGGTTTCGAGGATCATGGGCAATCTTGCTTCGTCTGTGCAGGGTACTTGTCAGTGACGGAGGAAATGAGCAAAAGTGGCAAGTTCAAGAATGTACCTCTTTGGCTCAGCGAGACCCATGATGCCGGCGTTGGGCTGACGATCACAATGAGTGATCTCTGAGGGCCACGTTTAAGGGGACATGTCAAGTCGACTCAAGTTGTGCAAAGATACCTCGATCAGAGGCTGGAGGAAGCGGTGGAAAAAAAAGACGGACGAACGCCAAGTTTTGCGGGAAAGATCTTATCTTATCTGTTAGCGCCTGGCGCATCGACCATCGACATTGTAAAAAGTATCTATCTACACTTCTACAGTATTAGTTGCACCGCCCATCACCTCAAGCCGAGTACTGAGTACTTATGAGACGTCGTTCTGAAGAGATAAAGATTGGCTCTGCAAACATGCCGACAATTCAATCATTCGATTCATAACAGCCTTTTGTGCTCCCAAACACAGACTGTGTCCTACACCCCATGCTGGCAGCTGGTGCTGTTTGATGCGGTGAACTACAGTTCTCTCATCGAGAGCGGTGCTTCTTGCACCAATAGTTTCTGCAAGTGTTGGGCCACCTTGGACCTCAATTGCCAATCTGGACACTCGAATTATTGCTCTTGTAGACTCGGCCATTGACACGAATACTGATACCAACAGCGATGCCTACAGCAGCACCAATGATAGTCAGAGCAATCAAGATCTTGACCAGCAGGCGCTGCTTGGGAGGTAGACGGGAGAGCCAGCCACATCCTCGACGTTGAGGTTTTGTCATGCATGATTGCTTGTTGCTCCAAAACCTGAAGATCCCCTTGTTTTTGGCCTGAGCATCTCGCTTCTCCTCCGTGATTGTTGGAGTTAGGTTTGGGGGCCCAGCTTCGAGATCTTTGATCGTGGTGGTTGCAGAGTCTGAATTCTTAACGTCAAAGGAAGGTCGTGGTGAGTCGTGGTTGTAAAGGTAGAAGGGCGAGGCTATTTTGGCATTGGAGCAGGGATTGTAGTCTGCTTGTGGCTGTGTTTGGGGTTGCAGACTGCGGTTCGGAGGGGGTTGCTCGGTGAGTTCAGTGTCCTCTTGTACGGTCTGCATGGTGGTGGCTTGCAGGATGCGAGTGGATGGAGTCAAGTGAAGAATGCTCAGGAAGAAGTGTGGTCTTTGAGATGCTTTTCTGTCGAATGAGGTGCAGAAAACACCAGGGCCAAATAGGCGGATCTGTATCGATCAAGAATCCATGGCCATGCAATCAACAGCCAGACGAGAGTCGGATTTGATCTCAGAGGATGGAGGGAGTGAGTTGCAAGAGTGACTGCCGGTCTGGAGGGGAAAAGGCACTTGTGGAAGGTGGGATTCACTGAAGAAGGTCGAAGGCGCGATTGAGTACAAAAAGACTTCACTTTTGCCGTCTACCAAGACCAATAAACCACAGTGCAAGGGTCTTGGTAGGTCGTGACAGTACTCGGTAGCGGCAGATACAAGTTCTCAAACAGAAGGTCGGTTACAGCAAGTAACTCACCTTGCAGATCTAGTATTATACTTTGGAAGGCGAAGTCCAAGGCAGGAATCAGGCTCCTTGGGACATTGGGGGGCCACTGGGGGCTTACGAAGAAGCCATCTGCGTAGAGCAAGTGGAGCCAGCCTGTGTCAATAATCGACACGACATGTTCCAGCGGACTGGAGGTGATGACCTGTATTTGGTGAAATGGCACAAACATGGCGCTGGGAACGAGGTCGACAGGCCTTAGACCAGGGCATGGTTCCAGATGGAAAGGTGGAATGATGTGGTTGATCGAATCATCTCAGCATGCGGGAAAACAGGTGCAAAGGCGAGCAAGTGAATCAAATGCCAGCCAAATTGGCCAGACTTCCAGACCATGTAATTTGACGCCCAGCCCAGTCCCCAGTCAGGAAAGACATCACACTGGACAGGCAAGACAGGGGTGCTTAATGGATCGAGTCTAGCGGCTAGCCCCAGGCACCGGTGGACCCTAAAACCCCGACCGGCCCACGCCTAACCGTCTCGAGTCACAAGGTCTGGTTTGGCTTTTGTGTTGTCATTGCTGGCGTGGCAGTGTCGTTCGGCGTGCGTGTCTGGTTTTTCGGCGCGACGAGGTGGAACGTGAGTGAACATGGCAGTGACAGCCAACCTCGTATCCTCTGCTTTCACGTCAAGGTCTGTTTATGTGGTATAGCATGTGGGATCAGGTACACAATCACTATCGGAGTCTTATACGAGGGTTGTGAAAGTGTGTCCCTAGACATGCCTATCAGCCAAGTCACCCAATTAATCAAGACCATAACCGAGCTCTACTCCGTACTTAACAATCGCTCTTGTCCAACCCCGTCGGTAGTGTTTACTTCGTATTCAATAGGAGTGTGGACACTTGACAGTAAAATTGGTCAAATCAAGCCGTAACAGAAGATGAATCAAATATTCATCATACTCATGTCCAAGGACCTGGTAGTGGCGGACCCAGCCGTTTCCGGATGATGCTCCGTGGCCACTCTGGGGGTTGATCAAGGTTCAAAAGGCGCCTGGAGTGGCACGAGTGGCTGGAATTCAACCATTCCAGTGGTTGAAGAGTGCATGGCACCTGCCTGGACCCGCCACCCCCGGTTGTTCCTTGCAGCAGGTACGATGCACACTTTTTGCCCTTGCACTTTGACTTGGTTGAGACTTTGAGACACACACGCACACACATAGTCTTGGAAATGGAAATGGAAAAAGAGAATGGATCTTGCTCATCATCATCAACTTCAATTACAACTGGAATCATCATCTAAATAACTCTTATTATTCTATTTGACGCCACTGCTATATGCTGCACAGTACCGTAGGCTATGCTTGCACCTATATCCAATTCATGTGCTCTGTGTCGACCTGAATTCCATCCATATCACATCTCATATATCCAATCGAGTCCGCCAAGTTGACGCGCATCACTCGCGGAAAAAGTCTTCTCGAACAATGTGACTCTTGTCGCACATGCCGCGGAAGATACCATTTGCTTCAAATAGATTCAGGGGTGTGTCCAGCTCGGCAATTTGGCCTTTATCCATGACACAAATCCGATCATAGTTGATGATGGTCTTGAGTCGATGCGCAATGCATAGAACCGTTTTGCCTGCGAATCCGATCCGCATGGTTTTTTGAATCTTCTCGTCCGTTTCAAAGTCGACCGAAGATGTCGCCTCGTCGCAAACAATGATCTGTGAGTTGCGCACCAATGCTCGTGCCAGTGCCATGAGTTGTCGTTGCCCAAGCGAAAAGTTCAACCCCTCCTCTTCAACCGGACTATCCAGTTGAATTCGGCTAGGCGCATTGTGCCCGTCTAGCTTGGACGTTGATGTCGCCGCCGTCTCAGCCGTCTCGGGTCGTTCGCGTTTCTCCTTGTCATTCACATCTTCTGCCACCAGATCCGCCTTACGCAATGCCGCCCACAGCTCAAGATCCGAATGTTCGTTGAATGGATCCAAATTCGACCTTACTGTCCCCCGAAACAGTGTCGGGTCTTGAGGGATGATTGCAAGTCGTGACCGAAGGTCATGCAGACCGACCGTAGAAATGTCAATCCCGTCAATCTTGATCTGCCCTCCGGAAAGCTCACTGAGCCGGAACAACGCCGACATGATGGACGATTTGCCGGCGCCGGTTCGTCCCACGATTCCGATTCTCTCACCTCCTTTGACTTCGAAATCCAATCCTCGGAGTACAAGAGGTAACTCTGGCCGATATCGCATCTCGACACGGTCAAACACGATTGCACCAGACTGTGGCCACGACTCAGGCACCTCTCTCGCTTTCAGTGGCGCTTCTTCCTCCAGTTGAGTTCCGTAGTAGTGTATTCGCTCCGTAGCGTTCATGTTGTTCTCTACTTCGGCCAACTGTCGAATGGTGAATTGAATCGTTTGAACAATGGCCAAAACGTATGACAAGACAAGTCCGCCGATGCTGGGGTTCACATTGAACCGATCGGTAATCACCAAAATTCCCACCACAAAAACAAGCGCGTTGCCAATGGCGTCCAGCCGCGTTGCAACCCATCTTTGATTGGCAAACGTAAGATAATATGCCGAGTTCATTTCGTCGATAGAATCTCGAACACGCCCAATGAAATACTTCTGCAGCCCATACGCGCGAATCGACGCCACCCCGCTGACAGATTCAGAAAACCGCGCAAACACATGCGACCGGAGAACTGACTCGTGTCTCTTGACGTCACGAGCAGAAGCCCGATAGTAACTGGCTGCAAACAAGAACAGAAGGAACAGTGGTCCCAACGCGACCGCGAAAAAGTGGAAATAGGCGATTATGAGACAAAACACAGCAATGATCATGCCGAGAGTGATAAAGTATAACCTCATGGCATCCGTCAAGCTGTTGTCCATCGAGTCGACGTCTTTAGAGAATCGGTTGGTGATACGCCCGAGAGGCGTCGTGTCGAAAAATGACATTGGCGCCCGCAGAACCCTGGTCATAGCCTTTTGCAAGAGATTCTTGCTGGAGTTGGTACCGCTCGTCGAGAGGAGAGTTCCAAAAGCGAAGAGGACCAAAGCCTGGCACAACCCTAGACCGGCATATCCTCCGATATATGTTCCACGCGAGAAGCCAAAATGATCACTGACCCACCAACTCAACCACAGACTTGTCACAATGTTGGATCCTTGGGACAGCACAAGCGTGAGGAAGATCAGGGGCCAGAACAAGAAAAATCCGGATGCTTTCATGTATGCACCCCAGACGCTCCAGCTGACAGAGTCGGTCGCGCGCTCTTCTTGTTGCATCAAAGCTGCACCTTTACCTTTGTTAAGCTTTTTGTCTGAAGGCTTCTTGTCTTCTTCTCCTTCCTCTGCTTGCGGCTGGTGATGACTTTCCTGAGCTGTTGTGGCCATGAGCTTCTGGAATTCGACGCTGTGGCTCATGAGGTTATTAAATGTGTCAATGGCCTGGATATGCCCATCTTCCATCCAGATGATACGATCACACCTGTCCAGAACATGTAGCTGGTGAGTGGCCAGGATGCGACATTTGTCCTTCATTAGACCACAGATTGCCTTGTCCATGATGTGGCGACCAACGTGAGCATCCACTGCGGACAAGGGGTCATCCAACAAGATGATGTCAGCATCGAAATATATAGCGCGAGCAATGTTCAGCCGTTGCTTCTGGCCCCCAGATAGTGTAATGCCCCGCTCGCCAATCTCGGTCTGATCGCCAGATGGAAGGATATCTAGATCTGGGCCAAGCGCACAAGCATCAATCACGCTTCGGTACCATTTGGACCTATACGGCTTCCCAAAAAGGATGTTCTCTTGAAGTGTCGCATTTTGAATCCAGGCATACTGGGGGCAGAAAGCACGGGTAGATGCAAGCTTGATCTTGCCACCTGTCTTCCGCATGTCGCCTGCGAGTGCTCCCAGTAGCGACGATTTCCCTGAGCCGACAGAACCAATAACTGCTATCAGCTCATTTCTGCCTACGGTAAAGTCGACATCGTGCAATTTGAATGGCTCCACTTCCGTATGCTCGCTGGAGGCATCTTCTTGCGCAATAACCGCCAAGTCTTTGTTCTTCTTGGCTGCTCTCGCTGTCTTCTTCTCTGCCTTTTTCCGATCCTTTTCAGCCTTTTTGGCAGCCATGAGTTCTCCTTTGGTTTGGAAGGTTGCCGATCGCTCCTTATCCCGAGTGGCAGTCCTCTCCCAAGTGAATGACGCATGGGAGACCTCAACGGCGTCACTGAGATCTTCGTCCCATATGATCTCGTCGATCTGGTCTTCGGAAAGAAGGAACTCTTGAATGCGGCGTATAGAAGTCACGGCGTCAGTGACTTGACCGAGGACCAAAGGCAGGAGATTGAGTGGCATTCTGAGCGAGTTGAAAAGAGCCAAAGAGGAAAAGACCCTGGATGGTGCCAGATGATGATCCGTCACTGAATATGTGATGAAGGCCAACATGGAGGCAAATACAGGCATAGACAGGGCTACCGCATTAATGGCATTCCGAATTGACAGGAGGATCTGGATGGCGCGAATTTCTCTTCGTCGGAGCTCCTTGAGTCGGCCTAGAAAACTGGTTTCCCAGCCAAAGAACTTGACGAAGCGGACCGAGCCCAGAATTTCTTGTGTCAGGGTGACACGTTGATCAGTAATCTTGTTGATGACTTTTCTCCTCGCGAATAGAGCCTTGATGGATTTAGCTAGTAGAGGAATCATAATCATGAGAAGTGCATAGCCCGACAGGGCACTGTAACCCAGGTTGACACATAGAACAACGAGGACCAAAGCCAACTGAATAGGAGAAGTCCAAACGATATGAAACATGCCCGAGGCTTGATCAACGCGATATGTATCGACGCTCATGAGATTGACAATCTTGCCGTTACTCCAACCCGTGCCATCGCCTGAGACGCCTATTGATTTGTCTGGTGTGACATTCGGTCCGCCTTTCGGGTGCAACTTTCTGGACATGAAGCGGGCAAGAGCGGGTCTTCTTGGGTCAGGTTGTGCCTGGTCAGGCTGCTCGGATTTGTCGTTGGGTTCTTTTGGCTGCAGATCCTCAATGGCCTTGCCTCCAGCCTTGGCTCTGGAGGAGATGGTCAAAGTCTTTTCGAAAATGGCATTGATGAGAACAGCTCGTGCTTGACCTCCAACGATCATGCCGCGGTAGATGAAGTGGTTGGTGGCTGTGGTTTGGCAGATTTGCATGAGTGTGATACCAATGACCAAACCAACTCCATGACCAATATTAGGGGGCTCGCCGCCGTTTCTGTCGGCATTCCATGCATCGGTAGCAAACTGAATCAAGTACCGGGTCGTGAAAGGCGACATGACCTGTAAAACGGCGGAGAGAAAAGCACAGGCAGCACCAAAGAGGAATTCATTCCTGAAGGTGTCGAAGAGTGCCCATTTTAAGGGATTGCGTTCTTTTCGGGCAGTGCGGGCGTTGAAGGAAGCCATCATCTTGTCGATCATGACCTGGGAGGACCTATCCGGGTTGACGAGCCAGATATCATTGATCTCTAAATTACGCTTGTAACCAACGGTCATCAAAGGGTTCATCCATTGAAACGTCAGAAGGCTGAAGAAGCCGGCGTTGTATTCTGGACAGACGGAACGTTCTTCGGGCAGCGGGGCCGGGTCGCCATATTTGAGTGGATTGATCTTGTGATACCATGGAAGTGGGCGTTTCTGTGCTTGTTTGGAGAGGCCGGCGTGACTGGCTTCTGTAACTGATGTGGCAGTCGACTCGATCCTGGCCAGTCTGGTTGAATCGGTGCTCTTTCCCCGACCAATCTTCCTCAGATCTTGGGGAACCTCGAGATTCCTGGACGGGCCGTCTTGAGTTTTTTCCAGGTCCTTTTCTTCCACGCCCTCCTGGCTCAGAGCGTGCGAGAGGTCATTCTTCTCATTGTCGTCCAAGGGTGCCATTGCACACTATGCACCTACGCGTTGGCGCAGTTCGAGACAGGGGCGAAATCAGAGTTGTTCTCTAGCCGGCCATGTTTGAAGAATGACAAAAGGACAACCGAGGCGGACAGGAAAGTGAAGAATGTACAGATGCCGCGTGGCGAGTCGGTGACGGTGGGGGAGCGAGCCGTGTTATCCAGTCCCTGGAGTAAAAAAAAGCAGCCTCGGATGTATAATGATCAATGGGGATACGCGGATACACAGGGACGCCGACTGGCTGGACGTCATGTAAGTTATTAGCGATGACGCTTAGAGGCGAGGATAGGTGAGGCGTGAGAAACACGAGAGGGCACGCATGGGCGTTGTGGGCAGAAAGTCAGAGTTATGCGGTGTGGACTCACCTTTCACTTGGTCTTTTGGCCACTCTGCAGGCAGCCAAATGAATTGCATAATGTCGATTGTGGGAAACTCTTTGGTCTGGGTGCCAGAGTCCACCATGAAGATTCATCCAGGCGTGTCGATTGGGCAAATCTAGGGGGGAAGCATCCCCTGGAGACGCCCGAGGCCCCTTCGGCGGCCCTCTTCTGGTTCAACAAATCGTAGTGGGAACGCTAAAAGGCCCTGGGCGAGGATGTTGAGCAAGTCAAAGCTTGATTGTGCCGCTCGTTCCTTCCACCAGTCATGGGTCTGCAACGCGTGGCCAGTTATGCTGAGAAATCCACCAAATCAGGCACGAAGGCACCTCGGTCTATCGCAATCTCATTCCCACCCACATCTGAGGGGGGTAGATCCTCGAGGATTATCATCGTCCACAGAGGAGAGATCTGAGATTACGGAGAACACGTGGTTCCGTGGAATGAGAAGCGAGATCTACTCCGTACGGATACTCGTTCCTGCTAGTTGTAAGTACCTACGGAGTACTACGCAGACATGGCAGGTACTACTATATCGTAGACATCATCAAAGGCGGAAGGAGCCACTACTACTTTTATGTAATCACAACTCAACCGGCAGGAGGTAACCACAAATGTAGGGTTCTTGCGAGAAGTGAACCTTGGCCACTACTCCGTATGTACCATGTACTTATGACCGAGCTCGCTCATAATAAGAACAATAAAAAATCTCCTTGGATCCTAGCCTCGAGCCTACTTAGAAGCCAATCGTGGTTAAAGACCCACAGGCCCGGCTTTAACGAAAGCAACTTCAAACTCCATCTTCTCTTGTCCGGAGTCAATGTGGGCCGTGACCGTGTATGTCCTCGTGACTCGGAGTGGGAGATCGATGATGCTCCGACAAGACTCATCACACCATCACTGATCACTGATCACTGGTTACTGGAAATCTGTCGTGGCCGCCATCTCACGAGAGCTGTCAATGGTTTTGGCAGCATCCTTGACTTTGAGGTTTGCCAGTCTCCACGAATCTGATCCGATAAACACTCGCAGCATCTCCTTTTCCCTGACCAGCTTACCAGTGTCGCCTTGTCCTGTGACCATATCGAACATGAGCTGTGCTGCACGATTCGGATCTCCAATTGCTGCCCCTGCGCCTAGCTTTTTGACGAAACCGAGTCTCTTTGCGACTGGGTGGTCGCTGGCTGCGTATGGTTCGGAGGATTCAACTATCACACCAGCATTTGCAAATTGTGTCCGAAACCCGCCTGGGAGCACCAGCCAGACATCAATCCCAAAGGGTTCAAGTTCGACTCTCAAGCTGTCTGTGGCTGCTTCCAAAGCAGCTTTGCTGGCTGCATAAATTCCGTTAGCCGGAGCTGGAGCGACGCCCTGAATGCTCGAAATATTGACGATCACTCCAGACCTCCTGTTGCGCATACCAGGTAGCAGCGCCCTAATGATGCTTAGAGGCCCAAGAAAGTTGACTCTCATTTGATTCTCGACCTCTTGGGCGTGTATGTCTTCGGTGGAACCCATCACACAATATGCGGCATTGTTGACTACAATGTCAATCTGTCCGAACATGCCCTCAGCCTCTTGCATTGCCGTTGCGATGATAGAGTCTGACGACCCAGTATCGAGGGTCAGCCATTTGGCCCCCATGCCCTCTAATTCGCCAACGACATCTCCGGCCTTTGAGAGATTTCGTGATGTCGCAACAACTCGATGTCCCTGTGTGAGCACATATCGAGCTAGTGCCAGCCCCAACCCGGCGCTTGCTCCTGTAATCAGCCAAACTGGTGATTGCGCCATGGTGCTGTATCGTTGTATAGAATGATAAACCTACAGCTTGTGTCGAGATTTATCTGTCTGACTATGCTGCATGCTCCTTTATCAATGTCCTCTGATGACAACACCTCTAGGGCTCATGTCCCTTGATGACAATAACTGTAGGACTCTTCGGGGATTAGGAGCAGTATATCCGACGCCATGACGTTTAGCAGAAGGCCCTCGGCCCCTTGCTGCCAGTTCCCATGATGTGAACCGAAGATCAAAGCAACAACAGGAATACACGTGGTGGTCGGCGACTGGAACTAATAAGGACAGCTAGGTGATAAGTAGGTAGCCAGAGTCGTGGTAGCTGTTGTAGATATTATTTCTTGACCTAAAGATTAAAAGCATACTACCTAGGTAGCCAATGAATACCTAAGCCGGAAATGTTTAACCACCGTTTCAGTAGGGAGGACAGCATCCCCTGAAAGAACGGCTTTGGGCATGGAGGGTCATCGCTTTGAGGCCTAAATTCATGACATCTTCGCTAAAATAATCCGCAGCTACATAATTTTGAATCTCTCAAAAATTGTGTGAAACGCTTGCCGAAATGCACACAAAAGTTCCATAGTGTAGTGGTTATCACGTTCCCTTTACATCCATCTCATCCGACAGCGGGAAAGGTCCTGGGTTCGAACCCCAGTGGGACTATCATTTTTGCTTTTTTGCTAGATATCTGAGGTTTTTGGATGAAATGAGATCGATGTTTCAGTCAAGGGGGCTTTTTTGGAGGTTGTTGTAGGGTCTCATGATTTGTAGAGAATCATTCGACAAAGGGTCCAATCTAGCAGATGATGGTGTGATCTCGTGTCAATTCTAAGGGATTCTCTTGATGCGGGGCCTTAATAAGTTCATACAACATTCTGTACTTCTGCACTTCAAGCAGGCTCCTACCTACCTCAACACGCAATTTCACCGTGCCCTATAACCATAGTATTCATCGAAGCCACAATTGCCATGTCGATGATATGAAGCTGAGGACAGCGGGAATGGTGAAACAACTACTTACTGTGAAAGGGCACGCCCAGCCGTGGCATCTCCAAGGCCGAGAGCCCAGGATTCAACTTGGTGGGGACCTTGCATGCAGCCGAGCATTGACGGATTGCGCTTAGGCCTTGATCAAGGGAGGATCTGCACAGTTCCTGAATGTCGAGCTTTCCAGCTTCCCACGCGGCACCACTCGCAGTTCGCTACACCATCGTCCCTTGGCGACCACACGCTTACCCCAGTGTGGCACGTCGTTCAAGTTGTCGAATGTTCCAGGGTGCCAGGGTAGTTGTCTGACAGGGATTATTTATTTCTTCAGGCAAGGATCGGAAAGAGAGACTGCCAGCGAGACTAGTCCTCCTAAGCATGAGAGGTGCGGGGACAGTTGTGTCAAGATACCAGGGAAGACCCTGATAGCAGTATCAGTAGTTGAATGTCCGTCAAGATTATAAGCCTGTTCGTTGTAGCTGAAGGTCGGAATAGGAGAGCCTGGTTGATGTGCTCTTCCTCGAAGGCCAGCAATGTCAAGTCCGACTGTCAATGCTGCTGATCGAGATTTCTATCGGGTTTCTATCGATGGTCAAGTCTCTCACGTGGAATTTGGGAGGGTGTTTGGTTCAATAGACATGCAATTTGTCTTCACTCTATACATTCCCCACCATCTCTATTTAATATACACAATCATGCCAACGAGCTTCACAAGGCCAGAAACCAAAAACCCCAGCACCACAAGAGGTTTGTCCTTCAATAGAAAACCATCTATTTCACAGTTGCACGAATGAAATCGTCAGGCTCGGATGGGCTGTGGGAATGGTCTGAGCCTCGAGCGGTGCGTGAGTCGCCGCGATCTTCATATCCGACAATTTCGTAATCGATGGTTCGAAGAATAGCTCCTTCGGTGAGGCTTCTCTGACTTTCGCTGCGCTCAGGGATGTTTCCCAGGTTGGATTTTTCCTTTCCCGCACTCGACACTTCGCTTGTGTGGTGACCTCCTTGGACCTTCTTCATCTGTCTGGTTGGCCACTCTCCACTGGCGGACGAAGCTCCCGTCTGGCTATGGTTCTTGGTCCCAGCGATGCCTAGTCTGCCGGAGAGAGCGGTCTTGATTCGTGAGGTGACTCCCCTGGACGAGCTTCCTAGTTCGGCTTCGTATTGTGTGGGAATAGTAAACAGCGATGTGCCTGATTTGAACATGTCCAACACTCCCTTCAAGCTGGGGATGCAGGCTGTCAAGATGGATAGGTTCATGACAATCGCAGTCCAGATGGTGGGGCTGACCAGGGTCCATGAATAATCATCCAGATCGACATCGGTGTGGTATGCGACCATTTGAGGGATGATAAACGCCGGCACACTACAAGAGGGTTAGGGTTAGTTTCTTGGTGGTCATTTTATCGATTGATTTCGACTTACAGGATTCTGCAGCCGAATAAAATCATCACCTGCCACTTCTTGCTGATGTTTGTTTGTACTCCTCCCATCATAATGGCTGGGATGACGATCAAAGACAGGTCGGTAATGATATTGACGATACCGATGAACAGTTCGAGAGCTTGAGTGTTGATACATTTTCCATCTTCAACCATCCATGGAGAAGGCAATTCGCACTGGAAGGCGATGGCAAACACACCGGCGAGAGCCCAAGCAGCCACCGTCCCGGCAACTCCGTAGCAGGCATAATGAATTGAGCGTTGGGGAGTGATGGCCATGATGAACCAAAGCACCGAGCATTTGGCGAATGCCATTGATATGATGAAGAGCATACGAGCTGAATAAACATACTACCACCATCAGTCAGCAAGCGAAGTTTCTTTTTACAATTGGCTGGGGAATGCTCACTCTGGCAAAATAACCAAATGTCTCCTGAGACAGTAACTCTTGAGGTTGTCCCAAACCATTCTTGCAGGCTGAAATGATGCAAATCGTTTGAACAAAAGCCATTACGGCCGACGCAACAATCAGCCAGTCATAATTTCGCATCGAAGTCAGGTGTAACCGGGAAATAATCTTCGCGCCGACGGCCAGTAAGGAATACACCAGAAAGGCCGTACTGGTGATGACAATCCATGGGGCATGATTGTCGCTCGCGATTTGAAAGAACGGAGGGCGCGATTCCTCAGCCATTGCGACAGACACACAACTGACTGCCTCCACTGATGGGTAGAGAGATGAAAGTCAAAGCCTGTGGGAACTACAAGTCGATATATGGAGACGTGCACACATGTCAAGCGGCATTCCCCGTAACAAGAACTACTTCCCGCCTACCAGTCGACAGGCCCTGGGTTTCCCTGGGGGGAGGGCCCAAAAAACCTCCTGAGTCCTGAAAGTACTGATTGAACTCCCTCGAGGAGCAGGACGCCTTGGCCACTGGTGCCCAAAGGCTCAAGGCCCAGGGCAGAAGGCGGGTAGGGTGGTGGGTATCTCTCTGTGCCGCTCTGCATGTACGGAGTACTTAAATGAGCCGGAAGCTGGCGCCGACGGCCCAGGCGGATGAGGCCCACAAAGTACTCCAGCAGAGAAGCGGTTGGTCTTTTTAGAAGAGTCGCCCAGAGCCTACGACCCGACGACCCTACATGAGTGGGCTAATTGTCCCTAGGGCGTCGTTCTAGTTTCTTGGGTCGATTTCACAGCACGCACTTTGATGGAGCACAATGGGGGTCATGTTAAGAGAGCCCCAGCAGTTTGACGTTCCAGAGGGGGACTCGATAAGTGAAGATCGGTATCAGTTGGACCTCAAGTGTTCATGGTCATGCACCTAAACACACGCTACACACCACATCCTGTCAGACACAAGCTGAGTCTGAGCTTGCAGATCATCGTGCTTCACTCGTGAATACCAAGCGGGCTCCAACCTTCCCAACCCAAAAGGGTCCTACATTCGCTTCTCTGTACTCCGGACTCGGTACCGAATACTATTGGTGAACTCGTGGTTCTGTCTCGCTACCTATCTGTCAAACCTACATACGTCGACTACTTTATGGTGTAGACTGTATTGGCTGCATTCTCTGGCGCACTATATGAAGGATGCATCTTCCGAAGTTGACAGCTTACAATCTGTTGATGAGCTTCGGAGGAGATGGTGATCTTCATGGCTAGGGCAGTTGTATCTTTATTAACTCTGTCCCCACGCCCGCAATCATCAATTGAAAGTCCCTCTCAGGGAGGCCACCCTCTGATTCTTCGCCTATCTTCCTTAGCTCAACCATGCTAACAAGTTCCAAGCTACTGACATCCGCAACAGCTGTCCAAGCACTTGCTAACTTCCGTACTCTGACGTCTTGTAGAAGGATGGTTTGATCTTGAGCGGCTGAGTTGACCGGTATCTCAACACGCCAGGCTTTAGCACGCTGGTCATTCCCCACAGTGGCAATGGTGACACTCATTGTTGAACCACGAGTGATGCACTCGACAACTTTGAGAGCTGTAATTGCTGCAGCGTGAGCCTTAGGGATGATGATTGTCCTGGGATGATCTGGGCTTGTAAATTCTTTTTCTGTGTCAACATTCAAAAATGTCAGGCCCAAAGCATTGTCATCACCTCCAGTCGTAGTCAAGTACATTCGTGGCCACAGCATAATGACATCCATCGCAAGGATGCTGCTCTGGTGGATCCCCTTGAGCTCCATTCCATCGGGTGCTGCATCGTCTGCCTTATCCTTCGATGCCAATCGCGTGAGATTCAATGCTCCATTTGTGCCGGCGGATAGTATCTGCATCACTGAACTGGTATGGTCACTCAAACCCTGGTTGGGCAATATCGATGTTTGTAGTAAGCAAAATGAGCCGAAATTGATGATATGTATCACCTCAAAAGCCCCAGTGCCGTGATTTGCTGTGGGCTGGTAGTTGATGACCTTGACCTTGCCGTTGGAATACGCCATAGCCAACACAAAGGAAGATTCCTCTTCTCCCAACACACCACGATTTTGACCCTTTTCTTGTAGGTCAAAACCCATGATTCTTGCATCAGAGTCCTCTGTTACCTTGGGCATTCGGTCTTGCAAGACGACACCGACACCAACACAAGGGACGTTATATGTTAGCTTCCAAACAAAAAATTCCTCGAATCCGGCACTGCTGAAAAGGAATCTGCTAGCTGGAGAAAATTGGAGGTGTTGTAACCCAGTCGTGTGCCCCTTTAGCACTACCAGATTATGCCACCCTGATTTGTGTGAATCCGGGATCACGGTGGGCTCTATTGCGAAGAGTTGTATGTCTGTGTCTTCTGCGCCAGTTGCCAGCAATGCACAATTTTCAAGTCCACGAGGTTTGTCTGTGTATGGGCGAGAGCTCTTGGCCATTGCTTTAATCTCACGTCCATGACTACTGTGACCGATAGCGACACTAGGCGGACTTTTGTCGATGTGCCAATTGATCTTTCCAGCCTTTGTCCATACAAATGATTGAAAATTCTGACGTTCTACCTGGACAGGCGGGGATGGACTGATTTTGTTGGCAGCAAGCTCAATGAGTGGTTTGTAAGACCAGGTCCTGTGGGAGCCGCCGCACTCAATGTCCAACAGAGTCGTCCGTTGTGTTTCATTCCATACGATGAACGAAGTGGACTTGAACCCGCATAAAACGAGATCAACAACTTGGTTACCGGGTGCAATTGTCCTCGGAACCAGGTAAGAACCTTCGATATTGGGTCCAAATGGTGGAGAGGAGCGATGGATTGTTGAAATGGGTGGAAATGTTTGTTTCTGTTTGACCACTCGATGTACACTGAAGGTTCCGTCTTTGCCGGTTGACAAGATGTGAATCACATCTGATTCTTCCGGCCCAAGGTGAGGTGAGGGATCCAAAAGCCGAAGTGAAGTGACGCTGTCAGTACCATGCACGTGTCGAACGACAAAAGGATTCTGGGCTTCCGCTGTCTCTGCATCTACATCTGCGTAGAAAGCCAAGGCCCCGGCGCGAGATCCAAGAACCAAACATCGACTACAAGGGTCATAACAGCTCGCTGTCACGTTGAACGTATCGGGTGAACCAAGGTTGGTCATGGTGACTTGGACGGCTGGGCCCCGATCAGAAACCCATAGGGCCACGACCCTGGAATCACTGAGTCTCGCCACTATACATGGCATTCCAGGCGCTGGCGTCAAGGCAACCGACATCCAAGTGATGCTGGCCTCAAGAGGCGACAAAAGTGATATCACTTCTCCCGTTGATTGAACAAGCGCTGAGAGTCCGCCAGCTTGTGGTGCCATTAGCAGCATCCCATGACTGGAAACATAGCAGATGACGACACTGCCCTTGAGAGGGTTGCTGAGCGTCTTCGTACACACCAACGTATCTCCATTTGGCGAAAGCTGGTACAAATCCCCGTCATCGGTATTGGCTAGACAGATGTCGTGGTCAATCATAGTGTACTGTTTGAGTACTTTGCCGTTGTGGCTGAGTCCTCGAAAAGGGTGGGATATAGTGGAGGATTTAGTCAGTCCCTGATCAACGTCAAACCTCCTTTGGACGACTTGGTTGTCGGCGCCACCAGAATATACAACTAGACTGGGGTATATTAGAAGATGTGACATAGACCAGGCATTTTTCCCCAGATGGTGATGGTCTCGCGCATGCGGGCTAATCGTCCACTGCTGCTGCATAATTGATTCTTGGCCGGTTCCAGAGACCAATTCCCACAATTGACAAGTGGCATCTTCGCCTTCGGAGAGCACAAGAATGCGATGATCCCCTGCTCCAACCTGGCGCACTGCAAATTCCACATTCCAAATCCGTGATGAATGAGCCCAAGTCTTGGTCAGCTGTGATATTTCACTATCCCGTGTGACGCCGAAGCCTGTCTCTCGAGGACCGAGACTGGGAATGGAGTTGATCGCTGGTACATTGGAGTCGCTGATGTTCCAAATTTGGATTGTACGGTCATCACTGCAACTCGCAAGTAACCTGACTTTGACTCCGTTAATGTGTATCTCTTGAGAGATTGTGACTCCGAAGATGGAGCCTTCATGTCCAGTGAAGGTGTGTCTCAAGGTAGTTACCCACCCACTCTCATCGTTTGAATTGTGACACGTCCACACAAAGATCTCCCCAAACACAGTGCCCGAGGCAACAATTATGCCTCCGCTGTGTGTGGCCTTGATATCTCCAGAATAGAGAAACGTGGCTGGCCCGGGCACTGTATCAAGAAGCTCAAACTGCGTAGCCTGTCGGCCGCTGTGGCTGTTGATCTTGAGCCTGAGTAAAGCATTGTGTGCAGTGAGAAGGAAAAATGTGGAGGAGTTATGTGGGGCGGTGTGTAACGAGGTCGTTGTCACTGAAACAGCCTTCAGAACCCAGTCTTTGGCATCAAAAAGGTCTGAAAGCTCAAGAATAACATGATTGGGGAGGCTTTGGTGCTCAGGCAACACTGATAGCTCTCCATAGCGAAGCCAGCGACCACCCCATATGAGGATGCTTATGTGCTTCGAGTCACCAGCGGGTGTGGTCACTTCAATGGCGTCAATGCCATGAATAGGCTGGCAAGGAAATACCTGCTGGCGTAGAACTTGTCCGGAATTTTGGTCATAAACATGAAGCCATGGTCCAGAGCCTGCGACCAGCAAGAACTCAGATCCAATCTCTACGGGCTTGAGGGCAGTGACAGGTAAGCCTGTCTGCTGTGAATGTATCATTCAGGGCTGGAAGGAAGGATCATGTCTGACAACAAGCTGTAGGGTAAGGATGATATTCCAGGGTGCGTTGCCAATCTTGGGGATCGTCGAGGCGTAGACTGATAAAGGACTTACTTGAGAATTCTAAATCAAGTCTATATAACTTCAATGTTATGAGTACTGATTGAGAATTTTCAGTTGTCGGGTGCCAGCGAATCAGAGTTCCAGAACTGATTTGGAAGGACGGAAAAACTATTGTCCATATTGTCAGAATAGTTACCCACTCGTGCACGGAAGATGCGTTACATCTGGTAGAGAGCGATTATTCTTGTATATTATGCATTCACTCTTTGTCGAATGTTAAACAAGCTCGATGGCCCAACTTTACCATAAATCTAGCGTAAAACTCTTGCTACAAAGCCGAGCGAGTGTGCGCTGGGAAAACCCTAGTGATGTTTCTTCTATAGATCTAATTCCATATACAGACATTTATGATCGAATGAAGGAATGAATGAATGTACTGAGACTGAAAATAGATTCTATACATCACTGGAATCATATCGTGTTGCTAGGGTTAGGATCTGGGTATATAAAATGGCTAGCAAGGGGAATCTGGTTCTATAAATGAATATGTGATATCACAATTCCTCACTCACCAGCAATCCATATTTGTCGCTGGTCACCATTTCGCTTCTTACCTCGAGTGCGATGCCCCTCAAACTGCCATTCACGAGAGATTAGGTAGCAAAGATGATAATAAACAAGCAAATATCATCAGAGGGAAGATATGTCCTTGTGTAGGGTCGAAAGGTCCAAGTTTTATGATCTTTTCTCGAGACATACGATGAGGGTTGGCTGCCAAATCTGGAAAGGGCTTCCGGCATGTCAGGTTTTGGGTCTTTCGCGTTGGGTCTGAAGCTTGTGTCGCCCATATCATCTCGTGTTAAGCGCACATTCCATAATTGAGTACTCGTATATCCTCATAAAGGTAGGGGCCACTCCATGCGGCGTAGACGCCCATAAAGTCTCTAGAAATTGTCAAGTCGGATCATTCTTGTTGGGCCTGCTCCTTGGTAGAAGCAGGTTGGCTATGCTGCCCATTGTTCTCTTGCATGCCAGAAGGTTTCAATTCCACTGGCGGCCAATGCACTTTAACTAGTCGAGCGAGAATAATGCGGAGAGGCAGGTCCTAGGTGGTAGAGGGCCGAGGAGGCGATAGTAGTGATGGTGATGGCTTAGGAGGAGGAGTAGAAGTAGGAGAAAATGGGACAAGCACTTAGAGCATTGTCAAACAAGGTCGCATCTTAACTTTTCGACGTCTCCATGTTATTCTTTACTTCATCACGAAGCTCACATTCCTATCCCATTACCTGCGTGCACTACGTTGGTAGCATCTGACGATCGCACAAGTTCGGAGGTTGTTTGTTGTCTCTGGGCATGAACGAGCCATCCTCGTTATGTCGAACAGGGGCACTGCACGCGATCAGTCGGCGAGGAAGTGAGGAAGTGAGGAAGTGAGAGGCTCTAAAGGTTAGTAGCGGAGGAGATTCAGGGTCGAGGCCGACGAGGATCAAGAGCATTGGGTAAATGGAAAGGTGAAATGAAAGTGAGCAGTCGTTCAAAGTGGTTGGCACGTGTAGAGCAGAGAGGACGGGGAAGGAAGGAGGATGAAGGAAGGATGAAAAAGGGAAGGAAGGAGGGTGAAGGAAGGATGAAAGAGGGAAGGAGAGGAACAAAACGCGGCGGCGGCAATCGCGTCCCTCTCGAGAATGCCAAGACTTTCACGCCAACTTCATCTCAACTCTCTGTATTTGGCCCTGAGCATCCGGTTGTCTACTCAGTTGTCCTCTCTGAATCTCCCCCTGCATTGTGTCCGCCGTCTCTTTTCAGATCAACACCATCGGTTTGTATACTTGGGTCATATTACGTCGATGAAATCACGTGCGCGGTGCACCGTGTGCGACTGGGCGGAACGCGTGTGTGTCGAGACCAGATCATGATCAACCGATAACCACGGATCATAATCCCATCTTCGTGGAATCAAGAGTCAAAATCCTCTCAAAAGAGATCATCGGCACATGTTATCAACGAATCGTCAACATGCACTCTTCTGTGGTTTATTTAATAGAAGACTCGGACGATGAAGTACCACCACCAAAGCGGCACAGGAAAGAACCAGATTCTCAACAATCACAACCACGCAAGGAAGCGGCGCATGTCGACGTCGACTTGACCGAGGAAATCCCTAAACCCATCGCTCGCCCTGCTTTTTCAAGTCTGCCACGTCCAACAAACCATCTCTTAGGCTCACCATTGAACGTTGGCCTCCTTCAACCAAGTTCACGCGTCCCACGGTGGTTTGACCCTCCATTCTCCACGCGCATTCCCTTCAACAGAGACGCCGAGACCAATCGGCATCCATTTTTCTCGTCTATCAGTATAGGCCATCGATTGAACTCCTCTGATCGTCCTGCTGGACATGATCATCGCCCCTCGCAACAGAATAAGAGCCAAGAGCCTCGAGGTTCCGGACCACTTCAAGCACACAGTTCTCCTGCTCGTCCACACACTCCACACTCTTCCCCAGCAAAGGAGCCACAGCTTCCACGTCCCAGCAGTGAGACTATCAACCAAGTCCCTAGTATTCAACGAGATTCAACCGTAACCGACGCCACTCGCAGAGACAACCTCTATTCCTGTTCCAACTGCCGCAATCGAGGATGTGTGTGCGAGCACTTTGCCAACAAGCATTCCTCATGTCTTCAGTGCTACAGAAGGGGCGAATTGTGCGACTACCCCACCCTTTCCAGCCCGACGATCCCACGGCGATGGAGCCCAAACAGCAACCACTCCCCAGAAACTCATCTGTCTTTGCAGACCCGCTTGAACCATACTTTGCTATCTCACACCTCACGTCTGCTCCTCTATGGCCTCTCTAACAAATCTAGTCCCACTCCTTCTCAGACTGCCCGTCCTACCCAGGAGAAAGTGAGGGCTGTACATGCGCAAGAGCCTGTGCCTGAGCTCGACAGTGGCGCTGCTCAAGAAAAGCTTGAACATGAGATAACTCACACTCAACGTGATAACGGAGTCTCCGAGACCACAGAAGTAACCATTTCACCGAAAATGCCTCCTGCTCAGATTGAGTACGATGTGGACATGGAAGGAATTACCATGGTAGTGAACAAGTTACAGGAAAGCCAGCGAACTTGGAGAGAAAAATTCGTTGAATCTGAGCTCCGGCAAGCAGCGATTGATATGAGGTCTCGCCGACTTCCAAATCCTGGCCGCAAAACTCCCGACCCATTCAAGCTGCAATCCTCGCAGTCCTTTGAGTCGATCGTGAACAATGAGAAAACGCAGAGTAAGAAGTCTAGTGGACCTGTCAGTCTCGCAGTCGCGACCCGCTTCAAGACCCCAGGACCAGTTCTACCTCGGTACAAAGCTATAGGCAGAGTCAATGGAAACTTCCTTGCACCCAACAGACGTACTCAGAAATGGCGTCCATACGAGCCCGATGACGAGCTCGAGGGCGTTGATGTCGATCAGAAATACATGGAGTTACCCCACAGATACGCTGCCGACTACCCTAGTAGGGAGCGGCAAGTACGATGTCAAGAAGCCATCAAGCGGTGGCAGCCATGGGCAGATAGGCTATTGGAGATTTTGGGACTTCAAAAGTCCGATGTCCTCCATTTCTTTGCCCAAAAGTCTGGTCACTCGGATGACTTCAAAGTCTATTTGGCCTCTTTGCCCTTGTCAGCTTCCAGCGCTCTTCAGGCAGAGGTAGATCGCCAGTGCACAACCTGTGGCATTGCCGATATGCTTAATGAAGAAAACATCGAGAGCGGGCTCCATTCGATGGAGCATACCAAACCTACTCCCCAAACCATTGCCCTCGCCGGCCTTGCGGCTCATGCATTTCACAACATGACCAACATTAGTCTATGGCATCTAGCGATAGGCGGGTATCTCCTGCCTCCGTCTGATCCATTGGATCGCGAGGAAGATGTCGATGCGTGTCACGTCTGCAACACTGATACCCGGCCGAGCAGAGATGGTGTGGAACCATGTGCAATATGTTTCTGTCACAGATGTCCCCATCATGGTACCTTTCACGACCCTTTTAATTTTGACGAGGAGTCAAGGTACAGGGAACACGACGTCAAAGTTATCGTTGACGATGACGAAAGCCAGTATAACGTCCGACATTTTGTTTCTCTGCCAGGCCGACCTTTTGATGACCATACCCAGAATAGTCATCTCTGCGGAATCTTTTGTGTTGACGCGAAACAATCTTTACGCTCAGTCTTGGGTCTCCAATCAGACGGCACTGTTGCTGGTGCCTGTCGAGAGCTCGAGCAGGCCCGAGCAGCGTTCAACGATGATGAGCTCTGCAGTGATGCCTGCTTCTGGAAAATCAGCAACAGGCCAAATACGGACATTTACGAGACTCCCTTAGCCCCGGGTGTCCCTAAATCTGCCGTAGACCTGATCAACAAGATGATACCGTTCTATCTTGCCAGTAAGCGAGGACCATGTAGTATCTCGAGGATGATACGAGATGTGAGCTGCGAGGCAGTCTTTGAACATATGTTGCACCAGATGCAACAAGTACCTCACCAAGACGAAAGCACCGCCTCTGACGTCGACGGCGACAACACGGCACAAGTACAAGATCAACTGCGAAAGCGAAAAGGGCCTGTGATGGACGTCTCTAGGAGCATGGAACTTGACAAGAGGCCTTCATTCACGCCATGCTCACACCACGGCCCCTGCACCAAGGAAAATAACTGCAGCTGCGCGTTGAACAGAGTTCACTGCGAGAGATCTTGCGGGTGTCCAGAAGCTTGCACGAGGCGCTTCAAAGGCTGCACGTGCGTGGCCAAGGGAAACAAGGTTTGCTTCAAGGATCAACGTTGCGAGTGTTGGAAGTTGAACCGTGAATGCGATCCAGACATCTGCCGGAAATGTGGTGTTGTCGAGGTACTAGACTCGTCCAACAAGTACAAGGAGGAGTTCCGGATCGGCAGATGCAGGAACAATCGAATTCAACTGGGTGTTCCGGCAGCTACCACGAAAGCTCCCAGTCAAATCCAAGGGTACGGCCTCTATAGCAGAGCTTACATCGCTGCGGGAGATTTCATTGGAGAATACGTTGGCGAAGTCCTGACTCAGGCAGAAGGCAACAGACGAGGTGCCATGTACCATGTTCTCAACCAGGAATATCTCTTCATGACCAATAGAGAGCAAGAGGTTGATGCATCCAACAACGGGAACAAGATGCGCTTCATGAACAACTCTCTCCTAGATGCCAACATCAATGTGGAACCTCGCAAACTCCTGTGTAGCGGAGTGGTGCGAGTTGGCCTCTTTGCGCGGCGGGCGATCAAGGCAGGCGAGGAGCTTCTTTACAACTATTCGTATCCAGAGGAGGTCACCAGAACGTTCTGGGAGCCTGGGGAGCGAGATGCTCATGCTCGGCGGCTTATTCCGATGTCTTCACATCGGATCGCACGTACTACGGGCACGAACAATATGGCTGGGGTTACAAATGGCGGCCCCAAACCAGCGTTACAGAAGAAGAGCAAGAAAAGAAAGAGACGTGTCATCGAATCCCCTGTGTCAGATGTTGACATGGAAAGTGCACAAAGCGCAGAGGATTTTACAGAATCCGAAGCAACGATGCTCCCGGAGATTGGAGACTCGGAAGAGTCCGAATATGGCATTAACGGTCTCGCATCGGAGGACGAGGAGACTGATGGGCTGATGGATGTCGCCGTCAATCCCAAGGTCAGATGGAAGGTGGCACAATCGAGGCCTCGCGCAGGCGTGGCGAGTGGCATTCATGCAGGGCATCACCCTAAGAGCAAGGCTCCACACAGAAGAGTACTTTCTGATTCACCTGTGCGTCAAAGATCAATCAATCCTGGTGACAAGAGATTGGGGGGGCGAGCACAGCAAAAAGCATGGAGGACACGCAAGCAGCGCGAGGCCATGAGAGAAGCGGCACAACGATAATGCTATTAGTGGTTTGGGAAAAGCAGGCGAAAATCGTGATACGAATATCAAGTGTCTGAGCAGTGCGATGGCATGAGAGTTACCCAGCGCGGAGAAGAATTTTGGCACTCTAAAATACAGAGTTTCTCGCGCAGATCAGACAGTAGAGAGACAGTGTAAAACATGGGATTGATATGCAGGAACAGGATCCACTACTGACTGACCGCCCGACGTCTCGTAGCTAGCTGAATGGAGTGTCGTGAATGGTGATAGGCGAAAGTGTGGCTTAATGATATCTCAATTAGGGAGTATGTTTACAGGGAACTGACTGGGGGAAAGCCGAGATCTACAGCAGAAGAAACGACCAAGTCAGAAGTTGTATGCCTCCATCGACACAGAGATTTGAGATGAGTGCAGCTGGCGAGATTGAGTTTCATATCTCCACCTGGTGGGTGAAAGGGATCGTTCAGTTCATCGATAGTGTCCATAGATACACGTACAAAGCAAAAGTAAATTAGTGGGATCTACTGGAGCTCAACCAGATGAGATGGAGTAACTCAGAGAGGGTATCAGTAATGGTCACCAACTGACTACTAATGATGTCGATGACGTGAGCGGCGTGTTGCTTTGACGACCAACCCAAGCCATTAGTGGCGGTTGGCCAGGCATGCCAGGCCTTGTTGGCACCGGGACAGCTGCATCGTGAGCGGGTTAATAAGCTCGTCTACCCACTGGCCAGCCCCAGAACACACCTGAGCACCTACGCTACCCGCCTACCAACCTGACCACTACCACGCTACCCAGACACAACCACACCATCATCGTCATTCCACTCGACCTTCACTATTGTCAATAAAACTCGCCTCTTGCGCACTCAATTGATTCCACCCAACTCTAGGCTTCCAAGCTCCCAAGGCTCCAAGCTCTATACTTTCTGTACCTGCGCCTCCCCCCAAACCATCCACACCTTTTAATTTCGCCGCCCCAAAGCCCGGTAAGTACGGAAGGAATTCTTGTTTAGGCCTTGTGTTTGCACATCTTCTGTCATACCCAGCATCTTGGTGCAGTCTCCCGCAAACGTCGAGGCCCAGTCATCCATGTCTGGACCATGGATGCCCCAGTCGTTGAGGAGAGAAGGCCCAGAGCAGAGACTGGAGGGTGGGGAGCTGATGGAACTGGTGACGTTGTGGCGGGCCCCATTCGTGCTTGTCTGGCAGCAATAGCTGTGGCTTGCCCTTCTGTCTTTCCACTTGTTTCAGTGGCACAAAGCAAAAAGGGTCGAGGAAACAGTGGTTGACAGAGGCAGACATGACAAAGTGGGCTCTGACGGTTGGTGGATTGTAGCCACTAATACGCCATTAGTGGCCACTAACCCGGTCTTGGTCCCCTGTTCCATGGGCCCCGAGGCCTGAGCAGCTGCTCTTTGCAGGGCCCCAGGAGCACAGTGCTCCCACACGGACTCCCACCCCCCCCAGTCCAGTTGCCTCATGCCGCACCCATCCGGACGTCATCCTCCAACCCAGTCACTCAGTCCTTCTCAGGATCATCACTCTGCTGGAGATCTACCTTTCTTGACACTACTGCACCACATCTACTAGTACCACTTCCGCACTGCTCCTCAATTTGGCCGTCTGCTCTTCATCATTGCTTCCAGCCTTCCCTTCTTTCTTTCCCCAATCTCACTTTTACAAGTTCTCTTTCTGCATCACGCATTCAAGACAGAAGAATCTAACAATTCATTCTGTCCAGACTGTGCAGTTAACACTCTCCTACCCCTCCACGCACCTAACTCGGAGCTTCTACCTCGGTCTCCGACGACAAAACCTCTTCTGTACCCGTTTCTGAGCACCAGCTCTCTCCCTCAAGATGCATCGCACATATTCCATGCGCCAGTCGCGCGCCCCAACAGCGTCACAGCTTGAGAACCCTCCCCCGCCATCTTCCTCCACTAAAGGCGGTCGGTTCTTTGGCAAAAGCAACTTTGGTAGGATGAACAACATGTCCCTTGTCGCACCCAAGCTGTAGCTGACACATTTCTTAGGCCATGCCTGGCGGAAGGGCACGGCAGGGGCCTTTGGCCCTGACCTAGCCAAGAAGCTCTCGCAGCTTGTTAAGATGGAAAAGAATGTCATGCGCAGCATGGAACTCGTCGGCCGCGAGAGAATGGAAGTTGCAGTAAGCACCACAATTCGATTCGCATTGTCACGTGAAACTAACTTTGAACCAGCAACAACTCTCCATCTGGGGTGAAGGCACAGACGAGGATGTCAGTGACGTGACCGACAAGCTCGGTGTCCTGATCTACGAGATTGGTGAACTGGAAGACCAATTCGTCGACCGCTACGATCAATACCGTGTCACCATCAAGTCGATCCGCAACATTGAAGCTTCAGTTCAGCCATCGCGAGACCGCAAGCAGAAGATCACCGACCAAATCGCCCAGCTGAAGTACAAGGAACCCAACAGCCCGCGAATTGTGGTGCTGGAGCAAGAGCTTGTCCGGGCTGAAGCAGAGTCCTTGGTTGCTGAGGCCCAGCTCTCTAACATTACGCGCGAGAAGCTCAAGGCGGCCTTTACCTACCAATTTGATGCCATCCGCGAACACTCGGAGAAGGTTGCCATTATTGCTGGCTACGGCAAACACTTGTTGGAGCTCATTGACGACACCCCGGTCACTCCCGGCGAGACCCGCAACGCTTATGATGGATATGAAGCATCCAAGGCTATCATCCAGGATTGCGAAGATGCTCTGACCAACTGGGTGTCCTCCAACGCGGTGGTCAAATCCTCCCTCTCGGTCCGGGCGCGCTCTTTGAGCCAACGAAGAAAGAAGAACGCCCAATCGGAGGGCGTGGATCTCGCCGGACAAGACCAGCCTCTGAAGAATGACCGGGACGGTTGGGTTCCCGCAGGCCAACATGGCGAATACGAGCAGGAAGGCAGTGAGGAGGAGGAAGAGGAGGAGGAGACTCCCGTTGGAACCAATGGTACGTGACAAGTGCAACCACCAAGACGACTGCATTGCTAACGATTTGAACAGGACAACACGCCGTACCTGCTTAGAGCGCAACATCGACGCATTCGGGACGCCTCGCATTCACCCCTTGACTCGAGCGTGCACGAGAAAAAGCAGCGGGAAGCTCTTGCAGAAAGAGGCGATTGCTACGCAAAAATACCCCAGGGAACAACGGGATGGCGTCTAGGTCGTCAGCTAGGGAGTACTTGAGTTTTGCAGGTAGATGATGTCGAAGAAAACGTTTGGTGATCCGGGACTGAAGACTTTGGGCGTTCCGTCATTCTCGTGTCTTGTCTGTTGGACTGCGACAGGCCTGGGAATTTTGATCACGCGCAAAGTTGCAGCATAAGAAGACGGACTGCCCAAGGACTGATGCCTGCTTGCCGATATTGTTCTCGTTGTTGCAATTTGCGGACAAATAGGTAATACACATCTAATGAAGGCGACCAATGCAATACCACATGTCTTTACTGAGGCACGTTCTTGTCATATTTCTTGGGATCTCTCTGCGAGTACAAATTGTGGCATCTTTTTCCCTCAAATCGGACTGGAGGGCTTGTAAAATATCACGTGCACTCCAGATGTGCATACGAGTCCTCCTTACGTCATTTCACCAGCCACCTTCCGCACTTAAGCCTTTCCTAATCAGTACGTAGTGGTAGAATCAGGTACACTAGCCAATAAAGTCTTGACAGTACTCCGTAATGTGAGTCTAATGCTAGCTAGTTATTTTTAGTTGGCCATGACTAAAGGTTCCCCCAAGTCTACGAATACCACCTGGCTGCGACTACACAGGTGCTTATTTCTCTACACCAAGACTCTTTTCGCAGGCGTTTCATCAAGTATAACAAGTGTGTAGGTAGGACATCCTTACGATGATATGGAGCTCTCGAATGGGACCGAAACCACACATGTAGAGATCAGAGTATGAGTTGAAGATACCATCATGAATGGGAACGACAAGGTTTGGCTCTATCGAAAGTTGGGGCTGAATAAAATACGAGGCAGACACGCACCCACACCTCTAGGGCTACCGGAGGAACAAATACACGTGAAGCATGCGTGCTTGCTTGTATCCTGTAGCAGGTTGCATTTAATCACCTCAGAAGTAGTACTATTGTGTTACTACTGCAAGTGCAGTACGAGGTATGGGCAGCTGAACCATCGTCATGACCAAGGTGTTGATGGGTTGATGCGTATACTCCGTATGTTGATGAAGCGCGCCACATTGCGAACTCGTGGCTGTTAGCCTGTTTAGGCGGTCTCGGCGTTGAGAATGGTGAAACGCCAGTTAAGCAGTAGTGAACGCCCCCGGTTGGCATGAGTTTGGGTGAGGCTATGAGGAGGATTGGGCATGCGGAGTGAAAGAACAGTGCCCTGATGGGAAGAAGAGTAAAAATAGTAATGCTGCTTTAAAACTCCAGCTCCCCCAGCGCTCAAGGTGTCTAGACGTGGCCTTTACCAGTACACGTGTCCACGGCCAGTTATACCGTAGTAGAAACTGGAAGGATGCCATGCCCGAGCAATGAGATACCAATAGTACCTTCCCTTGTCCTATACTGGAGCAAGGAAAACACAGAGTTTCATGACGAGTTACGACTGTCAAGTCTCGGGTTACGAATATGATATACGTACAAGCCACCTCACTTGTGCAGCCTCAAACTCTCTCCACGTTGCGTTGGTTTATTCTCCATGTCCCTCGTCCCCTCGTCCCATAGACGTAGACATTCGCAAACAGAACAAGCGGTAGGATTTCTTGGGAAGACCCTTCTAATAAATCCTCGTGGCTCAGCAGTGTCGCTTGTGGGCCCTTCGGGCTTCAGCCTCTTCCTCTTACGAACTAGTCTGTAATCTGCAGGGCTGATTGCTTCTTGTAGTTGGTGCGCCCCATCACGCCCGTCTACGTCTACGAGTACAGTTTACGAATACACGATACTGCTGGCTTCAAGGTTGTCGCTCTTGTGTGACAGCCTCCCTTGTCACGATACGTTACGACACCGACACCCGCTTACGAACCTGCAAGAGCGGGCCATGGACGGTTAGTAGTAGTCAGCTTGACCGCAGACCAAGGCTGTGAGGCTACACTTTAATACTGTTTTACCGTAGGGTTCAGCTAGCGGTGACACTGTGGAGGAGGGGGGGTTCCTGCTTAAAGATTGTACAAAGTGTGGCTGCCTTGCCTCTTGAACAGAGAATCGTTTTGATTTTCACTTGATCGCCGTCAATCTTCGTCCTCTTGCTACTAGAAACTTTTCTGAAGCAACCCTCATTACTCTCTTACACGCTCTCGCTACTACCTAGTACCCGACTACGACTACCGTTTATTAATCTAGCTCGTCCTCCCACCAACCTCAACCTCCGACCGTTTTTGCTTACTCTCCCTCCGATTCGCCTAGTAAAGCACGCCTCTCGACCCACCGACAGCGGTCAATCCTCAAACCGCACCAAGTGCTTACAGCCCCCAAACCAGCCCAACTCCCGTCCAAGGAGGGAAGAATCCTATCACCCAGGAAAAAGAACAACTTGAATCTTTCTGACCACAAACACCGATCGTTTCACCCTCAACAATCGTCAGCTCAAAGGGTCAAACCTCAAGTCGTTTCTTTTCATTGTGCAAGGCTCTCTTCATCTGCTGTCTCTACCTAACAAGCCTTTGAACATTCGCTCTGAGCACCCCCGAGACCCTTCCCCGCATTCGCAAAATTTCCCAGGCACCGCCCGTTGCAGCTGCACACGGCACGGCAGAGTACTTGGTTCAGCTTCAGCTGAGTCGCAGTCTTCACACTCTCTTGTTGTCCTCGCCATCAACAGTTGAAGCTCTGTAGAGCACACCAACACTCGCTATGGTGTCGGCCGGTCGAATTTGCTGTATCACAGCACCCTTTCTGTTATCGGTTGCGGTACTTATCTGCGTGGTCCTCGTCTTCCTTGCGGGCATCTACGACCGCAACAAGACGCTCAATGACTTATACTTTCTAAAGGTATGTTTTTTCACCTCGAACTAAACACACATTCGACGACGGCAACTAATGGTATGTACAGGTCGACCTGACCAACCTCACATTAACGTTGGGCGACGTCTCGAGTGGCAATAACTCGATCTTAGAAGGGGCACTGCAACAGGCGAAAGAAACACTAGGGATGAATGACTACTATACCATCTATCTGCGCAGCTACTGCCACTGGAATAGCAATCAAGACACGTACGCCAACTGCACGGATCCCCAGGCATATTTCTGGTTCAACCCGATCAAGGTCTGGCATCTAAACGATACTGGCGTCCCCGTGGACGATTTCCTGCCCAAAGAGTTCCGCACGGGGCTGGACGCATACAAGGCCGCATCCAAGGCCATCTTCTACCTGTACGCAGGATCACTAGGCGCGGCTGCCATCACCATCCTGGTGGGTATCTCTGCCATCTTCTCACGCTGGGGATCCTTCTTCACCACCTTCTGCGCCACGGCCATGTGGATTTTGTTGGTGGCCGCCTCCGTCACCGTCACCGTGGTCTACTCCCTCGTACGGACCGCCCTTAACAACACCCTCAAGGATGACTACGGCATCGATTCCACTCTAGGCACTCGCGTCCTCGGCACCACCTGGCTCGGCGCCGCCTTTGCCCTTGCCGCTGGCTTCTTCTGGTTCTTCTCCGTCTGCTGCTGCAGCGGCCGCTCCCCTTACAATAGCTCCGACAAAGAAGCTCGTCGTACCCGCGCCGAAAAGGGTCCTTACACCTACGAGCGAGTCGGCAGTCCCTATCTTGGTCCTACCAACCAACAAAGCGTCCCTCTGACCGATTTCGGTCCCGGGAATGCCTATCCCGCCCAGAGGGGTACCGCATACGAACCTTTCAGACCTCAACAGGTATGATCGTGATGATTGGTGATGGAACATCTCTTCACCATGTTCTCCTCAAGGCTCTTTGCTGGCTGGACGAGGCGATGCATCTGTCTATGCACGCCCGCCTTAACGTTTCTGGTTGGGTTTTCTATTTGAATTGGCGTTATTTTCTATTGGATGAGACATGAGGATGTACAAGGCGCAAGAAAATCCGACGACAGGGTACAATTAGCGTGATATCTGGTTGAGAAATGAAACACCACAAATGATCTCAGGATAGAAACCGACAATGCATACATAGAAAGCGATTTGGTAACAACCTGAATCAGAATTGTGACTTTTCTATACACTACTGACCATGCCCACTTTATTCCGTGACTCCTCTCCACCCTCCACGTGGTTTATATCCAATCAGGCCCTCGTCCTTGGCCACATCTGCTGCCATCCTGCCCGTCAAGACGCTTGTTTCATGATCTCTGCCCAGCACGTGGAATCGCTCAAACCCAGTCATGGATCCATCTTCCTGCTGTCCTCGCTCCCAGCTAACCGTTCCAGTTTGCTTGGACCTCACTGGACAAAACCCGCTGGCTAGTCGATCCATGGATAAATACCACTTACGTTGATGAATGGACTGGAATGTGTTGTTTGCTCCGGGGTATGCATTTTCGAGACGGGTTTGTTCATCAGAAGACAACGCTGGTGCTGGTGCTGGTGCTGGTGCTGGTGCTGGTGCTGGTGCTGGTGCTGGTGCTGGTGCTGGAGCTGGTGCTGGAGCATCTTCTTCTTTTGTCAATTTTGCGGTGCTAGGTTTTGCACGTTTGGATAGAGGTGGAGAAGCGGCGCGATGAAGAGACGAAACGCTGCGCTTGAGTCGAGGCAGCGCCGAGGTATCGTCATTGGAAGATTTTTGTTCCCAAGACTCTTCTTGGTCGGAAGACGTTGCGCTTGAGTCTGATGTCTTGACCTGTGCTGGTCGTCTTCGTCGTCGTCTAAAAGACGGTGCCTTGGGCTGTTCCTCGCGGTTATTTTCACGTGTCAGTCGTAGGCTGATAGTGTACCCGGGCGGGAGTTTCGTCCCATGAAGACGTAGCTTTATCTTGCGTGCTTGGAACGCACGATATAGCTTCTGTGGTTCCGATTCAACATTCTCGGAGGGTATCAAGGATCCAGCATCCAAATCCGACTCTGAATCGTCTGTCTCATTGCTGGAAGTCTTCGAAGGATAATATGGAAGGACGGAATATTCTCCCGTGTCCCATAAAAGCATTGTACCAGTGTCATAGGAAGCAGTCTCAATGAGGTGATTCCAAAGGTTGTGGACGCGGGTTTCGGTGGCGTTGCGGTTCAATCGTCGACTATTAGGATCGCCAGGGAGACCATACATGATGGCGAAGCTGATGGAACTGGTAGCATTGCATTGCAAACGCAGATCGTAATGCGTTCCGGCAACGGGGTGGTCATGTTGATGCACCACAAAATGATGACCACGATCAGTGAGGTTTCTTTGGTAAAGGTCTAGCCATGCTTGATGTGATATCCGGGGCTGGTTGATCACATTGGGAAGGCGTGCAGCAGAGAGCTTTGTCGAGAAGAATGTGACATGATCGTCAATAGAAACTTGACCGGCTTCTACGGCGGCTGTGGATGGCTTAGTCGAGGTGTGATCTGAGTGACCGGTGGTCGTGGTGATGGTTGCATGATTTGACCTGCGGCGGGGAACGCTAGGCGGCGAGACTGACCGTTGAAGGGATGACGGAGGATTGATGTGCCAGGATTTGTTCTCGGACTTGACAAATGGATTGTCGACAATAGTTGCAGGACTAGAGGAGGACATTCATTGGAGAATTGGGGCCGCAGCAGAAGTTGTAGTGATTCTGATTCTGATTCTGATTCACCTTTTGGTCATATTTTCTCAAGGTGGCATTCGAATTCCGTGCAATATGGGAACCGAGGGGCGCCTGGTGCAACAGGCGGTTGAGAATTGGTGGGGAAATTTCCGATTGGGGGAGAATTGGGAGGGAAGGTACGTCAGAGGACAGGGGAAGAAGAAAGAACGCTTTGAACTGGATTTGCAAAGGATGACTAAAGCGTGTCTTTCCTACAGGCTGACCTTTAAGCTGCAGCTCCTTGCGCGGGACTGCCCCTCGTGTGCCTTTTTTCATCCACCCATCGTCTCCCATTCCGCGTCTAGAGTTCTGCATTTGACATCGCTTACTCAAACTCACGTTTGACCTGTTTACCATTTCAGTTCATTTCTGTAATAAAGTCAATCCACCATGCCCAGGTCATTCTAGATTTCTCTCCCATGATCCAACACCAAAGGTCTAAGTCTATAAAGCATTCTTGTTCGCCCCATGTTGTCTAACTGGTCTTCTTCCAAGTCCACACTCATCACAGCAATAATAACCGCCTTATTAGCAGCAATTTCAGCTATATACATGCACAGCAGCAACAATATCAACGCCAACACTCAACAGCCTTCTATGAAAGCAACAAACATTCTCAAATCCACAATGTCCAGCCTTTCGCACGCAAAGATTGTCGCCCGTCCCTCCAAGACGAGAGGCGCGGCCAACCATGGCTGGCTTGACACCAAACACTCTTTTTCTTTTGCCGGGTGGTACGATCCTAAATATACTCAGTTTGGCTCCCTGAGAGTACTCAACGAAGATCGTGTCCAGGCAGGACAAGGATTTCCAACCCACTTTCACCAAAATGCCGAAATCTTTTCCTACGTCCTCAGTGGAGAATTGACGCATCGCGACTCGATGCAAAAGAAGGGCCAAGAATCTGACGACAAAGACAAGTTCTTCCGACTTCGTCGTGGAGATGTCCAGTTTACCACTGGTGGGCGCGGAATCTCCCACAGTGAATACAACGAGCATAAGAAGGACTGGGTCCACTTCTTGCAGATTTGGGCCTTGCCATGGAAGAGAAACCTTCCACCCGCGTACCATACCACCACATTCGCCGAAGAAGACAAGCGAAAGGGCTTTGTCACCATCATCACTCCTCTGAAAGCCGGTCCCAATGCAACCTTGGAGGAGGAAAAGGCGGCCGTGCCTACGCACGAAGGAACCATTCCCATCCATGCCGACCTTGTTTTTAGTGCAGGAATCATTCCTACAGGAGAAGCCTTTACTTATAACGTCGGTGCTGGAGACGCTGTCTCGTCAAAGACGGGACGAAATGTATACATCCACTTGCCAGAAACAAAAGGTGGCAAGGCCACTATCCGGCTCGATGGCCGAGACGATGCGATCCTGAAAGAAGGTGACGCAGCGTATGTCACTCAGGTCAACGCTGCAGATGCCTTGAAAGTGGAGAACATTGGCGACGTCGAGGCTGAGGTGGTTGTCATTGACTCGGAGTAATCTCGTCACGCCAGCAGGGAAATTTGTCTAGGATAATGGCATGGCGTTTTGAGTGTACAATAGCCAATTTATGAGCGGGACCTATGGGTATTTGATTTAGAATATATAAGTTTTATCCTCAATGTCCATTGCTCCATGAGAGAAGCTTGATCTTGTTCAATTGTCTGTGTTTTATGAACGAAAGCAGGAACTTTCAGTCCAGCGCTAGAGCGTTCTTTCCTTTAAAAGAGGACTGGCGTCAAGAGCTGTTTACGTGTAGAGAGCGTGAAATATAAAATATAAAATGATCAGACCCACCATCACTCAACTGTAAATGTGTCTCGACCTTTTTGAGATAGACCTGGAAAGGCCCATAACAAGGATTCTCGGTTGCTCGCAGAACTGGGGTTTCCAATGGAATGCAGGCACTACCGAGTATGTACAGATCAAGTCAGAAGTGCGAGTTCACACGTGCAAGCAAGTGGTTCGGGGTGGTTTGGGATGGTTTGGTCCAATCATCTTGGGGGCATGTCTCAGGGAATCAGGCACCAATGACTCACGTCGAACCTTACCTCGCACCTCCAAATTCCAACATCTCCGCATAACCAAACGCATAGTGGCATGTTTGTGATTTTGCAGCTGTAGACTGTAACCATAGAAGCTTTGACTGAACCCGCTTATAGATCCGCCTATCTCTCTACTCGGCCAATCGGTCGTTTCATGCCCGCCACAATGGATCGTCAATTCTTTTATTTCATCTTTCATTGTATGTATGCAGTCCAGTCTACACCAAGGTCACTTCACACCTCGTCAAGCCCCCATGTCGGTCGTTGACTCATACGATCTCTACGTATCTCAAATGTAACTGCACCCACGCCGATCGCCGTTGACAGGAGGTAGTAAGTCAGCTATTGCCTCTCTAAGTGAAGCCATAAGTTGGCATCCTGTTGTCGCTCACCGAGTCTTTCTCTCCTCTCCTTCCTGTCGACAATTTCGGATTGCCCATGTCTTAAACAGCTCTCACGAATCGGTTTTTCCAGTGAGACCAAGTATTTTCCGCCCATCACCCTGATCATGCTCCCAGACACAACCCTCTCAATCGCCATCTCTATTGCTGGTCTTTCAATCGTCGGCCTCTTATCTATTCCAGCTCTCTATCAGAATCTCGATCGCCTCCGAGCTACAAAGGCCCGCTATCAAGAGGTCTCGGACCTCTACGAAGACCAAGATGGCGAAGCTACAGAGCAATCCACCCAAGCTTACTCAGATTTCCTCCCTCGGTGGACCTTGATCCTCTTCTCATCTGTGGCTTCCATCGATGCCCTTGTCACCGCCATTCTCACCACCACCCGCCCCCATGTCTCGTTGATTTTGGAGCAATGGTTGCAATTCGGATCCTGGGTACCGCCTACCATTCTACTCCTGCCTCTCTATCTCACTAACCACTTCTAGCTACTCGTACTGTTTCAAGCAGTCACCATCTTCACCACTCCTTCCTCGGTCAAGCGTTATGACCTCGGTATTTGCGCTGGCTTGTCTACGCTGCTCCTTGCTTTGGCCATCGCCACTGAGAATGTATCTCTTTGGCGGTCCAGCATCAACCCACTCCCTCCAAATCTTCATCTCACTCTCTCTCTTGTACAATTCATCTCCGGCATCATACTGAGCTTCGCGGCCTTCTTGATTCCTCGCCGACCAGATGTCTACTTTAACGATACCGTCGTTGATCGCCAAAACACCACCTCTTTCCTCAGCTTCATCACCTTCTCCTGGGCTGCTCCTATCTTGGCATATGCCGTCAAGCATCGTGGGTTGGACTATAGTGATTTGGCGGAAGTTCCCTACGAAGCACGTTCTCGGACCTTACGACAACAATTCGATGCTGTCAAGAAACAAACCTCCCTCTGGAAAACCCTTTTCTTCGCACATAAGTGGACCTTCATCTCCCAATGGACACTGCAGACCATCACCTCAATCACCCAATTTCTCCCCCAAGTTGCCTTATTCTACATTCTGAAGACACTAGAAGCAAGAGACAAAGGTCAAGACGTGGGCCTACAGGCCTGGCTCCTAGTAATTGCCCTTGGTGCTTCGAACACCATATCTTCCTGGCTCGAGGCTCGCCTATTTTACATCATATTCATGAAACTTGGCGTTCCAATATATGAACAGCTTTCAGCGGTTGTTTTTGGAAAGGCCTTGAGGCGGAAGGACGTCAAAGGCGCCAGCAAAAAGAAGACAGATGATGATGACGAAACCGTCTCCGATACCACCCTCCTCAATGGAGAGACCGTGGTCAACAAAGACGTAGGCAAACACGCCGAAACTAGCGCTCCCCCTGCCGATGATGGCGAAGATGAGGACTTTCAGAAATCAAAACAGAGTACCATCAATCTCGTCGGCGTGGATTCGAAACGAATTGCCGACTTTGCCACATATCACGACATCTTTCTCGGTTCGGTAGTCAAAATTTTGGTCTCGTTCACCTTTTTGATCAAGCTGATTGGACCCATTCCGCTCCTCGCCGGTCTAGCAGCACCCATTCTAATCACCCCCATCAACGTCTTCACAGCTCGCCGTTATGGCGTTGCCCAAGATGATCTCATGAAGTATCGAGACCAAAAGATGGCCGTTGTCACTGAAGCCCTTCAAGGCATCCGTCAGATCAAGTTCAGCGCCCTCGAACGTAATTGGTACGAAAAGCTCCTCGAAACCCGGAGAAAGGAGCTCAAGACACAGTGGAAAGTTTTCAAGTATGACACCACCCTCATTAGTATCTGGATCTTCGGCCCCGTGGTTCTTGCCGCCGTTGCGTTGACAACATACGCAATCATAAACAAGGAATTGACCGCGTCAGTCGCCTTTACCACCATCTCCGTTTTTGAATCCATCGAGATGACGATGGCCATCATTCCTGAGATGGTGACTGACCTACTCGATGCCATTGTGTCAGCAAAAAGAATCCAAGACTATTTGGACGCCCCAGAGCGGAAGCGTTACACGGCTCCAGGCGACAACATTGCCTTTCGCGACGCCACAATAGCATGGCCCTTTGACGATACTGATGATGCCAAGACAGAAACAAATCAGTTTACCTTGAATGGAATTGATCTGGAGTTCCCAGCAAAGCAGTTGAGTGTCATTTCAGGTAGAACGGGGTCGGGAAAGAGCTTGCTCCTTGCTTCGATCATTGGAGAAGCTGAGATATTGAACGGCACTCTTCAAGTCCCCCGCGAGAAACCTGCCGAGGAGCGTTTTGATGCCTCTGCAAACAAGGGAAATTGGTATCTTGACACTTCAATTGCGTTTGTTGCGCAGATCCCCTGGATTGAAAATGCCACCATTCGAGACAACATTCTTTTTGGCCTGCCACATGATGAGAGCAGGTATCAGGATGTTTTGAGCGCGTGTGCTTTGAGGAAGGACTTGGAAATTCTTTCCGATGGTGACCTCACTGACATTGGCGCCAATGGTATCAATTTGAGTGGAGGTCAGAAATGGCGCGTCTCGTTCGCCAGAGCCTTGTATTCAAGAGCTGGAATTCTTGTCTTGGACGACATATTCTCAGCCGTGGATGCACACGTCGGTCGACACCTATTCGAGGAGGCTTTGACTGGTGAACTCGGCAAAGGTCGCACTCGAATTCTGGTCACGCATCATGTCGCACTTACTCTTCAGAGAACCGACTATAGCGTGCTCCTTGCCAACGGAGAGGTCCAGCTAGCCGGCAAGACCGACGAGTTGCGAAAGACGGGCGAGATAAAGGCGATTCTTGCACAAGACATTGAAGAACAACACAAGGAGGAAGAGAAAGAAGCCGGGCACGAAACCGCCTTGACGATTGACGATGGCGGTGGTCTGTCAAAACTACTTTCTAATCAATCTCGCAGATCGCGGAGAAAATCTGCTTTGAGTGATGCCGGCGAAGATTTGGCTCGTCGGCGATCTCGTGCTGATGCTGATGACGGAAAGCGAAACAACCCGCCGAAGAAGTTCACCGAAGACGAATCTCGAGCGACTGGTGCCATCAAACTTCATCTTTATGCCACCTACATTCGAGCATGTGGTGGGTTTGGGTACTGGGCTTTCATCATCTTTTGTTTCGCAGTTTGGATCGCCTCGTACCTTGCCAGGTCCTACTGGATCAGCGTCTGGACAAGATCGTATTCCACCGAATCAAGCCTCCAACTCAGCCTTGTGCAACAATCCCTGGGCGCCTATCACCACGTTCAATCCAGGCTGCGAACAACGGAACTCGATCCCAACCTCAAATACTACCTGGGTGTGTACCTCGGAATCTCGCTTGCTAATTGGGTGTTGGGCACTTTCAAGTACTTCTTTGTTTACCTGGCTTCCATTCGAGCGTCAAAAGTACTCTTCGAAAATTTGGCTTTCGCTGTCCTTCGGGCGCCTCTTCGCTGGCTCGATACCGTTCCTTTGGGACGCATTCTCAACCGATTCACCGCTGACTTCAACATGCTCGACTCCCGCATCGCTTCCGATTTGTCGTTTGGAATCCACAATCTGATGCACGTCTTTACAGTTGTGATTGCCGGCCTCGCAGTCTCGGGGTTTATGATCTTCCCGGTTGTGGCGTTACTGTCTATTTGTGCGTGGTATGCCCTACGTTATCTTGCCGGCGCCAGAGAAGTCAAACGACTGGAAAGCAATGCCAAATCACCTGTGTTCGAACTATTTGGCTCGGTCCTTGTGGGAATTGGAACCATTCGTGCCTTTGACAAAGCCGACGCATACTTGGAGAAGATGTACCAGAATATTGACAGGCACTGTCGTGCGTACTGGCACCTATGGCTCTTCAACCGATGGATGGGCTGGCGACTGAACATGGTCGGTTCCGTCTTTGTGACCATAACAGCTGCTCTGATTGTGAGCCTTATGCAGATTGACGCTTCCTTGGCAGGCTTCGCGCTGAGCTTTGCTCTTGGTCTGTCTGATTCTGTCATCTGGTTCTTGCGTCAGTACTCCAACGTTGAACTTGACATGAACGCCACAGAACGCATTGTCGAATACAGCAACATCGCCATTGAAGACCAAGGTGGTAACGATGCACCAGCAGCCTGGCCAACAGAAGGTAGACTTGAGGTCAATGATCTTGTGGTGAGCTACGCTCCCGATCTCGATCCTGTGTTGAGAGGCGTAACCTTCAACGTCTCACGCAACCAGAGAATTGGTGTTGTGGGTCGAACAGGTGCTGGCAAATCCTCGCTGACACTGGCGCTGTTCCGTTTCCTCGAAGCTCGATCTGGAAGTATTCACATTGACGGGGTGGATATTTCCAAGATCAAGCTCTACGACCTCCGATCCAGGTTGGCAATCATCCCTCAAGATCCAGTGTTGTTTTCCGGCAGCGTCCGCAGTAATCTGGACGCGTTCAATGAACACACCGACCCGGAACTTCGTGAAGCTCTCGCTCGTGTCCACCTGATAAGCTCAGCGACGGCCACCAGCTCCGTGCAGGCATCTGGCAGTGCAACGCCCGTGCCGGCGAGTGAAGACAACGCCGCCTCTGCGAACATCAACATCTTCAAATCGCTGAGTTCCAAGATAACGGAGGGTGGTCTCAACCTCAGCCAGGGCCAACGCCAACTACTCTGCCTTGCGCGGGCGATTGTATCACGGCCGAAGATCATGGTTCTGGACGAAGCGACGTCGGCAGTCGATATGGAGACTGATGCGCTCATCCAACGCAGTATCCGTGAAGAATTCACGGACAGTACCTTGATTGTCATTGCTCATCGTCTGAGCACGATTGCCGACTTTGACAAGATCCTCGTTCTAGGGGAGGGCAAGGTAATCGAGTTCGACGAGCCCAAAGCTCTCATGCAGAAGGCGGGTGGTGCTTTTAGAGAAATGGTGGAAAGTACAGGCGAGCGGGCGGAACTCGAGAAAATCATCTTTTCCGAATCTGAGCGACGAATTTGAGAAACTAGGAGCATAAGCGCTGTTTGAATATAACAAAAGTTTTGATTAAGACGCAAAACTTCATCATGAAGAAGCTTAAAGTGTGATTGGGAATGTGTCACGGCCGTCTTAGCTGACAACTCGTGCTCTCTAGACGTGAAAGGCATTTCGCTGGTATATTCTGTTGTAGATGATGGGTCGTGGAGCCGTATGGGGCCTTTGTTAATTGCGCTGCGGCAAAAGAATCTTCGACCCTTGGTCATCAAGCGACGTCTCCAAAGCCTTCATGGCAATATGCCACCCTCGTGTATACATGAGTTCATCCTCCTGATCGTGTTGATATGATATTCGATCTGAACCATAGCATGTTTCAGATTGAAGGTTTCAAGTGGTGCCTTTATAGCGATTGTGCCTCGGGGTCGGAATCAGTATTTGGATTTTCAGACGCCGAGTTACTGTCATTGTCATAATTCAGTCTTGCTGGTAAGGGCCTCACGTCTTTTGACCCCGGCATTTTTCGATGGTTCAAAGAAACCCTCCAGTTCCAAGTACTCGGCGGCGAAAGCGGAAGTGAGGAGGGCCCAGTCTTCAACGGTGGGAATATCAAGATGCTCCCCATCATCTTCAATGCGGTGCCACACTGACGGGAACCGTGCCGGGATGAGGTGGAGTACCTGGACACCGCGAGCAATGAAGGGGATGTGGTCGTCTTGCATCATGTAGCTGTTGAACCGATCTGTTTCCTTCTTGGCCTTGTCTGGTAACCAGATGCGCTTGGAGTCGCTCTTGAACATGCCTAGCTTGCGTAATCGTTCCTCCATTTCAGCCATGTGAACATACGACCAGTGGGAACTATGTTGCCAGGAGGGGATTTTGAGATCTTCAGGCGACCCGAGGAGATCGAGCAGGACGAACAACTCGATGGAGTCGAGGTAGTTGGAGTAGATGCTCGTGGCAGGATGCATGGTGTTCTCCCACTCCTCGGCTAGGGATCGCGCTCCGTATATACTATCCGTGGCCGTCCAACTTTTGAAAGCCTCTTCTCCATCAAGGAACAGCACCTGGATGCCTTTGTCTTCTTCGAAATCAAAGTCTAGGTCTTGCTGCGCCTGCATAGCGCCCCATTTGGCGGTGAGGGCTGTATCGATGGACTTGATGGCATGCATGATCATGGCACATGGGGCCGCGGAATCGGTTGCGCCAATGAATCCATCCGGAGAGTATTTTGAATCATAATGTGCAACCAAGGTCAATCTTCCCACGTTTCCGGACTTTGCCCAGGGAGGATCTCGGACGGCTATTAGGTTGACAAAGGGAACCTCTGTGTCGCCGTGAACCGGGGTTTTGGAGGTCGAGTTCTGGAATGTCAAGGACCAGTCTGGTAGACTGTTGTGGAAGAAGTCGACAAAATGTCGTTGGACTTTGAGCGACCCAGAGGTGCCGGGGACTCGGGGAACTAGTATAGGAGCGAGGAGATTGCCGGTTCGTATGTCGAAGTCGGCGGTGTCAGGGCGAGGGAGTAGATTCAGTAGAGTGTCATCGGAGAGTGGTTTGTATGCATTGACGATCAAGGGTGCGAGGACTGTCGACAGACCTGCAAGCACCAGCCCCCGCATCGTGGGCAGACAAGTACTTTTGATATCAAGAGGGATACATGGGAAAGGGTGTCTTGCGGTAGACTATAAGACAGGGTATAGGAGAGGATGAGCTACTCCCTTAAAGTTGCATTGCACTCACCGTTGAGAAGATGATGGTGTGGCACGCTGAGTGGTGAAACGGGAGAGGAGACGTGGTTCGGTTACTTTATATTGCTGTCAGACGAGATTAAGTGCCAAAAATAGCCGTGACGATATCTTTTTCTCGCTACATCTACTCGTCAGACCATGTCATTTGCCGATCATGGTTCTCGGTGTAGTTTCCCCGGATTTCCTTCGACGACATCTCCAAAAACGAATTGGAGCAGGCGCGACAGACAACATTTTTGGTTTTGGGAAGGAGAGATCGACAGACTACGACCAAAAGAAACCAGAGATTGGAATCCTTCGACTGAGCCTTCGACATTCCTTTCTCGAAGCTAGGCTGTCCGATCGACCTCAATTCGGCCAAAGCTGCAGACATACTGATGGCCAACCTCCCAACCGCATTGCTCGTTCAAGTCCGGGTGGCATTTGCGACCTGCTCGAGACAGCACGCAGTGTCGCGAAAGTCGCAATTCAGCACCCTCCGACCCCTTTTCCGAAAGGCACCTGAGAAGCCTAAGACGCCGAAAAGCGTTTCAATACAAGTTGCCCACCACCGGGCGCAACTACAGAAGGAACAAGAGAAAGAGAAGGAGCGGCAGGCGACATCATCGCAGCGTACACATGATACAAAGGAGTTGGTTCCTCGCTCCAAGGAAGACACTTCTGTCAGTACAGAGCGGAAGTTCCAGGTGCCTTTGAAGGTCATCCCAAAGGCTCAGATTGCGCCCAACGTTAGTCTGTCACCTAGAGAACGACTTCAACTTGAAGAATTAACGCGGAGAACTCCTCGACCAGCTGAACCAACAGGTGAACGACCAAAGTATTCATCCGTCAAGGAAGCAGCGCTGACCTTGACAGTCTACAAAAAGAAGATCCGAATTTATAGCGCAGGGTACCCCCGCATATACGGTGTTTTGTTTGTCAAATTCACCTTCACTTTGATTCTGTCCGTCGTGACATTCGTCGTGGTGCCAGCTCAATGGTTCGGTGATGTTCCTGTGTGGGTCACCGCTGGCTGTATGATCTCCTTGCCCTGAGTAGAGGTACTCTCGCTGACCAGTCTAGTTTGGCTCGCATGGTTTCTTCCGGCATGCTATGTCCATTGGTATTTGAGAGGTTTTGTCAGCGAAATCTTCCTTCGCCTTCCTCCTAAAGCTCAGTTGACCCCGAAGGCTACCATGGAATACGCCAAAAGTTTACCAAATGACTCGGTCCTGGAGCTGACGTTCATGAGGTGGACCATGCTACCCTCAACCGTGTCAATGAAGCTGGGCCAACTCCAACCCCTATCTAGCAGATTTCAACTTGCCAATTTCGGTGTTGCAGGGCCTTTGGACAATCCTGGTACCTTCTTGCGCCCGACTCCTAAAGTCTTCTATGTTCGTCCTCGGTCGGCTGAGGGAATGGCTGTCAAAGACACAATTCCTGGAATCTGGCCCAAGGTCTTTGCTAGACTGACACAAAAAGACAGCGCCACTAGATGGCAATGAACAATCACATGTCAAATTGACTTGAATATGAACTGGAATTGCCTGATTTTCTGAACCTATACGTTTCTGATCTTAATTTCGACCTTCATTCTACGTCGATCTATACCCTCCAACCTCCTCTTTATCCACTACTCGTATAACTTCCCTCAACATCGCCTGCGTTGAAAGCAACCTTCTTCCATCGTTGTCTACACTCATTCTGGCCCACAATTCTCTTGCAATAAGCCCGCTTTGCAGCCAATTCCGTCAAGATGGCCGACTCAGCCCAATCCAAATCTGTACTTGATTTGACCCCCCGTGAGCAGGAGGTTGTGATCTACGCTATGCTCAATCTCAAATGTGGAGAGGACTTTCAGGTAAGCCACGATTAACTCCCTAGGTCTCGTATCTTCTCGTATCAACTGACTCATACTGACTGATCAGGTTGACAATGCTGCACTTGCCAAAGCCCTCGGACTGAAGAATGCTGCTAGCGCTGCGACCTGCTGGTGCAACGTAAAGAAGAAGCTCTTTGCAAACAAGAACAACTCTGTCGGTGCTGGTGATTCTGGCGCGGTCTCTGCCACACCAACCAAAGCAAAGACTCCACGTGCCAAACCGACACCCAAATCCAAGAAAGGTGCCATATCTGAACCTACAGTTGAACAGTCTGGCGACTCTGACGAGAATAATGATGCTAAGCCAACCTCTCCAGCCGGTAAGGATGCCCGTTTCTTGGAATGGAATATTTACTGATCTATATTGACATATAGGCGAAGAGCCACCAGCTACCCCTACAGCCCAAGCCAAAGCAGCTGCAACCAAGAAACGAGGTCGTAAGACCAAGGCAGAAAAAGCAGCTGAAGCTGCCGCAGCGCTGGAAACTACAGACGACGCCGCAAGCAACACACAGGCCCAGGATGATGATGACGACGAAGCTGAGAAGCAGCCGCCTGCCAAAAAGCAGCGCAAGGCTCCGCTGAAAAAGCCAGTCCCACAGCCAGATGAAGAGACCATTGAAGGAGAAGACGCTGATGCCAATGCCAATGCTAATGCCAGCGCTTCTTCTGTTGCAAAGCCCAAGGCTGTCAGAAAACCTCGCAAGGCACCCACTAAGAAGTCCACCCTGAGCGAAGTTACTGTCATCGAAGACGATGATGATGGAGAGGCTGCAGATGTTCAACTCACCTCTGCCACCGCTACAGGCAGCCAAGCCGTCGAGGAAATAGTAGAGACTGAGCTCATGTCACTTGCTGCCCAAGCCATCATCGCAGGCGAGAAGCATTCCGTCTCTGCGGAGGAGTAAGTCCTGACCCCATCTTACGAATGGAACCTCCTTTCAAGACATCTCCAGACGCATTAACTGACCACATCTCGCATAGTCCTGAGGCATGGACCCACACAGCAGTCGTTGTCGCTGCATCGTGTGGAAATACCTCTGATGCCGACACCATCGTGGTCAACTGACTTGATTTGTTGTTTCTGAGCGTGCTGCTGCTGGAGCAGAGCAGAGCAGAGATTTTCTTTCCGAAATCGACTCCTTGCAAGCGCAAGCCAAAGATAAGACAACAAATACATTGCTCACCAAAGCCCAACCAAACATCAACAGCACAGCATGACAAACTCGAGCAATACACGAAATCCTCCACTCTTTTTATTCCACGGCATCTTTGTCAAACCGTCAGCCGTCAGCCGTCAGCCAGCACTGGAGCAAAAGTTGGTCGTGAGACATAGATAACTATTGAAAACACAAAAATGGGGACCTTGAGCATCGATCGCTCTTGGCTAGATCAGACGATTGAGCAATGGCGCGTGGGCAACGGTTTCCTTGTTGGATGAGAAACTCAAGGCGGACGGCACGGCAAAGGAGCGTCTTGGAGACACGCAAATTGCGATTTTCAATGCTTGCTTGGTAGCTTGAAAAGCCCATCTTGCTCTGAGGCAGGTTGATACAATACTAGGTACTTACTATGCTTTTCAATCCACTTTCCTGCTTTCTTTCTTTTTCTTCGTCTTCTTCGTAGATCAATGTATGAGAATGGTTTCTGGCGCTCTGTAGGCGACTGAGGATTAGATGCAGCTGCTACTCGCTACGTATATTTCAAGTATTGTAATTCAATAGACCGAGACTGTATTATTGTCAAAGCATTGCAACTCCCCTCTCCCCACAATCCTGGTACGCAAATTATCTCTACATAAATATATCTCGGATATCTACAATGCCTCGATAGATCGTACAAGGGCTTCGAGACCCATCTCACTTACCTCGCTCTCCTTCTCCTTGCTGTCCTTCAGGATCCATGCAAGGTCGCTCAAAAGTCCCAGTGGGATCTCCTTCTCTTGTTGCTCCTGTCCAACTTGACTGCTTGTCACCGCCTGTCCTTTCAATTTTCTCGAGATCACGCTTGTGTGCTCCCATTCTCGAGCCGCCTCTTCTGCCAACTCAACGACTGCATCACTGATGCCGCACATACTTGCACAGTGCATTCCAAAACTTCCTTCTGCTGTTCCTTCTTCGAGCTTGTACAAGAAGGTGACTCGCCTGGCTTCGTCGTCAACGAGGATCTTCATCCTCTTGGGGCTGATCTCGGGATGGTGTCGGAACTCCGCCGAAAGAGAGTGGTAATGGGTTGCAAAGTACCCAAGACAGCCAATGTGAGAGGCGAGGTGATGCAGCACCGCTTGTGCAACAGCTACGCCATCGTGTGATGACGTTCCTCGGCCAAGCTCATCGAGAATAACTAGGGATCGAGGTGTAGCTTCGGAGAGGATCTTCTTGGTCTCGGCCAGCTCGACAAAGAACGTGGATTGAGCAGCAAATATGTGATCTTGTGCACCGAGACGGGACATTATCCGATCAAAAGGTGTCAAGCGAGCAGACTGGCATGGGAGATGGCACCCAATTTGAGCCATGATGACTGCGATACATGTCATACGGAGGACAGTAGATTTACCAGCAGCATTAGCTCCTGTGAGAAGGGTAATGTTGGAGTTCTTGCCACCGAGAACAATATCGTTTGGTATAAAGTCGTCAACGTTGGTCAAAAGGCATGGATGGCGCAATTCAACCAATTCGAGAGTGGAGCGGTCGTCGTCGACAAATTCGGGTCGGCAGCTGGGAAAGCCAAGGCCAGCACTGGCTTTAGCAAGAGAGATCAGACAATCAAGCTGAGCGATGATCTTGACGGCCGCGAGCCAGATCTCATAGTTTTCGTCGAAACGGGCGAAGAAGCGGCCTGCTACTTCCTTGCTGACCTGCGTATGACGTTCCTGTGCCTCTTGGAGCTGCCGGACGAGCTGTTTCAATTCCGGAAAGTAGTATCGCTTGACTGCCTGTGTGGCAGACATCTGGTCCCAGTTCTTCGGGATGTTTTTGACCTTCACCGGAACTTCCAGCTGCATGATTTCTTTGCCATTGTCACGATAACAGATGGCACTGGATCCGAGCTTCTTCCTCCAGACTTGGAGCAGATCCGCAAATTGTCCCTTGATATTGGTGATTGTATCTTGAGAATTGTCAAAATCCTGCTCAATGCCACGCTCTGGCACCAAAAGGCCCTCGTCCTTTGCCTTTTCACGGTCAAAAGCGCTCATCCAATACTCCAAGCGTGATTGCAAGTCAGGCATAGCCGAGATCAGCTGACCTATGACACCTTCAGAGTCGGACGGGTTTCCAGAACCGGATTTGAGCAAGGAGATTGTGTGATCAATTTGTTCAAATCCATCCAAGACTTTGACAAATTCTTGGACACGACAAGTTCCGGCATGAACTCGCGAGATGAGGCGCTCAAGATCTGGCATCTTTGCCATTTGTGAAGTAAAGCGATCGCGTACTTTGCTGTCGGCATTCAGCGACTCTACCGCATCAAGCCGTGCGTTGATCTTTTTGGTGTCCATGAGGGGATGGCAAACCCACTGCTTGAACATACGCTTGCCAAATGGTGTGATGCATCGGTTGAGAAGCTGGAACAAAGTGCCTTCACTGCTGCCATCGTAGGAATTGGCAAATATTTCCAGGTTGATCAAAGTCTGTCCATCCAGCACCAAGCTCGAAGCTTTGCGAATGGGATCGTACCAGATGAAATTACCCAAGCTGACCAATTCTCGTTCGATCTTCAAGGTCCTCAGATATTGAATGAGAGCTCCTAGGGCCGACATAAGATGATCCTTGTCCTTGGCCTGTGTAAGAACTTCTGGCCAATCTCCGGGGAAATACTCGCTGGCTTGGATCTCCTTCAACGTAATGTGGCCTTCCCAGAATTCTTTACCAGGCTTCAGGTAGTTCCAGATTGTGGTGAGGCCGGTGTTGTTCTTCAAGATACGGAGGGTTTTTGCCGAGACACCGCCTTTCTCTAGGATGATTTCTTGAGGGCGTGTCTGCGCGATAAAGGTCTCGAACTTTGTCATGTCGGCGTCATCGACAAACTGCGAGACGTTGAATTGGCCGGTGGCAGCATCGACAAATGCTATTCCAAAGACTGGGAGGTCGTCGACCTCGGATTCTTTGATGGCGACACAATAAGTTGACATGTCATCTTGCAACATGGTTCCGTCGACCAGAGTGCCTGCCGTTAGGACACAGGCAAGTTCCCGCTTGATGACCTTGTCTTCCTTGACCTTCTTTTTGCCAGCACCAGCGGACTCCTCATCTCGCTCTCGCATGTCTTTGCCCAGTGCAGTCTCCTTTTGGTCGACACGAGCGATCTTGTAACCCTTTGCAACAAACTGGTTCGCCCACATCTCAAGACTTGATTCCGGCACACCGACCATGCGCATGTTGACTCGGTCAGTGAGTTTGAGATCGAACAGCTGGTGGCCAATGGTGGCGTCCTTTTCATAGAGTTCATAGAATTTTCCCTTCTTGAAGAAGACAATTGTGTCCCAGAACTTCTGTTTGATCTCCCAATACTGCTTCTCGAAGGGGGAGAAGTTTGCAAATGCCATTGGAGGGACATACAACGTTCGAGGATCATAATCCGGGTGCCCTGGGGGATTTCGGTCCATGTCTCGAACATCTTCGAGCCAAGCATGTCGTTTCTCTGGTTCGGTCATGTGGGCTTTTTGCTTTTTGTTCCCGACCCCAGGTTTCTTCGAAGGTATGTTGGAAGACCTGGGTTGAAGAGGCATCGGGTTTTCAGGGTCGTAGGTCCACTGTAACGCAGAAGACGTCCCCCGGGAATCCAGGTCCATCTCCATGTCAACGATGGTTTCGTTGGCGGCCGGGGGAGTGAAATGAGATGAGGTGGTGGTGCGTGCAGCAGGTTTTGAAGGTCGCTTCCGTTTGGCGGGTCGAGCATCATCTTCAGAATCATCTGGCACAATGAAGTCGTCCATGTCTAACATGTATTAGACAGGGTAATTTGGCATCTGTGAGTAAGGAACGGTCAGCCTACCTTCTTCATCTAGCTCCTCGATATCATGCTGCTGGTAAGCATCCTCGTTGTCACTCTCGGACACTTTCCTCCTTTTGCTGGGGCGGGCACGACTGGCCGGGGTTGGGTTGAACACGTCGTCATTGTCGGTTCCTTCACTATCGGACTCGATATAGCGGACGGCTTTGTTCCTTGCCTGGTAAACAGATCAGCGTGTGGGACGAGTAGCGTGGCTAGCAATACGTACCCGTCGAGAAGGAGTCCCCCGCGCGGTCAATTCTTCCCCACCATTAGCCTGCCGTCCATCAGCAGAGACTGGCGAGGGCAGACCTTTGGGAGGCGAAGGAGATGATGGTCTGGCATCTTTGTCGTGCTCGTCTGGGTCAACTGCATCACTACTAGGTGCAGGCGTGAGAGAAGAGCTTGACCGCAATAGTGCTTGCTTCGAGTCTTTGACGGCAGAGAGTTCAGGAGTCGGTGCAGCCGGTGGCAGGACTGGGGAGGAAGCAGACGGGGTCCGTTGGAAGAAACCAAATAGAGTCTTTTGGCCGCCCGATGAGGTGCTCTTTTTGAGAGCAGGCGTCGAGACTGGAGTGGCCGCTGTCTTTTTGGCCATATTGAAACACCTTCTCTAGAGCACAACTATGCTACATTTGCACGCAGACTGCTGCTTTGAGGGTATGAATGCCACGTAGAGGACGAATGAGAGCGTGACAGGAAATGCTAGAGAAAAAGGGAGTTGAGTTGAGTTGAGTTGAGTTGAGGTGAAGAAGCAGTCTTGCAATCTCAAGTTTCACGGGGAAGGGACGAGTGAGTGATGCAATCGCGTGCCTGCCGTCGGCAACTTTCTTAGCGCGTCTCTCTGGACGCGTAAATTGATTTGCCCTGAGATGCTGAGATGCCATCGACGCCCCACCAAGTAAATGTGTAGACAGCATCAAACTTCAACGCTCTTCCACCATGTTCAAGTCACACTTATATTCAAGGAGAGGGACCTAATAGCAATTCGAGTGCAAAGGGGTGGACTTGTAATCATACACGACCTGGCTGCAGGTCTCTATGAACCAACTGTTGTACATCTATTCCGGCGACACAATCGCCATCTCTCATCTCCCCACGCTGGTGGCGTCAGGTGCAGGGACCTCAGATCCCGACCCATCGATTCCCTGCTCTTCTGTCTCCCAACCAGGACACGTCTGTCCAGAAGCGTGGTACTCGTCGTCAGGGATGATGTTGATGATCTTCATCTTCCACTTGCCAACCCGCAAAATCAACAGCTTCTCATCCATGACATACTTTTGATTGATTTCCCAGACATGTGTTTTGGCGGGTGTAAAGCTGAGTGCCTCGTCCATGCCTCCCTTGGCATCCGCCTTTGCTCCCATGTATAGACCCCGAGCATTGATGAGACGTTGGCCTTCTGCACGGCTCGAGACCAAGCCAGCCGACCACACCACACGACTCAACGGCTGCCCAATGACCAGGCTTCTGGGAAGTTGTATGGTGGTGTTTTGTTGGGTATCCCAGTTCGTGGGCTGTGCATGTTTATTCAAGAGAGGGTTGATGAAGGTCTGTTCGACCTGCCCGGCCTCCATCTCGGCCTTTTGGGACTTCTCTATCCCTTGCGCGATATCAGCAAGCGTAACTCCTTTGGTGTATAGCTGGCGATGTTCTTGCTCGGCTTGCTTGGCCGCCTCCAAGCCATGAACGAGCTCCACAAATTCTTGGGCGAGCTTGTGGTGCGGAATCCGTTTTGATTGATCCTTCTCATGCTCTTGCATTAGTTGAGTAATCTCTGGGAGTGGTAAAAATGTCAAGAGCTTCAAATACTTCTCGACGTTGGCATCGTCGGACCGAAGGAAGAACTGGTCTGGTGAGCTGGATGGTGATAGCAGGGTCAGAGAGATTAGGTGACTTACCTGGTAGAGCTGGAAAGGAGACGTCATGCCAGCGTCGAGCCAAACTGCATTTCCCGCACTCTTGCCAAACTTCTCGCCCGTTGCTGTTGTGAGAAGAGGAACGGTGAAGCCAAATGGCTCATCGCTAGCACGTTGGCCGATCCGTTTATCGATAGCCTCGTTCCTCCCCTTCTCTGACTGATATTCGTGGTCATTTTTGGCAATTGTTTTGACCGATTCCACTCCAGCGAGAATGTTGCCGAATTGATCCGCTCCACCAATTTGGACCTGGACTCCGCGTTGATACAGTTGCCACCAATCCCAGGCCTGAGCAAGTGGATAACTGAATTCGGCAAACGACATGCCATCACCCTCTAACCGAGTCTTGACCCTGGACCGAGGACCAAAGTCAGCATTAAAATAAAACCACCGAACATGAAAGCTGAAACGTACGTGTCTCGTCCAAGCATCGGACCTATTCGTATGAATCGACCAAGCTTCTCTAAAAACTCTTTGGCCGAGGTCTTGGTCCACCATTGGACGTTGTTGACCAAAGACCGTTTCCAAGCCCACTCTCTCTGATAACCACGTCGCGCAGCATATTGGTCGACCGAGGCAGCGAATCTCTTGAGTTGCAGATGCATGGCAGCGACATTGGCTTTACGCTGTACAGGCGACATCTGGGCTCGACTGGTCGTACGTCCAATGGGATCGCCGATGGCGGCAGTGACACCCCCGAGCTGTATATGTCAGTAGACCGGTCGGGGGAGACTTCCAAGAGTGAAACGGCTGCTCACCAAGTAATAAACTGAGTAACCATGAATATACAAGAATGCCAACGCCATAAAGGGTACCATATGTCCCACATGCATGGAAGGGGCCGTAGGGTCGATGCCTGCGTATATTCCGACTCGTCGGGCGGTCAAGAGCTCATCAAACTCTTCTCGCTGACTAGAAGAATGTCAGACCAGTTGGACAAGGACAACTAAGATAGCAGTTGAGGCCACGCACCCGACAATTTGGTTCACATATCCTCTCTCCTCAAGCAGTGTCATCATGCTCTTCATCTTTCCCTCGCGGATTTGACGCGCCTGAAGCTGCCATTCTTCTTCAGCAATTTTGATCTTGTCGATGTGTCTCTTAGTGATCCACCGCGCTTGTCCGGCTGGCAGTCGAAGATTGGGGGTATGGGCATCGAGGAAGGCACTTCGGCAGGTTCGACATAGAAACAGAGAGCGGCGAGCCAGCCCGGCTGATTGATGGCCTGCCATTGTAGACATGCGGCTACAGGGTTCTGTTGATCCCTAGAGGTGTCTGCAGGATTGGTGATGCAACGGCAACACCACTACCGACCTTGACTTTCATGCACTTGCCACGAGAGCGGTTCGTTGCCTTTGCGGATGCGATGAGGCACGAGCGATGAGCCGATCCAACCAAAAAATTAAACAATCCAAGTGCAGGTCGGCGATTATAGACGCCGAGGTGGAGTGCAAGGGTGCAGGTCCAGAATATATTGGTCTGACGTAGTTTAAAACTTCAGCTCCTGTCATATGGACACGATCAAATGCCTATCTGGACAGGGATATTTGTTAGTCAGACAGAACATATTATTATTCTGCCTGTTTGAAGGCACATGCACCGTGGTCGAGTGGTGGTGGATCTACAACAGTATGATATTTTACAAGCCCAAGGTTCCCAAGAGACTTGGTCAAACACAAGTCAATCTTCGTCTGGAATGCTCACAACATCTCTTGCCTTTTTTCTCCTCTGTCTGGGTGTCGAGGCATGTCTCTCTGGAGTACTGAAACTCGAGCCTCCAGTTTCATTCCTGTCCCTGGTATTCCTTGTATCGGTGACACTCCTACTTCTCTTCCCTCTTCCCCGTCTCTCTCCTCTTCTTCTAATCTCCATCGTCTTGACCTCATCGATGTCTACGTCTGGGTGGATTCTCCGCACATGTGCGTACATTTTGGACCCCTTTGAAAAAGGTCGACAATGTCGCGAACAAGTCGAAATCGGGCAGACAATGGGGTCATGGGATGATGCCATATCGAGGTCCAGGTCGAGATCCATGTCCTTTCGGGAGTTGCGATAGCGTTGTCCGCGACTCTGACTTCGATTCTGATAGACACCAGCAGCTGTGCTAGTCGAACGAGCGCGACTTGGTCTGACGATGGATTTCGATCTGGAGCGACTCGTGGGCCTGGTTGACGATCGAGGAATTGGCGACGAGCCATCTTCATGCGTGATGTGAACTTTGTCCAGGTGCCGCCGAAGGTGATATTGCTTGCGGAACGGAACCACATGTCGAGGACATGTCTCGTATGGACAGGATCGATCATCGATCTCAGTCGAGACTTTGATCTCCTGATCTGAATCTAGATCAGGATCTTCGTCTGCGGATTGATGATCGGAGCTGTCGGAATCCAACGCAAGATGTTGAGTAAAGTAGGACTCTTGCTTGATGTTCCGGTTGATACCATCTCCTGCGTGTCTTTGATGGCCTTCGTGAAATGTACGGAATAGCATGTTCTCACTAAACAAGGCGGCACACCGCTCGCTGGCTCGCTGTACCACCTCGGCATCCCACCCTGTCAATGCTGCCAATCCCATGACGTCGCTCCAATCCCGCAGCCCGAGCATGCGATTCCGTTTGTCTGCTTGCTGCTTGGCCATTGAAGTCGAATGGTCGCTGACATTGGATTCATGACTCTTTCGGCCTCGCCTGGTGCTTGACCGTGATGGGCTCCGGCCACGGCTGGGTGATCTCGAAACAGGATTGGTGCTTCCACTCATGCTGGAGAGCCCGCCTGTGCTTATGCTTCGTCCACGGGGTCTGAGAATCGGCTTGGACGCGTATGCATGCCGTTGTGTGTGAAGACCAAGTAGAAGGTCGTCCAATTTGGTTAGAACATGACGGGCAGAGGGGAGGAAAAGTCGATGGGCTTGGTCGATGTCAGCGAGCGGCACCGGTCGTCGTGAATCAGCTTGTTTGTGCGTTTGAACCTGGTTCAGGGTTTCTCGTTTAATACCTGTGGGGCTTATCAGATCCCCAACGTGGGGTAGGCGGTCAAGAGCTTGAGATGAGAAAGTCGGGTGGTCTGGGTCATAGGACTGATCTGTAGAGGATGCTTGGTCTGATTCATCATCGTTGTCTATCGGATGTTCCTGCTCTTCGTCGGCAGTATCAAAGACTTCATCCTCTTCGTTGGAACTAACACTTGGACTCGCAGGCTTAGTGTCCATTGGGTTGCTAGTGTCACCTAGAGTTTCCCATTCGCGTGCTTCCCATCTTTGCCTGGCCAATCGACTGGCAGTAGCGACGAGACAATCCTCAAGTGTCGCACTTGGCCTTGGATCAACTTCGGTGTGGTATGCGTCGTTGTCAGCTGACGGTAGGAGGTCTGGACGTGGAACCTGATCTGCTGGCAAAGGCCATGCTGTCCAAACTTTGGGAAGAAATGAACTCCGCTCAACATCGTCTTGAGATGACTGGCTGTGTTCAGAGTCTGTTCTAGCCCTCTGCTTCCCCTTGGACTTCGAACCCTGAGGCGCGCGTTTCCGTTTCATAGCAAATGCGGAGACCAAGTGCAGGCCCAAATCCTCTGCCCGGACACGGTCCAAGCTGAGTGCAACATGGCGCTCTTCTTCTGTCCATGTCTTCCAGGTTGATGCGGGTCCAAAGAATCGGTTTGGGCGAGAGAAGTAGGTCTTTGCATTTTCTCCTTGAGCGAACTCGTCGACCTTCAAGTCTGGGATTATGATAACATTATTAGTGTTATTCACGCTTGACTGACTTTTGATGGAGGTATATGGAGGTGGAGGAAGAAGAGCTGAACGGGCTGGTGGCGACGATGGCGGCTGCAAGAAGGGTTTCTCTTGTCCCGAAACGAAGCCCTGCCCTTCCTCATCTGATGCCACGTACTCCGAGTCGGAATCCATGTCGAGGGCCAGTGGAGGATGTTGTCATGGCGAGTTTGAGTTTGTTATGGCGTGGGTTAGTTTGGAGGCGTCGTAGTTGGAGATTTCGCCGCGGCTATGATCCTGATGGAAAATCTTGGGAGATCTTGGGTCGAAGAAGCGTTCCAGTGGACTCCGGTAATCCTTAGGCCAGATCGTTAAGTGTAATTGAGTTGATTTCGAGAGTAGAGGGCGATAGTGCAAGGTGAAGTTGTTGATTTGACTTCGAGACAAGGCTTTGGATCCTCTCAACTTGGCCCAAACAAGCAATGCCCTGTTCTCTTTCTGGCAAATCTCGGCAATTTTGGCGACACAACAACGACAATTTTGGCTTGTTTTCGAGGCATTTTTATATACGGGCAGAAGAGTAGCGGATTGGCAAAGCGGCATTCAACGACATGACATTACAGTTTTTGGTTTCTAAATTCACCTTGCATATCGGAGGTGGTGATAGTCCAATTGACGAGGCTACAGTCCAGGTCATAGAACTTTTGTTCAATTGTAGATTAAAGGCAACTTGTTCGAGTGTTGCCACCTGCGGGTATCTATTGAAAAGGATAGGGCTCTCAACCCTTGACAGCGACTTCCATGGCACTAATCACGAAGGAACATTTTGTACGTCTCACTGTCCGTACACTCCTGGAATGGGTACCCAATTTCCTTGAGAAAGCCTTCCAGCTTCTCCAACTCAGCATCGGGACACTGAATTCCGCACAGGATCCTGGCCACATCTCCACCATAGTTGCGGTAGTGAAACAGAGACAGACTCTGTCCTGGTCGTAGAGTCTGCAGGAACTTGAACAGGGCGCCCGGCCGTTCAGGGAATTCAAAAGTGTAGAGCCTCTCATTGGCAACGCCAGATCGTCCACCAGCGAGGTAGCGCAAGTGGGTCTTTGCGAGTTCATCATTAGAGAGGTCCTTTGCGACCATATCGCCTGCAGCTAGTCGTTCAAACAACGAGGCAAGCTCTTTGTTTCTGGCGGCGGCAGACGATATTGACAGGCCCATGAGCACATGGGCGTAATCGGGCGAGGCATATCGATAGGAAAATTCGGTGATGGCTTGGGGCAGGACGGCTTCTACCAGGCGAACAAAAGTGCCGGCACGCTCAGGGATGGTGACGGCGAGCAAGGCCTCTTTCTGTTCACCAATGGTGGCTCTTTCAGCAACGAAGCGGAGACGATCAAAGTTCATGTTGGCGCCACTGGCAACAGCGACAAGTTCTCTGCTGGGGTCTGATGATGGGTTCTTGGCCACCCACTTCTTCAAGCCGGCGAGAGAAAGAGCGCCGGCAGGTTCGAGGACCGATCGAGTGTCTTCAAAGACATCTTTGATGGCGGCACATATTTCGTCGGTGCTGACTTGGACCACTTCGTCAACAACCTCCTGACAGAGCCTAAAGGTCTCCTCTCCAACAGTCTTGACGGCAGCGCCGTCTGCGAACAAGCCGACTTCTTTGAGCAAGACTCTCTTGCCCACTTTGAGGGACTCCACCAGGGCATTGGCATCTGAGGCTTCGACGCCGATAATTTTGACATGAGGGGCAATGCGCTTGACGTAGACGCCTATGCCGGCGATGAGACCTCCACCACCGACGCAACAGAAGATGGCTTGTAGTTTTTGGAGAGAAGTCTGTCTCAGAAGTTCCAAACCAATGGTGCCTTGGCCAGCAATGACATAGGGATCGTCGAATGGGGGGATATTGGTTAACCCGTACTGTTTCTCTAGGACATGACAGTGAGCTTTTGCAGCATCGAAGTCTGGACCATGGAGGACGACACTACCGCCCATACGGCTGACGTTCATATGCTTGATAGCAGGGGTGCCCTGCGGCATGACAATAGTGGCAGGGATCTTGAGATGGCGAGCAGAGTAGGCTACACCTTGGGCATGATTCCCAGCCGAACATGCAATGACACCTTTCCAGCTGACATGGGGTGGCAGGTGTGCCATTTTGTTGTAGGCACCTCTTAACTTGAAGGAGAAGACTGGCAAAAGATCTTCTCGCTTGAGCAGGACTTTTGATTCTAAACGGTTGGAGAGGTTGATGGCATGAGAGAGGGGGCTTTCTTGGACAACATCGTAGACTCGAGAAGTCAGAATGAGGCGAAGATAGTCTGGATAACCGGAGGGGAGAAGGAAATCTGGAGGGACGTCGTAGGATGGAAGATCTGATCGTTCAGATGGAGGGGTGGGCATTGCGGCGTATTCGGTCATGGCCAAACCGGAGCGTCTGGGGCTAGTGGGGGTAGTGAATCCATTTGAAGATCCATCGCCATTTGTGAGGGAGTCGACAGAGGAGTCCATGGTAACGAGGGGAGGATAGGATAACGGGGAGCAGGGGATGAGCAGGAGCAGGAGGCCACCGGTTGATGCCTAGATCGAGGTTGATATTAGTTAAGGTAACTAGGTGGTATTTTTCAATGCATGATTATGTATTTAGTGGATTGAGTGATTGATGGGAAAGGTTTGTTGAGAGATGGTGGTAAGTTATGAGCGGTGAAACTGATATAGAGTCATAATCAAACAAATGGTATAAAAAAATTCCCAGAGCTCCCCGCATATTTGACAGGGCGGTCAGAAGTTGATAAGCGTCCATGGAGGAACGAGGGAGCTTCCAAGGGCGCGCCATAGGTGCTAGCCCAGTGGAGGCCGAGGGGCTCTAGGTCCCCTCGGCCGACACGCAGGGCAAAATATCCGCGAATCTTCTTCAAATTGGTTGGTCAGTAGCTGCAGGAACACCAAACGCATGGGAGAGGAGTCGCTTGAATCGTCATTGGTTATTGGAAATCCTTGAGCACGAGGTACCCACGAGGACTGGCAGGCTGACTTTAAGGGCGTAAGAGCCGAGGGGCTTAACTAAAGCTGCACTTTAGGCTTCGGGCAATCGGGGACTTGATCGTACCACCAGCACCACTACTTACTGCCTCTTTCAGAATAGACGCCGACACATCCATCGTTCTTGCCTTTAGAGCACACTCGTGCCACTCGACGTCACGACTTTTTAGTCCCTCAATTCTACAAATCTCGATATACACCAGACCTCCATCCAACAATCTAATCGCCCATGGACCTTTACAATTAATCATATCGAAAGAAGCTCCTCCCTCAACTTTGAACCAACCATCCTTCCAGAACCGCATTCACTTTCCTGCACCTCTCGTCTCCTCCCGTCTCGTGATCGCCTCACACAAAGCAATCGCCATCACCACCGTCTCCCTCAACAACAGGTCACATAATGTCCAACCCAGGGCCCGCCCCCGATGGCCCATCGCCTCTTTCTGCAACAGCACTTCCCTCCAGCTTCGACTCAGACCCCGATTTCTTTGAAGAATCCCGCTTCCAGAAACTATGGCGCAAGCTTCGACAGGAACCATTAATTCCAGTCGGCTGCGCTGCTACCTGCTACGCCCTCTACATGGCTACCAAATCTATTCGACAGGGGGACCATCATCAGACAAATCGTATGTTTCGCGCCCGTATCTACGCCCAGGGTTTCACTCTTCTAGCTTTGGTCGCTGGTTCCATTTTCTACAAGGACGAGAGGGTTCAGAGGAAGAAGTTCGAGGCCGCGCTCGAGGAAAAGAAGACGGCTGAGAAGAGGGACAAATGGATTCAAGAGCTCGAGGCCAGAGATCGTGAGGATCAGTTATGGAGAGAGAAGATTGAGGCTCAACAGCGAGACGCCGCAATTGCTGTCCAGATGGCCGAAAACCCCGACAACCATGGCTCTCTCGGCATCATGGACCAGATCAAGGCTCAGCAACAGCAGACCGATGCAGTCCCGGATGCGGAACCTCAAGGGAACGAGACCACCAAGCAAAAGGGCATCTTCAGTTGGTTTGGGAAAAAGGATTCGGATTCTTGAGCACCATGACTTTGATAAACTCCTCTCACTACAACAAAAGCTCGATTTTCAAATCACATCCATCCGTCTCCCACAAGCACACATCTTCACACGAAGACTCTGCCTACAAGGTCCGAGGAACCCCCTTCACCCGGTTCTGGACCAAATCTCTATCCCCTTCTGCGATCTCTGCTCACATGAATCTGAGAACGCCATGGCCTCCACTCGATTGGCTTCTACGACCCTTCTCTCCGAGAACTTATTGATCTTGTCAACCAGTTTCAAGGTTTATTGGACGGCGCGAGTATCGCATTCGGAACTCAAAGTTCAATATGATGGGCTGTGAGACACTTGTGTTTGTCACGTGACATTTGCCCCACCATGAATAGCCATGTACTTCTATACGGGGCCCGGCGTCTAGCACTCTGTAGGCGACTTAGCGTTAGTTGCAGCTGCTACTCGGGATATACATTTTGTATAAGTTAACGTCAACTTTCTGCTTGGCCGATTAACTTTCTCTGCCATGCGGTAGATGTTAGAAGAGAAATCCCCTCGGAAGCCATAAATTACGTCTTAATTGACCTCTGGCATGTGCCTATGCTATGGCCTCAAGTTGTTCTTCCAATTAAAAGATTCAACGACCAGTCGTTTCCTCAGGGGCTTTAGTGGATATTGTCACGTGATAGTATTGAGGTTCCATCAAATTGATGACTATATCACAAATGTCCGCAAGTCAATCTCGCGTATTCATCCCTCCATGTCAAGCCTTCCGAAGCCTTATACCTGCGACGTATAGAGGTCTCCAGTCCATGAAAATCTGCCAGTAAAGCATGACACAGCCTCATCTCCGACGCTTCCGACTCGTCTACGTGTGGCTCACGAAGCATGCTCCGCAGCATATTTCCCATCCTGCTCGCTCAATCTCCTCTGCTCTTGAGCCACACTGATCTCCCTGAGGCTCATCCTTCTTCCAGCCTGTTCCGCCACACTTGCTTCCCTAAAGCTGACTTTTGGTCGAAAAGATTTGCTCTGCCACGCTTTGTCCACCAGCTCATATAGTTCATCTACCTGCTCGAGACTCAAACCTTTGGTTTCATAGATCATGAAATACACAAAGGCACAAGCAAACAGCAAGCAAGAGGCCCAAATGAAAAAGACCCGTGACTGGAGACCTGCATATTCCTCGTCAACCAGATAAGGTGTCGAGAAGGCAATGACGAAGTTGAGAAGCCAGTTTGTTGCTGTTGTCATTGACAGGGCTTTCGCACGAACTTTGAGGGGAAACAATTCCCCAGTAACCACCCAGGCTACAGGTCCCCATGAACAAGCGAAGAAGAAAATGAACATACAGACGAATGCTATAGCAGCCCGTTGTGCGGCAAGGTCGGTTGTCCCTGCAGCAGTACCGGTGATGGCGACTATAAATTGGCATGTACACATGCCAATCGCACCGAAGAGGAGCAAGTTTCGTCGACCAAGTCTCTCAACCAAATACAGTCCAGGGATCGTGCTTGCCTAAGTCGATCATGGTTAGCCAGTCTGGGGAGACTCAAAAGAGCGGACCTGAACATACGACATTGACACAGTTGGTGATAACCTGGATAATGAATGGATCTTGGAAACCAGCTCGTGTAAAATAAGCAGTTCCATAATAGAAGATGAAATTGACTCCAGAAAGTTGCTGTAGTGCTTGGAGAAGACAACCAGTGAGCAAACGCTTGCCAACTGTGCCTTTGAAACAGTCGAGATATGTTGCTTTACCCAGTGACATCTCGTATTCGTGGTTGGCCTGTACCTCAGCGAGCTCTTCTACTAGCCCCGGGTGGTCTGCAGGCAGCCTCCGGAGACGACTCAGTGCTTTGGCGGCCATGTCAACTCGACCCTTTTTAATATGGAATCTGGGGGTTTCTGGGAGAAGAAGTAAACCACCCACGAGGATGATAGACCATGCGAACTGGATCGCGATAGGAATCCGATAGCAGCCGGTATCTTGTCGATCACTTGTTGCGTTGTTGATTATCGCTGCAAGGAATAGACCTATCGTAATGGCTAGTTGATAGCATCCGACGATAGTCCCGCGGATCCACTTTGGCGCAGTCTCGGACTGGTAGAGGGGGACTATGAAATAGAGGTCAGCAGCATGTCAATGGTAGGGAGATAGCGTTCTAACCCATTGCAGATATCAAGCCCACGCCATATCCTGCCCAGAATCGGCCGGCTATGAATAGTGGTTGGCTTGTTGCAGCGGTCTTCAAAGCGACTCCGAGGTTGAAGACAACTGCTGTCGAGAGAATCAGTCCCATACGACGTCCGAAGAAGTCTGCAATGGGTGCAGCTGTCAAGGCCCCGAGGAATGTTCCTAGAGAAAGGATGGAGACTATAAGAGACTCGTCGCTGGATCTAATTGCTGGCTGACCGTCGGAGTCGGTGTATCCATCAGAGAATAGTTGTTTCCAGTAGTCCATTTCCAGGATACCCGATATGGTTCCTGAGAATATTAGCATCCACTGGGAACAATCTAGGAGAGACATCACCTACCAGTGTCATAGCCAAACAAAACACCACCAAATCTAATAACTCGTCAATACCTGACAGTGGGCTGAAGCAGGACATGGAGCAAGACTGACGCAACAAATACTCCAACAACTATGGCTGGCCATGCTGCCCCAGCCTCGGTATCTGGCTTCTTGATGGAGAAGCCCATGATCGCTATACTGATATGGTTTCACTGAGCTTAGGAGATCAAACTGGTTGATGTCTGGAGTTTCCCCGACTTCGGTGGAAATTGAGGCACTTTATATACAACTGGGGCCTTGGGAGGAAATCCCCCAAGGCAGGGAATTCGAGTCAGTTTCAGGTTCCTAGCCACAACCCAGGTCGAGTAGATCCTAGAAAGGCAGTCACAACCGCTACTCCCACGAAGCATGTCTCCATATTCAGATGCATCCTTAAGCAGCCAAGGTGTCAGGCATAGCCAGAATAAATGGCTACCGACAGTCTGCTCGGCGATTATTGCTACTGAAACAGAGTCACGCTCAGATGCCCAGCATTATCCAGCGGGGCGAAACTGTCCTACACGCGCCAATTCGTTATACGCATGCTTGGAGCTATCTTGGCAGTATCTCCGATCATGTTGTTGAAAACCCTCTTTCGCCTTCCCGGGTAGCACACCATCGCCGTGTTATGAGGTACGGAGTCAAATGTCTTCGTTACGGGACTTCATGCTACTGGTAATAGATAGAATGGATGCTTTGAGACCCTCTCCGTGTTCTTCATCCCTAATATAGTATGCCAACACTGTGCCTGGACAGCACCTCATGTGAAATTTGTCCCGAGCAGTTAAGAAATTGCCGAGACATGAACCCTTGTCAGTGCGGAGTCTCGGGCTTGGTTTGAGGGAGGCTGTCGCCGCAGCATGACCATGATGTCGAACAGTGGTCTTGTGAAGCGAGCAAGAGGGGTTTCTGATCAGCCCAACAAACTTATTGAGCTGCAAGGCCGCTTGCAACGCTCAACGCGCAAGACTTGGGCAAGCCCCGGGAGATGACGTCTGATCTTCGCTATGCTCGACCTAGATCACTCTATCCTTTAGACAGTACATGTGGTGAACAATAAAGAGTAACAGGACGCTACTCGCCGGAGTACTCACTGTCGCCGTATTTCCCCTTTGCAAATTGTGAGGTGGATGCGAGCCTCGTATCATGAGAGCAACGGGCTCTTCTTGTCCAGCATCCAGCCTGAAGTCACGGACGTCCTCATCAATGCGGCTCGGACCAAATTGGGCACCTAGAACGGACCGATCGTACCAGGTGAACTGGCCGGGCTGCTCGCCGAAACCGACGAGGACGATGGTATTAGGTTCTCGAACACTTCCACCTTTGGAGGCTCTGGAACTTCAGCTGTCCGACATGCGACCAGAAACAAATCAATGATGGACGCATATGTATCGCTCATCTGGCCAAACTCACTCTCAAATGCTTGGTCAGCACCTTCAGCCTTATTGAAATCGGGATGGAGTCGAGACCACTGACGGCGGAATAAATTCACCAGATTTCCCTTGTCTTTTCGAACATTCCCCGTGGGTTTGAATCCAAACATCTTTTGGTAATCCTGCGGATAGCAGCCCAGCACATGTCGCACAAGTGCGAATTGTTCTCCCGTTGGCACAAGAGCGGTCCCATCCGCAGCTTGGTGATTCTGTGTTCCATCATCGACAGGAGCCCCGAATGGGGCAGCCAAGGGACCTTCATGTGGAGTTTCAATGATTGCAGGCAATGTGTCGACACGGGTTGACTCGCGCTCTTCGCGCTCTTTATCCCCCACGATCCTATCAGTTTCAGGCGCTGGAGTGCCATCAGGCGTGGGAAGACCATCGGCCTATCCAATATGTCACTGTTGCTTCAACCCTCCTGCGCCTCAGCTCAGGCTTAGTCCTTGTGTTCCCAACTGGAACGTTACGTCGTCGATGCGCAACATTCCTCTCCTTGCCTCTGTTTCCTCTATGAACCCCCTTACTAAACTCAAAAGGTCTCAACCTCACTGATACATTTTTGTTGGATAAGAAGGGTACCATAAATATGACTAGTAGCGCCAAGCTACTAGAGATTTCTCTTCTAGCTGGCCTATCAAAAAGTCCAACAATTTTCTAAAGTTTCTCAGCGAGGAGTTACTATAGTTTTGCTAATTTTGTCGCATGTGATCGTTCCTCTCAGCCTGATCGCTGCATTCCAAAGCCCCTCGGCCCCGTGATTCCCCCGACCAGACCTCTATTTCATCCTCTTCTTTCCTCGCTCGAGACGGACCATCACCTCTCAATGCTCATTCTATATACCACACTCCTCTTTTTGGTTGCTCAGGCATCTCGACGTCTAGAAGACGGCCGTCAGTTCGTCCGCCTCGCTCAGCACGAGGCAGGAAGGAGGTTCAACGCCATTGGTGTCTATGACGACTTGGCCAGACTCTCCAACGGGGTACATCATGACAGCGTTGGAAAGGTCTTTTGTCAGCTCTGTATCGCCCCAGTTCTGCGGCGCGAAGAAGATGCTAGAGTGAGCCTCCGACATTAGGGTGTTCGGGATATCCTCAGCGCGCGTGAAGTGGTGCATTCCAAGATTAACCCAGGCGACAATGTCTTCTTGGATAAGAGACTCTCCGTCAAAGAACTTCCAAAATTCGACGAGAGGTGCCTCCGGGGCATTCTGGTTGAGCGTCGCGGTTGAATCTGGCTCCGTGTCGTGCTGGCGGGTGACGGCGATCGGCTGCTTAGCAAACTGAGCATTCTTCCGGAAAAAAGGAGAGTTCTGGGAGGCGAGGACAACGTTCGAGAGACCAGGCAGGATCCGGTAGCCACGGGGCTGTCCCCACTTGTTCTTGTGGTCTTTGTTGACAATAGTGAACATAGCTTGTCCGTTCGGCGGGAGATTGATGCGCGAATCATCCTCGGTCTCGACTTCGGTTATGTTGTACCTCATCATCTCGAACTCTCCGAGCTCCGTGAACCAGGGCTGGGTGATGTTTTCAACAACAATGTCCGTCCTCACAAACGTGTTCTTTTCGTCCACAAGATCGAAATCCGCCTTGAAGTTCATCACATGGGTATGGAGCGTGCCAGCTATGGTTTGCTCGATGCGTGGGCCCCACTTGCCTTCATCGTCAGGCCGGTAATAATTCGCTTGAACAAAGCCAGAGGCATGCGCATCAACGCTGATGGTGCCATCGACGTAGAAACCGTAGTCCCAGAGGTAATCGTAATTACCAACAGTAGCAATCATCCGGACAACAAGTTTTGAACCCTTGGTAGCCTGGGTCCAAGCGCCGTTATTGTGGCGAGTGATTGGGGTGCCAATATCTGTCTCAAAGATACAGATGGAGCTGTTCGTTGTTACTGCTTCGAGTCCAGTCGTGGCAAACGAGCCGTCTAGATAAGTCGCGTGATAAGGGCAATCATACCCGGGGACCAGCTTGATGGCAGAAGATCCTATCCCATAAAATCGGTCCATGTAAGCTGTACTGGCCTGGAAAGGATTGTTTCCAGAATATTGAGCTATCGCATCTGCGGTGGTATAAGTCAGCCACTCGCTAGGTGTACAGTAGAATCTTCTCTCACCTTGTAAAGACAATTCATACATAATGCGTTCGTCTTTGAATTTGATGTCATAGAACTGCACCCCCACGTCATAATCGAAGCGAGTGTAGAACTTCCAGCCCAAATACTCTATGTATTGGTTGTCTATGTCAACTTTGAACCTGTTGCCGTCGAGAGAAAGAACAGTCGGCGCCAGTCGGTCTTCCAGGTCTCGGATCGGTCCAGTCTGGTTCTTATACAAGAACTCGATATTGGTGGTTGGAGGTGGGGTCTTTGTGATTTCTTTTGCTTCCCAAGCCTTGCGAAAGTCGGCAACGGAATCGTAGACTATCAGGTTATAGACAACCTTAAGAGCCTTCCAGAGAGAAGTATCCGTGCCGCTGACGTCGAATTGAACGTAAAGATCAGATGGCTGATCCCAAGGCTCCATTCCGAGTCGCCTCCATGGACTCCATATCACAGCTTTGGTACCATTGACAACGACAGGACTCGTGGTGAAGTAAGTCATATTGGAGCGTGGGTCACCCGTGCCATAGAAAGCCATCTCCAGAAGATCACCCGTAATATCGGCAATTGGTGACATGGTTGCATTGATCAGATTGTCAATGGCAGCAGATTTGACAGAGTCTACCCAACCTGCATTCCAAAGCACACTGGCACCATTGGGCCCATTATACTTGTAGTCCAATGACTGCAATTCCGTAGTCTCAGAAATTGGAAGAGGACCAACCTAAATAATGTTGAGCCCAACGCCATGCGATGTAGGATAGATTTTACTTTGACTCACCGAGTATTCAGAGACAATAGGATCTTCAAGTCCGCCTTGAATAAGGGCGACTCGTGCGTATCTGGGAACCGTCCCATTACCGTCAAAATAGGAGAGAACATCGGTCTTATTGGGCTTCAACACGTCGATGTGCCAGATGTAGTTATCGCTCAGGGATATAGCAGGGTCAGAGGTGCTGGTGAGATTAAGACCGTGTTCTGGAGACAGCAGCCAAGACGCCACTGCATCGATCTCGTCTTGAGAGAGCGCAACGAAGGGATTAGGCTTGGGCGCCGACACAGGCACGGTAACAGGTACCTCGCATGTGTCGCGAGCGCTCAAGGCACGACGTTCAGACCTCTCTTGTGCGTAGGATGTTCCGCCAGAGACATCCCTCCAAGAATACCTGGGACCCGGCACAGCACTGGCCAGGTCGAGAAGGCCAAACAGCGCCGCTGACAAACAAACCGCCTTCATCTTGCGTGGTTGCGAAGAGGCTTTTCAAAAAAGTTCGCTTCTATTCCTAACTGCCCTGGGAAGAGAAGATAAATTCAGTCTCAACGATCGGGAGGACATTCTTATACCTGTTTTCGCCGTTCGTGCAGGCTGGTCTCGTTCCCGCTACAGCCATCGGGCTTGGACAACATCATAGCCATGAACCAGCCTAGGACTACGATGTTAGATATTGAAGAGCCGTCCATGGACTAAGTACGGAGTATAGAGTTGAGATGTGGACTAGAGATCAGCCAATTACAGCGACCGCCATCTCATTAATCGAAGGCAAGTGGGTGAGAATGAACTCTTGGCCACAAAATATGGATCCTCCCTTACCTGATTCGGATTTGATATCCCTAACCCCTGTCACAGCTTTCCGCTTCGTTAGTTCGGTGGTTGTAACCCTCAGGCCATGGGTTCTAGACAGACTATGCTGTACAGAGGACCTAGACTTTGGAGGCTAACCTCGCGGTAGACGGCGCTTGGCTAGTGCAAGAACTCCAGCATCTCTCCTCGCCTCTATCTATCGGCCTCAAGCCAGCCTTCTTCCTGATCCTCCCGGACTTTGTGTTGCGCCAGCCTCGGGTTAGGTAATTGTCGTTGGTTCTGAATGCCAAGCAAAGTCCTTATCTCTTTATCTCTCGAAGCTTGTCGATACTTTATCTCACACCCTTCTAGCACGTGCCATTAAAAGAGATTTTCTCAATGACTCTACATCTTCACACCCTGTTGCCTGTCTGCAGGTGACAAAGTATGATTAACAACAAAGAATACCTTGCAGTTTACTGGGACTTTACCAAGAAAGTCTCGGAAATGATTTGACGGAAAATGTACTTCCGTCGATCCAGGTCAGGTGAGTCCCACAGACGAGAAGCGTTGAACACATCTTAAGGTATAACCAGGATGCATCACTTGCCGAGCAATCCGTGCGAGATGTGATGAACAAAAGCCGAACTGTCAGCGCTGCCACGAACGCGGCGTAGTCTGCGAGGGATATACCAAGCAGCTAAGATGGGTGGATGAAGGCCCAAGAATCGCGACCTCCTCCAGCCCTGCGGGTCGGGACCAAGGTGCAAGTATTGGGTGCCAGTCACTCAAAATCCCGGCCACACTCATGCCGTGGTCCTTGCCACCATCTCAACATCTGGACGGAAGACTCTTCGAGCATTGGATGACGATGACTTTTGATTTAGTCTGCCTCGACCCAGCATCCACGGGCGAACTCCGGCAAATGTACTTCCATGTGGCCTTTCACCATAGATTTGTCACGCTATACGCCATGTTAGCGGGCTCCGCTGCCCACTTGTTGGCCCTGGGACTGGTGGAGGATACTGTATTCGTTGCCGCGCAACAGAGGGCGTTCAAAGCCATGATAGACTCCCTAGGGGACTCGGCGCTCGACTCAAGACCCAAATTGAATGAGACAGGGCGATTACAGAAAAATCACCTTCCAGCGCTGAGTTTTGATGATGACTCAGTCATGGCATCACTGTTCCTGCTTGGCCCCCAGATCATCAACCCCGATGACAACTACGTTCTGGACAAAGTCGAGTACCTGTTACGAGGGGCGCGAGCGTTGATCATCGAGAGGTACAAGTACGCTGAATGCCAGTGTCCACTAAATCATCCTGCTCGTTATGTCCAACGTTACAAACTCGACAGTCCAATTTTTCAGTGTGCCATCAGAACTCTGGCATACACCGACATAATGGCATGCATTCCTTGCGCGCGTGCTCCCCTCATCGGCAAGCAGTACTGGCTCGACCGAGCCGTAGAGGCGGCTTCGGAAAGTGCTAGAAACTTGAGGCCCGACAATGACTTGGGGTATTGTGCTCGGATGTTTTCTCTTCTGGGTGATTGTGCAGATGCAATTGAGGGACTTTACGTCGGGGCCATGGATCAAGTGGATTTTGAACACTGTCGTACTATACTCAACCACCAGCTCGAAAGTGCGGCATGTGAAATTCCAGAGCTCATAGATCTCGAGAACAGCATCAGATCCAATTCTTCCCCCAACCATGCCACTGTTGAGACGATTGCGGCACACAACAGCAGTATCAAAGCCGCTATTTGCCATGGTCTTGCCAATAGTATCTTTTTATTGCGCTCGACCGACTACCAGCAGAGCTCACCACAAGTGAAAATGCTCTGCGATCGCTTGTTTAAGTATGTTTACGAGATTTCCATTGATGACAGTATCGTAACTATCATGTTGTGGCCACTGTGGGTCTTGGGATGCGAAAGCTATTCGGACAGTGTCAATCCCTCCCGACAGCAAATCACCGCCATTTTGGAGAAAATGTATCAGAGACGGCAGATGAAGAATTCGGAGAACTGTCTGGTAACAATAAAGCGGGATATATGGATCGATTCTTTGGCGCATCCTCTCGAGGCTTCGGATCAAATGCAATCTACGCAGCAGTCTGCATGGGTTCGCAGGTGCTGGGAGAAGAGAATACGCCCGCTACTGGCATAAAAGCGTCCCTCCTGAAGAAGGAAAATTGATGTCTAGCATTCAGCCTAAGCGCCCAGCAGCTAAATTACTCCAGGCTATAAAGATGTTGCTCCCGCTGCAGCCTCACGCAGTACCGATATCCTACCTCTCTATCTATCCTCCATGTCGTCGACGTCGAGTGTCGCTGTGAGATGGCTTCTGGATACTATATGCGATAGGCAACCTGATAGACTGAGGCCCTGGGATCAGAAGTTTGGCTACTACCTGGCTAATAGCGAAGGCGTTTCTTATGACGAGGCTTGACAAGTTCGTTGCATCGTTTTAATTTTGAACTCATCCCCATTTTGCAATCGCCGTTACTTAATATCAAAGACACCAAGGCCGATGTTAACTTTGAAGAAGGTAACGGTGAGTACACGAGCTTCGCTACTTGTTTCTTACTGGACGAAGTCGTTATAAAAGTTCAGTCTGAAATGCCTGGGCCGATGTAAAGGTCCCGATAGTTATGAAGTCTCGGCTATTCCTTGGGAGAGATAAGTAAGGCTACATACTGTATCATCATTTTTGGTACCAACGCGGTTTCTTTGAAAATTCTTACTTGTTTTTATCGATAACTCTCTATAGATCCATTTCGAAACTGTATTCTAGCTTAGCGGGTAGTCATAGAACGAATACCTAGTATGTAACGATCGCTGCCCTGCTTCTTGATTTCACTGTTTCAATTGTCTAAACATCACCGGGGACTTTCGAACTTTTAGGACAGGATTTGACACTGAATGGCCTCCTTACTGCTCATCCCTTGGGTCACCCTTCAGTTGCCAGGTCTGAGCATTTCAAATGAAGCTGTCGACCAAGAGTCGCAGATGGCGAAGGGACCTAGTCGTCTCCAGAGCAACTTTCCATTTGGAGGTAAATTGATTCCCGGCTTTGGACGGCGCAGAATAGATCGCTGCTCGACGAAGCCGGTAGATCGGACAAGCCGAGCTTGGGGTCTCATGGAAAAAATCACAAGGAATTGAGGCTGAAGTTCCGGTGGAAGCGGCCTAATCAGCCTCCGTCTAGAGGCGAGCGGGATTTTGTATCGCTGCAAGTGAAATGTACTATGGGGTATACGTCTTCCGTGGGCAAGACATCCGTAGTACTGGTTGTCCTTTCATCGCTAGAAGACAGTATGTACTATGCGGCGGGGGGATGCACTTGGGTACTCTTCCATCAATAGATTGATCGTTTGAGGTTTGCTTAAACTTCGAGACTCAGAGGCCTGGAGCAATAGAACCTTTCAACGGCATCACATACCTAGTTATTTTTCCAGTAAAGGCAATAGAGAGGGGTTCCAGTGTGTTGGCCCGGGGCAGATGACCCCAGGAATTAGGCGCTCAGATCGGTACGACTCCATTTAGATGATCCAAGATCTGTGTCCGCGGAAGACCAAAATGCCACTATGAGCGGTCCGAATCGCCTACGCTACGATGTTATGAACTTAGTAATTTCGGGTGATGGGGTAGCGACTACAGAACCAAATATCCCATGCATTATGACAAACGCAGCTGTGGGGATCTATAGACCCCAGCTTCCGTCTAGTGTTCCCCAGATTTCTCTCACCCATGGGGCTGAATACCATGTGCCTATCATTTGGCAGTCTACCATTCCATCAAATATTAAGGTACCCACTGGTCCCTGTTCGTTATTATGTGGTTTAGCTCGTGCATAAAAGGGCCCGCTGATAGTCCTATATCTTTTGTCGTCTTCAGCTGAGAGACCTGTCTTCCAATCTGAACCACGCAACCTAACAAACCGTCAGACGATCTCAACATGGACAAGAGTGAGAGTAGTCCGCAAGCAGCCGAAATCGAACACGACGTACTTCAACCTCAAAACGTTGACCCTGAGAAATCGGGAGTTCAGCATGTACATGCGAAAACATTGGTCTTGGTTATAGTATGTGTCTTAATATCCTTCTCATGAGCAGCAGAATTGGACGCTCACCAGACACTAGGCTATCGTGTCCATCTACTTTGTCCAAACCCTGAACCTAGCAGGAAATGGCTTGCTTGCAAATACCATCACATCGGTAACTGGAGGCGGCGCTCAATCGACCTGGCTTGTGAGCTGTATGGCAATCTCAGCTGCCGCGCTAAGTCCCCCCATCAGTCAGGCTGCAGACTACTGGGGACGCAAGTGGTTTGTGGTTGGTTTCACAGCTGCGGGCTTCGTAGGCTGTCTAATCTCATCTCGGGCCAACACATTCGGCGTCCTGATCGGGGGCCAAAGTATTGGATGTCTATGCATGGGGGCACAACCTCTAGTACATGCAATTGCTTCAGAAATCATCCCACGGAAATATCGTTCCCACGCACAAGCTGCCGTCACTGCTTCAGCGTGCCTCGGCGGGATCGTAGGCATTCTGATTGGCGGTGCCCTGGTGCGAAGCACTCCTCAAGGCTTTCGAGTTTTTTACTATATCACGGCAGGAAGCTATGCGATTCTCGCGGCGATTGTTACTTGGCTGTATAACCCACCTCCACGGCCTTTACAGCTGGAACTCAATCAACGACAAAAACTGGGCCAACTAGACTGGTGGGGTTATCTACTCTTCTTACCTGGACTGGTACTGTTCTCATATGCACTCACTTCGTCTAGTGGAGTGTTCCCCTGGAGCAGTCCCAATATCATTGGCCCTCTCGTTGTCGGTGTCGTCCTGCTCGTCATATTGGGTCTGTATGAGTGGAAAGGGACAAGGGTTGGCATGCTCCATCATAATCTCTTTTCCTGTGGCCGAAACTTTGCCATCTGCCTCGTCGTCATCTTTGCAGAAGGAATTGTCTTCTTCGCAGCAAACGCCTTCTATGGCTATGAAGTGGCGGTATTATACGATGAAGATCTCTTCCATGCCGGCCTCACTTTCACCATTACCTTTTGGACAGCCATACTTGCTACAGTGGCGGCAGGATTTTATGTCACCAAAACTAAAACGATTCGCGCACCACTTATTGTTGCCATGGCATTCTTCGTTGTGTTCTGTGCAACGCTGGCATCTCTCAATAAATCTACCCCCAAAAATGCTAGAGGATTTGCTGTATTTGGGGGACTTGGCCTTGGTACCTCCCTCAATGCTCTCGTCGTGGCGGCCCAGTTGTCTACTCCTCCGGAACTGATTGCAGTTGCGAGTGGCTTGATGATTGGCATTCGGAGCTTTGGCGGTACCGTGGGCCTCTCGATCTACTCAGCGATTTTCAGCAATACGATGGGCACACAGTTACCTGCAAAGGTTCTTGGTGCGACCGTGCCACTCGGCTTTGATCCGCAATATGCTGGACAACTTTTGACAGCTCTGACAGCTCATGACCCAGCTCTGCTAGAAGAGATACCTGGTATTACACAGGAGATCATTCAAGCTGCAGGGGACGGCGTCAAGGACGCATACACCATCGCCTTCCGCTATGTTTGGATATCAGCTGGTGCTTTTGCCCTAGCAGCCGCCATTTGTAAGTCCCCCCTTTTTTGGTTCTCCGTGCATACATCGTCATAACGAGTGTCATTTTACATGAAACTTGCTTTCGAATCAACTAAATTCTCATAACTTATAATCTTTGATAGTGAGCTGCTTTGCAATCGACCCCAAGACCGAGTTTAACGCACACATTGACGCCCCTGTGGAAACAGAGGCTGAATTGCAACGCGATGGTTTTGGGCAGATCCTTCATCATCACCACAACAAACCGCAAGTTTGAGTTTACTCTCGGTGGGGAGCCACTGGAAATTGAAGGTCTTGACATGGAGGAAAGAGTTGACTTTTGCGGGCAGACTTAGTAATGGAATATCATAGCTGTAACATCCCTGCTTTCGATAAGGTCAAATATCAAGCAGAAGAATCAAGCCGCGTCACTTCTTAGGTTTGAAATCTCTGTTCCGACTAAACAGACCTGATTAAATCGTTTCCATTATACTTGCTCAAATTAAAAATCTATCGTGACAGTGGGCTTTGCGGCTAATCGGCTCAGAGTGGCGACCATCTCCCTGCAACAGGGCCATGGCATCCTTTCAAGCTCTATCTTGAACGGCAGCAATATCTTTGCTCCTCGATAAGCAGTACTATTTTGCTCCCGACCAAATCCATGCTCCGCCCAAACAACAAGGCCTGCATGAAAGACGACAATTGGAAGCCAAATGGGACATAGAGGGTCTCTAGAGTGCTGATGTGATCGCATAGAAGCACCATCCAAGACAAGCCATGCCTGGCGAATGGTTTCGCCAGAAACCGAGAGGTCGACCTTGGTCGCTGGCGGTGTATTCATCTCGCCATGGCCTGCCAATGCTGGCAAGTCCAATAAACGATCGCAAGACCGGTACATTCTACAGTAATGGTAGAATGCCATGATTTCGGGTGCCGCAGAGGTATGAAATTGTAAATGCCACCTGTCCAATGCGTGAGATAGCACGAACTCCATGCGTTCTAACTCTGCATGCGCGGACAAAGGGAAGTGAGGATTTTCCCGAGGAGCAGGTTTGTTTGTAGAAGCAGCCATCTGTACCACTTGTCCGATGGAACGGCGGAGATAAAGCAGATCAGAGACCACGGCCATGAGAAGGACCAGAGCATCATCTTGAGAAGTTGGCCGCAGTGGCAATAGTCCGTCGACCGTTGTGTCGAGAAGATCTCGATAGACATACTGGAAATCGAGGTTCGAGCAGGGCATCGTTGTCCAAAGCTCTCTTGAAGTGAACGCCATGACTGGCACGCCAAAGTGGAGGGTATATACAATATCGATTAACCAGAGACACCACACGAAGGCAGCACTTGCAAGTAGGAGCTGTCAGCATGAGAAAACCATCAAGAGATTGTAAACTGACCTGGAGGTTGGAGCTGGAGTGGTGAGAAGACCTTCCAATTGCTTGGGATCATGGAATCGCATTCGACGTGCGATCTTCGAGATCAGAAATGCTTCACGAGAATAGACGAAAGCTTACTGTCATGCCTGAGCATAATAAAATATCTGCTTTGTCTCGCAGTACCTGTTCGGAACTTAGCGTTCCATATATTCCTCCTAAGATTGCCTAAGCCATGTAGAGGAAAAAGTGCATTAGCAAATCGATGCGCATGGCCAAAGTGAAAATGCATAGGCATACCGTGACGAGCAGCTCAACAGAGCGTGCTTCTCTATTGTCACACTCCATCGTGGCTCCCCAAAGGCCCCGCGATGCTCGAAATAAGGGCTCTGCTTCATTTGGTTCACGACGAGCATGAATGGATGCCACGCAGCCAATTGCGAATTGCAGAGGCGGAGCCATAGCCGGATGTGATGGAGGTGCAATTGGGAGCCGTTCCAAGAAAGGATGACCTGAACAACATTTGGAGAAGACTTCTCTCAGATATGCCAGCTCATCATGAGAAGGAAGCTTCTCGGGGAAGTCTGATAGGATAGCTAACGGCCAGGTATATTTTCCTGGTTGATAAGCCTGAGAAGCAGTCAGCACTGATCTAGCGTTTCTTTAGGGTGGTTGCACACTTGTAGATCTAAGTGCATAAGAGTCTGATTTCCTGCAGCATCAGAGCTTGCTAGGATGGAGCGTTTAAAGGCAGACAGGAAAGCAGGCTCAGGCGACTCGTTGGCTACCTGAACATCAAGGACTGAAGGCAACACCCTCTCTCCAGGCCAGCTGGATTCGAGGGATGGGCTTTGAAGGTGTCTTTCCATATAGTTGAGAGGGACATGGAGTGAAGCTAGTGTCAGTAGAACGGACGAAGGTGTTACTGTGGACTGTCATTCATACGATGATGATGAAGGTTCTGCCGGATCCCACCACGAGGTTCAGACCTTGGCGTTGAGATGACTTCGACCGAACAACTTCGACCGAATATCTTTGTAGCTCCGGTGGCACTCCTCTCCCGAGGTCCCTTAAAAGAGTCCAAGACTTCCCCAGATCGATTTTCACGAGTGGGGATATTAACGCGGAGGAAGAGGCCTAAGAGAAAGCTGGGCCTCCGGAAACTTGGTGGGGTAGGCCTTGAAAAGAAGGACTACCCTCGACCCCATTGCCCTGTTCTCCATTCACCCTCTCCCGCTTGGAACCAGCTTCCCCGATGCCTCTATCTTACCCCAGGATTCGTTTATCATTGTCCCATGTCAGAAGATTACCCCGGACTCGGGCTTAGCCCAACTCGCCCGGCAGAAGGGGCTCGAATCACTCGACATACCAGTGTGGCTGATGGTTCGATGACCAAGGCAGCATCAGATAAGACAGTCAGTCATTGATACTCTCTCCCGTCAATTCTGACTCAATTCTCTAGTGCAATGTGTGTGGTCGTTCATTCGCTCGAAATGAGCACCTTGCCCGACATCGAAGAACTCGTATGTGAATCCAGACGAAATGGGGCACTGGCACCGTATCCGACATGTCGCTTCTAACGCAAAACCTTCTAGATACCAGAGAACGCCCATTTGATTGTCCTCATTGTCACATCAGGTTTCCCCGCGCAGATGTGCGGGACAAGCACATCAGAAGGTTCCACGCGCCTCCAGGTATAGGGCAACCTAGATTGAAAAAAGCCACCGCTGTTCAACAAAGGCGATCTAAGCATGCATGCGACCACTGCCGCAAAGGGAAATTGAGATGCGACGAACAGCGGCCCTGCAAGTCCTGTTGGACTAGAGATCTCCCATGCATCAGTTCTGGCGTCAAAAAACCACCGGAAAGGCCGAGGAATTTTGCCGTTGGCGCAGATACATCGGCCCTTCAGACAAGCACCCGCGATCCTTCCGAAGTTCTGCTCAACAACGATGTGTGGCACCCTGAAAGTAGTGATTCATTGATGACCAATACCAGTCCTTATACGACCACTCTTAATGGCGCTGAACTTGATATATTGACGAACATGGATGCTTCGTTTCAAGCAGCTTCAGTTATACCAGTGGATCAAGACTCAGCAACCTTTACCGAGAAGAGAGAGAATCTTCCATTGTCAACCATCGAACCCCCTTTCGCTCCCATAGTTGGGCTTGGGTTTGACGAAGCAGGCCTAACAGAGTGGAACGAGGGAGATTTCCCTCTCGTGGATGAGATATGGGAGCTTCCTATGCAGGTGCGTTGATGCCTCCTCGACTCCGTGACTGTGCTTCAAGGCCGCTAACTGATGCCGTAGGAGGTGGAAGCCTGGCTTCAAGACCTGACTGATCCAACCGAGATACTATGGCCCCAGATTGACACGTCGAATAATCAACGACTTGCCGGGGCTATCAATATCATGCAGGAGCATGCAAAGCTACGCTCGCGGGCGTCCAGCCCTACGTTGCACGAGGCAAGACGGACATGGTATTCAGCACCGCCCCAGCTTCAGATATATGACAGCGAGGTCATCAACATACTTCTCAATGTTGGTCGCCGTCACTTGTCCGCCACGTTTGGTATTTATGCCGATTTTGTGGCAGGTGAAACCACACCGCATGAGTTATGTCTCGCCATGGCCGCCCTCGGCGGCTTGTTTTGCAGCGTCGAAGGCAGCGTCACGATTGCCAAATCTCTATACAACGATGCCAGAAGAATTCATTTCGAAAAGACCGATTCTCAGCCACAGCCATCATCATTCAAGCAAGCGCTCGACACTGTCAAGACCCACATTCTTCTCGCTGTTTACGGCATCTGCAGCGGCGACAAGCGGAGCTATGAGTTCACGGAGGCTTTTCACATGACCACAAGGCAAGCCATGAGATATTGCCTGCAAATCGCTCCCTGTGAATTGGAGCCTGCCGATGCTAGAGAGCTGTCACTAGCACTGGAGGGACTGGAAATTCTCGAATGCTATCGTGTCCTTCTCCTCCAACGCCCACCGCACTTTACATCAATGAACTATAATCAGAAGCAGCAACCACCTCTGAAGTTTGATTTGACACCACTGTTCAGTCCGACTGCCCACTCTACGCCGGTTGCTGGTAGCCTACGCGAAGTAGTCAACTTGGGAATCCGCACTTGGGCGGCCAGTCCGCGTGGGCATGAGTACACGCGCGTACCACAATTATGGAGGCCTGAGTTCATTGAGCTTGGATTGGAACGTTGGGCGAGTGCGCAAAGCTCATCTCCGAGGACAGCAGACCTCCCATCCACCCTTTTGTACCACCTGGCCCATATTCATCTCCAAGTCAATCTAGGAACACTCCAGAGGCTGGCTCGCAGCTTCAAAGCGAATCCCAGAAGTCCCAGCGATGAAAAGGTCTCCGACATTGTCCGCCGATGTACCCGTGGTCCATCTTTCAAAGCTGCCGTTTGGCATGCTGTGGCGATGCTTCAGGATATCAAAGATTATGTGGCGATATCTAGTCGTCGTCAACCAGAGTTTCTTGAACGGCCTCATATCCTGGAACCACCGCACCTCCCATATTGTATCTATTTCTCCACTTTAATGGTGTGGTATAGCGACTTCGTTGTCGCCGGCACGCCTTCCATCACAGGAAACACATGCATCGAGAACGGAATCCATCTTCTAGGTATGCTCAATCTTCGGGTTGCAAGGGTGCTCGCGAACGCGCTGCGCGAACTTTTCCAAGATGACGATCGGAATACTTGAAATATACCCTTTGGCTCAAATTCATATTAGTTGTCTACAGCAAGATTCTATTTAACGATTTTCCTTTGAGGAGGTAGTATTTTCCGGCATTCATTCTTGTAACCCGTATTCACCTAGTAGAGCCGCTCCATATTAGTGATGTCTGAGACACCTTGGTGTTCGACTACCGACGCTCCGATGGTCCGGAAAATCGGGAGCTCTGCAAGGCGGTTGGCAACTGGATGTAGAGTGGGCAACAACTTGCGGCCCAGATCGTGGAACTCCAGTCTGGCACTGCTCCTGTCCGCTGCTTGTACCGACTTGACGGTCGGTCTGGAGTCGGTCAAGTGGAGGACGGTGTAGTCGGAATCAGGTGTTCCAATCTCTGTGGAGGGAATGTATTTGTGCACCAGCACACCCTCACCTCGATCGATTTCCGCGGGATCCTTGTCGGTCGTTTGTAGACCTGAGATCTCCAACGTTGCCCACTTTGCGCCCCTCCATGAGACATTGGCTCGAAAAGAGGTAGTATGCCTCGAGATGTCAATGTCCGAAAACAGTTTGGGAAATCCCAGCTCTTCACGGCCCGTCAAGATGGGATCAGCCAGATTCTCAACCATAAGTGGACAGTAGGTGCCTTTCCTGACAACGCCGTCTGTACCTTTGTAGCACACGCCGTGGATGTCGAGCTGCAAAAGATCGTATCCGCTTCCACCAAGCCATGCCATGTTGCGCAGAGACTTGACAGAGACCGAGACTTTAGCCACCGTATCTCTCTTCTCGAAGTAGTATCGTGGGCCTGGGAAGAGATTTCGAAGCAACGTCGCGCTGGTCTCGAAGAGAACCGTCGCGCTTGTACTGGTGGACTGACCCAGGGACGCCGTGAAAGAGTTTCCTAACGCATCCTGCCTTGGACTTGGTAGGAGGCCAAACGCAGTCGGCTGCCGCCATCTGACTCCTCCCTTGTGAGCTTTCAATCTGTAATTTCGGAGCTGTTGCGTAGAGAAATGCACCTCATCATGACTCAAGGCGTAGGACATGTAATCGTGCACTAGACCTAGAGTTAGTCGAGGGAACATGCGAGACAGAAGATGGTGGAGCATCAAAAGCCTAAGGTGGTCGAGACTTACATTTGAAAGCTGCCACTTTCTTCGCTTCACTCCCGTCAGATGCCAACCCGTCCCTACCGACCTGTCGACTGAATTCTTGAATTGACGAACCTCTAGTGTAGCGCACTTGATTATACAGCTGGAGTCTTTCTGGAACGTCGGCTGACGAGGCGTTCTCCAACAGGATAGACAGCGAGACACCATCTTCGATGGCCATGGCACCGCCTTGGGCCAGATGGGGTGTGAAAGGATGGGCTGCATCTCCAATCAAGACCACTCGCTCGGACACGAAAGTAGGAAGCTGTTTGAGGTCAAAGAATGGGAAGACCTTGAGGTCTGCCGGATCCACTTTGTTGAGCATTGCTAATATACTCGGATGCCAGTCCTTGTATACCTCCAGCATTGCAGATTTTGAAGCCGACTTGTCATAAGTATCGCCCGCATCCGACAAGTGGGCCGGGTGAATGCACACAAAGTTCAAGAGCTTGTTGTTAGAAGTTGAGTAGACGACGATTTTCCGATCCGCCGCGTACCACAAGTCCATGGAGCCGTCGGGTCCAGGCACAGCCGCTGTTTCAGGATCATCCAGCACTATCTGGCGTTCAATGATGAAGCGGAAAGCACTGGCCTCAGTCTTGAAACTTCTTGCGGAACTGAGAATACTTTTACGGGACTTGGAATGTACACCATCCGCACCAACGATGAGGTCGCCTGATCGTGTGGATCCGTCTTCGAATGTGACAATGGCCGTATGTCCATCCGTAGAGACTACTGGCGAGGATGTATGGATTGTAACCGGCTCACCGATGCCATGTTTTGAGACTGCTGCCTCCTTTAACTGGGAGTGGAGATGGGCGCGGTGTGCCATCAGCCATGGCTACCATTGTCAGTTGCCATGTAATTTTATTGCGAAGGAACGGGAAGGCTTACGTTTTGCCAACGCGCTGCTTCTGCTGCGTTGTCCTGGACACGAAGAAGATCGTTGTTCGCTGACAAAAATCTGGTCTGCAATCGGTCAGAGATAGTACATGATAAATGGTTGCAAATTCATACCTGAAGGAGCGGGACCGCACCACTGTCTCTGGGATCGATTCCAAGATACTTCAAAACGCCCATGGCATTAGGAGTTAAATGAATTGCGGCTCCAATTTCACTGGCGAATCCAGACTGCTCAAATACTTCAACATGGTGTCCTCGTCGTCGCAAAGCAATGGCGGCCGCTAGACCACCAATGCCAGCACCAGCTATCAACACATTCAACCCTGTGTGAACGGTGTGAGTAGTGCCATTGACACCACTATCGCCATTTGCCGGCCTAGTTGCTGGAGATTCGATTGAGCCCATTTTGATTTGTTGGTGTTCGTGATATGGGCGATAGTTGCAACGACAGCAACAATAATGTGAATTTAAGGCTATGTTTATGTGATGCGAGCACCAGTTCGAGCCTCCACGGATGGCCTCCTTCCATAACACACTACAAACTACGGTGGAGACCCTCAAAAATGACTCCGTTAAGTCTCCTTTCGGATGCTGGGGTTCATCCGTGTATCCTCTGTCAAGTACGAATCTTTCGAACACTCACGAGATGCACGAAGTGGCAAGGCTTTATCTTCAGGAGATTAGATAAGAAGTATCCAAGTCTCATCAACAGATCAGTCCATCTTGTTATTGTGGTCTTCGTCCCACTGACGCCCTAAGAGTGCTGCATCGTCGTAAGCTTTTGTGCCTTACCAAATCTCTATTGCCAAGTATTTCCTTGGGTCAACCCCATGGCTCAGCAACAACGGAGCCGGCACCATGACAGAATGGCCGTGCAGCTTTTCATGAGAGGTTCCGCGGAAGCGAGCCAAGAAGGCGTCAACTCCCTCAATTGGTAATACCAAGATGAAGACTGGGAGAGAGTTGTGTCCACAATCTCAGGGCTTCTCTTCGAGTTCCTTGCGTATCCGGGATGGGGTAGGTCGGTGGGGTACGGGGAAGAATACCGCGGGGAGCACATCCGGGGTGGAGAAGGACACAAAAGGACATACCTGGTGAGCAGGGGGAATAAACTGCAGCAGAGGCCTTAATGCTTTTTATGCTATCAAGCGATATCTTGAGTGACCAGCAAAGCTAGGGAAGTGCTCTGTACACAGCGAGAGCAGTGGGAAACATGATAAACATGATGGACAACTACTTAATCGCAGGTTCCTGCTTACTAGTAGGATGGTTTATGTGGCAGGTCAGTATACATGATTTCAGGACGGAAATGTGTGTCCTAACGTAACGTAGGCGATTTGGAATGTGTTTCTCTCGCCGTTGCGTCACATTCCAGGGCCACTTCTTGCCAAAATCACTGGTCAATGGTTGATATTTGTCGACATGGCAGGTGACCGAACCCAGACTATACATGAACTTCACAAAAGATATGGCCCAGCTGTGCGGATCGGTCCAAATGAAGTATCGTACGCAGATGTTGAGACGGTCAAAGAAATCTACAGCCAGCAGACCGAGTTCATGAAAGCACCAGTCTACGAGGATTTTACCATAGGAGCCATTACCATGTTCAGCATGAGGAACAAGACAGAGCACAGTCAACGGCGACGGTTGTTGAGCCACGCCTTTTCGACAGCAAATCTGTCCAACACCGAACCTTTGATCATGGAACATATCCAAAAGGTGGTGAATCGCATCGATGGGTGTATTGGAAAAGAGATCAATATGCTGCTTTTGTTTCGCAAGCTCTCCTTTGATATCATTGGTACTTGAATTCCCTGGTCTTTTTGAAACGGCCTACGCAGAACTGATAGATTCTAGGGGAGCTGTTCCTGGGACGAAGCTTTGGTGGCCTCGACAATGATTCTACCCCTCCCTTTCTGGTAGACATGGACAAAACATTTATTGTGGCTGGCATCAAATCGAATTTTTGGCCTATTTACCAGGTTGTTCGATGGCTCCCTTTGCCGGCAGTGAAGCACTTTCTTAAATCAACAGATAGGCTTAGACAGGTGAGCCCAACTCATGTAACTATCTCAATCTTGGCGATGGAGCCCTGACTGGTGACAGTATGGCAAAACCGCGTTTGAAACGTATGTCGCACAGCACGGCCGAGACTCTGGACGGAAAGATCTTCTGACCAAGATCCTCAGTCCCAAGGGTCGTGATGAGACCTTGACAGATTTTCAAGTGTACTCGGAGATTGGGAATTTGGTGTTTGCAGGAACAGGTATATGACGCCATCGGCAGATTGAACAAGGTCGACATGTCGCTAATACGGGACCAGATACGACCAGCACAACCCTGACATACCTTTTCTGGGAGCTCACCCGGCGGCCAGAGTGGCAATTGAGACTGCACAAGGAGCTTTCGGCACAGTCAGAGTGGGTCAATGGCATACCTTCGTACAACCAAGTCAAGGACTTGCCTATTCTAGAGGCAGTGATCGCAGAAGCGCTACGACTACACCCGGCAGCTCCAGCAAGCTTGGTTCGGGAGACACCACAGGGAGGACGAGTGCTGAATGGAGTTCTGATACCGGAAAAGGTGGGAGATGTCCTTGCCTGTCGATTTCCAGCTAATAATTTCTCTTCTGGTAGACCGTCGTGTCGGCGCAGTGTTATACGACGCAACGTGACCCAGTCGTCTTCCCAAACCCCGATGCATATCTTCCTGAGCGGTGGATGGAACTTGGGGAAATGTCTAACGAGATGAAAGTGCTCTTCATGCCCTTCTCCACGGGACCGCGTGCCTGTCTGGGAAAGAACCTGGCAATGATGGAGTTGAAAATGATTACGGCCACATTACTGCGCAGGTTCCGTGTCAAGTCGCCGTCGACAACGACCGAAGAGAGCATGTCGATGAAGGATCACTTTCTGGTTATCCCTAAAGGAGGAAAATGTGATCTGATATTTGAGTGTTATGAGAAGGTTTGATGGGTGTGGTGCACAAGACGGCGTAGGATTAGGTACTTGAGCGAGTGATGCTCGTCTCATCGTGCAGGGTCTCGTATTGTTGTGCGTAAGATTGAGAGTGGACAGTACTGCCACAAAATGGTGAAAGGTCAAGCTTGATGTTGCGGTGATGTCCCAGTTGACGACGACTATCCAGAGAGAGCTTTAAGCTGCCAGTAGCAATGTCAAAGTGTATCGAGGACCAGCAGTAAAGTACAGATGTATCTTTTGTTGAAAGCAATTGTAGTACTTTGGCCAAGTCGAATATGCAAATACATTCGTAGACGCACTTGTGACCTTTCGAGAATCGTCGATTCACGTTTTATGTCTTGGGATCAACCCCATGGACGTGCTCAACTCACTCGAGGGTCAAAGGGATAACCCTAGATGGTCCAACAGGGTTGCCACTCCACATAGTTGTTAGGGCCATGAATGAATTTAGCGTTTTCAAGTTGCCAGTTCGTCGATATATCTCCTCATGGCCTCGAACTCGGTTTTGCCGGTAGAAATCAAATAACGAATCTGCTGGATATCCTGGACATGTCGATTTCTCTCAAACTCGGTCCTTGCATATGTGATAGGCTCGCCACGCCTATTTGCGGGAATTTTGTATAAACTGCGAACAATGTCGCGCCATAGTGTCAAAACCCGCTGTCGTTGGATGAATTGGTCCAAACTCAGGGGAGGAGGTTTGTTGCGAAGACGACCAGCAGCTCCAGCAGACGGCTTAGAACCGGTTTGATTGGCTAAGAGCCGTAGTGATGGGCGCATAGGTGCTTATAGTGTGCTGGTGAAATGTGCATAAAGTGTCGATAGGAATGGCTAGAATTAGAAGATTGTGTTGAAATATTTGATGGCATTTTGGTTGGAATTTCGAAGGAACATTTTGGGCGGAGCGGAGAGAAGAATCACGTGCGAGAGACTAGTGCCAAGGAAACACTCGTGATCGACTTGGCACTCTGGATGCTTTGCCACACAACTGATGCTGGTAGATCGAGATAGAGGCTTTTGATGAGCTGGTATGTGTCATAGGGCATACCTCTACACGTACATACAAGCATGTGATCGGGTGCAATAGGAGTCATTTGACCACGAATGAATCACGATGTATTGATGCGTCGTGTGAGAAGAGAACCGAATCACCTGCCAGCAGCCTAGCACCGCCACAGGCCATGCGCAGTGGTGCCTGGGGTGCCTGGCCAAGCCTACGGAATAGGTACTTCTTCGTCGTTCTGGGCTCCCCATGTGCTTGAACAGGCGGGGCTAAGGGCGTCCTTCGGCGCAGGGCTTCGGGCGCCAGGGCAGACGGCTGGCACGAGCCGTTCCTGCCTAAGTTAGTCCTTTGTTGAATGGGAAGGTGCTCTGTGCTTTCCCTGATCAACATCGACGACAACAATTTGGTCGTATTTTTTTTCTCTTTTTTCCACGCCTTCGTTGTGTTGTCATGTTGGCCTGATTAGACTGCCAGCAGATATCGAGAACTCGGCGCGGTGTCTTTGTCTTGACTCGCTCATCATTGTCGTAGAAGCCTTTCGACAGGTTTCGTCTTGCCCTTGAGCCAGGAACCACCGATATATTCCTCAGCCTCTCTGCTCATACCCTCACATCACAACCACCTTGCCTTTGATGCCCTTGGTATTGATCAACCCTATGTCATATCAAAAACCTACTTGGAGCCTCCTATCACCGCCCAAACACCACCCGCCAACCAGTGGCGCCAACTGGGAGGCTTGCGCGTTCCCTGCATGAGAAATCTGGGTCAAGTGACGCCATTGGCGCCCAAGTCTCATCCTCCCGGGGAGTCACTCGACTGTGGCTGGTACAGCTGAGAATCTGCCTCGCCTCAGGCCTCTCCTAACGTCCCACCTGACGAATTCTGTCCTGCTCTCCTACAGCTGATCTCCATCATTGTGCATCCCTGCGTCGGGTGATTGTGGCCCACAAAGGTTGCCTTCTGATACAAGACCTTATATCATCCGAGGCTGCTGGCTTGAGCCTTCCATTCTTTCCCCTTCTACGCCAAACAACCTTGATATTGTCACCGCTTGGTATTCATGTCCTCCCACGACGACTACGCTCCACGCTCCTCCCGTCGTGAGCGTCCGCGCTACGATGATGGCGGCGGATTGCCTTATCCAGACCAACAAGACCCTAGGTCCGCCCCTCGTCGACCACGCCACGATATCTCTCCTCTCCCCCAAGCTCCTGATCCTCGAGATGAACTTCCTCGTCGAAAGCGAGACGTCGATCCTAGAGACATTCCCTTCGATCACGGCCCAGATGGCATAAGAAGATCAAACACCGCTGCTAGACGTCGAAGTCCATATTCGGACCAAGACCAAGACCCAAGAAATTCCAAACGCGCCGTTGCCCCGGTCGCCTATGGTCGCTCTCGAGGCTACCGTGAACCCGTCCCTGAACCGGATTCATTCTATTCTGATAGAGAATCTGGCAAGGGCCGCTCCAGCAGGCGACCAAGAGATTATGATGATCACTCCCCAGAACCCATTCGAAGGGCTAGATCGACTCGAGACCCCGAACGCCGGCGCAGAGATGATCCCTACGACGCTGCCGAACCGCGATCTCGCCGTCACCGCAGCCCCGAAGACAGATATGGCGAACGTGACCGGGGCTACAGGTCAGATGGACGGGATGCGTATAAAAAGAGACACGACGACGACCGATATGATGATCGTCACCGTCCCCATAGGCGCGACGATGGCTATGTATCTGACAGAGGCCACCGTAGAGACAGAGACAGAGACAGAGACCGAGACCGGGATCGAGACCGGCATAGCGACAGGGACCGTGACCGCCGCCGCCATGATTCTGACAGAGATCGGGACCGAGATAGGCGCGATCGAGACCGGGACCGCGACCACGACCATGACAAGTCGAAAAAGAAAGGATTTGGCATGGGTGACGTCAATAAACTCTACGAACAAGGCCAGAAGCACTACAAGAGTGTTGCGCCTTTGATCGAGAAGGTGGCCAAGATGTATATGGACAGCAAAGGCGGAGGGGGAAAGTAGAAGAAGTTCCGCAATCATCGCCCCTCATGACTTATGATTTGGTCTTGTTTTATGGAAACCAAGAGCCTCCTGGAGAGGTCTACGATTTATGCTCGGGAGTTGGGATCACCTCCTGTCGTTGGAATACCCACGAAACTGAAGCCCTGCGAGGCATACGCTTCTTCTCTGCTACGATGCCCAACGCCATTCTTCTTTAACTTCAATTCACAATTCATTTCATTTACTTAATTCATTGTCGCATCGAGAATATACAGTCTGGGTGGTGGCCATTTTGTTTAGCCATATGTAACAGTATGCAATATCGTGTTGCCACGATGATCAACTGACAATCTCGCACCCACGGAACCATTGATTCACAACTTCTAAGCAGCCCCCTTCACCACCTCAAACCCTGTAAAGGCGGGCAAGACGGCCCTGATTTCCTTGACATATGCGGGCATCCCACCGGCATAATTGACCTGCTCGAAGGCCTTACCTGGCACGCTGCCACCCATGTAGGTGCTACGGGTGGTGGGCAACAAGGTTATATCGCTGAGTTCGTTGATATGGGCTTTCCACTTGTCGCTGGCTTCCTTGGTCGGGTTGACGTACTTGTAACCCTCGCGGTCGATCAGCTTGATGGCATCGCGGATCCATCGTCCTTGTACCTCGACGCTGGTAGGGCCGTTGGACAGCAAGGTCGGCCCGTGAGGCCCGTACAGGTGGAACATGTTCGGGTACCCTGAGATGGTCGTGCCTAGGTATGTGTTTGCTGCAGCTTTCCACTCCGACTCGAGACTGGTTCCGTTGATGGAGTTGAGACCCATCTGCCCAACGACGCAAAACATGGTCAATAGGAAAAACTTATAGACACCAAAATGGGGTCAGGGTGGTAGAGAGATATACTCACATTCGTCATGCTACCGGTCGTAATATCAAACCCAGTGGCTAGAGCAATAATATCAAACTCATACTCTTTACCGTCCTTGGTCCGGATTCCTTTCTCTGTAAATTCCTGGATTGCATTGCCTCCTTTCTCCGAAATGTCCACGATGGTCACGTTATCTTGGTCAAGGACTTCATAGTAATTTTGTTCCAGGCAAGGTCTCTTGACACCAAACGGATGGGGCGGCTCCTCCGGTATCAGGAGCTTACGCTTTTCCGGGTTAGTCACTCGTGGAGCTTGCTTTCGCTGCCAGAAATCATAGACACAGCGGTTGGCTTTCATGTCAAACAGATAGTCTTTATGACTTCCGAGCCACAGTCGAAAACCCGCACGTGCCCATAGAGCTTCGTACAGGGCCTCGCGCTCTTGGGGGGAATCTTCAAAGGTGCAGCGTTCTTCGAAATCGTAGGTGAACCCTGAAAAGTTGTGTTCGCGTAATCGGAATAGTTCCGGATACGCTGGTTTCAGTTTCTCTTGCTCCTCCACTGTCAAGTCACGTCGGCCCATAGGCAATGCGAGGTTGGGAGTCCTTTGGAAGACAGTCATGTGTTCAACCTGGGGTCCCCATTCTTGAATGATCTGCACACCCGAAGCGCCTGTGCCAACAACGGCGACCTTCTTACCTCGAGCATCAACGCCTTCAATGGGCCAGAAGGATGAGTGATGGATGATGCCTTGGAACTTATCCATGCCCGTATAGTCAGGAATATACCGCTTTGCAGCGAATCCTGCAGCGATAATGAGGAATCGTGCTTTGGCATTGCGTCCATCGGCGGTCTTGATTTTCCATTTTCCTTGTTGGGTGTCGAAGTCGGCGTTGGTAACGACGGTGCCAAATGCACAATCTTTACTGAGCTCACACACCTTGTCAAGATGGTCGAAATAGGCCTGGAGTTCATGCCAGTCTGGATAGTTGGTGGTCCAGTTCCAGGTGTTGTAGACTTCTGGGATGGCTAGTTGATAGATGGGTACTTCAGAATCAACACGAGCCCCTAGGTATCATTTGTGAGACGGAGACGGTACTGTCTTGATACTGTTTGCGTACCTGGATAGACATTCCATCTCCATGTTCCCCCAAAACTGGTACCCGCCTCGTATAGAACTGTCTTGAAACCTGCCTTGCGCATCTCATACAGCAAGTAAGTCCCGCCAAAGCCAGCTCCCACGATCAACACATCGACGTCAAGATCATCTGCGTAGGGTCCATCGGTTCTCTTCCGTTCGGCATACTCGTACAAATGACGCTTCAGAACACGCTCTGGCTTTTGTTGAGATTCAGAAGGATCACCCATTTTGGTCAGACTTGTTTGGTAAATTGGTAATGGGCCGGAGGGAAGAAACAGCGGGTTGTCCAAACTTATTCATATAGTAGGTTCGATCCATGGTTACCTATTTGGAAGGAGTGACCCCGCCGCAGGCTGTCCTCCAGACGGGCCAAGGGAGATGAGAGTGATTACTCCTCTTTCGCTTACGCTTATGGAAGATGTGGGAGACATTTAAAACTGGAGCTGTCGGTCCGGTATGGTAGTGTCGGTAGAGGTAGTCTCGAAGGAGCAACGACCAGCATCAGACCCATTCTCCCCGCTTCTTGGGGGAGGTACTTGATGCCACAGATGCTTAGGCGATCACGAAGTTCGGGGAAGTGGAATGGAAGCGTCATTGGCTGGTAGAAGTCTAAGCAGCATTAGAGTGGGTGTGCTTTCGGATATGAAACCTCGGTTCTCCTCATCTCGATCAAAAAAGAGAGTGGAGGTGTCTGTCCGATGAAGTGCGATGTAGTGCGAGACTTTGAGCCTGTAGTTGGACATGTTATGCATCGTGCCAATCGTTAAAAGACACGAGTGTCATGGAGACGAGTTTGTGTACTTGGGATAAAGGACTTGTTTCACTGACAGGCTGCGGGGGATCCTTGTATGCACGGAGTCCGTGAGGCTCTTAACATTAAGCATTTGGTGATGATAGTGTGATTATAGTACAGTACTAAGCTGGAGGGGGTGTCCTAGTTATGCTTTCATATTTGGCGTTAGAAAGGCTATTTCTGTGCTAACAACCCCGGAAAATAAACCTCGTGGTGCACCTGCCCAGGCCCCCAGGTAGGGTGGCCCCCAGGTAGGGTCAATCCCTCTTCAGGCGTTCGACACCTACAGTTCCAGGCTCTCATCCCCTAGAACAGGCGAATCCCCAGGCGATCGACATGCCTGTCAGGTAACCGAGGGCCTCGACCAGCATCTGTACAGTGCTTGTCTCGTGGATGACTCCCCCCGCACTCCATTCTCCACCCAATCATTTTTCACGCTTCTGCACGTCCATCACGTTGGTTGGAACTTTGGAACTGCGGACTTCATTCTCCACATTCACAACCACTATCACTATCACTACTAAGCACTCTATCATTCATCTCACTATCATTCACCAAACCCCCCACGAGCTATTCAACATTCACCAAAAGTCTTCACCCAGCGACGTTTTACTCATGACCCCAATCCTCCATCATCATGACGCGTCGAAAGCGGACACCATCTCCATCGGCTGCTCAGAAACGCGTTGCTTTCGAGATCCCTGCCTCCTTGCAGCAGTTTTCTTCAATTTCACGGTCACTGGCGACTAACATTGCTACACCGGATAATACGGGCCATCCAGGGCCGTTGAACGCCTCACATCCCTTGCCCACTAAGCCTTCGACTCCTGCCGCGGCTACTAAACCGTCGTCTAGGCCAGTCACCCACAGTCAGAAATTCACGCAGACCTCACAGAGACCATCAAGCGTTGGCAGAGAGGCTTGGATAAACCAGTCCGCCACCAAACCTGCAAATGTGAGTTCCGCCTCGACAAAGTCACAAACCTCAGCGACACAGGCGTCTCGAACAACACCACGCCACTCGTCCACTCCCACCCGCGCAGACTCAACCTCAACCCAGCGTCAAGCGAGCAGCAACCCTACATCAACTACCGCCTCGGCAATGGAACCTGAGCTGAAAGATGGTGAAGCGCCCACTCTCAAAACACATCCGAATCTGATTGCGGCTTTAATCGCAGCGAAAAGAGCAGAGAATGAGGCCATTGGTAACCGAGAACGATGGGCCAGACAACAAAGCGAGTATCGGGCGACAAAATCCCCTTCAGCCCAGCCCTCGATCGAGTCTCATGTAGAAAACGTCCAAAAGCCCCCTGCCCAACCCCAGCAAAGGGCCATATCCAATCCTCTCCCAGCACGACCTACCAAAACGACACCCAACGCCCGTCGAACCACCCAGCAAACAACCTCGAAACCACCAATCATATGTACAACGAAGATGCCCAGCAACCTGACCGCCACTCCAAACACTCAGGATCCGGAGGCCAGTGCGGCCATCTTTGAATCTCCGTTTTCGACTCCCATTGCAGAATTCTTAGAAAGGGCAACCGACGAGATGGGACCTGGTAGGGATTCTTTAGGCCTCAATAGTCCGTCTACTTCGGCACATATGGACACCAACAAGCCAAACCCTCCTCCAGCCCCAAGATCCAGTTCACAGCAACCCCAGCATCATGTGGTGGTACCTCCGCTATTTTCTGACAAGTCGACTGTGCAAAATCCGCATCCTCAACAACCACATTCTTCCAATCAAAATCACCAGCAGTTCCAACAAACCTCTACCTCGTCCACAATACCTCAGTACGGACGAGTCCCAGCACCTATGATGCAGTCCATGCCTCTTTCACAAACAACGACTAACCTCCAGACACACACCTCTATGCAACATGGACTGTCAATGGCTCAACCATACCCAAACGATGTGCAGCTGCAACAGCATCAACAGCATCAACCTCAGACAAGGCCTTATTATCCCCTTCCTCGAGGTCAACAAGGTTTTCATAAGATCGATCTACGGCCCCAATTCAACATCAATCGGATGCAACAGTCGGACAACAGCCGAATGAGTCAAGATCAAGTGGCAGCAACGTCATCATCATTCGATCCATCAGTAGGCATGAACTCACCTCACATAATGCAGACAGCAATGATGTCGAATACCAACGCACACTTGCCGAACATTATTCCATACTCTCGGATGATGCCCAGCACACCTCGTGTAGCGATGCCGTTCCCCCTGCCTGACCAGATCCCCACGTATGGAAACCCCGAGATCAGGGCGCCACCTAGGCCGACGCCACCACCGCAGCTGGGGACTCCATCCGGATTCATGACTGCTGCCGACATGGTCGCCGGCATCAATACTCGTTTCAAAATCGCGACGCCTAATGGGTTCTCGGTCCCAAAGCGGCATTGAAGATCGATGTGGCGGGTGCAATGTTTTCAGAGGCAGCAGCATGAGCTTGGACAGCAAAGCCCCTAGTCAGATGCTGTGATCTGTCTTAAAATTTATTTCACTTCCAATGACTTGTACACGTGTATAGAATTTGTTTGATTAGCGCATTGAGCGATGGAGTTATGATTTGTGGGGACAACGATTGGATACGAGTCTATGTACAGATATTCGGGGTGAGAGGGCATGTTTGATGGGTATGGGTAACGGACATGTGTTACTAAAATGATGTCGAGATAGATACGACACCGTCAATGAGATCAATGGGACCTAGAACATGTGGTAATTCTCAGTTGACCTGGGTTCCTGTCTCTTAGATTACTTTTTGTCAGATCTATGGATCGTTATCACATGACCAACAAGTGGTGATGGACTACCTGAGGCAGGTCCCTATGTCGGCTCACGTGCAGTGACACATGTAATGACGAAACTGGTTGGTTTTATCTTGTCTGAGAATGTCTATTCACATGTGAACATCGACTCAAGTCAGGTAGTTCATTCAATAATCACGAAAGAGACATCGGTTTCTTAGCCAGACCCTCAACCAAGTCGCCAATCAGGGCTCTCTTTCTCTTCCTCCGAATCTCCTCTTGGTCTTGAGCAGTGTCGCTCGACTGCACGACTGGCTGCTGCTGTGCACCATGAGTGCCATGTGTTTCAATCGACTCATCGTTGTCATTGTCATCCTCCTTCTCTTCAGCGTAGCTCCGTGGGAACCAGGCGCCGATGCTGCCATCTCCATGGGCGGTATACATTTCAATACCGTAGCCATTCATCGCATTGACACGCCATGCCATGGCGTTGATGCGACCTTTGCTGGTCAGGCGAGATATGCCGGCGGCGCTGACCCGTGATGACCTAGACCCGGACTTTTCGCTCTGAACTTGCGCAATCTTGATACCTTGAGTACGCAGGATCCGCACCATATTGCCTTCCCTCAACAAGTGTTGGAATATCATTCCTCGGCCATCGTCGTTGGGCCAGAATAGCATCTCTCGACCTGGTGCGTGGAACCCACTAGGCGATATCAGCGGCTGGAGTTGACCGGCACGATCGTTGCGGACTCGAGGACCGAAATGTACTAGGTCATTGCGACCGGTGGCAGCATCCCAGACCCGTATTCGTTGATCGTGACCTGCAGTCACAATCTTGTCGCCAGTAGGGGTCCATTGAACACTGGTGACAGGACCGTTGTGGGCGACGGCTTGGAAATCGAGAACGTGATGTCGAGCGGATAGAGCTCCAGTTGAGGGTGGCTCGCCTACAACGCCAATGGCATCGTCGTGATCGAGTGAGGCAAATGCGGCATTGGCACGTCGGATATCGAAGAACAATACCTTTCCGTCAGCAGACCCAGATGCCAAGAGATGAGAGTGTATAGGTGACCAAGCTAGAGAGTAGATTGCTCCATTCGGGCCGGACAGCGAGTGGGTTGATAGACCAGATCGCAGGTCAAGAAGGCGCACTGCTGGATGGGCAGTTCCAACGGCAATCAAAGGCGAAGAGTCGGGAACGGTCGACACAGCGTGTGTGTAGGGCGCATAATCGAGGGTGAATGTGTGGATGGCGACAAGGGAGGTCGGGGTGATGGAGGTCACCTTCAGAGTCTTGTCATACGCAGTGCTCAGCAGTGTGCTAGGTGTAGGATCGAATGGGTAGATGGAAATGGACGTGAGGGCGTGAGTGTGAGACTCAGGGGTGGCGCGTGACGATGATGCTATGGGATAATGGGTGGTTGGTGCCCAAGGCTGACCGCTGGGACTGGTCGACGAGGTCGAGGATGCGTGATTGTCCACATTCCATAATCGAATGATGGAGTCGGCACCACCTGTAATCAAGAATTGTCCGTCAATGCTATCGACGGCCAGACAATTAACCCCAGCTTGATGGGCGACTTGAATGGATGATGTAAGTGGGGGTTCATCGACTGTTGTGTCAGGCTTGGTCTGGGAGAGGGAGAAGGAAACGTCGTTGCGATGCACAAGCTTATCAATGAGACCCTCCTTGTGATGACGTCGCCATGCGTGTGGCGATGTAGTGCCCAGGACTTGGCCTAGGCGATGATAAGTCATACATGCTGTATTGCAATGGTGTTGAGGGCATGCTGAGAGGCAAGATGAGGCGTTTGTTGACGTTGAGTGTCAAGACGGTGGTGGTGGAGGTGGAGATGACAGTTTGGGGTTTGCACACGTGACCGGCAGACGAATGATGGTCAGGCGCAGAATGGCAATCTCATCTGCTGGCCAAAGGCCGAGGGGCCCTCTTGTCCATGTTCTAGGCGGGGGAAGGTCCATGGCATGCGTCACTTATGGTTACCTAAGGTACCTACTCGAGGTACTTAAGTAATCAGACAGGCTTGGAGGCGCCCTCGCCCCCTCGGCCTAACAATAAGGCTGAACCCCTGGAGCCATGCCCCTGTCGCTCCCCATGTAGTCCCCATTCTTATCATTAATAAGCACTCTTTTTCCATCACGTACCTGCCAAGGGATGCTCAAAGTTCTGGAGCCAGGCGGGAGACTTACGGAGTACGGAGTAGTCTGTCCTTTCCTCGGCGATTGCCTATTACCTCCCTATAAGCTAACGCTCCTGACACGTCCATGGTGACAACGGACCAAATGCCGGACGATGAATTGCAGTTGCAGTTTCAGCACAAGGTAGGTTCCTTGTATCTAGGTACCTACCTAACTTCCTAACGTAATTCCCCCATTACAGCTCGACATTGGCAGCTACACACCCTAGGTATTTAATATTAACCCCGATATGTCCATTCTTACCCTTTTATCACCGGCCTTCACGTCGTCAGGACTTCTTCTATCGTCCCTTGTAAGCACGGATATTACCGTATTAAGTCTCGGCCGAGATGACGGGACAACCAACACGCCGGTAGTTACAACTGGCTGTACTCTTCCTGGTCTAGAGATTACCCCGACATGATCCAGCTCTCACTTCACCATCGACCGCCGACCACTCACATCTCCTTCTCCTGGTTCTAATGCACGCTTGTAGTGGCCCTATCGGTAGTTGGGACTAATGTGCGAGTTTTTGGACTTGGGAGTAAGTGATCCCCTCCCCTGGAGCCTTCTTGGAGCCAGGGCTTGTGGGAGGAATGAGTAGCGCCTGAAACACTCTTTTACGGTGACGTGATGCTGGAGCTATCTTTATCCGTGTCAGTGGACAGTGCACAAAGGAAGGAATTACAAATTATGTACCCCTCATCACGATATTGTGTAATTATGTACCCCTCCATCACGATATTTTGCTTTACATATGCAGATATATAAAAGCCCTCGTGAAGAATAAACTTTCATCTGAACATCTCAACTTGCCTAAAAGCTTTTACCCCTAGCTCTAGCCAACAGGCTGCTTCTTCGCCCGTGCTCTACATCCCAGACCCCTTCCTCAATCACATTGTACAAAATGTCCTCGAGCGAACTCCAGGTAGTCTTTGGCGGAGGCCCTTTTGGCAACTATGAGCCATTCATCACCACCGAAGGTATTCAGCGTGCCTTCTCCATCCTCAAGAAGCATGGTGTCACCAGACTTGATACTGCCCAAATATATGGACAGTCCGAAACAGTCCTGGGGGCCAATCACGCCGGTGACTCTTTCACACTTGATACCAAATGGGCTGCCGGGTTCCAACCTGGCAGCGCCAAACACGATAACATCGTTGCCTCGGCCAAGGAGAGCATTCGAAAGTTGGGGGTCAAGCAGGTCGATATCTTCTACCTCCATAGCCCCGACGTCGACACGCCAGACGAGGAGACCCTGGCTGGCATCCAAGAGGTTTATAAGCTCGGTCTCTTCAAGCGACTTGGACTGAGTAATTACACGGCAGCACACGTGGAAAAAATGTACAATTTGGCCAAAGAGAAGGGCTACGTCCTTCCGTCGGTATACCAGGGCAACTACAACCCCGTAGCTCGAAGACAAGACACGGAACTCTTCCCCACGCTTCGCAAGCTGAATATGTCCTTTTTCGCCTACAGCCCTCTTGCCGGCGGCTTTTTGACCAAGACAGCTCAGCAGATTAAGGACGGCGCAGGTCGCTTTGGCGATGCTCTGGGTGGTCTGTACAAGAGCCTGTACGCAAGACCTTCTTACATTAAAGCCTTAGAGAAATGGGAGCAAATCGCCAAGCAGGAGGGAATCCCACGTGCTGAGCTGGCCTATCGATGGGTCGTCTACCACAGCCAGCTGAACAAGGATCTGGGGGATGCCATCATCTTTGGCGCTCGTGACTTTGATCAACTGGAGGAGACGTTAGTCAGCGTCAGGAAAGGAAAACTGAGCGAAGCAGCTCTGAAAGGCATCAATGAGGTTTGGGAAGAAATCAAGCACGAGGCACCCCTGGACAACTATCACAAGCAGTAGAGGTCATGAGACATGAATGATATTACTCGTACGATTCCTATTATTGCATTCGAGTATTAGTGATAAGTGGCCTAAATATCTTTGAATTTTTGTAATGGCAATAATAAAAACATCTGGCCTACAGAATGCACTCGATGAAACACCAGTCCACAGTAGTCCGCTACTCTGAAGCATTACTCTTTTCTGCGTGTCTCGTCGCGAAATCAAGGTAAACTTCCGTTGCGCAGCTAGACTGTCAAAGTCTTTGTGTGAAGCCCAGGCTATCAGGTGCAATCGGTCAGTGATATGGTTCTGGAATTGCATGTATGGGGCCCAGCATTTGGTTTGCCTTCGATTGATCCGCAATGCGCGGCCGCCATTTCCTACTGTCGCCAATCCCTCCCGCGTGACGGTTGGACCTTGATCCCATCCAACGACACTCACGTCAGCCCACTCGTACAACTTCCTGCACTATGCCACGATCAAACATGGGTGGCCGGTTTCAGCAATATTGTGGCTTACCTCGATGAGATCTCCAGCGGCGAATGGAACCTCGATCGGAATCTAAACGACCTTCAACGTGCAGACCTTGTTGCCTATTCATCCTTCATCGAGTCACGAGCCCAACCCCTCCTCGACCTCAGTCTCTATGTGAGCAGTGACAACTATCTAACTGTCACCCGTCAGGCTCTTGGAGACATCCTTGCCTGGCCAGACAATTGGACGCTGCCTCATCAACTTCGTGACCAGGCGAAAAAAAGATCAGAACACCTCGGCTTGAGTAGTTTGGATGTCGACACAGCTCAAGATGACCAGACCAGAGACTCTGGGCTGACAGCACATATCCCTAAATCTCTCCGAAAACCTAACCAGACAGTCAGTTCTTTGCTGGGTCGCAACGTTCAAAAGACAAAATTCCGACTCGATGCTGTGACGGCCGACCTTTTCGAACCGCTCGCCGATCTCCTGGACCAGAAGAAATGGCTTCTCGGAGACAGTATCAGCAGCTTGGACTGTCTGGCAATTGGATACCTGTCTCTATTACAGCAACCTCAACTTCCTCAGGGTTGGGCTAGGAATGCGCTGATGACCCGCTATACAAACCTGGGTCAATGGACACAACTGCAGTGTTCTCAAATCCTAGGGCCAGCCGTCGACATTGCATTAGTACTGGGGCAAAAGGATGACCCTTCTTCCGCAAAGTCGTGGCTGCCTTGGGAACCACCTCGCCAGAGAACGGTGCAGCAGACTCTGCACGCAGTTGCGGATCAGTGCATCAGCGCCATCCCAGGACTAGGGACTCGTTACCGAATATCCGAAATCCCTCACTTACAGAATGGCCAAGGTTACATAAGAGAAAAGCAGGTCTATCTCGCCAAGGGCCAACAACATCGGGAATTGTACATTAATGTTTTGTCATCGAGCATTGCGACGGCAAGTGTTTTGGGATGGCTTCTGTGGAAAGGGCTTTTGATCATTCCTCGTCATATGCCTCGACAGCCACGTGGTCCCAAATTTGGAGAGGCCGGCTCCATCCTCGGCTTGGGATAGGTGTGCCTTTTTCCCATCATTGTTGGTCACCGCCAGTTGTTGTGAGCAAACTGGTGATAGGTTTCAAACCTTGAATGGTCTTACGAGTCACAGTCACAGATGGTGTGTGAAGATGACGAATGGTATGGGGTGGCTTCTATTGACCACTCATGGGCTAAATGTCGAATCAATCACCTCAACACTGGTCACACACGTCTGCCAGTCTCTGCAAAGACGCTCAAATGGATGCTGCTATCGAAACTGAGGACCTTAAGCAATGCCAAGCATCTACAGCCTTGCATGGATTAGCTTAGCTAAGCCTTGCCATGAGAATGCTTCTATTGGATCCAGACAGCAGCATTCTGTTTAGATTGGATGTCGACAACGAAAACTGTAAATTAAAGTATATTGCCGAGTTGGCGATCGAACGTGCACGAAAAATTGACGTTACGGAGTACTCATTGAATTGAGGATAAAAGAAAGTATGGAGTAGATAGAGACTACTAGAAAGACCCGTCGTTAGTCATGGTCAGTCGTCCTGATTCGTCAATGGAGAAAAGAGCCAATGACAGCATTCGGGTTTGTGCGAATCCCAGACAACTGCCGGCATTTTCATTGGCCGATAACCCAGCATCCACTAATCTCCACCACGCCCGTTGCAGACTCATCTTAAGGTCCTCAGAATTTAGGATCGACTAGAGATCAGATCAACGGAGACTTTATTGCTGCTGCAACACAGACACACAGGTCAAAGAGTGCCCATGGCCGGGATTTCACTATCATGGATCCCATGTGGCCGACAACGTCAGGGCCTTGCAACACAAATCTTCACTTGTCCACATTCACACTGTCCCACCTCATATCTTCACGCTGTGTCCTTCATCACCATTCATGTCTCATGTCCTCCTCTAGATCTCGAACCATAGACACCGTTCAAAGTTTTCTTGTCCCACTCTAAGTAGTCCATGTAACCCACGAGAAAACCAACCAGATTGAGAGGTCCAGTGCCTTGCACTCTCAGGTCGACACACTACCGACCAACTCTAGTCTTCTTCAGCAGGATCCTTGTCATCTCCATTTACTAAGGTCCTCAAGATCAAGCCTCGATCAAGCACCTCTCAGGAGGAGCAAGCTTTTTTCACCTGAGATCTTGCTACATACTTAAATCTCACTCTCCGCCACTTGGCCCAAGCCTTGCTGAGAAAACTTGTCACACTCAAAACTACCCTTCCCAACCTTCTCCATTCATCATGGCGAATCTAGAATCTCTTGTCCAGTTGATAGCTCGACAAGAGGAAGCCGAGCCAGCACCCGCCTGTGCCACCGGCAATGACTATGATGGTCGCATGGGTCTGCGGATAGCCGCCCTCTTCATCATCTGGGTCACATCCTCGATAGGCGCCACCTTCCCCGTCTTTGCCAATCGACACAAGGGCCTGCGCATTCCCGAATGGGTGTTCTTCATCTGCAAATATTTCGGTTCTGGCGTCATCATCGCAACCGCCTTCATCCATCTCCTCTCGCCTGCGGAAGATGCTCTGACCAATGAATGTCTCACCGGAATCATAACCGAATATTCCTGGGTGGAGGGCATCATTCTCATCACCATCATCGTTTTGTTCTTCGTTGAGCTCATGGTGATGAGATATGGCAGTTTCGGCGGTGGACATGACCATGGCCATGCTCACAGCCACGCCACCGACACTGCGGTGGATGACAACGAGATGGACTCGGTCACTCCTGCAGAACAGTACAAAGATACACCCAACGACGCCGCCGAGCCCTCTGCCGTCAGAAAACAGAGCGAGAGTACCCACATACCCGGACAAGATCACCTCGGCCATTCGCAGGAACACAACGACATTGAGGAGGCCCACGACCTCTCCAGCCTCGAAGACTACAAAGCTCAAATGACAGCCATCTTTGTTTTGGAGTTTGGCATCATCTTCCACAGTGTCTTTATTGGCTTGACCTTGGCCGTCGCTGGCGAGGAGTTCGACACCCTATTCATCGTTCTCATCTTCCACCAGACCTTTGAAGGTCTCGGTCTAGGCTCGCGGCTCGCCGTTACCCCGTGGCCCAAGAACCGCCGATGGACACCATATATCCTCGGATTAGCCTACGGCTTGAGCACACCCATCGCTATCGCCATTGGTCTCGGTGTCCGAAAAACATACCCTCCCGAGTCGCAAACCACGCTGATTGTCAATGGCATTTTCGACTCCATATCAGCCGGTATCTTGATCTACACCGGTCTGGTCGAGTTGATGGCACATGAGTTCATGTTCAGTCGATCCATGCGACGAGCCCCGACACGGACCGTCCTGTTTGCATTCTTCACGATGTGTCTTGGCGCAGGACTGATGGCTTTGCTCGGTAAATGGGCTTAGTTGGCCGGTCTTTTAGACTGGCTTTCTGGAACCATGAGAGTATGATTACGACATGGCGTTGGAAAAGACTGGAACTTGTCTAAATCGGACTGGCATTTTGGTATCCAGCACAGAGACCTCGTGTTACAGTCTCTCACAAAAGCTGGCGTATTGAACAGCTTCGCCTTTTACACGGCGCCTCGAGTGTAGCAATAGAAATCGAGATTTACTTAGCTCAAAATGTGAAGCCCCGTCGCTTGCTTATGCACCTGATCCAAGTTTCCCCTAAGGCTTCTCTTCTCCATCGCAAAAAACAAGAAAAAATTGAAATCTCCAACAATAGATAACAGATGGACACTGAAACACAACGAGAAAAGCCTAAGAACGAGAAATCCTCTAGCACAACGAATGAACTTTTTTCTCTTTTCACAGATAACAGGGAGAAAATATGAAACCGGTCATCAAAAATTGTTTACGAAACACATAAATTGACTCGATATCAAGAACAATGTACTAGGTACTTTTAAAAAGATTCCCCATGACTTTTTTTCCTTCCACCGGCAGGAAAATGAGAAACATACATACTTTTCGAAGTTGGCTTTTGGCTTTTTGGCTTTTGGCTCGTGGTAGGGACATTTTACGCAGGTATATACATTGATATGTCAGGGGATAGGACAAAGGGGGATGGAGGGGTTTTAAAGATGTTTCTTTTGGGAGGGGGAACCATGGTCATGAGCTCTCGCCAGCCATGATTCCAAACAATCGTACGTTGTCGACTTTGCATCGTTGGGATCGATCTCCTGTATCACAGCCCAAATCGTTCATGATCTGGGCTGCAGCGCCGTCCATGCCTGCGGTATGCATCCCTCGCATGCTGGCGATGATTAGTGCTGCTTCTTCACACGGCGTGCTGTTGGGACTCGTTCGTCCTTGTTGCGGATGTGTCGAGGGGTATCGTTGTGAAGATTCCAGTTTCGATGATGACGATGATGATGACATCGACTGTTGTGGTCGCCAGGGATCGTTGGCATGGTGCTGACTGGACGCGCCGCTATGGTAGGATGACACGGCGCTGGATGAGTCTTCATAGGTGACGGGTGTGGTGGCCGTCGACAGTAGAATCGAAGCGGCCTCTTGCTCGTCAAATGATGACATGTCGTGCGACGTTCGGCGTCGCTGGCGCTCGTGTTGCGACTCCTTGTATATTTGCTCGTCTGGTGGCGAGGGATATTGGTTGCTATCGTCGGCAGACTCGGGTTTGACGGCCCCTGGGTATTGATAATGGTGCACTTGTCGTTTGTTTAGGGCGGCCGCGTTGGGACTCGGTGCACGCCAAACAACTCGACCACCTTGGTCACCTTTGACGATACCCTCCACGTGGCCTTCGTCGTTCAAAATCTCCACCACACCTTGACGGGTTAAAGCTTCTTCTAAGCAGCGCACGTGTTCTCGCAACACCGCCAGCTCGTCCTTAAGCATGTGGTTCTCCTCAGCTACCTGTCGCGCTGCATTCTGTACCTCAGCCGTGGCATGCACGCCGCGCTGCTCGTGTTCGCGGATCTTGTTTTCCAAGCTCGTAATGTATTCCTGCTTGCGCGCCCGCGACGCTCGCTGATTGAGCGTGTTGCGATTCGGCGTTTCTGACAAGAGAGGCATTAGGGTGAACTTTGGGACGTGTTATTGGCCAGGTGTTGATTCTTCTCTGAAGCTTCGTGAGGATCGAATGTGTGTGCAGCGACTGCGAACGAGGGTTGGCTACCGAGTGGAGCTCGGTTCTCTGCTAACAAATCACAACAGGACAAGCTCTAGATGAAAGAGTCATTTGATTTGAACGAGTGAGATATGTCCGCGACTTGTGCAGGTTGCGGCTTTTGTGTCAGGTGCTGTGAGAAGAGGTGTGACAGGAAGGTCAGCATTGGAGAAGAGGAGAGCAAAGGTTGTCGTGGAGCAACCCAAGCAGAGCGGCGCAAAATTGAGAAAAAATTGGTTATTGTGATGACATTGCTCACCTGTCATTGGTTGCTAGATGTGTCACCACATTTGCGCCATTGGCTGAGATTTGACAAGGCTGAGACCATCAGGCTGAACTCTCCCCGTCGATTGAAGTATTTGCAGAGACTGTCTTGACTTAATAAGGTAGATCAATCTAGTTTCAATTGAGAATAAAACTTCGTTGTTGGTTGAGTACATTTGGACATATATAGGAATCGCTCGACCTAATTAATTCACTTGTTGATATAAAACCCCCTGCAAGTTTCCCCCTCCACCGATCACGTGATTGAATCACTCAATCTCAAATAGATTTCTTGTTGTGGTGAGCAAGCCCGTTACTTCTGCCATATGCAAGGGCAGCTTTGAGAATATTCAAGAAAACTTCCACCTCGTCTATGTTCCTGGGCTGATATATAATCATGTATCCCAGTGGAGCTATGGTCCCAGCCACCCGATGTCTCTCACCCCAGCCCTTGGACAAGACCTCCTTCGCATCGCCCAAGGAGAGCAGGATATGACCTGAGATATCACTGTCGTGCATGTGTGCGAGCTCTCTACGAGCATATGCAAGAGGATTCGGAAGATCGTATGCGTCCTTGAGAAACATGGCTTTCCCACGTCTTTCCAACACCGAAGTCCGCCATTCTACCACATCGCTGTTGTCCGCGACGAGGTCCTCAAAGGCCTGTAGGTATGCCTGTGGTCGAATCAGCAAGGTCATCATAAGGGGATTTCCATCCATTAATTACCTTCTTTAACTCCGGGTCGAGATATTCCCCCGCATTCTTTTCTCTCTGAGGAGCGCAGTAATGGATCGCTCTGGAGCGCGGACCAGGTCTGACGAACAGAGGAGTGGGCAGCCATGACTTCTGTGCGTTGATCTGCTCTTGTTTGGTTGCCTTATCCCAGTTCGGTGAATAGCGGTCTGGCCGCTCATACAGATCCATGCCCATGGTATCTCTTCTTCCGTACCGGAATGTAAGCCATAGATTGAGGAAGTAGCCGAACAGGTTGTAAGGTAGGCCACCGCGGCCCATTTTTAGCCATCCTTGATACTCTTCGATGAATCTGGCGGTGAAGTAGCCAGTCGCTGGTAAGGCTACTAGTGTAGCTGCCTTTGTCCAGTTTGTATCTCGACCCGCTTGGGCCAAGAACGATGAAAGGAAATTCAAACTTTTATCCATCGTGAAGTAATGGTTGGTGACAATCAATTGTCTCCAGGACCGCGATGCATGGCCTTAAGAGCAGAGAAGACAAGAATTGTCTACTAGGATGTAAGTCAAGACCTCACGAAGAACCAATGTTGTAGATGTTTCTTCCGTAAATCACGCGTTGATACCCGGTACCCCGGTTGGGGCGGGAGTCTGCCGCAACGCCCTCCAGGACTCCCCGACAGTGTGCAGCTTTGAAATGGATTTTTCATTGCATCAAGTCCTTGAAGGACGGCCCACCGATGGCTTCTTTTACGAGGTAGCAGTTTACAAATAATGATGGGCAAGTCTGCCGCCACTTCTCTTTCCTCCCCGGCAGTGCCGATCATCGATATACTCAAGATAAACCAGTGGTGCGACCACATTCAGTATCGAAGCGCGCTATACACTGGAGTCCACTAGTTATCGAAACCCAGAAAACATTGCCACAATGTCAAATTCTAGTTCATTCTCCATGTCTACAGATAAATCTACACCGGGAAGCTATGGGCCTTCTGAGACGGCTCTGGTCCTTCTCGATTTCCACAGCCGATTTGTCAACAAAGCTGGTGGTCCTGGCGCACCGGCGGCTCTACAAGTAGCCAGTCAACTAAGAAGCTGGGCCAATTCGAAAGGGATTCAAGTCATCAACTGCCTGCTTGACATCAGCCAATCTCCATCCCCCACTTTCAAGGGGGTGGAGAGGTACGGTGGCGTGATTGAACTCATGAGGAGCCCAGATGGAGGAGCTGAAGTGCCTGCTACATTGCTTGAAGGGTCTATTGATTATGCGACCTTCACGAGGAAGCCCGGCACCGGGTCGGCATTCTGCTCACCAGGCTTTCACGAGTTTTTGAAGGCCAAGGGCATTAAATCGTTGATCCTGATGGGATTACCAACTTCAGGAGCCGTTGCACGAACGGCCTTTGCTGCCGGTGACGCCGATCTTGTCGTATCCATTGTCTCGGATGCTTGTACGGATCCGCAACAGGATGTGCACGGCTTGATGCTGGAAAGTGTGCTCGGAGGTAGATGCTGGGTGACAACGTCTACAATCCTTCAAGCAGAATTTGGAAGCCCGTGAGTAGGAAAGACTGCCCTTCGTCTCTTTGAAACGTTGGTTGAAGCATCTATTTCTACGAAATAAAAGCTCACAGCATTTGAAGTCGAGCTCAACGTAGCTATATTTTCCTTTCGCTCGTGAAGTCAGTGGTAGCATTCATGTACAGTATGTGTCCGTAGGTTCTATCTCCGGGAGAGCCATGTTCATTTGGCATACATTGCGTATGTACTTTGCCACTACTTTGATGTCACCGCTGCCGCCCTCAATACCTCGTCCATTCTGTCTGATGCGGATTTGACGTCAATGTTCAAATCATGGAACCAGAGCCAGTTGAATCGTCCCCTTTGCAATCTTGGCAGGATATTTTCCATGTCAGTCTTTGCTTCTGGATGCTGAAAATGAAGCATCAACCCCACTTCTGCTGCTTGTTCAAGTTGCTTCTGGGCGCGTGGTCGCCGAACCGAGTCGTAACCTTCAAATGCTGCTCGAAGGTACGGACCCAACGGCGCGTCCTTTTGTGTAACCGAGAACATTTTGGCCAACAAATTCGATAGAACCAAGGCATCCTCCAACCCCTGCGCTGCACCAGCAGCCTGGAATGGAAGTGAAGCATGGGCGCTATCGCCCAAGAGAACGACCCGGTCGCGGAAGTATGTCGATGTGTATCGATGATGGAAAAATCCCCATCGGACGGGCTCAGCGAGGCTCAGGAGTTTGAAAAAGCGCTTGTCCACTCCACGCCCTTCGAAGTCAGCCATCATCGATTCACGAGTTACCCTCTCCGTCACAGCTTTTTTCAACAGCCATGGCCGGTCTGCATCATTCACGCAGAGAAGGAAATTGAATTCCTAACAGGACAAAATGTTAGCTTTGAATCACCTGAATTCATAACGAATCAATCTTTGGGCAGCATACCGATCCACCGGATATACGATAAGTCACGCAGCTGCGCTTGTCTCCAAAGTAGAATTTGGCTACATCTGTAAGATCCCCAAGGATGTTCTCTGCCTCGCCAATAGGTATGACCCCGCGATAACAATACGAGTCAGCATACACCGGATCAACTTGAGAAGGATACAATGGTCCAAGCACATGTTGTCTGACAGTACTCTTGATTCCATCGGCACCGAAAAGAGCACTGGTTTCGACGACCCCGCCGTCGGCAAATGTCAGGACAACCTTATCGGGGTGCTGTTCAATATCTGTCAAAGTTTTGCCGAACTTGACGGCCTCGATTGGAATATAGCTGGTCATTATGTCAAGTAAAGCTTTCCGGTGTGCCTAAAAGATTTAGTATAGGAGGGTTCAAATAAAGGAGGCGGATTTGTAACGAACAGCCCTGCGAGTGTAGTCTGGGTGGCCCCAGGACGAGTTGCCATACCACTTCTCTTTGAGACCTATAGAAAAACAATGGGTAAGTCTTTGCCCCTGGTATATATGTAGGGAACTGAATCTCAACATACCAAGTCCTTCATTAAGTAGAAGACCTTCAAAAAAGACGTGCTGGGCATCCGCGGGCTTGTTGCCAACACAGACAGCTTCATACTGTGAACGAAATCCTTCCTCGATTAGATCCATTGCCTGCAGTCCATTTGGTCCGAAACCTATGCCGGCTCTTCTTAGAGTTAGAGAGGCGTTTTGTTAACGAGAGTATGGAATCGACTGGTGCTCACCCAACCACGGAATATTGCTTTGCCTCTTCATAAAGCGTATACGGCACTCCCTTCTTGTTCAAAGCCATGGCCAAGGCCAGGCCCGCGATCCCTGCGCCTACATTGAATCTGTTTTAGTGAATGAAGTTGAGTTGACGACTGTGCCCTTACCAACAATTGAGACATGCAGGTCTTTGATGGTATTTCCAGCCATAATTTGCGTTTGGCAGTCAGCCTAGTGTCTAAGTATGGGAATCTGATTGATCTGTAAAAGTTCCAGAGACCTTGACAGCACAATAACATAGGTATGTACAATCTTGGGGTTGCCGGGGATGATCGGATGTGTTCGGCCGGCTGAAGTCTCTAACATCGGATCCTCGTACGGTTCATAGGCTATGTAAAACAAGTATGCATCAGCTGAGCTCATATTCGATACTGCAAATGTCTCACATATAGGTTCTCAGTGGAGAGGTTACCGATTCGAAGAAGAATCCATGATGTCTTGATCATTCGATATGAAGTCGTTGTCTCTAATTCGGATGTTCAGCCGATATGATCAATTGCTGCAGCAGAATGTTTGGATGCGATAGAAGCCATACAGTTCAATAGGAGGGAGAGATTGACAACACTTCACGCCAGAATCACAGGAGACATGATCCCAGGAGATTTCTTTACGACATGACCGCATTTCGTGCCTTTCGAAGGCGACATCATGTCTCGAAATTCCAATTAGGTCTCAAGTTCGTGATAGATTAGAGTCTGTAGCTCAGATTAACAATGATCTATCTATTTAAATAGATTTTTACTACGTAGCTGTGATCTGACGGATTATGAATTTGATGTCTAGAAAGAGAACCGATCATTTTAAATCATGCTCAATCTTCTCGGCCATGGCTAACAGCTTCTCTTCCTGCAGCCTCATTGCCGTCAATTGCAAACTGATAGGCAATCCATGTACATCCGTCGGATCATATTGTGACTGAATCAGTGCGTCCAGATCATTTAGAGGTTTCTGGCCTGCCAATGTCGTGTCCAGGTCTTTGTCCGCCTTCAATCCTGTTGGCAAAGACAAACTGGAATAATCAAAAACACTGAAAACGTTGGTGTAGCTCACAGTCTTCAGCTGGCCATGCTTCGGGGCAACATAAGGCGTTGTTGGTCCAAGGATGACATCGATGCCAGCTTCTACCATCCGGCTCAAGTAGTTCGCCTGCAAGCTAGTCCGGTCTTTCTGAAGCTGCCA